CTTTGAAATCAAAATATTGAAAGCAAACAAACAGTATACCAAAAAGGAAAGAATGAATTAAAAGTTGAGTTTTGTTTGCTCCTTATATGCATCATGTAATATACATGCATATGCTGCCAAGATCCCAGGAGGTCAACAATACCTCACCTCCAGAGTATTTAAAGCCTGGATAATGATAAATATCTAGATAATCCAATATTAATTAGATAAGCTTAGGATTTACCGACCTAGACTTGCAATAGCACAGAGTTTGTTAAATATAACTTCATTGTCTATAGTAGATGTCTTGTTTTATAGAGACTATATATATACTGTATGCTGATATCAATCTGTTGTCTATTGATCTCCTCAGTGATGGCGAAGATTGAGTGGGAGGGATTGCGGAAAGGGTGGATGGGCATGTTGAAATTTGCTGGAGATCTAGGGCTACTAATATGAAGAGAAGGTTTTGTTTTGTTATGGAGGAGTAGTGATTTTTGTGAAGATATGAGCATATAAGGATGTGGAGAGAAAGAAAGCATTCACAGTTTAATAAAAGTTTTTGTAAGAAGGAATAATTAGGACTTATATTCTAGAAAATGAAAATGATATCTAGATCTTCCAAATCCCAAACTCCCGGTAATTTAGCACGAAAGGATATCGAATAGAAGTAAAGAAATATTATTTCAAAAAACATATATAACGTAACTTGACTAGAAGTGGGTCATGTCATGGTATGGGTCAGGTACCTTTACACCAAAATTTGTATGCAAAGGTACTTAGAACGACTTTTTATATCTCTATGGATATTAAAGATAATTTTATTTTTTTTGATAATTAGGCTTGATATCTAATAAAAATATAGTATTAAAGTTACAAAACACTTTTTAATAATATTGTTCTTGAATTAATACGATTTTAAAAACTCCCATAGTAATTTTTGTTAGACAAAAACGAAAATTTGAAAGAAACTTTAATATCTTTATTAAAAAAAAATTGTATCTCTGTTAAAAGGAATAGAAGTTACCGGTACTAATCACGTGTCGTGATTAGTAATACGGTTACCTAAACAGGCTAGATTAGACGAACCATAAGCAGGCATATTGGTCCCCTCCGAGGATACCAAGAGGAGATTAATATGCCTACAGACGTAGTAATATAGTCAATATAGAGGCCTCTTCCACCCAATCTTTTAATAATCTCTATAATATTTTATCATATTAAATATTTAAATTGAATATATCATACTTTAAAATATCGAAACTATATCTCTAGTATTTATAGAGTTAGAAAAATTCGCTCTAAGTATCTTTACATACAAATTTTGGTGTAAAGGTACCTGACCCATATCATGACATGACCCACTTCTAGTCAAGTTACGTTAATAACTTATTATTATTAGAATACTCAGGCCGAAGCTCTTAATGTCTTTAAAGTGCCTTAAACACTTAATGATATAAGGGAAACAAGGGAAGAAAAAATATATAAAAATTCATGATGCAGAACGGAAAGATAACTCATGATTGTTAGACTACTAGCCTTGAAGTTTCTATAGTTAATATGCCCATAGTGCATAACCCGATCTTCGAGCACTAGACTTTTAATGATATGGGGTGTACATAGAATATACGGGAGGGATAAGGAGGGAAAAGAACAAAAGTAGACGAGGAGGGACGGAGAAAAAAGCCATGAAAGGGAAAATAAAGATAGCCGTATATACATCAGAACGAGGAAAGAGAAAAGGAAACTATGAGAAGGAAAACGGTCAACGGCGGTCGGTACCCTCTAGAGTGAAAAAAGAGGATGAAGGGGTATACATAGTGAAGGCGGGAAGGACATAGGAGATAAAATCTAGACGCAAGTGTGCATTTCCAAGGGGGAGGAAAATGGCGAAAGGAACTAGAAGAAGGAAAAGGATGAACAGTGGTGAGTATCCTTCAAAGGGGAAATTGGGATGAGGAAATAAGCATTTACAATGAAGAAATACCGTAGGCATATACACTTAAGGAAACATAGAGGCATATTTGTATCCAAGTACTAAAATGGAGCGGGTAATATTCTAGAAATTAAGAATGATTGGCAATATCCAAAGAAACTACTTGACGAGGCACATAAGCGAATCTTCTGTTGAGCACGGAGATTTTCATGATTAGAATAATCCAGAACTCCCGTCTACCTTATTAATGAAGTTCTTTTAAGCTTCAACGCTAGGTAGGAAGTCAAAAGCCTTCATTTGGGAAAGCCTCAAAGTATCAAGCGGAAGAATGATACAGTTGATCTATCTATGTACCCTGAAAAAAGAATTCGGTATTCATGCTCCCATATACCTACCTCAATCCAAATTGCCAATTACTTTAATCACACATTCATACATTTCTACTCATCTAGTGGCCCTTTAAGCTTATTGTTCAATGTTAACTCCAACATTTATACTCAGTCTTCTCGTCTTAAGCTTATATACTTGTCACAATCCTTTTCAAGACCGCTATAGTATCATTGATTGATATTCCTCATTTCTCAACCTATAGTCGGACGATCAAACATTAAATTCCCATTACTTTGTATTCATCTCAACAATCTATCGCTCGTCAATGTCTTATTCTCCTTAAGCTTCTCTAGAGGTGTACAAAGATCAAACCCATTTGTTATCTAAAGGCCTTCAGATAAAACGAAATATTGTTGATCAAGATCATATCTGAAAATCTAACAAAATATCGCCGTTTGGAGTGAGAAGGTGAATTAGATTATTATGCACTTTACACTTGCTACAGCTAATCGCATTTGAAAAGGTTAACCAGCAGATTTTTTCTAGTGGAGGGAATTGCAAATAGATGACCAATTTTATTTATATATGAACTTCAAGAATAGCATAGAAATTCCACAGCTTATGCAAACCCGTGGACAACAATACGTCAAGAACTAAAGACGCCGACAGCATCTCAAATCAAATAAATATTTTAGCAAGATAGAGACCGAAATTCGAAATACTATATTTCAAAGCGTCAAAGTAGATTCCCGTCTTGTAATACTACTATCAGTACCAAATCTCCAAATACTTTATCTAACTAACACTTCAGAGCTCAATAGATGGGAAGAGATACTTACAACCAGCAAGATCAAATCTTTGATAGGTGTACCCTGAGTAAGTCTTACCTACTTAGACAATTTAATGTATTTTTGAAGTAAAATTGATGACAATAAATACCGAGTACTATGTATGCGAATGAGGTTTAATGGAAATGGTGAAACTATGTACATGATATTCCTATCGCGGATCAAAAATTTCTGTAAGATTTTGAGAAACAACCCCAAGTATCTTGTAACTAAATCTTAAGTATAAAAGCTGAAAGATTAGAGCATAACAAACAATGTATAATTAGTTAGAATTTGATGAAGCAGAGGTATATATAATAGCTACCCCAGATTCGAAATTTCCACCTCAATACCGTATACCGTATACCGCACACCACATACACACATACCCCATACATCACCCAAAACTGCAAGTAGAAAACCAGAGGATAGAGTATCAAAGCACAAATCACCAACCAACCTAAAAACTATCCCATGGCCAAAGCAGAGTTACCTAGATACCTAGCTACCATAAAACCTTTCAACTCGATCTTGTGTAGTTTTTAACACTGGGAGATAGTGTATAGCTTTAATCAATCTCAAGTTCATCAACTAATCATATATACCAGTACCTAATCATACCTACAGCTAAGTAGACAAAGATATCTTTACAAGTGAAATTTCTATAGCTAGCTCCTCATCTTAAAGGTATTTGAGATAAGTGAAATGTTCTAACTTTCTATTGTGTGGGGTGTAGGATCTGGGTTGTGGTGGGTGAGGTGTCTGTCTGGCTGGGGAGTTTGTGTTTGAATTCAAGTTTGGATAATGATGATAATGATGATAATAATAATGGCAATAGCAATAGCGGTAACAATGGCAACATGGAATTGAAACTGGCATTGGGACTAAGATTGAGATTGAGATTAGAATTTGACAAATGAAGATCTAGAAAGGCACTAATCTGATTGTGGTGAATGGGATGAAGGATGACCCAAAGTATGGATTTTTAAACACCTAGTAGATAGCTAGAATTTATGCTTAGTATTTCCTAGCTGAGAAATATCTTTAATATCTCAATAAATATATGTGACATCAAGTATACAAGAAATATATGAAATACCAAGCAAAAGAGAAAGGTATACTTGGAGCTGCAGTAGATAACTATCTGCAAGTCAGTTGTACCGTTGATACATACATATATATATCACCCAACACAATCATCTGCAATCCCAAGTTACAGAGCCCAAGTTTTATACACAGTTGCTATAACCAAGCCAGAGTCCCAGCTTAAACAATTTGAAAGTCTACTCACTAGACTATAACTGCTACAATTGTAATTATAATCTTACTTTCGTGATTTTTGATCACCGAATATATCCAATAGTTTTGACTGCAGTCCAATAATGCACACTTTGTATTATTGAATTTAAATAATTTGGAATTTTTAATCCAAGTAAAACATTAGATCATCTGAAACCCCAAAATATACTCAAATATTCTCAATCTTTCAAATTATTGAAAACTTGCATCCAATTTACTACTCCGGACTATGAGTCATCTTACAATCGTTCACCCATACCTATTACTCGACAATCTGCGGTACGGTAAGTACCCCGTGAAGAAACAGTGCTCATAAATCAAGAGACAACAGATTCGAAGATGAGTATAAGGAAGTTGTGAGTAAATCATCGGCGACTTTTGTCACAATACCCACAAAGCTGTCTAGAATCTATACTTCATTTCATGGGTATGCAATAAAACCATGCAGCGAGAGATTCGGTAGCTATATATGCGAGGATAGTAGAACACGGCTGGCTATATAAGACTAATAAATTAACTTGATGACTTCATTATTGTCTAATAAGTTTTCAAGGAAAGTGAACCAGGAGTCGTAGAGCAAATTGCGTGTAGTGCATGCGGTATGCTGAGATGATTAGATGAGATGAACGATGAATGATAAACACGAGATGCGTTGGTTGGATGCAGTAAACATATACGTCTCTCGATTTCGACACTGTAAGCCATACAGTCATACCTCTGGACAAGTAGGCTGGATTTTGTTTTGCGTTGCAGGTGAAGCGATCGATATGTATGTATATCTGTAAGTGGAGAAACATGCAGAGAAGTGTTTCAGATATACGTATCTATTTACCACCATAGAAACATCAGCAGCGGGTGAGAATTCCTCGGATACTTGCTCGGAGAAATAAATACTGGGAATTATGTAGATAATGCGGGATAGAAAATGAAAATGTAAGTAAGATCTTGTATATACCCGCCTGAAACCTCAAACCCAGTAATGGAAATTAAGAATGTGTATCTATCCCGCAATGAAGAAATTTGACTACCCGAATTGGATATGTATATGCGGGGTTTTGTTTATCTCGAGACAATAATACTTATTTATATCTGCAATTAAATACTTGATGTAGAATATAATCCGATACATAGATAGCTACTAAGCCATAATCTCATACCGGTATTTAAACACGAAAATAATCTTATATTCAAAAATCCCCAGGTTCCTCATAATCAAGAAAAAGAATATTTGAAACTTGATCTTAGGTATACACTCATGCATGCATTCATTCAATATGTTTCAAAGATCCATATATATCTTTAGCAAATCCAAGCAAGTAAAAGAAAAGTAGAGAGACAAATAGGAAGGAAAAATGTGAAACTTAATCTCTGTCACGAATATGCGCAATACTCAAAAGAGTAAGATTCTAGATTGATTCGCATGATGGGGTGAATATATATGTTTCAGATATGAGCCACACTTAAACTCACCACTAGGTAATACCTAGCACAGCAAAGCAAAGCAAAGCAAAGCAAAGCAGACCCGGAGAATTTCGTTTTGGGAGTTGATCAAGATGACTTATCTCAGGAATTGAACGGAGATGGGGTGCTCAAGTGAAAAGGATAGCTAACAGTCACGAATAATTTAACCCGCTGATTGTAATACGATCTGTAGAACTACTACTGCGTTAACATTAAGAGGATATTTCCCATCGCCGAACCACCCAATGACCCTCCAACCTAATCTATTCCCAAAGAACAATAATCACATCAGATCACATCACATGACACCACCAAAATACATACATACTCCGTACATTACATACCAGTCTACCAGATAATATCACAATTCGAAAATCCATGATCCAAAAAACCAATCCTCTTAATTTCTGCATGTTGTTCCCCAAAAAGCTAGAATGGAATTAATTCGCCTACTTTGCTTGTTTTCGATTGGTTGGTATGTATGTATGTACAGTAAGTATTCTACTTATCTTATCGGGATATGAGACATTGTCTTGGATGGTGGATGGGATTTTTTTCTTGGTATTTTGTACGATGGATGTGATGGGAATTTTTGGCATGTGAAGCTTATGGAATAAGAAATAGGAATAGGAATAGGAATATAGGATAAGCGCAAATTTTTAGGTAAAATGTATAATGTATAATGGGAAATGTAAGACTTAAAATGGAAAAGGGAAAGATGTGACTGTGGCGTGTGTGGCTGCGTAAAGGAACCTTGGTAATATTAGGTAGCTTGTGAATGAATGAATCATTGAATTCGAATGGAAGTTTGAAGAGAGGGATGGATGTACCTAGTATGTATGTCATGTCATGTGAAGATTCTGTTGAGCAAAAATCCAAAAATGAAAAGGATGGTTTAATGGGTAAAGCTAGATTGGGATGGGAAATGATGGACAGGAGTTGTGAGAGGGTAGGTTGGTTTGAGTGATTGATCGGATTGAGATGAGGAGGATGGTGAAATTATTGTGATAGTTCTATTTATTTGTAGAGGTACTTGTGTGTGTATATGTGGATATATGGAGTATATGAGTTCCTGTATAAACGTTTAAGAACTGGTAGGATTTTGATATTAAAGATTTTGATGTAAAATACACAATCACATGATTCCATCTCCATTTCCAACCCGTAACTTCAATCCATTCCATTCTTCAACTCCTAAATCTTCAACTATTAAAAAGTAAATGTGGAGATAACCATTCCTTACTTCCCTAACCATCATGTTTCACCATAATATAATTACCCCAGGTTCTGCAGCACACAATCCTGCGAGTCAGGAGATACATTTCCCTACTAGTATCATCACCGGAGTTTTAAACTTTTGTACAGTGTAGTTTCATGCACAACTTTGCACCCCCCTCCCTGAAAGATAAAGCGTTATTCGAACAGACAAGGTGAAAAATTAAATGCCGTGACGCCAATCAGATATCTAAATGCAATATTTTCATCATATCACATCGCATCATGTACCAATTTCAACACAAGATAAAATGTTAAAAATGTGGAGAAGAATCACAAGACTGTAGGAATCCTGGTCTATTTGAATTTTGAGCATGTTCTTAAGAAATAACGATGTGATGAACTTGTAGCACTTGCACTTGCACTTGCGCTCGCACTCGCACTTGCCCCGCACCCCTCATTTATAAAACTCCTAGGAGGATTTTGATACTAGGTCGGCACGTTTTTTATGATTTTAAAGATATTATTGGTTGGGGTTTTGAATATTGGATATTTGGTCTGTCACTGGACGGATGGAAATGACTGGATAACAATAACAGTATCAACAGCAATATCAAAATCAAAATCAATATGAACCAAAACCAAAATAGAAACCGAACCTTCCTCCAAATAAAGGAATCCGACAAAACAATAAAATGGGAATCTATCACAATACATACTCTACAACCATGCAATCAGTATCAGCGAACAAATCCCCTCCTCAGAAAATTTCATCATCAGTGTAACTTACTCATTCCATCCAAACCCGCAATGTCGCCTCCATGCCCGAAAATCCGAAGGGTTGCCGCATTTGATAATATAGATTATAGATATAATCCAAACATGCTATCTGCAGATTGTAGATAGTCACCAATGCAGTATGTAGTGAAACTCTCCGATCACCATTCGACCACATCGAATGATAATTCGGAGTTAATACTCTCAGTTAGTAGATATTAGTTACACCTATACATATATTCAAGGTGCTTTGCATACTTTTTGTCCTGTAGTCAGCAAAAGTCTAATAAGTATATAAGTATGTAATAAGTATGTATATATGTATAGTAACACAATATCGGAAGGATGAATAGAAAGATGCATAACCGTATAATACTCCTTAGCCGGATATTAAATGAAAGCAGCGGTTCGTATGTGCATGATGATTAGGCGACCTGGAATCTGTGACCGGATGTGAGACCACGCTGCGTAGACACGGTATGATTCTTGGCTTTTTGAGTGGGAGGGAAACTGGAATCGATGGGTGGTTAGGATGTTGCGGTGGAAGCGTGGAGGGGTGGAAATATGATGTATCGTGTAGGATTTTGTTTTTTTCGCCTCTGAAATTTGTTTTGTTGCGTTGAAGGTTGGATGATAGCTGATTGGATTCGGTGTGGGAGCTGTACGTATGTACGTAGGTATGTGTATGCAGGATAAACTTAGTAGGTTCGGGAAGACGCGGGTTATGTTTGTGTTTGGGTGTGCTGGTAAGGAGAGATGGAGTTGGTTGGATTGGGAGAATGGAAAGAGAGATGTGCAGCGTGTACCTACATGATAGCAATTTTGTAGTTTGGTAGTTTTGCTATGGTATGGTATGATTATATTGGGATAGGGGAGCAGGTTGTCAAACGAGTTGAGATTACATGGGTTGATAATTTGATATTGAATTGATATGATAGTACGAGTAAACTTTAAAGATTTCTCCATCTTGGATTCATGGATTAGATACTTTTCCGTGGGAGATAGGAAGGAATCCCCTCGTAAGATCTTACGATAAAAAGTGGATGAGTGTAACAGAACTGTCAACTTACCGTATGATGTTATTCCCGCGATGGAGGATTCAAGGTATCGCCCCATGTCCGTTTTGTAAATGGATAGAGAATCGAGATATATTGAAGCTCCACCAGCTCTTGCATTGATGACGGAATGATTCCACTCCGCTCCATCGGAAATTCGTAATTGATACTTTTGGTAATATTAGATAAATTAGGTTGAGGAGGATGAATTAGTTGTGGTTCTTTCTATTCGAGCACATGTCAATTATTGCATTCATTGAGACTTGTCTAAATTCTTCATTAGACCCCGTGTCCAATCATATTAAAGGTTAGTAGGTTGGTAGTCTCAGAAGGCTCTTCACATCTTCAATCACCTCAACCAAACCCCTCCCTCTATCTAATCTTTAGCATGAATGCCACCACCACCACCAAGCGATGTAGTACCCGACTTGAACCGTGCTGCTTTGATCCATGAGGGATAAGGAATAAGGATAGGGGAGGCAAAAGTAAGAAAGTCGTAATGAACTCGGGCCGCAAATTGATCCCCTTAAAATTACATCAACGAACAGCCAACAGCCGAACATCCGTGCAAGCTTGGCGGTTAGTTTGATCAACAAGAAGACATGGCATTTTGGGAATGGTTTTATGCCTTGGATGTGTTAAAATGGTGCATCGTATCGAATTTCTTGGTATGATTTGTTGATCTATTAGAAAAAGATGAAAGATGTACCGTATGATTTGTCCAGGGGGTGTGGTTTGTACTCTTCCTCGATCAAATGAAGGAGAAGCGACCGAAGAAAGTACTCGTCAGAGGGAAGCATTGAGGATTGAGGATTGAGGACCGAAGATTGAAGATTTCCAAGGGCTTGCGAAAGAATTACTGGTTGTACCACCGACAAAGCAAATGATCTGACGTAGAAATTTTTACCCCTCCATGAGACAAAGAAATATTTAGGAGGAATCCGTCGGGAGGAGGTCAGGAGTCTTAACGATTGGTTCTCATGTACTCTTAAAAACCGCTAATCATACGACGCTTCATCACATTGATACATTTTTCATTTTCTTTGTTGATTGATTTCTGAAATAGTCCCATTTTTAAGCATAGCAACGAAACCTTTGAAAATCTTCGTAACTCAAAGGAGTGATGGTTGTGCCCGACGAACCGGTGTGGCTTATTTGCCTTGTGTTATTTTATATGCATCGCGCCAATTTTGACTTTTCAGTCCGTAAGCACTTGAAAGAAAGTTGCACAGGAGAGTAAGTGATCCAACATCTCATCCTGATAGGATACGGAGTATTGTCCGAAAAAAGAAGTAGAGATTGGAGTATCGATGAATGGTTGGTTAATTGAAGAATGGTGGCACGGAAAATGCTCCAGAAGAAGAAACCAAACTTCATATATTATACCGGTACATTTGACCATTGCCAGCCCTTCTCCGCATTATCAAAGAGGCCCATGGATGAGAGGATGGCTTAAAGAGGTAAGGTATCTGAATTGCCGTCTTAGAAGAGGGTTGCACGACAGCCTGATTCCTGCTTAAGCTCTATAGATAAAGGATTGGGCAAAATTCCAAGGTTAATAAAAGGGTTTTTTTGGCGTCTTACTGCGGCTATGAGATAAATTCATTTGTAATGGTGCCGGTATGTCGCTGTGGTGTGTTGATAGTTTGTACTACAGATAGATATCTGTTGAGCTTTTCAATATTATAGTATATGGCTGAATGGGGAATACATGAAGCATGGAAGCGGAAGCATGGAAGTATATCGTGATGATGAAGTAAAAGTTTGGTACCGTACCTTTTTTCCCACATGTGCAGCAGTCAATGAGGCTTGTAAAGAAAAAGTCTGTCATATATTTGATCATATTTTCTCTCTTTAGACAAATGGAGTTGGAGTCTGGATATGGAATTTCAAGCGGTTGGGAAGATCGATAGGAGGGGAGAAAAAAAGAGGGACTCCATTATTTCTTGCATCATGCATCATGTCGATAAGTCGAATGTCTCTTTTTTGATCGAAGTTGATTCGTTTCTTTCCAACACTCTGTACGCCAGCTTTCTCTTCGCCAAGGCCGCAAACGGAAAAGAAGTGAAATTAAGTAACTAGATAAGGCAGTAGGAGGCAAATCTGAAAGAAGGTTATGGAAATCCCCTATCTCGAAACATTTCCGAATAGCTTCTAGTTTTTTTTTCAACCGTTTTTTGTTGGAACATTTGGGATGGGAAGGCTATTTGTGTTGAAATTTGGATCATTTGGTGCCGTCTTATAGACTCGAATAGACCCGATTAGACTCGAAAATTTCAGCCACGGCTTGAATTAGGTTATTCTCACTTTCCCAGCCGTATCTCACTCTTGAGGTTGCCAAGGGGCTATCCGGGCTGAGTTGATTAATAACCTGATTTAGAAGCAGATCAGTACTATATATCCTTCGCATAGGATAAAACTTCTATTGGTTGATGTTGAGAAACTGTCGAATGATATTTAATTGAAGTTTATTTATTATTATTATTATTATTATTATTATTATTATTTTTGATTGATCCCTTCATTAGCTCTTATAGGTAAAAGGTATGTATGCTTTACTTATTTTTTTCTTCTCTGTTACAGAGAGAGTATATTGTTTAAAACCTTTATACATTCACAACATACAGATACATATATATACATGTTAGCAATCGAATTAAGAGAGTAATCGAGTCAAATCAGTGAATTGATATGAAGTGACAAGAGTTATCTACTTTACTCATATTAGATTTACTATAATAATTTCCATACGTTCTTTGCGCTAGTAATAATTCTTCTCCCATATCAAAGTTGTATCGAATGCCACAGAGTACACCACACCCAGGTTTGGTTGTACAAGCAAGTATCAAACCTTTCGAAACAACACCCTTACAGTATCAACAACGCCCACAAGTCCCAAGGCTTCTTTAAAAAATCTCCACCCGCGGAGACAGAAATAAAAAGAGACAAAAAGAAAATCGAGATCTTTTCTACTTTCTTTGTCTTTAATTGTCATGGTTCCAATGTTTTATCTTTTGACGAATACCTCATTGATGTCACCGATTCCAATCCAATGAGGTTACGGGTACCATATCATAAATATCAATCAATACCTAGAGATATAGATATAGAGACATAGAACTCAATTGTTAGATCAGTATCACATCTATACCATCTAAGACTCCAGATCAACCTAAGAAGCATACCGTACGAGCCTGATCCTTAGTAACAGCCAGCGAAAGAATCTGACTGGGTACAAAGAGATATTCATCAACCATTAGTAGAACTGCTAGCTATCACTAGGGTCTTGTTCGCCTCGACTTCCCCAATTAATTAATTCATTAATCCATTTTATTTATTTTATTTATTTATTTTCATTCTCATTTTCATTATTCTTACTTTACTTACTTCATCCACCATTCAACCGGAACCCCCAACATCATAAAGAAGGAGAGAGCCGGAAGAAAAAGAAACACTATACCTATTTTTCATATTTCTATATCAGTCTGTCAGTCAAATAATAAATTGATTATTGATTATTATGGTTTGCTGAGAGAGAAAGCACAGACAACCGACAACCCATCACAACTTGGATTCTTTCTCCACCATCCATCCATCATCTCACACTTTACCAAATTTGACCTCACCACCTTTTTCTTTAACCATCAACCCGCAATAAATCAAACTAAAAAGAGACAGACGACCTCTAACCCAGCCGGGACTAATAACACCTTACCACCTACACTTACAACAACGACAATCAAGAAAGGCCGAATACCTTGACCTCCATCACTGTCTCCCCTCACCTCACTTTACCTTACCTGACCTCACCACCTCCCAACAACGAAGAACAAATAAACACCCTCCACTGCCTCACTTACCAAAAATTTAAACTACAATTCATCATGGCTTGCTGATAACCTTTTCACTCATATTTGGTTTTAACTGGGGCAAACATTGCCAGAAACTTGACCACCAAAGATGTCTGCACTCGACGTGCTTTCACCACCACACCCATCACAACCATACAACAATGGATCCAACAACAATTCCAAGAAACTCTGCGGGAAGCACTCCATCTTCGAGTCCAGGTCTATTTAGTCCTTCCAATCTACATCGTCAATCGATACCATTTTTCGACCATGGAACTCCCCATTCGAGCCCTTATCTTCATCCTTTGCAGATGCACAGAGTAAGAGAGTAAGTTCAACCCCTCGCCCGCGCATTTGATTTATACCAAGACTTCTTCCTCACTTCGGTCTGCGAAGCTTATCATTGGGTATTTACGACTTGTACTACCTTGGCAAGTATCGACGGTTATCCATACATCCATCTGCTTAGCCCCGCCACTTTGACAAACTATTGGCTACTGACTCACTAACTTATTTCTTCTTACCATAGAACTCACAAAGCACAAGTCGAACAAGATTTCATCACCGGAAGGAAACTCATAAATCAATATGAGATTATCGATGAAATTGGCAGAGGCGTACATGGAAAAGTAAAATTGGCCCGGAGCCTTGAAACTCAAGATTATGTCGCCATCAAGATCATTCAAAGGTTTTCAAAGAAAAGAAGGCTTGGGAGAGTTACCGTTTCTCCCGAGGACAAAACCAAGAGAGAGATTGCCATTCTCAAGAAAATTCGTCACCCCAATGTTGTCGGTCTACTGGAAGTTATTGATGATCCGGAATTGAAAAAGATATACATGGTTCTTGAGCACGTCGAATTAGGGGAAATAGTATGGCGTCGGAAGGGAGTTCGAAAGATATCTCTATATGAGAGGCGGAGAATTGAAAGAGAAATTAGGGGAGAGGATGATCAAGGAAATGACGAGGCATACTTCGAGACACTCAAACGTCGGCGACAACGGAAAGAGATGAAGAGAGCAAAGCTTCTACAGTTTCAAGGAAATGGAGAGTTTTGGAGCTTGGAACACGGAGATGATGATAAAGAAGAAGATGATCGTTCCGAGTTACCGCCTCTGTCGCGAGTTACGACGAGGGAATCCTACGTATCCTTATCGCACACTTCCCTTGTCCGATCAGCCCCTGGATCTATCAAAAGTTCTCGAGCCACATCTAGAGCACCGACTGCACAAAGTTCCCGTGCCCCCACACCCTTACCAGGACCGGTAGACTATGACATAGGACCAATAGATAGTGACAATGAAGAGGATGCACCTAGCTCGTACGTTTCACGTACTTCGGCTATGGCTTTGGAAGGTACAATGTACGGGTCTTACGCTGAAGATCCACTGTATCGGGGAAGATCTCCTAGTATGGCCGACAGTATTATTTCTCACATGTCTTCAATAGATGACATGGCACAACATGATGCTTTCGAGGACGATTTCTCCTATGTTCCATGCTTTACATTGGATCAAGCTAGATCGGCGTTCCGAGACACCGTTCTGGGATTGGAGTATCTGCATTACGAAGGTATCGTTCACCGAGATATCAAGCCTGCTAATTTGTTATGGACAAGGGATCATCGTGTCAAAATCTCCGATTTTGGTGTTTCATATTTCGGTCGACCCATTAGAGAAGGAGAAACAGAAGAGAATATTTCCGAAGCTGACGCGACCGACTTCGATGACGATCTAGAGTTGGCCAAGACTGTTGGAACGCCTGCTTTCTTCGCTCCCGAATTGTGCTATACCGACATAGATATCGAACAACCAAGGATCACTGAACAAATTGATGTATGGTCTTTGGGAATCACTCTCTATTGCCTGATATATGCTCGCATTCCATTCATGGCAGAGGATGAATACCAATTATTCAAGGCCATCGCAAAAGAAGATGTCTACATTCCTAGAAAACGATTAAAGGCTGTCGACCCAGGTAATCCAACCTCACACTTTAGCAGAAGGATGGGGCCATGGGACGGGCCGTATAGGGATGAAGGGGATCTGTCTTACGAAGAGATCGATGATGAACTATACGATTTACTCAGAAGAATGTTGATCAAAGACCCTGCCGAGCGGATCAAACTTCGAGAAGTCAAGCGACATCCATGGACGATCAAAGGCATCGAGAATATCATTGGTTGGCTTGATGATACAGACCCATCACGCAAGACAGCAGGACGTAGAATTGAAGTCGATAAGAGCGAATTGGAACGTGCCGTTGTACCTATTACGTTTCTGGAGCGCGCCCGGTCAACCTTGAAGAAGACTTTAGGCAAAGTCACAAGTGTGATGAGAAATGATAAGCATGAAGGATCTCGCAAGAGGGCTACAAGCAATGCTACAAACACAAGTTCAGGTGCCGAAAATCCCACCCATGCCCCACCCTTTACTCCTATTTTGCGCGAGATGGTTCGTCGAGCCAGCCTTCGTGGAGATGAATACTTCTCATCTACTGGCGACTCTCACAATGATCATCAGAAAGAACCAACGGAGCACCCTTTAGCTCAGAGTCAAACGGCTAGCCCTGATGCGGTACCGTGCGATCCATTTCAGCAGGACTTTACCCTTTCTTCCTCGGTAGGAGCAACCCCCAAACGTTCTGGATCCTCTTTGGCATCATCAAATTTTGATGCAAGACCAGGTCCACCGGAACGCGCTATCTCGGGGACGCCATCGATTGCGACGGTCGTTCATCGAGGTCACTCATATTCGAGATCGGTAAATCACGCATTTTCCGGAAGCCCCCCTGCGGACGAATGCCCAAGAACGCCAGGTCCTTTTACGGATCACATGGGGCAAATATTTGGGGGACATTTATGGAATCCTAGAGGTCGTGAATCCTTGACTGAGATTGATGAAAGCGCATCATCGAGGGCAAGATCTGTTGACCGGGGTCTCTTTAATGCGGAAGACAAGCATGCATCCGCCAGCGTCGCAATGAGTCCTGCGCTTGCCCCTGGACTTTTCGGACATTCCCGTTCAATCCATTCCTCCGAGACTAGTCCAATTAACGCTTATTTTGACAGGCCATTACCCTCACCCTTATTCTTCCAACCTTACATTTTGGACAGGCACCAATCGGTTTCGTCAGCATCGACGCCTAATGTCATGAGTACCCAATATGCCGCATCAATCCTGGAAGATAGACCCGCCACAGCCAATCGAAATCCGGAAGGAAAAACACCTCCCCCAAGAATATATGGCGCGAGCACACCTGAATCATTTCAAAGAGCTCAAGAACAACTTGATCGACGGAGAAGGATCGAAGCCGATGCAAATATAAAAAGACTTGAGTTTCATAGCTCGAATCTCAAATTAGAAACTGCTCCGTCGAAACATTGTCCGACGTCACCCGATGATGAAATCTTTGCTCAAAAACAAGAGGACGCTGCCAAACGTGCTAGGTCGTGCAGCTCGGTCAACTCGATAAGTCTCATATCGCCAGGCGATGTCGGTGATATAACCTCCCCGTCTGATGTCAATTCGCCTATATCTTCAGTGGCTCTTGGCTCACAGGAACAAATTTTCCCATCGGTACCTTCATTACCTGCTTTAATATCTGGCTCATCTTCTGTATCTGCTGATCCAGAGGGTGATATGCTTCAAGACCCTGGCACGTGTCCTACGCATACCATCTACGATACCACCGAAACTATCATACCTGTATTCTCTAAACAATCTTCGGATAACGAAACTTTAACAATTTCGGACGATCATGTTGCTATTCATCCTGTGACTACCCACCCTTATGAAGATACAGATGAGGAGGGGTATAATGGTGATGGTGATAACAGTATGAATGCGGATATGGATGACTCAGATAGTGATGAAGGTCTTACAATGATGAGGAAGAAACCAAAAACAAAGTTGGCAGGGATGGGTAGTCATGGTAGACGAGGTACCAACGCAAGTGTTGGTAGCACAGATACTGCCAAGAAAGTTTCGATGGAGGCATGAAATTTTTTGATGTTGGTTGATAAACCTCTGATTTGAGATGGTCTTTTCTGGGAATTCAAACTGCATGGCTCTCTTTTCTCGACATCTTTTATTCATTCGATGGCCAACGAAAAGAATCGTGAGGTTGGTTCCATAACAGGAACGAGATACATGATGGAAAAATAACAATTACTAAAAGCACCACTCTTTGATCCTGAACAGCGAAGAATTTGATGAGGGGTGAAGGAAATGTGAGAGACGATTTAAATTCAATCACAACTTTTTGCGAATATCAGAACTCTTCTTGCGGAAAGAAGTGTGAGTTATGATGGATTATGTTATTATGATTTCGTGTTCACCTTTTTCCCATTCGGGTTTTATATTATTTGACAGTGGAGCTTTAAGACTGGAAGAAGCAAAGATAGGGCTATGTTACAAGAGGATGGATGGGATTCCGAACCGGTGTGGTTTGGTTTTGTTTTACGATGCTGGTGGGTATTTTGATGCATACTGCATGGAAGGGGATGGGATATTTTCTTTTGTCAAGAGGAGTTATGGCGTAAGCAAGATGTGGTGCAATGCATATACAGGGGAGGGTATACAAACATGAAGAGAAGAATGGATGGGATCAAGTAAGAAAGGAAGGCATTCGGAAATCGGAGATATGATGTTTTGAAGGTTGTGAATACTGCTTCTTGAGCTGAGAATCTGCTTACTATATATAATCATTGAGATTGGGTGGAGGAGAATGAAAAGAATATGTGAAGGGAAAAAACGTGTGGTGGGAGTCGGGGAAGGTGGTGACTGGATTGGATGTATGGATGGATGGGAATTGAAATGGGAAGATGAGATACTTAGAGATGAGATGAATTGATATGCATAAGATGAATACACGAGATGAGATATTTATTTATATTTGTATTATAGTGTATTGTATTGTATGTATATGAAATATTTCGAAGAAAAGAAAGATGTTAGATTTTGATTGTGTGTGTATATGTGTGTGTATGCTATTTCAATAGGGCAGTATATTGTCACGATTCACCATTAGGATTGATGGTGTTACGATGGTAGCAAACTGATTAATTAGGAGAGCTTAGGCCTTGTGCAAACACGATCAGATTTCATCGAATTAGTATGTGATCTTGGTCACCTGAAGGTCGTATGCGCACGCACCATCAGAAATCACGTGATAAGGAGCCCTAGGAGCTTCGTGCTCAACTTAGTTATCAATTAGTTTACCTACATTCTACTTGATCTAGTAACGAATTCACTTTCAAGTGAATACCAATGATAAAGCCTTAACCCATAACTACCAACCGACGAACCTTAGGCAGCCGCTGCCTTTAGTACAGCATCGTTACAGCAGTTCCTCTCTCAATATTCAAACCTAACATCATATAATATAATATAACATAAACTATTATATCTCTATTAATCCACTAAATATATCCCTTCTATTCTCGGGACTTTATATAAATAGTATAGTAGTAAATAATAAATAATAAATAATAAATAATAAATAATAAATAATAAATAATAAATAATAAATAATAAATAATAAATAATAAATAATAAATAATAAATAATAAATAATAAATAATAAATAATAAATAATAAATAATAAATAATAAATAATAAATAATAAATAATAAATAATAAATAATAAATAATAAATAATAAATAATAAATAATAAATAATAAATAATAAATAATAAATAATAAATAATAAATAATAAATAATAAATAATAAATAATAAAATAATTTATCAGTGCTTTTTCCTAACTAACTAGCTAGTTATTCTAAATAATATCTATTTGAGTAATTTTTTACATGCATACATACATACAAATAATTAATTAGCTCTTCTCGGGATCACAAACATAAACATAACTGTAACCATGTACATAACCATAACCATAGCTCATTAATCTCTTCTTCTCGTCCTTCTTCCTCTATTTTTTCCCCGGTGCTGGCTGTAAGCAATGTTAAACTAAGCTAGGCTAAGCCAAAGTAAAAAAGTAAAAAGTAAATGAAGTAAATGAAGTACTGTACTGTGTAAAAACAAGCAAGCAAGCGAACAAGAGATCGGTATATGAAGAAGGAAAAACTTGCAAAAGCGACAATAGGGGATAGATGGATTAGCAACAGCAGACAAGACAAACAGGAGAAATCTCCTCATTACCCCCTCTCAGATCAATAACTTTTCAATCTGCTCTCTCCTCTTCCATCATTCATTCATTCCCACCACACCACTCCGAAAACATAAAAAACAGCCAAAAACACCCCATCTAACTCATCCGACTTCCCGGTCTTAAACTCCCCATCACACTCCCGCCAGTCATAGCCCTCTTCTCATATCTCCTCTGTCTCTCCTCCAAAATCTGTTCGCGCTTCTTTTCATTCTGAGTAGGATCATTCTTGGCATCGCCATCTTGACCTGGATTCGCCATTTCGTATTCGAGCATCTTGATGAATTTGTAGAAGAATACTGCGATGCATGTACCCATTATTGGACCGATCCCTGGAGATGGTGATGGTTAGTGGGGTGTTGAGGGGTGGGGGAGAGGGGGAGAAATAGGAATAGGTGTCGGGGATGGAGGAGAGGAGAAGATGAGGGGTGAGAATAGAAGGAAATAAACTTACAGTAAATCCAATGTTCCTTATCAAAAGCTCCACTAACAACACAAGGACCAAAACTTCTAGCCGGATTCAAACTTCCTCCAGTATAGAAAACTCCCACCATCTCCGCAATAAACAATGCCAATCCAATACCAACCGGCGCAATAAAAGTCGCCTTATGTTTCTCCTTTGCCAACATAAAAATCGTAAAGACCAATTCAGCTGTCAAAATAGCCTCGATAAAAACACCTTGTACTGTGGATGTACTAGCAGCAAGGGTAGTCCGTACATTGAATGTTGTAGGGAAGAGACCAAGAACCATAGCACTGGCAGCTATACCTCCGAGGATTTGAGCAAAGAATAGACAGATGGCGCGGACGATAGGAAGTGCACCGACGAGGACCATACCAAGGGTTACGGCAGGATTGAAGAGTCCTCCGGAAATACGGAAGAAAATCCATACATTTACCATGAGGGAAAAACCGAAGATGATGGCGATGTAGAGTTCGACTGAAACGTTGAACCCTGCTGCAGCCCCTGTTGTGGTATTTACTGTGTTACTGTCGATATTTGCTACTTGAGTACCGGCGAAAGCGAAGAATAGGAACATAGTTGTACCGACGAATTCACCGACTGTTGCTACGAAATCTGTAGTTTGAGATAAGTATGTTTGTGATGGATGGAAAGATACTAGAAAACTCACGATTCTTGAAATTACTATTCATCCAGTGTGTCCATGGTAATCTCATAACAATTGCTCTTTCTTCAGGCGTTAAATTCTCCAAATCAATGGTTCCTTTTGTTCCACCTCTTCTGTGGGATTCGTAATTATACCCATCAATACTTTCATCTGTGCTCTTCCTTCTAACCTTCTCACCACTAGCCCACTCAGGAGCAGCACCTGGTTCTCTGATTCCTTTTTCTACATCTCGTTCTTTGCCAAGATCACTTCGTGAAGAGTCATCAAAATATGATTTCTGAGGACCACTTTCCCATCCTACGACATTGCGGTAGGTACGTGGAGGGCGGGAACGTTCGTGATAATCAGGATGAGGGTGATCATCACGAACACGAGTGCGAGATGACATAGAACCTTCTCTTTCTCGCTCACTATAAAAGAGTTCTTCTCTCGCACGAAGAGCTCGTCCAGTGTCTGATGAGAAACTAGGTTTAGTGTCGTAGTCACCACCTGAGTACCTTCTTGGAGGTGGTACTGATGGTCTTCTTCTTAAACCTGTACCGGGCCTTGTAAGATCTTCAGTTGAGAAGACAGGATGTTGTGGAGCAGTATCATGTGGTGACATGATAGGATGTGATGATAGAGGAGGAGACCACATTACTGTATCCTTTTGATATACTTTAGAAGGCGATTGGACTGGTACTAATGATTGTGAAGAACCAGGAGGTTTCATATGATCACCATCCACAGTTTTACTGCTTCGGTATATTGGAAGGTCTGTGCCTTCTCCTGACATTGTTGACCTGAGACTTTCGATATCAATGTCTAACTTGGGTGAAGGGAAATCGTGATAGGGCAGGATGTAGAAAGGTCGTTTTTTAAGTGCCTTGAACTTAGACGAAATGGTGGATTGTTTTAGAAGATATAATAAAGTAAAAGGGCGTGTGTAGTTATTGGTGTATTATGATTGAATTGTAAAGTACGGTAGGAGAGAAGATAACCCTCAATGGAATGACTTGAAGAGATATATAGTCTCGTTTCACCAACCACTTTCCCCATTTCTAACCACCATCATGTAAAAGTATATTGATCTACTTAAACCTTGAACAGATCTTTTCTACTGCTCTCCTTGTAATGTCATGTAAACTAGCCACCAGCGTACGAAGATACTTCTTTTCAGGGTCTACTACCTAGGTTCTTGCTGGACAAGATGATTGAAAAAAATGAATAACTATATCAGAATAGAAGCCTCATATCAGACTATGAATTCCGAATGGCTGGTCCACAAGATGGAAGAAAAGATTGTGACAGGAACTCCCATGTGTAAATCAATGCATAATATCGTAGACCCTTAAGAAGATCCGATCAAAAACGAGATGATTTCGGAAAATCATGGGAAATCTTCGTACATCTGCCGTAATGACGTAGATCCTCCAGACTCTCCATATCATCTACAACACACACTTCCCTGAGAAATATAAAAACGGCCAGAAAAAGTGGTTTTGTAATTATAATTGAGATGAATTATAGGGGAAAATGCGAGAACACATGGGTAGACCTTGTCATCACGTGTACAACATGTTTTCCTCCAGCCTCAAACTTCTGGAAATGACTACGGACATCCTTAGAAGAAGCGTAGAACACGAGTTTCAAGGGAAATGCTTGAAATGCTTGAGATAGAATTTGAATGGTTGGTACGAGTATTGATCTTGACAGAAGTGTGTATCGATCTTGGTAAGAACGAGAGAGGAATGACATCGGACAGAAGATCGGACACAATAGTGTGGTGTAGTACGTGACTGATTGTTTAAAGTCTGTGCATTTGTTCTACTTAAATTGGAATTTTAAAGCAAACATCCACTGCCGAGGAGTCCAATTCATGCATTCATATAAAGGTAAAATAACATATAATGAATGAGAATCCTCTGGCCTTTTGTTAAAATTTGCCATCGTAAGCTAGAAGCATTCTAACGGAGATTGCGATTCTTTCTGTGTAAGGTGTTCAATGAGTCGTGATGCATCAAATGATCAAATGAGGATGTTGGAGAAATTGAGTATGTTTTGAGTTCTCGCTAAAACACAATCGTCTATTATTGGCTGATGTCTTCTTTTCATCAGGGGCTATCGTGAAATATATCAAGTAGATGATATAACTTAATGTATATACTTATGCTGCTTATCCTTCTAGTCTTATCTATACATGGTCAGTTCTCACTTCTTGCTTACTATTCTTGTCTTGATCAAGATCTCATTTCCATATTCATCTTACTCGTCTCTCTCTTCCCGTCTCTTTCCCAGATAGTACCCTAAGAAATATAGAAATAGAATTAAAAATTAAAGTACATTCATCTAGAATCTCTCTAGAATAAGTTTAGAATCTCTGTAGAACTTCCCAAGAATCTTATCCCAACAAATAATTCTCACTGCGAATCTCGACTTACAAAATCCCCGGTAATATTGCTTTCCTTCCCCCAACCTTCTCTTTACCAAACCTCTTTACATACCATGCTTTCCCTTGTAAAGCTCTTGGTAACATAGTAGCCACCTCATTTATGAGAAAATTTCTGGCAGGCACGCAATCACTTCCAGCTATTATGAAGAATCCAGCCCATTCGATCCATTCGCAAAAATAATGAGGGTATAGTATATAATTGAACAGTCCATTTTGAGGTATCATATATACTTTGTCGACCGTTTTATTTCCTTTATTTTTCCCAGTTGAAGAATCATTTTGCATTGCTTGTTTTCGAAGTGCCGCACGTCTGATTTCTCGTAGTTCGTCGTCATGAAATATATTGGATACGAGACCGAGAAAGAATATCATCATGCCTAGTTCAATTCTTGCTCCATTTACGTATGGATTTCCTGATACAGGTTTCCTGTAAGTGAAAAGGTTAGCACCTGTGAGAATCGGAATGTTATATGTATTCCACGTATTATATATCTCGTCGCGTTAGAAACAGGATGAAAGCGGGGTAAAGAAATATTTTACCAATCAGCTCTTGTAACAGGACCATAACCAGCAAAGTAGCACCCCAAAGATGCAGCATTGGTGATCTGAAAGGCAATTGCCGCAAGCCAAACGATAACATGAATTGGTGACATAGAAGGAGAAATAAGAGGTGCTATAATAGCACGATTAAGGTAATGTATGATCTGGATTTTCACATAAAGTTAGCTCAAACTCAATTGATTCCTTTGAACCGGGCAGGTTTTATCTTTCCCAGCAATCATAGGCAGTCTCAAATCTGCACATCAGCTGCTTCCAACGAACAGCCACTCGAAGTAATCACTTGACACATTAATACTTCCTCCTTTGTCAACCAATTAACTAGCCCCTGCAGCTCCTCCGACCTCTCTCACCCCAACTCCTGCAATCACTTCAACTTACTCCGCCCTCCAACCCCTTCACTTACTCCGCCATCCTCAGAAAGAGAAAGAAAACTCACATAAAGCCCCGCCATTAACTTATTCTCCCAAGGCAACTCCTTCAATCCTACCTCACTAGGCAATGTATACATGACATAAAACATGGTCAACAATCCTGGCATTTCCATTGTAATCCAAGCTATTTTCCCTGGTATATTGAATCGACTATTTGATGAAGTCTTGCCTGCTCCGTACCATGGTTGAATCCATTGAAAGATTGTAAACTATTTGGAGGTGGGATTAGTACTTATGTTGTGTGTGAATTGTGAGGATTGAGGCATGGATGGACATTTTGGAGGTACGAGGAATGTGAGCCTTTTGGGGTGGAGAGGAGGGAGGTTTGAAGAGCAGAAATCACAAACCAAAGGAAACCATTGAAACCCCCAAACAATCAATTCCCAATTTTCCCTCGATGGAGGCATCCAATTCTCTACTAGAACCATCTTGACAATTATTTGCCTCGAATTGTTATCGAGGATAAGAATTTGATGTGAGGATGTTGTGGTTAAGAGTGAAGTACAATGCTTCAATGATGTCACCATTTCTTTCCGTGTGCGACAACATACTTTGTCAGCCTTGCAGATAATGACCAATTATATTCGATTTTCAGATTGGCTGATCGTGGATATCACAGCCTTACATTCATGATACCTACATCGATAAGCTTTTTTAATATCACGTCAGGAAGACACAGAGAAACCATATGTCTTCACCATACCCCTCTGATGCAGATCTAACAATGGCGTCCTCTCTCACCCGCCTTGAATTCTACACCAGCAATTTACAATCCTTCCTATCCTCCTACTCAGCCTTCCGCATCCTCCGTTCCCTATCTCCACCCATACCAATTCCTTCCGACCCTCCAAAATCTAAAAACCTCAGTTCGATAACGTTTAAGAAATTCGATCGTTATTCAGGACCCTTATACTCCCTTTCTAACGATGACCACAAAGACGAACCTTCAAATGATTCAAACCAAAACCACTCCGTGCCTCCCTCCAATTCCAGTTCGCCTCAAACCTTATACATCCTCGATTCCTCCTTCAATCCACCTACCCTCGCACACGCACACATCTGTCTCTCCGCTCTACGTGATCACTTTGCATCCGACTTAAGACATACAAAAGCTCGATTATTATTATTACTCAGTACACAAAATGCAGATAAAAAGATCAGCGGCGCAAGTTTGGAAGAGCGATTAGTTGGGATGGAATGTTTTGCTACTGATCTTTTGAATACTTGGTTCTATCCTCATTCGCATTATCCAAGGAAGAGGCAAGTTAAGAGCGAGATTGATGATAAATCTATAAGTGTGTCTGAGGAGAAAAATGAATCTGGAGATGAAGAATCCGCTGAACATATGGAATCTGATTCCACTTCTGACTCTGATTCCGAAGCACAGTCCACGACGTCCTCATTACCTCCATCTCAAAACCAAATCCCTTTCGACTCACCACAATTCGACATAGACATAGGTCTAACGTCCCTTCCCTACTTCCACTCCAAATCCATCGCCATCGAAGCATCCTCTGTCTATCCCAAGGGAACAACCCACGTCCACTGTACCGGCTATGACACTCTAATCCGAGTTCTAAATCCCAAATATTACCCAACTTATGATTTTACCCCCTTAATACCCTTCCTCTCAAACCACAAATTACGTGTCACATATCGTTCAGATAAATCCCTTAGCCTATCGGATCAAGACACTTATCTCTCATCACTCCCTACTCAACTCCCTACACTCGGTGGAAAAAGTGAATGGATAAGTGAAAAAAGAATATACATGTCACCAGGTCTTGCAGGAGAAGAAATTAGTTCCACGAGAGTAAGAGCTGCAATTAAAAGTCTCACTACAGCGATTCCTTACCAAAGGGGAGCGGGAAGTAAGAAACGTAAAGGAAAAGGAAAAACATCTGAAGAGAAAATTAAAAAGGACTTGAAAGTATTTGTGGGTGCAAATGTTAAGAAGTGGATTTTAGGAGAGAAATTATATTGGTGGCAGGGGAAGAAGTAATGGGTAGGGGAAGTGATGATGTAGAATGAATGGTTGAAGAGATAGAATATATACCGATAGGCGTAGATTGAAGGGAATGTATGGAGATAGAATGGAGGAACATGAAGAAACGAATATTAGATAGCTACCTATCTAACCTAACAATAAAGATCAGAATTAGATAGTAGTGACCACCAAACTCACTCACTTACTCACTCCTACACAAAAAACACACCAGATAGATAAGTAGAGTAGAGTAAAGTAACACTAATAAAACCCTCCTATTTCAATAAATAAGACTTATGAACCCATCCCATCCCATCCCATCCCATCACCTCTTTAGCGAGAGCGAGAGCGAGCTCGAGGTCCTCAATAAGATTACACCAAATACAGTAGAATGAGGGTCAGTACTTTACATTCATCATCCAGGCCCTCCCTCCTCCTTCATTCCCCATTCGACAACACTCCTCATTCATTCCCCATACCATACCATTCCATTCTTATACCTTATCACCCATACATACCCCCAGAAATAATACCCCTCGCCTTTCTTTCCTAAATAAAGAAAGAAACCCTAAATCTACATTTCAAAAATCCTCTTAATATCTCATACTTCAATAAAATAAAAATTAAAAAATAAAATAAAATACAAAACCATCCACTTAAATTTCAATTTAACTCTATTATCAAAGCTATACATATAAATCTAATCCCTCTTTTAATATTATATTATATCAATCGATGCATCATTCCTCATCTCCTTTCCTTTCTCATTCCCTTTTCTTCCCTTCCCTTTCATCCTCTCATACTCTCACTATCAAGATATATAAGTATCAAACGCTAATGATATAATGATATTATACGCTAATATTATCATGTCTATTCTATATATACAACGAAAGAACAATATATACATACTATCAACTTTTCATTCCCTACTTCTCATCTAAGTACTAGTACTAGGTAACTTAATACCCCGAGCTTTCATTCCCATGCTTCCATCTATATATCATATCTACCTAACGCCATACCATTTATGCATTCTGGTCCTGTTCTCCAGTCCATTTCAGTCCAGTCCAGCTGATTCCAATTTACCTTTCCATTCGCCAAAAGGTGTGTACAAAAAAGGGATCATGGATCATCCATCCCTAAAGCAAAGAGCCAGAAACGCCCCTTTCGGCATAGAATGTATAAAGTAAGTCATCAATCAGTTCCTCCATTTCTCTTTCCACTCAATCCATTAACATTATTTCCCTGATTATATCCAGCTACACTCTCACAAAGTCCATATCAATTCCAACACACCATCAACATCATACATTCTCTTTCCATCCTTACGATCTTTCCACCTCCAATCATCCTTCTTTCGAATATATGTTTGTCTAACTGTTCCATCGGCTTTTAATTCAGCTTCCGCTAGATCCCATGAACCTTTACGTCCGGTTTCACGAAGAGGAATTCGTTGAGGTCCAAACATAAAATCAAGATTCCACCCTGTACCATCATCACCCAATGCATTGAATGTTCTCTCCATTTGGTGGAGATTAAAATCAATACCCTTTGGATAATGCGCAATGGACCAACCATTTGTCAAGATGAAATCATCTTTAGTTTGGTATCTTTGAAGGAAACAATCTTCACCGCAAACTTGTTGAATCTTAGTGGATTCATAAACTTGAGCTTCATGCCACATTCCTCCCTTGAAATGATGAAGAGAAAGTGGTCGGATACCAGATTCATAGAAACCAGATGGGTCACCAACAATATCCAATTGCCAAATATCATGAAGGACAGTTAGACGGACTTCGGTGTTTTCGTATACACATTTTCGGAGAAGAATATCTCCTTGAGATCCCCAACCTGAATTTGCTTCTTCAACTTTTTGTTTGGTACTGCACTGAGGGAAAAGATCGGTGATTGTAGCGGCCAATGGAATAGAGAAGAAAACTCCAGCTCCACCATAAGCTTGACTTCCATGACGTGCAAGACTACCGACATCTTCGGAAAGGTTTCCAATATATAAATCTTCACTGGCATCATATGTTGCCATTTTCTTGATGAGAGCATCCATGTTTGGGAAAAATGTATCGTCATCGCACATGACCAACCATTTTCGATGTTTTCTAGAGCTATCGTTGTACAAAGCTGGTAGGAGGGAAAAGTATCGTTCGGCCATTTCGATTTTACTATCGGCGGTGTAGACTTTCGCATCAATTCCATATGCTTTCAGCATCTTCTTAATGTCATTGATTTCCTTATCCGAAGCATCAACCAATCGTAGGATCAATCCTCCTCCATTTGAATTTCCATGACCATCTGTCAACCAATGTGACCAGTCTAGCATGGGATTGATTTTTGGATCTGTGATTCTCTTGTAGGTGGTTGAAATACCAAAGAGGAATTCAGTGGCATTTACATCTGCAGGAATGGCAGATTTTGTGACGGGTACATCGAGTGGCTTCAAGCATTTCGTGGTAGGTTTCAAATTTTTTTCAATGTTGATTGTATCAAAGTATCGAGGGAATAAGTCTTCGTTGAGTTTAGTAATGGATTTTCGTTCAATATCTTGTCGATGATATCTAACTTGTCTGGAAGCATATTCAATTTTATCATCCAGACCGTATTTCTCTTTCAATTCGCGTAGATGGGTTGAATTGACGGCACAATCTGGAGAGCCATTTTGGGTGGTAAGAATTTCTTGTGGACTTGGAGAAAGTTTCGTTTGAATTTGATGAAATCTTTCTTGTGTAGGTCTTCCGGCGAGAAAGATGAATGCGAGGCAAATGGATGTGAATATGGCAATTCGGGTGAAAGGACTTCGGGGATTAATTAACCTATTAGGTGATATTGAGGTACCGGTACCCATCATACCCATAGTGAATGTGGGAGATGGAAATTTGTGCAAATCAGTAACACAGTTTTGCTATGACGTTTGATCGAAACGAGTGGCGAGAGGGAGTAATGAGGAGAAGTTGAGGAGAGTCGAGGGGATGAGAGGTAACGACAGTTGTTCTTCTTGAGAAGAGATTTGACGACGAGGTAAGTACAAGAATCAAAGAGAGATAGATGTAGGAAGAGAGACGAGAGGTAGAGGAGAAGGTTGGTAGGGTAGGGTAGACTTAAGAATGAAATCCAATGCAATGCCCAAAAAGGAAAGACGAGCTAAGATAAGCTTGAGATTTCGATATGCAGCGATATGCAGCTACCCTAAACATTTACGGGGAACGAAAGATGAAAGAAGAACCTTGTTAAAGGTGCTTATTAGTACTGTTACTAGTACTGAACTGTACAGAGTAATGAATGAAGGATAATGAATCGTGAATCTGGATAATGGTAAGTACCTACCTACTATTATCTCCCAACCTTTTCTTTTCTTTTCTTTTCTTTTCTCTTCTCTTCTCTCTTTTCTTCACCGTTTTCCATCCTTATCTACATTCACTTCCTTGGCAATCATTTTCACAAACCAACATTTCAACATTTCAACATTTCAATATATCCGGTGAAAACTTCAGTATGGTCAAGGATATTCTTGATTATCGACTCTCGATAAAGTTCCAAATGTCTCTTTTAGTGCCGGGAAAATGTGCCAGGAAAGTAAGAAATATGCGGTGGAGGCAAAGGGTACGCGGACAGTGGGGATGGAAATTGGGATAGATCTGAATTGTGTGTCTAGAAGTGCGTGGAACACAACCGGCTGGAACACAAGACGGTTATGAGTATTTATTTATAGATTGGAGATGTGACTTGAAAAGTAGGGAATAGGTATGTAGGTGGGTGGTATTGATATCTAGAATGGAAAGTTTTAATGTGATATGTGATATATATAATATAAATGATTACGAATTGTGTTGTTGATGTAAATAAAGTTTTCCTTATATGACAAGCTTAACTTGATATTTGGGTGCCGGGAGGGAAGAAAAGTTAAACATCTCTTCCGAAAATGCTTCCATAACCCCCAGTGGAGAAACTGTCTGGAGAAGATTCCTCCACCCTAGACAACAAAACAAAATAACAAAGTAGCAAAATCTTCAAGGTATCTCGGCCATTCAACCTGTAAAAGATCATCATATAGGGGCATGCCATTTCAATCAATGCTTTAGTCAGTCAAGTAATATCAAAGCATGGTCACGTCAATCTTCTCTTCAAAATTATCCACATCTCTTGCTCTTCTACATTTTTTTCTAACAACATGAGCGTCATCATACCAACCTCCAACCTCGAGCCAACCTCCCGAAACAAAAGTGTTCAAAGTAAGAAAAGATCATCCTTCGGCATTACTTTCAACTCTATTTTCCAGAAAAGTTATCGTAATGCAACGGGCCGATCGACGTTTCAACATAGATCACCTACGTAGGATCCGGATGATCTTTTTTGATGATTCGAAAATTGAAAATTGAAACATAAAACGTCAACCATGGCGTGTGCTATTGTAAATAGGAACAGTACGACTACGCTTATTTGCCACAGAAATTGGTAGAGTACGCCGTAATTTCTCCTGGAATCTTCTGCGGAAGATGTGGAGTCGAGGCCCTGAAAATGGCTTCGGAAATGCTTTGAATGAGGAATAGGGGTGAGATTGTGTTAATCTAGATTCTGTACCGAGGACGTGAGTCGAGAAAGGGGGTGTGCATTTGGACTGTTAAGAATAATGGTATGGGGTAATAGTAAGTGCAGTGGTTCATCAGTACCTATTGATATGATTGATGTCCAAGGTTACATATGAAGCTCTTCATCGAGTACCAAAGTATGTTAATGTTATCTCATTACTTTATTCTCCATGTACAAGCAAGTCTGGCTGGTCCATCATGCACGATTCTGTACATTCCAGAGGTACAGAGTACAGCTTCAACGGGGAAGAGAAAGTCTCACTCTTCAGTAGCACAAATTCTGAACCCATGCAAGCATCAAACTTTAGATAGATTGATCTCACATGATTGAATATCATGCTATAGATGAAAATAGTGAGTTGAGATCAATTTGGAGTCAATCAGCTCAATTGCCAGATGCCCTTCATGATCAGTCCCTTTATCTCTCTCTGTACAGCTTCAAGAAATAAATGTTGCTTGAGATTCTGCCCTTTCAGCCCGCTTTTCCAAAAAGGTATCTCTGTATCTTTGCCTTGTAGCCTCAATTTCTGCCTTAATGATCCCAGTGCTTCCAACCTGCAGGTGTCAAAATGCGCCCGCATTATTTACATGGAGAAATCCAATGTCAAGAAGAATTTCCCCCGCAAACAATAGACAAACATAAGTCTATTGAAATTCATCATGTCTAGGCAAGTAGGCTGTTTTCTTAACTATCTATTCTCACAAAAATCAAAAGCTAATCTATAAAATAACAGTAATATCCTCTTTCTGCCATTTCGAAAGGCTACCAATCTATCATTATCAGATGCTATAAAGCAATACATATCCACCAAATATGATCAACATCCGGATATGTTTAGGCAAGACCTGGAGGTCATTGACGCTTTACGAAGAGATGCGATACATGTTCAAGAACCTCATACCAGTGGAATAAGGAAGATATCAGCATATGCGGGGCAACTTTCCTGGTTGGGGGGTAAATTCCCTATAGACGTATGTTAACCTGCTACATTTCCACATATACATACTAACTCACCATGGCAGATTGGAGTGGAATTCTCATGGAAGGTAGCTCTAGGTTACAATGCCGAAAGACCTATCGTCCAAAATAATCTCAAATTCGAGCTCGCAAATATAATGTTCAACCTCGCCGCACTCTACTCTCAACTCGCCATGTCTGCGAATAGAGCAACATCCGATGGTCTGAAAGCTGCTTGTAATAACTTTTCTCTTGCAGCGGGAGTTTTGAAACATCTCAAAGGGGAAATCATACCGGAACTTCGCACTACTCCTCCTGAAGATATGGATGATAATACACTTGAGTGTCTTCAATATCTCATGTTAGCACAAGCCCAAGAATGTTTTTGGGCAAAAGCTGTAAACGATGGATTCAAAGATGGAGTGGTGGCCAAACTAGCAGCGAAAGTTTCAGACTTATATTTACAGGCAGGAGATTGGGGCATGAAGAGTGAAGCTATAAGTGCAGAGTGGATACATCATTCATCAGTTAAACATCATCATTTTGCTGCTGCTGCACAATATCGAATGGCTTGTCATTGTTTGGAGAAGAAACAATATGGGGAAGAGGTGGCAAGATTGAAGGATAGTCTTGTTTGTGCCGATGAAGCAATGAAAGAAGCAAAATTTGTCAATAAAGTGGTGTTAGGGCAATTACAAGCCTTGAAGCTTGCGGTAGCGGAGAATTTGAAAAGGGCTGAGAAAGATAATGATTTAATTTACCTTAGTAAGTTTTCCTGGATTTCTTCAGTTGGGTGACGCTCCGCTGGCCCTCCCGGGGCCACTGCCGTGGAGGCAGACTATTTGGCATAAAAAAGTCAACTTTTGGTGGCAGTGAGCTGATGAGAGCTTCGGGCTTGCCACATTTACAACCAAATATATAGCACCGTCATGTTCATTTGAGTTATAGCTGACGTTTTAGATCCTGTACCGCCTAAGACCGAACTCAAAGTTCTTGAACGAGCAAATATGGCAATCTCTAAGGTCCCAAAAGAGATTTCTGAGCCAATGACTTTTCTAGGGGATCATAAAGAATTTGGACCACCTCTCTTCTCCAAACTTGTACCATTTGCCGTTCATGTAGCAGCGAGTATTTACGAAGAACGCCGTGACCGAATTGTTCACAATAATATCATTGACGAACTTGAGATTTTAACCACCCGCATCCATGATACCCTTCGCTCCCTTAACCTTCCCGGCTCTTTACAGGCCCTCGAGAAACCTTTAGGTCTTCCTCCTACTCTACTTTCCCATGCGGAAGAACTTCGTCAAGCAGATGCCATTGGTCGTATCAATCGATCCTTTTCTGATGCTGCAAAACTTAAGGCGTCAGACGAAGCTATATTTCTCGAGGCTAAAGAGTTGCTACAGTCGGAAGCCTCTGAAAATGATCGCTTACTAAGAAAATTTGGAAGTGATAGATGGACTCGTTTAGATTCTCGGACTGCATCTCCGAAATTATATAAACAAGTCGATGAAATTGAAGGTTATTTCAAAAGTGCAGCTAATAGTGATCAAGTCGTTGTGGTAAAATTCCGCGAGTATGAATCTATTCTCCAGATTCTTACTAGTTCGGATCGCGATATTGGAAATTTTGTCCCTAGCTCTCGACGAGTTAATATACCACCAAATCTTGAAGGGGAAGTATCGAAACTTAGGAATTCCCTGAACGAAATCTCAAGATTAGAAAGCAGAAGGAGGAGGAAAATCGAATCGTTAAGGGAAAAGGCAAAGAAAGATGATATTAATCATAGCATTTTGGCCGAAGCCGCTCGTCTGGAACGAGAATACCCTTCCACGCCTGTTGTCCCTGCACATTTTGAAGATTTCTTCGAGAAACGCTTCTCCCATAACTATGACGCAGATCTCGCGTCTATTAAATCCGAATCGGAGGAGCAAGAGAACCTCTTGCAACAATTACAAAAAGCGAATGCATCATTCATTAAAGCTAGAGCAGGAGACACAAGCACAAGGGAGAGAGAACAAGCATTACAGAAACTGGAAATGGCTTATTATAAGTATAAAGAAATAGTCAACAACGTGGACGGAGGACGAAAGTTCTACAACGATCTTGCGAAAATAGTTGGAAGGTTTAGAGATGGTTGTAAAGCATTTGTAGCAGAAAGGAGAGAGGAGAGTAGGAGAATGGAGGCGGATTTATCAATGCCGTTGGCGCCGATGAGTTCATTGAGTTTACATCATCCGCAACCAGTTGTACATCATGCGCCGCCACCTCCGCAACCACTTATCCCAGTTCAAATGCAAGGTCAAGGCCAGGAAGTACAAAGTCCGAGAAGAGAATTGAGTCCAATTCAGGCGCCAGTTCCACAAAGAGCGAGTTTACAGAGTACACCTGTTAATGTTGGAGGTGTGGGTGGCTTACCTGGAGTAGGAGGAATGCCTGGGGCATTTGGAGCTGGAACCTGGAATCCGGAGTTGGGGATTAAATTTGGAGGTGGAGGTGGCGGAGCGCAGAATTCGGAGGGGGCACCTGGATCTGGAGCTGGGCCTGGGCCAACACAGGCACAAACGCAATCGAAACAAACGACTTGGGATCCAAGTTCTGGCTTGAGATTTGGTTGATTGGGGAGTATATTTTTGGGAATAGGAGAAATAGTGGAAGATTAGGCTGGATATTCTTATGTGGGTGGAATTGCACGGGATAGGATGGATGGGATGTGATGGGATGAAATGAATGGGAAATATGTAACTATATGAAATCAGTGTAAAATCTATAACCCATTAGGAGGATACGCATACGTGCATACATATAAAATATGAATGAACGAAATGTGTATGATGGAATGGAATATAAGAATATGAGATGTAAGATTTTGAGTCGTGAGATTACAAGATTGAGATTGCGAATATAAAATATAACAATAAATAAACACACAAGTCAAAAACAAAAAATGTTGAAAGAAGAAAAAACAAGAGTTGAAGTTGAATTATAAGTTTCTACTTACTTATACCTATACCTATATTTATATACAATACAGATTTATATTTACACATTTACACATTCTCCAAACAATAAATAATAAACACATAATAAAAAATGAGAATTTAAGTATTAAGTATCTTATATAATCCTCCTCCTTTTACTTCTACCCCTACTAAAAATCTATATTGAAGAAAACAACAAACAAACGCTGTACTCGAGTACCTAGTATTCATCGATCGGATCAGATCATTTCTTCTTGATCCTTTATAATTTATTTTATTATTGTTAGATAATTATTATTCCTAATTTTCCATCCATTAATAATAATAGTAATAGTAGGAGGAGGTATTTATTGTATTTAGGTATGGATTGTATGGATTGCATGTAATCTTATCTCGAGGGGGATGAATCAAGTTTACGTGTACGTGTACGTGTACATGATACTGATACCAATACTACTACACTATCAAATGGAAATGTAAAAGTAAAAAGTACGTAATGTGATGTGATGTGATATAAAATAATACTTCAATTCCGCTTCGCTGGGTCGATCGATCGATTGATCAGCACAAACACACACTCTCCCTCTTCTCTATCCATTCATTATCCGCTTCTTTCAATCCACTCTCTTCAAACAAAAGTCAAGTAATAAACAAATGTCATAAGTCATATCCATCCATCCATCCGTCCATCCATCCATCCATCAATCCATCCATGATATAATATCCTATCCATCCCAAAGCAAGTGAACAAATGAACAAGTACCCCAAGCCATCAACTCCAAGTGCCCGTATCATGTTGATCAAAGAACCAACTCCGGAAATAGACAAAACGCCTAGAATCCTCATCCGTTTCTGTAAGGGTAATGAAGCCAAAGAACTCCTGCTGAAATGAACAACAAGGTATACACAGAGTCCGAATCCCCCAAAAAGAAAATCACCTCCTAACCTTAACCACAACTCAAACCTCATCTGAAGCTGCCCTCTCAATAACCTCGTACCAAATCCCATGGGCATCTTTATCCACCCGAGCCATCTTCCCCATAACTTCCACAATTCCTCCAATCTTCGCTACAAATTCTGGCATACCTAATCCTGCAATTCCTTCATTACCATTCCCATCATTTCTTGGATTTTCCTTTGCCAATCTATGAATAAGGTAACCTCTCAATCTAGTCATCAAGAGTTTCATAACCGGTTCACGTAATTCCTCATTAGAACTTGAAGCTGCAGCCGCAGCCACGATTCTCTTGACTAATTCGCGAATATGGTTTTTGGTAGCCATCGGCATACTCCTACTACTTTCCAATGCGGCTGTAATACCTTGTTCTGCTTGTTCTGATTCCTTTGAATTTTCAAGTACGGAATAAACTCTTGAAGCTTCAGTTTTCCATTGACTTCTCACATCTCGCTTGAGGATATTCTTGACCTGAAGCAGAATAGCTGAGGTAGTGACAATACGAAGCGTGTCTTTCCTAGCCGTTTCAATCCTTCCCATATCCAACTTTAATGTTTCTGGCACCGGGCTACCCGGCGCAGATGTGCATATGTCCGCTAGCATCTGAATATAGGTTTTCTCTGGCGTAGGTCTATTCCTCAACAAATTAACATTCTCAGGATCTCGACGAGCTGCTTCGGCATAGACTTTTTGACGAGCCTCCCGCCAGGCTGATGTGGTGATAGTAAGGTTATTATTGGTTTCTTCCATTTCTTCCGAGAAACGTTTAGTTTCATATGTGGAAGCATGTTTGATTAACTCAGGAGCTGATTGTTGAAGCATGAAATTGGCATAATCAAGCTGCATCAAATCAATGAATCGCATCAATGCTTGAAGACGATCGACAAAATCACCTTCTTTGAGAGTCGACTCAACAAGGATTTTGACCTCATCATCTCGGAAAGGGGCACATAAACGAGGAAGAATATTGCCCATGAAGTTGAAGAAAGTTTCATATGAAAATCTTCCATTCTTGAGTTCTGACGCTACCAGATCTGTATCAAGGGAATCTTCAATGAGTTTGTACATTGAATTTCCAGGAGTGAGAAGACGTTGAAGTTTTCCCTTGATATTATCCGCCATAGCAAGAACCCAAGGATCACTATTTCCAGCTGCAACTTCTTGTCTCATAGAATCAAAGATGAGTTGATTAACGGCACCTCGTTGTTGAAGACAATCTTCCATCGAAATGCGATATTCTTTATTGATAGCCAGTTCATGGACTAAGATTCGATTATCTGGAAGTATTGAATTGACCGATCTTAAATTATCCGCATCAGTACTTTGCCAACGGCGTTCCTTGACAGGTGTAGCAGGTGGCGTGAGAGTTTGTAAATGAGATGCAACGGCAGTATCAGAAGCATTAAAATCTTCAATAGCAGGAGATGCAGATCCTGTTTCTGCGGCACGAGGTTTTGAATCTCCAGTAGGTTGTTTTGTTTGTCTGACCTTCCTTGCTTCTCGGATCGCATTCGCAATTAATCGCTTCCCCTGAACAGGTCCAGCGAGCCTTTTTATTCTGACCATCAGCTTAAGTTGATTATCTCTGATCCCATCACGATATGAATCAGTTACAGATTCTTCCGTGCTATCTTTAACAGTTTGCCATATCGAATCCAATTCCACAAATTGTAAAACCATCATATCAATAAGGGTACTAGCATCTCTTGATTTCCAAGCAATAAAAGCATTGAAGAATGTTGCATAAACTTCCGACAGTGTTGATAGCTGAGCAGGAGGAGGGGTATAATTATTTGCTGTCGTCAATCTGGATAAAACGGTTTCAAAAGAAATAAGAAGATCTCGGGCTTTTGCAACGAGGTCCTGTAACTGTGGATTAGCCAAATCATCCCTTTTCATTGGTTGCGCTCCTACCTGTTCCTGTTCTCCTTTATCACCTTTACTACTCAAGACTTGGGTAGGGTGACCAAGGATAAGGAAAGCGCTGAGAAATGTTCGGACTGCTGTCATTTCATTGACGGATCCACTTTCTCCTTCTTTGAGTCCACAGATTCTCAAGATATGTGCTGTGCTGACCAGGACTTTCTCTTGTGCCAATAGATCAACCACTTTCTCGAATGAAGTCTCTCGCACTCCATCAATTGTGAGACCCAATTCCGCAAAATCATGTAGTGCTTTCCATCGTCTGTGAATTCTCCATCTAGTTTGGATTATTTTTGCTGCCGCTGACTCGTCAAGTGGTGCCTTCTTGACCTCCGCTACTAGACTTGGACTTGGACTCGGACTCGAGCTTTTTCTCATGCTGCTCAAACTTCTTGTTCGTTGTTTCGAGTTATTGTTCCGACTCAAGATTTCTTCTCTCCTCCTTTCAGCCTCGGCAAGCTTTTCCTCCATCTCCTTTCTTAGCTTTTTCCCCTCTAATTCCCTCCTTTCTTTCATCGTCTCGGCAATCCCCTTTGCCCGCTTAACTTCTTCCGCACAACTCGCCACAATCTCAGCTAAATTCTTTTCTCTCGCTTGTTGAGCTGCCAATGCTCTTTCTTCTGTATTGGTAGTACTTCTAGGGGCTGCCTTGGCCAATGCAGCCCTCAATCTAACCTTCTCCGCATGCGCAGCTCTATCAGCTAACCTAGCCTTTCGATCCTCGAGTATACTAGCTCTGCGTAGATGCTGAGCAATGTAGTTACTCTGCGAGCCAGCCATAGCGGCATGCCCCGCATGACGACTTGAGCCATGTGAATGAACTGAAGATATAGAATTTCGTCTCGAAGATGCAGCCGAGGATTTACGTCGATTATTGGTGGGGCGATAGAATCTCGCTGCGAGACGGGGTGGTGGAGTATGGACTCGATTCGAAGGGGAATCCTCTCTCTCGGATATGAGATCGAGGTCTGCGGGATCTTCTGGCATACCGGTTGATTCCATAATGTTACGATCGGGATCGCTCATGTCTTGGGATGCGCGACGCATTGTTTACGTGTAAGGTTGGGGTATTTGTGTGGGGCGGTGGGTTTCTCGAAGATGAAGTTGAGAGTGTTCGCAGGTTGCAGATGCTGGTAATTGCTAGTAGTCGCTGGTAGTCGCTGGTAATCGCTACTTGTCTATAAATATAATATGATTTGATTCAGAAATGATCGTTTCTCTGTCTGTCAAGTGAATCTTGTGATTGACTCTGAACAAATGGTTTCCATTCAAAAGCCCCAAGGAAATAGGATATAACTGCAGCAAAGAGGAGATTGTACAGTAATCTTCGTACCCGCTTCCCAAAGATTGAGGATAATGTAATGTAATGTAATGCAATGCAATGTAAGATAAGTTAGAATGAGGAATTCACCTGGGTGAAGTTGTACAATGAATGAATGGATTTCAAGTAAGCTTCTGATGAAGGATTGAAGGTAGGTAATTGAGGAGGTTGGATTGAAAAGTCGAACGAATGCATCAAGTATGAGGTTGATTTACTTTCATTGAAATCATGAATGGGTATTGTATGGATGGTATGGTTTGTAAGGGTTTAGATGAGAAATCAAGTTCAAACATTACAAAGTTGAAGAATGAAAACATCACCAGGGAAGTGAGTTTCTCGTCTCGGTAGGATTTTGGGGCTTTGCGCTTAGGCTTGGCTGGAAACGACGAATACCAAGGTAATAAATAGGTATGGATGGGCTATTTATTATTATTATGCTTACTGATGCTGAATGAATGCTATTTGCTTATTGATGGGGGAAAGGAAAGAATCATATGGAAGAGAGGAGAGATTAATTAGCATTAACTTCAATCATCAATTTAACATGTACAATTAATTCAGTATAAATCATATATATATACAATACAAAACAATACACCCAAATGTTCGAGTATTTCCTATTTCATTGTATCTCTCCAAATTACACCACCATCATCATCATCATCATCATCATCATCATCATCATCATCATCATCATCATTCCTTTATCTCTCGACTCCGTCCTCCCACGATTCTACACCTTCCTAACGCATTATGCGCATATTGTATGCATGCGACAGAATGTCTTACTCTCCAAACAGAATACCCACCGACACAATAAACACATACCCCGAGTTCCAGCTCATCAATTAATTTGGACGACTAAGCAAAGAGCGCGGAGAGCGAGGATGAGCCATTTCGTCATCAAGCACCAAATATTCGACACAGACAGAGTTACCCGGGTACACAAATTTAGATGCTCAAGATTAAATAAGATGTCAAACAAAGTTGATCATCCGAGGTATTTAATTTTACATGCTAAAACTAGTATTTGATTTCCGAAATTTATTTCATGTCAACTTGTTCGAGAGTTCTCGATATTTGATCTCGGGGTATATACCAAGAAGAGATTTATTTTGATATTCAATGCGACTGTAATTAATTGTTTGTCTCATTTAATTTTGGTTTGGTGGTTATCATTTGGGGAAAGCTTAAGATAGCTGAAGGAGTACGACGATGATTACGAATTCAAGGACGCGAATGAGACTGTTAGTACAATGTTCTTGAGATCAAGGTCAACATCAAGATGGTGGTGATATAATAATTACTTTGAATCAAGGATTCTAGATTCCATCTCCAAATCCATCAGTACCGTAATACAATTTTTGGAAAGATATCAACATCTCGTCTATTCATTCCAGTTCCCCTCTAATCCCTTCGTACATGTGTCGCGAATTTATTCGTTGTAATCACAGATAAACCGCTTTACATTAATTCATCCAGTACTAGAGTCCCGTGGAGTAAGAGCATTAAATCATAAAACATAGCATTGTGAATTGGTTTCAAGCTATTCACAAGAACACAACATTGTGTTGGCGAGTAAGCTTGCACTGTCTTTTCTGGCTTTCATTCCTTACAGTACATCACATCAAGAAGAAAGAGCACATGGCATACAAGAATACATTCATCAGTTTGTAAATTCGCCGTTCTCAATCCTAAAAGACATCATATACATGAACTCCCTACTTGTTGGACATAACCTGATGCCCAAAAATGTACAAGCAAGCAAAATACTCGGTAAAACACAAAAAAACGCATACATAAAAACTCTCAAAAGTAATGCACAAGAAAGTATTTGGTTTTTTGGTCTTCATTGATATCAATCCCTTACATCAATCCCCAAACTTCTAATTGTCTGATCTCCTCGTCCCCTTCATAATATTTTGCAAAATCGGCAATGTACAAGTAACAAAAGAAACATCCACCTTAGCATCTTCTCATACCCAATCACTTACTTCGCTGTCAAGAAGTAGTTCATCAAGTCGAGTTCAAGAATATACAAAATTCATCCTTCAAGGGAGAATTTAGTAACCAGTTGGCTTGGCGCCAGTTGGTCTAGCCTTGCTGGTCAAGAAACCAGAAGATGCGCATCTGGACTTCTTGGTGGAAGTGATAGCAGTTCCGTTACCGTAGTGAGGAATGGAAGAGATAGCGGCGGTGGTGGCTGGAATTGGGACAACGGTGGCAGTGCTAACGATGACGGAGGCATCGGTAGAAACAGCTGCGCCCGCAGAGGTAGCGACAACAGCGGTTTGAATACCGGAGATGGCATCAGTGGCAGCGCAGTCAGCGGTCTAGATGTGTTTGTTAGAATAAGTTGTTTGAAAGAGGGAGATAAATTAAAGACTTACAACAGTGACGGTTTGAGCGGCGACTGTGACGGTTTGAGCAGCAACTGTTACGGTTTGAGCGGCAACAGTGGCGGTGACTGTGACGGTGGAGGCCTCTGCAGGAGCACAGGTCTCAACTCCGGAAGAACCAGATGATGCAACTGGTAAACCGGCGCTTGGGACTGAAGGACCGCTTGGGGAAGATCCAGCAGGGGCAGATGGAGAGCCACCTGATACAACGGCGGAGACACCAGAGAGACTAGTGGCAGCGGATCCAGATGGGGAAATAGCTGAAACGGTGACGTAGTGAGTAGAGGTGGAGGTACCGTAGATGGTGGTGGTTTGGGAAGTGGTAGAGTCAGCAGAAGAAACGACACCAGCGTTGGAAGAAACGGCAGGGGTTTGAGCAGCACCAGGAACGGTTTGAGATGGGGTAACGGTCAAGTAGATGGTAGAGGCGGAAGTCTCGATAATGGTGGTGGTGACAACGGTGGTAGATGAACCGGAACCGAGAGTGTAGGTCAAAGTGTGGCTTGAACTACCGGTAACAACGCGAGCAGAGGAAACGACACCAGTTCCGAGAGGAGCAGAGATGGAGTATGGGGAGGATCCAGTTGGTGCGGCAACACCGGAGGAAGCTGGAGTGGTCTCAATACCTGCTGCGCTGGAAACGCCAGCTGGTGCAGATGGGACAGCACCACTTGTGAGAGCGGATGGAAGTGCACTAGAACCTAGAGCAATTGTAGTGGTAGTCGCACCATAGAAAGAACCGGAGCTGGCTGCCTTGGCGATCTCAGATGAAAGAGATGCAAGAGCAGATGTCAAGTGCTTGCTGGTGATAGCAGAACTGGCAGATGCAGCCTCGGTGACTGGGCAGATGGTGGTTGCCAAAGTGATGGTATCAGTAACAATAACCTCGGATGGGGTAGCTGCACCGGAAGCGTAGGAGCTTGCACGAGCTGGGCAGTTGGTGATGGATGCAGCACATGAGGTGATGGTTCGGACGGTGGTCGCGTAAACGGTCATGGTGGTTTGAGGAGCGAGGCTAGTGGTGGCCGCGATGGTACCGTTGGTAATACGCTTCGGGTGGTAATGACCTTCATGAGCTGAAGCGGCGGCGAATCCGGCCATCAGGGCCAAGGAGAGAGTGGTGAATTGCATGATGATTGATATCGAAGGATGATTGTCTGTTCTAGATTCTTCGTAAATGAATGTTCCTTCCTCTGCGATATATTCCCCAAATAATCAATGCTCCTCCGATTCCAGAAGATATCCAAAGAAAAATTGTTATATACCCAAAAGTGCTTGTTTTTTGCTTTTAAAATGTGTAAGTAATCTGTCGCTTTCGCAAAGAGTGTATGTTCTCGAGTTAAAGAGTGACTGTAGAGTTGGAAATAAACGAAAGAAACTCTTTTGTGCAAAAGGGACTTGGTAATGACTGTGTAGTAGTGATCAAGGAAGATCTTGTGAAGAGAAAAGGAGGGTGGAGGAATCTTTTAAAGAAAGATGAGAAGGGATTCACTATAGGAGATGAAAGGAAATTGAATGGAAACGGGGGGTGGACACGGAAAAAAGAGTGGGAACCCTGACAGTGGGATGGGATTATTTTGAAAATAAGAATTATAAGCATGGATGAGGGGGTAATGGAAGTTTTTTCAGAAAAAAATAAATGTTATTGTTAGGATCTAATAGGTAGGGCTCGTATGGCACCATTGCATGTATGGTATGGAGTATGGTTATTTTGTGGGTGGGTAGGTGAGGAAGGGTTTACTAGGTATGTATTTTTTTATTTTACTCGCTTTGCTGCACCTATCTATGCATCGCATGGCTTTTCGCGGTTCAAAACCCACATGGGTCTATGCAGGTACAAGTCTTTTAGAGGATCTCACCGCAAATAAAGCCCTGTACCTTGGAAAAAGCTTGGGGATCTCTGAATGATAAGAGGCTATGTTACCTTTTCAGGGGTTGGTGATACGAAGTTTGCACGAATGGAAATTGCTTTTCTCCCGCTTTGTGTTGTGCTCTTCCAATCAGAGTGGTGATAGGGGGGAGGACTAGCGGGTATTGTGATTATAATCGAGTTTGTTCATTATGATGGAATTTATATTGTTACCTACCTACCTCCTCCCCAAAGAATATATATGAGTGAATGAATGAGTGAATGACTGAAAGAGGATATTTGAAGCATAAAATGTTAATAGGCTCTGTATAAAATGATGAGATGATTAGATCCATTTTTATCACAATTCTTAGACGTTTGAATGGTCGGATAAGTCGGTCCAAGCAAGCAGAGAGAAATTGAAGGGAATGAATATTCGTTTCAAAGGATTCGGTTGGCTTGCTCAATTGATGATATTAATCATGTTAGTGAAACCACACATACCATTTTCATACAAACAACCTCACAAATAGAGACTAGATTATTTATCTCCTAGGCAGTAATTATAGATAAGTAGGTAGGTAAAGAAAAGATCAATGGAAATATGACTTGTAAAAAAAATTCAAAGCTTCTAATGCCATCATAGATCATTGCTTCTCCTTATTTGCATGAATTGAGCTTTTGGGATGATATTCAGATAGATAGATTCATTCATCTATCTAGTATGAACTACTCGATATTCGATTACGACATTTGTTTGAGCCTCCTCATCTACCTAGGTATTTACTGTTTCTTCTTTGTGAAATCGAACCTGGTGGAATGATCTATGAATCCAATACATAAATTGTGGATAATTCAATTTATATATGCGCGCAATTATGTATCATCTGCATCTAGGACCTGGGCACGAGAAGGAAGCTCATATCATCAATCAATCAATGAATGAATGAACCAACCAACCAACCACGTATTTCCCCAGCAGATTGATCGAATTGGTAAAATGTATTGTATGCATACGTGTATGTGGTGTTGACGACTTACATCTTCATTTACATACCTATTCAATTTACACGTTCAACAGAATCGGAAATTAAACATCTATTGAATTGGACGAAAGAAATCACACAGATGATTGAATAGGAAACTCAGAATGAGATTATCTAAGGTTACCTACCTTATCATTCACTCTTCTGTGCGATATGCGATGTGCTTGTGCTTTTAGTCATGATTCACGATTGACTGGACGAGGCAAATGATAGCCAAGCGGGCCAAGCTTTGCTGTCCGACCTCTAATTTTAATTGACCGTCTTTATTCTATCAAACTTCCTTTTCAGCATGCTTTCCCCAGTTTGACTTCTGTGCAGTGTGCAGTACTTCTAAGCCTTTCTTCCTTCTATCATCTATGACTGGAAAACATGGTCTAAACGTTAAATGATTGATACTACACTCAGTAGCTTGTCACATACCACGCGATTCAAGCCCCTTCATCGGCCGCTTCCACTACCGATTTGACCGGACTCCTTTTCTCACGACACACCCGAAGCTTCAAATGGAATTAATGACATCGTTTCTAAATCGTCCGTACATATTTGAGGCGCAGTTGTTTGAAAATGGCCATTTCGGCATCATGCATCATTCATCTCATAAAGTTTTAAGTAACCTTTAAGGTAAAGCCAAAATCTAATCTCAAATCTTATATCTTATATCATCTATATAAAAAGTCCGGTGAGAGAGAGGATCACAGCATCTGTATCTAGTACCTATCTACATTATCATCTTGATCCTTTGAATCTTCTTCTTCCTCATCATCCCCAAAAACCACTAACCAGTAACTTAACTTAAACGCCTAACTAAACGGTCGACTCAGGAAAATCCTCATCATCCAATCTCATCCCCACAACCCAGCAAGCACAAGCACAGCTGTTCACAAAAAGCTATGGCGCATCGCACAACAAATTCATGAAACTCTGCCTGCATAAAAGATAATCTTTAATCTTATGTTCGCCAGGAACCCTAGCTTTTCGCCTTGCACAAATAAATTTCACTGTTCCTCCCCTACCCCTGAAACACAAACGCCTATCAAACGCTCCAGACTGGTAATCCGCAAGAAAAACAGACAAGCAAGCAATGAAATGTCCCAAAGTCATACGGAGTAGATTCATCATAACAAGATGGGGGTTCTAGATTTTTAAACGCCCAGCTAACTATCCTTACGCGCTCTCCACTTTCTTCTCCAATAATTGGAGGTTTGAGATTGAGCTAAACTGTAATTTTATCTCTTGAATAGATGGATGGATATAGATGGGATTCGGCCTTTTCATGTCTCGGATGACTACCGGTAGGTACAGTACTATGGTACTGTAGTAGTATTTCATTCCTCTTCATAACTTTTCTCATTATCCGATCCATTTTAAATCCTTATCAAAAGCCTATTGTTAATAAGATATCCAAGGTATATATCACTCCAATCCCAGGTTGGCCATCGGCATACACCCTCTTTCTGCTCTCGATAAAATCCACCCACATACCTGACTAATCCCTACCGAGATCTCGTGTATGTCAAGTTCATTACCCATGTTATACTCCATAGCCAAACGTTCCGAAGCATAAGTTAGGTCAGGAAGTGATACAAGTTTCATCTTAACTTTTATGAAGTTTTGAAGATTATGGGAATTGAATGCAACGAGATAGATAGATATTAGATATTAGATATCTACTAGATCTCTCTATCTACCTACCTAGGTAGCCATTATTAGAATAAATTGTCTCTCATTGCTGAATGAGATCTCGAATTGATATGATTTAATTTTTCGATAGACTGGGAAAGCAAGTTCATTCATTTCAAAAAACAATAACCTTATCAAGATCAATCAATAATTATAAGGCGGGATGAAATGAGAAGTTGAAAGCGCTAAGATAAGTATCAATCAATCAATGCTTATATCATCTTATTCATTTCGCTTCTTTTTATTTTATTTTTTTCTAGCGCTCAAGTACTCAGTATACAGATCAAAATCCAGGTAGACTACATAGATAGAGACGAAGAAAATATTATACGATATAGATTAAGATTGATTTGATTTTATTCGGGCAGTGAAACTATCCCGATCAATATAATAATCTCTTTACAGAGTACGGAGTACTCACTCACATTATCAAAAACCTGCAAACCTATTTAATATCTAATCTTCCAACAAAATAAATTTTCTATTTCCAGAATAAGCTCGAGAGGCTCAAAAAGCCCCTGTTGTAGGGGTGGAGAGGGGGCTCAATTGCAGTAATTGTATCTATATTTAAGTATCGCTACCTGATTTTTCTGCTCGTGCTGCGACATAGTATGTACATACAAAAGTATATTAAGTAAGACGTATCCACTTGATTGTGTTGTCGTATTATAATAGTATCTATCTGTGTCTGTTGAAAGTGGAGATCTAGCTCAAGCCTCACTCATGCTTCTTGACCGCATGAGTAGGTAAGCTTGCAGTTGAGGGAATACGATGTGTACTGACTAGATACATCAAAGCGAATATTTTATCAAGAAGACTTGATATAGAGAGTTTCTCGGTATAAAATTGTCGATATCGATATCTATAAGATTTTTATCAAAGATATGTATTAAATATATCCTAGCCTTGAATTTTCTTTTCTTAAAAAGGACTTGGGATATAACTCGATATATGTTAATTAACACTAACCTTAACTAAGTCTTAGATATAGATATAATGGAGGCGGTATAACAGTAATCAGATTTTACTATACTATACCATACTATACTATAGCTAGATAGACAGACAGATAGTGAGTATACGATTTAGATTTATCAACATGAATATCAATACGAATATGTCGCAGATGCATATACATGTACATGTATGTATCTTCTTCGTATTTGAATTTGGGAGCTTGGAGGCGGGGTTGGTGGGTGGGTGGGGGAAAGAGGGAGGGGGATTACAAAGTTATGAGGGATTTCCTTTGATGGGGGATTGTAAACTTATGGGGAATTTCCCTTTGACGAGGAATCATAAATTAATGGGCGATTTCCCTTTTGATGAGGGATCGAGTGACTCCTATGGATGGATGGATGGAACTCGAATGAACATTTTGATACGAGAAACTTCTGAATACGAGGATTAGATGCATATGGGGTCAATATCAGTTAAGCTTCATGTATACTGATAGCATCTGTATCGCATCTGATTTTTGTGGGGATTCATCGTGGAGATGAATGGTTGGCGACGATAATGAATCGTGATATTGGGGCTCGCATAGAGATAGGTTCCAAGAAGGACTTCCGCATGAGTGCAGAAATGATGCCGAAGTTACGGTTATGGTTTTGTTGTTTCATTTGGTGAGTGGGAGACCGATAGCTAGGGTATTGTATTGCTGCATTGATTGATTGATTGATTTTATTAACGTCCATCTTCAGTCCAAGACTATATAGGACGGCTAGGCCCTAAGGGCCTAACGGGTAACTTTTTAGTTTACAATATTGGATATGATCTAATTGGGGAAGTGAAAACAAATGCTGGGGAACAATGCCCGCTCATTATACGCATTGCATATAATAAAAAGATTTTGAAAATCAAGAAATTGTAAGGAGGTCAAACCCCTCTCTTATTTCCTCAATTGCTTCTTCTTCATTCTCTTCTCCTCTCTCCTCTTCCACTACTACTCCTTCCTCTATTACTTCTTGTTCAAGAGTCCTTGCTAGATGCCATGCCCTTGTAGCGATTTTAGTGATATTGATAAATTTGATAGCTAATTCGATACCTATTTTTGTATGTAATAGGAATTGTATAGTGTTTTTGGATAATGGTATCTTCTTAAAGATCTCTTTTCTTTTTGTTTTATATATAGGACAGCTAATAAGGAGGTGTTGTGATGCCTCAATATTATTGCATATACATTTGTTATTGGTGAGTTTGAAATGATGTAAGTAGGATTTGATATATCCGTGACCTAATTTGAGTTGAAAGAATGCGCTAGCAGTATTTCGAGTAGTTCCGCTTGGTAGCTTGATTTTGGAACCTATTTTCCATGGAAATAGCTTCGAGTAAGTTGATGGGGATTGGTTTGATCTGAGTTCGTATTGTTTGAGAGTATCAAGCCATTGATCTGAGGCATATTCTTTGACAATCATACCTAGTAGTCCAAAGCTTGTTTCGTTCGAGGTAGGTTGTATTGTGGTTGCTTCCTTAGCTAGCTTATCTGCTAGCTCATTTCCTTCAACTGAGGTATGACCAGGAACCCAATTTAAGGAGATTTCGGCTCCTTTTGCTCTGATAACTTCTGCTGCTTTGATCGCTCTTATCTGATTGGCTTGTCCTGGGTGATCTGAAGGAGTTTTTAAGCGGTATAAACCAGCTTGATTATCCGAGTAGATTTTGAACTTTTGACCAGTATAAGCGATTGAGCTAGCGTATTCAATAGCTCTTGTAACTCCAAAAAGTTCTTTATTATATACCAATTGATTAGTATCAATATTGCTTCGCTCTTGATATAGAATTCGATTATTTGATTGTATAGCTACTATACCTACTTCAATACCTATTCCCTTTTCGGTGGAGGAGGCATCAGTGTAAATATAGGTGGTATCTTTATCCCTATGTTTGAAAACAATATTATGAAGAATAGCAGCATCTTCTTTTGACGAATTGCTAATGTTAACTCGGAAGGGGGTTTCTCTTTTCCATGGGGGGAAGTTAAAATGAATGATCTTTTCGAGTGAGGAAGGGTTGAAGTCCTGGTTTATCGATTCTTTGATTTTATCTAGTTGAGTAGGTTTATATCGTTTTCTTCGAGGGGTAGAGATCGCATCCAAATTGGCTTGATATTGGATTAGTGATGCTTTTTCGATATTGATTGGATGATTTGGTGAAAGTTTAGCTAAACGGAATGCGTATTGCCTAATATTCGAGTCTAATCGAATTTTTGAGGGTTTTAAGCCTGCTTCTACTTCCATTGGAGGAATTGGAGCAGTTTTGAATACTCCTAATATCTTTCGAAGAGCTAGATTTTGAAGTGATTGCATCATATCCTTGAAATGGGCTTGGCCTCTCCACCAAATCACTGATGCGTAATCGGCTATACTGGTCACACATGCTATATATAATTGTCTAAGAGCTTTCGGACTGAGGCCCTTTTCGATATTAGCTAATCGGGCCATTCGATGGAAGGCTCCTTTTGCTTGTGTGATTCGAATATTAACATGTTGATTGAATTTGAGGCTTGGGTCGAACCATATTCCCAACCATCTAATTAGAGATTGAGGTATAATTATTTCCGAATTGGGTAGTTTGATTGGGTAGTTTTTCGTCAATTTGGATGATGAAAAGTGCATTAGCTCTGTTTTTGCTAGGTCGAATTGAATAGCATTCTTTGAGCTGAGTTCGTAGATTTGTTTTGTAGCTCTCTCTAGAGATTTGATATTCTTTTTCCATGTAGATGAATTGGTGATTAGGGCAATATCATCAATATAGGAAAGAAATTTGATCGAATTGGATAAAAAGAGGTCCCTAATGTATATAAGGAAGAGAATTGGAGAAATTGGATTGCCTTGTGGTATTCCGGTCGAAATTGGCTTGAAAGATTCGATTTGGTTATTAAAGGATAGTTTTAGTTGTCTTTGTTGAAGAAATGAAGCTATCCAGGAGATGAGATTCGTCGGTAGTCTTAACTTCCTGCAGATATCCAGTAGTCGATTTTTTGAAACGTGATCGAATGCTCCCTTTATATCCATAAATAATATTGAGGTCTTCTTGTTAGCTTGCTTGTTTCTTTCGATTTCTGTTGTTAATAGAAGTGCAGCATCGATTGCTGATTTCTTTTGGCGGCCTCCTATTTGATTCTTGTGTAGAAGGTGGGTAGTTTCCGCTAAATATCCTAATCGTTGAGTTAGAATCCTTTCACTAATTTTTCCTAGATAGTTTAAGAGTGCAATCACTCTATATGCTTTTGGAAGTGAGTAATCAGGTTTTGAGGCTTTCTTTAGAATAGCTCCAGTAGCTTGTTTCCAGCATTTAGGGTGATATCCGAGATTGAGGAGTTTGCTGAAAAGAGTAAAAAAGATCTGTGGGATTGCTTTGTAGGCCTTTGTAATGATTTCTTGAGTGATCCCATCTGGACCAGGGGTCTTTCCTTGTATCTTAGCTGAGCAGGCATTACTTAATTCGATTTGAGAGAGATTGGGCTATTTCCATTTCTTGGATTGTTTATACCCTACCCATTGTGGTTTTAGAGTAGTAGGAGGGGGAGGGAATAAAGTCGATCTGAAAGCAGAGCATTTTCCTTCAAAAGAGCTTTCTGATGAAATATCCGGTATCCTTTGATCTTGGAAGTCTTTGGTATAGGTCATTGCTTTGAAAACTGTCTGTGTATCCTCCTTTTCTAGGAAATCATTCCAATGATCCTTTTTTGCTGTTTTAATAGCTTGAAAGTATTTGTTTCTAGCAATTCGATATTCTTCCTTAAGATTAGGGTTCTCTCGATTTGATTCGATTGATTGCTTTGCTTTTCCTAGATCTTTTCGAAGATTTTTCAACTCGGGTGACCACCATGGTTTAGCTCTTTTGATTGAAACAACTTTGGGTATACACCTTTCTGTTGCTTTTTGGATAATCCTTGTAAGTTCGCTTGCTGCTTGATCTAGAATTGAATGGGAATTGTCTCTTTCTTTCAAGAAGTTTAGTGAGTCCTCTTCCGTAGAAGTTATTGAGTCTAAAATAGAAAAAATAGGGGAATACAGGGATTCCAATTTTAGTATTGATTCAAAATTTTCCCAGTTGGCTAGCTTTGTATTGAATCTAGTTGTTGATTCTGAATTGAGGGCGTTTAAGTCTTCTTTTCCTTTCAGTTCGAATAGTATTCCTGCATGGTCGGATCCTATATCTGAAAGGGTTTGCCAGTTGTGAATTTGGGGAGAGATTCCTTCTGACGCTAGTGTTAGATCAAGGACACTTGGATTAAGGAGATTAGTTCGATAGAAAGTGCTGATTCCGGGCTCGTTTAGAAGAATGAGATTCTGATCTTCAAACCATTCTGCTAATTGATCAGCGTTTCCGCTTTTCTTTGAAAAAGGGTCCCACCATAGGTGGTGGGCATTGAAGTCGCCAAGGAGGATAGTTTCTTGTGTGATAGATATATCATATAAACATCTTTCAATTGTGAAACCTTTCTCTTTAGCTTGATCAGCCTTGTTGTATATATTGATAATTTGAAAGGTTTTATCTCCATTTTGACAATTAAAGATTTGTATATCAGGATCTATTGGGGAAACGGGAGCTAGGTTGATTGTAGCTTGAAGAGTTTTTGAAGTGTATAGTAATGTACGAGGTCGAAAGTTAGAATCGAATCTTGGTAGTGTTTGTATGAAATTAGAGTGTATAATAGATCTTGAATTTGAGTAATCGATTCCATTTTTGATAATCCAAGGTTCTTGAATCATAATAAGATCGATATTGAGTTCTATTGCAAGCTGTAGAACGTTCTCTGTAGCTTGTAAGCTCTTATTAAGATTTATTTGAAGAATTCGAATATTAGTGTAACTCATAAGTTGGTGTTATTTGCTTTTTGTTGGATTGCTTGATAGATTTCGCAGGTTCTTGAATTTGCTGTATGCTTTCCTTGGCAGTTCGAGCATTTAGCAGCGAGATGTTGGCAGAACTTTCCTCTGATATTGCAGACTACACATAGATGTACTGATGTGATATGTTTGCCTCCACATAGTCCACAAGAGGGATCCCTTCTGCAATGTGTATCCTGATGTCCGAATCCTTGGCATTTTTGGCATTGTGTAGTTGGTTTGGATTCGTAGAACTTTTCTACTCTTGTACTAGTGCCAGCGATATATAGTCGTTTCCGAATGGCTAGCTCTGCTTCTGATTTTGTTGCAAAAGCAATCACTATTGCTCCTTCCCGTTGATGAGCTCTTTTTGATGATGGTGTAAGCCAAAAAGGGGTTCCTATGGGCTTGAATTCTGGATTGAAGGTTTTGATTTCCTCAAGAATGAGGTCCATTCCTCTTGTTCCAGAAAATTCTTTTATAGGGATTTTATGAATAATGACTTTATGCCATTCTTGATCCTTTTGAATTCTTTCGAATTTGATGAGATTACTCCAGATTGCCTTTTTTTCTAATAGAAGTTGTGTTGGGTTTCTTGAGACTAGAAAGAGCATCAGATTGAATTGATTGATTCTCTAGCTAAGCAGTTAAGCTGCGAGTATATATTCAAAAAATGAAGGAATAGGTTAGGTATTCGGCCTTCGGAATTAAAGTGCTTTGAAATCAAAATATTGAAAGCAAACAAACAGTATACCAAAAAGGAAAGAATCAATTAAAAGTTGAGTTTTGTTTGCTCCTTATATGCATCATGCAATATACATGCATATGCTGCCAAGATCCCAGGAGGTCAACATTTTGTCTTCCTCATATCCTGCACGTCGTAGTGTTACGAGGGTTGCCGTCTAGATCACGTGGAAGTGCTCTAGGCTCTCGAAGTAGGTTTATAACTAGGCGTCAAGCAGGGACTTAAGTAATGACAATAATGATATGCAATTCGTAACTAATAGTAGAGTATACTAAATGATTGATCTTGAGCACGAAGCTCTATACAAAGGAAATCCATCTTGATTATATAGACCTTCGTGTTCTAGCTGATCAGTAGGATCAGTATGGCTCAGTACTGAGCTTGCTGATCCTCACTGAGTCAGTCACATGATATTGGTAACACGTGAGCGTCTTCTTGTTACCCGGCGTAACAACCTAGTACTTGTCCGGATCTGATCCTCAGGTGTTACGAGGTTTGCCGTCTAGATCACGTGGAAGTGCTCTAGGCTCTCGAGGTGGTTTATAACTAGGCGTCAAGCAGGGACTTAAAGTAATGACAATAATGCAATTCGTAACTAATAGTAGAGTATACTAAATGATTGATCTTGAGCACGAAGCTCTATACAAAGGAAATCCATCTTGATTATATAGACCATCGTGGCATGCGTCCCAGTGCTCCCAGTTGTCCCAGTACAACTGGGACAGCTGAGCCTACTGGGATCCTCATATCACATGATGCTAATCACGTGATGTTAGGTATGTGAGATCCGTCGTAACATCAGGTCACCTAAATCGTATACTAATCTCGAGTAATCGTATCATGTGTGGACATGGTTAATGTACCTGAGGTTTCTTATATAATAAGAGTGGGAGGAAAGCAGGGATTTCCGTCACAATTTTCAAATTTAAAATCTTATATAAATTGAAAATTGTAATTTCAATTATTTATATTTCAATTAAAAAATTGAAAAAAATCTAAGAGTTTTAGAATTTATTAATATTTATATAAAAAATCTGTAATTTAAATTCTATCAAACTTTATTTATTAATTATAAGATTATTAACAAATAAAAATCACAATTTTTGATGTAAAAGGGTAGCTGAAAAGAAGGAGTGGCTGAAAAGAGAAGTATTAGACTTAATATATCTATTCGAACATATCTCTCATCGCTTAAACGTAAACGTACTTCGTGAAGAAATTATGTGTAATGCCGATGATACTTGACATCCCAAGGTAAACCAATCAACTCAACTCTAAGAAAGCAAAGGAACAGCCGATATCTGGAATTAGTCAACCAGGATGTGTAACGATTGAGGAAAACTGAGGAGTTGGGATGTAGTTAATTCAGCTTGCTTCCGAGCTATCAATAGAAGTACTCCTAATTTCCCCACTAACCTGTTTAACGTTACAAATTTCGTCCGGATGAAATGGAATTGTTCTTTTCTAATACCTTGACTGAGAAGGATATAAGATTACATACACTGTGCAAATGTTATGATTATTTGATGGGAGGGATTAGTACTATTGTAGATGGGATAATAGGTAGTCAAAACATAAATTAGACTAACCTGACTCATTGCCGGTATGATTTGATAACCCACGATTAACATTTGGTTACTGTGGCTGAAAAAGATTTAAAGTCAAGGTTAAATAAGACGGTAACTAAAAACTCCTCAACTCCCCCGGCAATAATGTCTGAACATTTAAATTTTGTTGCACAATTTAATTCAAAGCAAAACATATTATTCAAAATCCCCTAGATTATTTCAACATATTTATACGCCTACTACATCCTCAAAACCCCCCTACTCTCTATCATTTGGGTAAAAAACCAACGCCCTAACCTCAATACTCTCCCTCTTCTCCTCCCCTTCATGCTCCGGATTCACAAACGCACTATGCGGAACGCGTCTCGCTCTCCCATCCGTCTTACTATCAAAACATTTAATCAACAGTACCTCCGCAGGCGTCTGCTTATACAAATAATGCCACTTATGACCAGGATCATAGCGAACACCATAGGTCTCTCCTTCGCGATCGGGATAGATCAATTTGATAGGAACGAGATCTTTATCGTCGACTGAATTGGCAGCTGCTACTCCAAGAGGATCTTTCAGGATGGTTTTGATAGGTCGCCAGACATTGATGATTTGGAATCGTCCTTTGAGGAGTTCGTTGGCTTCGTCGGGGAGATGGTAGGATACGCGGTTGGCGCTGGCAATGTAGCTTTGATCAATGTGGACGCGTTGAACGGGGCCGCGTTGCACGACAACGGGAGAGGTGTTTTCTTTGTCTGTAGCTGTTGAGGTAGTACTAGGTGCTGGGTCTGTACCGTTGAGAGATTGGCGACGGATCGTATGATCGAAGATGAAGATTTTAGAGGCTCCGGTTCTAGTTCCTTGTAAGTGATTTATCCTTCACTGAATGAGACTCATGCTGGACTACTTACTCTCTTTTCAACAGTTCTTCTGTCTCTTTATAATAATCACTCTTGATCTTTTCCTCGTCCACAAAATCCTTCTCCAGACTAACATGATTCACAATCTGGAAACCAGAAGTATCCAACGTATGTTGGTCTTCCGAACCACGGATGTCGTGGATAGTAACTTTGACGGAATGTACAGGACGCTCGTATGTGCTAGGTTTGGCTACGATGTTGGGTGCGGGTGGACTACCATCTTCTGAGTCGAGGTGATAGTTCATGATTCCTTCCACATCGTGGGGTGTGGTAGGGTCGGTATTGAGCTTGGTGATGTGCTCAGAGGAAGCTTGTTGAGTGATTGTTGTGGACATTTTGACAATGATTTGTGTTTGAGTCTGTATTTTCGTCTGTATTTTCGTCTGTATTTCCAATATAGTTTTAAGAGATAAAGTTTAACTGTATGATGGAAGTTCTTGTTCTTGATCTTATTCTTTTGAAATTTCAACCACAAATCTAGGAACTTACAAGTATATATAAATATATTTTCCCATCAACATCATCCACTGCCACTGGGGTGCCAGATGCCAAGTGCATGAACATGTTTATCAATCAAAGTATGATTTTTAAGCAATTGATATCTAATACAATACTTAACATTCTCATTTGAAGCACTCTTCACCCCGCACTGCTATGCATATTCATCGGCATGGTGCCATTTCCATGTTTCAGTAAGACTTATAAATTTGTGGGGGTGAAAAAGCAACCAATCACCCATCGGCATCGGCATCGGCAGAAGAGAACTCGGAATCAAAAATGCTTCCTTCTTCCTCAAACTCAATTTAAAATCCTCAAATTCTCAAAGAAAATTCATAATGTAATAACATTATTTATTTTGATTTCAAAGCTCGCAAAGAGATTGATGAGAATTAGGATTAGCCAGCTTGTATCATTTCTCAAGAATCCAAAATGTCCGCAGTTTTCCGTCCAATCACGAGGTGTTAGGTCGTCAGAGCACGCAATTATTGCATGAGATGATACATAGGAGCTGATCTGCCCTTCTGCTTTCCCGTGTGGCTGTAATACTACATGTCTCTTATGTAGTTCATATGGCATCATTGATATGGCTGGGTTTGGATGGTGAAATGATGGTGAAATGGCAAGGAGAATGATACGTTATAGTGAGTGGTTGAGCTACGGCAAGATGCACGTAGTCAGTCGTCGCTCTCGCTATCAATAATTATTTTGGAAGAAATGTAAAGATGCAGAGTTCATTTTGAATATATTCAAAGTTCACCGTCGACGTTTACTTTTTCCCGGTCTAGGTCAGGTTCATTCGCAACTTCATAATCGTTCAGCTCATCATCGGATATCGAATTTCCTTCCGACTCACCACATTCCAACGCGATAACGACTATATTCCCAAGCTGATTACTCCATAAGATGTAAAAATTGCGATGAAACGACAATTTATGATTCTAAAGTAATACAGTACTCAAAATAGCACACGAAAGTAATGCGACCGTAGATCCATCCCTCAACCTCCTCCCACCATGTCACCAGCAACAAGCTTTGCCGACTCCTCAGCTCTCGAATCCTCACCTCTTTTACCCTCCCGCTCAAATTCCACCAACCACTCCTCCTCGCCACCCAAACCCTCCCGCCAAATAGAAGACGACACCATCCCAGAAACCAGCACTCTAGGCCGAAACCTCTCCTGGTCCAGCGCCTACATCCTCGTCATATCCCGAGTGATCGGTTCAGGAATCTTCGCAACGCCCGGACCGATCCTCAAAACCACCGGTAGCATTGGTCTTGCACTTCTCCTTTGGATAGCCGGTTCCCTACTAGCTTGGCTCGGACTCCAAATCTCCCTAGAATATGGATGTATGCTCCCCCGATCCGGAGGCGAAAAAGTTTACCTCGAATTTACGTATCCGCGACCACGATTTTTGGCTAGTACGTTGGTAGCTGTCCATGCTGTTTTGCTAGGTTTTACTGCGAGTAATTGTATCGTTTTTGGCGAATACATACTCTTTGCCTTTGGAATTGAAGGTACAGAATTAGGACAAAAAGCCATTGCGTTGGGTCTCCTCACTTGGATCACCATCGTGCATGGATGTTTTCTCAAAACAGGAATATGGATTCAGAATTTCCTAGGATGGATTAAAGTAGGCTTAATTTTGTTTATGGCATGTACAGGAATATTCGTCGTGGTATTCGGTGTGAGGCTTCCGGAAACACAAGCTCCTTTCTCTACATTATCAAGAGAGGGATTTTCATGGGACGGACTTTGGGAGGGTTCGAATTGGCATTGGGGTACTTTGACCACGGCTGTTTTTAAGGTGTCGTATTCTTATGCTGGTTTGTCAAATCTCAATAATGTTCTTAATGAAGTTAAGGATCCTGTGAGAACGCTGAAAACTGTTGCGCCGGCTGCCTTACTGACGGCTTGTTCATTATATTTACTAGCGAATTTCGCCTATTTATCAGTGGTTCCGCTGGAAGAAGTAAAGGAAAGTGGACAGCTTATCGCCGCTTTATTCTTTGAGAGAGTTTTTGGAGATATTGGAGGACGTATCTTATTACCACTTGCTGTAGCGGTTAGTGCTGCGGGAAATGTAATGGTGGTTACATTTACACTTGTAAGTTTCACCATATTTTTCCACTTCTCCCTTTATTAGTCACCATATATGACCCGAAGTTCGACTTCGCAATTAACCCCTCATCAGGCTCGCGTAAATCAAGAAATCGCCCGTCAAGGTTTCCTCCCCTATTCCAAATATCTCTCCTCCTCCGCTCCCTTCGGTGCACCCCTCGGCGGCCTAATAGTCCACTACATCCCCTCCTTCCTCGTAATAGCCATCCCTCCCCGCGGCGACGTCTACAACTTCATCCTCGACGTCGAAGGATATCCCGGCCAATTCGTCGCTCTAGCTATTTCCCTAGGCCTAATCTATCTCCGCTATAATCGACCCGATCTCAAAAGACCCTTCAAAGCCTGGTTACCAGCTGTTTGGATCAGGATAGCCATTTGTCTGGCTTTGATAGCGGGACCATTTTTTCCGCCGGAAAAGGGAAATGCGGATGTGGGATTTTGGTATGCTACGTATGCGGTTGTGGGAGTTGGGATTATACTTTTTGGGGTGGGGTGGTGGGCGGTGGTTTTTAGGGTGTTGCCTAGTGTGGTGGGATATAGGGTTGAGGAGGAAGTGGAAGTTTTGGGGGATGGAACTAGTGTTACGAGATTGGTCAGGGTTAAGAATGAAGAGTGATGGATGAAGAGTTATGGGATAGAATTGATTTGGTACGAATATATAGATACTTTGATTTGGATTATGAGTTTGCAATATAGATATAACAGGGCACAAGCAAAATATATCAAATTTAACACTAAACCCTTCAATCCTATATCCTCCTCAAATTTCCAACTCGACGCTAACTTTCAAGATTAAACAGACATCCATAAACTCAAAAGATTGAACCCTCCGAACCACCTAGAAATCCAAATCCAAATCCACACATACATCCTTAACCTTAACCTTAACCTTGCGCTTTAAAACTTCAAAACATCACAAATCTCAAATCTCAAATCTCAATCAATCATGCACAAACCGCCGGAGTGCATCTCAAAAACACTAGATTAGATTGAATTTCCTCCTATCGTAGTAAAGAGTAGAAAATGAGGAAAGAAACGAGAGTAGGATCAACGACGGTAAAAGAAGCCAGCTAGTCAGTAGGCGTATACTTCTGAGTTCACTTGACTTGATGTTTAAAATTTGAAAATTCAAGGGTTCGGAGAAAGGAACTATACTGGGAGTAATCTCATTATATCAATGTTTAATATATTCACTGAAATATATAACTTTCTTTTACATTCATACTACTTCATTAAAGTATGCTCGCTTACTCAACTTCTCAAATTGAATCGAATAAGCCAAAGTCACTTCACAAAACCTCATTAGTCCCAAAAATTTACTTCATTCCCACGATTCACATCAAGTAAACAATCACATCACTAGTTCTCATATAAGAAATATGGTTTCCCGGTTGAAAAGGGTATATTTATCTACTTTTATCATATCTACCAACCTTCACCAAAATTCCACTCTTATCGTCCTCCTTAACAATCATCAAGAAAGTCAAGTTGGTTTAACGTCATAAGAGTTCCATGTCCTCATCCCCTTTTTCATTTCCCATCATATTTCATGTTTGATACGCCACGCCACCAAGATGTCCGGTTGATGGATCATCTATTACCCACGACCGCCCTATGCTGTTGAAAACTCCAAAGTAACGCTCATAATAAATCGCTTTTGTCTTAAATACCCCAACCAAGAAACGCCGATGTTGAAGTCGTTCCCATTGGTTAAAGAACCAAGACATTAAAAAAAATAAAACCTCATGATATTATCTTCAAATCACATCCCCTTATTAACATATGGATATGAAGTGAAATTTATGCCTTCTTGGCATACTTTTGACGGTAAAACTTGGCAGCATTAACCATGTTGGTCAAAGCAGCCTTGGTTTCAGCCCATTGACGAGTCTTAAGACCACAATCAGGATCAATCCAAAGTTGCTCTGGCTTAAGGAATTGTAACATCTCCTCAATTCTGTCCTTAATCTCTTGCTCGGATGGAACACGAGGAGAGTGAATGTCATAAACACCTGGACCAATGTGACGTGGGTAAGCCTCATCAACAAAGACCTTGAGGAGCTTAGCATCAGACTTGCTGTTCTCAATAGAGAGAACATCAGCGTCAAGAGCGGCAATGGCGTGGAAGAAATCCTGGAACTCAGAGTAACAGAAGTGAGAGTGAATTTGAGTGGAATCTTGAACACCAGAGACGGAAAGTCTGAAAGACTTAACAGCCCAATCAAGGTAAGCCTCACGCTCCTTACCGGAACGAAGCGGAAGACCTTCACGAAGAGCTGGTTCATCGACTTGAATGACGTAAACACCAGCAGCCTCAAGATCAACAACCTCATCACGAAGAGCCAAAGCAAGTTGCTCAGCTTGAATGGATTGATGAACATCATCACGAGGGAAAGACCATCTCAAACAGGTGATTGGTCCAGTCAACATACCCTTCATTGGCTTCTTGGAGATGGAGACGGCGTATTTGGATTCCTTGACAGTCATTGGTGCTGGGCGAGAGATATCACCAACGATGATAGGAGGACGAACGCAACGGGAACCGTATGATTGGACCCATGCGTGTGTGGTGAAGGCATAACCATCAAGACGTTCACCAAAGTATTGAACCATGTCGTTACGTTCTGGCTCACCGTGAACATAGACATCGAGGTCAAGTTCTTCTTGAACCTTGACAACATCTTCAATCTCCTTCTCAATGAACTTCTCGTACTCCTCGGCAGTGATTTCACCCTTGGTGAATTTGTTACGTTGAATACGGATCTCCTTGGTTTGTGGGAAGGAACCAATGGTGGTGGTTGGGAAAAGAGGAAGACCTAAGGCCTTTTGTTGTTGAGAGATACGTTCTGGGAATGGGGAGATTCTGTTGTAGTCCTTCTCGACAATCTTAGATTGACGTTCCTTGACCTTAGGGTCATTGGTTCTCTTGGATGAAGCACGGGCTTGGACAGACTTGGCGTTAGCCTCGAGCTCAGCACGAACGGAAGCTGGTCCTTCAGTAACAGCCTTGGCAATGACAGCAACTTCAACAACCTTCTCGGAAGCGAAAGAGAACCAATCAGCGATTTCTGGGTCAAGCTTCTTCTCACTTGCAAGAGTGTGTGGGGTATGGAGGAGAGAAGAGGAAGTGGCAACAATGACACGGTCCTTTCCGAGCTTTTGAATAGCAGACTCAACAGTCTCAATGGCACGCTTGAGGTTGGTCTTCCAGATGTTACGTCCATCAACAACACCAGCGGACAAGATGGTCTTTGATCCCAAAGCGGAGATGACAGTCTCCAATTGTTCTGGATTACGGACCAAATCAACGTGAACAGCATAGATATCAGTTGGGAGAGCATCAATGTTGTGAACGATATCACCGAAGTAGGTAGCGAAGACGATCTTTGGGATCTCATCACCTAAACTGGCGAGCTTCTCGTATGTTGGCTTGAAAGCAGCCTTGGTCTTGGCTGGAAGATCGAAAACGAGAGTTGGCTCATCAATTTGAACAGTCTGGGCACCGGCAGCCTTAAGTTGCTTAAGGAGCTCAATGTAAACTGGTAAAAGGTTGTCCAAAAGATCAATTGGGTCAACGGATTGTCCACGGTCTGGCTTTCCGAGGTGGAGGAAAGAAACTGGACCAACCAAGACTGGCCGGGTAGTGATACCAGCCTCTTTGGCTTCCTTGAATTCACGAACAGCCTTTGGGTCTGAGGTGAGCTTGAAGGATTGGTTGTCTTGAAGAGTTGGCTTAACGTAATGGTAGTTTGAGTCGAACCATTTTACCATCTCCAAGGAAGGAACATCAACACCGTCACGTTGGTGACCACGTCCCATAGCAAAGTATTCATCGATTGGGTCGAGACCATGTTGAGTATATCTTTCTGGCGTAGCCTGTAAAGGTAGTTGTCAGCGGTGTCACATTGAGTTTGTAGAGGGGGAGAAAAGCTTACACCAAAGTCTTGGATGTGGGTAAGAACTTGATCATATAAAGCGAAGTCGTTGGATGGAATGATATCGACACCGGCATTCTTTTGAATGTTCCAGTGTTCAAGACGGAGTCTCTTTGCCTCAGCAAGGAGATCAGCTTGAGAAATCTTTTGACCCCAGTATGCCTCTGTTGGCTTTGTTAGTATACACCATGTGGGGTAATATCGATAGGTAAAAAAGCTTACCAGTAGCTTTCTTAAGCTCTCTGAGAGCTCCCATACGTGGGAAACCAAGAACGGATCTATCATAGATGTGATTAATAGACCGTAGAGTGTATGGCAGAAGGATAATACTTACGATTGAACCATATTTGCGATTGTGAAGAAAGATGATGAAGATGGAAGAGATTGCTGATGTGAAGGTATTTAAACCAACAACTTATGGCGTGCTAGTGAGATGAAACTAGACAGCGAAGTCGGAGATTGTTGTTGATCTCTTCTATTCAATTTTGTGGAGAAGAGAAGAAGAAGAGGAAGAAGAAAGTAATTGAAGTAAAGACTTTGAAGATATTTTCAAAGTGATCTGATGGAAGTATTTGTAGGAAGGATGAGAAGAGGAAGAAGAGGAGAAGAAGTAGAAGAAGTTGTTGAGGGGATGAAAAGCGGTGAATGTGTGATTTTGAGATAATAAAAAGGTTTTTGTTTGTTCTTTAAGCCTTGAGGGCAGAAGTGCTAGGTATTCTTACTAGTGTCTGGAACAGAAAGAGGGGTGGCTAATCTTGAGAACCCCGCCTAGGTCTAGTGCTGAGAATAAAGTCGTACAAAGATAAGAATGCCAGCACGTGATTTGCAGAGATTTTACACTTGGATAATGGAGAGGTCCGTGTTGGTGGGGCCATGGAATGCAGAGGATTCAATTGTGGAGTTATCAATGTATTTAGTTGAAAATGGTGCAATCAATCGAAAAGTTGAGGAGGAAAGGAAGATGTTTGAGGAGAATATTAACAATTGTTTCCTTTTATCATTCTTGCCACTGAAGATCTCGAGTATAGATTGACAAATGACTTTCCATGTATCCATCATCCACCATCCACCCATCCCATTCAGATCAAAGCTCTACAAAGCAATAGAACAATATCAACCACCTATTGTTCTACTGCCAGTACATCGTATCCTACCTTTACATTTGACGGCACATACATATACTGCAAAGACACGTAAATACATGTACAACAGCAATACCATTGAATCATGCTGTGCATTCACACATATACATACTTTGTCATCATTGACTGACTCTAATAAATATCGACTATGTTTTAAGACATTAATAAGCACTTGTCTATTACACCCCGATGTTTTAGTTCCCATTCCCCTCCCTTCCCTTTCCCTTCCCCGCTACCTAGCCTCTACCACACTCCCACCTAACAAATGCCTCTTAACACTCAACCAAACACCAAACATTGTGAGTTTTTTTAAAAAAAATAAAAAAATAAAACCAAATTCCAAATTCCAAAATCCCAAATTCTCACCCTCCCCAGCCAATCCATCCATCAATCAATCCATTCAATAATCGATCCCACTTACTAGTCTAACCCCCTCACTCATCAATCTATTCAATCCATTAAACTCATCAATCCCCCCTCTCTAATTCGCTATCCGAGCCACCACTCCACTCGACCATACCACCACCCACCCCACTTCACTTTCCAAACCCCTCCAAGCACCAGCCAATCGGCCCCTAACCCCAGCCCCTAGTATCGGTCCCTTAAAATCGGGCACCGAACATTTACTCCATTCCGAATACACCAGGAACCCAAAACCTAAAATCTCAAATCTAATGTCTACAGTCTAACAAGTACTTCACCACAACGTCACATAAGAATTCATCACCAAAAAACACATACACGAACCAATGATATGTTTGTCATAATCTTCATTAGCCTTTCTTTCTCCGGCCTTGCCGTGGCTTGCCTTTCCTTTCTGCCTGGTATTGGTATCTAACTATTGTCCATCTTCCCCAATTCATCCCATCAACCTCATCTAATCATATCCATGAACCTCATCTAAAATCCATTCCAACCGGTCCATTCCATTCCCGCCGTCCTCCAATCTTGTCCACACAAAATAATATATGATTTCTCCCATCCCATTCCATACATCCGACCGGTCAAAATACCAATACCAACGTATGAACTAACTAGAACCCGAGCGCGAGCTCATCCATATACCAATTGCTTTTGCTAATGCTGCGAATGACTAGAGGTCAATTCCCTATTGATACCTCTTAACAAATCCCTCGAGAGATTCCATACCAAAATGCATGTTCTCTGCTTGAATTTCCCTGAACTCCATCCACCTCACCATCTTCCCCGGCCATACCAGACAGGCCATGATAACCTTCACCGCGCACCCATCTGGGATGGCGATAATAAGAACAATACAAGATAGAAGAAAATGAAAGAGTTGGAAAGATATGATGTACAATTCCTGATCGACCAGTATACAATTATGAGTATAAAAAAAAGCTTTTTTTTATCCCTCCCAGGGCCGAATCTTGATACCCAAATGTGATGGTATTCAAGTATGTAAAAGTGTGGTGCAAAACAAATAAAATGGAAGCTATCGCGCTTCTATGAGCGAGCTGTCGAGAACGCCGTGTGTAAACTCCTAGGGTAAAAAGATCATTCGCTAAAACGCTATTCAAAGTGGAAAGGGGTATCAAATCAAGTGAATGTCATGATGTATGTGTAATGTGTTCCGAATCCGGAATAAGTGCGATTGATAACCGGTGAGAGAAATGTCAAAAGTTGCTTAAATGGGTGTTTGTGTTTTATCCTTTGATGAGTGAGTCCATCCAAAGATATCAAATTTGTCCTTTCCCTGTGAAGAGGTGAAGGAAACTGCCGAGTCCACAGGACTGGGCTTGGTAACCAAGACATCGCGAGGCTCCAAAAGTAACGACTTGCGGTAGTATTGCTGAACATTCTCATGATCCGAGGCCGATTTGACGCGAACAATTTGAGCCTGAAGCCACTCTTGGAGTTCTGGGACTTCTGCCAGACGGTAAGGAATTTGAAAACGCTGTAGCTCGCCAATTATTTTGGCTGTGCGGGTATGCTTGTCAAAGTTGATCACCGATGTACCATCAGCCAATTGCTTTGTGGCTGGGTTACCAGCATCAACAAATGTCAGATCTGTGAGGTAGGTGCCTACAAATGGAAGGCATGGAGGTACATGATCATGAAGCCTGCGTCGAAGAACTGCGTAATTCTTCTCTGGCTCAACAACTGTCTGTAAAGCCTTGAGCATATCCTTTCGTTTTTGAGGAACCAGGTCCCAAGTCTTCTTCAATCTGACAATAGTAGATGAATTGAGTGAACAGATAATAGCCATCAACGAGTCATAATTGTTGAGCCTGAAGCATTCGTGCGCAATCTTGATCCAGTGCTTGATGATGACTGCTCTTTTTTTGACATCATCGTATTGCAGGATTGTATCCGCAACGAGATTAGAAAGATCTGTTGACAATGTGGACATGGCTTTAACGTTTACCGCGCTAGAACCACCTTTTCTGGCCTTAGTCCATGTGGCTCCAAGAAGCTCGTCTGGCATGATGGAACAAAAGATATTCATCTCCTTAATGGTCAACTGACGGGCTAATTCAAGTGGGTCAAATTCAATGATAGAAGGATTGCTCCCACCCATTTTCCAGTTCTTCAAAACTGCAGCTTGGCTCTTGGTTACCACAACAGGAGGAACCGGTACATCTGCTGGTACATATTGACCGAAAGATGTGCTGGTCTTTCCAATTGAAGAAACGAGCCTAGGCACTAAAGATCCATCTATAGAAGATACTTTTTGCGCTAGGTCGTAAAGCCGTTTGCCCGCGGCAGGAAGAGCCGCCTTGAGTTTATCATTCGCAAATGTTTCGATGATTGACAGTGCAGCATAGTCGGAGACCTTTCTCCAATGCGATTCCAACCAGCCCTTAAATACATTGTAGACTCTCAACCTCACGGGTCCTGCGATATGTGGAGTCTCGCCAACATATTCGAAACGATCAACCAGAGCATTGGCAAGCTCAATGGGAGACGCGAATAATCTGAACGTAAGGTAGAACGTCGAAACAAACATTGAATCGGGAGTTGAATCGTGTGTAGTAAGTCGTTCTACCAATGCCGCAATTGAACCACCTGTGATTTGACCCTCTTTGTTATGTAGTAACTCGTGGGCGAAAGTCTTCTCAAGCATTTTTGACTCGAGGTCATATGGATCATCGGCAAAAGTCGATTGGCTTTCGCTCATGCAGATGCTTGATATGGATGGTTGATTTCTTGGTTTGTGCGATGTGAGGTCCGGTGTAGTCGCCCGAGTAGAAGTCTGCGAAATCATGCTGATCTCTGAATCCCGCATATAGCTGCTACTAGTTCCTGTGCTAGACACTGCGATACTAGCTGATCTGTATGATTGAAATTCTCCATCGCTTGTTGAAGCACGATCCGAAGGACTGTAATCCTCTTGGCTCATTAGAGGAGCACCCATTTTGGGCAGCGGAGGTAGAATGGAAGTATTCGAAAGTCGATTGGACATTCGTTTGACTTCTGTTGCTGGCGGAGAATCGAGGGGTACTTCTGGTAATGGCTTCTCGTAAACATTTGGGATTACTAGCGGTGGTGGAGGAGGGCGCGAGGAATGTTGCTCTGGTGTTTCTTCAATAACTTCATCTTCTTGTATCGTATGTTTAGGTACGACATCTATCGAGGCAACGTTAATTCCAAGGCCCTCCACTTGTTCAAATTCGAAGTCACCAATCCGCTCGATCACAAATTTGGTCTTTGCTACAACTTCTCCGGCAGCTTTGACACATCCTGTGGCCGCCATTAGTAATCCTCCATTCTGTTGAGCCATTACAACATCGTCTTCATCGACACCTGATGAACTAACTATATCCCGAGCTGCCAGCGCTAATTTACTGATTTTGTCATACATTGCGTTCCGAGCATTGTTCAACAAGTCGGCGCTTTGGCTGTCGTGAGCACATACCGCTTCGACTACAATCAATAAACCTTGACCGGCGGTTACTGACTGCCTCACTGATGAGAGTAAATCTAGTGAAGACTGGCTTTGTAGATGAAGCCGTCCGATGAATGATCCCAAATATGAGAGAAAGGTATCATGACCACAGTTTAATCTCTCAGAAACAAGATTTTGACGTTGCTCAGTGGGTACGGAGGCTATAAATGAAACACGGTGAGATACGGAAGCCCTTTTAGCCTGTGTTGAAGAAATAGATAATGGACGCGAGGTTACAGCTGGGCACGCAGTTGATACCCGTTTGTGCGACTGTTGTTTGTTCTGCTCTTCCGATGGCAGGGAACTAGAAGCGCCGCTTGCCGAACTTCGTATAGAGCTTCTGTGGGATGCCGTGTCGTCTGCAGGGTCTGTATGCGGTGCCCCGCTAAATGACGTCGAGTCCGCTGGTGGAGTAGGTGGAACATATGATTCCTCAGCAACGGTTGCCATGACTTTATGGAGGGGCTGTCGAAGTTTCGCATCCTCTTCCAAGTTGTCCAAGAATTTTATACCCCTCACAACAATTTTGAAAGCCTTTAAAATCATCTCATCAATAATGTCGTTGACGCTCTCCGCGTCGGTTTTCGCTGGAGGAGAAGTAGCAAAGTCCTGTAGTTGTTTGGCTGTCTTGACCAGCGCTGAGAGGTCCGACAAGAGAGCCTTTCTATTCTTTCGAAGATTATCATTGCTCTGTACAATTGGCGATTCACGAGTGAGGCAGTTTGATTTTTCCTATTCCCGTATCAGCAAGGATTTATGATTCACAATGCCCAAAAAATCACCCACCAGTAAATATCTAACACCAGCAATAATTCCTCGCATAAATTGTTGATTTCCAAATATTTCACTATCACTAGTTAAACCACTCCGTAAAAGGTCCCAAAAGTTTAGTAATGCCTTCAATAAGTTCCTCATGGAATCTGGGTCGTAGGCCTCGCAATAGTTCGTGGGCAACCAACCACGCGCGCCGGAAACAAGCAATGTGCCATCTGCCCAACCGTTGGTGTGTATCGAATGTACTAAAACCACATCCCCTTCATTTAACGGAAGCGTGACGGTCGAATCCGATATAGCATATGTCGGGTGGAAAGGGTAAAAGGCCCTTAGGAAACTGTGAAACACAGGTGGAGGAGGTTCCATTTGATTCAAGTTCTCCTGAGAAGCATTGGGAGTTGCAGGAGGTGTGATTTGTGATTGATTTCCGGTAGAAGTTGTTTGGCTACCACCCTTGGATGAAGTATTTCTTTTGTGTTTTTTGGAAGATGCGTTGCTATTCCCACGCGATCGACCCTTTTGTATTGTAAGAGGCGCTACCTGTGCACTTGTGCGCTTCGAATGCTCAGACTCATTCGAGTTCACCATCATGAGCCGCCTCTGGAAGATCTCATGGGTGTTCTCCTGTGAATATCCTTGTTGGAAGGTTTGGGGTAGATTTTCAAATTGCGACTATATCGAATAATCCAAGACGATCTCCAGATTCCTTGGTCCTTTGCTTCGATATGATCCAACAGATTGATAATCTACTTGGTAGTGTCGTGTATCAATTGTTTGATTATGTTTTGTTTTGATGTTGTTTTCTCAATGCTTCCTTTTCGGATCGACCTTTGTATTCGTCGCACTGTAAACACAATCTGATAATGATAGTGGAGATTAGCAAGAACACTTTGGATAAGGATTAAGTTTTGTTTTAGTCAATAGCGAGGAATGAGGAATGAGGAGTGAGGGAGTGTGGAATGTCATGTCATATCATATCATATCGTGAAGCTTGACTGGGATGGAAAGGGTTGCATACCAAAATCGGCTGAACCTTGGTCTCGGGAGAGAATTCGCAATTGACAAGCCAAAAAGTCGATTTCAGCGAATAAGTACCAGTACTGGAGAAAAAGGAAAAGACGACCGTGTTTCTTTGCGGCGTTTCGTGTGTAGTTTAAGGAGAGTCGTGTATGAGTCTGAAGTTTGATGTTCGCTGTATTAAGAATTAAGTCGTTATCGCGAGTGTTTAGTGTATAGACCGGTATGGATGGCTAGTTGAGAATAAAGTGAGCGAAGGACCCTGAATCGCAATAAAAGCTTTTCGCCACGAGGCAAAGTTTATTGAAGTCGGGATGTAGTGAAGTTTGACACCAGTTGACAGCGAAGCTATTGGAGTATCCAGGTGTATCGAGAGATTAAAAGAGCTGAATTGAGCCAGTCGATTTGTCAATAACGCTGGGGGTCTCGGATGCACTTATGTGGCTATGATTTTCGTGATGCTCCAAACGCGAGAAATCAATGCGTTGAAACTTGGATTGTTAAAAAAAGGAAACCGAGGAATTGAATCGAGACCGGGAAAGACAATAGGTAAAACCCCCACCTGTCCGTACACTGGCGTATGAAGATGCAGATGTGCAGATGTGCAGATGGATGTGCAGCTGTGCAGAGGTGCAGAGGTCCAAAGGTGCAGATGTGCGTGCAGAATGGTAGATTGGGGATTGAGGAGGGAGGTACAAGCAAAAAGAAGGTATGGGTTGAGGTGGGTACTTGTACTTAAAACAAGGTATCTTCAGGGTTGTCGAGTGCTGGTATGGATGGGCCCTGGTGGTGTACGGAGGATGATGGTGATGAATTTCTCTGATGCACAGGTAAAACGCAAGGGTGGTTTGAATTGACTCGGTCGATCGTTCTTTTGCATATGCAACCTTGGAAGCTTTTTATTTCTTTAATGAAAAAAGAGGATCGTGGTGGTAAGTAAATGAATGAATGAATGAATGAATGAATGAATGAACTGAATTGAACCGAGTTTAACTGAGTGAATTGATTCGACTTGATTTGAATTGATTTTCTGATGAGAGATTGTCTTTTGAATCTCCTCGGGTGATGGGAGATGATTTCAATCGATTTTGTGGTTTGATTATATGAGGAGTGGTTGTATTGTGCTGTGTTGTGGTCGTATGTTCGGAGTGGTATTAATTGTAGGTAGTGAATGTCGCATTCAAAATGGAGTGTTCTCCCTCCCCCTCTCCGTCTATCTATCTCTATCTCTATCTCTATATCCCCTCTCCTCTCTCTTTCACACACTCTCTCCCTTTTCCTCTTTGCCACTCACTCTCTTTCTATCACTCTCTTTCTATTACTCAGGACCGTTATCTTCCTTTTGGCGGAGTTCCTAGGTTTGTGCTTCTTCCTTTACCTTGTAGATAATCAATGAATCCCCGGTTTTAGCTAGGAAATGTGCCATGTGCACTGTGCAAGAGAAAATCGAAATAACTGCAATTGTGGAATTTTGTGGAATTTTGTGAATGTCGTTCTGGACTTGATTTTGGAATTTATTCCTTTTTCTACTCTGATGATGAAAGATTGAGGGAAGGAAGTAAGTAGGTCGGCGGGCACTGATGTAATGTGATAATAGATATGATGCTGTAGACTTTCCACTCTTCGACGTTTGGACTTATTTTCTTCTTCTCTCTCTTCTTCTGTTCTCTCTTCCGAACTTTTGCTAGGGTAGTGTCATATCTTCCCCAGTTATTATTATTATAACAGATTATGACTAGGATTCACAATTGATTTTCCGTTGATTCTCTGGCAACAACCCAGAAAGATAATTGGGGTATTCGTGTGACCTTAGACTTTAGACTTTGGTAAGACTTATGTTGTCTTTTTCGAAGGATATTACACATTACCCTACCAAACTTGGTCAAGGCTACTTTGTTGGCTTCTCTCTTGCCAATTATGTTGAATCTTTCCATCAGCTGCCGAGTAACGATAAAATACTACGGAGGTGTGAAGAGTACAGACTAAAGTCTTGATCGATGAGTTCTGGCCATTACCAAGGATCTCTGAGCTTTTGCTTACCTTGTCGACCCTTTTGCCCTCCGTATGCACTAGGGATTCTTTGCTTCTTTCGTTTAGAGATGCACGTTAATCCAATATGCAAGGGGCTACTCGTGAGTTTGAGTGGAGTAGAAGCAGAGTGTGCGCCCAAAAGAGGGAGGGACGAAACGGCCGCACACGCCAATTAAAGAGCTGTGCCCATTAGATTGTTATGTACATTGGTACATCGTACATAACTGGTGAACCTTACTACAGAGTAGGATCTTCGGGTTTGCCTTGAGCCAATTGATGGTAATGAACTTTGCAAGGAGTCAATGAAGGGGTTTGTCAATGAAAAGACTACCAGGTCGATACGGAGTATTGCCAGACAGAGAACGAAGGTTGAATAACTATCAGAGAGATAATTGAAAGGGTTCTCCTTGATGAAGTGAAACTTAAAAGGATCAAGATTTGGAGTTCTATCATTTGGGAGAAGATTTTGAGTGAGATGGGCAAAATTGGATGGAATTCGAAGAAAGTCACACAAGAAAGAATCGGTCATGTTGCGTTACTCCACCACTCTAGTCTGTTTGGGCATTAATGGGGGTATCCAGGAAAGCAGGATGGATTAGATGGATCGATCGTCATAGGCTAATTGAACAAAGTACCTGGCTGGACATGAACAGCGAATTCTCAAAATCGCATGCTGCTAAAGGCATAATGTTGATGTCTGTCCTCCTTCATGTGATGTGAAAAAAATCCTCATCGGTTCCTCTTCAGCTCGCTCACACCTACACGTTACCATTTCTTCATGCTTGTTCAAGGACTGGTCAAGGAGTAACTTCAAGGCAAAGTATTCCTATAGGCCAAACCGTGTGATATCGATACCACATGTGCTTCTATCCATTCATCCATTCATTCCCCTTTGGCAAATACTTGAAGGGATGATCGAAGGGAACTCTATTCACAGGGGTTCCTAATTGGTAGTATTAATTTAACTTACCCCCATTTCTGTTTCCATTTTGGGGTAATATCCGGTAGTCCCCTGAAAATAGAATGGACTACCGAGGTGCCGGCCTGCTCAAGTCCTGGGGAGCTGCGCGTATTTTGACATCTACAATGCCCTTGAAATTCATAGGGCAAAATATATGTAAGATTACCTAATCTACCGAACGTATGAAAATAGTTATGGTTATTTCTCTAAACTGAGACAGCTTCGAGAAATGGGGTCGACTTTTTCCTAGTACCTGGAAGCGAGAAAGAAAGGATGAAGTTGTGCTGCTTTTCATGTTGTGTAGAATGAGGTTACAGTACCAGAAAAGCAGAAAACCACAAAATATTTTCGACCTCCTCTCATTCAGCTACAACAGTTTTCAACCATGGCATGCACCGCACACAGACCCTACATCATGTGTGCTACACACATCCTCCGTATACATGTACATTGATATTGTAGCAGATGAATTGAGCCATATCCTTGGCTACTTCATTCACGGCTCGTCTTTTCGTGGTATCATTGACAGCCTCACGATAATCTAGAGGTCGGAAGGGCATTTGCCCAAAAAAGCCATCTTCACCATTTCCCACAAATCATGACACAAGTGTGGGTTACTGCAACACTCAATTGCCAATAGATCCATCGACTTGGGATGGTTCTATCAGAACTCTTCGTTTACCTCGATCCGATTGCATGTAATCTGGGCAAAAGTATGCAGTAATGACATGTGGTTGCGTTGCCGCCATGTTTATTCCTTGATTCGTTATAACTTATCATGATATTTTGTAACCCTGTACCCACCAGCTATCCTTTCATTTCGACTTTGACGTGATTGATGTAAGAGAGCGTTCAAATTCATTCAGAGATCTATTGTCATCCTCGATCTAATCAAGAAAAGAAAATTCAACATTCAACCAACTTCGTCATGTCTGCAGAATATGAACTCAATCACCTCTGGCTAGATTTCGTATTATTTTCTTCAAAGTAGCGGACAACCCTTTCACCCGTTCAAGTTTGGAGCTTCTTCAAGGTTTGTGAGACAGCTTCTAGGATCCCCTATCCTAGCTATCGCCGTTCCGTGCAGCCTCAATGCAGCCAATTTTGGACCTGCGCACGTTCCCAAGATTATTTCGGTTTGGTTACTTTGGAGGGATACATTCAAACGCCAACCTTCCTTTTTCTAGTAACGGCACGGCTCGGGGGGTTGAGAAGTATCAACAAATATTGAAGAATGGTTGGTTGATTGATCGGGATGGCAACTTTATGGGTTACATTCCGTCAAGCTACTTAGTTCCGACTGGCTTAGCTCTCTATCAAATATCTTCAACGCAACGTTCGATTTTTGATGCCGATTCATAATTGCCCGAGCCGTTACACAACAGTGTGATCTGTACGCCTTTGCCTTGTCTTTGCCCAACAAGACCTTGTTTCGGACTTTAGGGGAACTCGAGGAGATCGAGTGCAGATCAAACACGTGCAAACACTTCCCTCTATTGATCAATCCCGCATTTTTAATATACATCATTGACCAACTCTCCAATAGCTTCATTTTTGACAGCGGCTAACATATTAGTATGAAGGACCGAGCTCAATTTCCATCACGATTCTTCCATCTTTTTGTAAGCAAAATCCATCACAGCTTGATATGCCGGACTGGCTCCTGTTTGAAGCATGTCGATTATTCATGACAGGCCGAATTATGAGAATGGATGTGGAGAGGATCTCCATGATCATCTACGACTTTATTTTTATTCAATGGGCATTATGGATACTGAATTCCCGCTCGGACGTACGCAGTACTTATCTGCACGGCACTCTCACGGTAGTCGCCTTGAAGTCCGACTGGAAAATATGGAAAATAATGGATTAGAAATGACGATCTTTCACAAAAAATCCACCTGCGCACGAATGGTCGAGAAAACAAACGGTCTACCTCACTGCTCACAAGCATAGACATTAGCATAAACATAAACATAAGCAAAATGGAACTGAGCTCCGGAAGTCTTAGATTGATCCATTAAGATCAACTCCTGATAGGTAGGTATGATTACAACGATTATCTTCACATCTACCGTCCGTAATACTAGTGATTAATTACCTACCTACCTGCCTACCTACCTAAGAAAACATTCCCATCCCCTCATCCCTCCCTCAAACCTTTAGATAGAACAGAACTATCCGCACCGCGCAGTCAAAAAAACCAATTAAATTAATTCATCTTTTTCCTCCAAGGGAAATAGGTATCTATCTGATTAACTGGAATAGTCGAAGAGCATTAGCACCTTGTATATTTATTTATACCTCTTCTATGGAGTACGAGGTATGGAGTACATACGATGTAATATAATGAGTAAGTAAGTAAGCTGTGGAGAATATAAATACATGTGATGAGCTCAACATTTATATTTATATGTATGTATGTATTTCAATATTGTTGATACAGGAAATGATTGAGTGAATGAACTGCGTATATGTCTTGGCAGGGAGTAAATAAATGAATGTATGCTATACACGGCATGTATGATGTTTCGCTCTTCGGAGAACTACTCATCTATCTATCTATTATCTTATAATTATCATCATCGTCATGGTTTGTGATTGTTGAGCGGTCTGTAAGGTTATGTACGCTGTAAGCTCGCTTGTAGGGCAATCTTCTGTAGGGTAGGATTATATGTGGTGTGGTAAGCTTTATGATGAGGGATATGATGGGATGTGGAATGAGATGGAGATTTTTATAATTTTTTGTAAGAGGTGTATTGTGAGTGTAAGCTTATTTATTTATTTGTTTTTGTTTTTTGGAGGTTTGTTATAGATTTGTTATATAAGAGAAGAAAAAAATAATATAAGAAATTGTTAAAAGGAATGATCTTACACAGGGAATAGTGGGAAGCTGATAGGGCAGAACTGAGGTAATATTGGTCTAATAGGTTAATCTACCTTCTAAGTTCTACTGAAGTGCAAAGCTCTCTTACAGAGAGCTTCTCAATCTAGTCCTAATAGGACTAGTGCCCTGTGCACGTGCTACGCAGGAACCATTCACTTTAACAGAAATTTAAATAAATTTTTTCTTAAGTATTTTAATGTTGATATTATTTATTTAGTATATGAATTTTATATTCAAATATATATTAAAAGAATATAAGAAAATTAAAAGAAAAACTTTTTATATTTATTTATAAAAGCTTTTCTCTTGATTTACTTTAATAAATTCTAAATTATAAAGTATCAACTTTGAATATTTTACCCCACTCAGTCGGCTCACTCACTCATTCACTCCCATCAAAGATTCTACATTGGTATTCACTCTAGTATTCACACTGGTACTGCACTCCGGTCCAGTCCCCTCCAGCTCGCTTTAGTTTGCTCGAGCTCAAGCTTGGGGACAAGGCAAAGAATAGAATATATGATGTGGTCTGATCATCTGTGATTAACTAGTGTTAGAGATTGATTTGATTTAATGTGATGTGATATGATATGATGTCAGAAGGAAGGAAGATGTATTTTAGCGATTAAAAAATGAGAAATAAATGATTTCTTTTTTTTTTTCCGGGAGTTTTTGTGGGAATGTGTTTGAGGGAGAAGGAAGACAGGGAAAGATATCTCGTTCGCTTACTTTGCTCTCTCTTCTCTACACTCTTCTCTGTATACTTTCTCTCGGGAATTATAAAGTAAATCGATGATCAGAATGTAGGAATCTATTACTTAGAACTTTAAACGTTTAGAATCTTATGGGATAAATAAATACAAATACAAATATAAAAGTAAGTCTAGATCTATCAGGAACGCCTCGGAATGTGATCCGCGAAAGCCTAGTGAAGAAATGATCTGAATCCCGCCTGTAAGAAAAATTAAGATAAGATCTTTTTAATGAAGAAATCTTCTTACTCTATACTGTATAACTTATTTATATTTATAGTATATCTGGTAATAGTTTTTAAATTTTATATATACTTCATTTATTTAATTTTTTAATATCTACTATTCTTCCTATTCCTATTAAAATATTTCCAACAATACCTACGTATCAATTAAATAAGTGAAGGGAAATGTGAAATAGTATATAATCTCAAATATGTATGGCACCTCCATCAAAAAGCAACAACAGTTTAGCGATTGAAAACCTCCCGCGCCTGTGGTTTAGTGGTAAAATCCATCGTTGCCAATCATAACTCTCGATTCCGAGAGCTAATGAAGAACCTCGATGGGCCCCGGATTCGATTTCCGGCGGGCGCAAGCATTTTGATTTTTGTTTTGTGTTGACAACTTCATTTTTTCAAGAGGGGGATGAATGAAAGGAAGGCTTGAAGTTATTGGATGTTTGTTTGTTGGTTAGGTGGGTCCATGATGGTTTTTGTGTATCCATCTGTCTTTGCACTTTATTTTATGATATCATAAGGTAATTAATGAATGAATAATGGCTGTGCCTCAACATTGCAGAAGGTCTTACTCATATCCCTTACATTATATTTAAAGCTCCCAGGACTTTGGACCTGGAAAATTGTGCCTGCCGGAATTTTATCAGATCTGGTTTGGTTGAGTGGTTTCGTTTGCCTTAATTTGTAATTGATTGATCGTCATAGAAATTCTAGAAACCATCAGATAAATTATTATCTGCTCATTTTACATATTAATTTACTATATATCCATGATATTATGAATAATACGCATGCCTCTGACTTCATCATCTGGAAAGGTCCCACTCATTGTACTTTTATAGGTATTTAAAGTTTCCGGTATTTTGGTACTGGAAAATTAGGATTGTCGAGATGAGAATGAGAATGGGAATGCCCAGTCGGTAAGTTTATGTCATGTCGGCCAGTACGAGACAAGTAAGAACCGGTTTTTGAACAGAGGAGTGAGTATGTATGGTAATTGATAATATCTCGAAATATCTTTAGAGGTTTTATCATTATTACTCTATCCAATTGTTCAATACGAGATCATAAAGTACGATACAGCAGCGAATGTGCTGGATATTATGATATATTATATAAATGGGCATTAATTGATCAGAGTTTAAAGTTAGCTCCAGGTACAAAACAGGGCTTGAACTGCGGGCCGTTATAGTGATGTCTTTGCCCCTAATCAGATTCAAATAAGGCTCCAGGGTAGCATTAAGCTAAAATTTCGAAGGTTTCTCGAATGAATTAAATCAGACTGACTGACAATCACCACTTAAGACATATTTCAAGACGTAAGTCAAGACGCAATTTATACAAGGGCTGAGATTTCCTTCTTCCCAAAATATCAATGGTGATTAATATTCCGAATTCCCCGGAGTTTATATTACTGAAAGACACTAAACTCAATAGCGGACGGAAGGAAAAGAAATAAAAAGAAGACCCCTTATTTAGAGGGGCTTAGAGGTAAGTGATGGTTGGTGTTTTTTAATCCAACTATAACTATATCCCGTGTTATAGTATACCATACTACGAAATATAAGTACAATTAGCATTCGCGCCGTCAGTAATCAAGCCTTAAATACTTATTTAGTAGTCTAGATAGGTTCCGTCCCGTGTGATCGTCATTTTAGTGCTGTTAGTTTATCACTAGGTTATGGCGACGGGAACAGAGGTCGCTAGAGGCCCATATGTCACGTTTTCTTGGCTTGCTTGTTACTTCCCCGTAGGCTGTTAAACTTTCTGTTAGTGCATCGTTAGCTGTAGAGCAGAGAACTGGCTTATACGAGGTTTGAGTGGATACGAACTGATTAGTGTGATGGCGATTATATCTGCTCGAGTGTCTAGATTCTGCTTTCGTATTTATGGATTCTCAAGTGGCTATGTTATTGCTTATTTTCAATCTACTACTCGAGTACCATGAAGTCATTGGCACTCTGGTAGTTTGAAAAGTTTTCGCAAAGAGTTGGGCCAGTGACCTGGAAAATGTTCTTATTTTCATGAATGGACGATGTACGGCACAGCAATCAAGGCACGGCACACAGCTCGGTGATCCCGAGAGATTTCCAGAGATTTCCAGTTTCTTCCTGGTTATTTGTATCCCGAGGCGATGTGATGACAATACAGTGAGTACATATTGTCTTACTATCCGCTACCTCGAGTCAACTGCCGGTCGGCACTGTGCCAACATTTTGAGAAAATTTCATCCAGGTCACTATCAAATAATTGAGACTCTTTTGTAAAACATGGCAACGGGCTTTCAATTTCCGTGGATTGTCTTCCGTTCTATGTCCTCGTTAAAGTTATCTAAATTTGGGCAGAAATAACAGAGCTTAGATTTATCTGATGTGGGACTTTTTAAGCTATCTCTTCATTCCTCATATCTATATTGTAGCTATGCTAGCTATCATTAGTACTTTGCGAGATTACCATCCAGAAACCCTCACGTATATCGAATATTTGATATTGAACATTAGTGCGTACATTGTATTACCTCTCATCATTAATGTTTCGGCGCACGGTATTCATATCACTTCATAATGTTGAATAATGGTACGATGGCTTGAAAATTGACACACGCCTTTTGTAACTAGGTGTAAATAGAGAGCTGGAAGCTGGGAAGTGTCAATGCATAATTTCACAATTTGGTTTATGGATTGGGATGGGGATGTTGCTTCAGAGTGGGAATTAGAAATATCCCATCAGAGCTGATAATATTTCGCAGCTGGAAAACTACTAAATTCTACATCTTTACGAGTCATGCTTTTACATTGCATGTATTACTCACCGCTTTCTTCTATATTCCTTCGCCTCATCCCCTAGACCTTAATAGATTGATCATTATCCACGGATACGTTCATCCGTCTCTTTCATATTTCTTTTTCCTCGTCATAAAACTCGACTTCCTACTCGTTCGTACAGCTAGAAAGTACTCCGTATAGCATACTTTATTAATAGGAGAATACTATTCCCTTTATAATTTACCATCCCATCCCATGGTACGTGCTCACAGTGGAGCATGCAGTACGCGATACTTCCTGACCGCGCAAATACCCCATGATCCATCCATCCATCCATCCCACACTCATCGCCTCACTAACCCCATCATTACATTATTCACACAGCAACACTCCCCCAGCACATCATAATCCCATCTAAAAACCTCCCCTATCATTCAATCCACGCCTATAATCTCCCGATATAGACACAACCCCCCCACGTCAATATCTGAGTATCTCTAGCCCCATTCCAGATATACCTGCAGCATCGTAATATTAATCTCACATGGAACATTTGAAAAATTTCCTATGAGAGCTCGCATACTCCTAGGTTACATACATACATATATCGATATAGATGCCAAATATCAATATCGATCATGTATGATGACAACCCACTACAATATCTCGCGAATAAGAAATACTACCGCGCAGTAGTAGCGATGCGCGCTAGAAGTGATTTACCTTGCATAAGTAGTCAATGTAAGTCAATGTAACCTTTGGTGCGCTCCGCGGGAATTTTCGATTAATCCGAGCCGTCCTGTGTGTGCGTGCGTGCGTGCGAGTCCTAATGTATGTATGTATATATGTGATAGGGCCGATGCGATGCGATCGGTGGGTAGGTAGGTAGGATTTGGAGTTGAGATTTGAGATTTGAGATTTGAGATTTGAGATTTGAGATTTAAGGCGATTGAGTGGAGGGTGGGGGTTGCTTGTTGAGTGGTATTGATTTGTATTTTGATTGTGTGTTGTGTTTATGTTTGGATAAGATGGTTGGGGATGGGGAAGTTTAGGGTTAGCTAATTAGCTTTATCGGTTGGACTTTAATCAGATCTTACTGTGTATAGGTGACTACAGATGAGGAGGAATATACTGTTTAAGCTTTAGGTTGCAGGGGAATTAATTTTATGAGATCTTCGAGCTTCGAAATGGTAAGTACCTTTCAAGAACTCGGGAAGTCAAAAAGTCAAAATTGATGTTTATCTACATAAAAGTTAATCATCCTAGAAACTTCTTGTTGTGGTATTGTTTTGAGCTATAGGATTATATTTATAGCTTTATATCCTGCTCTAGACTCTCCGTCGTTATTTATCTTGCTCGCTTTGCTTACCTTATACGTATATAATGTAATGTTATGAATCTGATTCCGGAGTGGAGGTGGAGATGGAGGTGGAGATATACTTGCTGTGCTGTGCTAGTGTAGGCTAGATAGAGTAATATACTGTATTTGAGACAGGAATAAGCTTTACATCGATCTACCTCTTTCGAATTCCCCAGTAGTTCGCACACAGAATGATCGGAAATGAAGATAAAGATAAACATGCAGATCTACATGCCATCGAGATGATACTAGGCATACAAAATCTACCCGTTATGTGTATCAAACTCCAACGTGGAATTCGGAATTCCTGCCCAATGGCAATAAATAGTGGATTTAAAGAAACATTACCCCAAACTTTTTCAAGTAGTGTTTGTCTCACTTCTTAATGGTAGTGTGATAAAGGCCCAATGATCTACAATATAAGGCGCATCAACCTCTACTAGAACTAGATCACTATCATTGCCTTGATAACGTTCATCACTCCCGCAATTTCTGGTCTTGGCTGATGATGTGGAAATCTAGATGCATTCTCGCTTGATATTTTGCTCTACTGGATCTAATTAATCCGTAAAAAATGAATTGGAGGTTTTTAATTGTAATTTTAACTTATAGCGATAGGTAGCTTTCTTTGCGTCATCTTAGAATTGGAATCATCGAGATGAACTCTAGATTCTATCTAAAGTGAAATAGAAATCTACCTCGGAGAGATGATCTCGGGTCTTTTCTTTGGGAGAAATGTTATACTTGGGGATTTATTTGCTTTGATGAGATGGATTGAAATGGGTTGAGGTTTGAGTTTACTTTTACTTATAATTATAGCATGATGGTCTAGATGCTCGACGAAATAGCTAGGCGGACAAAAAAGGTTTGGATGATGAAGTCGTGGGGTAGTTTATTGTTTGGGTTCTGTATTTATGTTCGCTTATTGATATCGATGTGGATGTGTTGTGTGTCTTAATATACTACTGGGAAAGCTTTCTTGATATATAATATCATATAATTATTATATGTGTGAAGAACGCAGAACTTAACTCAAAGTGACTACTTTCTAACAACGCTCCCACATTATTCCTTCACAATCGTTCAGAGACCTTATTGATTTCATGTCGGTTCCCGCTTCTTACTCACAAACATTTTATTATTATTCTCAAGCATACCAAGAGGCAAGTTCATGGCTTAGGTATTTAGAACTCGACTGTAAACTGAAATATCTCTCTTCATCATTTCAACAGGATAATCACTATGAACTCAAAACGGAAGATTAATAGAATCTCGCATCTGCAAATGTGAATTCCTGTATCAGTGATAAATATTCACGCTTGACAACTCCATATCTTTACGGGTTAGAAAATGCCGTTTTTCTGCTGCTGCTGCTGTCGTTGATAATTTGTTTTTAGTGCTGTTTACACATAAGCATGTAAAAGTGGCAGTAAGGGTAATTTCCTCCCATACATCCGTTTTCTCCCAAATCGTGAGCAACACTCCATCTTGACGAAATTAGAGTATAAAGGCGGCTGCTGCAATAAACACCATATCTCTGACCCAATGGCTGTCTATGGTACAATGGAAAAAAGTAAAGGATAGGGAATACAGGTTCGCTTTATGTACAGATTGTGAGCTCAAGAGGGATAGCTTTGCTTCCTGCAAGAGCCAACAAATCGTATATTTGACAGTGCAGATTCTTTGAAGCAGGTAGGAATGCTGTATTAGAGCTTTGGTCAACTGGACTGCCTAAAATTGGGACATATGGTCATCTTATATTGGGTTTATTGAGACTAGAAAGAGCATCAGATTGAATTGATTGATTCTCTAGCTAAGCAGTTAAGCTGCGAGTATATATTCAAAAAAAAAAAGGAGGAATAAGGTTAGGTATTCAGCCTTCGGAATTAAAGTGCTTTGAAATCAAAATATTGAAAGCAAACAAACAGTATACCAAAAAGGAAAGAATGAATTAAAAGTTGAGTTTTGTTTGCTCCTTATATGCATCATGCAATATATATACATATGCTGCCAAGATCCCAGGAGGTCAACATCTTACCTTTGAATTTCAGGTATATATACACTATTCCTTGTTTGGGCCCAGATCCTACATACTTCATGAGGACAGAAAACCACAGGAAAGAAATTCAAGAACATATTTGTAGTAACCAACTTTTGTATCTACTGCTCGATTGATCATAGGTTAGTGTCTTTTGGGAATTGGACAAAATATTGTGCACACTGGAAGCTTTATCTAGTTCGTCAGTGAAGGGAAGCCGCTGCCATGTTCATCTATTCACCAGTATCTATATATTGTTGCCAAATATATAGCTACTTGTGACTCATTCCACCTCCCTGTTCTATGAGGAATTAAAGTCTCCTGTTATTTATGAGATAGGGAAGTCTCGTATCTCGGATCTAATCAGGCTCATTTATAAGCGCATTTAGATCCCAAGGACTAGTCTTTATTGTGATACACAGTCTCTCATAGATAATATTAGCACGAAGATATCGTAAGAGTAGTCTTATATATAGTCATGCTTGTGTTTGTTCTTTGTAGTAAAATAGTAAATTAGTGGATGTAATTGGTAACTGGATGAATCTCCGCCACAATTTTCACACGAGGATAACGAATGACAGTGAGAACTTCAGAAAGTTTCTACTGAGAGACTTGACTAGTCATATGAAAAATTCCTTAAGAATAGTTGTCACATACTACCAGTGATCATGGACAGCAAACTATTCTTAAGATAACCATAAAGTGGAATTATTGCCTCTGAAAGATTTCTCATCATCCTTCATATATCCTTCTCTATTGTCAATAAAATGACCACCATCTTTATTCTATTCTTCTACCTTCTATAGGTCAAATGATGCGTGGCAAAATAAACCCACGAAGATAAAACTCTTCGATCTGGTGGAATTAAAAGCCAATTCAAATTCCCTCCACCCTGGTGCGTTAATGTGTAATTTTCTAGGTCTAGGAAAGCAGAATTTTTGAAGAAAATGTTCTTTAAATAGCCCGAGCTGATCTACATCCATGCTTAAGGATATTGCAATCGTAATTGGCGGATGTCTGTTAAGCCATCAGAATCTGACGCTAGCTTAGCCCGAACCATTCTCCCTCACTATCGATCGCGCTGAGAGAGAGAACGGTATATAAGTTGTCCTCTAGCAAGATGTTATTTTGTCCAGCATTTGAGAGTGGTCCTCAAGGAGTAAAGTACACGGCCTATAAACCTTCATTACCTGATAGAAAATTCCTATTTGTTTAATCTGGAGCTCTGTTTAAGGATTTTAAAGATAGGAAGGGAGGCGCACGGCAACATATACAACTACAAGTTGTTGTCTTCAAACTTATATTATCATCATTTGATCCATCGAATACTTATCACCGCCAAAATTCCAACTTCAAAGCCTCACACTTGTGTCTCGTATCATATAACAAAACAATGATTATACCATCACTTCGTTCCGAACGACAAACCTGGCACGCGAGCAAGCCTTTATAAACATCACGACTTCTTGGAACTTTGGATTCGAGAAACTCAAAAGTAATGGTTTTTTATATAAAAGTATAAAGACGACTAATATTGGATTCGGAGGGGAATACCAAATTTAGACTAAAATTTGTGAGGATAAATAATATTTTACTAGAAATTATTTTGGGATAATGATATCCACATCTACCCTTTTAAAACCCAAGTTTACATGTTGGCATGGTATAGTATAAGAGATTTGGATGAATCTGATGGTTAGTTTAACATTGAATAACATATGCAGTCACACTCATGATGCATACTCCATGTTTTCTATTAGAAGTACACACATTGAAGCAGTACTATGGCATATGTATATACATGGCAGAAAAGTTCGATATGTATCGGTTTATTCTGTCAGCTTGTGATCTAGAACTCAAACACATGAGGTATTTGAAGATATGATACACAATAAGTCTCTAGCACTTGCTTGCAACCAGACCAGTAACTCTGAAGGTAAAAAAAAAAAGAAGTGTATTGACATTTACGGAATGTCAGTAGGAACTTTCCCTGTTGCCAGCAATGTTAATATTCCCTTTGGCCTTAATTATCATGATAATTAATAGAATTGGACAAATCAATTCCACACGAGGTCTCACGATTCGCCCTCCTAACTTCAGAAATCCTTCTTCGTATATCCTTCAATGTGTTTTTACTCAGTGATTCTGTCAACATGATTAGTGGCTTTTTCATAAACGTTAGTATAATCAAGCATTCTGACTCCGATGTGACTTTGGTGCCAGATTTCTCACATATGTTAGGGTATTGTTGTGAAACTTATTCCTCTACGCAATCGGCAACTTAACGTTTGTCTAGAAAGACATATGATAATACCGGCGCATAAAAATACCTTTGAGCACTTCCTACTGGAATCCAAGACCAGTTGCCCTTTACAGGACCTTTGTAGCAGTGATTTCCTGTTGAATTAGGTTATGGAATTCAGTTCTAGGAGCTTCTCAACTTTTTATATGACAGAGATGAGTTCCGCAAGATTCCAACATCACAAAAGAAAGCTTGAATATAAAAGACAGAGAACGATAACCATGGCACCTCCACACGACCCTCTAGAAGATTTCAGAACAGTCCAGACGGAGGAATACGAAACTGTCGTAAAAACATGGAAATAGTAGATGGATCTATAGTAGAATTATCTTCAGATTTCTGATAGGTCTCCGCACGCACTCATTTTCGAGTATTTTTTAGAAAATTCAAAAAATCTCTATTGTCAGTATCACATCTCGCTGTCATCCCTAACACCTAAATGTCGACGCTTGGAAGAATTAGCTAAAAACAAGTAAACTGCTAGCCTCTAGTTACTTTTTTAAAGGAACCAATTTGTATTAGCTGCCAGATAATTTATCGCTCTGTAAGTCTGTGTATAGTCTCTAGAATAACACTTGGCCAATGTGATTAAGATGAATAATAACTTCTGATCTAGATATTAAATATATACCCAAGAAACTCATAATCTAGATCTAGATCGGTGTGACTGGTAAATATTCCATCTGTGCCATAATATCCGAAATTCTACATGCTGGCACGCGATCGAAGAGCGAGTATAAAAATGACTCAAATACTATTGACCAATCCCATATAGAGCGATCTTACTCAAATCAATCATTCAAGATCTGGATAGCAGAATTTTGATCTAGTCTCCGTTGAGGGATACTTCTAAAGGGAGTGATCCTCTTATTTCTCGAAGGAAATGAGTAACTTTACTATGCTCTCTATAGTTTACCGTTATCATCACATGTATCACTGTCACTCATTTTTTCATAGTCCAGGGGACTAATAACAAGAATTTCGAAGGATTTTCGTCGAAAAGTTAAGTACTTGCTGTCATCTTGGAAAAATTCTGGTAGTCAATGTCACCCAGAGCTCAAACCACCAGTGACCTCTGCCAGTGAAAGAAACTTAAAGTTCAAAGACTCGATCCAACCAACTACCATAGTGTCAAATTCGCATTTTCAGATTCCCAATCGTTTTTTCTTACTATTGCAAAAAGAAAAGCCGCTTAAGACTGATGAATTTATATCTGGGATTCCTATGAAATTCTCCTTGTGGGATTTATGGAGTGAGCTATACTCTTGATAGTAACTCGAAACATCCCGCACAAGCCCTGCTATGTGCTTCCTGCTAGTACAAATTGAAGTGGAAAAACTTTTAGTTTAAGCATAAAATAAAGGCAGTTGTTCAGATTATTGAGATATTATACAGATTCTTCTACATCGCAGAAATTGAATAAGAGAAAGTGCATGTTGAGACATCCTTAATTCTGTATTTACAACGTTTATCGCCATAAATATGATCTGTAAACTCCTGCCAATCACCATGGTCTTTCGTCACGAACATGGCAACAGTTATAAAAGCTATTATCCACACGTTTCCTCTCAAAATAATGCTTAACATCAAAGATCTCAAACTGGCACAAATCCTAATCTATTTTCCATCTCGGATAGCCTACCATCTGCCTGGCAATAATAGAAACATGCTATAATTATCTTGTTGCTTAAATAGAAAAGCAAGTAGGAATACAAAATTACATCTTGCACTTTCGACTAAGTAATAATTTCACGATCAAGGCCGGGTATGTAAACGCAATTAGATTCAAAATGAGGGATAAGTATTTGAGGATAGCAGAGTATTCAGGGTAATTATATAAAAGACCATTGACTTCAAAGATAGAAAAGATCAAACAGGGAAATGAACATACAAGCACACACCAGGGGGCCGAGGAAGCCAATGTACTAAACAAGCTCTGGACATGGCAAAATGCCAGACAGAGTCGTGATAGTGTTAAAAGCATTGTCGGTATTTGTTGACTACTGTCGCGAGCTTTAATCACCGACATCACATCTCAGATGCCTCTACTATCAATGCTAGCAATCACTCTCATGCACCTAGGATAAAACAGAACCATCTTTGTACATAGAAGCTCCACCACTTGCTGCGATATGGTGAAATGATAGATGCAAATGTATCCTCACATATTTATTGTGCCGAAAAAAGAGATTCTACTTTGTACTTGGGTTTTGCCTCTTGAATATCAGGATATGAGTTTCTTTGAAGTTTGTGTGGGTGGTTGAGGGAGGTGGAGGTAGGTTCTCATGATGGATATCTAGGAGAAAAAAAAAGGCCTTCAGGCCATCGAGTCGACGGAGAGTCCAATATCGACACACATGCGTATAGTGGAAAAAAAAGGAATTAAGTTGTAGATCGCATGATCACTACTAATTAACCCATAAGAATGTATTCATGATATCCATACGAAGATCCACGAATATTGACAAAAAGGCGCTGTAACCCAAACCCAATCTTCTTCATCAACTTGAAACATTGCCAAACTCCAAATCGTCCTTGTAAACGAGCGCGGAGTACCAATGCCATAAAAAGTCACCGAAATATCTAAATGCCGATGCCCTTATCCTTAGTGCTTTTGCGAGTTTCAACCCAGTACATCTCTGAGATAATTATAATCTACTTCACTCTTGGAAGGAGAGCTGGGCTGGCGATTTTGATTCCAAGATTCCGCGTCATTGCCCGAATGAACTGTTGAAAAGTATGAACCTTTAGGTGTAGGATACAGCAATGCATGTAGCGGTTTGTTGTTCAAAATCAGTGGTATCAACAAATCCCGATGGTGTAGCTTTAATCTATCCAAGCTTTGATTCTGGTGTGAATAAGAAGAATCCGATTCTTCATTCTCAGTCAGTAGGGTAAGATCTTGGCCGACCGGAATCGCCCAGCTGTGGAGTTTGAGAAGAACTCCTGGGCTATCCCCTTGTTCTGAGGGGTGGTTCGAAGAGCTATCAAACATATCTTCGGAAGTGTCCATGGCAGAGTCGTCGAGGATATCCTCTCCATTATCTTTGTCTTTACCATTCACTGCCCGCAAAACAGCATGTGCTACAGTTCGGACAGCTGTGATGTGGTAGGAAGATTTGGGCCCATCCCAAAGTATCTTTGCAATGACATCTCCGACTCGAACATCTGCATTGACCAGAAACTCTTTCATATTTGGAGAAATACTTGTGTGTAGAGCTGGACGTATAAAGGCAACTCTTGTTGTTTTAAGGTCGATTGGCACAAGCTGATGTATATCTTTCTTGGTCCATTTCTCATCATCTCGCCGCCACGTGTTAATGTGTTTGAGTAAGGCTAAAGGCGTGTACTCTTGAGCTTTGAGATTCAAGCTAACGTTGAGTTCATCTTGCGGGCCTAAATCGCACATTTCCATGATATCGAGCATAATATGAGGATCAATTCCATTAAGCCAAGGACCTGCCAAATCTGAAACCGAAGAAGGTAGCCAATCGGATGGTGAAGAGGGAACAGATTTCAGATAATCATTCATTTCCGCGTTCGTTTCATCAATCTCTAGCCATTCCCTGATTAAACCCAAGACCTGATGCTTTTGTTCATATTTTATATCTTCGTACGCGCTGTACACCAATCTTACAATTGTGTGAAATAAACTGAATGTAGGCTGTCCATAGTCAACCACTAAGTTTTGCCGGATGGGGTCTTCTTCTGGAAGAAGGGAGAGAAGTGCATATATTTTATCCCTGGAATTGGTAGCCTTTGCTGTTTTATATCTAAGAACTAAGTCAACGAACGTACCAGACACTGGTCTTGAGCGATGATTGCAAAGTTGTGATATAGCAGAATCCATCTCGGTTTCCTGGAGTAGCATCTCTTGTGCTCGATTTAATTCGTAAAAACCACTTGACCATTGCCCATTATCTATTGCATCGAAAATACCAGAGTCGGCACTTTCTTCTGAATTCAACTTCCGCTCCAATAGTCTCCGCTCCATGTTCATCAATAGATCAAACTTTTCCCATGAGATCTTTTTCAGTCCGTAAAAGATCGTGATATCACGTGCAAGAATAATTTCCTGTTTGATCCATACCCTATCAAAGTATGGTATTTGATCAAAGTTTTCTCTGAGTCTCATCCTGGCGAGTTTGGCTTCTTCGCCATCAGACATCAAGCCGGGCTCCATCACACTGATGGTCTCACCAGTACCAATACAACTTGCAACCCACAATGCAGACTCATAAACCGATCCCATGATGGCAACTTGGAAATTCTTCTCCTCATTGTTATCTTGATTGATGCACAATGAATCAATCCACAGATAATCAGTAAAACCATGATGTCTAATCTGCCAGAGGGAGTACCAGCAATTAAGGCGTACTCGCATCTTTTTGCCATTCACAACTATCGGCAGAAGTGGAACGGTATCCCCCCAAGTATATGAGATGGCAATGTAGGGGGGACGCACACCATCGTGAAATTCGTGTACCGACAAGCTGAAACAGTAGTCATCACAATCAGATGATGATTGCTCAAGCCGGAGCAGTCTAATTTGCTTGTTAGACCGGAGTAGTGGTATATCTGCATACAGGGACGACATGGCGAATGATGGAGAAATATGGCTAAAGAGGGAAAGACATTGATCTTCTGAAAAGCTACTGCATTTCTGCGGCACGCATCTCAGCCACTGTGATTATGGGCCTCCTCAATCTTACCGGCTTATCTCAAGATCTCCGAATAGATCTTTCAATGAAATCGCATCACGAAGAGATCTGATATACCGTCGCTCACGGTACGAGTTTTGTTTTTTGAACTGTCCATTGGAGGAACGGGGGAGCTGTGCTGTCTGTCCAGTGTCAAGGTAACAGGTGCGGGGCATGGAAAGGCAGTTCCGCGTGGGGCACGGCTAGAATTAATCGTGAGCGATGACATGTTACTGGCGCGATTGACATCCGGATACCTGTCTACCTCCATTTCCATTATATTACATATTAAGGATATGTTGAGCGTGAATTGTTGGGACAGAAAGTACGAAGTAGAGAAGTCGAAGTCGGGAGCATAGCCTAACCTTACCCTTCAGCGCCGAGATTTACGCGAAGCCCTCCAACCGCGTCGCATGTGCCACTCTGTGTTTTTCGCTCACAATGCATCCTACTCTCCAGCAACAAACCAAGAGGCGGCAAATGAACATTGGCATCCGAAAACAACTGAGCAGCTCACAATTGACTTACTAATTCTGAGAGCAGACAAGGACAGACCTGCCTCCCATCCATTTCCGGGCCCGAACCATCGTGGTTATAGGACATTCTCGAATATGGATTTTTCAAGCTTGAGATGAAAGCTACGAGTCTCCTGCGAAGTTTTCTAAGCCAGTTTTACTCTTGGATCGTCGGTCACAAAACTATTGCTGTAATCCGAATCTACCTAAAAATCTGCAACCCGTTCTGGCTAGAAACAATCATTGGTATATCGCTGTAGGCGATGAACCTAGGTGGTGGGAGTTTCTCGACATACAATAGCGGCCGAGCAGCGCCTAGGAAATGGAGTTTTTATCTCACAGTGGACGATGTCAATGAGTGAAGGACCGGGTATTATGGGTGCCCTCTACGAATTCCAACATTTTCACAGTGAGGGGCAAAATGTTCCACTGGATAAATCGACTGTGGAAATGGGCTGGATGGGAGAAAAGCACATCAATCCATACATGGCAGATAATAAAGCGCTTGGCAGATTGGACTTCGAGAAAATACAAACCAAAGCAGCTTTCCATCTGTGGCCAGACATTTAGTGATGAGAAGGAAATTTTTCCGGCCCTATTCATGGATTCACGACTGCTTTCCAAAACCTGTATGAGATTTGTCATTCCATTCAGTCGAAGGATTCGTGCTGTGATTTTTACATCGTGAGTCATTTATTTGCATTATTCACGTCTATCCGTAGGAATCGGAGATACGCAACATCTGGCTTGAACAGATCTTGAAGGGCAAGCCACCGAGAAAGTTCTTGGTGGTGCCTAAATGATTGCTGCTTTTGGGAAGGGGTGCACTATGCGGGGTGCATCCGAAAGCTTAATTGAATTGAGGCACCTGAAACATATTCACATACACAAATCATATGATGCATCTGGGTTGAAAATAGTGATTATTGTTTACTATTTCCAAGCGAATGAACGCAAAGCAGACACAATTATAACCGCAATAAATGTTGAACTCCAAGATGTTTCTCGCTGCGCTTACCGGCGACGTTGTCCTGTGATACCCTCCGAAAACTCCTTGCTAATACCAAACAAAACCTGGATATCATCCCGCCGCTACCATAACCGTAGGCATACCATCATTTCATTCCATCTCGAAGTGTCTTATTTCATTCATCCCTGAAAAGCGCACCCTTTTATAACCCGCTTCTCATTGTCTCCGGAATTCTTCTCTCTGTGATCGGTTCGACCCTCCGTATGCATAACTCCTCCTTTCCCTTTCAGTCAAATCCCCGTTGCTTGGTCTTGATCTAGTAACGTTTTCAGTCCTCGCAGGTGTGTATGATGCCGGTACTGCCTTGATGAATCCTTCGGGCTTTTCGTAACTTCTGTTATTTTGATCACAACAATTGACGTAAATTAACTGTTCATTACTCCATCGTTCCGTCCAGGAATTCTGCATATGGTCAAGTAGAAAGTTGAAATCGCCTTTGGAAACGACTGTTTGATCTGATCGGATTTGTGGTTCTTGTTTTGGCGACAGAGTGTGGGATGGAACGGGTGTTGATGCAGGTGGAGTGATGATTAGACGTTGGGAAAGACCGATTATGATGTTGGAAGCGTCTTCTTCAATGAGTTTCCAGTGCTGAAGGAGAGCACCGAAGCCGGGGAGTTGTCTAGAGCCGGCGGTTTGTGTGGTCTTGTTGGCGATCTCGTAAAGTTTTCTTTTTATATCAGATGATATTGCCCGAAGACATTTGTTCATTGGTTGAACTGATGCATCATCACCTACAGCCATGCGGTGCCCGAAGCATCGCTGTAGAGTATCATATTGAATTGAAAGGGTGGTATGTGAGTGAAGGAGGGTGTCTTCAAGCTTATCGAAATTCTCGTGCTTGGAACCTAGTCGACGGGTTTCTCTGATCTGGTTACAAAATGCGATACAGTCTGACAGCTCATTGAGAAGAGTATCGACTTGTTTTCGGAAGGTGATTCCAGTTGGAGACATATTTACGATTTTGAAGGGTGGTTGAATAGAGGCAGTAGTGATTGATAGTACTAAAACAAATTTCGTGACTGAGTAGACAAGCAAATATGCGGCCCTACTGCAGTGAAAGTCGGATGAAACAGTCTTTGTATATAGTTTGAGATGCTTGAAGAAAGAGAAAGAAAGGTATCGATCAATGGGTGGAATCCACCTTGGTTTTAAATTCACGTTGCTATACACGATGCAAAACCCGGAGGCCCTTCATGATATCAATCAACAAGGTAAATGTGAATCCAAGCCTCAGCCACAACCATGATAACATTCGCATTGTCAAAAACCCAGGGTGTACAATTGCGGAAATTCCCAGGTGACTTTGACTCAAATCATATCCAATAGAAATGAACCAATAAGGCTGGAGACAATAATGATGATTGCCTAGAACCAAAACGACAGATTATGCTGTCGTGTTATGACTGGTACATTTACGTGATTGCATCTCCCCGAGTTAAACGTGCATATAATGAGGGGAATTTAAGGCGTAGAGTCATCGCGACAACCAAAGGTTACTCAATACCACCTAAGCTTCCCGCAAGCCTGCATTAGTCGGTCGATGGAAACAATGAAACAAATGCCAAAAGATGCAAGCCCGGCTCGCCGCGTAAAAGCCAATATTCGGCGTAAGGCAGAATTGGCGTATCACAAGTGAAAGCTTTCGAAGTCTTGGGAGTAAGCAGTGTGGAGGGCTGTGCCTGTATTGGACTGGACGAGCCACAATCCTTCTGGAAGACGAAAATGATTAGTTGAAAATATGAAAATATCATGTGATGTCTGAGCTACGCCCCGATTTGAGGCTCAATGCTTTGAGCAATAAGCTGAAGATAAACACATTCAAATCTCCTGGTACACATACCATTGTACAAATACCATTGAGCCTCAACATGCATCCCGAGTCTATCCTACGTATGTTGTTTTTCGTGTATGAATTTTTTGAACATGTGGTGGCTTCTGCTTCTGTGGAAGTGCTCGTTTCGATGAAGGGTATTGAATCTGACTTCTGAGGGACCTTCTGATATACACAATAATTTCCGTTGTATACCTATGGACCTACCTATCTCTGCGTTTCTAGTCGGAGAAACGTTCGGGGCTAAGGCTGCCGCAGGCCCTACCACGTGATAAGGGACTTCAGATACGACCAATCTGTTATGACGATACTACTGGGGATCGTGTATTTAGTATCTACTGTTTGATATGAGATGGTGCTTCCTTCACACTGTCAGCCCTACAGGGAGTTCCGCAACCATCACGCAGATTTAATCACGTGACAGAACGACACTCGCTGTTTGACAAACCCGCATCCTTATAGTCGAAATGTTTGCCTTGGAACCAGTTATGAAGACAGAACTTGTCGTCAACAGCTCGCCGGGCCGAAAGAAATCATCTTCGTCACCAAGTGGAGAGCTAATACGGGCCGGCCCACAACTGCGATCCCGACTTGGCATAGTCAGACATAGATCAGAAAACTGCGATCTTGCCGCCGCTCGAAATCTCTTTGATATTTTTCATCGAGCACATTTGAGATGTGCGGAATCTTAAGAAAGTACGTGTTCATTGCCCATAGGCGCTCTTGCAGCAAGCATAGACCGAAACTGCGGGAGGCCGGCAACATATTGTGAAAGCGACGTGGTGATTGATTGCGAGAAGAGGCGCGTTCCTTTCAGGTACAGTACCCACAATTAAAACCGTATTGACAACCTTATTCATAGTATCGTCGTATGCACAAGCCAACTTGCTGGACTTGTATTTTAAACTAAGGTTGATGAACAGCTCTGAGGGTGCATCTTCTTTTAGAGCGTCGTGTCTCCTGCTGTCTTCAAAAACAACCAGAAATGGCAAGATACAAGGGAGCTTCTACGTTGTTCCTACTATATCTCGTTCTCTTATTCTATTTATGGAAGGAAATGCCCAAGTTATTAACGACACAAGTTGAGACTGTCAAGGAGAAAGTGTTCGAACCATCACAAGGACCATTCAGACAATCTCCTGCTGTGAGAGCTCGACCACCAGGACCAATTCATAAACAGTTTTTGAATGTCGAGAGCCCTCATTCTTCACCCCAAATCGTCGATACCTTCCAGTATAAAACTCTACCAGACGTACCATCTTGGAACAAACCTCCAAAGGAGCATGTTGTCGAGAAAACTCCTCTTTTCATAGGGTTCACTCGAAACTGGCTTTTATTACAGCAATGCGTTCTATCATATATAACCGCAGGATGGCCTGCAGAGGATATATATGTTGTGGATAACACTGGTACGATGAAATCTAACTTTTCGCCCAAGTCAAAGATCACACTCCAGAACCCTTCGTATCTAAATGTTGATCGACTCACAAACGTGTTTGGGGTCAAGGTAATTTCCACGCCCACACTCCTCACTTTTGCTCAACTTCAGAACTTTTATATTTACACCGCGCTTGAAAATGGCTGGGAGAATTATTTCTGGAGTCACATGGATGTGGTCGTATTCTCCGACGAAGACCTTACCCATGCACCGCTAAATCAGCAACGTGATCCTGCGACTTCTCATAAGTCTCTATACATGCGAGCGGTTGAGGAACTACGAAAGACCTCAGATCCGAGTTATGCGGAAGGATATGATGGATGGGGTATTCGCTTCTTCGAGTATGACTGGCTCGCGTTAAATAATATGGAAAGCTTCGTGAAAATGGGAGGGTGGGACCCGATGATTAGTTATTACTCGTCTGACTGCGATATGTACCAGAGGCTTCAAATGTCTGGTGTGATGCTAGATACAGCCGAGGCGGGGTGGGTTATTGACGTGGGAAGAACCATTGATTTGAACTTGTTCTTCCGTCGAAAATACAACCCAGATATGCCTCCGAAAACAGCAGCTGAAATGAACGCATTGGCGGAGGATGAGATGGGAGGAGAAGGTTTCAAACGTTTGTTACGCATAGTAAGAGATGAAGCGGAGCTGAAAAATAGTGATCCAAAAGAAAGAAATAATTGGCAACAGGAACAACTAGGTGGTAAAGGGGAACCATTTCATCGCGACCCGCGAGGCTTCGAACAAGCACTAAAGTTGTTGATTAGAAGTGGAGAAGAGATATATGCAGAGAAATGGGGTCACACAGGTTGTGATCTTAGAGAATCTGGATTACAATTAGAGGATGCTTGGATGGTCGAACACGATTGGGAGTAAAATCTTCAACAGAGAATTATTTATGTCACTCGGAACTTTCATTATACGAATAATTGATTTTTATCATCATTACTTGATTATTTGAAGAATGATATTCTTCATGCATGTCCCGTGTTGCACTTTCTTCCATCCTTCTCTTTTCGAAGTTTTCTCTGTGATTTACTTCTTCGAAGTGCTAGCTAGACCATATCTAGCACTTCAAAATCACTTATCTCTTTCCCTTTACCTCGTCTCGGGAGAACAATTTGTAAAAGCAGATCCGGCAGCTGATAAGACTTTTCAAATACATTACATTGCAGACCCAATAGTTTCATGGACCAAAGCGACCCTGCTGGTAATGCTGTTAGTAACGGCAACGTTCTAGAAGCAACCATGCCCCTCTCACCCATCCTAGCCCTTCGGGAACCTAATATCAGAAAACTAACTTCATCAATAACTGCTTGGAACGAAGAAACCATGAGCGAATCTCCAGATCCTTTCGCCGGAAAAGCTTTAAACCGAACGTCACTTGTCCGTCGTCTTTTGATAGCTCACTCGGATCTGTTATCCCACATCAAGGATTGAATCCATTCTTGCTCAAACCAGAGCACTATTATTTTAGATAGTTTTCCTGGTCGATAAGATTTACATCGGCCTCCTAATCCCGTCGCCAGGTGTAAAGCCGTTGATGGTGTTGATACATCGTTGCAAATCGTTCACCTCTTTAATAGTGTTGCACACATTTGTAAATGAATGCTGTAATTCCATGGACAAGGATATCTGCAGTGCTAGCTACAACTTCTCAATGAGAAGTACTCACACATTTGGCAATGGTGATGCTGCGCCTTATAGATTGCAATCAATCTCAAGGGAAAGTAGATCTTTTCACGGAGGGGATATCCAAGAAGGTGCCGGTGGTTTAGTCTTTGCTACTTCATTTGGAAAGAATCTCGGGCAGGGTTTCTAGAGCATTTTCGACTTTCTTTCGAGGTCTTCTTGCGATACTTATGGATCTCTTGTAAAAAATTCTCCTTATGTAATCCTATTATGCCAATAAAAAATTATAATTTCAAAAGTTGAGCGTAGTTGTTGCTCCTTCATTTTGAGAGATGCTGCGCCACAGATCGCTAGCGCCAGGGTTAACCTTACCCTCCGACACCAACATTTTTCTTCTCAATCAAAAACCACATCTCAAAAATATATATATATCAATATCATCGCCCTCATCTTTAAACATTTACAGAAATTGAAACGTATTGAATAGGCTTGAGCCGAAGTCTCTTTATATGCCTTGAAAAATGCGCAAGATTTTGACGCTAGGCTGCAAAACTCCTTGGAAGATTCTAGGTCGCGGTCATGGTTGGTCGGTCATGGCTGGTCATTCATGGTCGCTGGAGGTCTGATGGCATAAGATGGAAATGAGGAGTGGCGAGAAACGAAGGTAAAACGCGGGTGCCTTGCTGGCTAATAGTGATTCACGAGAGTCGAGTGACTAGGTTGTTCTTACTCTGAAGTTTGACCTCAGGCAATACGCAAGGTTATTGTGTGCCAATAGTTTTAGCAAGGGAAGCGTCAAAGGAGATCCGCACTTTTCTGAGGAGTTCGGTGAAGATTCAGATATGAGTACAATAATTATCATGACTAGTATAATGAATTGTTTCGAGAAGATTGTTTTCGAAGTATTGAAGCAATTGTTGCAACCATGACCACGCGTTTCGTCGCTGGGAATAGATGAGTCGAGCCGTGAGAAGCGTAAGAATGGAATATTCCATTCAGTGATAGAAATTTTTTGGATCTGGATCTTGAAGCTTCTCGGTACTGATGCAATGTTTGATCGAAGAAAATGCAGTTACGACAGGGAGTCTATATATGCTCGAAGTCTGCGCGATGGCATTATTGCAAACATTCCAAATATCTCCAGCAGATCACTTCTTTTATCGCCTCTCCGAATTTCCGTTATTACCTTTATTTTTGCTGTCTGTGACAGAACTGTTTCTCTTCTGCAACTTTAATCCTCGCGTCGATTTATGATGGCGCCCCGAATCAATCTAAAGAAGAATGAACTTGGCGCAGGCTGCATTGTAAATCTACACACAGATGGCGCCAGAAATGTGTGTGTAGGTACATGCTCGAAAGATCCTTGCCAGATGTTTTGTAAAAAGTGTGAGAATCGGTGTGTTGACACTGAGAAATACTGCAAATTGGATTCGGGGTCTTTTGACCACCCGGTTTTGGTGTTAGGTGTAAGGGATAAGTCTGATGGCATCTATGTCACTTTTGCCATTGTGAGTACGATTGACGCATATTTGATCGAAATTGCATGCACTGACTCAAGTAGATAGATTTCAGCGCTAGGAAAGGAATTCCCAGACTTCAAGACATTCTTACAAAAACGCGCTTGTCACCTTGGCGATCCTGACACACTAACCCCTTGCTCTTTTGGCCCCAAACATCTTTGGAAAGATGAAGAGAAGAGTTATCGGTTAGAGTACGCGGTGGAACCTAGTGGGTGAACTTCACAAAGTGTTGTTATCTTTTACTTCCGCACAGATATACTCTCAAAATCGAATTTTTTGCTACTTTCCGCCCTAAGAAGCATCAAAATGATTCTATCACTCACCATGTTTACGCTTTGCGCTTTACCGAAAATTCTTACAATATGTTTATGGAAAAATTGGGACTAACAAAAGAAAAGTTTGTCTCAACTGATGATTTGAAAGAGAAAATGGGAGGTGCTACAGAAACCATAGCCGAACTCTCGGAATCATCGCCTTTGTTTGATTTTGACAAGCGGGACAAGCGCATCCTTACACCAGCACATCCGCTCTAGCTATAAGACGTCAGCTTGCTAGAAAATAGCCCTAGCATCTACTCCTGGTTCTAAACCTACTGTCAGCACGATATCCGCACTTAGATTCTGATACGGCCTACTTCGGATGTAGGAGCCACTGATGCTTTGATATAGTCTGTCATGGCGGAAATGATGCAACCTAGTATTTGATCTAAGCGGTCGGTCCTCTCAATGATGCGTTGCCGAGTTTCTTGCCTCTAAACTGAGAGCTCGCTAGAGTTAGAGAAAAAAACTCAATACGGGCGTTCAATTCATTCAAGTACAACATTGAAATTGTCTCAATGTGCAGCCATTTTTTTCTTGAATCCCATAGTGAAAACTTCAATATCCCAAGTGGCAGCTATGACAGATAAGAGACAGAGGAACCCGGCAGTATTTGTGCTCTTTCATACTAACAGATATCGCTATATTGGATGCTTTACCGGCGAAACCTCAATTTAAATAACCTTGGAAGGCTGAACTATTAGCAACTACTGGCTTGAAAATCCAGAGATATGCTAGGTGACCGTAATTTTAGACCCACCATTCATCTGCTGGATTTTGTCTGATACATAGTTTTCTTCGCTTAAATTCATTGCCTAAGTGGCAACACCTAGAATACAAGTGTCTATCCGCATGACGATAAAGCGTTTCATCATTCGCATAATGAATGTTTCATGACCACTCGAGAAGCTATAGAGCTGGCTTATCGATCTATTTTGTCGCCTAAAATTAAGCAGCTCGTAGGCATCATGTGGGACAATTGAAGATCTCTCTGAAAGGCTGTCGGCAGAAAAGAATGCACCCGATTGATTGAATCATTTTGCTTCTATTTCCATGGGGTCTACCGGCCTTGCGTCAAACCTTGTTTCTGTAGTCACAATTTTGAGGCCACATCTCAGCCTCGCCACTGCCGTGACCTTAGATGGCCGTAAGCGCCAGCTTCTACCAATCATTCAACTTAAAGACGCAATTTTTTTTGTTTCCGTGATACAGAATCGGCTACGTTGGTTGGGGTTTTCCACGAGACCTGAAAGTGAAAGATCTCATCATACCTTCAAGCATGAGGCTGTGGGGAAGGATTTATTTCCTTTTTGTTGGAGTCGTGAGTGCGCAACAGCAGGCATTGAAGAAATAAATGGTGATTATTCTCCTCACATACTGTTTTGTTTGAATTCCTCCCCTACCAATCACAGATTTTCATCATATCTCATACCATATTCTTGCATATCGGCCCGCCGAGAGGTATTTGCGCACCAGTAGAGTGGCTTTATTTTTTCGCCATCATTCTCCGTATTTTCCGCGATGGCAATCGGGAGTTCTCGCGAATTGAAGACTACCAAACCACTTCTCGCTCCACCAAATGATGAACATTATTCTCGACCACGAGTGAGGTCGGGAGATTTATGTGTCGGTTGTATTGTTTGGTTGCCGTTGGACGGGTATGATAAGAATATCAAATGTTGTAAGAGGAAATGCTGTGGAAAAGCTCTTGCAGAAGATGGATACAACAATGCAGTTGTCGTTCTCAAAATCCGGCAAAGAAAAGGCTCAAGTATACGAGGAGATATTATTTGCTATGTTACTACTGTATGTTATCTTTGTACTGTCAATTAATTTTATACTGATCAGCAACAGATTACCACGTTCAGTGACACGAATCTAGAGAACTATTTATCACAATGTCCACACAATTCTGAGTTTCAACGATCTTTACCCATTAGCCCTGTTGATCAAGATAGCTGCGTGGAAAGCACACCATCATGGCTCCTTCGTCTGCAAAAGGGCGCGCTCAGGAAACAATCCTATGTGAATCTTGCTCACGTCTTTAAAGTTCCTGCTGGCAGCCTATCTACCTTTGGTTTCCGCAATCACCGAGCTTACAAACTCCGTCTGTCAGCCACAAGTTATAACATATTAATGGCGGAAATGGGTCTACGGAATGAACCTTACGAAGAGACTGCGTCGCTCTACAAGACTGCACGAGCTCGCCTCGAAGCACTTGCTTCCCAAAATCGACAAATTCCGACCACGATACCAAAAACAGCACAAGTAACATTCACAATTCAAGGCGAAATAGATCTTGAAAAGAAGAGATATCCCACTACACCATTCCCGGTCGCCGAGCCCGATTGTCCTCATCCGAAAATTGCCCCCACATCTTCCCCTCTCCCATTAGGACAACGGAGAAACGTCCGGTTCACTCTAAGCGAAATACCAAAATCAAAAAGTTATCTCAACGTGCCACAGGTAGGCAATTACGGAACAATTAATAATCAACATCTGCTTACTCCTTACCCAACTGCACCGCCGACCCCACTCACGGCACGCTATCATTCTTTCAGACCATTTGTGGATCATGGTTGGAGACATGTCGCTTTGAGATTTTTAGTTGGATGTTTCAGCTTGGGGACAGTGTTTGGTGCGTTCAAGATGATGTGGTCAGGGAAGTTATTCCCCGCTGGTTTGTGATGGCATATGGTTGTATTTATGAGTGGCACATTTATGGAGGGTAGGCGTTGATGTTCGGATATTTATTTTTGTCTGGTGATACTTATGTCTTTACAGAGAAGTGGGATCTGGCGTGGGTTGGAAAAAGGTACTCGAATTGCTGTTTGCCATTGTGTAGTCTTTTTGCGAATTGTATCTAAAACACGTTGAAAGTATTATTATCTGTGGAACTGTTATGTGTGATGATCAAGTTAGAGGAAATATTCTTCTTTAGCACAGCTGCAGGTCAACGACCTAAACAAACCTGTCATCTTTCGCAGGAAAGGATATCATGGTATTAGGCTAATGCAGCCTACAAATCGCACTATATTCCGAAGTCCTACTAAAAACTTCTCACTGCTTTTTCCGAACTTTATCACATCCAAAACTCCCGTACTCTGGAAAACAATTTACTCCACAACATCTTCAAAAACTACACCATATCATTTCTTCATCTTTAGCTTCAGTGTAATGCTATCCCCTGCATAGTTTGTAGAGGACTAAGCCAACGATTTTCCTGCCCTTCCGAATCTTCTGACTAGGTTTCAAAAAAGCGCCATTTTTTCAAATCAGTGCTTGTGTGTTTGTTATGGATTAAAATTTAGAAGGATGGATATACGCCTTTTTTTGCCTCTGTTTTCATTCACTGCCGCTTGATTGAACTTGGTGTTTAGTCACTTCAACTACTTTGAGTATTTTAGGTCGATTGTGGATTTCCTATCATTTATAAATGTGTCGAGTTCTTTCTAGGGCCAAATAAATTTTGTGGTCAAAACAGAGATTCTGGGAAAGATTCTTCAGATCATTTAAACGTCAATACTTAATCAAAAATAATGGAATTAGAGCTTGCCCACGAGTGTGTGATAGGCGAAACCGTCTCTTTGATGCCTCCTAGCAATATAAATTTAACGCGAGTCCCATGTCGGAAAATCCTTGTCATCTTCTCCAAACGGCGGTTTATGACCAAATTTATCAAAGTATTGTTGCATCTTTCCATAATACTCTGATCCTTCTTCACAAAAAGCAAACATCTCCATCCTATTTTTCACTCGTCCTTTATAATCACTCCAACGATGGTAACAAGCATGTCTCTCAGGCTCTTTAGTCCACTGTATGAGTTGATCAAAGTTCCTGCACATGCGAACTTGTTCGTGGCCGATTTTGTTTGGGAAATGGTTCACTAAACGTTGATGGTTAGTTTAGAATATTAAACGCATTTGGACCATAATCCCTTTAATAACACAATGCAACAAGGCAGAAGTGAGCTTCTATTTACTTACTGGGCATGGGCGTGTCGTCTGCATTGCACATCATATCTTGCCGCAGTGCGTCCAAACAGTGATTGACATGACCAGCAGAGCTTCCAATTTGGTTACCGCGCTCATAATCGATAAAGGCTTTGCGCAATACCTTCTAAACAGAGATTCTCATCAGCAAGGTAACAAAGGGTAACAAAGTGTGCCTAGAAGTGCTGCGTACCAGGCAATGTAGTCCGTGGAATGCTTTCAAAAAGTAAATTCCTTTTGCTTCGGGATCCCATGGAAACCGGAAAACTGATAGTGGCAGCTGATGCTCAGTGGCCCAGTCATCATCAAGTGCCACAACAAGCGGGCTTGTATCAATTCTATCCCACATCTCATCCTGCAGCGTGTCGTTGTTGCTCATGTAGTCCGTGTGATTATAGTATATAAGGGGAGTATCGTAGGCGAGACGTGCTTTCTATTGATTAATCCAAGCTCGAGGATGAAGTTTTCACGCAATTTTTCAGGTGATAACAGTTGACTAGTTGCAACATGGATTGGACATACCGTATCTAGAGAGGGATAAATCATTCTTTGTAGATTCTGTGTCAATCACCTTCATAGCTAGAAGGAGAAGGATTGTATTGCTTGAAAGAAGACATAGAATGATGAACACCAGTAATTTCGTCGTGAAATCAGACTGGTGGTAAGTCGACTTGACTGACTGCTTTTTCGTTGGAAGTCGAGATACATAATCTTCTCCTTCTGTGTCCTGATCATCTTCTAATAGATGGATCTTCGAACTCATTATGTCCATAATTTGGAGAATGATTATAGAATTAGGTCTCTGCCAAACCGCTATCGAGAAAGAATGACCTTCCACCTCAATCTCACAAATAAATTCGGTTGCTCAATTGAAAAATCTCAGATAGCTCTTGGGCTTTTCTTGGTCCTTCGAAAGGTGTACTAGACTTCGGAATAAAGATGCCGGGATCTTATTCTCCATGGAATTAAATTGGTTTCACGGCATTTGTTGTTATCAACGAGGCTAGAGGTCTTGGCAGTGTGAAAGATAAGAACGAATCTTGAATCCTTGCAGAATTCCATGTTTATCAGGAGTGTGGCAAAAGATTGCTGTCGGCAGTTTATTCAGACGTTGATAATCGATACATACTGTCTGCTGTCCAATCATAATCCATTTGCAGATGCATACGCAATGCCACGTTGGTAACTCCTCGTTCACTACGACTTTCCTTTTTGGATGCGGTATCTATGAGGGGCCAGCCATCTCCCAACATATGTTTTCGGTTCACAATAAGAATCGTACAGATCTCCAGCTTAACATATCTGGAACGCAAACTCCCAGAGCATTCAGCAAACAAAAATACGCTGTATACATTGTATACGTTAATTCATCTCCCTAAGGTAAATTCTATCATGCCTAAACCCGACGTTTCACAATTTTCTAATGGCTATCAAAATTTAGCTCTACCAATTCAGCATCATGCGCTTCTTCACCTCCCTCCAGCTCGTTGCTGTGATGTTTGCCATCGGCTCTTCCTGTTTGGCAGTTAGCACCAAGGACATGATAAGGGGCACTGCATCAGACATTGAGATCATTAAAGATACTGAGTTAGGGGACATTGAATGATAAACTCCGTTAACTCTTTCCAAGAAAGGTATGGATGTGAAAAATCTAGTTTCAACTTTCTGGGCTGATAGATCCGAAGTGTTTCTTTGGGAGAAGGTCAGGGTATTGCTATTAAATCGCAGTAGTCGCAGTTTGCTCCTGTCCTCTGGTTTCTACAGTGCTGCTGGCTTCTCCGCAATTCTTGTTTTGTCAAATTAGAAGCAATGCCAATTACTCTGTCGGATGAACGTTCACAATCGTGATATTGTAATCTTTACCATATTTAGTTGATGACAGCATCAAGAAATCATTATTTCTTCGTGTTTTCCAAGTAGGGGGAATAGAAGATTCTTCCAACTAGCATCATAGGGAGATATCTCATAATTGGAGCAGTACATGCTAGTAGACCGAAATGAAAGATTGCTTGAGCCCCAGTTTTGAAGTTTCGATTTATGTCTAGTATATTTATTGGAATAACACATGACTGTAAAATTGCTATCGAGCAAGCTCATAACCACTCTCGAGAGTCGATGAAATCTGATCTGATAATTCAAAGAGGCTGCCATGGTCGATTCCGTTGACCATCTTTCGTGACACCACCAAGCGGTCGCCACACTAGAATATAGGCGCGTCAGAGATTGCTTATCAGAACGAAGGATCAAAAATGCATGGGGACAGAAAATTGAGTGAGGGGATATGTTTGGGAGACGGGCTCGGCCAGATTTAAATCCCGATTGATGGAACTTACTTGCATACCAAGGAGGCATCTTGAGTTCATGTGCGAGCTTGTTCCACAAGTCTGACTTGTTGGAAGGAATGAATAAATCGAGTTTCATCACAACTCGATATCCCCACTTCTCGTACAAGCGCCTGCCGAGCTCATTGGCCTCAATGAAACCTTCTATCCCCATTTCATCAATTCTAGTGTTCGCCCATTCCATCATTAACCCACCAACACCACGAGACCTGTGATCAGGGTCTACGACCATCATGTACAGTCCTAAAGATTATGTTGCTAAGCGAATGACGACTCGGATGCTAGGGTAGGGTCACAAACTCACCAGCATTCTTACCATGCATCCATAAGCTCCTTGGCGTCATGGATTGTCTTATCATTTCTTCACAAAACTCCTTGGCCTCTCCTTCTGGCCACCAGTAAACGTTTGGCTTTGGAATACCGTCTGGGAATGGATTTCCGTCATGCCATTTCCACAAACAACCACCGACAATTTTCGAGCTTGCATTTTCTTTAACAATTATCCAATGGTTGGTTGCAGGATCCGCGGCCAAATGCTCTTTCCACAACCGTTCTTGTGACGCAGCGATCCCTGCAGCCCGGTCCTCCAACGAGTAGCCAGACACGGGAAAAAAGATAGAGCTCGATGGCATGTAAGGAGAATATTGAGCTTTGAAGATAACATCTACTACTGCGTCGAGTTCCTCCCTTGTTTGAAGCTCCTTTAGCGTGTAACGTGACATGGTCTAGGATTGGAATTGATGTAAAAAGTATGGACTTTGAGACTGAAGGTTTCTGTTACACCTAGAATAAAATACAGTCCGTAAGGAAATATGTAGATCTATTCATTTCGTGTTCATTACTGTGACGGGCTGAAAGACTTCGGGGGACTGTATATTTTTCCAAGTCAGCATCTGTGCCGGTCAGCGTCTGTGCCACCCCACCCCCGCATTGAATTAGCGTTTCATGTACGGAAGAAAACGGCTATATCATTAAGCTTTATATCACTAATAACTGCCCCGAGTAAAGTTATCCCTGGATCTATCGTGCATCATGCCGGAATTAGCTTGTTAATTAACGGCACAGACACACAGGCAGCCAATCACATTGCAACAGTTGATCATTTACAAACTGTTGAAGTCGTACGACATCATCATTTGTGGAACACTCTGTCTGGCCAACACTTCCATATAATGCCTGGATTCAAACTTCAACCCCGGCTAAAAGTACCTTCCAGTTTCAGAGGTGAGATAGTTATAGATGCAAGTACCTTGATTTGTTCAAGTTAAGCGATTATCCGTGCCTCTTTTCTACCCCCTGTAGGCTTGATAGAGTGGCCAATGTCTGTTTGAAATGATATCTCCAGCCCTGTCATGTATCTGCGACCTCATTTCAATTCATTTTCAGCTTATTCCAATATTACTACCACATTATCTTTACACGACTGCTGCGGGCTGATCCACTAAACGTACGCCATAGGTCGGCAGAAAACTAATCAACAACCGTTCAACAGACTTCCCACACCATTACTTCACACCAGAAGTACTAGTATGTGGCGTAATAATAACAAGCTTTTATTAGGGGCTCGAATGAATATCTTGTACGCTATATCCGTGTGCTTCGTACTAGTAAAATCTATTCAAAATTCTCCAACGTTTTCCCACACCACAACTTGGGAATCGGTTGGTCATGGCTCATGATCAAGATCCAGGCTATGTACTCGCCGCAGGCTCAGTATTTTTGGTCCTCTGCATTATATCCGTGTCTTTACGGGTTTTGACACGATATTTGCAGAAGGCTAGGTTGGGCATAGATGACTGGTTGACTATCCCGGCTCTTGTTGGTTTGCTCCACTTCTATCTATCTTTCGCGTCTCAAAGCTTAATACTAATCATGTTATGCGATTAGTTAATGGTCATTGGTTGTTCATTGGTCTTGATTATTGGTTTGTTCTCACGTCGAGCATTAACTCTCAATATTAACTGGAATCTAGGTGTGGACAAGAAAGTTCTCGCATACCCTACACCAGCACCGAAAGATCTTCAAGACCCTGACGATGAGCACAGTGTTAATTTCACGACTGTGGAAAAGGTATGAAGCCAATTTCCTGAATTGAAAGGTAGAACTAATCGCGAAATAGCTGGAATGGGCATTTTTCCTTATGCAAATTATGTCCATGGGCTTTACAAAGCTTAGTTTCATATTCTTCTTCAGAAGAATATTCGTAACTAGCCGTCGATCGCTGTTCTCAATGGTATCTGCTTGTGTTCTGATACTCGTTGTACTATGGTGCCTGGCATTTTTCCTTTGGTTTCTTCTATCTTGTGGCAATAAGTTTGCTACCAGATGGACCACAATCAATACGCTCCATCACAACTGTCCAAGCGACATCAAGAGTGATCTTGCACTTGCAATTTCTGACTTTTTGACGGACGTAATGATACTGGGTCTCCCTATCCCGATGGTACGTATATTGACAATCGCCTCTGTATTCGAGAGACATTATTTTGATGCGCTGCTGAGTTTAGGTTTTGAGGCTCCAGATGTCGACTAGTAGAAAGTTCGCGGTGCTGGCTGTATTCGGATTAGGTGCGGTGTAAGTACCGTAAAGCATCGACTTCTATTGAGGAAAATAAAACAAAACCACTGACTGTTATTCTTTGTTAGTGCTCTCGTAGCATCCATCATTCGGCTGGCTTTGTTTGTCAATATCACTGGAAGTTAGTCCGAGATTGAACACCGACCATTATTGATCATGCGGGAAGTCTAGGCAAGAACACTCTACTGACATTGGATATAACAGTTGCATCCGGAAAGATTAAAGATCCTAATGCCGATAACGATTGTGCGTTCCAAAACCTTCCCTTCTCCTCTCTGTAATTGATAAAACTAACATGAAAATATAGTACTTACCACACGTTCTCTATTTTGGTCAATGTTAGAGTCGGGACTTGCACTTATAGCATGCTGCTTGCCCTCTTTGAACTACTTAGCTGGGCTGCCTCCATTCCGTTCAGTTATTGACAGTTTTCGAAACATTACTAGCATCCGGTCTTCATCTGAACATTATAAAATGAGCCAGGGAAATGATAATTCCCAACTCAAAGCTGAAGACCAATCATTGGCTTCGCGAAAAGCCCTAGTACCTGAGTCTGCTGATTCTGCTGAGATCGAGACATACGCCATGGGTGATGTACCAAAGATTAATCACGGGAGAAGGGCTGGGAAAGACGGGATCTGGGTGGATAAAGTAGTAGAGCAGGAGAACTATATCGTGTAGAATATTCTGTTGAATTTGAAGTACCTAGGGAAAAGTAGTCAAGATAGTCTATGGAGCCTGAGAGAGTTGGGGATTGGTTGGTGGATTCTTAATATAAAGGCAGAATATGAACGATTCAGCAATCATAAATCAGGCAAATCCCACTAGAATTTATGTCCGAAATTCAGAATATAGTAGGTCGTACAGGTTCTTGTAAGACACTCAAATTGATTGGTGTCTACGCCGCAGAAATGCAGACAGATGTGGGGCCATGAGGTTACAGTCGGCAGTTGCGTATCGTGAATGATACAACATTGGAGATAAGATCCTGATTCCTGCTTCTCTTTCAATTCAAATGTGCCAAAAGTTTTAGTCCAGCTTCTGCATCATGAAGGAAGAAAAGGAAAAACCAGATAATCTCACTGACGCGAATCCTGGCACTACCATCTCAATTTTACCAACAGTGCTAGGCCCTACCAGCACACCGCTTTCCAGCACCTCTGGGGCTGCTGTAGACTACGATGGACCCAACGATGTTTCGAATCCTAGAAATTGGTCGAAAGTCTATAAATGGACTTTAATGATTATAATCAGTGGGCTCTCTATGACAACGTAATGAACCAGATTCAACTATATCGCACTATCAGTGTTACTGACGGCTTAATGTAGGAACATCACCGTACTAATCTGTGCTCCTGCCATACCACAGATTCTGGAGGAATTTCATTCCGTTAGTGTACTAAATTCAACTCTCATCGTTACGATATGGAACTTGGGAGCTGCTATTGGTTGTCTGTTCATGGGACCTCTGAGTGAAATTTACGGGCGTAGGCCCGTCTACAATCTGGCAAACCTCTTGTTCCTTCTCTGCATTATAGCAGAGACCCAAAGCAAGAATGTTGCTATGATCATCGTTTTTCGATGCCTGGGCGGAGTAAGTACAGCTACGACAGCCTTGAATCCAACTATTGTGGGGGATATGTTCAGTGTTGAAGAGAGAGGCCGTGCTCAGTCACTTCTTTCCCTTATGCCTCTGATAGGACCAGCCATTGGGCCTATATTCGGGGGCTATATAGCACAGGCAAAGGGCTGGCGATGGACATTCGGTCTAGCTGGCATTACTTCTGGAACATTTAGCATTCTGTTCTTTCTAGTGTACCGTGAAAGCTTCGATGGAACAATCCTCCGTAAAAAAGCAGCACGGATGCGCAAGGAGTCCAATGATGAAAGTTTTCATTCTCGGTTCGATCAACAAGGCTCGAAGACAAATACGATGGTCAACGCACTCGTGAGACCACTCAAGATGTTCGCCGCTCCAATATTCACAATATTGGTATTCTCTATTTGTTTACTTTCTTCATATGTATATCTATTAGCATCGACAATCACCGAAGTATTTCAGACAAATTATGGATTTTCAGAAGGTGAAGCGGGGCTCACGTTTCTTGGGCTCGCTACTGGCATGGCATTAGGTGCAATATTTTGCTCGGCAGTTTTAGATTGGTACACAAAGCGGATGAAGCTTCTCCATGGCGGCGATATCAAACCAGAATGGCGCCTCCCTCCGATGACTCTGGGATTTGTCATTGCTCCTATGGGGCTTATCATTTATGGTTGGACGGCTTACTACCATATACACTATATTGTTGCAATTATTGGAACTGCACTATGTGGTTTTGCGAGCTATACTGTAGTGGTTCCAGTTATTACATACCTGGTTGATATATCTGGGATTTTTCGGGGTTCCGCAATGTCTGCAATGACCATGTCTCGCAATGTCATGTCTACCGTTTTACCTCTAGCCGGGCCGCCGTTATATCGGTCACTCGGTTTAGGTTGGGGAAACTCCGTTCTCGCCTTTATTGCCCTATCATTCGCTCCTCTGCCATTTCTTTTACTTCTATATGGAGAGCGTATTCGGAGCAAATCGCGACTAGAAAACTGGATACAGCAGCCCTAGTCTAAAGCTCGGGTCAAGCAACTCAACTTTGCAACGAGCACCGTGGTGATTGTACCTGTGGTTTTGTGTTAGCGAAGATAATGCTACAGGCTCTCATTTCTAGAGTAAGGATTGTTAAATGACAAGAATCCATCATTTTCAAAGACTGTGTGCTATTCACATGCAAAGTCAGACGGGAATTGCTTTCATGGTTACTTTCAGAAACGTCTCTAGACTTTAAAGATGTATACCAGAGTGAATTCTACCCTTACCGCTCAGGCCCTTAGCCTCTGGTAAAACTAGGAGAGCATCTGTATAGTTCTCGTCAACCAAGCATGCGTCGGAGTTGCCTGCGATGCAAGAAGTGCTGCCATACAAAATAATTTTTCCTTAACAATTTTATAATTTTTACACCGAAATATAATTTTGATTTAGGGAAGTGAAAGTGAAAATAAATTTAAATCGACCCGGGTATATAATTGATTTTAAATCAAATATAATAAGAAATTTATATTTTAAGATATTTTTAAGTCTATGTGTAATTTTATTTTCGGTGAAATAAACGGATATAAGTGTGACGGAAATCCCTGCTTTCCTCCCACCCTTATTATATAAGAAACCTCAGGTACATTAACCATGTCCACACATGATACGATTATTCGGGATTAGTATACGATTTAGGTGACCTAAGGATCAGATCCGGACAAGTACTAGGTATCAATGGTTATCGGTAAAGTAAGATCATTGGAGGGATAGATATGACTTCTTTTTGCCTAGCCATTGCGGCTAGGCCATTCATTTGTGTGTATATAGAGCATCTATCCCCATCTACAGGTGCTCTTCACCTGTAGATTCTAAGTTAAATACAATTGCTGGTCTATAAACACACTTTTGGTCACAATAAGGCTTAATTGGGATATGAAACCGGATTTAAGATCTGATTGGGATATCGGAAAAATGATTTCTTCGGGGTATCGGATATCAGTGTCACAGTAACCGTGGACACTGTTCGTCGCTTGTCAAAATCACATCAAAACTCATATAAAACACTTGAATTCTTTTATTCTTAAAGTTAATAAAATGAATTTTTTTTAGTTTTAATTGGTCTATTTTTATTTGAATTTTATAAAAAAAATATATACTTTATTTTTGAAATCTTTTATTTATCATAATTTTCGAAGTGTCCTCTCGCGGGAGTCACGGTCATATGATTTTGACATGATCTCGAGCAATTAGTTTCATGTTATAGTCAAAAGCTGCCGTATCGTCTTTTCCGATACGTCCTTTCTTGAGAAACGCTTATGTGTTCTCATTAGAAAATTGCACTAGTCAAAGCCTGTCGGACATAAGTCAAGCCCTACTTCCACTACGTGTAGTGGGAAGCCTAGTCACACGCCAATCTAGCCTTATCCCCACATCACGAAGACAGTGTATATGGAGTGATAATTTTGGGTGTAGGCGAAATGCGACGGGCTCTAATTTCGGATACAGTGCAGTAGATCCATTTTGCTCAAGCTTTGATGCAGAATATACCACTAGGAATGGATCTTAAGGTTAGATGAAAGATTTGAATAGGCAAAAAGCCTTCCTGCTAATAAAGAGATAGGGAAAGAGGTATTCTCCCTTTGGCCCTTGTACATAGCAAACAGTCACCTCTTTCACCAAAAGCCTAGACTCCTTGTTTCATAGCCGACTTGACTCGCTTATGTATAGAGATAAAAAAAAAACTGCAGGTGCATTTGAAGTGAAGGTTTCCATCCCTAATTCACGAAAATAACAATGGATATCAACAATCAATTCCCAAACAATTTTTTTTTTTTGGCTATTGTAGCCAACTGCCACAGTGAATTGAAGAGTTGTATTCACTTTAGGATCTTGTCGGCAAGGCTACTAAGTTTCTCATCTTCCAAATCATGGAGTTTCCCCAAAAAATAATTGTACAACAACCATTGCGACACCTTGGATATCTTTGAACCAACGGAATCGCTTTGGAAAGCTCGCAGCTTTTCTTAAAACTACTAAGCTCCTCCATAAATCCTACTCTCATTGCTCCCGTACAATTTTTCCTTTGGAAAATATCAAAATGGCTGGTCGATACAACGAATCTTTCAGCTCTTTGCCTGTGGATTTCACATCATATCCATCACCTGTGACCTCTCAATATCCGAACTATCAATATCAGAGTGGCACTCAAGGGTATAGCATGCAACACAGCCAAGGAGAGCCGGCTATTCCCTATCATGAATATGGCCAAACAGCCAGTGTATACCAAGAGAATGATCAAAGAGACAACCTGTCCCGAAATAGTGGTTTTTCTCTTGACACTCTATACAGCCAGGGCACGGCGTTTCCTCTTCCTCATGGAGTTGGTCAAACGAGCCTCTCCTTCTGCCCCCAATATAACCATGGCAGTTATATGGGTAATGTGCCTTATGACCAGGGCCCGATAAACCCTTCTCAGGATGTATTTGGTCAAGTAGTTACCCCTATCCGCCAACATACTTTTATGCCACAGGAAAACAACAACCATCCAAGATGCCAGTTCAATACAACTCCGCAGAGGTATGTACATTACCACAATCCTCTGTATGGATTCTCTCCCGATGCACAGAGCGGCGCTTCGTTCAACAATACTGCCAGCCCACTTATTAATTCAACTGTGTCGGCTCCTGCCAACTCAATGCGACCTGAATACAAAACACCTCCGCGTTTAGTAACACCAGGCGCATCTAATTCATATGGAGAGTGTCTTATGACGCTTTCCAATCAATATCCATTAGGAGTCCAAGTTAATAATGGATTTGGCCAAATCTTGGCGAACACCCCAGTCCCACGCACACCACAGTCGACTCCGGCAGGGCTATCGGATAGAATTCATAATGCCACTCCTGATAATAACTATATTACCATCAAGCGAAAACCGGCAATGAGACCCAAGAATGATCCAATTCATGCAGAAGATGTAATGCATGGATCAATTGTATGGTTATCCAAGCATCAAGGTTGGCATGAGCCCATCATATGCGTCCAGAACCATGAGTGCAATGACAAGGTCAAAGAAATTGATGGCCATAACCATCCAGTCATGATTTTGAGAATCAATCAACGACATGGTTCGGACATCATTGGAGATATTGTGCTCGACATCGCAATCGTAAGTCTTCATCCTTTTGCTGCCTCATCATTGATTTTAAATATCGTCTGTGATAGTCCAGGTAGATATGAAATTCAGTGCCTTTCCATATCCATGTGGATAAGCTCCGCGCTCTTGCATCAATTTGCTCAAAGGCTGATACTAATTATTTTCATAATAGATGACAACCCTCTGTGGTCTCAGCCTTCATGGATATGTCCAGAAGTTGCGCACCCTCGGTCCCGATACATCAAAACAATGGTATCTTCAAGAAACCATGCCATTGTCGTGGGTACCACAACAAACGTCGAATCTGAAAGGCTCCAGACTTGAAGAGGTAGTTAAAAATGAAAAACGCTTGGAAACCGAGCATCATGCGGAGCTCAATGAGCGCGGGAACACCTTGTTGTCTCTATCGCGGGGAACCATGCAAAGACGAACATACATGCGAGTTCATCATATATACGCCGTTCCCATCAAGCAATTGCAAGCTTGCAGTCGATACGCAAAGCTTGCACATATGATTCGCTTAGATGAGGTCAGCTATAGGAGGGTGATGGAAAGCTTGAATTTAGTACCGGATCCGTGGGAAACTAGCGTTGAAAAAAGCGTCGCATCCGCCCCACAACGCCTCCGAGATTTTCGGGACGCAGAGATGGCTCGAATGAATGCTTTTCGAGTTACCAATCGGCTGTGTCTCCATCAGGAGGATACTGACAAGCAAGGCCTGGCCATCAGTCAACATAGGTCGCCTAGCGACGTTGCAGCGGGTGAGTTAAAGGAATATGAGGACCTGTGAAGTACCTATAACTCAAATAAACTTGGAAATCATGGAGTTGCTCTGCATGCCATTTCCGGAATCCAGGGAACAACTTTTAAATACAGATACGATACTATTACACACATAACCGTTGTTGGAGGAGTCTAGTCGCCTTGACGTTAGCTGAGGTGGCGAGTGAGGGAAGTTTTGACGAAAAAACGCTGGGTAGCTAGATAGAGCAGCACTTCTCATATTCACCTTTCGGAGTCCGAAGCAGCGGAGTCTGGAAAATGATAGAAGACAAATGGCAAGCACGGGGGAAATTCTGATTCGTGAATGGGATTGACGGGATTTCGGAATCTGGATAAGATATGAAGGGCGAATGTTATCTTGCAAACAGATACCCAAGTCAATATACGAATGCTTTTATTTCATACCATCTTGCCACAAAACATGTTGCATGTTGATAGCTAGACACAAGCAGATAGTAAGATTCGACACACCTGATTACTCAACATGATATCCACTGATCCGAATGCCACTAGCTCACCATTTTTTCTTGAATTTTTGCATTTATTTCGTTAGTTTTACCCCACTGCATCACGTCTTCCCCCTTCAATATCATCCATCAAGTGAACTCACCTTTTAACCGCGATTCTACCTCCACGCAGCCAATTCGCGGAAAACCCATGGAGACTTGCAGATCAAAATCCACATTTCTTCCTCTCCACCACAAAGTCGAAAAAGAACTAATAGTCAGCTCTTGAAAGACCGACTACTTCGTAGTCGAGCAAAGCCAATATCCCGGAAAGCAAAATTGTCCCGCCACTTTCTAACCCCGAAACCTCAAATTCAACATTATAAGATTGAGGCGGGATAATTTGCTTTCCGGGGAACCTTCGCTTTCCCCAATTACGAAGTAGTCGGTCTTTCAAGTAGCCGACTTTTAGCAAATCATTCAAAATTGCGAGCGCATAAAAGTGATCAAAAACTAATGCGTGCATACATTAGTTGATGCATGAGATGTGTGACTACTGCAGTAGCCGGCAAGTGCCCACAGCACCTCCACACAAATCCTGCCACGTGCATGTCAACCAGGCAGCTTTGAAAGGAACGTGTTAATGGCCACGATGGCCCAGACTACGCTCTAGGAAGAGCGCACATGTCCTCAAGACGCCAGTTAATTTGCAGCATTCATAGTAACATCAATTTTGGGATGCTGCTTTTGAGGATTTATTCATTAGTGAGGAATTGAGAAGCCAGGCTCAATGGTAAACATCATGAAGAGGGTTTGTGACCTTTTTTCCATGGTCTATACGCCCAGTTCATGTGATCCATTGGAACATAGCTAACCCTCACGGGCCCAAAATCACATAAAACTCAAACATAGATGATGAAACATACAATAATTTACGACTTCTTTGAACTATCTGAAGATCCCTTAGAGGTATAATTATTAGAGCATCACAACTCGGGAGTATCGGCAAAACAAGAGCCTTCCATGCCCGCTGGGTATCTCGTACCACTAACCACTACCTTTTCAATAGCCGTTCTTATCTCCCTCTCCTCTTGTCTACTGAGCTGCACATGCAATGCACCCACGTTTTCATCCAAGTACTTGATCTTCTTTGTTCCAGGGATCGAGATAACATCGTCTCCCTGAGCAGCCAGCCACGCTAATGTCAATTGTCCTGTTGAGACACCTTTCTCAGAGGCGATTTTCGCCAAATCGTTTACTAGAACAAGATTCTTCGGGAAGTTCTCTGCAGAAAATCGAGGGGCCATGCGACGGAAGTCGGTAGGCTCGAAGTCGGCTGGGGATTTGTATTGACCAGTGAGGAAACCACTACAGATAGGTCAGCATAGAGTTGATACTTATTGGGGAGGACATTTGTTGAGAACATACCGGCCGAGGGGTGAATAAGCAACGATAGCGATGCCCAGCTGGCGGCAAGTGTTCAAAACATCATTCTGTTCAATGTCCAATGCGAATGGAGAGTATTCGATTTGGACAGCATCAATATGGTGGACCTTCTCTGCACGTCGGATCGTCTTTGCGCTAACTTCTGAGAGTCCTAGATATTTGACCTTTCCTTCTCTATTGACACATACATTAGCATGGCTTCAACATGGCGTATCTCGATGGTACTCTGCACAAACTCACCTCTTCAACTCAGCCATGGCCTCCACTGTCTTCTCAATGGGTGTCTTCCCATCTACCCGATGACAATAATACAAATCGATGGATTTTACCCCCAATCTTTGTAAACTCTTCGCGCACGCTTCTTTCACATACGCCGGACTGGAATCAATTGAAAAACTTCCATCTGCACCGATTTTATTTGCGAATTTCGTGGCCAAGAAAATCTGATCACGTTTTCCAGTTCGTTTGAACCATTTGCCAAGTAGGTCTTCGGAATCTCCATACATGTCTGCTGTGTCCCAGTTGGTTTGCCCAAGCTCAAGGGCTCGGTCGAGGACCTTGAAACGCTCTTCGTCGGAGTCGACTTTGCCGCTAGCTTGGAGTCAGTACGTTCACTTGGGATGAGGACGTGGTGTGTGAGATATCTCTTTAAACTAGGATCTGGGGAACTCACTAAAATGTACTTAAACCCATGGTTCCAAAGCCTTGAGCGACGACATCGGGGCCGTACTTGCCCAGTTTGCGAGTTGGAAGACGAGGCATTTTCGAAATTTGTATGTGGATGTGCTGTTTTGTTGTTTGTTTGATGTTTGTTTAAAGTGAATGATGTGTCGATCGATGTGGAAGGGAATCCTCAAGGCGGACCCTTCTGTTCCCTTTATATGTCTCCCCTCGTTCATCCAATATCTCCTAACTCCATGTCAAGCCTCTACCCCACCAACAAGCGTCGGATGTACATCCAGAGTTAGATAACCTCCGGTCAGGCATTGTTATCCATGTTTTCAGTCCTATTGGCGACGACAATGATGTTGATTCCGGATTGTTAGGTGGGTTTGGTGGTGATGTGGTGACAACAATGAGATGATAATGATCCAGGGTCTTAGTGCATGCATATTAGTGGCTCCTCCTCCCAAGAGCCCCAATAAGGCCCGATCACAACCCCACACAAGCCCCGCACGAACTTATGATTACGAAGATGACAGTTCTAAGCAGGTATACGCAGTATTTCAAATCACACACAATGCAAATCGCGGGTAAGGTTAAATCAGGCTAGTTATACGAGCTGAGTATTTTTAGTTTCTGTTATATAATTTCAATCCTCAATGAGGTCTGGGGAAACCAAGAAACTTCAACAACTTAAGTATGAAGACTTTTGCCAGCCACTTGCATACTTGTAAGTTTCCAAGTGGTTGCGGATGTAGAGAATACCAAAAGGAGAAAGCTGAATATGGGGCCTCTGGTAATCATGCACGTCACAAATCAATAATGAGACAGAGGGGGTTTATAGTGGATACAGCGGATACCATTGGTGTATGTTTTCCATACCTGAGAATTGTTTGAATGCCAACATTAGAAGTGAACAGAGAACAGTATTGTACAGTTGCCATTTACTTTTGATTTGATCCCCAAAAAATCCCAGAATAGAAATCCATACCTAGTTAATTCTGGCTTCACAGGTTGACATTCCCAGACGCACTTCTTACTTCATGCGGGGGTGTACAGTAGAATCCCACTATACCGGCCCAAAATATTCTGGTCAATTCAAGCCCCTTCTACGAAGTTTTGAGGATCTAACCTTATCATTTGATACATCCATGAAAAAAAATGCACAGACTCTTTGCATGTAACTTTTGCGTTGAAACTATCAAATTTTGGCCGGTAAGTATTTAGATACCGGAATCCCGATACTCATAAAAATTTAGGTTTTAAAGACTTTCGACCGAAAACACGGGATTTCGGGATAAAAGTGGCTGTTATAGCAAGGTTCTACGGTATAAACTCGACAAATTGGCTTCCGCTCCTGCTTAGAAACATCAATGGATATAAGCTAATAGTGGATAACAAAACTTTGCAATTATTCAGCTTTCCCCGGCTTTGGACTAATCGGGTTAAGTAGGATGCCACTTTGTCGAGTTTATACTGACGGTACTATACGTCCTCCCCAACATCAAATTTCATTTCATGATCAATAATTGTCGATAAATTGTGATTTATCGGTGACAAGTTGACAGCCTAACGTGGACTCAAGGGGGTTAGCGATGGAAATGGCTTGCTGGCCTTCTGTAGCACAATGGTGCTAATCTAAGGAGCTTTTGACCTTCGTAAGGATCTTTCCCCCAAAGACTGGAACTATTAATGAGCACGTTTTAGAACAAAACCACTTCACCACATTCTATTTTGTGGATAAAGTATGAAGGAGTAAAATTACCTCCCAAGTTTAAAGTTTCGGACGAAGATATGATGCTCAAGTGGTGAAGAATTGCGAGCAAATGATACACCCTATCATCTAACAGCAACGGCCTTCCAATGCGAGACACAAACGGAGATGCTATTCAGGAGGTGTCGTGGTGAATGATATTGAATTCTGCTAGCTCAGCCTCAAATATCAGCTTAGGTTCGTGTCTAATCTCTGAAGGACAACTTTCTGATGGCAACAACACGCTGGTGCTCACGCGACTGCTAAGCTGATCGCTTTCGCCTGGCACTCAACCAAGAGCTTTGCTAACCTGGATGGCTTTCAAATACACTATATATTGAACTGCTTGTGGAAGAAAGAAAATTGTATCCAGGAAAATCTCTCAAATGAACAACCTTCAAGTTTGGTGTATGCTCCTTCAAATCATCTCCCTCACGAGGCTGTGTGTTGGTTGTAGCATATTCACTAGAAATTTTACATCTATCCCGCTGCAATTGAGTTTCAACAGTACCAGTGGAAACGGGACTTTTCCTCTCAATTGAAGTTCTAATAGTGGTGGCATGGCGTCTTTTGTGCCTGAGAGTATTGTCGAAACATCGTTTTCGAATTCTTGGAGAGCCACCGAAATCATTTAACTCTGAGAAATCCGTGTTTCTCTGTAAATGGTTGCCTGAGAATACTCTCAACCATTTTATGCGAATTTTGGGATGAGAGAGGCCCTCGAAAAGATCAGAAAGCAAACTAAGTTACTATCGCTGACACCATAGCACGGCCATGGTTCTTCATAAGCGAATGTTTCTAGGAGATCTAAACTTTCAAGAAAATCGATGAGATACCAAGAAGGAATGTTATAATGGGCTATTTCCAGTTGCAAGAGCGTCGAGTTCGTTGGGTATATCGACCGGCTAAGGTTGTTCCAAACACGGAAGGAGGTACTTCATGACGAATGTGCCCAGAGATGGCAACGTGAAAAACCGCATCATTGACTTGAATTCGTCGGCGTCTTTATGAATAAGTTGTGCAGTGAAATCATAGGGCTCTTGTCAATCAGGGTCAATCTGAGTTGTTGCCTTTTGCCTAGTGAATGTGCCGTGAATGGAGTCATTTTGTTCTTGTTGTAGCTCACAAGCAATGCTAAAAAAGCTATTTATGTTCATGGTGCCAGTTTATTAACTTCCTTACATTGAAGTTTAAATGGTCTTCCAAGTTGGGAGATAAGACCTTTAATTGCCAAAGTACACTTAGATATAATTTCGTCAAAATACCAGAACAGTATATGTTGTATGGCCAAGCTAATAGCTCTCTCCGAATTGGGCCCTTCGCTTCTATTGCCAAATCAGGACAACCCCTGAATTCCTTCAATGACGGCGCTAGTTCATATGCATTCTCCGCAAGGTAATTAGAGCACACCAGCGCCGACTTGTGCCAATATTATTACCATTTCAATCATCTTTTCTAGAATAATCATCGGAGTATCTGACCTAAGATCAACAGAAGATACAAGGGCGTCGAACAATAGTTCTCAGGAAGAGCTTCAGCATTTCCATGCCTGTGCCTACAAAAGTGCTGTAGAGGCCGCAGATGACGATATCGTAAAGTTGTTTGAAGTTTCTGCTGAGCGATGCCCAATTATTAGTCTGTGTAGAAATAGCCCACAATCTGTGGTATCTGTGAGTAATCCGCCCCACAAGCTACTTATTAGAGCTAGTTAAAGATTTTCGAGACACGGATGAGGCTGTTAGAAGTTGTATGATACACTGTCGCCTTTTTCGCGACATGCGATACGATTCGTGGAAATTTAACATGCGGCTGGCTTAATGGGGATTGAAAATTTAAGAATTTGCTAGTCTAGATCATTATGCGCTAAATGTATCCAGAGCTTCAGTTAACCTTACACAAAGCTACACATGGAACATATATAACGTTTCCCAGTCAATATACTTAACGGTATTTCCTTTGGCTATAAATCTAATCCTAGTCCATCTTCCATATCACATGACTGATTCCTTGACATCATTCGCGCCGTTGGATACTGATCATGAGTAGGTACGAAATTACTTCATTACTATCCAAATACATATATTTGTCAGTGCTAAGTATTAAAAAACCTAAAACATAGTAGTCATCGCACGTCGCGGAAACATTGAAGGGTTTTTGAAATCTGCCGAATCACCAACGTCATCCTCCACAGTTGCCATTGGACGTCGTCCAATGGCCTTGACCGTGTCAGGCGTGTCGATTCTACCCTCCATCTCTTTTTGAATTGGCTGTTGCGCAGCGTTTAAATGATCAGGTATATGCACCTCTACTTCAAGAGTTGTGTCTTTTGACGATGAAACATGGCTCGGTGGTGTATTTGTGGTGCTGATTGAGCTATGGATAGAGCCTGAAGTGTATTTGCAAAACTTTGGCCTTTTATATCTCGAATGACAATGACGTTCATTCTGATCGCCGTCCACCAATCTTTTGAGTTCCGCGGAACCCCCAACTATCTCATCACAAGGCTGTTGTTGAGGACCTTTTCCTTTACTCTGTTTCTCAACCGGCTGCTTGTTTTCATTTTCGCTTTCAGGATCGTGAGCAATGTTTACTTCTTCGCTCTGCTTGGAGGCAGGATCCGACTCTTCCCCCGCTGGCGTCCATTTTAACAAGAGCTGTTGCAGAATATCTTCACCGGCATGTTCGCTTCCCAATAAGTCATGAGGGTTATATGATCTACCGTCGTAATGGTCAGGATAATATGCAGGTCTCCGATCGAAAGGTATGACAGGCTCTTGCGTGAATATGTGGGATGGGAGGAAATAGGAAGTCGGGCGAGGCTCTGGTGATGGTGGTGATGGTTGGATTTTCTTGCATGTCTTGCTCCAATCATTATAGTTCTCACCATACCGGCTCGATCGAACTCCTGGATTATTTGATGCATATCTTTTTTGCCGATTTACATTTTCGGTAACGGTTCTAGCTACCGGGAACGCTTTTCTAGCCGAAGTGCTGCTTGGTCGGCCATCGTTTACCAGGGCTCTTTCAGCAGATGAATGTGCGGAGAGAACCCCATGTACCGAAGTTCTCAGGGGCGATGGCTGTTTCAAATCATCGAATGATAAGTCTATTCTAGGCGATGGTGAAATCCCACTACCAAATGAGAGTATGGAAGGATGGTATGTTGAGGCTCTCGTGATATTTATATCCAGGGAGATGTCACCGTCCACGGAGGTCCTTCTGGGTTCATCGGTTGATGAGTCACTTTCAACCGACGGAGATCTATGTCTATTATATGATGAGTATCTCCTAGACCTTGAGAGTTTTGGTAGCTCATCATATGATGGATTTCTGCTTCGGGGAAGGAATGGATTGATTGGTCGTTGGGGAAATCTCCGGTAGGAGCGTCTTCCTACCTCGTGGGCTCGCCGTGGTGAAAATTGATAGTCCGAGCTCGAGCTTACATCCGACTCAATCGCTTCTGAGGCCCTGTGTCCAGCCCGTAGAGGTGATCTGCCATGATCCACAAAGTCGGGGGCTCGTCTACCGTCATATTTGCTCTTGCTAGGTGCATAGTTCTCTCTATGATTTCCATGTTGTGATGCTGATTCTTTTAATTTTACAGCTGGATAAGCATTTTTCTTTGGGTCGATTGGTTGTCTTTCTAGTGGTGGTTGATTAAAGCCGTGCTTTCTATCGTAGGCTTCACGTGTTCTAGCCGTCCCCAAGGTTTCGTACGCCTCAGTAATTGCCACAAAGCGCTGTCCAGCAGAGTAATCTGTGGGGTGTAAAATTGGATGGGAGGTTTTGTACAGAGAAAGATAAGCGCTGATAAAAGTTAGTGATTGAAGAGATGGTTAATGGAGAACATAAGAGAAAGAAATTGCATACTCTCTAATAGTAGCAGCACTGGCATATGTTGGAATTTGTAAGGATACATAATGATTGTGAGATTCTCTTTCATGGCTAGGAGATTCAGCATTGGGTATTTCGGATATATATGAGGCTTTTATGACTGACTTGGGAGAGTTCATAAAGCCTGGTTCTGTGTTCTTTGTGCCCCGGGAACTGAACTCGGGATAAATCCGCTGAGAAGGTTTGAGCGGCGTCGTAAAATCTGTAAATTTCGTGTTCGGAGTGACTCGAATATCATCGGCACCTATGTCGTCTAATGTCGCAGAAGGACTTATAGAGCGACCGCTTTTGTCCGATTTTACAGTGAGATCAGTCTCCAGTTTTGAGCTTCCCACAAGATACACTGTGATAGACTCAGTACCGTCACTTCCTGGGCTGTGGTATTGCCCATCAACAACTTCGAGTTGCGCCAGGGTCCACGCAATACCACCATTGACTTCATTTTCCGAGTTGACTATTAATTGTACCTGTTCCTGCTGCAATACTGTTAAATCTAAGATCTTCTCCACGACTTTCGTGTCAGTCGTGCTTAGTTCTAGAATTCTCCGAAAAATGTGTCTCTTCGAGAAATGTTGTTTGGTAATATGAGTGTTCACCCAATCAGGCGACTGATGCAAATGTTCACGGATTCTTGGGTGAATTGTATATGCGCAATACAAACTATCCCCGGCCTCCATAGCTCGTAGAATGATATCTTCAAATACATGGGAGTTAAAGGTAACACCTTTACCGCTACTGCTAGCAGTTGCTCGAGTTGGTGTATATCTAAAGTCGAGTCCGGAGTTCGGCGCTGTGTCAAGATGAGCCAGAGGCTTAGTGATGATTATCGCAATATGGCCCTTCTCACTCCGCCACCACAATCGGCTAGGAGACTTCTTTATTTCTCTGAGACTTATAAGCTCTCTTCTATAATTATGTTGAGGTTTTAAAATTTGCGTTAGATTGTCCGTCTCGGCAGGCTCAAGGAAGCAAAATTCTTTCCACCAATTCTGCTGGGGTGTTTTTGATAGCATCCTCTCAATCTCTGTTTTGCGTAATTTGAAGTTCTCTACAGTTGGTATCTGTTGATAATTGTGCCCTTTGATAAAGAATGCAGTCATAAAGGTACCTTCCGGAACCATTCTGTCGATGTCATCGTCTGTAAAATGACTGCCTCTGAAAATCCCCTTAAGACCACCACTCTTACTAGATTTGTGGTTTGAATAGCTATCTACCGATGACTGATTACTCTGGAAATCCAAAGTTTTATCCTCGCAGGGAGTCAAATTGTTGGATAGAGGAGAATAATTTATGGTGGGGTGGTTTGAATTTAATAGTGTGGAACTTGTCGGCTTGAAAATATCGCGATTCGACCCTCTCATGCTGGATCGTTTGATGAAATCTTCGTTTCGAGTTGGTTGAGAGTGACAATTGGTAAGTGATGAAACTGTCGGGCTCACTGGTAAATTTGACGGTGGGCTTCGACAGGTTGTCTCAATTTGGGGCTCACGATTTATGTTCTCTGAAAACCTTTCAACAACTGGTGTAAACAACTTCTTCCTCTCCTTAGGGATGTCATCCTTTTTCACAGCACAATTTTCATGTATATTGTGCTCGGGCTGATTCAAGACGGCTCCAAGTTGTGACTGACTTGGTATAATGGCTGGCAACGCAACAAGTAGCTTATTTGTGACTATCTGTGCTATTTCCTCGGGATTTCCTCGTGGTGGTTCATCATTTAAGGTCACTTGCGGAACGATAGGATTCTCCGGTTCGTCTACGACTCTCGTTTGTGCTTCTGCTAGATCTTCGAATGAGAAATCAAACCGAACAGGCTGTGGGTTCAATTTTCGGGATTGGTTCTGGCCATTAATAACAAAACCGCTACTCTGCTTTTGTGATGTTGCAACATTATCAGTGCGATGAGTAGAATCATTAAGATTTCCTGGATTATTAGAATTTGAAGAGGTAATGTTGTTTTTTGGATAGTCCGAGCCTGGTACCTCTAGTTTTGGATCTAGTGGTGCTTCTGACTTGGGCCTTTTGGCCTGCAAGCTGATATAGGACGGGGCAGCGGTATTCAATTCATGGCGTAGATCGGAAGGCTTGTGTCTCTTAGTGAGATTATTCATGTGTATATCTGGCCTCGCAACCTTGCTAATCTGGGGCCGATGGGGTTTGCACTCGGTTGATGATGCCTGAGATAACGAGGCTGGCATGATTCCCGGGCTCTCACTCGAAGGCGCCTTCGGAGGCATAAGTGGAGTGGTTTGTCCAGGCTTAGTATTCCCACACTCTCTTGTTTTCGGATATTGCGCTTTTCCATCAAGATTCCCACGCAGCTTCCCGTCCGAACCCACGTGCTCAAAATCGGCAAAGTTCTTCTGACTTTGCTGGGCAACAATTGATAAATTATCCACTTCTTCAGGCTTTTCAACCATTGTTGAATAATCTGGATATATATTCGTGTCACATGCATCCAAATCATCCAAAACTCCTGGTTTCTGTGTTGCTTTAGCATCAAAATGTGCCATATGACTCTGGGCAGCGTTGATGGTTGCATCACCGGAGGGTATAACATGTTCAGGTGCTGTAAGGTCACGCTGCTGGCCGTCGGTGTTCCTGCAATTGAGCTCCTGTTCCTTGATATAGCTACGACTTGCTTCTGATATAGAAGATCTCAATGGGTCATCGGGGACGGCTGGAGGTACGAATCTCCGAAGCCGGGGATTTTCTCGCCGGTATACATCCGGTTGTTGGACATAACTTTGAGGGCTCTGGGTATAAGGATTACCAATGTATTGTAAGCCGCTTGTTACAGGAATGAACTGCGTTCTACCAATTGGTTGGATGAACCGACTATTCATATACTGTGTATCATACTCGTTTACTGTCGAATAAAATCCATGGTTCATTTCGTCAATCCTCCTTGGCTCTGGATGCAGGTTGAATGGGAGTCGCTCGATATTTTGCGGAGTCGTATCGTACGCTTGAGTATCCATAGTATTCTTTACAGCTGATCCTCTGCACACGTATGAGCTCGATTTTACATCGACAGTTAATCTAAACTTACGATCGAAGTTCGGTTGATATATTAATCACTATCAAAAGCAAACTCAAGCTTGCTTGGAGCCCATGAAGTTCCCTTGAATATTGATCAAGCCTGTGTGGTTGTAAAGCGGAAATGTATCTTGAAAACCGCGATTCCCGGAGTTTACGGACTTTCGCTAGAGCCTCGTCGACTTTTAGGAATTGTGAGGGCTTCCCAATACCGAATTTCAGATCTTCTTTGTATTCGTTCAATCGATTTGCAATTCTGAGTTCCAGTTCGTTTGAGTCGTCTTTGTCCAAAACCCATGCTTCCACTCTCCAAAACACTTTCAAACACTCATCGGTGATATATTGAATTTGTCGAATGCCGGCTGTATTGAGTGTCGCTCTTTGTCTCAACTTCGAACGTTCACTTTCTTCCTTCAAGAAATGATTAATGTGTTCAATGGAGATGCTCGCAGCACGAATATTGGTCAAAGCTGCGTTCAGGTTTTGAGCAGCCGCACCAGCATCAGTCGTATACTTCGTCAGAACCTGTACCAATTGAAGACCGAAGCTAGCGATACCGATTGCTGAACTTGCAGCTCCCAATATTGTGACTGGGTCCATCAGGATATCGTTTTACCAACAGAAGCCATCACTGATACACCGGCATGTCGATTTCTTCGAAATAATTTGTCTTCACTTAAGATCAGTGAAAGGCCTCCGACGAGAATCAGGGCTTAGCAATAATTATAGCCGCATGGTATTAGGAGGCTCTGCAAGTAGCAGAGTTATGCATAGACTTACGCATCGGGAAAGTGAAACTCACTTGGCGAAGCGATTGGCAGGTCAATATAAGTCGTGAGACTGGCCGCAGGTGAGTAACCTAATAAATGCATTGGTAACACTTGCAGCCATTAAAGCTCTTCCGAGCGACCAAATACTACGGTGTAGAGGCTGAGTGCTGACAGATTGATTTTTAGCTCACTTGGTACAATGTAACCTTCCTAAATGCACTGCAAGGCTATGCGGCACTGATTGAGGGATATATTGTGAGTCCTCATAATTTCCACAATCATGATGCAGGGGGTATTAGAATAGGCATAAGCCCATAATTTGAGCTGCTGTTTTCGATCATATCCCAGAGCCAGTGGTGTTACCACATGGATGGTGTACGGGATAAATCATAGGGCTTTGCACGCCGCGCAGAAAGGGCTTTCACAGCGGGCAGACTGAGCAATATTTTTCTTCTCTTCTTTCAATTACAGCCAAATCGAGTGTCCCAGACGACGAACCCTCGAATCCCTGGACAATCACATGTCGAACTATGACAGTTCTCTTTGTGGCATTAAACTTTGTTCATTTTTACGAAGCCTGCAGTTTCAATCGAGGACTGATACTTGATGGTGAAGGTTTAGGTAGGTCTATTTGTGTGAAGATACACTGCTAGCACAGTCAATACCCAGGATATTTAGCCAAATGGGTTTGTTCTAAGACTTAGGAGGTTATGAATAATATAGTTCGGAAGAGTGATCATATCAACGCTCCTCCAACCATCCCCCTTACCTTCTCCACCACAGCCTTAAAATCTTCATCCTCAGCATCCCCGAATCTTACCATAGCACCATGCGTCTTATCCAATTTAACTACCATTTCCCTCTCACAGTACCCCTCTCCCTTCTTTTCCTCTCTCACATCCACACTGTCCAGAATTTTAACCTTCTCTCCCTTACTCGCTACCTCCCTAAACCACAAAATCACCCAATTCATTTGCTCACTTAAGCTATCAAAAGCTTCACTCCCATTCTTCAACCACAACATCTCTTTCCTCAAATTTCCCATCTCCTTGCTCAAAGAAGCTTCTGGCAATGCAAGCACCACATCCAGATTTTCTAATCCCATATTTTTTACTACCCCAAAAAATAAAATGGCGTGAGTTGATACTTGGATGTCCCTAGAGGCAGGAAGGATGGTTATTGCCTGGGCTTGTTAGCACGGGTACTTCCTTATTTTACTAAAGACGGAGAATTAAAGTGGACAATCGAAAGATAGAATAGTACATACAGCCCGTAGCAAAGGACCCCCAAAACTGTGTGCACACCAAACTATTTTTCTTCCTTCACTCTTCGTTTCATTCCTTAACTCATTAATGTTCTTCACTAATCCAGCGCCGATAATCTCAACGGAATCACGACGAGCATATCCATAACTAAGAATCCGAACCTTTACGCCTGGATTTGTTTCTAAAACTCCTGGGAGCAGATCTCGTAGCCAAAGTATTCCATTACCCCTATTTGTCCAGGACTCGGTGGGATGGCCGTTTTGACCATGAATGGCTATGATGCTGACAACAATTAGTTCGGATGATACATGAAGGAATGTAAAGACATACTCGATAGCTGCATCGGGAGAATCATAGATGATTTTAAGACCAATAGATGATGGATCTTGGGGAGTTATCGGTTCAGAATTGGAGGGGAATGGTTGTACCCCCTTAGCATTGAATTTTGCTATCTTCGAACGAATTTTGTCAAAAGTGTTCTTCATTGTTGACTATTAGTGATGGTGGTTATCTATATCACTCTGAGTGATATTTTATAATCTATAATAGTTGTTTGAGTGGTCATCACCATTGTTGATGATTGAGATGTATATGAAATAGGCTGAACCGTATCTAGGAGTGCGTGAGCGCAGGAGCGTGTACGGTTCACCTGCTACGATACTTCCTGTCGCGCGATTAACCGAGCAATAATATGTTTGATAATTACAATGGATGAACAATAGTTTTGTATCGTGGGCCGTCTTTAGCGGCGGTGATGTTGGTCGCCATTGCTGACATCTTATTTAACATATAGCCGCAAAAGCTTCGTTCGGAACCAAATCACATGGGACTGAGTAGATTCGCCGCATCAGTATCATTCTAACCACCTAACAAGCATTCTTTTAGTACGGCCTGCCTGGTCCGAGAGAACAAATTTTCAGCGCCGAATCAGATGTTCCTTTTTGTGATCATGTGACTGTGAAATGTTTTTGTCCTCAACCTCAGCCCTGAAGCCATGTGCCCCTTACCGAGTACAGCATTTGATATGATATCGTACTGGTCAGGTCGTACTGCATTTCAGGTCTCCAAAATTCTCTCCGAGGCTGGGCTCCTAAGGCTTATCACGTGTGGTGATACTTCAAGCAAATCGCGATTTGTTGTTGAGTTTGTTTTCTGTTGAGGGACGGTCCTCCTTCATTGTGCCTCGCTTCATATGCAACCCTCCTTTCATAATCCAGCCCCCAAGGGGGGCAAGATGGAAGAAATTTGAGGCCGAGTTTGGATGATTGGAAGCCCATGATAGGTTAGATCTCACCAAGTGGAGTATCCAAAATGTCAAATAATTCGCCATCGGAACTCAAATTCACCGAGAACCATTCTCTAACAATCCGGTTCTTTTCAGACCGCTATCTAAGGACTTGGGATACACGGGTACTTCCTTTTCTGGAAGATTCGAAAAAGGTACAAGAAGCTAATTGTATTTAATTGATAACTCTACTCATCAATTGGTGGGATACATTTTCACTAGGAAGGATACCGCTGCTTAACTTCAATTGTCAGCTAATTTAAATGTCAATGGCCAACGCATTATCTTGACACTACTGTATTAGGGTGAAGACAGATATTTTTGTACAAATTGCCAATTCCCATTTGCTTCAGGCGTCAAAGCATTGTCCAAACGTTATCAACCGTTGACACTGAAGATGCTCGTGGTGTCCTAGTGAATTGCCACATGTGATCAATCTCAAATTATTCTTACCGGACGAGAGCACTGGCGGAGTTACTTCCTGAATCATATCCTTCATGATTGGTTATAAAAGGGGTCGTGGACATTTTTATGCAAACTATTCGTTACGCCTAACCTAGGTACACTATCGCTCAACCATACTTCAGGGATTTAGTGTTACCGTGCAGTCTGTCAGACCCCGCAATTACTGACTAACTCTGAAAATCTTTGAAAACAGCAACATCGACTTCCAATTTGAGGATTTCTTTCCCCTCCAACCCCAGGTCAAAGTGTGACCAAACACCCAAAGACCTGGAAACCTCTACCCCGCATTCTCCTAGTCCTGCACGAGGGCAGCTAAAAGTTGGAATTGGAACGGTGCGATAGACAGCATAAGAATCGTGGAGACCCCAAGTTTAAAAGATGGTTTTATCCTCACCATCTGACGATCTGGCCGTACATCATTCGCGTACCGATAATACCATGGGCAGCATTCATAATCACGATCGCATTGAAAACAATGAGAAGCCTCTTCACTTTCCAGAGGATGATCATCTCAATGTCACGTCATCAACGAAACAGATGATTAAGGATGCGAGGGCTTCTACGGAAAAAGAGCATAACATGACATTGCTTCAGGGAATCAAGTTGTATCCTAAAGCTATTGCATGGTCACTTCTTATCTCGACATGTATTGCTATGGAAGGTTACGATTTGTGTTTACTCAGTAACTTTTGTAAGTTCAGTATAATTCAGGAATGGTTTCGATACTTATCATTCTTTAGATGCATTTCCTCAGTTCAATGAGAAATACGGTGAGCAATTACCCGATGGAACATGGCAGGTGCCAGCTAAATGGCAAGCCGGATTGAGTAATGTAAGTCAAGAGTTGCATCACTAACAGTTGGAATTCACTTACTCACGTGTTTCTTTTACCAGGGTGCCAATGTTGGTGAAATTATTGGTCTCTTCATTAATGGTTGGGTTTCGGAGAAATTTGGATATCGATACACGGTTATGACGTGTTTGAGTCTCATTATTGCATTCACGGCCATTTTCTTCACAGCTAAAGATGTCATTGCACTAGAAGTTGCTGAGATTCTCTGCGGTATCGTAAGTTTGCCTCAAGCATCCTCCCCAGAATTTTTGCTGACACTTTTGATAGCCATGGGGAGTGTTCCAAACACTTACAGTCACTTATGCTTCCGAAGTTTGTCCTCTTGGACTTCGTGGATACCTCACTACCTATGTTAACTTCTGTTGGGGACTGGGTCAAGTCATTGGAATCGGAGTTATCAAAGCAATGTTACCGCGCACGGACGAATGGGCATATCGGATTCCTTACGCTCTTCAATGGATGTGGCCAGTCCCGCTTCTGATTGGTATCTCACTTGCCCCAGAATCTCCGTGGTGGCTTGTTCGAAAGGGAAGAATTGAGGATGCTAAGAAATCACTTCTTCGATTAACGAGTTTGAACAAGGAGACGGACTTCGACGCTGATGAAACTATTGCGATGATGGTCCATACCACGGCAATTGAGGAGAAAATTACTAAAGGGGCTAGCTATATGGATTGCTTTAGGGGAGTGGATAGACGTCGAACTGAGGTAATTATTTTTTCTTGTTATCACGTTTTAGTCATCAATAACTGACACTAAATAGATCGTTTGCATGGTATGGGCAATGCAAAATTTGAGTGGAAACTCCTTCTCGGGTTATTCTTCTTATTTCCTCCAGCAAGCTGGTCTACCCACCTCAACATCCTACGATTTTGCTTTAGGTCAATATGGTATCAACATGGCCGGAGTATTCGGAGCTTGGTTCTTGATGAGTATGGGAATTGGCCGACGATCCCTCTACCTCTACGGTCTCTGCATCTTATGCGCTATGCTTTTCATCCTTGGCTTTCTTGGTCTCGTTCCTGCATCGCATAAATCCGAGGCATCACTAGCTACTGGCTCCATCATGTTGGTGTGGGCATTAGCTTATCAACTTTCCGTTGGAACGGTTTGTTATTCTTTGGTTTCGGAGCTGTCTACGAGAAGACTTCAGATCAAGACAGTGGTCTTGGGTAGAAACTTATACAATGTCGTGGGTATCGTTTGCAGTGTCATTACGCCCTATATGCTTAATCCCGGCGCTTGGAATTGGAAAAATTACGCAGGATTCTTTTGGGTATGTTGATAGCTTTCCCCCATAACATACTTCCATTGATTTTTATATACTAATGCATACCAGGGTGGAATCTGTTTTCTTTGTATCATTTACACTTATTTCCGTCTTCCAGAACCCAGAGGCCGGTCCTTCGCCGAACTTGATCTTCTTTTCGAGAGAGGCGTTAGTGCGAGAAAGTTTTCAAGTACAAAAGTAGATGTTTTTGATGATGATGTCAGTGTGGATAGTACAAGTGTGGTAAAAAATTACGATGAGAAAGCCCTCGCTGGCGTGGTCACGAAGGATGTTTGAGTAACCTCGTGAGGGTTTGGTCGCGAGGTGAGAGTTGCCATTTAGGTTTTTGAAATCATGACAAGGCGACAAGGAGTGAGAAAGACGGCGATATGGCAATAATTAACGATCGTTGAAGAAGTAACGAAGGAAGATTCGCAATGCATCTACTTTAATGGGTTAAAGAACGGACGGAGTTGGGACTTGTATACATATTGATGATGCGAAAGAAATGGGCATGTTATTGATTTTTAATTATCTGTAAATACTTCTTTAATGACAAAATTCATTATTACTCATGGGTAGAATTTGTTCGAGTGTGATAGGGTTGGACAAAAGATAGGATATACCTCAGATTACCCTGGATTTGATCTAACGGATGATTATCTTGTTGTATCTTTATAAAATAGGGTATGTGAGTACAATTTTCCCTGAATCGTGAATCCCTATCCTTTTACCAGCAGAACCTGTGATGTAAATCCTTCCAACATATGATATAACTCTTTTAACACCAATCATCCCACTCAGACCAATCAGACAAATCAATAGGTCGATTTACCTTTTCGTTCGTCAGAGATAACTACTCTCCGTTGATGAGGAGAAGCGGGGTAATTTTGTAATAGGAAGAAGGGAGCTTAGAAAGGTAATGGATCTCTCTAACTTGATTTAATATAGTTATAAAGCTAGCAACGAACAGAATATAAGATGATGAATCCGTGTACGATTAACTGGATGAGACGAAGAATGAAGCGCAGATGGGCTAGGGCTACTCGCTAATCAATCCTACTCGCGCTCCCACCTCCCCCAAAAGTCCATCACGACTGTGTAAACCATTATCCTTCCTATAACTTCTAATCCCAAATTTGGTTTATTACCTCTGAATAGTCATTCAAGATTCAGGGTTCAAGATCTAAGGGAAAAAAAAATATCTTACAGTTATAATATTTATGAATGATTGATTCTTGAATATTCTTACACATATCGAATCAATTAATTTATTATCTAAATAGTTAATCATTATCTCGTTTTCTTTTTTACTGGTCATTGATTCAATTACTTTTAAAGACTTTAAAATATTGTTTTATTTCATTGCTGTCATTTTGATAATATAATATATTATTTTTAATTTCATTATTATTAACAAATTTTTTTATTAATTCTTAGATGTTACGAGGTTTGCCGTCTAGATCACGTGGAAGTGCTCTAGGCTCTCGAGGTGGTTTATAACTAGGCGTCAAGCAGGGACTCAAAGTAATGACAATAATGCAATTCGTAACTAATAGTAGAGTATACTAAATGATTGATCTTGAGCACGAAGCTCTATACAAAGGAAATCCATCTTGATTATATAGACCTTCGTGCCGTATGTCCCACCGTTCCCCTCGATTTAAATCAGTGGGACGAGTGGGACCACGTGACCCCTTGTTTAGTTATGTGATGCGGGGTTTAGTCATAACTGAATACCGTTGTAACAACTGATGATATTTGAAATAATTATAGCTCTGTGACCAAAAGGGTGTTTATAGACTAGCAATTGTATTTAACTTAGAATCTACAGGTGAAGAGCACCTGTAGATGGGGATAGCTACTCTATATATACACAAATGAATGGCCTAGCCGTAATGGCCTAGCCGTAATGGCTAGGCAAAAAGAATTCATATTTATCCCTCCAATGATCTTACTTTACCGATAACCATTGATACCTAGTACTTGTCCGGATCTGATCCTCAGGTCACCTAAATCGCATACTAATCCCGAGTAATCGTATCATGTGTGGACATGGTTAATGTACCTGAGGTTTCTTATATAATAAGGGTGGGAAGAAAGCAGGGATTTCCGTCACATTCACCCGGTCTAGGAATAATTTATACAAGAAAGATTGGAGTTGGAGTGGGTATGAATATATTAATTTTCCTCTATATTTTCTTCTCTTCTTCTTTCCTCTCTTCACATTTCGCTCCCCTCCTCTATTTTTACTATCCTATCCTATCCTATCTTATCTACTCAACTCAATCAATCCACAATGAATCTAGTCCATCATTGAGTCGCTGTTGAGCCAACAAGTAATGAATGAATGAACCATCGCAAATCCATGTATGCATGCATCCATTCATTCATTTGGAACTTTTGATATCATCTCCATGATCCAACCTCTGATCCATCATGACATTTCACCAACGACAACTCAACAGTCCCGCTCATCGTATCATATACCAATGACCTCCCTCTTTCCTCTAATCTTCTCCCCTCTCTTCCTCCTCAATCCTATTTCCCCATACCACCCTTATCACTTAACCACATCTCTCCCCTTTAAGTTCTTTCTCCACTTTATTTCTCCGCTGGACTACCAGGCTTCATACCCCCCTTATTTCCAAATCTAAGATCACTCTCCAATTCATCACCAGGTTGATCATGTCTACTATACATTTTGTATTCGACTGAATCCTTAAAATTTAATGTTCCACTCTCGACCTGTTTTCTAGTTGCTGATAATTTGGATTTTGGTAGACCCATTGATTCGAGGAACTTGACGGCTGTAAACATATTATGTTAGCATTAATTTATGATGATATTGTAAGAGAAAGGGGAACCGTGAAAGATGAATAGGGAATTGGGGATGAAAGGAGTGGGGTAATCAAAAATAATGAAAAAACCTACTATCGGTCCATTCAGTCTCCTTCCTCTTATTACTCCATCCCAACTCTCCAGCCATAATATCAATAACCTTAGGAGCCGCTTCCAAAGCAGCCTGAGCATTCAAAAATGCCAATCTAGTTCTTCTAGCCAAAACATCTACAGCAGTTTGAGCATATTCATGTCTAACCGCATATCTAATCTCACCATCCACAAATGGATAAAGAGGAGATATTTTCTCTCCTCTAACAGGGAATCTTTGTTCAGTTGGAGTACTGAGAGACGCTACTGTCCAAGCTCTGTCACCATAATTCTCAGTAAGGTGTTTGGCAACATCTGTTTCGAGACCAAAATGTTGAATGAGGTTAATGAAGAGAGTTTTGGAGAAACCATGTGCACCAACAAGTTTAACTTGATGAGTTTGACATGTTCCATTTAGATGTGCTCCATCATCATGCAATTGTGTCCCGGAAACATCTGGTGCGTTTCTTACTGGTTTAGGTTGAAGTTTGAATTCCGAGATGGCTTCATCGACACATTCTTCAGCCATTTGACGATAAGTAGTCCACTTACCACCTGCACAAGTGAGAAGGCCAGAAGGTGAAATATTGATGAGATGGTTGCGAACGAGAGATTCGGTATTCTTTGCATTTGGATCTTTGACCAAAGGACGAATTCCAGACCAAGCTGCTAGAACATCACCTCGACGAACATTGATATCTGGAGCGAGGTAGCGACGAATTTCAGAAAGAATCCAATCAATTTCTTCTTCGCTTGCGACCGGGTTGTAAGAAATTTTGGTAGGAGAATCGGTGGTACCAGCAATTGTATTTCCTTGCCATGGAAGGAAGAAAATAACTCTGCCATCAGAAGTTTTAGGATCAATGAGACCCATCTTTTGAGGACTGTAATAACCAGGAAGAATAACGTGAACACCAGAACTTGGTGCAACAATTTCCTTTACTCCTTGATCGTCCATCTTTCTAATGGAATCGCAGAATGGTCCGGTAGCGTTGATTACACCTTTCGCTCTGATTTTGAATTCCTTTGATGTCTTTCCATCCTTTTCATCAATCAAATCCTTAACCGTTGCACCGCATAATTTACCATTAGCATCCTTTTCCAACCCAGTAACCTCGAGATGGTTAACCACGGTACCTCCATATAATGCAGCAGTCATGGCCAAAGAAACGTTCATCCTCGAATCATTATGAGCACCATCATAGTAAACCAAAGCACCGACCAAATTATCCTTCTTCAACATAGGAAAAGCATCCAAAGCCTTACTCCTAGTTAAGAAATACGAAGTTTCAATACCCTCGGAACCAGCCAAGAAATCATATGCTTTCGTACCTGCCCAATAATAAGGAGCTTTCCACCATTTATCCAAAGGTAGCATGATAGGTAACCAACTCGATAAATGCGGTGCCGTGTCCAAGAAATATTTTCGTTCCCTCAATGCCTCCTTCACCAACGCATATTGATTATAATCTAATTCCCAAACCGCCTTTTCCAAATATCGTACACCACCATGAACCAATTTTGTACTCTTACTACTGGTCCCACTACTAAAATCATCTCTTTCGACCACCGCGACCTTTAATCCTCTGGTAGCAGCATCAAGAGCTACACCTGCTCCTGTCGCTCCAGCACCAATGACCAATAAATCATAGACATCATCTTCATTTTGGGGAGTCGTATTCGCCGAGGCACCTTGAGAACCTCCACTTCGTTTTAAATCTGCGATTTGTTCTGCTCTCGTTTTAATCTTTGGGAAACGAGGGGGACGAAAGTGGCCATCTGCGCCAAAAGGAGGAACGACGGCGGAGTCGAAACCGGGAATATTTCGAGGTCGGTATGTGTAGTAGAGGACGCCACCACCAACTGTTGTAGCTCCTATTGTGTATAATAAGGGTTTCGCGAGTCTTTGTCGGAATGCCATTATCGATGGGGGGTATATTTCGTAGGGAGATAGAGATGGAGATGGAGATGAGGAGGAAGAGGAGAAAGAGGAGGATGGAGAATTGCAAGCCGGAGAAGTTGGAGAGGATGGAGAATTGGGGGCAAAAGTTGTTAGGATCTCAGGCAAAGATTAGGTGGAGATTTTATTCGTGTTGGTTGTGTTAGATGATGAAAGTGCAACAGGTGCTAAGCTTAGTAAATATCAATCGAATGCAGATCAGCCCGCTTTATTGATGAAACTAAGGGATCATGAGAGGGACCTTGAATATGTCAAGCCAAAAAATTATTGTTCGTTTCCAAGCTTGGTTGGTAAGATCTTACTTTGGGTATTCGGGCAGGGAAACTTAAAATAATTAATTGATTGAGATTGATATGAATAGATAAAGTCTAGAGTAATGAATGTTTTAACTTTGCATTGAACAATTGAATGTACAATAGAAAGAAGAAATGATGGAAAGGTTGAAGAGTCACCAATTGAGGGGAAATAGCAAGTCTTGGATCTTTTTGTCTTTTGTTTGAAGCTCTACCTAGGTACCTAGTAGTTATTGTAACCTTACCTCTCCCACCATTCAACAAGGAACGTGCACCGAGATATCTGACTGTAGACACATAACCGGATATACAAATCAAGACTTCCGTTACCTCCCCTCATATCATAAATTTTCCATTCTTCCCAAGAATTCTTCCGCCAATGGAAAAAGAGTTGGAGTTTACCTCAAGTGCTATCATTTTCCAATATTGACGCCCAAATACTAGGTAGGTATTTAAGTCAAGTATGGACGACATGGATAACACAGATAGACGCGGAATAAACGGAAAGGGGTTCAGGGTACATTTGATACTCCACCCAAAAATTACTCGATGGATTTAAAATGTACTTCGAGTAATCCGGAAAAGTCATTCCACTTTTTGCTTTTGATGGCTGCTGGGTATGTGTGCATGTATGGATGGATGGAATACTGTGCCACCGAACGAGTTGGGAATTACCCCACCTTTTTATGTTCCCATGGGACAATTTTTTCTGGGGCTGAGAATCATCTGTGTTGATCATTACCAGAATTCGCAACTGTTGTTGAGATACCCAGAGTGCCACCGACCCTGAGATTTACAAGTTGGGTTTGTAGTAAGAGATCGTTGAAAATCATAGTCAAAGATTCATGAGGTTAAAGGGTTCTGAAGACCGGTGATGTTTGATTGGCATGTATCTTGGTTCCTGGCTATTCATATATAGTTCCAGGAACACCTACATGATCCTTCTGGCGCTTCCTTTTCGCACTCGTGTTTGGTATCGGTGAGTCAAATGCGCGGGTATCTTTGGATCCATTAGTTAGTACAGTGAAGATCGCCAAGTAACTTAGATTTGCGTGTTCGGGGGTAACAGATCGCCATCTTGTGGGTACGTCGACTCATGTACATTATATACTACTGTCGGATTCCAGTGACTTAGCGAAGCTATAAAGGGACTCACGGGTTATCAAAACTTTCGACCGGCTTGGGTTTGACCTAGTTCTTGAACCTATCAAAGATTATACACTCGTATCTTATGTCCGAAAAGTATCCGTGGAAAGATAATCAGCAGAGAGTTTGCAAGTTCTGCCTATCCGAAATTTGGATATCAGTTTTAGGCAGCAGGAGCTGAAGAATGGAACGAAGTATTAGCTTCTTGATATCTAACGTGTGTTGATAATTTGAAATTAACAGACCATTCTTATGATGGTCGCATCGTCCCTGAATCAAATCCTTCTCTTGCACACGAAGGAAGCGGCGTCTTCATTCGGATCCAAACAACCCACAAGTGTCGGAAGAAATCCCCCTTAAGCAGCAGAATCATGAGGCGCACATGGAGAGAAGGAGTATAATCGCACACCATATTAAAATCCGCAAATCCTTCCAACATATAACTTCGATGTCGAGGTTGCGTACTTCTTATGGTATTGCCTGTCAAGATGGATATTTGTGGTGCATGTCCATGGTGGTGGGATAATTTGAAGCTGCAGGATTCATGCAAATTGCTGGACATGAAATGATTTTACCTCACCTAGCAAGAACTCTTTGGGGATCATCAGTGGACGGCACAGATTGCTCGATAAGCTGTCGAGTAGGCATTCTGTATATATCATGGAAGTAGTCCACCTATATTTTTGAAGCCGACAACACAAAGACTTGACAATGGCAATGAAGCATTCTCACTTCATGCTTCCAAAAATTCGAGGCTTATCATCTCTACCAAGTAAGCTGAGCTGCATATCAAAGTGGTGCACATACCTACTTAGCCCCATATGGATCCCGCGTTTATTCGATGAAATTACCCGCTCTAAACGCGTGAATAAAAACGAGATGGAGATTGGTACCAGCAAGGGATTGGCGAATGATGGAAATTAATTTTTAGGGTTGTGTAACCCTGCAAAGATTCTTAAGCAAGTCCTGGCACAGATCCAATGTTGTGGCCCGATCCATTCAACATCCTTCATAGGGTCCATCCAATATCACGAATGTTTATGTACCGATAGACTGGATGGGATATCAATGCTTTCCTGGACTCTCATCAAAGATTTATTTTAAGTACCTAGGTTCGATACCTAGGTACTAAATTGAATCCTGAGCAATCTTGGCTGTATTGCGGCAGTGTAAAAAGACATTGGCTGCTCATATGCCAGGTTCAAAGTAAAGACCAGATGAGATGGAGAAATCCCATCAAGACATATCATGACATGTCAAAGATATCAAAAACATACCTTGGCATTGATTGGCCTCGGTGTGTAATTATAAAGCCACCAAATACCGAAGTTATTAATTCATTTATGGGTTTACATTTGGAAGTTTATCGTATGATGTTGTCAAGGACCTAGGTATGTTGTGAATAGAGGTGAATTCATCGATTCTGTGTACATTTTTTCTGTAATAGGATCTTCCTGATTGGTTATTTATTGAGAGCAGGAATAAAATGTGTGCAGCAGCAGTACCATTGACATTATCGTCCCTTCTTCATTTGCTATTGAACCTGACCAGCTTAATACTCACAGTACCACTCGCTCAATTGTAATAGGGCCGTAGGACCGAAAACACTTAATAATTTTCAGCATTTACTTCTTGGTATTGATTTCATATTGGATACAATTCTCTGCCGTATCCCTTAATCTTAGCTCCTTTTCCCTCGATCGTTTCAAATACAAAAGAATCTGGAAATTGTTGAAAAAGGTCTTTTTTTGACAAACACCTTCACCTTACCACAGTACCACCTTACAACCTTGACTTCAACTTCAAGATTTGGTTTTGGTCGCCTCCACTCTACCAATGTGACTAACCCCTTAAATAAAAAAAACCAAAAACAAAATCACCTTCTCCATATCTTACTCCTCTCCTTCCTTCCTTCCTTCCTACTTGAATCTTTCCAACTGCAACCTTCCAATTCCAAGTTCGAAACTCAACTGTCTTTTCAAGATAATAACAAAAATAACTTTTACAATCCTCTACCTCTTCAAATAACTTTACGACCCCTTAAGAATCATCGTAACGTTCAACTCTCCTACCATGGCAGATCATTTACAGCCAGAGTCGGCTATTTCCAATTCCTCCTACTACAGCACGGCTACTACGACCAAACAAACTCCAGCACCCCCATCAGTTGCCAGTGCTCCATCAGGATGGATTTATAAGCAAGTTCGCATCGGTAGATTTACTCTTCCGTGCTACGCGTCGCCTCAAGTTCAACTTGTCTTGGTCGCACTTGTTTGTTTCCTCTGTGTTGGTATGTACAATGCACTCAGCGGTCTTGGTGGTGGTGGTCAAATTACTGCAAAACCAGCAGATAACGCAAACTCGGCTCTTTACTCAACCTTTTCTGTGGTCGGTTTCTTCGCAGGTACTTTCGCAAATCGTCTCGGAATTAAACTCACTTTGAGCTTGGGTGGTTTGGGTTACTGTATCTACGCTTCTAGTTATCTATGCTACAGCCATACCCAGAATACCGGTTTTGTCATCTTCGCAGGAGCATTGCTTGGTGTTTGTGCCGGTCTTCTCTGGACAGCTCAAGGTGGTATCATGATGTCTTATCCACCCGAGGAGTCTAAAGGAAAATATATCTCATGGTTCTGGTCAATTTTTAATCTTGGAGGTGTATTCGGTGCTCTTGTGAGTTCAGCGGCACAAATAAAAAATACCTACTAATTAACCGTAGATCCCCCTTGCTTTGAACATCGAGGATACCGCAAATCATGTTGTCAGCGACGGTACATACATCGGATTCATCATTCTCATGTTCATTGGAGCAATCAGCGCTCTGTGCTTATGCGACGCAAATAAAGTTCGAAGAGCCGATGGATCTCACGTCATTCTCATGAAAAATCCTACATGGAGCACAGAAATATGGGGCCTTTGGTACACACTGAGAAATAACGTCTACGTCTTCCTCCTATTCCCAATGTTCTTTGCTTCCAATTGGTTTTACACGTATCAATTTAATGGTGTTAATGGTTCACATTTCAATACGCGAACGCGAGCCCTTAATAATATTTTATATTGGTTCGCACAGATCATCGGTGCTTTCATATCTGGTTATGCCCTGGATATTCAAAGATTCAAGAGAACTACCAGAGCTAGGGCTGGTTTGATCGCACTCATCATCTTAACTGCCGCTGTTTGGGGTGCAGGTTACGGTTTCCAATCTAGTGTTCCTGATCGTGATGTCACCGGTAAAGTTGATTATCAAGGCAAGATGGATTGGACGAGTGAAGGGTATGCTGAAGGTTTGGCTTTGTATGTCGCCTATGGATTTTATGATGCCGTTTGGCAATTGTCCGTTTACTGGTAAGTGCTATTGGTTTCGTGACAGAATTGTTCGTTATGACTAACAGTTGACAGGTTCATGGGTGCGCTCTCCAACTCCGGTAGAAAGACAGCAAACTTCGCTGGTTTCTATAAGGGTATTCAATCTGCTGGTGCTGCTATTGCTTGGCGCATTGATGCAATGGATTACCCTTACTTGACTCAATTTGCCATCACATGGAGTTTACTTGCTGGTTCTCTCGTTGTTGCAGCACCAGTCATCTTCTTGAACATCAAGGAAGTAACCTCCATTGATGATGACATTGTTGACACTGATCTCAATTACGCTGATATTATGCCTCAAGCTATTCTTCTTGATCAAGATAAGCATTATCTCAACGGTCATAACAGTTCAACAGATACCCGTCATCGATACAATTCTACCTCGGATGAAATGGAACTTCCTCATCTCCGTCGTGAAAAGAATCCCCAAGATCTCGTTTAAATCAATCAGTGGACTTCGAGAGTGGTGTTTTACTACTCGTAAAGTCACTCACCTCTCATGGCGGGATGGTTTTTTTTTTCCTTCACGATTCGATGATTTTATGATTTGTAGGACGGGAGGACGGGCGGACGGGTGGAAGGAGAGTCGATCTTTCTTTTTGCTCGACACACAAGTTTTTGCAACAAACTGATGGTGCACAGGTGCCGAGTGTATGCTGAGATGAACTGCGATAGAGATGTCTCTTGTTTTCTGATGTTCTGAGATGGTGAGAATAGTACCCGACAATTCGGAAATTTGCAGCTTTTTATGTTTATGGATGTTGATGGATGTTGATGACTGCGAATTTTTGAAAGGGACAAGCAAATTGCGGATGAAGGTTGTAAAGGATCACAATGTTATACCAGGGTGCTTGAGATTTTTTTTTATCGAATTTGGTTGTATGGTTGATGATAGGGGGCGAATGAATTTGGCATATGCTTGTGGATACATGGTGAATGATGGATTGGATGGAAAATCTTAAAATGGATTGAAACTTGAAGTGGAAACACAGATAGTGATTGAAATACTTGAGGTTCAAACTTCTAGACTTGATACATTTTTGATATGATATCTTAGCGTGATAGTCGTTGACTTGCTCATTAGAGTGAAGTTGTAGATAGTTATAATTTAAGCTGAGCATGTGTTTTTTTTTATTAGTGTATCCCTATAAGTCATGTATATAGATAGGTAGATGTAGATATTAATTCATAAATGTAATATATCAATTTCTATTTACATGGATTTGATTGAGGTATGAATGAATTATAATTAAGCGTTTCAATTATTTTATTACACATGGCTTTTAATTGAACTTTACTCGAGTAATAATCAAAATATTTCATTTTGATTAACGTAATTTATCACCGAGTTATTCTTTTTGTAGAAGATAACTTTTAGGTTTAGGAACAACAAGCACCTCAGGAAGAAAAATAATCAATTCCATCTTGAAAAGCCTTATCAATCACTGCAATCATCTCATCTGCCCTATCCCTAACATCCGGCGCCAGCTTCGCAAGCAAAGCCTCACTAAACCTCTCATAATCATGCCTAAGTAATTTCAACCCCACCAGAACAATACTCGAAAGACCAACGTGGGAAAAATCCTCCTTCTTACTCTTCAACACCCGGATCGCTTCCGGTACTTCAACCCCCACGTTCGAATAGGTGAATTCTACGATGCGACTTGAGTCGGTGGGATTGGCGGTTTTGGCTACCTGGGCATCGATGTATGCTTTGGTGGTGGAGGCGTGGATGGCGGCGAATTTTAGGGATAAAGGTGCTGCGGTGAGGAGTTTGTTGTGCTGCGTGGTGAGTGTGTGGGTTAGGGATTGGATGTGCTGGCTGATGGTGTTGATGTCGGTTATGAGGGTGTTGGGTGTGACGAGATTTTGGTTGGGGAGTGCTGGTTGGGGAGCTGCTGAGGCAGTGGTGGGGATTGAGATTGAGATTGAGATTGTGGTGAGGTAGGTGATGAGGGTTTTGAGGGATAGCATGGTGTTGTGAAGGTTTTGTGAAGGGGGTTTTGAATGGATAGAATATTTCTTGATGCAGGTAGATATATAGGTGGTTGTGGTGATGAGCTCAGTAGTGCATTGAGCATTGAGCATTGAATGTTGAGTATTGAGCGTCAAGAATTGAAGATTGACACTGCTCTCAAGACGTAAATGGAAGTTTCTCTTTAATACATACCTACCATCCCTTTATCATATAAACTTCAATAACATTACCAACGCTGCCAACAAAATATCCCCCGTTCTGAAGATCTGCAGCACTAGTAGATCTTAAGTAGCTAAACCCCACACTTGTACCTTGATATCCTGCGGAACTAAGATTAAGTCCTCGATGATCACTGACCATGATGCATTTTTTCAAGTTTTTAGAGGTTTGGAAGAATAAGGAATATTATCTTAAATCGCTTCTGAGTTTAGTCAACTAGAATGCCGTTCCCATGTGGAAGCTAATGGTAGATGCGTCGGCGTACAAATGTGATGCTAAAATGATGTTATGAAGTACCTTGTGTATATTTCTGCTTTCTTGCATCTTTTCAAGTATCGGAGTAATTCATTGGAGATTCGTTCTGTTAGTATAATCGTCGAGAGCATCCTAGAAATCTAATTTTTTACCTTGGGTGGTGAAAGCGAGGTCAACCTTTTTTTAAGCGAGTGATCTGCCATCGCTAGATTTAGTAAGATCTTACATTTTCACTAATAAGTATTTAGTGCTTTGTAGCACTACGCTACATCTGCCGACTTTTCCAACTCTCGATGTATCTATAACGATACAAAAGTGAAAGTCAATTATTATTATAGTGTTTTACCTATCAAACTATATCGACCTGTGAAGTATACATATTACTATCGCAAAATTGTTATAAAGCTATATCACGGACGTCCTGAGACATTATTCTGCATATAGAAATACGGTGGGCTGTCGTCTTCAGGTACTGACCATTTATGATAGACCATCTCACCATATTCTACAAAATTTCCTTCATCATCAATGCCCAATGACAGGAACTCTTTTCACCTCCAACACAGCACCATCCAGGAACAAAGGAACCGCGAAACGGAAAGCCAGATAATATATGAAGCCACCTAAGACTAATGTCCATCCTATATATGGTGGGTACAATATACCAAAGTATTGAGCTACCAGGGTGTGATTCTGAAATCCATAATGCAGCCACTGGGAATGCGTTGACAACGAAAACAACAACGGCTGTGACGAGGCTCAACCAATGATTTGAGGTGGAGTTCTTGTTCCATTCAGAAGACTCTCTTGACCGCATCAATATCATTCCTAAGCTGAGAAATATCGCGACCATTGCATCAATCGGGTACGTGTAAATCTCTGTACAAAGTTGTCAGCATATATCTTTGGAAATTGAAAGTGAAAGCAATTTTGCCGGATTACTCACCAACAAGTAATGGCTAAGCGTCCTTTCAATGAGGAACTCGAATTGAGGCGATAATCAAGATTGTGGAGAAAATACCATGGAGCACAAGAGCAGGAAATGGAATTGGCTCGATTTCGGCTCGTTCTGGAGTCTTAGCGACTGTTTTTTTTAAATCTCAGCTGGTTCTGCGACCTTTTTCGACCGCTTGAATTTATCAGTTGCCCATTCAATGATGTTGACGTTTTTAGCAAATACTAAAGCAGAAGGGAGTATTCCTTCTTTCGCGATATCTTGCTTGACACGAGCAGCAGTAAAGGTAGTGTGTGAACGAAGTGAATGACTTCAATTCAATTACTACTGTAATAAAGAACTAGGCGAACGCGAAAGAGACTAGCTCTTTTAGTAAGTCTATATAAGACTTACTACTTTCAATATGTAGCTAGCTCTTTAGACAGAATACAATTAGACATACAGGACCTACGTAATCTGTGGGTGCTACGTCTTCCGTATCCTTCTCGTACCAACAGGTAGTGACAATGACGTTACCCAAGCTCGAGACTGCTAGACACACATCCATGAGCTGGCTCGCACGTCTTTCATTCCAAGCTTGACCAATCTTCCGCTGAAAGAATTGTTCAATTATCGTTTCGCCGTTTATAAAGGTCTCGTCCTGCGGGATTGTCACCACTATCATCTGAAACTGATATCAGCCTAGTCCACTCGCAGTCAAAAGTTCATACAAACATATAATATGTTCGTTAATAAGTAGAGAAGATACATTACTCCAACAGTCCATAGTGAAATGCCTCTAAATCTACAGTAATCGGGCACTGATAAAACCGAGGGTTATTTTATATCAAAACTCAATTGTTTCAATAAATTATAATAATTTCAATTATTGAAAATATCTATTAAGCATTGTGACGGAAAAGTCGTAAACGGAGTCAATTCAATCACTTAGAATCTAAAACTAAAGAACTAAGAAGATTCTAAGTAAGAAGGTCTTTATATACAGGGCTAGTGCACGTGAGCCACTAGTGGGTAACAACCGTCACGTAACAGAATTGGTAAGTTTCAAAGAGGTAGATGGAGAGGTAGAAGTACGAATCCTAATATCTAGTTTTGAAAGTATAGATTAAGGATCGAATAATATTAGATCTATTCTTCGAAAACCAGCTTTCATATTCTGAATAGTAAATGATTGTAAATATACAGCTTTAAAGACTATAACAAATTCAATCTTAGTGATATAATTGATATAAGCTTCGATAAATCCTTCAATTTAATAATCATGTAAATATTTGTTGACCTCCTGGGATCTTGGCAGTATATATATATATATTGTATGATGTATATAAAGAACAAACAAAACTCAACTTTTAATTCATTCTTTCCTTTTTGGTATACTGTTTGTTTGCTTTCAATATTTTGATTTCAAAGCACTTTAATTCCGAAGGCTGAATACCTAACCTTATTCCTTCATTTTTTGAATATATACTCGCAGCTTAACTGCTTAGCTAGAGAATCAATCAATTCAATCTGACGCTCTTTCTGGTCTCAATAAACCCAATAATAATACTATAGAGTAAGTAATAATACTTTGCAGAAAAGTCAATTTCCCCCACGAGAAACAATAACAAGCTCAATAGTAGCCCAACCCGCCTCCCCTTCCCACTTATATCAATAAATCATGTACTCATTAATCAGTCATAAATTTCACTTGGATATCGAGTCCACCATAGACCATAAAACCCCAGCTTTACTGAAAATATCTCTCATAACAAAAAAGCAGCAATGCAGTCTCAGTTTTGATAAGGGTCAGCACGATAAAGAGTCTTGACGATCCCGTTTGAGTAAGGTTTACCCTTGTCAGTGAATAAAAAGGATTTTATATAATACTGAAAAGATTAAGGAGTAAAGTAAATAACAATATAAATAAAATTTTCGACAGCAAGATATACTAGATGGGAACAATCTCTTCCTGTTACTTTTCCGACGATGATACGCATTTCCACAGATTTCAGTAATAATATCCATAAATACTCATTAAATGTTAGAACTTCCTCACTTCCTCACTGAATAACAATTTACACCTTTTAAGTCCCTTTTGATGGTATTTTGGAGGTTGCATACAGGCTGAGGTAAGATCTTACAAGTTTGGGTATATTTATAGATTCTTCTGAAAAATCTGGATTGGTCTCTAGATGCACAGATTAATATTGCACTATATTTATTTCTATTATGCTCAAGAGACTGCGTTCTTGATTTATCGGCGTTGGTGTAATGGCCTAAGATCTTACTATATATAAGAATCAATTCCTCCCTCGTAAATTCTCGATAATGATTTATTCATGGGAAGTACCATTCGAGAATGGCATGTGTTTATCAGTAAGCTTTTCTACAAGATAGAAACTGTGTGAACGAAGTGAATGACTTCAATTCAATTACTACTGTAATAAAGAACTAAGCGAACGCGAAAGAGACTAGCTCTTTTAGTAAGTCTATATAAGACTTACTACTTTCAATATGTAGCTAGCTCTTTAGACAGAATACAATTAGACATACAGGACCTACGTAATCTGTGGGTGCTACGTCTTCCGTATCCTTCTCGTACCAACAGAAACCCTTGGTCCTGGAACCCAACGTAATCTCACACATCCATCCATGTACACTAATTTTTAGTGATAGCATTAAACACTAAAGCTAAATAACCAAAACAGAGCCTAAGCAATAATCGACGATGAACAAAGCACCTAATAAAACTATACTCATGACTGATCAGTCATATCATAATATTTCATATATGTTTTTGAACATTGGGGCAGGATCAACGGGAGGTACATGTAGTGGTGGAAAGTAATAGTAAGGATTACAGGGGATAAAGAATGAATTGACAGTAAAAGTAATAAGCAGATTTTGTCGCATCCCACTTATTTAACACTAGTTCATCGGTAAATAACCGTATGATGAGCGCTGAAAAAAAGAACTGCACGTGCGAAACTAGAGTTGATAGACGAGAGGGATTTCACAGCTTGAATGGTGAAAATTGGGGACAACAAATACAAGGGGGAGTAAGTGATATTAAGGATATAAAATAACCAGAAACTATGTCCAAAATGATCAGAATCTAGCTTCTACTTTCTTCTCCACATCGCCCAAAGCCCAAGCACTAGAACTCGTTTTACTCCTCACACTCGTAGCTTGTTGCTCCGTAAATCCTTTCGCCTCAATAGCGGGATTGTAATCCAATTTATTTTTCTTTCCAACTTCAGCTGAATCAACAGGAGTATTCGTCTTTCCATCGGCACGCTTGTACACAGTAACCACAACGGCACCACCTAATCCTAGATTGTGCTGCAGAGCTACTCTCGTATCATCAATCAATCTGTTATTTGCCCATCCACGAAGATGCCAAACGAGTTCAGCACATTGTGCAATTCCTGATGCTCCCAATGGATGACCTTTTGAAATCAATCCGCCAGAGGGGTTGATGACCATCTTGCCTCCATATGTGATATCTCCAGCTCTAACCATCTCGTGGGCTTTTCCTGGTGGTGAAAGACCCAAGGCATCAATGACAATCATCTCGTTAGCCGAAAAACAATCATGTAACTCGCAGACTTTGACATCTGCTGGAGTAACTTTAGCTTCCTCCATGGCAGTCTTTGCCGCATGTTTTGTCATCTCGAAACCCATAAGATCAATTGCGGATTTTGAAAATAGCGATGGGGCATCGGTGGCCATACATTGACCTGCAATCAAAATTGCTTGTTCTTTGAGATGTGGACGCGCATCGAGGAAGTCTTGAGAGACCAAAACTGCTGCAGCTCCTCCATCTGATGTAGGACAGCATTGTAATTTTGTGAGAGGTTCGTGGATCATTGGAGCTTTCATAATTTGTTCGAGAGTATAAACATCTTGGAACTGGGAGTATGGGTTTCGTTGCGAATGTTCGTGGTTGACTCGGGCAATTTCCGCAAAATCTTCATTCTTAGCCCCATACCTGTTTGCGATAGGTTAGCCTGCTGTCATGCCGTTCAAGGGCATTAAACATTTGTACTTCTCCATGTATTCTCGACCTGCATTACCAAACATCTGTGCAGCTCCAGGCGCATTCGTGACACCTCTAGTAACTCGCATCATTTCTCCAGTTGTTCCAGTCGGGTTACTGCGGTCATTCCAGAAACTTTGGAGCGAACCAGGATTCATCTTCTCAAATCCCACAACCAATATACAATCCGCACCTCCATGACTAATGATATTTCTGGCCAAAGCCAATCCTGTCGAGCCAGTTGAACAGTTGTTATTTACATTGTAAATTGGGATCTTGGTCATTCCGAATTGATAAAAGACGCGTTGTCCGCAGGTCGAATCTCCATAGCAATAACATGCAACGCCTTGATCAACATCATCGTAGTTGATTTGTGCATCAAGCATAGCCTTGATGCCTGCCTCGAATCCAAGTTCCGTGTAGTCGACTTTACCCCTAGGTTTGATGAACTTGGTCATACCGACACCAAGGACATAACACGGCTCATTGCGCTTAATAACCATTGTGAGGAGTTGTGATGGTGAGCTATCGCGGTGGTCGCTAATGTATTCTTAATTGTATCGAGGAAATTTATTGAAGTTGTGATACAGATCAGTTGAGGAAAGATTAAAAGTGCTGTTCTGCGCCTTATCACACTCATATCTGGGGTAAGCTTAAACTTTGCGGGGAAACCTACCGAGGCTCGGAAGTGGATCATTGCCGTCATATCCGGAGCTCCTCGTAAGCGAGCTTTCAGGAAGGGGGTCTCAAAGTGGAGTAGAGCGGCCTGTGCTTAGTCATTCCGTGAAGTTTTATGATGTGCGGCCAACGACAAAACGCGTCGATGTCAAGTAATTACTAGTATGTCTCAACCTCATTGCAAATATCCTAGATTGTTTCTTGCCCTTTAGTATAGGTATAGGACATCCTTTGAATGAAGAAGAATCGAAATTGCCAAATGATACTTTAGCAGTACTCGATTCTCACAAGATGGGCTGTGTCTAGACCAAATGAAAGCCAAATTTACAAATCCATCAATAACAATGTTTTATCATCAATTTGTATCTTTTTCTATCCAGATTATTCCAGATTATCTTATAGTGGTAAACCCTTGCGCGGATTTTATCATCCATTCAATCAGATAGTTTTGATGCTGAATGCAACTTGTAAGCTTTGTTTACGTGGGAAATGGTAAATGCCGTGGCATTCCATTCTTTATCACAATCCCCTCTCCAGCTCACACATATGAACCCTATACTGCGAAAAACGCAATATACACCTATAAGTCTCAATTCCGATGTAAATAATGGGATCCAGTGAAGCCTCCTAGCTCAATATCAAGTCCATAGAATAACCAGCTATGAGCCGAGCTTCGCAGTTTAATATTCACAACTCTCGGGAAATAATTTCAACCACAAAGGTCCTTTCCTGTTGAACCTGCAAACAATCATTGGCATGACTGGTGCCGCGATGTATCTTTGTCCAGTTGCCAAGAACGCAGAGCATAAAGAAGTCACCATGTCTACCTCAAGCTACCTTAAGCTACCTTCATCCTTGAACCGTCCTCGACTCTATTCGTAATTCCTTTGCTATCATACGTATTAATCCTCAGATTTATCACCAGCAAAACCTTCGCAATGGCGCGCTTCTGCTCTATTGTACCTCCTCATGTTCTCAAACATATTATTGATAGTCCTTTGACACGTCCAGCTACTCTTCTCGCAGCTCAAAAAACGTACGACCATGTCTGTCGCATTCATGAATGCCGGGTTCTGGGAGCCTATATGCATGATGATGCACCTGATAATCTCGTTGCCGGTATAATCCCTCTCCACATATCCCAATCAGTCTTTGATTCTGAGGAGGCATCCGCGGAAGAGAAAGAACATGCGAAGCATAACTTAGCATATATTGATCAATATCATGCTACCCGTGCTGACCGTTCCGCAGAAGAAAGGTCAACCACTCGTAATGTCCACCGAAAAGTCTATAGCTCTGAAGGAACCAATGAAATAAGAAAAAGAAAAATCTATGATGATCGTTATTTAATACCCTTAAGAACTATGGATTGGGATGCTCAAAATGTATATCAATACTTCAGAGAGAGATATGAATTTTACGATAAGGTATGTTCAGATTGTGTGATTGCTATGTCTCTATTTGGTGACTCCACCTCGACAAATAACTGATTCACATACCAGGTATTCAATCACAACTCAATTGACGATAAAGGTCTTCACATTGTTGGAAACATTCACTATGACGATCAGCCTGGCCCACCTGGCTTTAATAACGCTTTTTGGAATGGAAGGGTGAGTTATCCAGTGCCAAAGTTTGTTGCAGAAAAACAATATGTTCAGACATTTGGCTATCTTTACGATCTGATCTCACCGTCACATGCTTCTGAGTACACGGCTTCTAACACACCTAGTAGGAAATTAACTTTGGTGATGGAGACGGTGATTTGTTTACCAACTTTGCCGATAAGATTTGATCCTTCATTATAATCCCAACATCACAATCCAAATTTCACAATCCACAATTTCCTCAAACATGCCCCTAGCAATCTTTACTTCTCACACCTTCCCCTCCCTCCCACCTCTCCACCTCTCCATTTCTCCACTCATGACAAGTTTGATCGCATTTACCGCATATATTCAACAAACTCTATAATTCGCAGCTTTTTTTGTGGAGGGAGGGGGACGGGGTCTTTAAACTTGAGAATGGAATAAAATATCAGACTTCTATGTTTCCGGGGAGGTGGGATATAGATATAGACAGATGTGCTGGGACTACCAGTTGTTCTCCCATAAGTATATTTCCGTGGGTAGGATTTCGCGTTGCAAGTTTATTCTTTGTTCTTGTTTTTATGTAAAGCACATACCATAACCAAGCAATATCACCAGAATGGAACATGGGTAGGTTATGACTTCGCTATTTATTATCCTCCCCTCTCGCAGTGCACACTGCCTCTATCACTGTCTGCGTGTCCATCTCTACCCCATATATATGTATATCCATCCCCTCACTCATCGGCCACCAATTCCTCATCTCATCTGCATCATCCAGTTCTGTAATCCTTTGCCCTTTCTGCCGTACCCCTTTCCGCCATCACTCCCCCATCCCCCCATGCTTATCCTCTCCTCCCACCAAAAATCTACTCCTTAACCTCCACACTCCTAACCTCTCCATCCGCCTCCGCCGTATTAATTTTCTTCCCCGTCTTCGCAATCTTACTCAACACAGTCTCATAATCCAATTCTGGTTTTGCGATTACTGTTGCCGTTTGACCGGTAAGATCTACTTCATAAGCGCGGACTCCTGTTTTTATATTATTAGTAATTGGTTTTTGGTTTATTGCATTAGTGATTTTTTGTAGTAGGAGGGATGGATTGTGGTCAACCGCAGAAGTGTGATTGTGGGCGGCGGTGTATGAATGTGCGCGACATCCTACCAGCTAGGTAGGATGATGTCGTCGGCGGGAAGGGCCTAGGTAGAGATCGGGGAAAGGAAGAAGATGAGGAGATGTAGAGAAACCCAGCAAGAATAAAGCAATAGTAACAAATAAAAGGCAAAAGTGTCTTAACACTCGCGCAGGAAATAAACTCACCATCCAACCTCTTAAGCACTCTATCCACGGCTCCCGAGCACCCGCCACAAGTCATCGTAATCCCGAATTTATATGTATGTTCGCCCTCTTCCGCGATCAAGGGAGCCGGTGTGTTTACTTCCGTGTCTGCCATTTCTTCGTTCTTTCTTTATTTCTTATTTGTCGTTTGTTTTCTGTGTTAATGGGTTTATATGTATCGTAATGCGGTGTCAAAACATAGAATGGATGTTTTATTCTTTAAGCGGAGAAAAGTAGCAGAGTTGGATAATGGGAAAACGTGGTGATATTGGATATCTATTTGTATTTGTAGACGGAAGGAAAGGCTGATGATGAGCTGAGGGGCACTGACATTATCCATCACCTAGCTAGCTAGGCCAGCTAGCCTTAGCGATAACGCAATAATCACTCCTCCTCGCTTATCAATCACATCATCCATCATACATATCCGCGCAACTTCAATGAAACGCAACTCCAAACCCCCAGCACAAACCCCTATCATACAAAGATGAAAATATGAAACTTGCTCAGAACAGATCGTCTGCAATGATGAATCACGTAGCACCGTATTGCTTTTCTTTTAATTTCGAGTATGATCACACGGAACGAATGGATGGTTGGACATATAATATGTTTCAGAAGGGACAATCCCTGGTGAATCTGTTATATATTATGAGCATGTTTTTCAAGGAATAAGATAGGATGGGACGGGATAGGACGGGATTTGTAATATAATAGTAGCTATTATTATAAAGCTTCCTAATTCGGTAGACGGGTAGATAATAAAGGCAGAGCTTATGAGAAGGTTATTGGGGACCGCTTTGAGCTGAGTCTGTTTTAGGAGGGGATGATTAGGGTTACACAATATTCTGATCTGATTATCTGAGTATGCAAATTATGGGGATTGATGCAGGTACGATCGTTGCTTGTGCGCTTTGATATCATACACAAAGTCAAAGTAACATATGCTCGGATTGAAGATCATAGTTCAAATCCCAAATGTACAATCTTGCTATAATTATACCTAAGAGGAAATAGGGCTTATATATCGATTGCATTTCTGTATTTTTCTCGTTCTGCATTGAATTCAATTACAAATTTACTCAATCTAGAATTACTCAATTTGATTAATTTATTTAAGAGTTTCAGCTTTCTATCTATAATATAATCGCTCTAATAATTATATCTATTATAGACTAGATTCGAGTTTTAAAATGAAGGTAGCAATTCCCTACGAGGTATAGATGTGAATAATTTAGCTCTCTTAATGTAAAGCAGGCATTTCATCATCCTCATCAGCATCTTCAACATGTGCTTGTCTATATCCGCCTCGATCTTCCTCTCCATCATCTATCAATCCAGGTATTGAATCATCATCAGTTTCACTGGCCGATGCACCCGATGAAGAAGGGTCAGCATATGCTGGTGTTGATCTCCAGAACATGAGACTTTCCAATACTCTGGTTGCGGCAGATAATGACGGTCCACGTGCTGGTCCTTCTGCATTCTCATCGCCCTCTTCTTCTAAACCTTCAATCAGGTTTCCTTCTGCAATATGATTTCTCAATCGTTCAAATGCTTCGGCCTCGGTTTCAGCATTATTAACATCGATATTATCATCACCTGCTCCACGACCTCGTAATGCGTCTAAACCTGGAAACCCTGGCAAAAGTCGTGCGAGAGCCGCCAGTGGATCATTGAATCCGTTAACTTCGGGTTCGTCTTGATTTCCCAGACTTCTTTGTTGACCCGGATAAGAGATGGTGCTCGAGTAGGGCGGTAGTGGATCCGAATCAGAGTTATTGCTCCTATGGAGAATATTCGATGGAACAAGAGACATTAATTCCCGTCGATTATCCAAATAGACGAATCTGACAATATCTAGACTCATCTCTTTGGTGTCTGATAGTAAAGGCGTTTCCGACAAGTCTGGCTTCTCAATCGTATGTGCTATTTCCATAAGCAATGCAGTAGACTCGGTGGTGTTCCAAAGATCCTTTGCTTGAAGAACATATAATTCTGTAAATAAAATGTCAGAAGCAGTTGGTGGTTCTGTACCCCATATTGATGGAGGTGCATCAAGATCAAGTTCTCTGAATAGTCGACAAAAAAGCCAAGGTACCTGACTCATGCAGTCCGATAATATGCTCCTGCATTTGACACCATCCTTGAGTTGCTGGGCAGCCAGAGCAAAAGATGGCTTTGCATAACTGATTGTGTTGGCCCACTCTGGTATATTTCGACTGGCAGAGAAATCCAAAAGCCATTGAAATTCATGTGCACGTAAGGCAAGATGATGTATCATCCATCGCATGCAATATGGATCATCCTCAGGATCCAAACTTAGAAGTAACTTTGCCCACTCGAAGGCAGTTCGATAAGTTCCCTTCATCATGAGAGATTTGATATAGTGATACCCAGCTAACCAAAATTCGCGATTCTCTGGTCTAGCAAAATCCAATCGAGCTTTACCTTGGGCCAACTTAGTACTAAAGGACGATAATGAAACTCGACCAAATGTAAAGAGGGCTCTCTCAACAAGATCAGATGATAATGAATGATCGCCTTGGTCTTTTGCTATCTTGCTGACTTGAAGAAGAAGAGAAATATGATACGCTATATGGGTTAGCAGTGGTAGAGATTTGCAGCATAGATTGTACTCACGATTTCTTTGAATATACCCAATAAGGTTTTGAGGATCCCCCATTTCAACCAGAGTTTGGAATGTGTGCTGCACAACTTGATATTCTTTATCGTGTACAAATTTGTATTCGATAGTACCATCAACTACCTCTTGGTTGTCAACAACCGCCATTGTCAATCCGCCCGAAGTAGATTTTGGCCATTCATCCTTCCCTTGTATCAAAAAGTTGCGTCGCAGGGTGAGCTCGGAAAGGCCTTTGCCTGGTTTATGATGTCCCTTCAAGGCTGTCTCCAAATCCATCTGTTGCATACGTTGTCTTCTTCTTGGCCCACGACCTGTAGGTCCTCCAGGATCTTCATTATTTTCCGTAGCAGCCCGTCCAAATAAACTTCGCATTTCATTTGCAACTTTGAGATGTTGTGTATTGATACCCAATAGGAAACAAACTCTCTCATATTCTTCATCCACTTCTATTGCACTTGTTGTATTTGTGGCATTTGGTTGCTTCAAATTTAACTCTTTGAGAGCTTGATCAATTTCATCCAGACCATTCTTAGATGTATCCTCAACTTCTTTCGCGGAGTCTTTTGTCTTTCCATTATTCTTGGCCTTCTTCTTCTTCTTCGACTTTTTATGTTTCTTCGTGGTCGCGACTGGAGTGAGTTCACTCAATTCTTCTCCTTCCGGCTCCTCATCTTCATCGATTTCCTTAGATCCGTCATCGCCTTCTAGAGCTGCAAAGCTTGCAAACAAGCTGGGTTTTGATTGTATCGGTTGCGACTCATCCTCGGATTCCTCCTCTTCTCCTGCTTGAGCTTGAAGCTTAGCTTGTTGCTCCAATTCGCGCTGTTGTTGTAATTTTCGAAGCTGTCTACTCGACATGATGAAGAGTTATCCTTAGATGATATCTATGAATGGAGAATGAATGGAATAAGAATGGATTGATGGAAGAAGAACGAATGGAAGAAGATTAAATGTGGAAAGTGTGCGCACTATGATGGCGGGGTTTGCGCCGGCAGAAATCTAGTAAGCGGTCACCGCTTTCAGATGATTTATTTTTTTAATTATATTTTCGTTAGAAAATAAGATTATGTTTCCAAAATTTTAAACACATTGATAATAAAATATATAATATTTCGATATTGAATAGTTATTTTTCTAATTTTAATCAACAATATTTTAAATTTCAATTCTAATTCAATTTTAAAATAATTGATTTTTCATATGATTTGTAGTTTACTGTCCGTGAGTCCGTGCACCCACTGCTGGCTATGTGCTTACCAATCACTTCTATATTCATCATCATTCGAAGGAACCTTCCCCAGTCTCTCTCTTATTCATCATTCACTCATATACTTCTTCAAGAATCAAAGAATAAACACGTTACATTAGTTCTGATAATGATATAGATGACTTTTATGAATTTTTATTCATTTCAACGATCTTTCGAATTCGAATCTCACCCACCCGTCCTTCCTTCAATAGCCTCCAGCTTCCACAGTCCACCCCTCTTTAGGTCCTGGCAATCATACCTCGTGCTTATCCGGGGTACTACCAAAGCGCCATCTCGGGAAAGCAGCTTAGTTAAACGCCCTACCCTAGGATCTCAAAACATAGATCGATTTCTAAATATCATCTCACCAATCTTTTTATTTTAAATGCGTCAAGTAGCATTAAAAGCCATTCGCATTGCGCGACAATTACCTCCTCTTCGTAGCACTCGTGGTAGCATATTTCAACCGTCAAGCCATGTTTTAAGCGCACGATTTTCTTCCGGTAGAGCTCCTTTTCCCAAATCATCATCAACAACAACGTTACCACTTCAAAGTTCAGTCATCCCAGCATCGATGTATTGGCGAAGGTTCTCCCTGGCTCTTGTTTCAGGGTTTGTTGGATATGGCGCATGGTACACATACAACGGAGACGGAATTCTCACCAAAGAAGCCAGTCCAATTTCCACCGCACAACAATCTTACGACTTTGCAAGCAGTACCGTCTATTCAACACCGATGGGGCCGGAAGAGACCGTAGATGCTAGAAAAGCTGTAATTGTCGGTACAGATGGTCTTTATACTGACACGATTGAAGGTCCAATTTCAAAGGATACCGACGATTCTGGCAGGAAGGTGTTGGAGATGTTAACACCAGATCAAGCGACGTCAAAATTGCGCAGAAATGAGGAGTCTTATTTTGTTGGTCGTGGTAAAGGAGTTGTGCGATATGATGTAGTTCAAATTCCAAGTAATGATCCCATCGAAGACGATCATTCGGAAAAGATTATTGAGACGAATGAAACAATTTCTGGGTCTCCTAATTCACCTTCCGATTGGATGTTCTGGGGTGTATTTGATGGCCATTCGTACGTTTCGTTTAAACCCCTCGACAGGGCCACTCTTACTGATATTTAAATAGAGGCTGGACCACTTCTGCGAAATTACGACAAGTCTTGATCAATTATGTTGCTAGAGAACTCAATTCTACCTACCAAGCCTCCCCGAACCCGTCCAACGATGCCATTGAAGCCGCGATGAAGACTGGGTTCACGAGACTCGACAATGAGATTGTACATGAAAGTGCGCAGAAAGTAATGAAGGGCAATTCAAAACTAGTCGCAGCGGAATTGTTAGCCCCAGCATTATCCGGATCGTGCGCACTCCTTTCCTTCTACGATACAAACACAGGTCTCTTGCGTGTTGCATGCACAGGAGATTCTCGTGCAATCTTGGGACGACGAAACGACAATGGAAAATGGGCTGCTACAGCGTTATCAATCGATCAAACCGGTAGCAATCAAGATGAGGAGGCTAGAATGAGAAAGTTACATCCTGGAGAAGATCATGTCATTAGGAATGGCCGAGTCCTAGGTGGTCTGGAGCCTACTCGCGCATTCGGTGATGCAACTTACAAATGGACTCGTCAAGTCTCCGAGCGATTGAAGGAATCTTTCTTTGGAAGAACTCCATCTGCTCTTCTTAAAACTCCTCCATACGTCACCGCGGAGCCTGTGGTCACTACTACCAGGATTCAACCCGAAAGAGGAGACTTTGTTGTGATGGCAACGGATGGACTTTGGGAGATGCTCTCCAATGAAGAGGTGGTTGGATTAGTTGGCCAATGGATCGATAAACATTCCGCGGATTCAAATGGGAACTCTGCAAGCTCATGGACAAAAATGTTTACAGCGTCTCAAAAGGGGTTGCCAGTAGAAGCAAGTAAAGATAACAACAACAGTGGTCAGAAAGCCCCAATCAGACAGCGTCAATGGGGCGTTAAGGAGAGTGATAGATTTGTTGTTGAGGACGAAAATGTTGCCACACATTTGGTCCGTAATGCGTTGGGTGGAAAGGATAAGGACATGGTTTGCGCTTTATTGTCATTACCTGCTCCTTATTCTAGAAGATATCGGTATGCCATCCCTTTCTCAATATTTCTCGGAAATCTTTACTAACGCATCCGAACAGAGATGATCTTACAGTAGAAGTTATCTTCTTCGGTAACGGTCCGAAATCCGGCGATCTCATTGTCAACAAAGAAGCAAGCGCTAGCGCAAATAACGTCAAGCCTAAACTCTGAAATATTATAGAAATCAGGAAACGTCCTTTTACGAAATTTTAAGCGTGTATTATTACTAAGCATTTAGTTTTGAAAGCGGGTTTTGGCGACGAAGATGAATTGCATGACTGGAATGTAATGGAATGGATGGTGGTATACCCAGCGTATCGTGTGAAGTAAATGAATGCATGCAGGAATGGAGTCAAAACTATTACTACCCACTTAAATCTAGGAAATAGCATGAATTCTTTTGAGCAAGCTTTCGTGAGTGATGTGAGGTGATTGCCAACGCAGTGTGGATATGAATTGTTTTGCTGATTGATGGGTAGTTCTTCAATGGTATCCGAAAGTTCATGGGTCTCTGGGATCGAAGATTTGATTCTTGATATAACAATTTATCCTACCATTAGTGCCACTGATTGCTGGTTAAGTTATTACTTTACTGCATGATATATGTACTAGGTACTCGTTCAGTAGGTTTTGTTAGTTGGTTCTTCAGTGTTTGATTAGCTTGCAGAAGGAGTGAGTGAATGAGGGAGTGTGTAAGTAATGCCCTTCATTGTAACTTTTATATTTGTTTTGAATATTTAAGCAGTCGATTACAGAATGATTGTCCCCGTATATATCAGAAATGCCACGGTTTCCAGTTCTGTTTCTTAAGCTTTTCCGCACGCTTTTCCTCCTGTTCCACGCGCCGCCGGTACTTCAATCGCTTCCTCTCCTCCTTTTTATTTATCACCTCATTCACCTTTCCCGATTGCCTCTTCATGTAATCACTATCCTGCCTTCCACTAAGCACATAATCATAGACTTGGATCCTCTCCTCCGGCAAGTTAACTTTTCCTTTCAAGTGTTGTGTCAAGTCGTGTTTCATGTCACTCAGATATATTTTGACTTGTAAATAGCTTTCGTATGTAGCTGTGAGCGCCTCGATTTGTTGTTGAAGATTTGGAATTTCAAATGGTGTCAGTGACGATGCATTGTTTGTTTTATTTTCATTCTCGTCGGTCTCATCCTGGCCCTCATGCTGGCTCTCTGTCTGGCTCTCTGTCGTTGATTTCTGGATGTGAGATTTTTGCAGTTTCTCCATCATATAACTTGCCTCACCATTAGCAAACTCAAGTGCTCTTTTGAGGGATGAAATCATATCTTCAAGCCGTGTCTCATAGCCATCTTTAGTTCTGTCCCCAGGAGCCAGACTTTTGACACTACCGAATCTATGGATCAAATTGTAGGCCGCGGGAAAATCGAAGTTTTTGAGGTCTCGCTTTTCCGCTTCCTTAGTCATACGGGGCTGGGTTATGTCGAATGCCTTTTCAAGAACTTTCCTCTTTTCTATGACACCTTCGATTTCATCTTCAAATCTGAGTGTTTCTTCCCAAGTGTTCTCTAGTTCCCTCTCCAACCATTCGTAGTGGGTGATCCAAACTGCTGCAATTTTTCTGCCTTGTTCTGAATCTGGGCGATTTTGCCACTTATCTTCAGGTTGAAGTTTGCTAAGTGCTATCCCAAGATTCTTGCTTTCTTCTTGTAAATTGTTTAAGATCATGTCCAAAAACGCTCCATAATCTCCCATAGCTTCCGAAAAGGTCCAAACAGATTTTCGGTAGCCTTTGATACTTGCAGTAAGGTTCTGAGAATCTACCGACAAATCTGGTATACTGTAGGTGAGATTTACCATAATATATCGAGAATCTGCGTATGCTCCTTGTAAAGCTTCGAGTTCAGGAGCGATACTCAACTTCGTGAGAGCATTAAGTGGGAGAATCATCTCGTACATTGGGTCTCGTGGAAGGCCATCATTATCCAATTCAGAATGTTTGCGCTTAGGCATGACTCTTTCCTCGTCTCTTTTCTGTTCGAGTAATTTTTCCAAAGCTTCTGTTTCTTCGAGACTTGACCAGCGTGCCATGTTATTAAGTTCGTTCTCTGCGATTCTCTCCCAAGGGACTAAAAAGACGACTGTTAGGAAAAGTCCTGAAATGAGAAGTCCATTACGAACGAGTCTCGCCACGCTGCGCACTTTCGGTATCCAGTGGTTCCCAAGGGGTCGGATTTCGTCCACTTCCTCTCGCCATGTCGTCTTCCGCACAGGTAATTCAGTACCTCTATCCGAGGTTGGGGGACGGATTCTTGGCGGCTCGGAGGTGATGATTCTAGGAAATCTTAGATGGGGAGTTCCTCCTGTGCTTTCTTTTGAATAATTTGAGGATAAGCTGGATGTTTGAGATTTGCTGGGGCGTCGGCGAAAAGAATGGCTCGTATTCCCGATTGTAGACATCTTGTTTGAGAATCTGATTAACTATTCATAAATTAGAATGTATTCCTGGTAGTTGAATCGCCTGCAGAAAAGAATGATGTTTGCTGTGATTAAAGCAAGAAGACACTCATATTTCTTTCTTTTCCGGATCTGGCGATTTGCGATTTTTCTTTAATCTGTCTGTCGTTGATTAACAGAGTAGACAAAGGCCTGATATTTGACTATTGATTACCACCCATAATTTGTGGGTCCCAATGGGTTCCTAAGAGTCCTTTGTCTGTATTATACGTGGTTTTCTATAGTAAGACCCAGTAATCTTTTAAACAAAGCCGCAAGATATTTTTCTCCATTCTATAATCATAAAGCGACTGCATATAGACAAAGTAAAATGCTGTGATTTACCAAAGGTACAATTACGGCAAGCAAAAGAAACAGCTAAAGTATAGCCTTAACTATACATCATTGGAATAGCAACTCATAAATGATGGCTCTGAGCATACCGTCACAAAGTCTAAATGCTATCAAATATGGACCATGGTCAAAAGATGCCCGGATATCGGGTCTTACTCCACTTACTCCGCTTTTCCCAAGGGCGAGAGTTGATCCAGAAGAACTTGCTCTCAGGAATCAAATTGAGGATTTCCAACGAGAGAAATTCGAGGGATTTACTTCAAGAGAATTGGCGGACATGGACGTGATAACCGACAGGAAGCTGAAAGATTCGACACTGGAGAACCCAATTATGCCACTTCTTCGAATACAGAGATGGGAATTACGGCCTCATCAACCGGATTTGACGAGAAATTATATGTATCCGCTCATGATCGATGGTGAGCAGCATGGTGATTGGTCAATGCACAATCCTCTGGTGTATGAGAAGATGAAACCTGTTTTACAGTTGGCTACTAGAACTATTATAAGCATGTATACATTACCGTGGGTAGGAACTTATCTGCTGCACAGCGCCCAAGCCTCTTTCTCTGTAACTAACTATGGTAGTTTGCAGCCCTAATCTTCGGTAAAAGAGCTCCTATAGATCCAGCAAGGGTTCGTCCACACGACGAACTTCCAGACAATACCGTTTCCTTTCTCCCGTATAATATAGGCCACTACGACATCGTTCGAGCAAAAATGATCCAGATATTCTATGACTTAGAACATGTCTGGAATCTCAAATTAGGTTTCATGGCACCCGGAGAAGATCCTCGAGGCCCGGAATATCCTCTTGACCCGGACGATAAGATTGAGGATGATGTGTATGGACTTACCGTAACGAATTATTCATACATGATGTACGATACAGATGTGAATAGGTCGTGGAAGCTTTATATATTTCTCAATTACACACAGCTAGATTCATTGTTTAGAAATGATTTAACAACCACCGAGAGAAAAACGGTCGAATGGGCTTCAGCAGTTACACTTGTGCATGAAATTGTTCATGCGATTAATTTTGTTTGTCCTAGAATAGATGGTTCTCCGGTACAAAATCCAGATGATGAGAATCCACCTTGGTTCTATGATCAGGAAGCATTGGCAGAAGTTGGATATAGTTTTGAGGCTGCTGTAAGTCCGTTCTCTTCCTCTAATAATTGAGTCTGGGTCCTAATTATACGTCCTATAGTTAAACGGGGGAACAGTTCGCGCTTTCATAGATAAACCGGGAATGCCATATGGCCATTGGTTTCAGACTGTATGGCCAACAGTGGAAGGGCAACACCTATGTGGTTCTAAAAGTTTAACATTAACACAACCTGACCCTTTCACCTATCAAGAAGAATTTCCCATACCAGTGTCTTTCTATGAAGATATTCAGCAAAGGAACTTCTGGGAATGTGTAGTACATAAATTCGGACACAAGTTATTTCACTATCGAACACTCAGCCATGGGACGCGTATCAACTTTAAAATACACCGTAATAACAAACAAACACCTATAAAATTTGCCATGATAGACACCGGCGGTATTGGACCAGTCAATCATGATTATGGTGGTGCTCCTAAGGTTTTAGTCGATAGGTGGTTGAGTGTACTTCGTATTCGTGGTATGGGAACCGCACCCGAGACATCCAAGCTAGCTTCAAATTTTGGACAAGCTCTTCTAGATAGCTCATTGATCGACAATTCCTTCTGGACAAAGTCCCAAAGTCAGCGGCAGAGTGTCGATATAATTTTTGATCATCTTAGAAAGGAGAGCAGATCGATTGAAGAGACAGTCGCAAGGTTTGGACAATTGATCGATTTCATATCGATTATTTTGCGAAATCACGAAAATACAATCGATGCTTTGTTTGGAAGTGTTCTGGTTGTGGTAAGAGGTATAGAGGTACCGACGGAACAAAGAAGAAAAACTTTACTTTCTTGGAACAGAGGCACAGGAAAATTTATCAATGAATGCGGACAGCAAGAATACGCTACTCCACAACAAAAACAACAACTTACGGAGGAACTGATCGCATTAGAAAGATGTCGCATGCGACTCTTTAGTCCAGATCTCGTTAACGAGACTATTAGGTCTGGACCTGATTTCGAAGAATTGAGACTTTTACTTTGGCTTAGAGATTCGTATCTCAGGGATCAGGTAGATGCTTGTGATGATTATTGTAATCAATTGGAAAATATTGACGAATGTTCACTTTTTCCCTCGTTGTGCGCACAGTTGATTAGGATTTCGATATATGAGGGGAGTGAAGTAAGTGAGGACAGAATTTCTACTGGTACTGAGTTGCAGAATTTGATTGCTGTTTATGAAAAGCTGAAATCGAGGTGTCCCGAGTCATGGGTTGATATGTTTAGGGTTTGGGATGAGGTGGTGGGTATTGCTGTGGAGATTATTAGGGGGGTGAGGGAGATGTAAGATAGGTGTGATTTAGGAAATTTACTGGTTCAATTTGTGGATAATGAATTCGCGGCTTTCAATGATTGAAAGGTCGTGTATGTTTGAAAATAGTTGCTTTCTTATCGATTAATTATTCACTTGGATTGAACTTTTCTAAAATATCTGAATGCTTGGAATCTATTGGTGATGAGGGGTCAAATTATTCAAATTGTTATATGAAATGAAAGGAACGAGTCCTGTGATTGATTTTACGGTATAAAATGGATTAAATACTAAGATGACTTTATGTGATGAAGTGAACTGAGTGCTTTAAATAGGCCGAACACTCCCACCACTTTTGTGAAATGAATATGTTTTCATTGCTGAAATTAATTCGAACAGTCTATAATACCTTAAAATTCAGTCTAATTCCATAATTAGGAGTCTCTAATACAGTGGGTCAATTCTAAAGTACTAGCAAGGTTTAGATGTCCCACTGATCTCGAACATCGCTAAAGTAGGGGAGCCGAGAAATGATGAATGGCTCTAATCATCATATCTAGACAACCTTCTTTGACATATCTATAACTTTACTGCAGCTATAAAGCTCTGTACAGTCAATTAATCTTTGTTTGTTATTAATTAGTTCTCAAGGTGTCATATTCATGTTCCTAGACTCGACAATTGCTTAATTTAGTTTGCTTAGCTCTATTTTCATTTGTCTTGGCATCTGCGAGTATTGAACAACAATAGAACAACTCTATTGTATTTTCTACTTACTGTACCATTAGAACCACAATACCGTATGAATACTATATACACATTGAATGAACACAATAGTATTCTATTGCCGTAAAACAGTATATTGGAGCTCAGATAGCTAGTTTTCAGTCCGTATCAATTACATTAATAGGGATAACATTTCCAAGCCTGAATCTACACGTTCTATCATCTAAATCGACTATACTCCGCCACTAAATATACCATATCAGACCTACAAGAACTCAACTATCTCTTTTTCTAAACCTAAATCAACGCCAAAATGAACCACCACAACTACCAGTCCGACATTGCCGCAGATAGACAACTATACCAACTCCCAGTAATTATTCAAGCAGCACCTCTGCCAGTTCAACCCATCTACTACAACGGCATCCAGGTTTGCCAATATTCTACCCTCACCCAGGTAGACATTAACGGCTATATCATGCCCATCCACCCTGATTTCGGCCCATTTCCGCTCCCCAACGATCATCCCGCTGTCCCTTATCCAGCTGAGGAGGGTATGCAATGGATTGGGTATCTTGCGCCTGATCCTGAAAATCCTATCTTGATGGACACTCAGGCATATTGTATGAATCCATACGACATCAATTATCCACTTGGTCAGACTTCTTTTTATCCACCCCCTGCCCTTCCTGCTGATGGATTTCCTCCTTTCGCTATGCCTCGTCAACTAGAGTACCAACAGTCCGCTTACTTCAACCCCCCTTCTCCTCCTCTCACCGGCTGTCTCTCCGGCAGTCTTCCCGACCTACAGAATAGCACTCTCAACAACGGTACCGGTTTAAATGACCCACCTATCGCCGATCCAACAGCTGAACTAGTAGTGAAAGGGTATCTGGATGAGAATATTATAGCAGCGATGGAAAACCGAAGATCTCTACTGCATTGGAGTGCGATTCCTCATCCGCCGGAGTTGACGGATGAGTATTGTGAGGAGGTTAGGATGGAGCTTGAGAGATTGAGACCGATTTGGCAGAGGGAGATGGAGGCTGGGGTTCCGTTGAGTCAGCCTGGTGGTATTTATGATGGGGGAGAGGTTGGAGGTGTTGTGAATGGAGCTAGTAATGAGGAGGTTGAGGAGCTGGATGGGGGTATGGAGGGGATTGATGAGACGGAGGAGGATGATATGGATTATGATGATTGAGAAGTTGTGTGGACCGTTATTTTGTGCTTTTAGCACATTTTTATGTACTTTTAGATAGTTCATCATATTATCGAAAACAGATTAGCTTCGATAAGATATTAGAGACTACTGGTAGCTTCAAGATCTTGGAAAACTCTTCATTGGGTATTTTGGTGTGATGTTTTAGGAGATTTCGTTCATTTCGAGGTGAGTTACAAGCTCTATACTTAGATTAAAATCTAAAATCTTCTACAACAACAAATATCCAGATATTAGATAATTCTTTCCTTTCATCTACTTCTAAACAATATATTCTTTTTTCTTTCATTTAACTCTAAAAATAACTGAAAATAGCCAAATAAATCATGTACTCTACTTTCACATCCCTCTGTTTTAAATTATCTATTTATATGAAAAACTTCGATTTTTAACCACAAATAACTTTACAATAACTTGATATATTGAAGTCTAACCAGATGAACTAACACGTTTTATTCTCCCAAAATGCATGAGTAAATGATGTTCTTCTCGTCCCCAATTGAAACGTAGGATAATGTGTTGACCTCCTGGGATCTTGGCAGCATATGCATATATATTGCATGATGCATATAAGGAGCAAACAAAACTCAACTTTTAATTCATTCTTTCCTTTTTGGTATACTGTTTGTTTGCTTTCAATATTTTGATTTCAAAGCACTTTAATTCCGAAGGCTGAATACCTAACCTGATTCCTTCATTTTTTGAATATATGCTCGCAGCTTAACTGCTTAGCTAGAGAATCAATCAATTCAATCTGATGCTCTTTCTGGTCTCAAGAAACCCAACATAATGCAAAGTTGTGAGGTGGGCAAAATAGGAAGTTCTTTGTATTAGAGTGCGGTAAAAAGTTTATACTTGTAAGACAAGATATTTCTTTGAAGATCCGCGTGAACGATTGTTTTAGAGTCCAAAAAGATCTGTTCAGATTTTAAATTTCCGTTCAGCCCGTAATTCTAGCTATTTTGTATGATGAGCTACCGCGCAAATGCTAAGAACAAAAGTGTATACCTCAAATTCAATTTCTCCAACAGCCCATCAACTTAACACCGCGCTTTCTCAATACTGGCCGCACCAACCCGTACCAGCAAGTAAATTGAAAGGATAATAAACCTAGACCTATCATCAATACCTGTAATAACAAAAATAAAACAGGAAATAAACTTACACTCGGCAAACCACTCACAAACGGCACCGTCATACCACCGTCCATATCCACTGTCACATTTCTGCAGCTCAACACATCCATCACGATCAATCCAGCTTCAAATCCTACATTCTCCATCTCTACCGTATAATCATCTGCGGCTCCACCGATATTATTCAATACCATTAGAACCATATGAGTTGAGTCACCCTTCCGAAAAGCGAGATTATGGGGATCAGAGTAAGCGACTTGAGTTTGATCGTTAGAATAAGTGGAAGATTTTGCAATTGCCAGGGAACGTATAGCATTTAGTTGTTTGACGAGGACATATAGTGGGGGAGCTAGTATTATAGTTCGTAGGCCAAAGAGGTTCCCGATCATAAGGATCCGTCGCACCATGAAAATGTTGTTCTTGACCTTGGTAGATAATCGGTATACCATCTGCGAGCATCGTGTAAGTGATTATATTCTTGGCGAGTGTCAAATCGCTTGTATAATTTCCGAAACGCGGTTGATCGTGATTTTCGGTAAAGGTACCAAGTAGTGTTGTGTCTTTGCATTGCGTGTTCTGGTGTTGTATTTGTCCTATCAGATTTTCTGAAGTTGCGGAACTGTTGGAAAAGAATGGTATTAGCTGGTAATATGAAGCGTATGAGAGGAGACCGTCCATATGATTCTGGTAATCACAAAGATAATCTACGTCTCCATCTGCAACTTCACCGACACAATAGACACCGGCAGCTTCGTTGAATAAAGGCCAAAAGTCTTTTTCTACATGCCTCACTGTATCCACTCTTAATCCATCAATTGAGTAATTGGTCACTAGAGACTTGATCCAAGTAGTGTGAAAATTGCGAACGGCTGGCTGGGTAGTGTTCAGATCCGGCAATGGATATTTCTCCGTTCCAAGTTGGCATAGCTCGACATTGGTCTGGTTGTTATAATCAGTGATAAAACAGACTTCATGAAAGTACTTGCTTTCATTGAATGGATTCATGATGCTATAGTCGACAGTGTGGGCAGTATTGTCAGATCCCATGTGGTTTGCCACGACATCAACCATTAAGTACTTCCGGAATTAGCCTTTTGCTTCCTAGTGTTTGGATAGATGACATTACCATTCCTCGATTATGAAGCGCATTAGCCAACGCAGTCAAATCCAATGCAGTTCCAAAGTGACTATTTAATCCATATAAATTTTGAGCTGAGTACCCGTGAAAGCCCCGGCTAGGATCAGCGACTTGTTCTACAACTGGAGATATCCAGATGGCAGTGAATCCCATATCCTAATCTTGCATTAGCATCGATAACAAATTATCAAGAATTTGGTGAACTTCTCTGCTCATACCTGGATATAATCAAGCCTATTAATTATGCCTTGCCATGTCCCGCCACAGTACCCGTAAGTTTGAGATGGGCAATTGGTAGTATTTGAAGCATCGGTTCTTGCGAATCGATCTGTGAATACTTGATAGATAGAACGGGTCCTCCATTCATCTGGCGTTGCGGCTAGAACGCCATCGAGAGAGGCCAGACATACCAGGGCGGTTAACAAGCTTCTGGAAGAAATCATTTGGGATCTTTCTATCGCGACGATTGAAATGATTAATATGGATTATTTTGCTACGAAAAAGAATTAGTACAGAGCAGTTCTATCAAGAAACTCATAAACCATTCAATTATTTGTTTCAGGACAAGGACAAAAAGAATTCATGGTGACAAACTATAAATTTTAGGCATCGAAAATGTGATAGATTCCCCCGAGGCGAAGAGAAAACCGTAAGCATCTAATCTGAGAACCTTATGTGGGCGAATCTGTGATTCAGTGCAGCGATAAGTTCTTTAAGGTTACATATGAAAACTTCCCAGATAAGAAGGTTGCAGCACCAAGGTTAAGGATCCTTCAACAACTGGTCTAGCCCAGGCGAAGCGCGATCTGCATATCATAAATTCCCCCAAGCCTCCTTCCGAATCAATCTTGTTGCAGCTACCTCAATGCTTAATAGCGTCAACGATTGGTCGGATGGGGGATTTGCGCTGCAGACTATTTTTCGTATTTAATTGCGTGCGAACCATGTAATTGGAAGCAAAATTTAGCACGAGAAAATGAAATCAATGATTCGTGTTTTCCAGATGATATTTAACCATGAATTTGTACCATAAACCATACCCAAGTGCTACCTTAGAGCCCGGTAAACCACTGAAAAATGAAAAATGTCAAACTAGAAAATTACAATCTGTAGCCAGACACCTTGTGGCTGATTGTCTCAGATGGTGAAAATTCCTCTCCAATGAAGCAACTCCTTAGGAATTGAAACTCCTAGCTATAAGGTTCCCTCGTTCGTTCCAAATCATTGCTCGTGTAGATTACTAGTATGTTAAACTACTAGGTAATGCGATGCACAGTACCTCGAACATGATGTTCGTTCTCTGTCGACATAATTTTTAATACTCCTTCCGCTGTTTCTTCGACAATCTTCCCAGCAGACATTACGTTCTTTATCAGTCCAACCCCAGTTCCTGAATATGCGATCAATCTACCATTAGCGCCCCAAGCCTCGTCGCCTTTTGTCAACTCCTCTCTGTATAAGCGAACGTTCTCTTCATCTGTCATTCCAGCCTTCTCATCCTCATGACCCTTATTGAGTAACGCACGACCGTCATATTGTGGTGGCCATCCGATCGTTTTCTTCAATCGATCGCATAAGGTAGACCTTACGGTGCTAACACCTCCATCAGAAGCTTTCAAAAGTTCTCTTTGCCAACCTCGAGGAATGCCTGCTTCTTCAGCCGCAAGGAATCTAGTACCCATAACTGCTCCAGTCGCACCCAGACATAACGCAGCAGCAACTCCTCGCCCATCCATGATTCCTCCGGCTGCGAGTAGTGGTATGCCTTTGAGTGCCGGGTCCTTATCTCCAAGTGCATCCGCAACTTCTGGAAGTAACGAAATAATACTGGCCGATCGAGCCAGTCCATGGCCGCCAGCATCGGTTCCTTGGATGACCAGAACGTCAGGCCTTACGATTTCCATAACATCTAATGCCTCTCTGACTGTCCCAACTTGTACCCAGATCGAAATTTTGCCATCGCCGATAGATCTGAGTTCTACGGCCCATTCTCTCAGATCTTCAGTTCTTTTCGGTGCATAAAGCCATATTGCAGACGGTTTATGTTTCTTGGTAGCTTCAAGTGCAACATTAATTTTGCAGTCCCAATTCTGAAAACCAATGCCAATGGGAAGGCGATCAGAGTTTTGAAGACCGGTGATTTGATGGGCATCAGCTGCGAACAATGAACTGGTGATGGTAAGATTTCGATCAAGGTCTGGCCCGTTATTCCCTCCTGCAATAAATCCTATACCCCCTGCCCTGCTTACATTTCTCGCGAGAGCAGGGGTGGCAGCTCCCAACATCGGCGCTGACACGATCAGTGGATACTGAATCCATGGAAAAGTGTTCTGCATGTATCGTTTCGCTACGAGCACCGATGATGCCATGATAGTTGTTGAAAGTTTTGTCGTGTAGGTGCTTGTTGCTTTAGACTTTGGATCTCGCCCAATGATATCAAGGATGATTTGTAGAACTATTTGACATGAAGTTTTGAAGATATCGATAGCTCAGGAGCTCGAGATGATCATGATTCAATCAGAACTTCCAACAAGCCTCTTGAGTAAATTAGAAACTAACAATCTTCAGATATCCTCTTCTCCTCCGTTTGATCGGTATCGTCAACTGGATCAAATATATGAAAAAGTCTGCTTCAAGAATCCTATACTACCAGCTCGATTGTTGTAATTACTAATGGCTGGTTAACGTCGTTTGATATCCAATTGTGCTTACTAATATGATTATGGCAACAGGGAGCGGGGATGTTGCGGGCCGTAGTTACCCGCCGTCACCCGGCCCGAAATTTTCAACACAATTTTCCGAAGTTTCCCGGCGCATTGATGAACACATAAAAGTTCAATCATCTTTCTCCCCGGAGATGCTCAATTCTTGGTGGATATCGTACATAAAAACCAGGAATATGGCCTCTTCATGTAAGCAGTATCCCTCAATCGATCTAAAACCATGCCACTGCTTTTTCAATAATCCAATAATAATGGAGGTATTTGTATGATCACAATGCAACACGAAGAAATCAGGTGAGAAAATTTTTATAGTCACGATAACGGGAAGCTCTACTGACCGCAGTCTTGAATGATAAAACAATGTCGGATTCATTTATAAAGCATCTGCCCGCTATTTCTAGTCTGTCTGGATTGGATATCTTGAATCATCAGTACCGCAACACACAAAAGCGTCTAGCACAAGATAACAAAACTTGAAGATGTCACTCACGCCTCAGCAAATCGACATTATCAAGGCCACAGTACCTGTCGTACAAGAGCATGGCACTAGCATCACTACCACCTTCTACAAAAATGTCCTCGCTGCCAATCCAGCTTTGAATAATATCTTCAACCAAACCAACCAAAAGAATGGAGACCAGCCACGTGCCTTGGCAGGTGCTCTTGCTGCTTATGCAGCGAATATCGATAACCTCACTGTACTTTCGGATGCAGTGGAAAGGATATGTCAAAAGCATGCCTCGTTATTCATCCGACCGGAACACTATCTCATCGTTGGAAAATTCCTTCTTGGAAGCAATGGGCGAGGTACTTGGTCCAGCCTTAACAGCAGAAATCCTAGACGCATGGACAGCGGCCTATGAACAATTGGCCAACATCATGATTAATAGAGAAGCGCAATTGTATCAAGAAGCTGGTGAGTGGAAAGAATGGAGAGACTTCAGGATCGCAAAGAAAGTCAAGGAATCCAGCATCATCACCTCTTTCTACCTAGAGCCCGTGGACGGAAAACTTCTTCCTCTTTTTAAACCTGGCCAATATATCTCGGTCCAGATCCCAATACCACAATTTGGATACATGCAGTCCAGGCAATACTCGTTAAGCGATCGGCCAAATGAGAATTACTACCGCATTAGTGTAAAGCGCGAAGATGCGCTTGTCTTACCGGAACTCAACACATCAGTGGAAGCAGGTGTGATTTCAAATGCACTTCACGATACGAAACACGAGGGCGATATAATACAAGTTTCTCCACCACAGGGTGAATTCTTCCTCGATCTACAGAAGAACACCGATTCTCCTGTAGTTTTGATCTCTGCCGGAGTCGGCGTCACACCCATGGTCTCGATACTCAACACCCTAGTAGAAAGTAGAAGCACCAGACCAATATCATACGTCCACGCAGCACGTAGCAAGGAAGTGGATGCATTCCATGGACATGTCCAGGAAATTGCGACGTCGCACTCGAACATCAAGTCTTGGGTCTTCGTAAAGAATCTACCAGCTGATGATTATGGAAGCCCGATTACTGGTCTTGCCGGACGAATGGATTTATCGAAAGTCAAGGATGATGCGTTGCATCTGGATGATTCTTCGACAACATATTTTATTTGTGGACCAGGGGGTTTCATGAATGATATGAGTAAGAGTTTACAAGCGTTCTGTGTGAGTGAGGAGCGTATTAAGTTAGAGGTTTTTGGGACGGGAGAGGCTCAATGAGGCATATCGAATCATAGTCTGATCCCACGCAAAGTAGAGTAGTGTACAAAAAAGATTCATAGAAGTTTAACCTCCACTAAAATTACACATGATACCACCCACCAACCAAAGAATCCATTAATTAACGGAACTTTCAACTTAACCATGAATTTTGTTCTATTCCATCTTAATGCATTAATCCTCGGAGGTAGGTACCAGATTCAAAGACATCTTTACGACTTACCTTCCTTCAAACACAACACACAAATCCAACTCTCTACCCAAGCAAAAGAAACCCCCCATCCAAATCCCTAAAACAAGAGCGAAACCGATCCAAAAAATATATGTTACGGCGCGGTGTAATTAAATAATTAATTAAATAATCCGAGATTTTACTGAATTTACACAATAGGTACAGAATCCAAACGACGGATTTGGAGAGATTTTTCGATCCGTTCTATTATATACTTTCAGTTCCTAGAGGAGTAAGAAAATTAACAGTTGGTCTTCGCTCTATAAATCTTAATCTTGATCTTGATGTTGGAGATCACTATTAGTAATTTTGAGTTTATACAATGCTTTCCGAGTTTAAATTGCAGTCTTCTGTTACGAGGTTTGCCGTCTAGATCACGTGGAAGTGCTCTAGGCTCTCGAGGTGGTTTATAACTAGGCGTCAAGCAGGGATTTAAGTAATGGCAATAATGATATACAATTCGTAACTAATAGTAGAGTATACTAAATGATTGATCTTGAGCATGAAGCTTTATACAAAGGAAATCCATACTGAATATATAGATATTCATACTCCCTTGGATCCTTTTGGATCCTCAAGCTCCAAAAGCTCCAAGTCACGTGTTTTCTGACAATACATGCGTATACGATCCTAAAGTGACCCAGATCACATATTAATTCGATCAGGCAACACAACACACGAGTGAATTCATGGCTACCCCAAGCCCCCCAAGTCTCTCTAAAACCCTCTCCGATAAGGCTAGCAACCTTCTCCACAAGGTTAACGATGCTCAAGCCATCTACAACCCAGTTACCCAGCTCCTAGACACCTACCTGAGCTCAGAGGAAGTCCTTGCTCTCCCAACGAGATCACGAAAACTTCTCACTGCTCTTTGCCTTGAATTTAAGGCAACTACCGAGCGACACTTTGATGCCCTGATCACAGGGCATCACCCCCCCCGAGTCACTACGAACCCCGCCACCAACTCTCCGCTACCCCTTATAACACCCCCTACAAGTACCCGTACTAGCCCCCCGATCACAAAACCAGGCCCTAAGGCAACATACACCCAAAAAGCCGCCAGCCCTATTGATCTTACACTATCGATCAAAAAGACGAAACCAATCACCTACATTGATAACCGCCTGTTTGCACGTATCGAACAATCCCACCCTGCACGCAAAGCAGGGTCCTTTACAATCCTTACTGCACTAAAGAAAGTACTTGGCCCAGCGGCCTCTCTCTTGAAAGAAGTCCAAGAGGTTAAAACAGGCTTTGCACTCTGTACAGGCTCGCCTAGCAATCTAGCAGCTCTCGAGAAGGAGAAAAGCATCATTGCCAATGCCATCGGGAATTGCAAGATTGAAACGCAAGAAAAATGGGACACATACCGCCTGAGCTATGTACCTCGGAAAGTTACAGTGCTAAACGACTCCTTCGAAATTGACACTATCACAGTTACAAAGGATATAATTCGCAACGCTATCAAAGAATACTCTGGGCAGGAACTATTACACGCTGTTCAAACTCAGGCGAGCAACACAACCGATCAATACCACTCCACCTGGATAGTAGGCTTGAAATCAGGCACTGAAGCTCTAAAGAGAACCCTCAAAATCCTTGGAGCCAATATCACCGCTACCCTCTTGATCCACAAGCCAAAAACCATCCAATGCACTCGCTGCTATCAATGGCATAACAGCAGATCATGCTCCAAACCTCAAACTTGCAGACTATGCGGTTCAAACAAGCATTCTGAAAACGGCCACACAACCAAATGCAATACAGCACATACATGCCCTCCAAAATGCCTTCACTGCTGCGGACCACATCCAGCAGATGACCCCAATTGCCCTCTGCGCCCTATCGCCAGTAAAATAAAGTCCAAATCAGAACGTCAAACTACACGCAAAACATACAGTGAAGGCAGAACCCTAATCTGCTTGAAAGCTGGTTGCACGAAAGCCCAGGCACCTGACTCCCAAATGGAGAATGATACTACCCCCCCAACCCCCCTCACAAGCCAACCCCGCCCCAAAACCCCAACCCGTATTTTCGGATCCATCCACTCTACCGCCCCCCCTAGTACTCGCCCTACTAACCGCTTCCGAAATTTCTTTGATGAATCGAATTAAACCTCTATCCATTACACAAACAAACGTTGGTAAAGGAGGGATCTCACACGATCTCGCTCTCAATCTAGCAAACTCAGACCAGATCGATATCATCCTGATCCAAGAGCCATATATCTATAAGGATATATCAAGGAAAATTACCAAAACACATCCCTTATATGAAATCTTTACCCCATTAAACGATTGGAAAATCACTCCTCGCGTTCTAACCTATATCAGAAAAGGAATCGGAATACGAATCAACCAAATCAGACCCACAATCTCACGAGACCTAATTTTCATACAATTACTCTCCACAAACAACTCGGCATTTACAATCATAAACATATACAATGCCCCGCCCCAATGTTCAGACGATAACCAAGCTATCACTTCTCTCTTTGAATTGCAGAACTTCCCATCAAACGTTATCCTACTAGGCGATTTCAATCTCCATCACCCTAACTGGAATCCTCTACATCCCACCCCCTCAACGCTAGCTGAGCCTTTCGTAGAATGGTCCAACTCTCGAAATCTACACCTCATCTCTCCAATCGGAATTCCTACTCATACAAAAGAAAACACCTTAGACCTTACTTTTCTATCAGGACCCTATATAGCATACACCTCTTTAGCTGAACACCTAGATTGCACTTCAGACCATAACACGTTAAAAACCTTACTTCACTGGAACTGCCAAAGTTCGAAGGCCATCCAAAAACTTAGATTGGACACATTGGACGAAAAACTCTTTACAGACCTACTAGGAATAAATTTGACCAATATCGATACCAGTACCGAAGCACTCTACACCACTGAGCTAGATCGATTAGCATCATCTCTCATACAAGCTCTCATAAAGGCCTACACAGACTCTGCAAAAAGATCTACAAACGGCCCCCTTCAACAACCCTGGTGGAACGAGGACTGCACAAAGGCTGTACACAAACACAGGACTGCTAAAACTCCTGTATCCAAGCGCTCTCTCCGGAGAACAGTCCGGAAAGCAAAACGTGCCTTCTATATCTCGAAAATCGACAAAGTAGAGAACATAAACGATGTATTTCGAATAGCCAAATGGCACCAGACTATAGGCATATACCGAACCCCGCCTCTAGCAGACCCCTCAAATTTGACCATTGCAAACAGCATCGAAGAGAAAAGAGAAGCATTCGCCAGCAATCTACTAACAAACTCGGCCGAAGTCGACGATATTCCTTTCGATATCCCAGCGATCCCAAGTCGTTCTATCATCTTCCCCGACATCGATTTACAAGACATAGAACTAGCTATTCTAAAGACCGGGAACACAGCACCCGGTGCAGATGAAATCCCGACGAGAATCCTACAAATCGCATGGCCACTAATCAGGGATATAACCCTCTCCCTCTTCAAAGGGTGTTTAAACCTAGGACATCACCCAGAATGTTTCCGGATAGCCACAATCGCAATCATCCCTAAGCCCAATAAGCCCGATTATACCAACCCAAGATCATACCGCCTGATTGCTCTACTTTCAGTTCTAGGCAAAGGCCTTGAAAGACTCATTGCGAAGAAAATATCATGGCTTGCCCTAAACTACAAAGTCCTAGCAAATCAACAGTTCGGAGCTCTACCACTGCGATCCTCAGTAGACCTCACATCTTGTGTCACACATGATATGGAAGCATCTTTGAAACAAGGGTTAAAAACTACACTTCTCACAATGGACGTGAAGGGAGCTTTTGACGCAGTATTACCAGGACGACTAGTGAACCGCCTTCGGGAACAAGGATGGTCAAACAAATTGGTTAAATGGGTACAGTCCTTTGCCACCAATCGTTACATCAAGATCCGACTGGACGGCGAGATCGGCCCAAAAACAAAGCTAGAATACGGCCTTCCCCAAGGCTCTCCAATCTCCCCGATCCTGTTTATGCTCTATACTGCGCCCCTTTTCTGGATGGGCAATCCACGGAAAAGATTCGGGTACACTGACGATATTGCGCTACTAGCAACATCCGATAGCCTCCAAAAGAACTGTGATACTCTTCAAGCAAATATGCAAGAAGCTCTCGAATGGGGAAAAACCGAAGGCATCACCTTTGACCCCAAAAAATCTGAGCTAATACATTTCTACAAGGGACATCGCACACTAACTGAAGCTCCCTCAGTACACACTGGCTCCCTGAACATCGAGGTGAAACCTGGTCCGCTCAGATGGCTTGGAGTCTATTTCGACAGAAGACTAAACTTCAAGCCACATATACAGATTCTTACAGCAAAAGCCCTCAAAGGAGCTAATGCACTAAGATCCTTCAATAACACATGCCGAGGGATACCCCCCTACTCCACCAGAAGAGTGGCTGTAGCCTGTGTACTAAAGAAATGCTACTTTGCCTCAGAAACATGGTGGCCAGGCCGAACCAGATTAAAGAAGAATGCCTCGAACAAGTCAATTTCAAATGTAGTGGACAGCTATATAAATCTACTCAACAAAGTGATCCTCACTTGTGCAAAAGCAATTCTCCCGGTATACAAAGCCACGAACACAGCGGTGCTATACGAGGAAGCTAAACTCAGGCCCTCCGAAATCGAGCTAAACTTAGCCTCACAAACATATGCTGTGCGAACCTTCAGACTAGACCCTTACCACCCTCTCAGAATTAGAGCGAAGAGCATGATCAAAGCCAAAGACCAGAACCGAACTGTAGATACAAGACTTTCAAGTTTTATCACAGTATTACCAAAAGCCGAATATATAAATCCATTAGCTTTCCCTTCATGGGAACACAAGGAATCGAGAGCAGAAGCCGAGATATGTGTAGCTGGCCCGATGGGCAGAACAAAGGCCCAAGCAGCTGACGACTTCAAGGCCTTCCATCCTAAGATCCCAAGGAGTGATATACAGATCTTCTCGGATGGTTCAAAAAGCGAAAGCAAGGACGGCGCCACCGGAGGTGGCTTTGTAATCACACAATTTGATATCCAAGTGGCCCATTACTCCTTCTCACTTGGCACAAATGCAGAGGTATTCGACGCGGAAGCTATGGCTGCAGTAACAAGGGCAGCAAAGGCCCTAGCGTTTCCATCAATCAAACTTGCTACAGACCTATGGATCTTCTTGGATAACTACGAAGTAGCCCTAAGATTAGGCTCCCATTTCAATGGCTTGTCTCAGGCGGTCTTCGAAGATTTCCTGAAGCTCACACAGGCCTGGGCCGCTAGACCGAGGCTCCCACATATCCCCCCTGGTAAAATATGCATACACTGGGTCCCAGGGCATCTCAACATTCCAGGCAACGAAATGGCCGACAAAGCAGCCAAGGAAGGGGCAAAACTCCCCCCACCCCCCAACCCGGCCTGTACGTTAGCCTCCCTCAAAAGACTAATCAGATCAAAGACCAATAAAGCGGATAACCAATTGTGGAACATAGTCAGCCCTCAGTATTACAAAGATCTGCAATATAAGCACACTTCCAATACAATTACTCTCTCCTTAAAAAGAGCTACACTTCACTACATTCTTGCAGCCAGATCACAGCATGGAGACTTTGCGGCATATCACGAACGCTTCAACCACACTACAGCTCACACTCTCTGCTCATGCGGTAAAAGGAAAACCCCGTTACACTTCTTCTTCTGCAAGAAAGGCAAAGCTTACAAAACACTTACGAAAAGCCCATTATCTGAAGCCATCCCCTAGCTTCTAGGCATCCCCACAGGTGGTCTCGCACTAGCCAAATGGCTTGAATCCACCAAATTCTACACAGATATCTGCCCACAGCTTGTATCTGCAGCTTAAAAAAAACAAAAAAAAAAACAAAGCCTCTCCTTCGTTTTCCCTCTACTTCCTGTATCTCCTTTTTCAAACAGGTACTCAAAGGGCTTATTCTCTCTCCTCCTCTTCTCCTTCCTTCTCTGTACATCTCTATTCTTCTCTTCTCTTTTTCTCTTCGTTCCTCCTCTTTCTTTAAAAAGGAAAAAAAAAAAAAAAACAGTAAATACACAAGATAATTCAACAAAAACGTATGAGGGGAAGGGAGAGTGATCAAGAGCCAGTGATCTAGTGGACGAGGAGGACCACAATATTAACCACTAAGCCAACCGGCCCCAAATCTGTCGCGAAGGCAATCATGTAAACCCTGCCCTAGCCCCTTTAAATTGTATATAAATACCCTCCCTAGCTAGCTAGTACACTACTCAGAGGCATACTCCTCTGAGCGTCATTTGTCCAAAACTGGAATAGATGGCTAAGGTTATCACGCGCCAAGGCGCGTGGGCCTACGGCCTATGACGATAAACACAATCAATCATCAATCAATCAATCAATCAACATATTAATTCGATGAAATCTGATCGCTTTTGCACAAGGCCCAAGCTCTCCTAATTAGTCAGTTGTTACTATCGTAACACAGCAGGCCCGTGCAATTGTTGCTCTGCTCCACTTTCTCCTCACAATCGCACATTTTTGACAGATTTTGTAACGAATTAGATTACCAAAAGGCGTGCAGAGTAGATAAGAATCCACTTTGTATATGTTCTTGAAATATTGCTGGAAGAGCGGACTTCGCTGTTCGGGGAGATAGTGAATTATTGGATGAAAATCGGGGGATCATATCGGCCGAGAGAGCCACTAGTTCCGTGCTACTTCCCCCGTAACTCCGCGCATTACCCGTGAAGGTGCAATGACCCCATCTGGAAGAAATTATTTTTGGGTGGTGTGTTATCTCATTTTTTATTTTACTGTATGTTGTAATGGAATGTTACATTAAGACATGGCTTGGTTTGTGGATCAATTAACAGTACATATAAGAATGTTCTGAATAGCAATTATGGATGAAAAACGACATCAATATCCACAAGGTTCAAATTCCGCAACTCATAAACACCTATACGTTGAAAGCCACAACAATGAACAATCTCGAAAAACGTCAACAGGGTGCTCAATCCTCAAACACTAGCATTGAAATTGAAGCAAACTCCTCAGCAATCAAAACAACTAAGAAAATTACTTGCACACCTCCTCCAAACGGCGAAACCACAACATTGCTAGACATCGTCCTTACATATCTCTTCTTCAGTAGCTGGGACTACGCAAACAGCTATGGAATCTCCATCAATTTTATACCATCTCCTTGAACTGTCCGAAATCTGATATTACGTTGATAGGAAGTATTGAAGTATTTCTCCGATCCTTCGTTAGTCTGATAGGTGTTCGTGCATCTCATGCTCGGTGTTTTCGTTTTGATTTGAGGATCTGGGTATTCTTACAATTGTTGCGTGTTTTTATGACGTCGGTGTGTGGGAGTCATTGGCACGTCTCCCTTACTCATGCGGTATGTGTTGGGTCAGGAAATGGGTTGACTTTTTGTCCTGCTTGTTAATGTTGTTGACTTATTTCGCGACGAATAGAGCACCAGCTGTTGGTATTGCTGCTGAAGATGGCGCGAGTGGACGGTTGGTCTATCCGGTCGCTGTACATATTTTGCTGGGGGAAGTTGAATTTTCGTGGACATTAATGATTATGGGTTTAATCATGTTACCTGTGCACATCTTCCCTCGATTCTCTTCTTCAAGCCTAGATTATCTCCATGTAAGGCTGGGGCCTTGGTGGAATGGGCCGCTTTCAAAGAGCATATATTTTCTTTACCCTAGCCCTATCCTTCAATTTTTGGGGATTGTATTTCGCTTTATTCCGTCTTGGAGCATTCGCGGGCGACCGCTTGGGCGCCACAAGTCTGACTTCCATTGATCTCACTGATGGCCCTGAATGGACTTGGAATATTCAATCGAATTATCCCCGATCCAATGGGAGATCTTACTACAAGACTTTTCAACATCCTCATCCCTTTCAGTTTCGCAAAGTGCATTTAGCCATTGCTGCGCGGCTGTTGAAACAATAGCTGGCATGCACATATTTGCAATCATATGTATATTTATTGCTGCTGTCTTGCAGGCTCTTTTCCCGGCAATAACCACAAGTTTGACGACAGATACTAAGGATATGGGAGTGAGGTTAGGCATGATCTGGAGTGTTATTAGCTTTGCATGCTTGACGGAATCTCCTATAGCTGGTGAATTGTTTCAGTTCGGAGGGGGGAGTTATATCTATGCACAAGCATTTGCGGCCAGGTCAATCATAGTTGGGGCGCTATGCTTTGTGGCATCGAGGGTCTAGAAGACTGGATGGAAGTGGACGAAGGTGTAAATTGAGGGGGCAAGACTTACCATCCAACGACGAGTAAATAAAGGTCCATTACTGACTACGAGGACTGAGAACACATTTGGGATAATCGGAACTAGATTAGTAGTCGTTAAAATCTCAAAATTAGACATAATAACACATTTGATTTGATCGGGTCGATCGAGGTCAGTCATTACTCAACTACTCAACTGACAAACGGCTGAGAAGTGAGGTGAAGAAAGCCGCCCAACTTGGTGACCACCGAGAATTAGCCATGTACTCCGCAATGATATTACGTAATGGGAAGTCTTTCCCCATCAAACGGTGAAGCTAAAGCATTAAAACGTGATCAATGGAGATGTAAACAACCGTCCTCTCACATTCAACTCAATCATCCGTTTTACATCGAAAAAAGCCTCTTAGTTCTCATGGCCGACTCAGAACCATTGAAACGGAAACGCGCCCGAATAGCCTGTGAACCCTGTCGTGACCGCAAAAGAAAATGCGATGGCGGTCAACCATGTGATTCTTGTCTTCGATACCAATACGAGTGTCAATATAACAATTATTCGGGATCAAACAAGAAAGCTAGACATGACAACGAAAAATCGCCCTTTCCAGCTTTAGCGCAACCAGAATATTTGCCCCCTCCTTCATTAGAAGCAAATTCTGGTGCAACTTTTGCGAGACAATTAGCGATGAAAATTGATCCCAACAATGCGCCAAGATTGCATTTATTCTCTTGGAATATTGGGGAAAGGTGCCATACGGCTGGTTCAGACAGACCTGTGACATTGTCCATTGAAGATGTATTGAAGTTGGACATCGTGGATGAATTATCTTCTTTCTATTTTGAAAAAGTCGACATCTGCTACAATTTCATCGATCGTTCGAGATTTTTTCAACGATGGAGGGTACGACAACTTGTCATGAATGATAAGAAGGCATTTGATGCGATTCTATTTGGTGTAACAGCACTTGGGAGTCTCTTTTCCAACCGAGTCGCACCTTTGTTAGAATTGCAGCTTGTTGAGTCTGCGCGGTCAATCCTCGATGAATATTCCGGAGATGAACCAACTACAGAGATAATTACGGGACAACTTCTAAGAGTTATTTACTTGAGAATTACGGCATCACCGCATATCACGTGGATGTCTAGTTGCACTCTGATGCATATGATTGAGGCCGCAGGTGTCCATCTCCCACCAATCATGGATGACCCTTCAGCGCAACCAGCAGTAGATTCTAACTCGGAGTTACGATGGAGGCTAGTAGGCGTGGCACAGCATCTGAATACATGGGTATCCTTCGACCTCGGCCGATCTAGGGTGGTGCTCCAAGGGGGTGTCCCGTCAGTTCTCCAATATATAAAGCACCAAGACTCGACGAAAGAGCTTCTGAGCCTTTTACCTATGTCCGAAGCCTTAGATCCAAGTAATCAACAAAATGCGACAAACCTTGAGTCTACGTTTCTACAAGTCCTAGAGAGCAGCCATATACAACCGCCATCAGTAATGGCCCAGTGCAATCTCATGCTCTGCATCTACCGTCGTCTTCGAGCTCTAAATTGGACTATTTCGCCAGAACTTCTGGACAGAGCGCTAGCGTTGATGAGTAAGGGATTACGATGTGCAAGAGACATGTGCCTGACAAGTTGTCCTTGGCACCACATGGCAAATGTACCATTTCAAATTATCTGCACACTCCTCGCCATCGACAACCGAAGTTCATTATCAAGGCTTGGAGATGCAATTAAAACTCTTGGCGATGTGGTAGCTGCATACGACACGAGTGTCATGAGGGAAGCATACAAAACTGCTAGATTACTAGTTTTACTCTATCAAAAGCGGAAAGAGGATGATGCGAAGACGCTGAGAGATATATTTCAGGCTGATCCTTTGCCTTCTGTTGATTCCATAATGAATAAAACCAATGGCGAAGGACGTCATGATGTCATTTATAACGATCCCTGGCTTGAATCACTAATCGCGGATATACCTGGACTGGAGGATATTGAAACACAATTTTCAATGCCAAACACGCCGTGGTCGTTCCAAGGATCAAATGTTTGAAGGCAAGATTGCGGACATCTGAGGAAAGGATGGCGGAGCACCTCCCACCATGAACGCCGAAAGCAACGCAAAAATCAAGAAGCAACAACATATATAGTATCAGCAATAAAGTAAAGACCCCTGGAGCATTTCAAAAAGGCTATTTTCATTCTTCAATCTCTTTACAGAATAAATTATATAAATCAATTTATCCTAAAGCCGCATATGAGACTTCTATACCTGAAGCCCGTAATCTAATATTTCACTACCAGCTTCATCCCGATCAACCACTTTGCTGCCAACCAATTCTCTCTTCCAGCTTGTCCTTGTCCACTATTTCATTCGATATGACGTCAACAATTCCTTGGATAACTGTGAATATTTCATGGAAGTAACGCCATTACTGTGCACCTTATCCGAATCCATAAGTTCAGGAGCCCCTATTTCTACGCCGTGTTTTGGCTCTCCGCGTTCTAAAGTTCTCTCTAACAGCTTTTCTCCCTTCCACTCAAATACTCTCTCTTCCTCCTTCCTTCTCCTTCGCCCTCACAGTATTTACTGTCTCAATATTCGTCTTTGCTGCGGCACTTTGAATGACACGACGCACGAACTCTGTTGGAACCTTGGCGGGGCAGCCCAAAATTATGTGTGTATGGTAACGGGTTTAGATGAGGATTTTTCCGAGGAGGTTCAAGGGAACGGTATGCAAGGCTTAAGAGAACTGCCATTAGTATGTTGCATATCGCATTTCCCAATTTCTACGGTCAGGAATTTAATTCCCGCGGTACAGCATGCAACAAAGGTACCATCGACTAGGCTCAAAGTATAGGAGAAAAGTCCACATAGGAGAAAGCACACAAGGGTAACATACAATTTGTTCCACATCGCAACTTCCATGATCATAAATTAGGTACCGCGAAGGACATGGAACAAAAAGTTAGTTCCAAATACCTAAGAAAATAGAATCGAAGCTACAATTCTCTGCTAGCTCATAGATCTGATGAGGGGCCTAAACGAAAACTTTGAGAGGACTATGAAATGGGCGTCGTAGATTTACTTTTACGTCAAGCAGATAAGTCGGTGGTTTGGTTTGGGAGTATCGAGATAAGCTAGCTGTTTTTGGTCCAGTCCAACTTCGATCTGGATGCATATGTTGAGTTGGAACAATAATGTCTCATACCTACCTTTAGGTATGAGACACCAACTGATGCAGATCCGCATCGTCAAAATTGAGATAATATAGAGGAGATACTTATACAAGGCAGTAACCATGAACTTAGTTCTCATAAGTAACACATACGGTAATAATTTGATTGCACAAATCAAAAGCGAAACCATGAACGGCAAAGTCCACGAACAGAGTGTAAACGTCGCTTAGAAGAACTCACGGGCAATTGAACACATCGACAACCAACTGAACGGTTTAACCTATTTAAATCACCGCCTTGATATATTCAAAACTCAAAAGCCTATATTCAATTCGATGAGACCCTGATTTTAGTATTTTGCTGATTTAAGGTTATAGCCTAATTAGGTTCAGTTGGCCTGTTGGCTAGTGTGTTCAGTTGGCCCGTGTGTTCTTCTAGTCATGCACAGAATATCACACGTGATATTTCGGGACCGAAACGTTTCGTTTTCACTACTGTTATCAGCCAAGAAGCTAAATGCCGAGAGCATCAAAGACATTATGTTGCGCGTTGTTTACGTGTACAATAAATATCCCTATGAACGGAGGGGTCATCGATCTTTACCTTTTTGAATTATGCATCTACATACCAATGGAGAGGTCACTTGGAGCAACAAGTATGACCTAAACCTCTGGATTTTCGAGGAACATCTCCGTGCGATAAAATAAATGGCTTCGAAGAGAAATTTGTCTTGGTACGGGAGTAAATATTAAGAATGTGACTTTCCCGAGGAGTTACTGAATGTTTGAATTGATGCTCGATCTTCAGATGGTAGGCTTATTCGATATGTGGTCCGAGTGGATCATGCTTGAAACGTTCTGCGTGCGTTGAGGAATCTGTATGTGCAAAACTATCTAGCCATCTCAATGTACTATCTCGATCTGTCTTAGGCCTTTGACTGGATGAACAGTCTTCCCAGCTCAATGCTACATCTAACGTCATGCCGTGTTCTAAAAGTATGGGGCATGGAGTGGCGGTAGACAAGTACCATGTGCATCTTCAACGGCATAGACATTATGGAGACATTTTTGGTCCCCTTATTGTGGATTTGTATCGCCTTACGCGCATATTTGATGCCTTATGCGGCGACAGCTTGAGAAGTGTCGAAATGCATCTTCAACGGGATAGATTTTTGTGGTTCCTTTCAATTTGACGCGCGTATAACGAATGGCTTAGATACTGCCTTACTCGTAGATCTGATTATTTCTCGCAGCAGTGAGCTTGATACAATACGTTCGGCACCGAGTATTTTGTAGGAGTAGGTAAGTGGATTTGTTTGGGCCTCATTCGAGTGAATATAAAGCAACATGCTTGATTCCCTTTAGAAGTTTTCTCCTCACTCACAAATTACTCTTCTACAATTCACATTCTTTTCAACATGAAGGAGTTTAAGTCTCAACTTCTCTGCGCTGCCGCCCTCGCTCATAGCGCCTCAGCCCAGCTTTACAACCAAGTAATTCACACCAACTATGGACCTGTTCAAGGCATTCCAGCCTTTAATTCATCTCCCAATGGCAACATTTCGAACTGGAAGGATATTACTGTATGGAAGGGAATTCCATACGGTGCCGACACATCTGGCGAAAACCGCTGGACAGCTCCCAAAAACGCAACTCCATGGAAAACTACCTTTCAAGCGAACAAAATGGGACCCCTTTGTGGACCAGCCAATCCAGCTACACCCGACGGTACTGTTAGCGAAGACTGCTTGAACCTGAACATCTGGACAAATGGCAAATCTACAAATGCCAAGTTACCAGTTATTCTCTGGTCTTTCCCTGCAGGAGGTGCTGCCGATCAACCTTTATTTGATGGTGCAGGAATGGCATCTCAAGGCATTGTTTTCGTCAATTACAATTATCGAATCAGTGCACTTGGTTGGCTTTCAACTCCCGAGCTTTCGGAAGAAATGTACAAAGCTACTGGATCTAACAGCTCTGGAAACTGGGGTCAACTTGATCAATTCCACGCTTTGAAGTGGGTACATGCAAATATTGCGGCGTTTGGTGGTGATCCTGATCATATTACCGTCATGGGTCAATCCGCCGGTTCAGCTGCTGTCTATCACTTCGTGAATAGTCCTTTGACAAAAGGACTCATCGTTGGCGCCATCGCCGAATCAGGAACTCGTGATCCATACGATCCTGAATCTCTTACCCTTGCCGAAAACTACCGCAATCAATCCTACGCTCTCGAATCCGGCTTAAAATACATGGCTTCCAAAAACGTCAGCACCATCGCCGAAATGCGAGCTCTTCCTCTCGCTGATCTAGAAGAACCACTCTTCGGATCCACTTTCTCAGATAACTTTGGAAATGTCCTCGATGGCTACGCTATCCCCGCTAAATATATCGAAACACTTGCGACTGGCCCTGCAAACGATGTTCCTTACATTACGGGAAATACTCGAGATGAATCCGGAGCAGCCACAAGCACCAATCTAACAGTCACCGAATACGAAGCTGCAATTGAAGCGCAATACGGCCCCTACAATCTCACCACCACCATACTCAACCTCTATCCCGGTGCAAATTCCTCCCAAGCCTCCATGTCCTACAACGCGCACTGGCGCGACACATCTCGCATCTCCAGCTGGAGCTTCGCAAACCGGTGGTCTGTAAAATCCAAATCGCCAATCTGGACGTATTACTGGAATCATGCTCCTCCGGGACAAACGCAAGGCGCATATCACGAATCAGAAATTAATTATGTTCTTAACAATCTGTATGGGACGGATAAACCATGGGAATCGATTGATTATGAAATTGCGCTGAAGATGAATGGATATTGGGCGAATTTTGCTAAGACGGGGAATCCTAATGCGGGTGGTTCTTATAAGGGGGTTGGGGCGCTGCCGACGTGGAATGTGAATTCGGAGATGGATATGCTGACGTTGGAGGTGGGGGATGGGTTTGCTGAGGTGCCGATTGGGAGTGTGGAGCAGATTGAGGCTATTACGGAGTATTTTTCTTTTCAGAATCCGGTTTAGATAGATGGTTTGGTGGTATGGGTTTGACGATCGGGTGCGTGATCGGAGCGGTTGATTTAGATAGGTGATTTAGAGGGATACTTTCTCTGTGTGTGTATTTAAATAAGAAAAGCAGAAGGGAGTTAGCACAAGTGAGCTGTTCATTTCTTATGTATAGAAATTATTTAATACAAGTCTATATGAGATACAATTGTACTCATATCTCAATGTGACGGAAACCCCTGCTTCCCTCCCACCCTTATTATATAAGAAACCTCAGGTACATTAACCATGTCCACACATAATACGATTACTCGGGATTAGTATACGATTTAGATGGTCTGAGGATCAGATCCGGACAAGTACTAGGTATCAATGGTTATGGGTAAAGTAAGATCATTGGAGGGATAAATATGACTTCTTTTTGCCTAGCCATTGCGGCTAGGCCATTCATTTGTGTATATATAGAGTAGCTATCCCCATCTACAGGTGCTCTTCACCTGTAGATTCTAAGTTAAATACAATTGCTGGTCTATAAACACCCTTTTGGTCACACTCAATGTGATGTAGTAACAGTCAACCTGTCCATATGAGCTCAGACCCCGTGGAAAAGCAAACCGATTCGCATACAAAATTGTATGGTAATCGGTTCGTAGAGTCTCCCCACCTTCAGCAAGCACAGACATATGTTCTGATTGAAATCACGTGATGAATCTAAGGATCTAGAGGATCTAGGGGATCTAGATAATTAAACTCTAGATCCAATAGATCCAAGGGATCCAAAAGAATACAGTAGAATATGAAGTTCTATATAAGGGATAGGTTTTCATTTGTAGAGCTTCGTGCTCAAGATCAATCATTTAGTATACTCTACTATTAGTTACGAATTGCATTATTTGTTGAAACTGAGTTGTTTGGAAGTAGTAGTATTATTAGATGTAGGTTAAACTAAGGATCTAAGTTACAGTAATGGTAGAATTGAAGATATTCCCAATTATGGTCCGTGCACCATAATGGTCATATGACCTCAATTCTAGGCCCATAATGACCTTAATTTCAACATTATTGTCATTACTTTAAGTCCCTGCTTGACGCCTAGTTATAAACCACCTCGAGAGCCTAGAGCACTTCCACGTGATCTAGACGGCAAACCTCGTAACATGGTAGTATGTGTGTGTGTGTGTGTGTGTTTGTATTTAACGGCCAGAGGCCGAGGGGGCGAAGCCCCCTCATTCTCATGACATCCCCTATTGGGGAAAAGGCCGCCAGGGAGTTACTCCTGGGCTATGAATAGCTATGTACATATAACTATGTCTAGTGGTTGATTGATTCTTAAGCGCATTTCCATAGCTGCCGTGATCCTTAAAGAAGACTTATCGCGTCGAAACGCTGCTAGAAAGAAAAATAAATGCCAATCAAAACATTGTACTCGAAAACCCTTCATTCCTGCTCCCCTTCCCGATACCACCAATCCAATTGCTCCTTATATACCAGAACGTACTGTAATCGCCCACCGTCAGGATTGCCTCGTCCTCATTCTGATCATCCTGCCAATAGAAAGCTTATAAAGAAGCACCAATCCTCATATAGCATAACTATAGCATGCACAGGTAGTGGCTTGTACGGGTGTCCCGATTCCGTAAGTAGCATACCTCCGCTGAATGAGAGCAGAGTAAGTTTCGTCATCAGCTCAGGTCCTTCAACAGTACTCCTCCGGTGTTCCCGTATGGAAGGTATATAAATTGTTGTCGTTTCGGTCGTATCGATCATGGAAGGTATACAATATATAACATATACGCATCAAAGATGTCGAGTTGTACTATATGTTCCAGAGGAGTCTCACTTTTAAGAAGTGAGATAATTTCGTGGCGTATTGTCGTAGATGATGGTGTTATCCTCTGTTTCGTAATAAAGGTAGTGTTGTAGAGAGCGCATTTCGATAATGCAACTGTCAAAAAACCGCAAACGGGTAAAAACGTCGTGATCGGGCGCCTCTTCCTCTTCCAATTACCACGACTCCATCAAATGACTCAAACTTAGCTCTGCAGACTCTCATAAGAGAGCTGGAGGTTCGTAGGATGCACCGCATACAGGTGTTGAGTCTTCGCATCCCAGACAAGAGTAGAGAGTTTTCCTGTGATTAAATACAAACGGGGCATGCCACGTGACCCGGAGGTGTGAGGCGTCACATATAGTTTTATAAAGATACTATCACGAATTTAAATAGTGTACAATTAGTAAATTTTAAAATTCTTATATATTCCAAAAAACAAATCTCCTATACCGTCGGAATGAATCCCGTTTTGAAAAACAAGACTTTATTTTAAGAATTTAGAACCTAGAAGTTCGATGAAATATTATCGGGTATCTTTGGTGCATAAACCGTAAACACAAAACCAAACGCCAATCCACGTCTGACCTTGATAACCATTCGACCTATCTTCCCCCTTCCTTAAATTTGCCCCCATATTCCGAAACATTGCTCATCCTCATGTCATATACGCTTCGGCCTCCAAAATTTCACTTTTCATCCTCTTCTTCCTTTTCTTCTTTCACAATTTTGTCTCTCGTATCTTCACGCTCCAAAGCTTCTATCCTATCCATTACCACAAGTTCACCATTTTCTCCCCAACCTGAATTGCTTCGACTTAACCTTCCTGTGGAACTTGTAGGGTCTCGTGGACTGGCCAAAGGGCTTCCTGGAACAATAATACCACCAATACTTCCAGAGATACTATCATTCCTACCATGTCCTAATAATCCACTCTTCACACTTCCACCATCATTTGCCAAAGATTGTTTATTGGCATAATAACTATTTCTTTCACTCGGTAAAGCTGGAGCTACGCCGGTCGAAGAATAAATGCTAGCTCTCTCATTGCCGATAGGACGTGGTTGATAAAGACCAGTTGGAGATGTAATAGGAGCACCATCAATTGTAGCACTCAAAACACTCAATGGAAGACTTTCCCGACTACCACCAAATACCGAAGATGGGGCCAAAGCACGAACAGATGCATCAGTATCCATGGATCTTCTGCGTCTTCGCTTAGAAGATGAAGCCAGGGTTAAGATAGATGCGTTATCTGTGAGCAGATTGTTTGCTGTTGCTGTGTTGTACGTTGCAGGGTGTCCACCACTACCTTGTGGGGCCAAATGTGCAGGTAAGGCTGTCGCAGGTGGGGAGGTAGGAAATTGGTGTGTGAATTGAATGCCTTGTGTATTATTCGAGGCATGATTATGCGAAACAGTAACACCAGGAGCTCCAGCGGAATGTATAGTCGTAAGAGTTGTAGTTAAGGATCTAACAGATGGTGCTGGGGAAGAAAATGTACTATCAGCACCTCTGCCAGTACTGACCCCGCATCCAATGGTAGCATTTGTAGCTTCTCCGGATGATGGCGCATGAGAGGCTGCTATATCGGATCGTGCAATATCATGTTCCTCGCCCGTCGTAGGGGCCACCGATTTATTTCCAATTGTTGGTGGTGAATGTCCATCTTCGGAATATCGAGTTGATCTTCGACTTCTTTCTAAAGATGACGTGCTGACGGAGTTTCCGGTTGGGGCGGTGGAAAATGACAAATGTCGACTGCCAGAAGCAGAAGCAGGCGGCGCAGTAGCATTACCATTGATGCGACCAGATTCGGGGTATGGGTTGTTATTCTTTGAGGGAGATGGTTTCTTAAAGCTCGACTTTGTATTTTGATTTCGTTTGGGATTAGTGGCTTGATTGGAATCTGCCGTTGAAGAGCCATTTTTGAAATTGGTGAATTTCTTCATCCATGTTGAAAATGGTCTGCGACGTCCTCCTACTCGATCTGAACGATCTGGCATATCGATTAGTATTTTGATGATGGTTTAGAAGTGAGATCAGGAAAGAGTGGGAGGGTAGAATGATTCACGACTGAGTAAAAGGATGATTGTGAAAAATGAAATACTCGGTTGAAAAAGGTAAAAGGAATTGCAGTGTGGCTCATACCATGTGGTTGTGAATTTGGAGGAGATTGTTGTTGCTGTGCTAATTCCGTTGCTGCCATTGTGAGGAGGCTATTGGGTGGTGAGCTTGCTAGCTTGAGGCGGTGTTATGCGGATAAGAGAGAGAGGGAGAAGAAATGAGGAAAAGGTTGGAATTTGGGGAATGGATGGGAGGTATTTGGTTGTAGTCTTGAAAGCTTGAGAGATTCCCAATGGTCGGTTTGTCGGTTGTGATGTATCTCGGTATTTTGCTTTGCTTTGCTTTGCTTGTCTTGGCTGCTTTGCTTTGTTTAAGCAGATAGATAAGGAAAGAAACAAGAGAAATAATAATAATAATAATGTTATGAAAGACCAATTCTTTCTTTAAAATAAAGAGAGCGAATTAATAGATCAAATATGTTTTGATATTTTATTTCATATTCTGATAATAAAAGAAAAGGCAAGAGAAAAAGTAAAAGTTCAGATGATAATAATGAATTGATTGATCTTGATAGAAATTGACTTGGGATTGAATCATTGGGGCTGTCACTCCAATCTAATAAAAACCCTTGATGCTTTTTTAGTGCTTGATAGATGGATGCTGGATGCTTGATGTGATTCATTGATTGATTGAATCAGATTATAAGCTTACCCTGCCGCAGCTTACCCTTCGGATGATTCACGTCTAAACCTCCGATCATCATTACTTTGTGCCCATTAGGTAATCCAGCTAGTTCATTTTTGATCTAGTGTTTAGTGTGTAGAATCATGTGATTCCTGATCGGATTTTTGGTGAGATGTTTACTTAAATTTATAATATGCTCGAAGATCAAAACATAAAGCTGTGCATTCCACTGATATATCTGATCCATTGTGGTCGTGATAACTCCATCGTACTTGGATTATAAAAGGTATCATTATCGTTAATCTTTTTCTTTTTGACCATGAAATTATTTCCCGGGTCCTAGACTCATCACTCCTATGAATTTGCTGGAAAGCTCTTGCTCACCTTGCTCCTTCCTACAGAGGCAACATGTTTGAACCGCAATAAAGGTATAATCAAACCTGCCCAGTTCTGTCTTTCTAGTCATCTTCCCGTTGCTTTCATCATGTCCATACAGCCACTACCTTTGGATGTAGTAGCACAAATCAAATCTTCTTCCACCATCACCAGCCTCAATGCCGTTATTTTTGAGCTCGTTAAGAATTGTTTGGATGCTAGTTGCTCCAAGATTGATATTGTGGTAGACTTCAGTCGTGGAGATTGTACAGTAGAGGACAATGGACTTGGGATATTGCCATCAGAATTTGGTGAAAATGGAGGTTTAGGAAAGATCTATCGTATGTTGCCACAAGCTTTCTGATGGGGCTAGAAGTGTATCTCACAGAAGCTAGACTCATCAAAGTTAAAATCTTCGAATCCAACTCATGGAGGGCATGGAACCTTCATTGCCTCATTATCTGCTTTATCTTTACTCTCAATTACTTCGCGTCATCGCTCGCATCGCTCGCACAATTCAATAAGTATGCACAGATCCGAGGTTGTGTCACGTCAAACTCCGGCTCCTGTTCAACATCATCTTACTTCTTTCGAATATGGTACACGTGTCACTGTCCGAAATTTATTCGGTAGTATGCCAGTGCGTGTAAAGCAGCGAGCAATCGTATCCGAGCGACGCCAGGCTAATACTAAACTATGGGATGGTTTACGCAAAGATATTGTCTCGTTGTTACTCGCATGGCCCAAAGATGTCTCGGTATCTATAAAGGAAGATGGAACAAACCAGCAAATGTCGATTCGAAGGTCTCATAAAACACCCGGATGCCGTCCAATTGATATTGTTGATTTATTCAACACTTGCAGTATACTTTTCAAGGCGTCATATATTGCAAGTGATGAAAAGTCGTCTTGGATCCCTGTCAATGGCTCTACTTCGAGCTTAGCTGTTAATGGAGCGATTTCTCTGATCCCAAATGCAACCAAACACATCCAATTTCTAGCGTTTGGCATAGAACCCCTGATTTCTCAAGACAGTTGCAATGTTCTGTACGAAGATATCAATCGTTGGTTCCTTAATTCGTCGTTTGGCAATCAGGAGGAGACGAATGAGCTTAATGAAACTGAATTGGAGAAAAGATCCAAAGACCGAAGGTACAAAAGTGATGGGTATACCAACAAAGAGCTCAAAGGAGGGAGGAAGAGTGTTGATCGATGGCCAATGTTTTATATCAATATCCACCGAATTGATCAAACAAAGCATTCCAGATGGCAGGTTGACGATGTGTTAAACGAGAAGAGGAATACTCTTGATAAAATCCTGGAACTTTTGCGCGCTATTGTTGTAGAGTTCTTGACCAAGAATAATTTCCGACCTAAATTAGCACGCGGAGATCGTGCCAAACAGAATGCAACCACTGCTTCATCGGCCAATCTAGAAAATGAAGCGCAAAATGGACCTTGCAACAACTGCGAATCCTACCGAGCTATTAGAACATGCTCACCCACGTTGGAGCCTTCGAGTCATGATCACGGAAAACACAGTCAAAAAAGAGCAAAAATTGATATGCTGGGAACGAATGTAAAAATTCCTTCTTTCCATCAGTCGCGTTCGGGATTTGAGTCCCCATTTGATTCCTGGTCAAAAATCAAAGCCGGTACTAAACATACACATGAAACCGCTGCAGATACGACACAGAATTCAAATAACACTTCGCTCGCGCAAACCAGCTCGACCGCAGAGTCTCAACCGATGACACCTCTAATTTCAAAGGCGGGAAAACTGGCTCGACGTCCTTTTGAAGATACTCAGGCACCAATTTCCAAATCTCAAACATTCACGGAGAAGGAAGTAGAACCAAACACGAATGCAGATGAATTGGTGATATGGATCAATCCTATCAATAAAGTCAAATCTCTAGTAAACAAGAGAACTGGTCTTGTGCTATCTGAAAAGAAAGACCACAGAAACGATGGAAAACAGCTTATCTCCAATCCACCTCGTCGTTTAACCACTGCCAGAAATATCCATACCGGAGGTAAGAAACCAAATGAATGGATAGACGACATCTTGAATAGATGGAAAAATCCAGTTTTCCCTCCTGTTGAGCCTTCAATACCTCAAGTATCGATCGATGGTTTTGATCTGGAGACACAAGAAATTATACATGGCCGCCACCATCACTGTTCACAGATTGAAATCGAAAAGGCATTCAAGGAAGCTTCATCAGGGCTTCATGGACGCATTTCAAAAGATGCTCTGCGGAATGCCGAAATCGTTTCACAAGTGGACAAGAAGTTCATTCTAGCTAATCTTCAAACGACACCTGTGGTTGGTATCAAATCAAATACTCTCCTTGTGATCGTAGATCAGCACGCAGCAGACGAACGAGTTCGAATAGAAGCTCTTTTGTCGGAGTTCCTTACACCACCCACAACTTCAACTATTCCAGCCTCAACATCTGTATCAACATCCCTCCTCGACAAAACCGTTGATTTTGATATTTCAACAAAAGATTCTGAACTCTTCCGTACTTACATAAGCCACTTTTCTTACTGGGGTATCATTTATTCTGTTTCTCCAACGGCTACAACCATCACCGTTCAATACCTCCCACCTCTCATAACCGCCAGGCTTGTCGCAAACCCGAACTTACTCATTCATATTCTTCGTACAGAACTTTACTCATATCACGAGCATCCAACATCGCATCCTACGATAACCCCTGCGTCTACTTGGATTGAGAGGATTTCTTACATCCCTAAGAGTATACTGGAGTTATTGAACAGTAGAGCTTGTAGAAGCGCGATCATGTTCAATGATGAGCTTGGTGTTGATGAGTGTAAGGAATTAGTCAAGAGGTTGGCGAATTGCAAATTTCCTTTTATGTGTGCACATGGGCGAGTGAGTATGGTACCATTGGGCGAAGTTGGAATGATCTCGAGGGCTGGAGCAAACGGTAAATGTTCTTTACGAACAGCTGCTATGTTGGGTACAGATCACAATGAAGAGAAGAGAGACGGGTCATTTGGTGCTGAATGGAGAAAGTGGATGAAAAGACGTCCCAACAAGAAATGAAAAGATATATGCCAGTAATTATGAGCATACAGACAAAGCGGAGGTGTATTCAAATTGAAAGTCTGGTCATCTATCTATTTACATTTCACTTGGCAGAGAACTGTTTGTTTTTCATACTCTGCATGTTATTGGGCTTGGAGAAACTATCAGTGCGGCAATATGATTTTAGCCGCCACCGAAGTTATGCCGAAACACGCTAAGGCCAAGGCGCGTTTAAAGCTATGACTGACGCGAACTCTCAGACAGATTTCCATTCTTCGATTATTGAACAATAACGAAATGAATCATCCTTTCGTGTTTGATAATGGCGACGGTGATGTGCGGGCCAAAGTGTTATATGAAGGCGGAGAGGTCTCTTTTAAACTATTCTCTCATTGTTGACCTCCTGGGATCTTGGCAGCATATGCATATATAGTACATATGCATATAAGGAGCAAACAAAACTCAACTTTTAATTCATTCTTTCCTTTTTGGTATACTGTTTGTTTGCTTTCAATATTTTGATTTCAAAGCACTTTAATTCCGAAGGCCGAATACCCAACCTATTCCTTCATTTTTTTGAATATATGCTCGCAGCTTAACTGCTTAGCTAGAGAATCAATCAATTCAATCTGATACTCTTTCTGGTCTTAAGAAACCCAACACTCATGCATTGAGTTTCGCTAGCCCTGTTTGGAAGAAACTTATCTTTCCTCCATTTCCCCTTTTAACATCAAGAGTAGATGGAGAGGAACCTAATTCGAAAACGTCTTACGTTACTAACGAATCATTTCCTGATATTGAGTTGGACTTCACGGAAGATAACCCAGAAGCTCTACTAGTACTCCTTCGAATCGCGCATTTGCAATTCTCGACTATTCCCTCGGACCTGCCATACGTTATCTTGAATAACGTTGCTATTCTTTGTGATAAGTACAATTGCAGATCGTTAGTCAAACCTTGGTTGAAAGACTGGTTGAAGGATGAGTAATATGGAGCATATTTATCACGTCGGGAGGGATTGCTGTGGATTGCTTACTGCTTTGGAAGGAGGAAACTTTTTTATGAGTTGATGAACGTTCTTGTATTGTCGGCATGTTTTAATGATGACAATGAATGCTTTATCCTCGAGGAGGATTCTCTACTTATATCAGAAACGGTGGTTAAGGTCAAGTCGTATCCGTTAGAGGAGGAAGGGTATCCTTTGCCTCCTGGCATGGTCGGTAAACATCACTTCACAATTGAAGTTTCCACTCCCTGAGCGTTCATAGAAGAAATTCTTGCTCTTCGCGCAGCTTTGATTAGCAGGCTTTTGCAGTCTTTATATTTCATCATGGATGGATTATTATCACATTCAGCTGCGTCCACTTGCAGATTATGGTGCGAAGGGACATGTAGTTCAGTTATTTTTGGACTCCTTGTCAGAAAGCTCAATGTCTACGGTCTATGGCCCATACCCAATGCAGAAATCCTCGTTGAATCTCCATTCCAACTATACAAAGTCATCCAATCGTCATTTGACCGGGTGCGAACAACCCATCAAGCTATGAAAATCCCTCATATTAAATCGATCTGCAGGACGGTAAAATTTTGGTCTGACTTTATACGTCCCTTTGAACGTGATATAGCTTTCTTTTCGCTATCGGGTGAAAAGCGCATACATTCTCCGGATGACACAATTGTGCTTTCGAAGGGGCTCGGATCGTGCAGTGGAGGATCTGGGACTCTTGGATTTTCCTGGAGATTCTTCTAGCCTTCCTAGGAGTGGCCTTAGAGCTGAAATGGTGGGTATTTTACGGAAGCAGCAGGAAGCTCATGGTTCACATGATTGGATGAAGGATTATACTAAATTTGATCTTATTTTGGAGCACCTCTCTGAGTGAAAGAATGGTGGTGAGGTTGGCTTTGGCTTGGTATGGTGCTTGATGTTTGATATGAATTTATGAGGGGGTAATATAAGGTTAATTCATGTAAGATCTTATATTTGAATGTCTGGGGCTTTAGTGTATAGTCTCTTTTTCATAGGATGGATTCATTCGTGGGATATTTAGTTTTCTATCAATATTATATATACATATCACACTGTATGTTTTCGACATGATCACTTTAACTCTTATTTATATCATTCCGTACAGTGCTATACAATAATTATATATTCATATATTCATATCAATCACTCCTTTATTATTTCATCATATCATCACATCATCTACTCTCTTTAAAAAAATATATATCAAAATCTGATATTATAATAAATTGAGTACTTGATTTATTTTTTATATATTCACATATTCACATTTTAATTTTCATCGCTCAGCTCCCTCTACAAACTATCCCCCACATATTCAAAATCAAAATCAAAATCAAAATCAAAATTCAATATTAATATACTCTAAAAGTCTTAAATTCTGAAAACCTAAAACACTAAATAATCCTCAATATTATATATACTATTACCATGAAGATTAAATTGAACTGAATTAAATTGAATTACAAAGCTAGGTATCTATGCGAGGAGAAGTAAAATTGGTATCTTTCTAATATGTGTGTAAACTAATAGACTGACTTATCTCGTCTGGAGAGAGAGAGAGAGAGAGAGGTTGGTAGGGTTTGATGGGGAAGTGAATTGAATTGAGTGAGAAATGAGAAATGGAATGAAAAGATGTAGAGGTTAGGTATTTATACATTACTATTTCTCCAAGGTCACCTCGCCATGATTATGAATTCCTCACCTCCTCCACTCTCCCTCCCCCTAACCTCCCATAACCCAACACCCATCATCCCCCTACCCCAAAGCCGTAACCGCCGCCCCAACAACCGTATCCAAGGCACTCCCATCCGTCTCCAAACTAAACGTCTCTTTCACCGACCCACTCCACACCAACCCCAAAACATCATCCTTCCCCCTCGCATTATCCACAATACTTTTCGCATTCTTGCCCAAAAACTCCCTAAAATGATTTTTCGTCTGCGTATCTAATCCCGTAGCTCTATTCGTCATATATGCTAAATTTCTCGTAAAAACCCCTTTAAAGACTTGTTCATCCTGATCGCAGGAACTAGGCTCGCAGGCTTTTTCCTGGAGGATTCCTTCGGAAGTTGTCATGTTTGCGATTACTGAGTTGGCGATTTGCACGGCGAGATCGGTGTAGGCGTGGTTATTGGTTGACCAGGTGAGTTCTGTGAGGCCGGAGAGAATGATGCCTTGGTTGTAGGTGAAGACTATTTTGCCGTTGTTTTTGCAGGTGCTTAGGGAGATACCGTCGTTGAAGAGGTGGGTGGTGGGATTCATGGTCGTGGTTGGGTTGGTTATTAGGAAGGCGTAGGCCGCAAGTGCTTGTTCGAAATAGTAACCTTGGCCTGATGAGGTTTTTTTCGAGGGAATCCGATTGGCGAGTTTGGCGCTGGCGGTTAGGTAGAGTTCGTTTTCTACGCTGTTTACACCGGTGTGTGCTTTATCCCACCTGGTTTGGTATTAGTAGGGAATGTGAGATTATTCGAGGTCATATGGTGATTTGCCAAGAGATTGTGGTATCATTTTTAAAAATGGGAAATTTGATATTATTTTAATAAGTGAATAGAGTAGAAGTGACATACCATAAGCCTCCACAGGGAGTATTACCATAAACCGACTTTGCATCCTCATAGATAGCAGCAGCGGTATTAAGATATGTAACATTTTTTGTAGCATCATAGACTTGAATCCAAGCCAAAACCCACCAAAGTTCATCATCATAAAAGCCATTCAAAAAATTATGATAAGCGGTTTGAGGAGCGCGACTTAATACTGTCGTAAAGAGATCGGGCATCCATGGTGCAGTGCTCGGAAATACCTTGTAGTAGTAGGCCATCATTGTGAGGACGTTAGCACTAGGCCACCAGTCTCCGGCAAATTTTCCAGTGCTGTCTTTTTGACCCCAGAGTCCTGCTGTACTGTTCCAGTAGGTCTTTTGTAGCGCGTTGATGGAGGATGCGGCGTAGTTTTGATAGTCGATGCGTGTCAGGGTTGAATCTATCGCCCTCTTGACTAGTGAGGCGTCATCTCGTTGAATCTTTGTGGGAAAAGCATCTCCAACTGAAGAAGTGAAGGCTACAACAAAAAGCGAAGTCAAAGTATGGCGAAGAGAGATATACATATTGTTCGATAGTACTCTTTCTGTAGAAAACTAGTTGTATGTTGATTTTGAAGGAGTGGCAGGATATTGTAGATAATCAACGATAAATTATTAACATTACTTTCTCTTCTGTAAATGACCTGATAATCTTAATTGTCTCGTGGTCAAGCATATAATTAATAGAAGAGTAAAAGCACGTGTACCAATTTGAAGAGATGAAGGAGTGAAGGAATTGGACGCTCTTTCGGACCTCCAAGCTCAGACGAGGAGTGAAGAGTGGCAGATTTAAATACAATCCCATTGTGACCAACCGAGTTCCTGAAGTAAGCCCAGGCATAAATCCTTTTGCATTACTGAAAATAGGTCGGGAAGTTGGCTTTATTGATCTCTTTGACATGATATAGAGGCGAGAATACTATGAAGGATGGAATTATGGGCGATGTGGCTCGAGCGTTTGTGGTCCTAAAAATGGATCATTTCGGGGATTTTCTTCCAACAAGTCAGGGGCTTAACGACCCACTACAAAATACACACAAGGTGATCCCACACTGGTGAAGAGTAACTGTAAAGCGGCCGAGCCTTGCTCCCGCTTTTTCCATGTCTCGTCTTCATGTTATTGGATGATATGAGTATAATTACTCATCATATAGCATCCTTAATTTATATCGGACGACCTTATGAGATGGTTCCTAGAAAATCTCGAGAAGAAGCTATAGTTCAAAAATATTTGATATTCTGGACCACCGAGCTGTTTCCAATACATAGACCGTAGACAATCTGAGGTCCCGATATTGTTTGCGGTATAATAGTGTAGAGACCCAAAAATTAATATATAATTTGGCCATATGGCAGGTCAATATCTGCTAGCATCCTAATTTATGCCTTGGCCGGGCGCGAAGACCAAAGATGCGCTCATCCAACATCGAACCAAGCCAAATTGTGAAAAGAAAAAGAAAAAGAAAAAGAAAAAGAAAAAGCTTGACCCTGTCAGAGCTAAGCGATGAAACAAATCTGGACAGAGCATGAAGTTTTGGATTCAAGAGCTTATCCAATTTACCCAAAGGAGCAAGTTAACATGCCTTCTTTCGTTTCATAGCCTTGACCACTAACCTGAAAATGGCGGCTGAATCGTCTCAAGTTCTCAATTCGGACGAACTGTCCGTTCTGTTCAGATGAAGGTATGTACCTCAATTTCCCATAAGAGGATCCTCCTCAAATGATCCTATTCGTAGTATCGAATTGTTCAAAGGGAGGTTAGTTTGTTTTGAATGTTTTTCTGAGTGGATTAATATCGAGGTTGATGTTCCAAGCTCTCAAAAATTGCACGGGCGAAATGGCTGGTGTGGTACGATATGATGATTAGTCATCTGTCCTGCTGTTTTAAGGAACGGATCAGATAATTAAAGCAGCTATGGGACTTTTATCCGTAAGACATCAGACGAGCTTATCTTTTCAATCTCTCTTAACGTCCCCGTATAGCTACACCCAGAAAGGAGTAGACGACATAGGTAACATTACCAAATGCGCCACCATGGCTCGATGCAATTTCTTTGTACCTTGAAAATATCGTAACAAGTTAGTTCGATTTCCATCACAAATCTCTAAGGTTAAATCAACGTTGGAGTGGACCATGCTCCTCCAGGTTTGAGGTGATAGCTGATGGCATACACGGTCTTGGAAAATGTTACCGCCATCTGAATAACATGTGCCCTTGGCATAAATAACCAAACTTCGTAACAGCAGACAAACGATATGTGAATAGCTAGCTATCTTGGAAGAATCTCATATCGATGTAGAGGAGGTAATCTTAACCCCATGGCTCTATCATCAGAACCCTTCCGATGGTTCCGACAAACGGGTATTCTTCAGAATCTAAACGTGTTTCTATAGCGCAATATGTTGTTCATCACTGATGGGATTTAGGCGACTGAAAGACCAGCCCCTTCTTGGGGGACTTTTCTCGTGATTGCTCGCTCATTAAAGCCCCCCACTCTTCCCTATTTAGCTAGTCGGAAGCTAATGGATCGATATCACAGCGATATCACAGATTTCTTGGTATTCCGTTCTTTCCAAGCGTCTATGAAAAGATTGAAAGCAGTCATATCGGTTAATTTTGCATTGTGATAGCTGCGTTTGAACGCTGTTGCTATCCTTGAATAGGTACCAGGTCATGGAGTGCTTGACGTTAGACAATGATATAGTCGCACCTGTTCACATCATGAGAAGATCACTATTCATCGAGTCATTCCCGGCTTTTCATAAGGGATAGAAATGAAAAAAAAAAAAAAAAAAAGCCCCCTCGGTAGGTTAGAATGTCAAGTACGCCCAGTCATGCAATCACAAGATCACGTGTAACGTAAGGTTAACCTGACACCGCGGGACAAAAACTTTAGGATGAGATCTAGAGGCGTAACTGAATGAAGCTGATCGGACAGAATAAAAAGATCATGACTATCGTTCAGAAAAAGTCTTTGGATAATATCTGATCTCTTTATTTACAATTTGAAAGGTCAATGAAGCTGTTCAGTTGGAAGGAGTAAATTTGGTAGGGTTCGATGCCACAGTGATTCGCTCCGCACCCCGATATCGATAATGACCGGGCAAGCAACCTTTCACCACCAAATTTGGATCGGAAAAGTCCTAGGAATTGAAGTATTTGGTATCTTTAAATATCTTTGCGCTAGGTCATCCAATACTGGCCTATTTATTCAATCAATTTCTGAGCCTCGGGCGTGAAGTTTTGTGCCTGGGTTTCGTGAATTTGAAACGTACGCTCCTCCGCTAAAGTATATATCTCAATTGCGCTGGTTTTCCAACCTCCTAATACCTCTTTAATGATACTGATACAAAAGAATCAGATTAGCCCGCCACGGACTTCAGCTTTCGATAACATCGAAATACTTTGAGTCCGCAAATACCCATCAAGCTTTAATTCCACATGTCACGATGACTTCTCAAGCACTCACTCTTCCACTTCTCCGTGGCACTACTACATTATAAGCCGCCCTAGAGCAAGAGTAAAACATGCTCCTCGGCTTAGCTTACCCTGAGCTACGACTAGATTTTTTTGTCTGGCTCATCACCCACCGTGCAGACATCGAGGATACAGTTTCGTATCACTTAGGCTTAACGGGATCGGAGATATGCCGGCTCGGAGAAGTGAGAGAGTGGATACATGGCAGTTTCAATGTTTGCATACTAGTTTATGTTGATAATTGGCACAAGCATCCAGGGAGACGAGTCATGATCAGATTCCCTTTGCCTTACAAGATAGGAGAATCTACATTTCCTGGTAACGCCGACGAGAAACTCCGCTGTGAGGTCGCTACATTCATTTGGATACAGGAGAATTGTTCCCATGTTCCTATACCTTACCTATGGGGATTTGGATTTGTCGGTGGTCAGAGTGTATGGAGTCCAAAAACCTTACAATCTTTCACTCCGATATTAATTCTGACTCCTACAGTTCACGAAACCAGATAGCGTATCTTTGAAGAAAAGACTGGTTTGGTACCTTCGACGACACATCTCATCGCTCTTTGGATTTACCCTACCTTGCCGTTATATAAGCCATCGTCGTCAATCTGTCTTAGAGCGTGGATATCTAGTCATAGACTATATCGAGGACTCAGGCGTAAAGATGCTCTCAGAGACATGGGACGAATTTCAACATTGCGAAGTTCGAAAGAGAAACCTCTTCAGAGACTTGTCCCGTATTATGCTTTCGTTAGGTCAATAACCTCTCCCGCGTATTGGGTCATGGACATTAGACTCATATGGAATCCTCCAGCTTAACAACCGTCCTTTGACCCTTCGCCTTCAACAATTAGAGAATGAGGGAATTCCAACCAACATCGCTAGAAACTTGACCTACTCCGCAACTGATGCGTATTATCTCGATCTTCTATCATGCCATGACAATCGCATTCGACATCAACCAAACTCCATGAACGATGAAAGAGATGGTTGTTCCCAGATGGCGAATGTAATAATCATTCGGGCCCTCCTTTCCCTCTTCACGAACCGAGAATTATGGCCATGGACCTTTCGTTTTGAGGCTCACAGTCCTTCATCAGAGTAACGTCTTCGTGGATGATGATTGGAATATCAAATGTATAATCTACCTTGAATGGGCATGTTCACTACCTGTGGAGACAATGCGTCCTCCATATTGGCTGACTGGCCGTCCCGCAGATGATCTTGTTGGTCAACACCTCGATAGCTTCAGCAAGGCACGTGATGAATTTATGGATATTTTTAAAGAGGAGAAATCCTTCCCTTCAGAAAATGGTATTGCTTCATATCGCACAAATATCATGCGAGGGGTTGGAAAATCGGAAACTTTTGGTATTTTCAAGCACTAGATAGTCCAAAAGGATTGTATAATATTTTTCGCGACCACATTCAGCCAATTTTTGCACAGTCTCATAGTACTGATTCCGATTTCACCCGGATTGTATCAGAGTATTGGGCTATGGGCGTCAACGATATTATAAGTACCAAGCTTCGAGATAAGGAGACGTACGAAAGAATACTGCGCCAGAAATTCGAGAATGTCCCCGGCAATAGTTGAAAGTATGTTTTTTTTTTTAGTATCATTGGTAATTTTGTAGTTTTTATGTATTTTAAAATTTGTCGTGACACAATTGCATTCGGTAAGTTCGTGGACTTTTTCCTTCCTTATTAACTGTGATGTAACAATGCAACATATTTCATACATGAGATAAACCTTTCTATTCATCAACCCCTCTTGCCATCATGCCGAAAGATGGCAGCTATTTTGGAGACCTTTGGTAACATTTACTCCGACCTGATAGTTTTCTTTTTTTCTACAGCTGCTTATTTCTCAACGCAAAGTTTTACCCATCTTCGTTAAGCATTCTAAATTCTAAATTCAGGCTGTCAGCACAGTTGAGAGCAGCTGGAGTATATAGTCTACATACCTCCGAATGCTTGACGTTGTATAGATAGAGATTTGACAGTATTTTTATAGAATCTGAAAGTATAACTGTTGTAGGAAGAGGGTGCTGTCTTTTTATCATGAGTCTGTCTGACAGGAAGTAATTCGTTTTGGATGAAAGATAGATATTTTTAAGCTTTTTTTATTTTTTTTATTCTTTAATTTAAACATGGTCGTCGAACCTCTTGAGACTTTATAAATGTTTAATGTTTTCCGGGTTATAATTGACCTTTAACATATAATCCTAGAATTAACAATAAGTTGAATCGTTTATTTTTTTTTTATTGTTACGTGACGGTTGTTACCCACTAGTGGCTCACGTGCACTAGCCCTGTATATAAAGACCTTCTTAGAATCTTCTTAGTTCTTTAGTTTTAGATTCTAAGTAATTGAATTGACTCCGTTTACGACTTTCCCGTCACACCAAAATATATTTATTGGTTTTAAATATTTTTAATGGTTTTGTTTTTTATTTATAATTTGACCGAATATTTCAAAACACCAAAAAGAACTTTGAGAATTTATTAATACTGGATTATTTCAACTAAACAACTAATTCATTATCCGAGGAATTTTGTATCAAACTTTAGTAGCCCTATTGAATCCTTTATCTATAATACTATATCTCGATGAATTGACCGTGCTGCTCAATTGCGTAGGAAGAGAAGGGCTGATTGCAGACCTTGAGATCAAGTAGCTCTTTTGCCATATCCCAGGTCATCAATGAAAGGTCTCGCTTCTCATAAGCTTCACATTGAGCCCAAGAGATAATCAAGTTTAGTGCATCTTGAGGATGATAATGTACACGAAACCACGGTTGACTATGATCATAACGGGATACACATGCTCCCGCAACTATAGCTTGGCCAACGATGGAATAATATCCTGGTTCTTCTTTTCGCAGAATTAGATAGCGAGGTGTTTTTGTTCTCCTGAATTTAGAATCAATTTTCATTCCTCTTGCGATCCAAACCCCCAAGAGAAAGTCTCCTGACTTTGTGCCTTGAGGTAGTAATGCCATGAGGTTTCCTTCACGATCCTTCATTTGGATATATTCGTTTGAAATCTTATCTTCTAGGTTCCCAAAGAAAAATCTTCGTTGACAGTGAGTCTCATTTTTATGGACCTTACAACGATGCTTGTACCCCTTCAGGTCCCGATGAGATATGGAGTCGAATTCTATGCCCAGTTTCCAGATATTACTGTGGTCTTTAGTAATCTCACAAGAAAGCCAATGATAGTCCACAAAACAATGTGAATTCAAATCTTCAATTTTGGCCTTTCGCACTGTATGATGTTCGAGAGTAGTATGCTTTGGGGTTTCATGATACATATGCAGCGACATAGACCGGTTAAGTGAGTCGGCAAGACGCGAAGCTCGGGGCCGGTCAATTGCGGGTGTTTGTATCAAGATCGTCTTCATTGCTTGTAATGCGAGATCGAAAGTATCTATTTTATAGTCTGGTTCTATATATGGAATATATTTCCAACCAACCATGGAAAGGATCCCATAAATCCTGTCCCGCCGATCTTGGCATTCCAAGTTTTCGGTTAGATTCAATAAGATATGTAAGGGCAAACTCTCGGCGGAATCGCTGCCCCCTAATTCCAAGTAGGCAAAACATACATTCTCACAATAGCCCGAACAATATCCAGGCCCTTGAGAAACCCTTAGCGGGATATATTCATGTTTATATCTCCGTTTCCTTTTCCTTGTTTCGGACAAAGCGGGGGATGGAAACAAAACAGCAGCAGCCTGCCTTTGTGCCCACAACAAACGCAAGATCTTCAGCGTCAAGACAAAATGTAGCATGCTGTGTAGTGCAAACAACTCGGCAATTGGACGATGGTCAATACCGCAGCAGACAATCACACTTTTAGCCATATAAACTTCTCGCAGGATCCATAAGCGTGTGAAGTAGGGCCTCTTCACGAAGGAGAAAAGTGAATCCAAGATTGCTTCTTTTTGGTCATTTTGAGTTTTAATCAGCCACGCCGAGACACCCAGAATTTAGAGGAAATTCCGAAAGCTTGTAGTGGAATTTGCCGAAAATATCGATGGATATTTAGGTTTGCCCGAATTAGAAGGAGTCCTCATCAACAACTCGCTGTTTTCGCTATGCGGCCCCACACAAGATAAAACAAAAGACGCCCGGCGATAGATGTTGCTCATCATGCCCACTTGATGTCCTTTCTCTGTCTTATTATATTGATCGATAGAAATTGAATCAATCCAAACATAACGGACTCCAAACCATCGCGCTTGCCTCAACGCATAATTACCATTCGTGGTTATTTTCAGGGTTTTGCCATTAACCTTTACTTTGGCGGTAACTTCAGGATCGCCCCATACGTAGGATATGGCATGGTAAGATGGTGCATGGTCGACGTGCCATGTCATGAGCTTACATCTCAACTTGATCGTTGTATCTCCAATTGCGACACGGCGCACCTTCAACAACCGTATGTATGTTTTGGGACCGGGTAGTGCTTGATGGCGGAATTCGGAGGCAGTGCCGTTGCCTTCGACTGCAGTTTGCCTTCCTTGCTCTGCCATTTTAGGAAGACTGCGTGATCGGAATTGGTGTTTCTTTGTGATAAAAAAAAGGTATTTGGAAAGCAGATGTATTGCGTAAAATGGTATGAATGAGGCTAGAATTTATATCAATATTGAAATCAAATGCGGCGAAATTTTCTGGGTTACATTGTGAGTTGTCCTACCTACTGCATGAGCTGAAAATAATCATAACTTGAGGCCCACAATTAGAACCGTTTCAACATGAAAGATGGAATAAAACTTCAATTCTCAATCTACCTTGGAGAATATAGAAATCGACCTTTGTCAAGTGATTACTTCCTCAGTAGCACAAAATCAGATATTTGAATTAGCTTCCGTAAAATAACCACCAACCGAACCCCTTAAATTCTCGTATGAGAATATGAGTAAGTCATTCACATTTTTTCTAGAAATGTGAAACTACGTACAAAACCTGTTCCATACATAAAAAAAAATAGGAGTCTCGCTCATTATTCCGCGAATTAAAAAGGGACCATAAGCAAGATCTCCTGTAAGGGATTAGTGTCTTTGAATTACGTACAATGCCTCCGTCATGCAATCTAATAATGGGCGCTTATAAATGACGGACTAATCTTAGTTCCTAATCAAAATCCCACGGAAAATAGGTATCACCGTAGCATTTTTTGCTATAAGACATATCCAAATCCTGAAATTATAAAAGAAAAATCCTATTTTCGATACACAATCGCAAATTTTTGAAAGAGTATAACAGAAATTTTATCATTGGATTTATACCATCGAATCAAAGTTGTTAAAAAAGTTTATTTTGTTACTAAAATAATCTTACAAGGACACTTGCTTTCCCCGGCTAGGAACTAGTCGGTCGTTTATGAACACCGACTATCAACCGACAACCATTCAGATCTTTCCACACTCTCCAAAATATCTATATACAGTCTTTGAGAAACAATTCAACACAGCAAGTCCGAGCATACATTACATGAACTTCGAATACCGCGAATCCACGTGAAGCTTCCTAAACATAATTCGCTGAAACAAAGCCAAGCATCCACAATCATGTCTTCTACTCCCACGTCTCCAGATCGCGTTATCTCATCCAAAGGGAAAGACAATGCAGGGCTTACGCTTGCCGTTATCGGTTGTGGTAAGTATCACCGTTTCATTCAGTCTTCTCTCCTCGAGGCAAATGCTACACAGCTACAGATGGCTCATCCATCCCTTGCACAAATAAATCACCTGACATTCCTCTTCTCCAGGCACAATGGGCACCTCGATCTTGACTGGTATTCTTAATGCCAAATCTAAAAGCGCTGCTACCGATTCGAACATAAATACTTTCATCGCTACAGTGCATACAATGGCATCCATGGAGCGCTTGCGCAAACAATTTTACTCGGGAAAATCACGTGTCAATATCCTTATTGGGAATGATGGAGTTTTGCAGGCAATGCAAAAAGCGGATATTGTTCTGCTGGCTTGTAAACCCTATGTGATAGAAGGAGTACTTTCAATGCAAGGCGCAAGAGAAGCATTGGGAGGAAAGCTGGTCATTAGCGTCGCAGTGGGGACCCCCGTGATTAAAATGGCGAGAGCGCTTGGATTCGCGGACTCTTCTCCGGGAAGAGGAAAGGAAAGAGAAACCAAAGAAATTGCCATCGTCCGTGCAATGCCAAATATAGCAGCAAGTTTCGGGGAATCCAACACGGTAGTTGAAATTTCTCCTTCTATGCAGCTGAGCAACCAAAACAAAAGTATCGTGCGCTATATTTTTGGGTGTGTAGGCTCGATAGTGGAGGTTGGACCTGGACAATATGATGCGGCGAGTGTTTTGGCAGCAGCTAGTATGGCGTTTTTGACGGTGGCTATTGATGGGATTTTGGATGGAGGTGTTAAGGAGGGAATTAAGAGGGCGGAAGGTAGGGATATTTTGGTGAGGAGTTTGAAGGGGTTGGTGGGGTTGTTGGAGGGAAAGGGAGGTGATGAGAGAGAGGGAAATGCGAATGGCAAGGGGAGAACGGGTGATGAAATTAGGGAAGGGTTTAGCAGTCCAAGGGGAACAACTATTGAAGGCTTGGTGGGGTTGGAGGAGGATAGAGTGAGGTATGCTTATTGCAGGAGTGTGATGAGAGCTACTAAGAGAAGTTTGGAGATGTAGATTCATTTAGAAGTCTTTTCAGAGACAGTTATCTTCTGCAACCAATAATATCATTATTTTCCCTTTTTTCCTTGAAATAAGTTCTCCCCACTTCTCTCACCACTCCTGATGCTCAGAGTGGCGTCCTACCGAATATCGTTCCTGTACCCCTCATCAATGTCTACACTTGTATTTCATAACTGTGGTATTTCCTACTAACTTTACGGCATACTCTTTCCCCCAACAAAACATCATATTTTCGTCCGATAATACCCTCTGAGCGTAGGCAAACTTATCGATGCTATAATGCTCGGTGAGAGGTCGGAAATTCGGCACACGAAATAACAAATGACGGTCTAAGACACCATCGGAGATTTGCTACCCACAAGTTATTAATTTCAGGAGATTCACAGGAATGCAACTTGTACAAGTTTAATCCAACCCTGAGATATTAGATGCCACTTCCCCTACCCCAAACTAAGGATAGGATGTATTCCAGAACATTGTAAGGATGGTTATGCAAAGTCACCGAGGCTAAATGCCAGCATTTAATCGAAGGTAATAGATCTATAGTCCACTGGAAAAACCACAAGAAATATCCCGCTAATTCTGAATGTGTTGCTAACTTACAAAAACTCGTAAACAAAAAGAGAAACGCTCCCGATTTGGAAATCAAGTTCAAGCATAGAGTTATAGCTAGAGACACATTATTGGTGAATATTCTTTGATGCAAGAGAAGAACACTTAGTTTGTGAAATCAGTTGCCGGCGCGGAGAGGTATTGGGATATCCGCGGACTGTGTTAAAGAATAAGTCCAGCTTCTCTATGCGTGAGATTTCGTAGTGTCTGTAATGACGGAAATTTCAGGAAGGTAATATGTGCCTGAATAGAGCTTTCTTTGTTTCGAAAACATAAAATGGTATATCACGGGTATGATGAGAAGTCCAAAGCTCATGGTCAATCCAACTATGGTTGATTTTAAGCTACCCATGATACTATGAAGTAAGAAATAGAACTGGTTGTGGTACTTGAGAGACTGAGTGGCTGTGTATTATTATCTATTACTCTAAACTCATATATACAATATAAACATCCATTCCTCTCCAAGAATCAAGAAATAGGTGTTAAGTTCACCAAAATTGCAATGACTCTTCTAGCATACTTTTATTCTTGTAGAAAAAGAGGCAACACTTAGAATTCACCATAGCTACTGCCGGTTTAGGGCTAAATACGGACTTTCTAACCTTCCTACATCCATAAAGCTTACGGTATGGTAAGCAAAATAAGTGCGGCTTTTAATATATCATTCTAGTCGATCGCCTTTTCCAACCTATTCACTTGGTGATGGACGATTTAGGGTATAAAAATGCTAGCGCCTCCCAATGAAAAAGCTACCTACTAGAAAGTTCGATACGGTGATTTAGTGAAATATGAATATGAATTCGTAAAAAAGCCATCATTTTAATTCTCATTAATATTTATCTTCTCAACCAAAACCCCAACCCCCAAAAAGGGCAAAAGGAGAAGGAAAACGGCCACCATGGACGACTCCCAATCAAGCGATAGCCAAACCGATGACAAAGTCGATTATTCCCAACTTCGAAAAGCGCTAGACGGAGTAATCGATGAATATTTTGCCAAAATGAATGGACCGATATCTGAGGAGCCGCCTCGAAAAATACACCATAAGGATGTTTACAAATTTACGATCCGCGCAGAACTACCCAACATTGAATTCATCAAATTTATACATAAGATAATGTGGTGTCATGATGTTGGAGCTTGGAAAAAGATTACTTTTGAAAGTGCTATGGAACTCCGAAGTGTCCTTGAGGAATTCTGTTTTCAGTGGTGTAGCAGTCTGATGAGTGATACGGGGATATTTGTTGTATACATCCGTAAGAATATCCGCAGAGGCCGGAATTTGTGAAGTAGTGAAAAGTGTGTTGGGAAGCTCCTGCTGGTTGAAATAGTACGACGCTAGTGATTAATATTTAATCATGTTTTGGGTCAGATGGCAATCTTAGGATAAAAATCACTTGTATAAAGGCAAGAACAACCATCCATACAAATGCAAGAGCAAACGTGATGAGGAAACCGCCATATGTGTCCAAGCCATTATCTGTCGGGTCAAAATTTGTTCCCACAACTTCCCTGCTTGCACAACAAAAAATCACAATAATATCGAAATAAGAAAGCAATATGTATAACGACAAGATAATCCGGGGCATGTACCGCAACTATTTTAAAAGGGACCTAATCAGTACAAACACTGCGCAAAAACTAGTTGCCCAATATTTTTCAGATATGAACGGACAAGGAATTCGAAGAGCGTTAACCAAGCTTCTAGAGTATACCTACGTATTTACCGTTGTGTCATCCGTTGGACCTCAGCAGTACGACATGAGAAGACCTCGGATATCATGGTATAACCGGGACAAGGCTTGGAACGCAATAGACTCTGAAGATGTTGAGGGACTTCGACGTTTCTTGGGGGAATTAAGTTATTTCTGCTGTATCAAGCTTGAAACCCGCCCTCACAGGCTTCGTGTGGACCTTTCGTCCAAAAAAAGGGAAAGTGGTTTTTGAGATGAAAGCATGGCAACGTGGTGACTAACTCAACGACAGTTCGGGAGAAAAAGAGGAGGAAGATATGGCGTACAAATACAGAGACGACGCACTTCGAGCCGTCATGCCGATTTTTCAAAAAATGAAGGCTCCACAACTTCGAAGAATCATCAACGTAATATGCGGTGGGACATAGAAATTGGATTTCTCTGTGGAGAAGGATAATATCAACAACAACAAAATACAGAATGAGAATGACCTCGAAACACTTTTCATAGATGGCAGTCAAGTACGCCTGATGAACGAAGCCGAAGCTTGCAGTGCATTGGAAGAGTTGTCTGCTCCGAAACCTTTAACCATTTTTGAGAATCTATGTTCAGGCAATATTGCTTCCCAATTGGCCAAAAAAAGCCAATTTTTATACACGGCACCACAATCACTCTGAAAGTCGAAGGGTGGAGTGAGATAGAAAGTGACGATATGGATAGCGAAGCCGAGAAAAAAGAGGCCGAATATGCAAGATATCTGGCTCGAGCGTCTGAAGATGAAACATCTGTATCTCCTGATGAAGAAAGTGATGATATGGATAGCGGAGCCGAGGGAAAAGAGGCCGACTATGCAAGAGACCAGGCTGAAGCGTCTGAAGCGTCTGAAGATAAAATATCTGTACTCTCTGATGAAGAAAGAGAAGAAGAATATTTGGGAGATAACTCACCAACTCGGTATTTCCTTTCAAGAAAAACGCTAGCCTTGAAAAGAAAACAATTATCCACATGCGAAATTTGCAAAGAGGAATATCACTCCACGGATAATCAAAAAAATTGTTACACTCATCGAGGTATTTCTTCCCACTCTTTCAATGTAAATAGAATGCTCACTTGTTATTCTCAACGCAGGCAATAAGGTTTTGGTCCCTAGAGCAGAATTTTGGAGGGAACATGTATATAGATTTTGGACTAAAAATAAGAAGCGAAGGCGTGTGGATGATCCGGCATTCGGACAAGGATTTAGCTGGACATGTTGCCGCAAGACGGGAAATGCAGTTGGATGTGAGGTATCATCTCACCGGCCTAAGTTAGAGGATTCGTCAAACAAGAGGACCAAAGTCTGAGGGAAACGTGGAAACGAGGTGTACAAATCGCGTCGGTATTGTTTAGTGGCTATTATCAATATGAGAATGAAACAGAAATAACGACCCTATATCTTTGTCATTGATCTCATGAACAGCTATCAATAGACCGGCCCCAGGAAAATCGTATAGAAAATATCAAAGTTCGGTTTTCCAATTGGATACAAGGCACGTGATGCTGCGCCATCCGAGAATGGGAACACGCCTTTCTGTGCTCAACACGTTAAGAGGAACAACTCTACCCGATCCAACTTGAGTAGACTTTTTATAAAACACCAAAAAACGCATGCAAAATGGCCGATTCAAGGTTTGAAGCAATATTCGACGAGATGGATGCCCCAAAACTCCGAGAGCTCTTGAAGAAGTTATGCAATCATGGGAAGTTTTCCGCGGAAGACGCAACAGGCAAAATTGAGGTTGATGGCCGCGATATCATTATCACGAGTGGCTTTGTCGATCTTACTCAAAGCGATGATAGCGATGATAGCAATTTTGAAGACGAGAAAGAAGGCAGCGAAGAGGAATCGGAAAGCGGCGCATCGAATGAAGAGGATGAGTATCACGTGCGGAAGTTGTCAAAACAGCAAATCCGGGAACTTATCTCGTCGAAGAGGAAAAGAGGCACCAAATTTAAGTGCGAGAATTGCGAGGAGGACTTTGATATCAAGAGTAACAGGAAAGGAGATTGTTGGTATCATCCAGGTATATATTTGCGTTTCTGCCTTCTTGCAACACGTGGTAATTAATCATTGAAATTGTAGGATGGAAAGAGTTGGATGATGAGTCCGATTTCTGGGCTGATCATGATGACAGAATACACGGCTCTCCTGAGGCCTTTGAAGATGATCCAGATTATGCTGATGAGTTTAAATGGGATTGCTGCGATAAACCAGGAAGTGACAATGGTTGCAAGAATACCAGGCATAAAGTGACAGAGGAAGTAATGGAAAATAGAGTCAAATACTAGGGGTTTGCTGGTATATTGTGGTTATACTATGGTCATATTAGTGGTGTAATGGCATTGTATGCATGATTCAAATTTTGCTGATAGTTTGTTTAGTTGTGTAGTGATATATCCGGAAACATGAGAAGATGTAAACGAAAGAGAAGTTAGATTGATAGTTGAAGTGGAGCCCATACCTCTGATTAATATTTTCAAGCAGTGAAGGCAACCATTTCTGCCATGACATAATCAAATGAATTGATCTAACAAATTAACAAAGTCCCTTTTATTCACCATGATATGGATCCAAATACAATTAGGTGAATTGGTTCTAATGAATGGAAAAGGCGATTTTGATTCACCAGAGTATAATGGTGAATCTCCAAATTTTGCTTTTTTGCCTGCTTTGCCTGGTAAATAGTTCGACCAAAAGGACAAATTAGTCTCATCTGAATTCATCATCTATCGAAGATCTATCCGGCTGTGCTATATATACTTAACTAAAAAAGTGATCAGTACCTGCTGTAAGCTCCTTTCAAAAGGACTTCATTCTCCTTCTCACCTCCAACTTGTTCATCTTGTGACCTCCAGGTTCTTCTTTTTACATCTTACCACCTCCACCTTCTTTTGACATCATCATCCACAAGTTCATTAACCCGGCACAGAAAATGCTTGACCCAAGGTTAGAGGAAGAATTTGAGAAGATGGATGCTAAACAGATCCGACACCTTCTCAAATTGGTGTGTGATGAGAAGAGTTTCACTCTGAAGCACCATCGTGGAAAAATCACCGTCAAACCAGAGAAGGTTTTCATCATGCCCGCAGGTTTTCATGATGGCAAATTTAAAGAGTCGAACTTCAAGGATTGCGAGAGTTACAAGGAAGGAGATGAGGAGGATGAAGTTGAAGTTGAAGATGTTCCAAATAAATCCAAGATCGAGATCTAGAAGCTTGTCAGATCCAACAAAAGAAAGTATCCCGGCTGTAGCCCCAATATGTTCAAGTGTGAGAATTGTCGCAATGAATTCTGCATCTACAATAATCCACCCAATGATTGTCTATGGCACCCAGGTATGTTTCAAATTCCCTGGCCCATGTCAATCTAGCTGACGACACTAGGCCAACGAACCACGGATCTTGACGACGTCATCTGGGCTGACCATAACAACGAAAATCATCGAGCAATTGAAGATCTTATAGATCACCATGACTTCGAGGATCGTTGGATTTGGTCCTGCTGTGGAGAGATGGGAAGTGATTGGGGATGCAAGATCACTAGACACAAGGTGTTCGAGGAATTCGAAGAGTTCAATGGCTCATCTGATGTTGCCTCTGGAGATTCATCCGATGATTTCAAAAAGCTCGAAGACGATTCAGATTCATCCGGGGATCTTTCTGAGGATTGGGAAGATATCGAGGAACCGGCGGCCAAGAGGGTTAAGCAGTGACTGCGGTGATGGTGTAATAAGCTCGGACGACGAAATTGTATTCCTGCAATGAATTGCGTTTTGGATTATTGTATTGGAGAAGACATCAATCTTGTGTGTTGGGATATTGGTGAATTGTGATGGCGATGAATTATGATGGTGATGTTGGGAAACTGTGTACTTTAAGGATGGGGAAAGTTCCATACTGGACATGTTGAATTTCTTTGGGGTGCATGGCTCCTTTATCGGATGGAAGAAGGAGGTGGATCTTGTAGTGATTTACAATTGAGTCTCCATCATGGAGTTCATAATATAATAAATTCAATGAAAATCATTCAATTATCTTTGGTGTAAGGCTAACAGGGTGCATTGGTCTTTTCTTTACAATGATTATATAAGCTGCATGTTGCTGTGTAACTTCCATTGAGGGATAATTAATAAGATGGCAAACAGTCCCATGCAATCGAAATTCACAATAAGATTTACATTCACCAGGGAAAAGTATTATTTGGAGGATTTTGTAAATGTTGAATTATTTTTTCATTGTTTATACTTTTCATTGAATTATCCTTTAAATTTGCGATATTGAGATATTATTACCAGATCAGGGAAATTTATTCCCGAAACTTCTCCCAAAACAAAAATAGATGCATGAACGAACCAACGAACTCATGAACTCAACCACAACGCAATACACGCGACTTTTAGTCAGAGATCACGTCGAATTCCAACATGGACGACGATTTCAATAAAGACACATTTATACAGGCTAAACTTGGTACTAAACAACGTATTGCACAGGCAAAGCTCAGAGCGGCTGAGAAAAGAGCTCTTGAAATTGCTGCAAGACATGCAGAAACCGCCACTACTCCTTCTCCATCACCACTTCCCGTATCGCCTTTCATCGCAACCTCTACACCAGCCACTTCCAATTATGCACCAGACTCAAATGCTCTCCTTCGGGCGCCGACCACAGAGGTCGAACGCGTGGAGCCGACTAATTCAATCAAAGAACTATCGAAGAAGATCGATACCGCTAGGAACTCTGAGCTCCACGAATTGATTACGAGAATGATGTTAAGATGTCCAGGAGCAAAAGAAATCGCCGAATCCTTTTTTTTATCCAGTGAAGTTCAAAGCGACGATGAAGAAGTCGTTGATAGAGGGAGAAACCACGCCGCAATGCAAGAGAATGAAGTGGGGCACGATGATAATCACGTGATATACACCATTGAATGCGCCACTAGTACTGACTCGAATGAGGGGAGAATGCGAGGAGATACATTAGGAGTTCAAGCAAATCCTAATGCTCAGAGGCATGCTCCAGATCGTTCGACTGATTTTCTGAGCATAGGGCAAGAAGATAATCCATCAGCTTTACATCCAGCCAGTCATCCCAAGCACAACTCGATGTTTCGCAACATTAATGCACCTAAGCAACTGGATCAACAAAAAAGCCAATCAGAATCCATGCAAATAGAAGGATTAGTCGAGAATCAAATCTCCACGAACATTGACGAAAATTCACAAAAAGACAACACAGCAACTGCTCAGGGAGAGTCGGAAACAGCATTGACATCGAAGAACACCGAAAAAGCATCGAGTATTCCCATGAACGATGCTCCTACAGGAATTGTTTCGAACACAGCGATTACAAATGCACTTGATACTCTCCCAAGTGGCATAACTGAATTACGCGAAACTAGTGCCTTTCACACCCCCTCAAGGGGAACTCCTCAGATTTCACTCCCGGAAGTAAGCGAAAATGTGACGGACACTGGCCCTAGTGAGGTAACTACCACCGATATCACACAATTAGCCAATGATATTTCAGCTAGATATATGAATTTGGCTCGGACTTTTGGTGCTGGAAATTTTCCTTTCGACAAACTTGCAAGCATAGCGGCTGAAACTTCACGCAATGAATCCACAAAAGAATTTTCTTTTGAATCATTCAACAATATTATTGATAATGTTCGGAAAAATATCGAGATAATGCAGAGAGCCAATGCCAACCATGTGGCATTAGAAAGCATGATGACACAATCAGTTCGGGAACTTTCCAGTGACCCGGGCAGTCCTATTCCTATGGATACAAATGGACAGGAATTGGCAAGAAATTCCGTCTTTAGAGACGGCACAAATCCGGTCACTCAAGAGACGATGATCAGCGCTGAATCAGCAGATAGCGAGGAAGATGAATATGTCGACGTTGCCGACATAATAAGCAGCCACTACAATTGTGATAGCTGTCGAAAACCGATTGTGTTACCTGAGGGTTTCATTGTTAGTCTAGAACATCCAGCACCGACCACATGTCTCCATTGCAAGACTCGAAAAGCTTCAGGGATCACTCGTAGAAAATTGGGGACAAAAGTTCGATCGAGTATTAGTACGGAAGTGCTCGCTAGTGAAACGGATAATCAATCTCCATCTGATCAAGTAGCTCATCGTAGTTCAGAGGATTCAGGAAATTCAGAGACAGCGAATCAACTTGGAAGAACTGTTCCCGACAGCTTTGAGTCACTATCCGAATCCTTCTCAGAGCCACTTCCGGGACAATCTCCAGAACCACTTACGGAATCTGTTCCAGAGGTTCCTGAACAAGCCCTAGTTTTAGTAGAGGCCGAAGAAAAAGATTGTGGTGGAACGCTTCAGGATTTCGGGCTTAGCGAAGGAGATGGTATCAAAAATGAAAATCGTGAAGATACCATCATTGTCGAAATTCCAACATGGCGTGGTCCTACAGGCCCACAGGCGCGTACGGGACAGACTCCAGCAAATGGCCAATCTGTATCAAGTTTAGGAAAACGCAAGGTACGGAGAATAGAAGGCGAAGCTGTTTACTCTTCTCCCATAGTCCCGAAACGAAGACGTGGTAGACCCTCCAAGAATTATCAAACGAATGTGTCAGACTCTTCGCCTGCAAGCTCTTCTCCAATTTTAATCTCAGCATCAAACCAAAGTACACAGGCAACTGCTACTTTCAGGAAAAAAGGTCGTCCATTTGGGAATAAAAGTGGAGTCGAATTGGAGATATGGGAGCCGAATAAGTTAATGGAACAGACATGGGAGCCGAAAAAGCCAATTGAATATACAAGTGCAATCAGACCAATCAGTCAGCGTATGTCTGCAAAGAAATCTCGAGAAATTACACAAAATCTATTGAGCGAGCGGCAGGATTTCATGGAAGATCCCGTGCAAAATGGAACGGAAGACGTAACGCAAGACCAAAATCACCACTCTAGACCCACCAAAGAACCCCCAGTTATTACTCCTTTAGATAATGTGTCTATTCAAAAATCTCGGGCAGCTCGCAAACTCAGACGCAGACGCAATAAAGAATCAAAACATAAAAAAAATCTACTGGCAATTCAACGTAATCCTGGTTCTGAACATTCACAGGCGCAAGGGTCGGAATTTCGGACTAGAGGAACCCTAGCGACTGGAACAATGCCAGATAATAATACAACTTCTACTTCCTTCAGTGACACATTGTCAGCTGAAATGGGCGTCCAGGGACCAGCGACTGATATTCCTGTCGGTAGAGGGGAGCAAAGTGAAAGGACTGGAAACCTAAGTTTAAATGAAGTTCAGGATATGCCACAGTCTATTGTGGAACAAGGATCTAGAATGGTCAGTGGAAGTACAGCTTCGACAACTGTTCGCGCCGAACATGGGAATGTTGATGACAAAGTGACAGGATCTTTAGAAGGAAATAGAAGTGGAGTTGAAAAGACAGTTGAGTCTATAGTGCGGTCTATAAATGATACAATTCAGGCAACTTCCCAAGAGGGGAGCAATTTCGTGGGGAACCAAAATGAGATAGAGAATAAATCGCGCATTTCAAAAGAGGGACAAGATAAAGTAGGAGGTTCATCACCAGAAGATTCAGTTCCAGCCCACACAGAACCCCGTCGTAAGTCAAACAATTTACCTTGATTGTAAGACATTCCTAACAGTTTTTCAGCCCAAAATACAGAGAATCAACAGCCATCGCCAATCGCTGAACCAAAGCCCGCTCATACCACTACAGTAAGCTCACCCTACCTGAACTTTCTTCCACTTATGTTCCTTCATTCCCGCCCCTGTCATCATCCCAAGCCATAAAATAATACACTACCTGCATTCACTGCCCCTAGTCTCACAAATATATCACAGGCCTCGACTTTTCCATTCTTTAATTGCCATTTTCCAGTTATTTCACGGATTCAACATAGGTACACACTTCAATCCCTCAACAGTTTTCTGTTCATTCTACTTTTTAATTTTTCACACTCTTCCGTCACTGGAAAAAATTACTAATCAAACACTTCAACAGACCCCTCTAATCCAAAATCGATCCCAATCAAATACACCCCTTTTTGATCCGGCAACATTTTTCACGTGTTCTTTCGGCCCCGATGCAATCCAGCCGCAATCTTTAACTTCTCCCGTCCATCGACGCCGCTCTTCACAAGATTTTCATCCCACAACATCGTTCCCTCGCCCATTGCTGGCAGATGCATCAGTCTCATATTCCTCACCTCATCCGCCTTGTTCTTATCCTCGACGACTTTCACGAGAAGTTGTAATGGCTGTATATAATCCAAGTCTTTTGATTCCGAATATGACGGAATCACACAATTTACCTCCTGCTTCTCATTATCTTTCTACATTTTCCCCAAGTTTTAGCTGCGTGCCAAACTAGGAATTAGGAAATCTAAATGAATAATCTATTATCTCTAATTCGAATTTGTATAAGAGAAGGACAGTAAGCTAAGATCTAGATCTCATCGCATCATTTTTACCAATGGTTTATCAAAGAAGCTCTTTAATGACGGAATCTGGGAGGACGGGAGAAGTGGTGAATGAGAATATGTATAAACAGAGGGTGATAAGATGAATGTTACGAGGTTTGCCGTCTAGATCACGTGGAAGTGCTCTAGGCTCTCGAGGTGGTTTATAACTAGGCGTCAAGCAGGGACTCAAAGTAATGACAATAATGCAATTCGTAACTAATAGTAGAGTATACTAAATGATTGATCTTGAGCACGAAGCTCTATACAAAAGAAATCCATCTTGATTATATAGTCCTTCGTGCCTATGGTTAACTAGGAATCGTCGTTCCTGGGAACGAGCGTTCCTGGTTGTTCCTAGGTGTGACGCCTCACACCTCCGGATCACGTGGCATGCCCCGTTTGTATTTAATCACAGGAAAACTCGCTACTCTTGTTTTCCTTCTTCTTTTCTCCTTAGCTTAGTATTTTCTAATACTTTACCCAGTATTCTTGAGTGTGACATGAAAAATCATCGATTTTGATATTATTTCACTTAGTGTATAATGAGTAGATTTTGAAATTTTTATAATAAATAGTTTCTAGAATATTTAATCTATTTTAATAATAATTAATTTACAAAAACGATTAAAGTACTTGTGAATCGAGGAAAGCGAACTGTTCCAAGATTTTCTTTTGTTTTTCTACTCCCTCTCTTTAGATAGAAAGTAGGTTATCTATCTGCACCTATTTAGCTTTCTAGGTAAAGGTATAATCGCTAGTTGGTTTATCAAAGGATTAGTATTGGGTTTCTTGAGACCAGAAAGAGCATCAGATTGAATTGATTGATTCTCTAGCTAAGCAGTTAAGCTGCGAGCATATATTCAAAAAATGAAGGAATCAGGTTAGGTATTCAGCCTTCGGAATTAAAGTGCTTTGAAATCAAAATATTGAAAGCAAACAAACAGTATACCAAAAAGGAAAGAATGAATTAAAAGTTGAGTTTTGTTTGCTCCTTATATGCATCATGCAATATATATGCATATGCTGCCAAGATCCCAGGAGGTCAACAATTAGTCTTGCTCATCTCATTACAACTCATCTGATCATAAAACCCACGTCATTACAAAGCTCATCTTAGAAACACCGTGTATCTAGTCAAATTAAACTCCTCTAACACAACACCAAAAAATGTACTTCCGTCCATGAAAAATCACAAAGACTCTTGTAAAAACAAAAACAATCAACTCAAATCCGCTGACACATTATCAAAGGTAAACCTCAAGTCTTAAGACCTCTCGACCCTTTCCGCCTGTTCGCTAGTTCCAAATCCAATATCTTCCTCAGATCCCTTTCCATTCCCTGTATTATTACTAACACTCCCACTCACGCCAACTCCGCTTCGACTTCCACTCGCACGCCCAATTCTCACCCGCTCATCACTCAAAGTACTTCCCCCCACTCCTCTTTCAACCGCCCTTCTTTTTCCCACACCCCTCTTTCCTGTCCCTACCCCAACTCCTTCCCCCCTCTCAAAAAGTCCATCCACATCCTCCAGCTCCAGTCCCTTTGTCTCAGGAAACCATAAATAAATAATCGGAACCCAACATGCATTTAGTACACCGAAAATAATATACGTTTTATAGCCTATATTATTAAGTGCAATGGGAGTAATCTGTACGATCATGTAGTTAAATATCCAGTTGCAGGCTGTGGAGACTGAAGAGCCGCGTTGTCGGAGACGAAGTGGGAGGATTTCAGAGGGGTAGACCCATACCTATAATTTGGAACAGGGGTAGATTAGTGGAATAAAGGGTTTAATATGGAGGGAAATGTGTAGTTGAGATATACGGGGAAAAGGAATGAGTTGGAAGTTGAAAGAGATCAATGAGTGGACAACTTACAGTAGCTTGAAAACCAATAGTAAAGGCCCCTTCAAAAATAAAAAGCACGATCGCTGCTCCGATCCCACAGGCCTTCTTGAGCTCCGTATGATATTGCACATTATAAATCAATCCCGTTTGAACAATCATAACCGCCGACATAACCGAAATCATTGATAACAAAAGAGGTCGACGGCCCACACGATCAATAAGAAACCAAGGAATAAAACTAGCAAGAAAAAACCACGTTTGTAAAAATCCCGACATGAGTGCACTGAGATGATCGGAGAATCCTAGAGAAGTTGAAAAAAGTGTATTGGAATAATATATTAGTGCATTGATTCCACCTAACTGTTGAAATGATTGGATAGCACATGCAATAAGGAAACGTCTCTGAGATTGTATTGAGTCGTTGTGAAAGAGATCGCTCCAGGAGCCTGTGCCAAGAGTTTTTTCATACTGACAAGTGTGCATTATTTCGGCGTGGAGGGATATGATAGTTTCTTGAGAGTCATGGTAGGAATGTAGTTGGGTAAGGATAGTTAAGGACTCATTCGGTTTGTCGTGCGCAGCTAACCATCGTGGAGATTCTGGTACTATAACCAGAAGAACTAGCATTGGGAGTAAAAATATGCATTGCAGAATTGTGGGGACTCTCCAGGAAAATGAACCAGTGTAGGATTGGGTGAAGGCGTAATCAACCCAATATGCTAGAAATATTCCAAAGTTTAACGTCGAAAGTTGCATACAGACATCTGTAATATAGTCAGTATCATACTGTCAAATATGTTCGTTTTACTTTATCAAGGCCCTTACACAATCCTCTTGTAGCTTTAGGACTGAACTCTGCTTGGAAAACAGGAACTGTACTATTGATAAATCCCATTCCCACTCCAGATATTATTCGTGCAATGATGAGATGAGCTCTGGAGTAAGCACTTGCTTGTAATGAAGCTCCAAGTATCATAATTACCACTCCTATCGCAATTGATTTCTTTCTTCCGATGTTCTCCCCGAAAACAGACGTAGCAACGCTTCCGAGAAAACATCCTATTTCGTATATAGCAACAATGAGACCAGTGATAGTGGGGTCTGGATTGCCGAAAGTGTCTTTGAATCCCGTTGAATTGACTAGTCTTTTTTTGGATCGTTAGCTGAAAAGCAGTGTAGAAATAAAGCAAATGGATGGGACTGATGGAATTGGATTTACCCTCCCATCAATCCATTATCATATCCAATGAGTAGAAAACCAAGACATGTCAAGGATGTTACTGCCGAAAAAAGGGCTCGACCTTCAAGAGTCATGGTAAGGAAGATGATAAAAGATTGAGAATTGAGTAGTGAGGAATGAGTAATGTAGAGTCTTAATCAATGCGTTTGTATTGATTAGTATAACTCTGAAAAGCTGCTATTCTAAAGGTCAATAAACTCCACCTTTCTCAATGTCCCTCATATCAGGTGACAAGTTGTCGGTCGTTAGCGCCGCTTCCGCGGGGGAAGAGCAACTTAGTTTTCTAGCGCTAGCCAAACAAACAAATACTAGGCCCTGCTTAGCCTAATGCTTTGCACAAACGGAGTCTAGTACCCTACTATTGAACCACCCCCCTTTTGGACCATCCTTTTATATGTTTATATATAAATTAGAAAACTTGAAAATCTTAAATATCTTTTGAACAATAATTATTAAAAATAAATTCTAAACACTTTTAAAATATTTAAATCATATTTGATTAAATAAATAAATTTATTGTTACGTAGTAACAGTCAACCTGTCCATATGAGCTCAAACCCCGTGGAAAAGCAAACCGATTCACATACAAAATTGTATGGTAATCGGTTCGTAGAGTCTCCCCACCTTCAGCAAGTACAGACATATAGTCTGATCCAAGTCACGTGATGGACCCTGCATATTCAGGGATACGAATCGTAGGTCCATACGAATCGAAGGTCCACAAACTCTCAGGATCCAAGAGATCCAATGGAGGACGAAGGTCTATATAATCAGGATGGTTTCCTTTGTATAGAGCTTCGTGCTCAAGATCAATCATTTAGTATACTCTACTATTAGTTACGAATTGCATTATTGTCATTACTTTAAGTCCCTGCTTGACGCCTAGTTATAAACCACCTCGAGAGCCTAGAGCACTTCCACGTGATCTAGACGGCAACCTCGTAACAAAAGGTATAATAAAGTAAAGTCTTCATATATGTCTTTAATAATATTTATATCAATTGATGAATGTAATTTTGAGAATAGATTATCATTTATAAATACTTATAAAAGAATATACAATAATTGTCAATATATGTGAACGTCTAGAATGAAGAGGAGTTTTTGGAGGGATTGATTTGTAACTCAAATCATTGTTAGATCAAAAGTGACGCATTTGATCACCTGCTTCATCAACTAATCTATTATCTACTTCCTCTCCTCAAATTGATCCTCAATCAACTGATATCCCAGTATTGAATAGAAATATGAGATACTTTAATTGACAATGCTTGAAAATAATAATAATTAGTAGTCTTAATGTTGGATCAATTTGGGTATACAGAGGTGTGTTAAGAAAGATGGAGGAGAGGTTGATGATGATGAATAAGCAACTTGTGAATTTCATTTCGTTGCTGCACTTCACTTCACTTTTCTTATTTCTCAACAGCTATCATTTATTTAATTATGATTTCACCCAGGCATCAAGCCACAAGTATCACTTAATTCTCTTTATATTGGGTGAGCCAACAGGGAATCTTCAAACCTTCATACAAGTTGTCGAATAATAAACCCGGGCAGCGAACTTGTGCATTATGATTTCTAGTGCGACGATCACGGGCCGTCAACTAGGCCCTCCAAACATTTTTACTGAAAGAGATACAGGTACCTATACAAATATCTCTTTCCATCCCTTCCCCTTCTTTTTAATCCGTCTGTTCCCCAAACATTTTAGATAGAACTCCTCTTTTTCGCGCCTTGAATCTTCCATGCTTTCACCATTGGATATCAGATCAACCGGTTCACAAGCAAACCAATTCTTAATCATTGTTGCTCGCCTCCTTCCCCTTCATAGTCCAGGTTTTTGTCATCTCAAACGGCTGAAACCGTTGAAAACCAAGGACTCAGCATGTTCACATCTTTCTAGCGACCCGCAAGGCCCGAGGTGAGGGGAACCGACGACCAAGACAACACTTACGAGGGATAAATGAGCAATAGATCGCCGGTCCTCCACGATAGCACGCAGAGCAAGGTCATGCTCTTGGTCTATTAGTAGCACTAATTGAGGAATGGACAATAACAAACTCAAGGAACCATCCCTTTTTGCTCTGGAAACGAATACAAGGCTCTGCAGCCATGTCTACCACTACATAACCCAGCTGCAGCCTCCCAGTTGTCTGCCCGGCTCGGAAGGAAATCATTGTTTCGACCCCGAAGATGAATTTGCCGATAAGGCTGCATGGCTTGGAAACGTCTAATTTATGCTCGGTGGAGTATACTATGAGGTGTCATGGTCATGGATTGATTGGTTAGATGCCGTGAGCGCAGCGCGGTTGATATTCGGTGTCGCTACGAGATCATATCTGGTTGGAGGCGCGCTTTTCGCTGGGCTTTGAGTCACAGCAAGGAACAAAACTTCGACAGGAACTGGACCGCGAGCTCCAGCACGAAATTGAGACGAGTTTCCAAGAGCCACTTAGTCACCTAGACGATCACGGTTAGCTATATCGGAAAGCGCAGATTGATGTTGTCGAAGGTGGTCGAGAGTATGGGAAGGTAAAGCAGGTAACAAACCAGGAATAGGAACGGGACGAGTTGTAGCCCACGGGCCATTGATTGTTAATGAACCATAGGGCCCGGTGGTGTATACAGGCTCAAGAGGGTATTTTTAATATATTCATTCCTGGTACATCATGCCAGCAAGGAGGATGAGAGCGATATTAGTGCCTGATGAGGAAGCGGAGCGAGGAATATGTTCATTGTTCTCAGGCATTGTTGCTTTTGAGATTCTAACTGAGCAAGAAGGAGGTTGAATGTTCTTTGAAATCAATTTAAACAGGGGGAATCTTTCAAATTTCGAAAATGTGGTTTCCAAAGATAAAAACTAAACAAAAATTAAGACAGCGTTCTTTTTTTGTTTTGCTAGTTTTGGTGTATAATAATGGCCATGCCAACCTCAAGTGTTGCGTTGATGGTAAACCGACCAGACACCAGGGTACAAGTAAAACTTCATAGGACAACAACAAAAATGACCAGAAGGGACTCCTCTCTTTAACAAGTTAAAATCTATACAAGTTTTGTGGAAAAGATAACTCGCCTTCCTCATCTTTATTGTCCGGAAGAGGGAAGACTTTCAAAGCATCTTCAAAGGAATGGCTTTCTATGTCATTAGTGACGACTCCACGATTCTTCCCCACAAGCTTCACCTTCATCTATCCCACGGTTTACATAGCACTGGTTCCAAACTCGCTCGTCTTGAGAAGGATTTGGGCTCTGATTATTCCAGAAAGATGGCGCTTTAGGCCCTTCAACTCGCCGGAGTCAGCACTGATAGATGGCAGATCAAGGCCTCACGAACTCTGTGAAATCCGAGCAACTGCGATGCTCCCATGGTATCTGAGGAAGCCAAGAGTTTTGCCGAGCCTTTTGCGGCAGAAAGAATAGCAATCGATGATGTGATCAAGGCTGGTACATATTGCCTGGGTCCGCCATTCTAATTCTTTCTTACTTGTTGAAGGAAATCAAAGAATATGTAGGACTGCCTTTTCTTGAACCTGAGGGAGTTGGCTTGCGCCACAGTGCTCTCGCTATTCATCGCAATGAATCATCTCATGATAATTCGACATTTCTATGCTGAGCGAAGACAAGTCACAGAGACATATGGATACACAAGAGGATAGGAACGTAATTGCTGCATTCAGGGGAAGCTGTGAACGAAGAAATGAAACAGGAGCTAAGAGCAGATAAGTGGGTGGTCTGAGGTAGAGGTTGGCCCCGAGACGAACAGTGCGATGGCAGGCTTCCTGAATTTCTTGGTTGGACCACAACCACGCTTTACATTGTTGTCATCATCACCACCGGAATTTACCATTTCCAGCTTTTCATCCTCCGAGAATGGAATAATTTTTCCATAATAGAGGCCAAAGAGGACTTTATGAGTAGTCGTACACAATTCTGCCTTTTCAGGGGGTTTGCACTTCCCTATTTTCAAGTTAGATCTGTGCACGGAAATGCAAAAGCTTTATACTTGGAGACTCGAAAAGGGGTGCCTTTACTTCGCATCTCTCTGTAGAGGTGTACAAGCACAACCTTTGGATGGGTCAATCGGCTTGGTCGACAGCTGAAGGATAAAAAATAAGTAAAATTCTTCAACTATGCTCACTAACTTAAGATCTGCAACGCTTAAGCGAGCGGTTTTTTGGATGGATGGGCACTGTTGCCGCTAGTTGCTAGTTTTGGCAGTAATTTTGTCCTCTGGATTGCTGTAAAGATGATATTTGTCGCGTGAATCTATGTGACTTCTGATAGTCATCTACATGTCTTTGATTTCCTCAACTATCTCGTCGCTATTCAGTATATCCTGGTCTTGTCCAAGATACCATCAATGAATCCAAGACTGCAATTTGCCAGAAACTTTTGACAATATCTTTTATGAAGTACAAGAGATCACGAACCGCTTGATTTTTGGTAGCAGCAGCTTCAATCCCTGGCTCACGATTTATCATGCCCGGTAACACCTTATCCAGATCTTTCAGAAGCTGATATCTTCGACGGGGAGTTTGCAAATGGTGGTGCCTTATATTTTCCCTTGTCGCAACTACACAAATTGTTTCAGTTCTGGAATTGGCCCGGCCGGAAATGAATTCACTCAAAGAAACTGGAAGGTACAGAGCAGTTCTAAGGCATAAAAGTGCTCTAGGTGAGGTGCCTCATGTCTGTATGTGTTCCTTAGCTACCATTTTGATTGAAGGCTGTGAAGTCCAGCATTGAGTATCGAAAGCAGACAACAGAATCTAGCAAATGCATTCTACTTTGACATAACTGTGAAGTCTGCAGCCAACAGTTTTTGTCAAGAGAATTCATTAAGCAAGCGCTGAAACTTAAATAATTGGTTTGAAAGATAGCCAAATGATGACTGAATCTTCTTCTATCAACGCAAAAATCTGTTGCTTATGTGTGGAAGTCATTTCTTGACCTGCTATCTATGGTATGATGGACAAACAATAGGTTAGCAGAAATCCTATATATATAAGACACCAAAGTGATGAGATGGTATAAACAAGAAGGAAATCACCATTGATTACAAGAGATGCTAGTACAGAAATTTCGTTGATGCCATGATGAAATGGTGGAGTGGTGAAATAAAATGGAAAAGTCTGGAGGAAGAAGCAGCAGCAGACCTGCAGCAAAGATCCTGTATATCTCTGTTGGAAGCATTTTGAAGTACAAGACACAAATGAGGCTCTTAAGAAGATTGACGACTACTTTATCTTCAGTGCAGCAGTTTTAACTCACCAGTCTCGCACTTGGAATTAGCCATTCGTCTCTTGAATGTGATATCAACCATCTCCCATCATCGAAAACTCTCTTGACAATATGCCGAGCTCTGCGAAAAATCCAATTATGCACGATAACTGTGATGAAATAGCCCACGAAAGGTTTTTCAATGTCGGTGAAAAGTTACAGATGTCTTATCTTTCCTCTATTACATTGTTTTGAGCATACAAAAACAACGGGCACATGCCTTTAACTTTTGAAATGGTGGTTCTTCTTCGAATTAGGCCATGATAGCAAGAGATGATGGGTTTGTTCTCTGTTTCTACTCTGTGGTCATTCGGGAGCTTTTTTCTAGTTTATTATATGATAAATGTGTGGTGAGTTTACATAGTTGTGTATTTCTTCTCTACAGTACTAGACCACAGCTATTTGCTGGGTGGGGTTGTTACACAAAAGTCAGTTACTTCAATAAATTATTAAAACTTTATTTAATAATAAAAGATCATTCAAAATTAATATATTGAATATTTCGATTTAAATTACTAATTACAATTTTGAAGTTTATTTTTTTTTATTTTTTTAAATTATATAATTAGAATAGAAAGTTGGAAAAATAAATTTGATTTGATTTTTGTAAGGAAAATCAAGAAAAATATATATATCGATTTCAAATGATTATTATTCAATCAATAAATTTTTTCAAAATTCAGAATTTATTATATATAATCTTTTAATAATACTAATTAATATTATAAAAAGAATAAATTATAAAAGTTCTTAATTATATCAAAATCTTTAAATGAAAATGGTATGATTTAGTTATTTTTGGTGTAAAATTAGATGTCAGCTAATATAAGTGGAGGGGTACTGTACCTCTCGGTTGCTAGCGCCCCCCACCTTTCTTATTCCCAGCTATGTGTATAAATATTCTTTGCACATTTCTGTCACACTCAAGAATACTGGGTAAAGTATCTTGTATTAGAAAATACTAAGCTAAGGAGAAAAGAAGAAGGAAAACAAGAGTAGAGAGTTTTCCTGTGATTAAATACAAACGGGGCATGCCACGTGACCCGGAGGTGTGAGGCGTCACAATTTCACTCTACCCTGAACACTTAAAGGCGTATATGGCTGCAAAGGGCATTTTCCTTCTTTTCATCTCAATTACACATTTAAATCAAGATATATATGTGTTTTTTAAGCTCTTTTCGAACCACTAACCTTCAAATGCTTCATCTCAAATATATTGTTCCGTCTCGTAAGATTACCATTCTATTGGGTTTCTTGAGACCAGAAAGAGCATCAGATTGAATTGATTGATTCTCTAGCTAAGCAGTTAAGCTGCGAGTATATATTCAAAAATGAAGGAATAAGGTTAGATATTCAGCCTTCGGAATTAAAGTGCTTTGAAATCAAAATATTGAAAGCAAACAAACAGTATACCAAAAAGGAAAGAATGAATTAAAAGTTGAGTTTTGTTTGCTCCTTATATGCATCATGCAATATATATGCATATGCTGCCAAGATCCCAGGAGGTCAACACATTCTCAATCCCAACTTTTCCACCAAAATTTTAAGTACTGTGCACTATCTTATTTAACACCAATACATTTCCCTATTTCCCATTTCCCATTTCCCTTTTATTCTCAGTATATCAACCAATCACTCCCTGCCATTCTCATTCTCCTCACAAGCCAACCAACCCTCCTACCACAGCCAATCAAATCACAAAACCACAAACCTCGTTAGGATAAATATAAGCAACAGCCACCACTCGGTATTACACATTCACTTTATCATAACTCTTCACGTCCATCACACAAATCCTAGACTGCGCACCTCTATCTCCGAATGAGATAATTACGTATCTGCCTTAATCTGCCGAGTATGTCAGCAATATCATACATATCCAACATGATTGAAAGACCATAAGGAACTAAGATTAGATGCAGTATTTTGAGAGCCTCAAGATCTCGTATCTAATGCTGTGTATGTACATAGTTTGTAATGGTGTTGGGTGGTATGCATGTAGTGTAAGGTATGAATGCAGTGTCGTATATACTAGTGATTGTGTAGTGCTGCTAAGGATTTCGTATAGTAACCATACGAAATGCTTCAATTTTTTTATTCATATACTTTGTTTAACCAATCGTATATATCATAAGGTTAAGTTGGTGAGATATATTTAAAAAAAAAATAATTTCGGTGACTAGATGCATAGTCGCTTTCCAAATTATCGAAAAGTTGTTTTATAGGTGTCTATAGAGGATTTCTTAAATTTTTTTTTCATTCCCTTGACATCGTAATTATTGCTAATTTACCTGCTAATAAGGTTAAGAAGAGAGTGATATTAAATACCATAGTGGCTTACCTGATAGCGTCACGATTCAATCCTCTAGTTCATATATGCTGTGTTCAGTATCAATGGATGGGATAGGGAAAGTGGCTTGAAGGAACATAATAGTCGTTGCATCCAGTTCAGTGAAATGCTATCTACGCTTTCAAAATACGCAATCTAAGAATAAAGAAGTGATGTTGTGGAGATTATAGTATTTTTATTGGAGAGTGGAAGGTTTGATATGTAATGAATAAATTCTCTGTCTACTATTATCTAGTAACGTTATTCTTTCTCAGAAGTTTTCAAGTAGCGCAATCTTAATTACTACAAATGCTAAGAAAGAGAAAGGAACGAAAGGTGGTTTTATGGAATTGAATGATATCTCTAGATTCTTCACATTGTAGAAGATGTTGATTAGTGATTAAGTAGTGATCTCTTATAATACTTGATTAAATGAATGATTATATATATATAAAAAAGTAGATAATTAATTTTTTAACAAGATAGAAGTTTTCTATCAGTGAAGTAATCTTATATAAAAATAATAAATAAGTATTATGATTACTTACTATAGACTATATATCAATAAACATAAAAGACTATTATAAAATATTAATTTCTTCTAAACAAGCTAGTAGCAATATAATAACTACTAATAAATTCAGTATACTCCATCACCCATCACACAACATCACACAAACCTACCCTCCTCTCCCACACACCAACAATATCGCATACTAACATTATCTACCCATCTACCTAAATATACTACCAACATACTCACGCACACCATATCCACTCAACTAACCTACTCCGGCTCAACCCATCATTCTTCCCATCTCATCCCATTCCGTCTATTTCATACATCTCACCCCATCTACTTTCCCCTTTCCCTTTCCCCTACCATCTATATATCCATATCCCTATCCCTGTCCCATCAAAAATCAAATAAACCAAATAAACCACACTACAATCACCTTGATAACCACCATCATACCACTATACCCATAGAATCCTAGTCTTATAATAATATATAGACACAGAGACATATACATATACATGTATATCGTATATCATATATTTCATATCACCAGCAAGCTATACAAGTATAAGTACAAGTATATAAGTATATAAGTATATAAATTAAATTTATTGTTTATTTAAATTAAATATATCTATGTGTCTATTTATATCTATTTAAATATTTAAGATTATATTTCCCTATATATATAAACATACATCTTCCGAAATCAAAAATATTATAAATAAAGCCATATCATATTATATTATACTATACTAGGTAGTGACCCTTGAATATCGATACCGATATCGATAGGGCTGAGCCGTGACTCACTTGCTGTAATTGCAGTTTACTTATCTTTTTATTAAGATATTATTTTTTTATTAAATCATCTTTAAATTATTGGGAATTTGAATTTATGTAGAATAAAATATATCTGTACTATATAATCTTATATCACACAGTATTATACATACTTATACACCAACTTTATTCATGCCTATTACACTTTAAACTTTTAAATATCCACCTTCCTTTCTGTATTACATCAGTATATACATAGCGTAATAGTATGCAAGACTCCACATATAATTCATTAAAAGCCCAACGCCATGATTACCCTTTTTCCATCCAAGTCCGTATCTAATATCCATTACCAGGTATCGTATCCTATTCCTTGAGTCTTTTAGTTCTTTTCCAAGCCCGAATTACCCTCGAGCATATCCCATTCGTACCCGAAATCACTTCAGATTTGTATCCATCCTAGAATTATCCTATACTAATACCCATCCTATACCGATTTCAACCCCCAGAATAATAACCCAAACCCAAACCAAACACCAGCACTCCATCCCTATCTCTACCTCGTCCAAACCCACAGCCAATGCGCCCAAGTTTTAAAATTCTCCACACTCAATCCCTCATCCGGGAATTCCAATCTTCCCTTTCTCTTCTCCGATGCTGCTTGTATCGTATTCCTCAAATCATTTGATCTTTCCGGTCCCCAATTTCGTATTCTGAATCCATGTTTATGAACTTTATAGCCGATGATGAGGAGGATAAAGACTGGTATCTGTGATGAAGGAATTTATATTAGATACTTTGCTGACAGCAAGGTTGTAAGTTTGAGTAGAGGAGTGGAGAAAACATACAGATATATAACTCGCGATGAATCTCCTAACATCAAAAGGTCTCTCGAGGAATGCAGCAACACCGTTGAATGTAACGAGGATAATGCATGCCGACATACCGTAAAAGCCTTTCAGCCACTGGCCGTGCGATTTGTAGGGATATCGTGGATGATCTCGATCATAATGCGCTGCTTGACGTTCCGATGCATTTCCATAGAGTTTAGTATCTTCCAGTCTGTCATTTGTGGCGTTAGTGCATGAACTAAATGAGACAAAAATGGTTGGGAAAATGCAAGAGGAAAAAATAAGTTGAGACATACGTTCGGAAAAATCCGAGATAGGTAGCGCAGATAGTGGCGTAGACGATCAAAATTGATGAAGTGCAATTTGATGCCAATTCAGTGAGACGCTATTGATTCATTAGATCTTAGAATATTGCGATATTTTATATTTCACAGGTACTCACAAGTGCAGTTGTCCCAGTCCTACCCATAAAAGCTACTAGAGCCATAGAGGCCGTTGCCAACACCGCTCTGACCGGCACACCCGATCTAGTTTGTCTTAATCTCCTCGCAATAAATTCCGGTCCAGTTTGGTCTTGCAGTGCTAGAGTATGTAGAACTCTCGATGCCACATACATGGAATTGATAGCGCAAGTGAAGGATGCAAAAGCGAAGATGGCGTTGAAGAAATGGGCCATAGCTGGTAAGCCTGCTTCGACGACGGCGATAACAAAGATAGAATGGGCACCGACCGATTGACCTTTTCCATTGATAAACGGATGTGTGTATGGTACTACGAAAGACGCAGTGATCATGGCCATAGTGTAGAGAGTAACGATACGGATTGAGATTTTTCTTGCAGCCATCTTCATACTCTCAGCGTTAGCAAGCGATTTCGATTCTGCAGCTGTTGCTGCGACGATGTCCATTCCAGTATATGAGAAAATAACATTGATAATTGTTGTCCTGTAGAAATGATTAGCCATGAAAAGGACGCAAGGTGGCGGTTAACATACCACATTCCCAGAAACGAACCAGTAGAGCCTTCAATTTTTCGTTGTAAATTTCCTTCCTCATCTCTGACAGAATATGCGTGGTTGAAAAATCCCCATGGAGAACACCAATCTGAAATAGAAGATTAGTAAGTAACTCAGGGTATTATTCTGTACTGGAGGATACTCACATTTGGAATTCGGAGGTGATGTATAATATGCATTGGAACGAGCTATATGTCGGTTAGCGTTGCAGATTATTTGAAACACTGAACGCACGCTGCATAGTGTCAAGAACGAGCATCAAAACGATGACCATTGTGATAAAAATAATCTTGATGCAACCAAATGCATACTCTAATTCTCCAAAGTACTGTGGTTGTCGTCAATAACATGATGGGCAACCGGGTCTAATGAACACTTACTTTCACAGGAAACATATTGATGACGGTGACAATTATTAGGAATAATCCAATCCAAACAGCAGGGTCGACACTTTCACCGATTTTCCAAGCTAGAAAAGTTCTTCCATCATCGTAATGAAAACCGAGAGTTCCAGAAACAGCTACTAATTCCTCTGCGGCGGTGACGGCCCAGGCAAACCTTCAAGATGTTAAAATTCCTGCTCGATTGAGACCATGATAGATTCCTACTCACCAATACATCCATCCAACAGCAAATCCAACACCACGATCTAAGAATCTTCGAGGGAATTCGACGACTGGAGCATTGACAGGCATAAGGGCGGTCATTTCACCTAAGCAGGATATAACAGACGAAACAACCGTTCCCATGATAATATATGCCATGACTGCGCCACCTGGTCCAGCTCCAGCAAGAGATCTACCACTTCCAAGAAAGAGTCCATTGCCAATTGTCCTATAGCCATATTCCGTTACTTATATGCCCGACTAAGTTTGAATTCGGAAAACGTACCCAGAAAATGCTATCATCTAGCATGCGATGGAGGTCGTCAGCCATTGTTTCTGCCGTCATCAAGTCCAGCCCTAGTCTAACAACTCACGTTAATGTGCCGTTCACTCAGTGTTCTCCTAATGATAATTAGTAGTTGTAGTTATTGGCTCGTACAAGTTTGCGTACCACAAACTCTCTCCTCGGCGTTCCCGACGGTCTTCAGGATAATCGGGCTCTACATCTGGGCTCGTCCGACTTTGACTATGATCGATATCGAATTCAAATATTTGCGGTGGAATCACCGCTTGAGGTTTTTCATGATCCATAATATATACTGCTAGCAATATTGAGGTCGTCGTAATATGGAGGGTGAAAATAATATGGCAATGCGCGTAAAAGAGGTCAAAAGAATCAGGGTAGCTTAGAAGCATATATATTCCGCACTGCCTTGATGCAGACAATCCTCCGCATTATTTAGCCCCTGTACAGGACGGAAGGCCCTAATGTAACCACATAGTAGAGATAACTAATTATATGGCACAAAGCTGATGCCTACTTACAGGGACCCCCGCATCTGCCGCTTCTTTGGGTACGACTTTTTTTCTTTTCTGACCTTCATGATGAAATATAACTCTTGCGAAATCACCACAATATATCATATCAAACAAGATGAATATTAAACCTCAAATGTAGAGGAAGTATCCATTTATAGCTAAGTTTCGATACAGTTATGATATCCTTATAATAGGGCATCATCAAAAGAAAACTTACCTTCTTGGATAATGAATAGGTTAAATATCAATTCTAACTTAACCTTAATGTCAGACTTATTTTGCAAGCTTGGTTCTATTTCGCCAGGAATTTCCACAAGAAGATCCAAGTCTGTGCTATCCTTGCGGTACTCTCACCATTGATCCTTAAAAGTGGGTTACATTGCATATGATAAACCTTGATACCGGTTGGGATTTTCAGCCCTCCGGGTGGATGGATAGTAAGTCGTCCAATAGTATAACAAAGATACGAATAGACGAAACGCTCTGTATCCATAGCTGAGATTGGATGACCTTCCCAAACGGATCAAGTAAGAAAGACCTGGCGGATAAGTCTTCATGAACAAGGATAGCTCCCTAAAAAAGGCTATCCAAAGATATTACGGAGTACTTGAACATTCTCTTGAGGTGACAGCGGGGCCACAATCACTGCCATCCCTCATGGTACCCTAGACATTACCGTAAACGGCTGCGGGTTGCGGTCGTCAGGAGGCAAGCCCCAATACGATCTGATCGACTTGATGATCTTCGCGCTCCATGGTCCATTTTAACACGCATCATACTTATGATATATTCCCCAAAGCTTGGATTACTGCGGCACCAAAGTTAGGGAGTCGGCCCACGTGGCGACCAGACTGCTTCGAACCGTTGGAGCTACTAAATAGATCGAGAGCTCATGCTCTTTAACACACCATGCCGACTCCAGCCTCGGCCGCATCACCACATTTTGAACGTCTAGCAACATTTGGAAGCTATTGTCTCTGCGCAGCGACGTCGATATTATTATCCTGGAATTGGTGGGGCAGTTCTCTCTCGAAAAGGTATATTCTAATGGCGATAAGGAAACCTATCAACATTTGGTGATAAATCTGCTTGCACAACTGAATGCCATTTTTTATATTCAACGTTTGTCCATACCATCTGCGAAGCGCCAGCAAGATGGATGGTATTTCGGATTTCTGGCCAGTTGGGAGGTAACTCTGCGAATGATCGAATTTGTCCTGCATATTGTTATTGAAGGTCGAGAAAGTTTATGGGAGTCGCGACAGTTGAGGGACAAATATTTGGCTGAGCTGTTATTATCTGCGCTTCGTGTCCTTCAACTCTTACCACAACCACAATCGGATGGAAAATCCGAATCCAAGGAAGAACTGCAGAGAAAGATTCGTCGAGATAGATTCGCGCGCATTCATCGTTCGCTGGAGCATATGTTCGACAGTTATCCAGGACCGAAATCATTTTTGTTGTTGGTGTGTAAAGAGGTTACTGAAGCATTGCGGGGTCCCGAGCCTAATCCGCTAGCTTTGCCCCCTAAATTAAGGGACGAACTACCAAATCTGACGGAAGATCTGGTAAGAGCCATATAATTATGATGAAATCTTATGACTTATGGGGCCCACCAAGGCCTGAGCTTTCTACCCTTTCTGCTTTTTCTACCTAAGCTTTCTTCCTGAGCTTCTAGAACTTATAATCGACATCGGAGCTGACACTTCTTTTGGACGTATAGTACCCTTTACATGATTGCTTCTCCTCGAAATATATATCTACTCTTATACTCCCAGATGGTTCAGGAGGAGGAGGATGGCTCGCACAATTCCTTACCCTTCGAGATATTACCCAATTCGTGGTCGCCGCTTCGATTCAATATACGATAAATAGAGAAACTCGTGATGCATATCTTCCAGCAGCATCAGAGCGAACGAGGAATGCCGTTCTACGGGCGATTGAGAATATGCGAATACCACCGCGATTTTCAAAGGAGGATTTGATTGGTACTTTCACCGATCAATATCGAATTATTCTTCCAGATACACCAGATTTGAGAAGACAATCAATGCAAATAGAAGCAGATGACAAGGATTTGGATGCGATTGATGCATTATGTTTGCGACTTGGTGATCGCCAAATGATAAGTCGTGTGAGCGATAGGGAGATGATGCACACGATATCTGAGATTACAAAAAGGATTCTTGCCCTCGATGATCCAAGTCGACATGTCAAATCGTCAAGGCCGAGGATATATACGCTCAATTGCTCAAAGTGTCATTTAGCTGGTGCCTCACAGATGAGATACCTAGAGAATCTAAAGTTTCCGGTACGCCAAGTGTTTTGCTAAGCTTGTTGACTTGTTGCGTAGTTGTGGTGAAGATTCAAGGAAATGGTCTGAATATGACTGACGCAAATGGAATAGCATGCTGACGATGATCTATATGCTCAGTTGGATAATCCAGAAACAAATGAGGTCAGATTACCTTCAAAGACAAAGTGTGTTCAGTGCGAGGAACCAGTTACTTTGATGCGTGAAATGACACTTGCAAGGCAAGTTTGGGACCTTCTTGAACCTTTTGAATCCCATGCAGATGCTGCGAATTTGGAACGTCATGTCCCAACATACTTCCAGCTTCCACCACCAAAGACGGATGGAGCAATCACTTTCCTTCCAGCGTACAATACGTCAAGCGCAAGTAATGTGAAGATGCGCACATTTGATACTGAACCACCTTCACCATTTCACAACAAGACAAGCTTCACATCAGCAGCTGCGCAAGATCGGTCTAGATCGCTACCTCATACTATGCCGTCTCAAGTATCGCCAATTGTTGGCACTTTCGGTCAGAGACTGGATACACCCAGCACACTACCCTCTTCTTCATCTGATTTGACTTCGTTGGATGGTTCGAGGTCAGGTGATGGCTCTAGAATGCCAGAACTTCGAAAGACTTCAACTACTACAGATGAGACATCATTTTCGCCAGAATCTATGTCAGGTCAAGGGAATACTTCACCAAATGACCCTTCACCTTTTGGAATGGTCTCCGAGACTGGAACGTACTTTGTCAATCGATCTGCAGTAGGGCACAGTCATTCCGATAGAAAAAAGTCGAAGGGTGGATCAAAATGGACGTCTGTTTTCAGTGGATCGAGAAAAGAGTCTGTTCCGGGGCAATCCGTGGAAACCACTTCATTATCCTCGTCAACAGTGGAGGCTCAAAGACTGGATGAAATAAACCTAGAAAGTTTGGTTCGGGTGCCTAGAAAGACTTCCTCAAAAAGCAAAAACGCCAAAGCAATCAACATATCCCTATCGCAAAATTCAACAAATGCTCTATTCTGGACCCAATCTTTGATACAAATATGGGACGTTGGAACATCTCCTCCTGCAATGACACGTGTATTTCCGACCGAGGGGAGTTGTTACAAGGCCTCTGTAACGAAAATGTATCTAGCTTATATAATTGGCACACGAGATCCAAAACTCACTGTAAGTAGCTTCAACTAAAAAGACCCTCCGCCAACCTTATCCTCTACTAAAAATCAAATAGCTTAGAATAGTTAATCTTCAAACTTCCGCACATGTTGTGGAACACCCTTTACCATCAAATCTATGGGCTAGTAGTATAGCCATATCTCCCAACGAAACTACCGTTGCTGTAGGATTTACCAACGCAACCGTTCATTTCTTCAAAACCACTCAATCAGGTGAACCAAGGGAAGATCGTCTCCATAGTCGAATCCACAACGAATGCGAAGACTGTCCAGAAGTAGAGACACTCTCCTACTCCGACGATGGCATGCATCTTCTAGCCAGCACGAGAAGTGCCAAAAGCGGCGCCATTCAGATATATTTTTGGATGACTCCAATGAAAGCTTCTCAAGAACTTGTATCCTGTCGATATCATGTCCCTTTGCATGAATCAGAAGATCGAGGATTATCATCTGCAATATTCCGCTCCAGAACCGGTATTGAAGAAATTCTCGTTTGTATAACGACTTGGACACAATCTGGCGTTCCCATTCTCGTCCATCCTAAAACAGGGCAAAAAACAGATATAAAGACCGCGACCAATCGATCGGGAAAACTAGGAAGTCGTATTCAATGTGCTAGTTTTTCGCCATCAGGAAAAGACCTAGCTATGGTGAATGAAAAAGGACATTTATATTTAATCTCGGCACTTAATTCTAGTCCATTGGATATTCGAAAAATAGCAGTTTCGAGGGAACTTACGATTAAATCTGATTCTTTCGCAATGGGATTTGTGTCATTGCCGGATGAAGAGGCAGCGATTGTTATGGCGTGGATTGATCCTTCGAAGGCCGAGAAGGGGATGATTAGGAAAATTCCTTTGACTGTTGTAAGTTACCATAAGGTCCCGTTCTCCTCCAACAATCTCCTGGTACTTCCTCCATCAAATCAAATTCTATATTTGTTCTGAGCAAAATATTAACCCGCAAATAGAACGAAACAAACATATCCACCACCCCCGTTCTCCAAAAATCAGAATCAAGCTCCGGGACAAATCCATATATGTCTGGTGCCATAAATGAATTACCGGGAGATTCAAGACCGATTGAAATGGTGGCGGATGAGGAACCAATTACGAAGTATAGGATGATGGGTTTTGTAAAGTATCCGAAGAAGTAGGGGGAAGACTATGTTTGGTGCTCAAATGATTGAAATGGATGGAGTAGAAGGTGTGGAGAGAAATTGAAGAGATAAATTGAGAGATAGGATGAATAGGAGATTATAATTAAAAATTTTGTAAGTACTACTACAGTTTTGATATGTTTTCCCAATTTAGTTACTAAGTTCCTCTTCAGGAATATCAAAATCTCATTCAAAATGCTCGAAAAAGGGATTTTAGGTGCTGAAGAGAGAAAGGATGAATGAATAAGTTGGAAAAAAATATAAGTTTTATTACCTGATGAATGTTACACAAGATTACGTGTATTCACTTTTTCCACGAGATTTTCTTTGCTTCGTTTTGCTTTGCCTTTGCTTTTCAGAATACCCTGTTTCTTTAGTGTTGGATATGGTTCTGGTGATGATTCTGGTGATGATTCTGGTTCTGGTTCTTGAAAGATGATATGATGTGATATGATACGGTAAGATAGCATAGGATAGCATAGGAGGATATAAATAATGTAAGTAATATAATAGATTACCTACAGAAATCATACGGAAAATGATATATCCTTTTTTCTTTGTGCGCATATATCTTCACAATCATAATCATAACCACAATCTTACCTACCTATCTACTACCTACCTACCTACTATCTAACTACCTAACGCCTCACCCATCTCCATATAACCAAGCATCTCTTACTATCATCACCTACTCATACTCACACTCATACCCCTATTCCTTCTTCATCACATCTCTCCATCTCCATCTTTATCTTCAAATTCTATATATATATCTTTTAAAGTATAAAGTATATAAGATCTTACCTAGATAAATAAACAATTTAATTTAGTTTACATAGATGTATCAATCTCTTAATTAACCTTTTGGTATTAATTATAGTGTTACTGTTTATTTTTCCCTGTGCTTTTTGAGTTGTTGAGTTGTTGGGTTATTGAGCTGCTTTTTTTGTATAGGTTGGTATACTTGTATTGTTGTATTGTAGTTTTGTAGTTTTGTAGTTTTGTACTTTTGAGATTAGTTGATGGTTGATGATTTTATTGGAGAAGACTGAGGTTATCTTGTAAGAGACTAAGAGTAAGGTTACTAAGGAAAATGGATGAGAATATGGATGTGATGTGATGTGATGTGTTTATTTATATATAAAACACACTTAAAGTACAAATCATAAATCACATGAAAGAATGTATGGTTTGATAAGTTTTAAAACGAATGGATATTCAAAATTCCTTTTGTGCTGCTGTATGCGACGATTTGCTTTCTATCGCAAATTCATCAACGCTTTAATTATCGATTGTGGACATCAGCATCCATAAAAACATCCAAAAAAGAACACAAAAAATAATCCACAAAATACCGCTCTCTCCTATCCCCTCAGTCTACTCCCCCTCCCCACCTTAAATCCCAATAAAAAACGCACCTACAAAAACCATCCCCGTAAACCCCGTCAAAAGCGTATACTGAAACTCATGAAAGAAACTCGTCTTTGCATATCTCGCCTTCTTCCACTCCTCCTTCGGCCTCGCAATCTGCGTCTTCTGATCTCTATCCAACAACTCCTCTCTTTCCGGCATCGAGGGCGGCCAAATAGCATAGCGAATCGGTTCAAAACAAGCAGTTATACACATCATCCATAACATTGGAGGCCAGAAAGCATGAGTAAGTAAATAGAGGAGTTTTTTCTTCAGGGTATCGTTTGTTTCTGCTTGCATGACGAGACCGAGAATGCTGGAGTAGGTTACGGCGGCGATGACGAAGAGGATGTATAGGAGATGCATATAGCATTGACAGTTCCAGAGGATGGTCCAGAGTCTTCTGAAGAGACCTGCGCGGGTGAGAGGATCCCGTTCGTTGATGTCTGATTTTTGACTTCCGGAGCTGGAGAAGGCCATGGGGCGGCCGCCGAGCCAGGAGGGTAGTAGGAATGACATGATGATTGTTTTGGCGTGGAAAGGAGCCATCCACATTTGGGCTCCTGCGTCGCGTTGCGCGAGACGGTAGCCAGAGGGGATGTAGGTGATCCATTCGTTGAGACGGGTTAAGACTAGTTGGATGAAACAGAGGCGGACTTGCCATTTAAGTTGGGTTTCGGTGTTGTAGGCTACGAGTTGGCCGCCGGAGATGAGGACGATGGGGATGGTAAGGAGAGCGATGACGAGGAAGATTTTAAAAAAGGCATCGATTGCGAAGACGAATGCTGAGAGACGCGCGAAGAATCCCATGCCTTTTACTAGTTTTCCGAAGAGACAAAATTTGAGTTTCAGTGCTGTTTGTAATGTTCCGAGAGTCCAACGAGTACGCTGTTTGAGATGTCCGGTGATGGTGTCTGGGACAGTACCGAATTGTAGGGCTTCGTGACAAAATGCTGTTTTCCAGCCAGCACCGAGAAGTAAGGAGGAAGTAAAGGTATCTTCTGCGAGGGAGCCGACAGGCCAGCCTCCAATGTCATCGAGAGCTGCGCGGCGGATGGCATAACCAGAACCGGTACACCATGCTACTCCATTGGCATCTTTGGTAGGTTCCATTACATGGACGAATGCATCTAGAGATTGACACAGAGGATCATTTTCAGGAACGTTGTAGAAAAGCTAAGTGTACTGTTAGTTTTTTGATTTTCTGATAATTCAGAAGAATACACATACCTGCGGTGGACAAACGAGAGCCATCTTATCATCAATAACCATATGAGCAATAATAGCTCTTAGCCAATCTGACTCCGGAATCATATCCGCGTCCAAGGGAGCCATAAACTCAGCTTCACCTCCTTCCAAATCAACCACGAAATTGGTACCACCGGCGAGATTTCCAGCTTTGAAATGATGAGGAACGCCCTTAATCTTGATACGGGCATGGTAATAAACATTTGGATATTCGAGCGCAAGATTATTGATAGCTTTTTCCAAATCGGCATCTTTTCCATCATCGAGAACGACAACACGGAAACGGTCTTGGGGATACTAGAGTTTTGATTAGCAATTTACACTCGTGATATTTGTAGGGGACGTAATCTTACATCAACAGCAGCCGCAGCTCGAGTGGTATCAAGTACGACGTCTACATCTTCACCGCAGCATGTAATGAAAACATCAACGGTAGGTACCTCATTACCACGAATACGAAGTTTGGGACGTGAACGGCCGCGAATCGATAACATTTGGTACAGTTGGTGGAGAAGAGCGGGACCTTTTTGATATCAGCTTGTGGTTTCCTTGGCAGATGGCCGGGGTTGTGATAAACGGGGGGTTTCAACTTTTACGTCAAAATAAATGAACGCTGGGAGTTTCCCAACTTCAGACGCTTGGACGTGGGAACATGGTGAACGACAAATACTTACAAGCAACGCAACCTTCTGCTGCAATGAATAGCCATGCCATGATATAAACTTTGCCGTACGCCCTTTGAACATCTATTATACAAAAAATACGGTATGCGTAGTAAAGGAAGTAGGAACCGCAGGCTAGAAATGTGAACAGCGGGGATAATCGATACATGTTTCGTTTCCAAGGAGGGAGGAAAATTTCATCGTCGTGCTTGTGTAATGTTTCGATTTGATATACAGAGGTATCAAACTGTTTGTTGAAAGTATTGAAATGTCTGACTCTTCGAGCGGTGCTCGGATCTTCCTTTTTGAATTCTTCATAACTGATACTTTCATCTTCTCGTAAGCCTGGTGATGGGCATGCCGTTGCTCCATCGTAAGATGAAGTATCGGAGAAAGAACGGCTATGGAAGGCATTTAATGATCGGCCGTATGGACTAGGTGTTGAAGGGCCAGGTGTTGATGTGCCAGGCGTTTGACTCCTACCTAGGAGAGTTGCTGAACTTTGATTATTGATTAAATTTAAATTTGATGACGATCGCGCTGTTGTAGTTCGACTGTATCGAAAGGTATCTAAAGATGTTACCGATTCGTTGTTGTGTAATTCTCCCCATCGTGCCGCTGTAGGTGATGGTGGTGGAGGGAGAAATTCGAATTCTCCACGGTCATCGCTATCACCGTGAGCTGCTCTAGCAGGAAACTGTATCATTTTGAATTATGCTTCAACGAATGATCCAGCTAACAAAGGAAAGAAGAAGGAAGGCACTTGCAGTCCAAAGAATGATTAGAAGCTCAATTGACTGTATTGATCAGAGACAAGAAAGATAAGAGAATGTGATGAGGAAAACGAATGGACCCTAAAGATGAAAGGACTTGGAGGCACTTCGTATTCTTAAAGAGAGAGCCATTTCATATGCATCGAAATCCATCAGACCATAATAGTAACATCGGACAACAAACATGCATACCCTTGCCAGTGCTTGAACTTCCAGTGATGTAGGAAGTCTTTTATAAAATATTAACTGAGTTGGGCATGGTTTGAATGAGCTGCACTTTTTCCAGCTAGATTTGTAAAGAAGAGGAGGTATTTAGTGAGGAAGTAAGGTGTTAATCTCTTGACAGACTAGAAAAAGTCTATCTTTGGAAAAAAAAAAAAAAAAAAAAAAAAGGCTAACTTAATACACTAAAGTTAACCTTTTTTTGAGAACGTTTGCTCTTTTGGAGATAAATAGCTTCATTCTGCAAGAAATGGACTTGATGATAAGTAATTAATTCTATTACTGACATCCACTGGAAGCAATTTTTAGTATAAATATGAATAAAATGTACTAAAATTCGCTTCCACTTTGAAGATTCTGACAAAAGCAGTAGGTTCCACCAAGCTCAAACGAGACTATTTTGACCACAAATGCCACCCTAGAATCGTATTAGGAAAGGCTGTCAAGAGATAAGAAGTTTATTTCCTCATTGAATACCTCTAAAGTAGCACGTCAAAATTGATTACAAAAGGCTTCTCAAGTCATTATCCAACTCTACAATGATCAGGTTAACCTCAACGTGATACTAATTAATATAATTCAGTATTCCGGTGACAATCGAATTTATAAGTAGGTAACCATTCAAAATGCAAATCAATCATCCAGACGTGGAATCTCTATGGTCTTCTCAAATCGAAGCTATCTATAGACCCGGAGAGAAACCACTTAATTTGTATGGATATGGCTGTCATCTTGACGAACGCCACCTGCTAAAACCTGGGACAACATCAACGTCCGCAGCATTGCGGCCATCGAAAAACAAGGACAAGTCTGAAAAAATTAGTCCACTATGTCAATTGACACTCGAGTAATTGGGAGAGGGACCAAGCTTACTAAAGTAAAAAAAGACATACGCAACAAGGAAGATCGACACCTTTGGATCCACTTCAACCAAACCTTCCACGCAAACCCTTCACACAATAAGGTTCTAGTCCTTCAACTAGATTGAGTGAAGTTCATTCAATGAACTAGAAAAGAATCCCACGGTGAAGTAAAATAGGATTCATGCATATCGAGTGTGATTAAAATTTCAACCCATACTCTATGTTCCGAACAATGTCTTAGTAAGCAGAATTCTTCATCCGATCTTTCGAGCATTGACGTTGCATTTCAGTGGCTAGTGCTCAAGCGATTTGGAGAAAGGGGGACCTTGTTTCCTTAGCACCCAATGTGGTTAACACAGAAGCTGCCGAGGGACCTATTTAACGCTCGAAACTCATCTGCCGGGACCTATGAACGATAACAATCGATACAAGTTGCTTGCAGAAGTGTGTGTGTTCTTCTCAATTTCGGACATCAGGGGTCAGATAAGGAAGATAGTCAAGGGAAGTCGTTGTTAACTACAAGTTAGGCATGCCGAGGTTAACACGGCCTGGTCTCCAAGCCACGACGATTCGCAGAACCGAGGAAGCCGCTTCAAAGATATCCACGCAATGACAGAAGCCACATCGGGATCCTAGGAATTCTGAGGCCTTAACGAACATAATCGACCTTGTTAGCCTTGATATACTCGGGCACTAACCCATGATATTGTCCAGGGCACATTTAAATCGTAGTTAACAAGGAGAATGTTGATCGAAGCTCAGATAATGAGAGACATGTTTGCCAACCAAACCAAAGTGGATGTTTGAGATGGCGTAGGCTCCCCTTGATAACTTTGAAAATGCTCATTATCATAATGGATGTGGGCATCAATGATGAGATTGGATGGACTTCTGTCAGTGTCAAAACCTCGTACTCTTCAAGAGAAGTTTGCAAGCCTCGTCATAAGAGATCCATTTGTTTCTTTTATCGTGGAGAAAGCAAATGTGGTACTGAACGCGGCGACGCGCGGAATGTGCATGGATTTGAAGTGGAGATTTTCCTTTTTTTTTTTTTTTTTGGAAAATTTAAGAATTGTGGTTTGCAGTTTGCAGTTTGCATGAAGCTCAAGAGAGCAGAGAAGGTGGCTCCTATGAAAGTTGGTGTAACATGGATCTTACTAGGAAGTGTCATATGGTGATTGCTTTCTTTACCTTGAACCTTGTTGGTGATGGTTCTACAAGAAGATATCAAAGGTTAAGGGAAGTAAATAAAGCAAAGTGGAAGAGACTCAAGAGAGAAAAGATCTAGGTTCGGTTGTTTGTTGTCGCTTCCTCAGATTACATAATGTTAATATTTTGCTGCGCCGCAATTGACATTGTAAATGTGATGTAGCCATTTGTCTTGGCGTTTCTTTCCTTTACAAATAGTTCAGCGGTCTGCTCGGAGCTTCATACATCATGATTCATCAGCAAGCGGCATTTGGAGGTGTTGGATTCGTACTCCGTTCGTACTCCGTGTAATCCTATAATCCAAGGCTATCATTGGTTTGTTTCAATATTCATGGAGCGCTCCGCTTTCATTTGTTCCGCTCCCCCCGATTTAAAAGTTTCCGCCCAGCTCCTCTTCCCGGCATACCCTTACCGGCTGTTCTGGGAGGTTTCTTAAAATAGAAAAGGAAAAAAAACAAGATAATAGAGTCTAGACAGATGCTAGTTTAAACTAAATGATAAAAAGTTTTTTCTATACTAGCATTCTCTGTCAAAATATGCAAAATATGCTTTTTAAGAAACTTTCCAAGTTTTTAGCAAATGACAACTCTTGATCATGATCTTTCACTCGAGTACATTATTACATAAAGAAGTCTCGTATCCTCATTTTATTTTACAGATTTTCAATGCGTCTTAACTTTTCATGGTTTTTTATCTGCATAGAAAGTTTTGTTCGCAATTTTAAAAAGTCCGATGTGTTGATAAGAACAAGAGTTCAACTTGGCAAGAATTCGCTGCGCAGATACCCGGGGTGATAATAAATTGAACCAAGTCTTCAGTTTACTGACCATCTTGGTCTCAATATAAAATGGAATGAAAGAATTAAGGTGCACGTGTTGACTTCCACAGGCAGAAAATGTAGCCTCATCTTTACCCTTATCCCCTGCCCTCTGTCACAGAAGATATTTACACGAGAGAAGAGGGGGCGGGGTAATTTTAGGTTGATGACCCGAGGATTTCAAATCCCTATCCCCTCAACTATCTGGCACATCAATATCTCCACCCAGTAAGACAATAGGCCTTTTCGAAGTCGAACATGCCATTCTCCTCCGTCCATTCATCTTTTCATCTAAAGTACTAAGGGATTGATAATATCATATCAAGTGATTCGAAACCTGTCGGGGGGTAATAACCCACAGCCTATCTATATCGATTCCAAAATCTTACAGACGTTACTTTCCTGTAGAAGCATGTTTATTTACTCCCATTCGAATTTCTCCTCGAGATTGACGCTAATTCCAGATGGACCAACGGGTTATACTGCTTTGTCTTAAATCATCCATACATCAGTTTGCTCTACAAGTGCGAAATAAATAGTATTCGACACTCTATGAGTTGACTTCACTGAGTTTGTCTCTAAGCATTTCAGAGTTACAGTCCTTTTTTTACGTTCACACATGCCAGGATTCTAGAAAAGGTCTAAGACCGTTCTCAAAAAATAAGAATTTAGCCTAGGAAACAGAGGAGAGTGTTACGTTTTGATGCGCCGTTCAAATTTCTGGCCATAGTGATTCTTTTTTCTGAAAAAGAAGAGTTTGAGATAGAACGAAAAAGGCTTTTTGTGGTGTGGAAGCTTAGAAAGAGCATAGAGCCCAAAAAGTAGTGTTGAGAAAGAGTAGACGAAGGGGTTGTTTCCAGGTGTCTTTACATCCATGTTTATTCTTTCAACTGTTAAGTTTAAACAATATCGTTAGGGATTTTTTATATTTTAATTTCTACACGAGAAATCTACAATCGGCATTTTGCGCACTATGTGCAGGTTTAGCTAAGGCTCTATCTCCAAGAAACTTCATCTGGTTGACTTGTACGGAATTGTGTTGCCGGTGATATCTGCACCTCATTTGCTTTGATTGATCATTGATTATTGATTATTGATCATCAACTTTCATAATACACGATGCTACTATTGACTCTACACTCAATTCAAATGCAATGCACCGTGTATAAGGCATATTTTGGTACGTTTATTACCTCCTAGGCAATTACTAACCATTATTAGTGATTTTCTCTAGAGTTTCAAGAAAACGAACATCTAAAGTCTTGCAATCATGCGAAAGTAGTTCATTAACCAGCAAAAAATAATACCAGAAACATACCGTAACAGCACAGTCTTTAATGGCGGTCCCAAGATCTCGAAAGACAGCGACTGATAAAAAGGAAATGTCAATCTACCTACAATTCAATGCCAGATTTGATAAACAATCTGGTGAACGTCAGCGGCCGCAACATTCTTCGGAAGAACTTCTTCCAAGCTCAACCATGTGGCACGAGCTTCGTAGGAAAGATAAGAATGGAAAGGCGCTATTTAACAGGCTGCAAGAACGTTTGCTGATGCTATAGCCTTAAACGCTGATGAATCCTACTAATTCAAAATAACAAAGTCGACGACGGCGCTTAGAAACAGACATTGAAGGGCGTCTATGAAACTTAAAGGTTAGACTTCTTCTCTATTATTAGTACAAGATAACGTTATCTTGTTTATTTGACTTGAATACATTGGAATTGATCTGTTTCTTTTATATCCCCTCTTGATGCTTCTTCTGTTATTGCTATATATATTTGTTTATTTGCGTAGCAAAGAGAATGATTTCTGAAAAGAAATGTACCAATGCGAGACCATTGGTACAAAGTTCACAAACAATGTAGGTCTTTTGACACAAGCTAATGTTCGATGGACCTCAATTGAGGACATTCGGAATGACCTACAAGGCGCAGTAGATTCCCGATCGTAGAAGCTCTTGGCCAACAAACCAACCCTTTGAAAGGCAACGATCCCGTTTTGTTGAAGGTAAAGGGAAGTTTCCTCTTTTTTCTTTTGGTTGGCTGGTTTCTCTATTCATCGAGTTCTACCGCATCAATCTTTGCAACTTCTAGTCTAGTTTTCACCTGGTTGCTTTGATCATTCTTTTTTCAATTTCTTGTTGTTTCGTATTGAAAGGAGTATCGGATCTTAACTTTTTATTTCTGTATTCTCAACACTCCTTAGATTTTCCTCCCATTTCTACATTCACCTTGCTGCGAACAGTCAATCAGTCGCAAGCAATCACTACGTCTTCCGCATCAACATCCATTAATATCTCACCAACTCCAACTACCTCTCACTCATGTCCTCATGACTTTTCAACTCTATCACTGCAACTCCCATAACCACTGTATGCGTAAATACTGATCTCATCCCTCGAAATCCCACCCACCTAGTCCTCGCTACATCTCAGTTTCTCATCAGAACTAAAACCTTCTCCGTTCGTGCATCTCTCCCAAAATGCTTCTCAACCTCCAAAGTAAAATCATCATCGCATTCCTCACATCATCAATACATGCACAAAAAACTCAAATATGTGATCCCACCGTAAACGCAACAACCAATTCCGGACGATATACTTTCTTCTCCGATGTAGTAACTACCGATAATAGCGAGTATCAATGCACAGACGTATGTTTCATCTTCCCTCCATCTAAACCCCAAATTAAGAATCAAAACTAAACTAAACTCACACGTCTCTACAGTTCACCCTCGCCGACGACACCAGCACCAACACCACGCAATTTACCACCACCTTCTCCTGGTCCGAAAAAGACACCAACACCTCAACCCCTCATTCCTTCCCCTCTCTATCCCTCAATCTCCCCTCCGTCCTCCCCATCCCCATCTCCAACATTTCCCTCTTCCCCCTAACCAACAACTGGGCCTTATATCCTGGTAATCCCATCCCCAGTATAACCAGCACCTCTATCAGCTCTCTAAAAAACGCCTCTGTAACCGCCTCTTGTTATCTAAACATCTATCTCGATCTCAATTCCAGCCTGTCTCAAACCCCTTCTTTCGCTGCGACTAAAATCTCTATCTGGCAGGCGAATTACGGGGGTGTGGTACCAGAGGGTTATTATTCTAATCGTGCGACGATATCACGTCCTGTGATCGACTTGGCGGGTATTGCTTATACGTTGTATACATTTCAAAATACACCCTTATCCTCATCCTCTTCTCCATCTCTCCCTCTATCTTCCTCTTCATCTCTAAGTAATACCACCACACAAACCCACACCTCTGCACTCCCGCTCGTCCCCCAAACCATCTACACCTGGTATCCAAATACAAACGTAACGACATTAACAGCGATGGATATATCACCTTTGCTTAATTTTCTCTGGCGCGAAGTATATCTTTCGAGTGAGACGTATGTGGGGTTTGTGGAGTGGGGATTGGAGATGAGGGAAAGTAAAGAGAATGTTTCGTGGGATGTGTATGATGTGGGGATGGATGTGAGAAGGGGGACACCGGTTAAGGCTGTGGGGACGGGGGCCGGCGGGAAGGGAGAGGGAGGTGGGGAGGGGGGAGATGCTGGCATTGGTGGGGTTGGTGGTGGGGGGTGTGGTGTTGTTTGGGTGAGTGGTTGGTGTGGGGAGGATGAGGGAGGGGAGGATGAGGGAGGGGAGGGGGAGGAGGGAGAATGGGGTGGTTTTTTGGTAGATAGAGGAGAGGTGTTATATTTAAACTTATAAGGTTAGTGGGCTGAATATCCTCGATATATAATAAATCTCCACACACATTCCCAACTATAAACAATCTACCAAAATCTTAAAATCTCACAAGACTTACTTTAATCACACATTATACTTTTATCCAGAAATACCAACACTTCATCTAATTCTAATTCTAAAAACAAACCACTCAACTCCATTGATAAAATCATCCAAATTCATGAATAAGAATTACAATTTAAACAATGATCGCCCATGAAATAACCTTCCTCCCATTAACTTAAATCCATTAATCTTATAATCTTACAACTAATGACAATAAAAATTCCCGTCCCGACTAGTTTTAAGTTCATCACCCAATTACAAAATAAATAAGAATACATCTACATCTAATACACAAAATAAATTTAGTATCATATAAATACACATATACTCACTCATCATGAGTGGATTTAATTTTCAGATTACCTGAGATTCTTTCTTATGAATACTTAGACTAATTATTCGCTTGTTAAGAGTCTCATATCCAGATGTGTGATGTTAACCTTATCTAGCTAGTTAGGTATCTAGAGGCATATATTTCCTTACAAACGAAATTTAGGGATTGCTTATAGTGATTTTATATAACAATAGTTACTCCTACTCTACTATTTTATGAAAATTCACATTTTTGTTATAACATTCCAAAAAATCCGATAATATAGACATTAAACCTCTTTCCTCTTTCCTCTCCCTATCCCCTCCCCTTCCCCCACACCCTCACTTCAAGCTCCCTACCTTCGAACCCCAAAACCACCAAAACCATCCCTCTCATTCATCCATTCACCCCCTCCCAAGCACCCTCTCTCAACTCCCCTCCAATTCCACCAGTCTACTATTAACCCTAAAAACCCAATTTCTTTTCTGCGCATCATAATACATTTTCTCACCTCCTGCTCCCTCACCTCCAAGTCCCTCCCCTCCAATTCCCTCATTTCTAATCCTCCCATTTCCTCCCCTTCCATTTTCCCACCTATACCAAAATTTGTTACTATTCCTCACCAAACCCAATTCTTTCAGTTTAATTTTTTGATAGCGATGGAGTAAGTAAATGGAGATTAGGGAGAGGAGGAGGAGACAGATGCAGAGTATTGTTGTGGAGAGGAGTGTGGCTGTGTTTTTTGACTTGGAGGATAGAGGGGAGGGATTTTGGGGGAGGGGGTTGGAGGTGAGTGTTGGATGTGGTGAGGGAGTTGTGGTTGATGTTGAGGTTGTGATTGGAGCTGATTTTGAGATTGCGACGGGTAATGTGGTTGGGGATATTGCAGTGAATGTGGAGGTGGGCGTGAATGGAGGTAAAGAGATGGGCTGGTGCATGTTAGTATGATTTGAGGTATGGAAAGTATGATAAGTTGGTGGCTTACTGTATTTGTGAAGGTAGATGGTACATTGGATTGAATAGAAATTGATAAGTTTTCTGAAGAACTCTCGACAGAAGTTGGTATCACAAATGAAGAAGTCGATGTAGTCTCCGGATTTCCATCTGTTTGTGTCCTCGCAAGCGTAGGCGATGAAGAAGTAATAATAACATTAGGTTGATCCAACACAGTCGTCTCCTGTTGCCGACCGATCGTGCTAGACGTCGTAGTTTGAACCACTTGTGCAGCACCAGCAGTAGTTGTAGGTGAGTCCACAACAACAAGTTGATTTGCGCTTGAATTCCCAAATACAAAAGGTTTTCCAATGAATGTCAGACCATTCTTATCAACTTTATTTGGCGATTCGTATAGATTTACTACGTATGTACCGTCAGGTATGGATGTTGATGGTAACCACATGAAGGAACCTCCATTAATACGAGCTCATATGATAGTTAGTATACAGTATGAAAAGACAATGTGGCTGAAAAGAAGATAGCATACTAGCAATATTCTGAACAAATGCGAATTCATTTCCAGAACTATCCGCATCGTTCAATGTAAGATTTTTTAACCCCGCATCACTAGTACCACTCCAAGCTATAGTGAACTTTTTCCCTCGTATAGGGTTCCAGTTTTTGGTGGTAAAATCTGCATTTACTAGATTCACAAGCAAGCAAATATGAATCGTACTAAATGGACAAACACACAATAGAGGTAAAGGGACTTTCATCGTTATGAGAAGGAAACTTTCCCAGACATGACGAACAAGTGAAGCATGAGAGGGAAGATCCAAGAACAGAAGATGATCGCAACAGTACTTGGGTTTTCATAAAGTCATGTAAGACTTACAAATTCTATTTTGATTTCTGTATGATAATTGCTAACGTTCATGTAGCACAAGAAAAATATGTAGTGGCATCGGAGGGGCCCAAATCCCTCTATTCAATTAGACTTTGGAACTGCCATAGTTTCGTCGTAGAAATCTATGTGAGAAAAAGTCGTAAGATTACCATCTACTAGAACAGACCCAACAATCACAAACAAGATACTAGGAATACGCATAAATACCTTCTTCCCGCAGCATCACCCAACAACAAAATCCGGCAGAGCACACAGACATAAAGCAACGTCGTACCATTAAAGTTAACCCTGCCATCCGATAACGTCTCAGACAAGTAGCTCTGAGTATCAGAACACTAATGCATAGATGAAACTTGAGACTTTCAAAGTTTTGACACTATTGTTCGTCCTAACTGCTGTTATCGATTGTTTCAGAGATTTTTGCTTTAACTGCTTCTGGTTCGGGAAGCGACTGCGCCACTGAAGATATACGTGAGGTTGTATTGCACCTCCTCCCATGCGCGTTAGATCTGAGCTTGATTACATGTCACCACTTGAAATGACATTTTCGCTTTTGCCATACCAGAAATTCAGAATCGATTCAGATCAAATCAAATGAACATTCTCAAAAGAAGGTTTCTTCTCAGCGATGTTAAAGAATAGCAATAGGGTGACATTCTCTTTTTATGAAGGACACCTCGAATCCCCCTTTTCCCCGATACATTTTCAGAGATGAAGGATGGATGGTGAAGAAATTCCTGACATAATTGTCATATGCATCAGTCTGAAATTAATGCGGTTGGCATAATGCGGGGTAGATTGCAATGTGAAGGTTTCACAGCTGGTGTCTACAATGAAAGCAAGGGCGCTATACTCCGCCACCAATTTTTCCAATTCAGTATTATACAAGTTAGGGATTCACATCAGCCAACTGGAGACTTTAAAGCTTTATTATATTAAAGATTAAATTCATTAATCCAAACTCATCTCATTGAGGACATAGCCAAGAATGCTACCACCAAAAAACTAAATTATTGCTTTATAGATCTGAAAATTAGACCGATCCCTCCGCTGGGTAGCATATCCTACAAATCAACGTAATATCCCATCGAATACAGCGAGCAGCACCAAATAGCCGTTCCAAACCCAGGCAATCCATGCCTACCCATGTGTGATATTCTCCCTGATAATGAAGACAAAATGAATCATCTAATCCAGATGAATATCCCTAAAGCGTACCACAATTCAAATCTAATCCATTGAACCAAAATCCGTATCTCAAGCATTATCACCTAACCAAACCCCGAAAACCTAGCTTCCCTTCCCTTCATACATGATCATCATTCAAATCAGTCAATCTGACGGAACTTGTATCACACGTCTCATCAATGCCTCTTTCCTACTTCTTCATATGCAGGTGGCGGATCTCTTGTTTCGCCTGGAATTGTGAGTTCATCCTCCCCTGGAACCACAATCCTTACTCTTGATGTATTTGCTCTTGGACTCTCATATATGTGGCCAGGCGCAGATGATGAACGGCCTCGAGTTGGCGCACCAGGTCTCAGCATTGACTCGGGCAATTTCTCGGGCGGATATGCATATGGTTCATTTGCAAAAGTTGGGTGGAGAGAGTGCGAGGATGATTTGTAAGAAGGCTGAGGGTGATGAGCGGAAGGGGGAGACGTGGTGATGATAGGTGGGCTGTTCGTGCGATGTTGTGGAGGCGGAGGAGGAATCCATTGTGTTGACGGTGCGCCAATAGGTGGATGTCCTGATTTTTGAGAGTGCGAGTATGACTTATGTCCCGATGGCGGCGCATAATAGCCTTTTCCTGGCGGCGAGTTGCTATACCTCAAATCCTCTCTACTTCTCCTCTTATCATCTCTACTTTCCCTCTTGTCATCTCTGCGCTCATCCCTTCGATCATCTCGCTCTCTATTGTCATGTTTGTATTTACTTTCGGATGAGTATCTACCTCTGTGTCTGTGCTCCTTACTCCTTTCCCTCCCTCTTTCCCTACCCTTATCCCTATCATGTGCGTGATAATGCTCTCTCTCATGTGAATGTCTTCGTCTTCGATGCGAAGGACCGGCGCGATCGGAAGAATAAATGCGATAAGACTGTTCTTCGAGGTTCAAAGCTTCAATTTCGAGACGCTGCTTCTCCTCTTTGTGTTTAAGATGTTGTTTTAAAAGGTAGCCTGCCGCGAGGACTTCAAGGCCGCCGAGTAGAACCATATTGATAATTTCTCTTTCAATATCCAAGTCCTACTTCTAAATTCTGAAGAGTGTTTGCGCGGGTTTCCTGGTACTTTACTTGGTTAATGTATTCCGTAGTCAGTATTTAAAGAAACGTTATTGATATAGCATAAGGAGTGAGTGATAGTTGAGTCACAGAGATACAACATCATCGCTCGCAATGATAAGTCAGTCAGGCGGCACCCAGCCCAGCCCAGCCTCTCACTCAGCTCAGCTGATGAACTTTTCGAGATATTCCATTACATCAGAATTCTGAGAACTTTCGTCCCAAGTTCGGGCCAAGACTGCAAGGTGGCACAAATCGGTTGTGGCTGCCGAATAGAGGCTGTGCTTCTTCCTAATTACATCATCCAAATCGCCAAGTGAATCATGTGACGCGGAAGATTATTGAACTTCTCCGAGGAGAATTTAGATTAATAGCCATGTGATATTCGAGGCAATCTCATACAAGTCGATGGAAAACATGAGTTCCATGACAAAAATGTCTTTCAAGGTTTCAATGGTTCCATATCATTCTTTAAATCTTTGGGCAATGCCCTCAAAAGGATTTAGCTGCTTTTTCTGAATCTTTTCATCCGAGATACCTCGGCCTCACCTAGCACTGGGGCAAGTGGTACATTATCGGTATCACTCCTCTAGTTCATCTCAACGGAGCAATATGTTTTACATTTTCTGCACCCGAAATTCTACTCTGGTCCTTGCCATGCCTGTCAGACTACATCAACTTATACCCGGACCAATATACTCGAGTACATTGCCGCCCGGTGGAAAGTTCCCCGAGTTATGTTTGCAGAAAAAGAATCCTAAACTTCTTTTGCTCAAGATCATAATTTAAACTCTACAATTAGCCAAAGACCGAGAACGTTTTTTAGCTCCACTCTGACTTCAAATCTTGATGAATCCACAGTGATTGTCTCTCTGATTGCTGGAAATCCAGCATCTTCAGAGCCGTCAAAATGCGGGGATGCATCGGCAAGAACATCATGCATGAGCACAAGCTTTGTTTCCCAAATGATGCTATTTTCAGAACGCTATATAAGAAATAACTCTGGCAGTGTAATTCATGTACTTTGCTACCACAGAGTGATATCATGAGGTTGCTAAACATTTTCACGACTTTGTGTCTCCTACTTTGGAGCGGAGCTGCTACAAATGATGGCTTGACCGATGTTGTAGAATGGGATCCATATAGTTTGACTATCAATGGTGATAGGGTCTTCATTTAGTGAGATTTTCTAAAATGATCATTGGATTTTTGCTAACCTCTACTTAAGCTCTGCTGAGTTCCACTACCAGCGCATGCCTGTCCCAGAGCTATGGCTTGTAAGTTTCTTATCCCCCAATTCGTGCAGAAATCTTATGGCAATTAGGACATTTTTCAAAAATTCCGAGCAAATGGCTTCAATACAATTAGGTAGGCTCTCAATACTGCCTGGTTTGGATTTTCTAACATAGTATAGCGTATATTTCTTCTGGTCTTATCATGAGGCCTCCAAAGGATCATTCGACTTCGAAACATCAGGCAAGAATGTTCAAAGAGTTCTTGATTATGCAAAGGAAGCTGGAATCTATGTCATTGCTCGAGCCGGGTATGCTTAAATGGTTTACTAAAAGTTCTTGTCCCCAATGCACACTTCCCAAAACAAAAGCACATGATGGTGTTTTCTTGTACACATACTTTTGCTACTTATTAAAGCTTGACTCTTGGACCTTCTTCTCTCCCCAAAAATCGTCCTAGATGGGCAATACTGACTATTCGATTTTATAGACCATATTGCAATGCTGAAACCTCTGCTGGAGGTCTTGCATTGTGGGGTTCTGATGGGAGTATGGGGACGTTAAGAACAAATAACGCCGCATACTATCAATCTTGGCAACCATGGATCAAGGAGATTGGAGCGATTCTGGCAAAAAACCAAGTTACTAACGGAGGAGTAAGATTCATGACGGACAAGTTCTTAATGCATACTAACTTTTCTTGTAGCCCGTCATCCTCAATCAAGTTGAGAACGAACTTCAAGAAACAGTTCACTCAGCTACTAACACTTTAGTTCTTTATATGGAGCAACTTGAAACTGCTTTTCGGGCTGCTGGAATTACTGTCCCTTTCAGCCATAATGAAAAGGGTCAGCGGAGTCAGTCATGGAGTACCGACTATGAAAACGTCGGTGGTGCTGTGAATGTTTACGGACTAGATTCCTGTAAGTACATCCTGATGCTACGTTTTGATTTGGTTGTCAATCTTAAATTTTCTCTCCTCGTACTGAAGCTAATATCTCTAGACCCCGGTGGTTTGTCATGTACGAATTCTAACTCTGGTTTCTCTGTTGTTCGCAATTATTATCAGTGGTTTTCAAATTACTCTTACACGCAGCCATCATACTTTCCGGAATTCGAAGGTGGTTACTTTACCCCCTGGGGCGGTAGCTTTTACGATGAATGTCAATCGGAGCTTGATCCTTCGTTTCCAGATGTTTACTATAAGAACAACATTGGGCAAAGAACAACTCTTATGAGCTTATACATGGCATGGGGTGGTACGAACTGGGGTCACTGTAAGTATTCACTGGTTTCGTCAAAGAAGTTGGAACTAATTCTTTGTGTAGCTGCTGCTCCAGTGGTCTATACATCGTACGATTACGCGGCTCCCTTGAGGGAAACTCGTCAGATTCGAGACAAACTATCACAGACCAAGCTTATTGGTCTTTTCACGAGAGTTTCTACCGATTTGCTCAAGACAGATATGATTGGCAACGGCACTGGGCATAGCGTAAGTATCCTTACAGACATGTAGAAACGTAAACATAAACAAAGCTGACACGTAGTAGGTATCTTCAACTGGCATTTGGTCATGGGTTTTACGAAATCCCGATACTCAAGCCGGATTTACTGTTGTTCAACAAGCGAGTTCTGGCTCAAGAGCGTCGGTGACTTTTGACGTATACCTGAATACCTCTCTGGGTGCTGTGACTGCTTCTGATGTTAACCTAAACGGTCGCCAAAGCAAAATTCTCGTTACAGACTATAATTTTGGAAATCACACTCTCCTTTATGCATCATCCGACATCCTCACATATGGTACTTTCGACGTTGATGTTCTGGTTTTCTACCTCGAACAGGGACAAATTGGTCAATTCGCTTTGAAGACAACCTCAAAATTGACCTATCAAGTTTATGGAAATTCAGTCTTCGCTGCAAATTCAAGTTCTACTTCGACTTCACAAACGTTCACTTACACCCAAGGAGCTGGGCAAACAGTAGTCCAATTCTCTGATGGAGCTTTGGTATACTTACTTGACCAGCCATCTGCATGGAAGTTCTGGGCGCCACCAACTACATCAAATCCTCAGGTCAAGCCCAATGAACAAATATTTGTGTTGGGGCCATACCTCGTACGAAATGCATCTATATCTTCCGGGGTCGCCCAGATCTTTGGTGACAATGACAACGCCACAACTATTGAAGTTTACGCCGGAAGCTCATTAACTAGTATTGTGTGGAATGGAGTTTCACTTTCAGCAACGAAGACCAAATATGGTTCATACTCGGCATCGCTTCCAGGTACTGAAAGCAGAGTCATCTCATTACCATCATTAACAAACTGGGAATCTGCAAATTCTCTCCCGGAGAAGGAAACATCCTATGACGACTCAAAATGGACTGTCTGCAACAAGACAACTACACTAAGTCCCATAGCACCTTTAACTCTTCCCGTACTATTTTCAAGCGACTACGGCTTTTACACAGGACAAAAGATCTATCGTGGGTACTTCGACGGTCTCACTTACACATCAATCAATATCACCTGCTCTGGAGGTTTGGCTTTTGGTTGGAGCGCTTGGCTAAATGGTGTACTCATCGGCGGAAATACTGGCGTCGCCACTGCCACCACTACCAATGCGGTCCTTGATCTCACAAATTTTACCTCAGTCATCAAGTCCGAAAACAACCTCGTCACAGTCGTAGTAGACTACCACGGTCACGATGAAACCTCCACAGCAAAAGGAGTCGAAAATCCCCGTGGTATCCTCGGCGCATTTCTCGTCCCTAAACCTTCCGCATCTACTGGATTCAAGCTCTGGAAAATCCAAGGAAATGCAGGAGGTTCTGCAAATATCGATCCAGTAAGAGGACCTATGAACGAGGGTGGATTTTACGGTGAACGTGTCGGCTGGCATCTTCCCTCTTCCCCATCCCTTCCTTCTGACTCCACTCCCCTCATCGGTCTCAACACCTCAGGAATATCTTTCTACACTACAAACTTCACTCTTGCCCTTGATTCCGACCTTGATGTTCCTCTCGGAATTAAGCTTTCGGCTCCAGCTGGTACCATCGCACGTGTTATGTTTTGGATCAACGGTTATCAATATGGTAAATATGTACCGCACATAGGTCCTCAAACTGTCTTTCCTATACCACCTGGTATTATTAATAATCAAGGAAGTAATAAATTGGCGTTGAGTTTGTGGGCGATGACGGATGCAGGAGCGAGGTTGACGGATGTGGAATTGGTTAGTTATGGGGTTTACGAGAGTGGCTTTGGATTTGATAGGGATTGGAGTTATTTGCAACCTGGTTGGGATGAGGGGAGGTTGGCTTATGCTTAGGTATGAGGTTGATGGGGTAAGACGGTGAGGCGATATGGATCGTTGTTGACGTAGATGCAGCTCTTGTGGGAAATATTCTGTTGTTAAAATTAAAAACTGCATCTTAATCTCTCCTCACTGTTACATTGTTCTTGATTATTCTTCATGGCTGAAACAGAATGGAAGTGAATTAGAGTATAGGAGCACAATGTAGACGGGGAATGCTACCCGCGTTTACTATCCCGGTCAGTCAAAAATCCCTATAAACCATTCCGAGGACGAGCAGTCCTTCCTCAACTTGCTCGAAGTACCAAGTTAACATTCAAATACATGTATTGAATTGTTTCACCTTTTATGCCTCGGAATTGACAAACTCAACATGCACACTAGGCCAGTTATGATGTAAGCCACGTGATAAATATATCGTAAGGTCATGGTGGCGAGGTCAATTTCCTGACGAGCGCAGCCAGGAATTCTCGAGTCTTTTCACAAAAATAATATAACCAATTCAAAGTATTCTGTCATTATGAGTATCTATCATATTTTCCATTAACCAAAGTCCCTGAGAATTTGCTATCTATTTATCTTCCAACACAAGCACAAGCATAAGCATGCAATCGACGTCGTTTGCACCGGCCAGATATTGGTAACTTTATAAACATCAGGACAACGCATGCATCCAGAAGTTTTCATACACAGAGATTTTCAAAAGAATGAGACGCGTTGATTTTTGCACAAATTGATATAGAGTCCCTTCACGGGTATGGAAGATTAAATTGATAGGTCTTCGTGATTAGGCATAGTTTGGGAAGATCTAAAGCGGAGCTCAATGTTTCTTGATCTGGCATTGATTGATTGATTGATTAAATTAACGTCTACACTGAGTCTATGACTATCTAAGACGGCTAGGAGCTTTGTAGGCTTCTAACAATAGTAAATGGAGGGTGGCTGGCCTTATTCGACCGTAGCTAATACAGGTTGGGGAGATTGAAAGCCTCAATCTTCTAATGTTTGAATGGGGGAAGTGAAAACTAATACTAGGGAACCAAGCCCGCTTCTTGATCTGGCATCTACGCGCGAGGAAACTTGAATCAGATAACTACATATCTGTTCTAATGTTAGCAATGCTTGCCATAAAGCTTTGGAGCTCGCTGCTTCGCAAGGATGGAAAGATGAGGTTCCTTTGGGGTGTGCTTTAACAGAGCAGGAATGATGCTCCATTGTATTGTTGAGTGCCCTCTCGATCAAGAGGATGCATACGTATATGGATGTATCCTGTCTGACGTGGCTTGAGATCTTGAGACTAGCTTTATGATTTTGGTTAATCGTAGATGGGTCGTCAATCACGATGACGCTGTTTTAAGAGACATTTTTCCAGGTCACTTAGAAGACATTTCCAACAATGAAGATCTCGACTTGGTGCCTTGGCTCTGACAACAGTCAACCGGACTGAGCTTGCCGTTAGCAGAGGTACAATATCAGCCTTCGAACTTCATTCACTAAATGCTTCGATTGATCACCTAATATACATGAAGAGGCGGAAGCTGCGTATAACAGAAGCACTGCAATGGATGGTGAGATATTTAGTTCACGATAATGGTGTGCATCAGAGCCATGGATACTGAAGAGAAAATGCCAGTAATTGGGGCCCACCAATCTCCCAGCTGCTAAGTGGCACAGAGGCCACAAAATTCCTGTGAGGAATGTACTTGCGCGTAATGTTGATCCTTCATGAAAAATATTGGTGGGATTATGATGATTCATTTTGCTTCTATCATGGATTCACCAGGTTCTTGGGAGACCTCAACGCGGAATTGATGAAATGCACACAGTAGTATGCATATCCATCGACATTTGTCACTTGGACTGCAAAGATAGATCAAGAAGTCTTCTTGGATCTTTCTTTTTGAGAGACACGGCTAAATATACTAAATCGATGAAGGCAGTATCCGTACGAAAATTTATTTGAAATTTCGAAAAAGTCTCGCTTCATTGTAATCTTACATCTACTATTTCAAAATAAGTCTTCTGCATCCACGTCAAGGCATCTGAAGCTGATATGGGTACAACAGTCAGTCCTGAGGGGTAGCAGTTAGACCTTTAAAATAGTATACACAAGTGCCCACCATTCTCTTCTCGAACCTTGTATTGGTATTCCATACCAGCCCACAGTTAATCAATATCGATATCTAGAAAATACCAAAATCCCTTCCTCAAGCCAACTCAGTTTCATCTATCACCATCGCTCCGCATACAAGTGGGTTGAAGCCTCCTAATTTACACTCCTTGCCTTCATCAATCTTGTTCGTCGTTTGACGAGCCTCCATTTACGTCTGATTGTGTTCTATCTGATGGATTTTCCTCCTACTCCTCCTCCACTTCCTCCACTTCTTCCTCTGCTTCCTCTTCTTCTTCTCCTTCCTCTTTTTCTTCCTCCTCATCCCCTATCTCCGCATCTTCCAATTGCGATCCATTATCCTCATATCTCCACTTACTCTTCCTTTGTATGAACTCCCTCGTCAACTCCTCATCCACATCCGCCTTCTTCACCCACTCTGGTTTCAAATCAGTCGTATAATCAACCAAATAAAAATCACCATCCTCAAACAATATCTTCTCTGCCTTCTTCTCTTTCGCCAATTTCTTTCCATCCTTAGTCTTCGATTGCATATCCCAAACCTCTTTTTTCTTCTGCCAATCATCTCTCAATGATTTATCTGCTTCACTTTTCAGTTGCCAGGTGGGTGCCCATGGGTCTTTCCATTCGATGAGATAACATTGTCTCCATGCATCGGCATGTTTGCGCGTTCCGAATGCGATGACGCCTTTGTAATCCCATACCTTCTCTCCATTTTCCAGTTCTGGTATAGGCTTCCGTTTGAGTTTGAGTTTGGGGTCGGACTTGGGTTGAATGGATTGGCATCCCATCGTAGAGTATTCATCGTAGAGAGGATGATGTGGTTCCGTGCTTCTTAAATGCGGATTGGACTCGCGAGGATTGATTTTATCATTACCATGAGTTCCTTTGTCCACAGCCTTTCTTTTAGGAGGCATTGTGTCTACCCTGGCTAATGGTTCTTTTTCGATGAGCTGCCATTCTTCGGGAACCATATTAATAGCCTCCTGACTTTTATTGTTCGAAGAACTTCCTTTTGCAATTTTCTGGGAATCATCATAGTTTCTCGATGTTCGATTTCGGATAGGTCGTCTGCTCTTCGAGTCATCCATCGGAATCTTATTCGCTGCAGGAATCGGTTTCATATGCCCATGATTTGCGGCTTCCCCATCTTCTTCCGGAATCCACTCCATATCTTCATCATCTACAACCATCAAAAAACGCCAAATAAGATTGAGAGTCGACCCAAAATCTCCTTTGCTTTGAACCGAAGACTTTCGAAACTTAGCTGGGCGTATGTTCGAAGGAATCACACTCGAGTTTTCACCATCGAAATTAGGACGTGGTACAACTCGCTTTTTTGTAGCCACGGCGGGGATATCAGAGCCAGCGCTCAGACTACCTTCAGAACTATATCCATCACGAGATGCAGCTGTAGCTGTATTGAAATTTTGGCTGCTGTCAACACCAGATTTTTCAGAGCTCATAGCAAAATCCTGAAATGATCTAGCTTGCGACGATAGTCTTGAATCTTTCGATAAATCTCCTTGCGATGACCTCGAACCAAAAGTCCCCGCTCTGGTAATTCTTGCTCTAGAATTAATTTTTCGGATATAGTTTCTTGAATCCTGTCTCCGAGGGATTTTGCTAGACGTTTTCGCTGGTGATGATTGTTGCGAAGAGGTTGGCTGTGTTGTTTGGGCATCTACTACTATTGTATCTTCAGAGATTTCTTCCATTTTCATCACTTTGCTATTCCTGTGTTCTCGACGAAGCTCCCGAATATCTCTTTTTGTCTCGTTCGAGTGTCGAACATTCAGGTTCCAACCAAGCAGATCTCTTTCACTTGTTTTGTCACTTGGTGTTGAAGTTTCGTTTCCCATGGAACCACTATGTAGCTTAATAAATGGATCTTCTTGTGCTCGCTCGAAAGTTTTGTGGTCGAAAGAATTAGGATCTTCCTGAATATTGTTAAAGATGAAAGATGGAGGTGACGAGGGTATTCTCCCGGTTTTTTCCACTATGTTGATGTCGTTCTTTTCGTTCCTGGTTTTGGATACGTTATTTGTGTTTGTCGTGGCAGTAATGGGAGATGTTCGTGGATAATTATGTGTACCTGGAAGTGTTAGTCATTCCTCCTTCCACGTCATTGATTCACCACCATCCATGTCATCCTCCTTCATCTCGATGATAATTTTAAAAGTGAGTCAGTCAACATCACACCATTCCCAACTTCTTACCTCACCTTACCTCGCCTTCCACTTTCTTTGCCGATGCCAATCCGAAAAATTCAAACTCATGGAAAAGCTCACCAGGAATAACCCCCGCAACCAAATACGCCTTTCCCCTCAACTCATTCCCTCGCCCATTTCCTTCCCCCTCTTTCCCTCTCCCCTGCCCATACCTCCCCCTAGTAATCATACACAATTTACTATCCCTCCTCAACAACTCCTCCATACAAAACACCACACTTCCTCCGCTAGTTGGTGCAGCAGAGGCTCTCCTGAACAAATCACCCTCCACAGGAAATATCTGCACTCCATCAAATCTCTTCCCTTCCTCCAACGCATCCTCCATATTATCCCACAAACTAACCCCTGAAGCCTTCCTCTCATTCCAAACCCCAGGTACAAAAATCGAAGAGGATGAAACTCCACGCTCGGAGAAATGCCCTCGTACTATCCTTAATATTTGCTTCGCGGAAGTAGGAAGAGGTGTGTATGTGTTTTTTGCTGACCAGCCGTGTTCAGGGGCATTATAAATTGGTTTTTGTATGTGTCCTCGATTGTTGAATTTGGTATCTGTTGCTTGAAGGGAAGTAGTGGAAATAATTGAGTTATTGCTGTAGGATTGCGGGAGATCGGATATATCTCTCCAGTTCTCATCTCGATGAAGTCGATAGAAGGTATCTGGAAAGTTTTCAGGGGCCAGGGAATAGGGGTATCGATAGCCGGGTTTGACTTGATTTGTTAGAGATTGCTCCGGTAATAGGTGGGCGTGTTGCTGTGTAATATGTCCTGAGGATGTGGAGGATTTGCTCGTTTTCGCGTTTATACTTCTTGTATGTCTCCGAGTGTTTCTTTGGGCATGGGTATTCATAGCTTGCACGAAGGTGTGGAGAGTAGTAGAATTATCACTGTCCCAATGAACATCCCTTCTCCGACCCCTCCACCCAAACCCAAAACACCCCTTAGACTTAACTCCAGGAAAACGCCACTTGCAATTAAACTTCAGCGGACGAAATCTAAAATGCGTTTTTTTTCGTCGAAGAAAGCGCCCGAATCGTCGCTTAATATCAAGTCTCCTCTTTCCCCTCGTTTTGGTCGCACCACCGAACATTCCTCGTTTAAACTTTATTGTTGGAAACTTTCCTTTGAGATTTTTGAGCCGAAGTTTTCGGCGGACGTTGATGTTGAGCTTGAGCGTGAGGTTAGAGGTATTTTCTCTGGGTTTTTGGTTTACGTTTCGGGATTGGAATTGAGATGGGAATTGGAATTGATGGCGACGTTTGCGGAGGCAGGGAATGTGCATTTTGGTATTGGAGTAGGGGTTTGAGGTTTGATGGTGGTAAATATGGATGTGGTGTATGGATATGGATGTGATTTGTTTTAGGCAAACTTTTGAATCGGATATGCTGAGTTTGTTTTCTCAAATGAAAATCAGCGTTGGTATGTTTAATTCTCGAAAATCTTCAGGGACTTATGGATAATTTTCCTCACGAGATCTTGGAATCAGAAATACTGCACGAGAAATAGAGGATGGGAAAAGAAGAAGTTATTGAGAAAATCCATCTATCTATCCACTCATTCATTCATTCATCAGAAACTCACACCTCCTCTTCAGAAAAAGGATCAGAATAAATCCATAACATCTTATTCTAGCATTCTCTTTCTTCTCTTGTGTTTCCTTTTCAATTTCCCGTTCTTACTTTTCTTCTCTTCTTTTTTGATGTTTCCTTTCTGTTCCTTTCCTTTCCTGTCCTTTCGTTTTATTTCACTTCGCTTCTTCTGTGCAGAATTCGAAACATTGGATTTGGAATGTCAAACATCACCACAACAAGGTCATACGGCACCAAAATACACCACAATAGTACAAGACATCCAACAAACTTTTTGTTTCTTCAAACTAACTAGCTGGTTTACTGGCTTTTTGATCAGCAGGTCAGAGGCTAGAGGATGAAACAAATATATAAACGAAAGAGAACTTCTCTGATTTCCCTCCTTTTTCTTGTCATTTCTTTCCTTTCCCTTCCCTTTCTCATCAAATTATTCATTCTCTTATCCCCATCCCTCACCCCCTGAGTCCCAAAATCTCAAATCTCAAATCTCAAACCCCAAAACTCTACAATTCCGTTACAATAAATCCGTAGTAATTTACTTATCTCCATCTATTTCTGCTCATTGTATAAAACTCAGATATAATCTTACTACAGAAATACATGAATAAATAAAAACCACCAACTCCAACTTCAAAATTCCAACTCATTCTCACAACATCACAACCTCACCTAGAAAAGTATCATCTCAGAAGAAAATCATGAACTAGACAAATCTTTATTTCTATATCCTTATTCTCTTTCACTTACTTCCGCCCCTCTATTTACTTATCTACTTATTCATTCCATCTTCTTATATGATATATACTATATATACACGCTGTGTATAGATGCTGTATATAGATGCTGTATACTGTACAGTGTAACCTATACACAACTTAAATCCAATCTTCCACCCTCATTCCTTGTAATCATAATAGTTTTGAGTACGAGTACTTTTCATACAAATCCAAAATCCAAATCCAAACACATACCCCTATTCACTACCCGCCTATGGAAAGTATCAGAACTAAACAAGTCAATCGATTCAAATGAGTATAATGACCAAAATAGCACATCTTCTATACCGATAATCTCCAATCTTTCCGCTTCCGAACTTTTCGGTTTTGTATAATATTCTTTATTCTTATATAATCTTGCATATTCCTCTCACCATACTCATCTCGACCTCCCAAACCTCCTACGTTTCTCCCTATTACAATCACAATCTCAATACTCCCTCGAACTTCACATACAAACAACAGCATCTATCTCCTCCCTCAAAGATTCCTCTTCAAAAACCCCCAAAACCTTCTACAAGCAAAAGAAATCTCCTGCTTCTCCTACATCTCCTCCTTCTCCTCCTTCTCCTCCTTCTCCTCCTTCTCCTCCTTCTCCTCCTTCTCCTCCTCCTCCTTTTTCTTCTTTTATTTTATTTTATAAATATTAATTATCTGAATCCAACTATAAAATTCCCCAAAAACAATATCTTTTCAATTACAGGCTATTAATATACAAGAAACATATTCGATTCAAGATTATTGGTTTGGGTTTGTAGAATTTAAAGTTGGGGATTTGGTGGCTGTGGATGGCGGTTTTGAGTTTGTGAGGAAAAGGGGAAGGAGAAGGAGGTTGATAGGGAGAAAGTGGATGGAAAAGATAGAAAGAATAGAAAGGATAGAGAAGAGAAAAGGAATAAAACATATCCCATTATACCTAGAAAAAACCGAACTTCAAACAAATATCAAGAAGCGAGATAGCAGAGCTCACAACCGCACAGTATCCATACAGCTCGACAGCCGAGAATCCCCTTCCTCGATAAGGAAGAATAGGTTTATTAAGACTATGTTGTCGGAATAATAGCTTGTTCTCTGAAATTTAATTCTATGATAGTATTTTCGAGAATTTCGGGAATTTCGGGTTGATAAATGTGGGAAGTATGAGAAAGAGTAAAAGCGAAAGAAAGTGGAAGAAAGGGTGGGAGTTTGAGATTTATGAGGATGTTGATGGGGATTTTGTCAAGAGGGAGGATGTTTTATCTGCGGAGATAAAAGAAATCAGAAAAATCAGAGAAATCAAAGGGATAAGTGACATGAGGTGGTTTGTGGGAGAGGGGTAAGCGAGGAGAGTAGAGGATCTATAGGGGGAAGAATGAAGAGAATGAGGGGATTGGGGGGAATAGGGTAGTGTTGACCTCCTGGGATCTTGGCAGCATATGCATATATATTGCATGATGCATATAAGGAGCAAACAAAACTCAACTTTTAATTCATTCTTTCCTTTTTGGTATACTGTTTGTTTGCTTTCAATGTTTTGATTTCAAAGCACTTTAATTCCGAAGGCTGAATACCTAACCTTATTCCTTCATTTTTTGAATATATACTCGCAGCTTAACTGCTTAGCTAGAGAATCAATCAATACAATCTGATGCTCTTTCTGGTCTCAAGAAACCCAATAGTTAGTTACGAGATCAACTGAGAGGGTGATGGAAATATAAGGGGTGATACGACCAAGAGAATGAGAAGGATGGAGTTAATAAGGATAGGATAAGTGGTGTGAGTGAAGACAGGGAAGATAATGAGAATAGGGAGGAGAATGTAAGTAGCACGAAGAGATTGGAGATAGCGAGGAGAATAATAATAGCCATAGAGATAGCTATATCCTATACCTCAAGTCCAAACAACTCTACATCTCAACTCAGACAATAGAGATTCCCTCGAGAACCAGAAAACAATCTTTAATCCATCCAACCCCACACTCCCCCCCAAGAAATCCCCTCATCCCAGTTGTCCAAACCCCTCCTCTATCCCTAAGGAATACATCACCGAAACCCATCCTATTCATTTCCTTTTATCAAAAACGACTCCTCCTCCTCCGCCTCCACATTCATCTATAACATCTCACAACAAAAATATAGACGACGAAGGCCAAATTGGCAGAGGAGATATAAAGGAAAAGAAAGAAGAGGAATAAGAAAAAGAAAAACAGAAAAGGACAAGGAACAAGCCAAAAAAAAAAAGGAAATAGAGCTAAGGAAAAACATACCCGGATTACTTACCCTCGAGAAATTTACTTAACAGCAAGAAGGGTGTTGGTGATCTGGGGATGAAGGAGATGAAGTTCAGGGTAAGAATAATAATGATAATAGGAATTAAGAGGAAGTAAAGGAATTAGCCAGATTTTTGATATATAGAGGAGGGATGAATTGACTAATATGAAGTATATTCTCCTAACGGGTTTATGAATTTTGAGAATTAGAGTAGATAGAATATAAGTAGGGAGGGAAGGTTTAATTGGAACTCTTAATGTTTTTTGAAGTTATTATACTCATCTTTTTGATAATGAAAGAATATACAGTATAAATGATAATATCTAGGTATGGATAGTAGTTGGGTCGGATTGTGTTGGTTGAATTCTGACTTAATTACTTACATTATAAGGAAGATATTCAAAAATCAATGGATTGAATTCTAATCAATTCTGGGATCACCTAGGTTAATATCTAGAGAATCTGATAGATATTATGACATGATTTGATCTTGACTTTCTACTCAGATCAACAAAAGCTAGTAAATTTGTTATTTTCTCATGGGCTAATCCAGTATAATTATCAAAGATAATACAACAAAAGTTAAACAAGTATCACGAACCGGGATATCCTATAATTATCCCAAATCCCATAAACCGAATGAATCTTGAACAAGATCCAGCGATCTCAAAAAGTAAAGAGAAAAACAAACGATTTCGGAAGTAAGAACTTACTATGACCGAGAAGAGGAAGATAGACATTGTAAGAATATCTAATAAGTGAATACATTTATTAGATGGTGGATCTAGATTCCATCAGTGATGTAATTAATTGGAAAAGTATAAATAAAGTAAAGCACTTGCTCTATATAGATCTAGAATATCTTCTATCTAATCACTAAGATAAAAAGAGAGAGAAGAGAAAGAATAACTAATAGAAAATATAGAAGAAAAAAGCCTAGCTGAACCTATCATCGATATACCCCTTACTCAACACATCACTTTGTAAAGTTCTTGTAGTCTTACTACGTTACAATGACAATAACAAACTTTCACAATAAGATAGATATCTCATTCCGAACAGGTGGCAGGCAGAGACGGAATAGCAATACCACCAGCACCAGCATTTCAAAAGATCATCACTTGTCTATACAATATACAATATACAGACTAAACATTCGGAAGCAAGAAATGACTCGTAGTATCCATATATCTATCATATCCGAAGCTTTTTCGCAAAAGTACGAGGTATCAATCAATCAATCACTTGAACATTCATTATTACAGACCCCCAATGTTCCGAATGGACATTGTTTGTTTTCTTTTTAACGGGATCGGAATAAATATAATATATTTGACTATCTATATGATGGGTTTTCTCCCTACTACTATTGAATACCTATCTAGTAGGTAAGATACCAAAATTTCCCAGTCCTTTTTTCCCCGCTGAAACTAGATAATCATGGACTCCATACCTAGGTAACCTTATGCATGTAAGATCTTAAGTTATAATTACCGATACCATAGCGATGTGCAGGTACAACCAATCATAATGATAATCCAGATCAACCAAACCATCACCAAAAAAAAAAAAAAAAAAAAAAAAAAAAAACAATTTCGAGACTATAGACTATATCCCTCTCTCTCTGTCTCGGGATATTTTAAAGATTGAATTTCCTAATGTCTAATTATGATGAATACAAGTAAATTTCACGATTAAGAGAATTGAGAATTGAAGATTGAAGATGCATCTAGATTCTAGAAGTGTTGGGGATAGCTATTATATACTGCTCTCGAATACTTGAGTATCCTGTACAAGATTCAAATTTGGCAGTCAGTTAGTCCCTTGCTGATTTGATTGATTTCCACCATCACCCCGGATTTTTGTGCTCGTGATGGGATGGATGGATGGATGGGATCCGGGATGGTTGCTGTGATTTGTAGGTACTGGGTAGGTAGGTATCTGTTGTGCGACGATTACTCTGTACGGAGTATGGAAGATGTTGGTTGGTGGGGAAATTGATAATATAAACATAATGGGATTTAGCGAAAAGAACTTTATTATTATTCTTATTATCCTTTATAATTACAATGATTATTTTTATAAAAGAGATGTTATTATTATTCAAATTCATAAAAGCCCAAAAGAATAAAAATAAAAAGAATTTAGCCAAGTAATTCTTAATACTTGTATAGGCAACACCGAGATATTTAATCATTTAATGGCCAGGAAGTTTGGAACCAGACTGACTTATCCGGAAAAGAAAGTATTTCTCCACCCACTCCTAAACTCTGGGACATTGATTTTCTTGGTGAGTGGGGATGAGTTGGCAAGCTAGCGAGCCATCCCATCCCATCCCATCCATCGATCGATAACTAGAAATCTATTTCTTCGATGGATTTTTCTCCTTATTTCTTCCGGCTTTTATCCTGCTGACTGTTTTGGAGGATGGATTGATACGGTAGGGTTATTGATTTGGTTTGGTACTCCTTAGCGCTTTTCTAGTTGCCGGTAGAAGTGCTCTGTGAGATTACCCCTGACGCTACTGTGCTGCGTATGACCGAAGAAAAGCTTCCCGACTGTAATAAGCATAAGCCACTTGACGGAGTATAACTTCACAACTTCAATATCTATTAGAAGAATAAGGGGAAATTGACATTTCTTTTCGGATGAAAGTATAAAATTCTTTAAACCAATAGCATAAACGTTCATCATGTATAATCTTATCCGTCTTGGCCATGAGATTAGGTATGATGTATTTATGTAAGTGAATTATTCTCTTGTCAGTTGTTCATCAGGGGAAATGCTTGTGAATCCGATGAAATATGATCAGATTCTAATCATCATTTTCTTGTCTTTCTCTTCTCTTCATCCATCATAGGGGATTATTCTACCTATCTAACGTTCTTTCTTTTACTTTCTTCTTTCACCCACCCACTCCCTCTTAGTGAGTATTGCCAAGTAAATACCCTAAATTATAACAGTTTGTCTGATCTTTGGGAAATCAATGAATGGATCCTAATTCCCGGTTATGATCGACATCGTATCTTAAATAGTCTTGTCCGTAAATTAATCGTCGCTTTGATCCAATCACATTTCATCTGTACCTGCATCTTTTAGATATAATCTAAGCTCAATACGATGTTAGTCGATTCTCAAAATGGACAGAGCACTTTAACGTACCTTCCTCTGCAGTTGCATGGTCTAGACGTGGGTAATGATCCACTTTCACGGCACTCGGTATAAGATCCGCAATCATCCCAAAGTCATCATAATCTCTTCTTTCTTCACCCTCTCTCACTCCAAATCACTTTCACTTTCTAATCCTTTTGCTTCACTGCAGTAATACCCGACTTTTGGTCAATTACATTCGTTCGTCGTACAGACAAATCAACTTCAAAAACTACAACAACACCTCTACAACTCTACCCGTCCAATCTATCAACTCGATTACTTTAAACTACATAATAAATTCCAATCTAAATCCTTCAATATGCAATTCTCAACCGTCGCTATCATCTCTGCTCTCGCAGCATCCGTCGCAGCAACCGGAAACTCAAGTGCCCCAGCAAATGCTACAATGCCTGTTGTCTGGGTTACTGATGTTGTTACTGCTTTCACCACCGTCTGCCCAATGGCTACCACTCTCTCTTTCAATGGTGTAACTTACACTGCCACCGAGGTAATTATCTCCATACGAAACATCAAAAAGGGTAGTTCGTGTGGTCGATTCACAGAAGAAACCACACGACTACGACATTCTGGATTTCAAGATTGAGTTACTGAAGTACATGAACTAATATCGTTCACAGAGTGAGACTGTCACCATTACCAACTGCCCATGTACAGTTTCCAAGCCAGTTTACACCACCTCTTCCGTCATCTGCAACGACTGGTATGTATCCATAAATTCAAAGCCAAACCAGAGCGAACAAAACTAACATTTCTTAGCACTGCTGCTCCAACTGCCCCAGCCAGCTCTGCACCAGTCAGCTCCGGCCCAGCCTACGGTAACAGCACTGCTCCAGCACCAACCACCCCCGTTACCGGTGCAGGATCCGTCGGAACCAGCTCCCCATCCGAACCATCCGCTACCCCATCCGGACCCCTCACCATCAACACCAACAACGGAAACCGTGTCATGGCATTCTCCGGTGCCAGCATTGCTGGTTTCCTCGCTGCTGCTGCTTTCATCTTGTAAGCTTTTTGAAATGAAAAGCAATCCCAATGCATCTCTTTTCCCACATATTCACGAACACACGAAGATATTTCTTCCGAGATATATAATCTAGTTCATGGCGTACATTTGGGATCAAACAAAAAATGCATTGTGGAAATGAGGAGGAAGGGTTAGGGAAATGTAAAGATTTATTAGACAGTGCGAATCAATGGGTACAAATATAGTTCAAATTGATTTAATGTGGGGAGGGGGGAGGAAAGGGAGGGGGATTCAAATACTCATGACGATGGTGTTTTACTTTACACTTTATTATATATATGTGAGATAGGAAGGAAAGCAAGTACAGGAATGGAAAGGAAGTAAAGGAATGGAATGGAATAGTTCTTGTTTTTTTTAATTCATGATGAAATTTTATCTTCTTCTTGTGAGAGCTTGTGAGAGGAGAGAGAATGGAATATACATATTATAAGATTACTGTATTATCGTCTCATATTTCTTTCTAATAAGTAATTGATTGTATTATATAATTTTAATGTTTTATATCTTTATCTTCATCTTGCATATACTTTATACTATATACATCTCGCACTTCACAACTTACAACTTATAATCTACACATTTCATCACTTATACTTCATTGCTCGCCCTTTACCTCTTATATTTTCACCTCTCATCCTTTATATTTCACAACTTACACTTTACATCTCATATCATACACTTCACATCTCATATCATGCACTTCACACAGTGACACCATTCAAATTTACCAAAAAGAAAACCCTGAAAAAATCCCTGAAAAACTTACACATTTTCAAGTTCTAATACAAACTTAAATAATATTCAATAACACTATTTTCAATATCTGTTAAAAGGAATGACCTTACACAGGGAATAGTGGGAAGCTGATAGGGCAGAACTGAGGCTATATTGGCCTTTTACATGAATCACCCATTTTCTTAGTTCTGTTACAACGGCTATCTTCTATGCCGCGTCACATGACTAAACCAAGGTAACGTGATTAAAGTCACGTTATGGACCGCTGAGGAACGCTGGCTGTCCAAGACCGCGCAGCGGTCCTGACTAGCCATAGGCATGAAGGTCTATATAATCAAGATGGATTTCCTTTGTATAGAGCTTCGTGCTCAAGATCAATCATTTAGTATACTCTACTATTAGTTACGAATTGCATATCATTATTGTCATTACTTTAAGTCCCTGCTTGACGCCTAGTTATAAACCTACTTCGAGAGCCTAGAGCACTTCCACGTGATCTAGACGGCAAACCTCGTAACAAGTTCTACGGAAGTGCAAAGCTCTCCTACAGAGAGCTTCTCAATCTAGTCCTAATAGGACTAGTGCCCTGTGCACGTGCTACGCAGGAACCATTCACTTTAACAATATCCAATAAAATCATTACCAATTAAAAAATTTTCAAATATATTAAGCTTTATTCAAGCTTATAAAAAGATATTAATTAAAAAAATTTCAAATATTGAAAAAATAAATATAGTACGGATTCAAAAAAAAAAAGATGAAAAAATTATTGACTTTGATGTTGGTTTCGCTGAGTGTGTGGTGGGTAGAGTAGAGTGTGACGGAAAAGTCGTAAACGGAGTCAATTCAATTACTTAGAATCTAAAACTAAAGAACTAAGAAGATTCTAAGTAAGAAGGTCTTTATATACAGGGCTAGTGCACGTGAGCCACTAGTGGGATAACAACCGTCACGTAACATAGAGTAGATTGTAGAATTCTGTTAAAGTGAATGGTTCCTGCGTAGCACGTGCACAGGGCACTAGTCCTGTTAGGACTAGATTGAGAAGCTCTCTTACAGAGAGCTTCGCACTTCCGTAGAACTTAGAAGAGAGATTAACCAACTAGACCAATATTACCTCAGTTCTGCCCTATCAGCTTCCCACTATTCCCTGTGTGAGGTCATTCCTTTTAACAAATTCTTGTATTTTCTTGCTCTTGTTATTGTTATTGTATGTTGGATGAATGCTATGTTATGTTTATATTAATGTTTATGTTAATGTTAATGTGGGAGAAGGTATAGTATAGTATAGTGTATATATGATCTGATACTCTTCTTGATAATCTTACAATACGATGGGTGGAGTTAAGTAAAGTAAATCCACAGCTGGAAATTTGGCACAATAATTCTTCCATCATACAGTACAAGGCACAGTGGAGTGGTGTGAAGCTTAAAATAAACACCACTAATACACAGTGACTGCGAGTTACAACCGGGTAAATTCTTAACTTTTCCCCCAGAACATGCTCTTCAGTACTCTATTCTACTCTAAACCTTCCACCTGATTATTGTACATTAAAATTCTAAGTAACCTCCAATCCTATACAAGTTCTTCCTCAAAAGCAGCAGTGAGATCAGCTTCTAATTCCGCTTCAAGGTCAGCATTAAAAGCAGCATCAAAATCAGCTTCCATAGAATCTTCAAAGCCGATCTCTGCTTCAGCTGCTGGGGTATTATCAGGGCTTCCTCCTAATTGATCTGTTCCGACTTCCTTCTCATTATCATCATCTAAAACAATAGTCTCTATTTGCTTTGGTGCTTGCATCCATGCCTTAGATGCCGTTCCGAGTGCTACTCTTAAGGTATCCCGTGTTTCCTTAGTATTATTCAAGGGTAAGTGATTCCGAGTCTTCTTCTTGGTAAGTGGTGGTAATGAAGCCCATCTGGAACTCGAATCTTGTTGAAGATCTTTTCCAGCAGCAGTAAGACTAGGTAATGACTGGCGACGATTCGAATCAACGAATAACAGAGGAGTAACTGCTGGTTTATCGGTCATATCTCTTGTACGCTTCAATGACTGCGTATTTTCTGACATGGCGGGACCATCTTTTTCAAAGTTCCATGATGAAATAGCTGCATCATCATCGAGGTATTTTCGACTTAGCTCATGTGTCTTTGTTTTGCATTTGGAACATCTTTCTCGTCTTCTCCAAACCTTTGCCAGTAAATAGAATTCCTTCTGAATGTGATTGCATAGTTGACCATTTTTATTATAATTTAGACATACCCAAGAACGATCGTGTTTAGGATCTGTTCTGAGCTGTGTAAGAAGACCCATTGCTCTAGTCTGTAAAGCTTCTTGAGCTGTTGCATTATCTTGATATTCGGTGATTGTTTTTTTCAAAGCATTTTCTTTAAGCGCAGCTTGACGTCTTTCGTTGAGCATCTTTTGCTTCAATTCTTCTACTTCAATACTTCGTGCTGTCAAATATGTTAGTAAGTGCTCAAAATTGAGTTAATTATGATGAACTTACCAGGAAAGATAATGTTGAAAGCTTGTCTAAGTTCCGCATCCATCTTAATCTTGTTCTCAAACTTTTCCATGACTTCTCTAAGCTGAGGTTTAATCGAACTCCTATCTAAAACTGGCGAGGATTGTTGAAGGTCTGTATTAGAGGTTGGTGGAGTTGGGAGACAGAGTCTCGTGGCGTGTCCTGTAGGTTGTTGGCTAGCTTGAACTGAGCCTTCTGAGACAGATGCAGGTTGTTGGTTGACCGGTGGTTGAAGTGGCGTAAAACCAGGATTTTGTTCGGGAAGAAATTCAGTAAATGATTGCCGCTGTTTATGTGAATGTTGAGGTGAAAATTGATGACCAGAGACATTCGAGTCAACTTGCATTTGCGGACTTTGCAAGATGGTGGGCCCTAGAGGAATGCCAGCAACTCCACAAGGTTGTTGCTGAAGCATTTGTTGAGATTCTGGTATAGAAACAAGGTGAGTTGATGAAGCAGTTTGAAAGATTTCTGGAGTAGTGATTGCGACTGTAGATGATTCCGAAAGGTGGATATTAAGTGAAGAAACCGGACTGATGATTGGTATGGTTCCAAGGTTTGTACCCTGACCATTGAATGGTGTGTTTGGGAGGTCAATGTTAGAATTTTTCAATCCAGATGGTGGTTCCTGAGAAAGAAGTGATTTTTGTCCAGTCGGATGCTGAGTAATTTGGCTTGTGACCTTAGGGGTAGTGTTCGACGACGAGTTTGGCTCTGCTATCTTTTGATTTGGCATGGCCTGTGGGGAGAAAATGGACAAGGATTCATTGATTGGACTGACAGCTTCTAGAGTCCTTGTTGCAGATGAAGAACTTTTAGTTGAATCGGAATTGAACTTTCGTCTCTTGGCTACTTGTGGTTCGACATAATCCACAGGGCATTTTGGGCCGCTGGCGAACAAATCTTCGATATTACCAGTGTGTTGGAAGTTCTCTGCATCTTTCACCAAGTTGTTTCGGTAGTTATAATCTTCCATAGAGAAAGAATCCCACCATGTATCATCATCTTGGAAGCCAGAAGAATTCTGGTTATCGCACTGCTCAAAGGAAGGAGGTGTAAGTCCAATGAGCAAAGAATTTTCAGGAGCATAATTACCTCCAATTCTATCAAATTCATTCCGAACCACAGCCATTTCAGGTACGTTCTCCATCTTGAGATATCTTGAGGTCTCTTCGATGTAATGTGCTAACAACTGCCTCGAGTCGCAAGAATATATTCTACCACGAAAGCACGTCGGTTTGAGTAGATATGCTTGACACTATACTTCCGAACACACTGACTGCAAGCAATCTAAAATAACAAATGTTGGACGCCAGACTTTGTCAGAAACAGCTTGTGGCAATAGCCTGTGACCCAGTTGGGTAGTTTGTACAAATGTAGGTTTGGCTTGGGAGCCTAGAGATATTCAAACTCACAACTTCAATATTTACTCGGTTGTTCTTCTTCTTCAGCGTGAAAAGAGCTTTTGATGAAGTCAGCTTTGTAATGTTTGAAGTTGTATAATTTAAAACTCTTTTAGAAAATGATCCTTGGGAAGTATCATATCTGAAAGTAAACATCATGACCGTAGTTGTAGCATCAAATTCAAAAAGTTTTAGCTCGTTGCGTGATCACGTGACAGAGTTCATTTTTAATTGGCTCAAGCTTTTATCATGCAAGGCTTACTAATAACACCAGGTCAAATGAACGGCCGATGGTAATTTCTCGGGATATCATTTTGATCTAATCATCTGAATAAAGAAGGCGGTCAATTTTAAATCAAGCTTTAGTAAAAGAGCTCCTAACGTCACTGGCTGTATTGCAGGTGTAACACTTTAGAATTTCTTATATATTTCTTTGCAACCACTCTGTCTGGAAGGTGCTATTGCCAATTCAAACTACTGTGGTTACTTCTTTCCTATTGTATTTCTCTTCATTATTGATCGGTTTAATTGATATATTAGGTGAAGATATGTCTGTAATTCTGTGTACTGGTAAGTAATACTCAAATACCCAATACTCACTCTTTCCTTCATCGGACTGGTATCACAATCTTCAGATGAATTGTTGCTTTTCAAAAGCAATTGGGGTGAACTTGTTTCTTTGCCTCTATACGCATCACTCTTCCTTTTGCTCTATCTCTTCTTCCGACCAAAAATATCATCCATCTCAAAATGGCATATCTACCCGCTTTTGAAAATGGCCAAACTGACACTCTTTGCATTCTTGTTACAGCTGGCTATGACCATACTATCAGGTAAATATTACTCTTGTGCGCGATTCATAATAACACAATTTACTGAAATTCTACCACCATCAGATTTTGGGAAGCCCTCTCTGGTATCTGTTCTCGAACAATTCAACACCCTGATTCTCAAGTCAATCGATTATGCATCTCCCCCGATAAGCGTTTTCTAGCTGCAGCTGGCCACCATACAGTTAAACTCTACGATATTAAGTCAACAAATCCCAACCCACTTCTCACATTTGAAGGACATACAGGAAATATTACAGGAGTCGCTTTTCATTGCGAAGGAAAATGGATGGTGACAAGTTCTGAAGATGGAACCGTTAAGATTTGGGAAACTCGAAGTGGCACTGTTCAACGAAGTTATAGTCATGGCTGTCCAGTCAACGATGTAGTGATTCATCCAAATCAAGGTGAAATCATCAGCTGTGATCGTGGAGGCAGTGTTCGCATTTGGGATCTTGCAGAAAATAATTGCTCTCACCAACTTATTCCAGAGGAGGACGTACCTGTTTCTAGCGTCACCGTTGCAACTGATGGATCAACCTTGTGTGCTGGTACTAATTCTGTAAGTGAATTCCCAAGCACTTTTAGAATTATGCTAACATCTGTGCAGGGCAGCGTTTATGTTTGGCAGCTTCTTCAGTTCCGTGAGAAGACACAACTTATGCCAATTACTCACTTCAAGGCTCATAACCAATACATCACCCGTGTTCTACTATCACCAGATGTCAAGAAGCTCGCAACCTGTAGTGCCGATCATACCGCCAAGATCTGGGAGGTAGACTTTACAGCTCTTGCTCCAAACCCAAATCAGCCACAAACGGAAGCAAGAGCATTCAATCTTGAGTCAACTTTAACTGGTCATCAACGATGGGTTTGGGATTGCGCTTTTAGTGCTGATTCTGCTTACCTTGTTACTGCATGCTCCGATCATTATGCTCGACTTTGGGAATTACATAGTCAATCGGTTATCAGACAATATAATGGTCATCATCGCGGTACATTGATCCAAACATTCCCGTCCATTGCTTCATCTGATCATTCAAATTTAGGACTTGTTTGCGTTGCTTTGAACGATTATTCCGAAGCTCGTTAATTCGCATCTACTTGCTTGCATGGATTTAGGCGTGCCATTTTCAACCGGTTGCGGGAGTTCTAGGATTTATTATAATCATTGCATTTTCGTGGGGTTATATTGGGTTCGTTGGTACTAACTTTTAGTTAATCTATTGCTGGTAATTTCTATGCATGGCTTTGGCGTATGTATGTATGTATGAACTTTTAGTTCACATGGCGTTGATTCATACCCTTGGATGACTTGCTGAAGTTGATAAGTCAGATTCAAGAGGGAAAATATTAAAGTTTATGAAGATTTGCAAATAAACGTGAAAGTGGGAAGAAAATAATGATATGAGATTGATATTAATATAGAGACTGAAGCCGTATGGCAAGAAACCTATATTACTATTCGTTGATCCATCCATCCATTACTACCAACTCTCTTGCCTCACAGCAAGTTATTATCAACGATATGAACATAATTTCAAGACCTACTGTAAAGCCAGAATATTTATTCGACTAAATAGATTAAGTTTATATCTGTGATTCATATTAAATAAATAGGTAATATTAAATAAGTTTATTGTATTATTATATTACTATATTGTTATATTTTCATAAAGATATACAAACATGTATATATATATACAAGGAAATCTGTGAGGAGATTTGTAACTCGTGGATGCGAATATAATATAGTATTATACCTAATGAATGATTGATGATTGATGATTATTGATTATTGATCTTATTTTGTTTTGTTAAGAGATTTAAGGGTATGGATGTGCTTAAGCTAGGTAGGGTTGAGAGAAACTTTAAGAGATAGTTTGGGAGGAAAAGAAAACAATATAGAAAGGAGGAAGGAAAAGGAAAAGGAGAACGGGGACATGAGCATATGGTAAATGAGAATATAGGAAATTTCAGATGTTAAGTAGGAATTAAAAGACAAAAACCAAAGTGAAAGTAAATAGATCATTGGGTATTTCCTATCCTATCCTATCATATCCTCCTATCCATCCATCCATTCATCCATCATATCCATGCATTATATCATATCATATCATACCATATTTATGCATCCTATCCATCCATTAAACTCCCATCCCATAACTATAAACGCCGAGTAAATACATCCCCTACATAAATCCATCCATCAATGCACGCAAACACGCATGCAATCCCCACGCTCAAGAAGCAGCACAAGCCAAAACTTTTACTACAGAATCCAAGTTTTCACCCCCTAGATTCTAGTAAACCTCGTGACGTTACTCGCAACACTATAAACGCTACTCCTAGGAGCCGGAGGCGGTCTCAAATGCGCAGGATGCATAGCTGTGGGTGGTCTTTCCACACCGGGAACAATAGGTGAAGATCTGTCGTTTGCTGGGGGAGTTTGATGATCGTAGCTGTGTCCCTCTTCTAAATCAGGATGGAAAGGTTTAGGTTCTGAAATAACGGGTTTGGAAATGAGGGAACTGCGGAGAGGGAGACGGAATGGGAAACGTGATTTACGACGTTCGGCGGGATTGCTGTAGTAGGAGGGAAGATCTTGGTTGAGGGAGGCGGGGAGGGAAAGGCGTTTTTCGTAGGGGTTTGGGGGAGTGGTGGCGCCGTGACTGCGGATTTGACGGGCGGTTTTGTCTTTGGTTGTGAAGACTAGGGACTAGGATTATCATTAGTAAGTTATATAAAAGAGAGTAGGGGGGGAAGAAAACTTACAGCAATACAGTTAATGGCCCCCAAAATAGCCGAAAGACACCCAGAAGAGATAACTACACGCCACATAGGTAAACCTAAGTTTTGAACAGATGTAGCGTTCTTATTCAAGTTTCCAAGGATGTTAAAACCTAGGGCTAACATGGAAAGACCGAGAAAAAGAAAGCCATTGTGGGGACAGAGAAGGGGCCAGAAGGTTTCAAAGTATTTTTTGAAGAGTGACAGTTCGGAGACAATGAGGAAGATACCGATGCTGCTGGTTATGAAATGAGAGACGCCGTCGAAGAAGTAGAACTAGATGAGATATTAGTAAGGTTTTGATGTAATAAGGGGGAAGAGGAACTTACATTAGAGGTTTTGACGGTCATGACGAGCATAATCCAGCTGGCTGCGATAACATCGAGGAGTGCTATTATATTCATGACGCGAATGGCGTTAAGGATAAGAAAGCCTCGACCTGCTTGCTTGATATTTAACATGATGATTGTCTTATGTTAAAGAACGAATGTGTATAAGTTCCGAGTCTATAAGTGTGTTAGCCAAGGGTCTTGAGTAGTATCCAAGATGATAGAAAGAAAGAACTTACAGTTGGAGCAAGGAAGTGTGATATTAAACTGCCTGCAGTTGATAAAAGAGTTTCGAAATACTTTCAAAGTATGTAATAGTAAGTTTGTAACTTAGTAAGATTGTATAGTTGTAGTTGTAGTTGTTTGTAGAATTTTAAGAAAGATCGTGAAGAAGGTATAGTAATTTTGAAGGGAAAAAGTAAGAAACAGATTCACAATCTCAAACGGGAGGAAGGAAATATATTAAATAAAATAATTGTTCGTTATTGAGATCAAGACTTCATTATTTGAATAACCCAACAATAGAAGGAAGATATTTTTGAAAAGTCTATTGTCTTTTCATCGACAGTAGATAGAAAGATAAAAAGTGAATGTCTATGAAGATTGAAAGAAGTACACCCAAAATCCTTTGATGCAACTTGACGCCTACAAAACCTTGGTATTGTGGGGTGAATGGAATCTTTATTATTCCATTATTTCTAAAAGTTTAAAGGAAATCCAATAACATCTAGATTACCTATTGATTCTTCGACCACAAAGCACAACCTATAGAAGCCCTTCAGAGAAGGTCCAGAAGCGACAGAAATGAATGGATGAAATATTCAAGTCCCACCATTAAAACTCGGTTTGCTTCAAGGAGAACTTCTCCCAGGCGCGAAAGAGACGAAAAGACGCGCTTGACATCGATCATTGTGGTGCTAAATGACTTGACATCCAATAGAATAAAAAAGCATTGCATGAATTGAAAGCCAAGTCAAATTGAAGTTTGGGATAGGGCTGTTTTGAGATATAAATGTAAAGTTCGAATTATTGGATGAAAATGCTTTGGGTAACCATGTTTCATCATTTGGATTGTGCGGAGTGACAAAAGAAGAACACAAAGAGATTGATGGCCAATTGTTGAGGTTCGTTGAGAAGTACTGTGTTCTTTTTATAACTATATTCGAAAATAGATATAGAAATAATAATAGAAATGAACTTTGTTGTTTTCCTTTGATCTCCATAGGTAGAGAGGCTATCTACAATTTCTGATGTTCTTCAAAAGAAGTCTTCCAAAACTCCAAACACCCATCCCCCAATCATTTCCCATAAATCTGTAAATCTTAACCATATCACCCAAATCCACCAATCAAATCTCTCCCATCCTTTAAGCGAAAACAATCAGATCCTCCGTGTGTATCAATCCAGAACTTTCTTGCATTCATAGGTACCGTACCCGTACAATTCTCTCAGCCTCACCCATCCATCCATTTTATTTTTCTCCATCTGACAACCTCATTCTCCTTCCAAAAGGCCACGCAGGCGCACAAAACACTCCATCCTATCTATCGCGGGCACCCCATCTCTACACAAAACTAAAACGTGCATATTACACTTACCTTTTATTCAAAATGGCCCGAGGAAATCAAAGAGAAAAGTCCCGTGAGGCGAATGCTAAGAAACAAGCTCAACTTGCTGTATGTTCTCTCTCATTTCCTAAGTCGTCTTACCTATCTTCAAATTCCCCTCGAAAAATCATCTCTTAAGAACCGCACAAATCTCCTCCGCCTATCTATCCACAAGCACTCACTAACCTCGCCTTTACAGAAAGCCGGAAGCGGTATGTCGAAATCGCAAATGCAAGCCGAGAAAGATAAGACTCGAGTTCTATTAATGGAGAAGCAAAAGAAAGGTAGCCAGCTCCTCTTTCCTTTCTTTGCTTTCCTCGTCTCAACATCCATCCATATCTATCCATATCCATATCTACATCTGAATACCCATACATAACATAACTAACACCCAACCCCCCAGCCGACGAAAGAAAAGCAGCCGAAGCCCTCGCCGCCGCACAAGGAAAGAAATAGATATTCGCTACTCAATAACAATATCTAATCTTAACCATATCTCCATCTTCATCTTCACCCTCACCCACACCGACCCATCCACAACCCACAGATGGAGAAAATCGACCAAAAACCAAGAATCAAAGACACAACCCAGAGAAAGCAAGGAGTTTAATTACAGGAAGGGACGAGGAGAATTTCCAGGAAATTTTCGGGCCGATTTCGACTGATATCGATACATTTCATTTAATACTTTTTACATTTGGGACCCTCAAGGTGTTGAGCGTGGAGCAATTCGGTCTTTCTATTCTAGAATGCGTGAGGTTTTTCGTGCATGCATGTGCTGGCTGCGTCATTCGTTGTTGCGTTGTGTGGGTGATATTTATATGGGTAGGTATGCTTTAATAAACTCTTTTGAAATTGCTGTGGTGATGGTTTTTTGAGTGCGATGAAAGATAGATGATTTGTGGGAATGTGGATGCTGCGAATTGGTTCACTCTAGATGGCATATCTGAATTTTTGAACTAGACAAGATTCGCTGCTCTAAAAGCTATGGCAGACTTAAATTGATAGATTCAAATGAGCCGTTATGGCCACTTCCTATACATGAGAATCACCACCTTTATTTCCTGTAGGATCTTTCATTTCTGCTTCGCTTGCACTGACGCTCAACCCTGAATTGGACCGCGTGAATCTTGTGATTTGTAGGTTGATACTCTATGAACAATTTTGTCTATGCATAACTCTTTTCTATGTCCACCAAATCTGATGTATAGGCCCACTGCAATCTATGTATGAACTTGATAGCTTTAGGCGCTCCAAAGAATTCCCTGATAGCAATCATTACTGCCATGCTCGAACAATCCGACATCAGCCTTCTACCCTGTACCATCTACAGCAGAATCCAAGCCCTCTAAGCCTCCGTTCCAAAAATATACTCCTCCAACTCCCTATACGCAACCTCCAAATCATCATTCACAATGATCTTATCATGCACACCCTCCGTCTTCGAGTACTCCAATTCGAGCTTTGCCTGTGCCAAACGTTTCTGAATCGATTCTTCCTTCTCTGTTCCTCTTCCCCTGAGTCTCTTCTCCAATACTTCGTATGCAGTCATATCTGCTGTGGAAGGAGGAGATATAAATATATATCTAGCGGGGAATGGAGGGTTGAGGGAATGAATTTGTTTAACTCCCTATATTCAGTTAGTATTATCCCTTATCCCTTCATCAGAATCTGAACTTCAAGCACGCAAGCACTCAACGAGTAGTAAATATCACCCCCTTCCCCCTCAAACTCCCATTCCAACCAACAAAAGAAAAAGAAAAAATAACCACAAACCTCCATCTCAATATCCAACACAACAATCTTCCCCTCCCCCCTCTTCTCCTCAATCATCTTCCTACTGGTGCCATACCTATTCCCACCAAACATAGCATGTTCAACAAAATCGCCCTTCGCAATCATCGCCTCGAATTCCTCCATCGGCACAAAATAATAATCGACATCGCGTTTTTCTCCCGGACGCGGCGCTCGCGTCGTGTGCGAAATGGAGGTTGTGAAGAGATCGGGATGGTTGGCTAGGAGTCGCGAATAGAGTGTTCCTTTGCCGACGCCAGAGGGACCGCTGATGATGATGGGGTTGGTGGTTGGGGGTGTTGCTGGTGGGTTTTGTTAGGGTCGGGTTCTTTTGTTTTTCCTCTTTTCCTTCTTCTTCACATTCTCTAACTCTCGGTCCTCGATCCTCACTTCCCCCTTCTCAAAAATTCCAAATCCCAAAATTCAACAAAAGAAACCAACCTACGAGACATAACTGCAAATTTAAAAACCACACCCGTACTAGCCTTGCGCAAACAATTCCTAGGTAAAGAAAAAGAAGAAACGAATGTAGAATTTCGTAGTGTACGATGTTTAGTAGACGAAAGTCGCAGGAATTGCGGTTGTAGAAAACACATATGTATATGTACCTAGGTAGAAAAAGATGGTGGAAGGGAAATTATCGTGACGCTTGAGTGGTTGGTGCGTGCTTGCTGGTCGTGCGATAAAGCTGGGGAAACCCCTTATCATTGTTAGCGCTTGGGGGGTTTTTTAGGCCTTTCATATAAAGCCCGCTCTGGTGCGGACCACTGAACTGGGCCTTGAAGCCAGACCTGATATGGGTAAAAGACCGGTCTTGTTGGGCTAAAGCATTAGTCCAATCTACCTAATCAATCTCAAAAATGATGAGAACTAGACGATGAGATGAAGGATCATCCCCTAGTCCTTATAGATTAGATCACAATATATCAATGGCCCTAAGAATCAAAAGAAGATTGAATTATTTACTATTTAAATGCATTCTCTGGATATTAAAGAAAAACGGCTAATTAAGCAAAGGAGAAATGTAGAGATGTTCAGGTTAGAAAAGCCCAGCTCTACGAAAGCAGTCCATTAAAATCTCCCCTAACCTGCCTTCAAGAAAATGTCGCTTTTGGCAAATACTATCTCGCCATCATAAACACAACCAATCATCCAAACCCAATCTCAACCTCAATATCATCACCAACTGACCATCATTCATACCTGACCACTTCCTTAATAGCCGTTCATGGTCATTCTCTGGGAATTTCTGCTCAATTCTCTATCAGCTGCTGGACTGATAGGTCTGCTCCCAGCATGTCCTGCAGCACTGCTCTCCTTGAGAGCCAACAACTGCTTAGCACGGAAGGTTTCGTAATGGATTTGAGATGTGGTTTCGATAAGATCTTGGAGATGGGTTCTGGTAAGGAAGTTTCGTAGGTAGACAAATTCGCAGTGATTTTCGTCCTCAACATTGATAACACCCCATCTGTTTTGACGTCCTCGAACTTGTTTGCCTCCAACAATAATATCCTTCTCGGATCCAACGACGGCAAATGGAATGATGTCCTGATATTGTTAGCTTGCTTAAATGAGATCTAAATGTCGTGAAATTTACCTTGATTTGTGCGTTCAACGCTTTCTCTTCCTCATCAAACTCATCATTCTCGTATGGGAACATCTTCAAGTTGTGGAAAGCGAACTCTTCCTTTATACGCTCCTTGAAAGCAGCACGCTCCTCCAAAGTCAAAGAATCTGACTTGGCAATAACTGGTACGACATTGACAACATCTGAAAGCTTCTTCAAGACCACAATATCAATTGGCTTCAAGGCGTGGCCAGAAGGTTGAATGAAGAACAAACAACAGTGAATACGTGTATCTTGAATATATCTTTCTCTTTGAGCTGTAAGTTCCTTTCGGAGGTATGCAGAGTGTTGGTCCTTAATGTACTTGACGATTGGATCCCAGCATCGATCGTTGTTTACTTGATCTCCATAACCTGGGGTATCGACGATATTAAGTCGCAGCTTTACGCCATTCTCCTCGATGATGTGGGAAACGGTTTGAATTTCGGTAGTAGATCGTACTGCCTCATCGGGGGTGAGTCTTCCCTTGGAATCGATCAAATGTGAGGCGAAGATGGTGTTGATGAGGGTGGATTTTCCGAGACCGGTTTGTCCTACGAGTAAATCTATTAGAAAAAGCCCTCAAAACAACTCATCAACAAAATCCTAAAGCGAACTCACCGACGCAGATGACGTTGAACTGGAAACCGCGTTTCAAGAGCTTGCGCTCAATTTGTGAGGTGATACTATCGAAACCAACATGGCTTTTTGGGAAAACGGAAGGTTGAGGAGCGTGTCTATCAGTTATTGTCGACATTTTGGAAAGAGTGTATTGATTTGAGTCTTTATAAACGAGGGTAGTATCTTTGAATTGAAAAGAAACAAGAGACGAAGGGATTTCTTCAAAAGTAATATGCAATCAAAAGCGGTTGATCATGAACAAAGGTTAGGGAAAGAGGTCAGTCTCCAGATTATTTTGGCGATATGGCATGGACTTCAGGGGAAACTAATTGGGCAATTATAAGCTAATCTTAAAATGCGCTAGCTTATCTGCATGTGGAAAGTAAACTAAAGTAAAGCATCCGAGCCAAAAGATTCAAGATTTTAATAGATTAGTGTCGACAGCGAGGTTGAGTACCGATAATACCACTTTAATAATTCGTGGGCATCTCAATCATAATGGCGTCTGTTCATACTACTACCTCGTCGATACTTTCGTCATTTCTTCCACGATTAGCACCTACAACAGCCACTTTCGCAACGAGATCAACCACTTTATATTCACGGCAATTATCCCACCCATTACTCCCAGTACTCACCATCCCATCCGCGATACACCTCAACATCCCTGGATTTTTGGAAGGATTATGGGAGGGAATATTGAAGGCCGTGCCCAAGAAGAAGACTTCACATATGAAGAAGAGACATAGGCAAATGGCAGGCAAAGGATTACAAGATGTTACAAACTTGAATAGATGTTCTGCTTGTGGTCACATTAAGAGAGCACATTTATTATGTCCTTATTGTGTTGCTGGTAAGGAATTTTTAGACGGTATAGCACAGGGGCCTGGTTAACGGTGACATAGAAATCAAGACTTTATTCAAGACTAATGCACATGAGGAGAGATTTGCCGAAAAGCAAGCCAGAGCAGATGAGATTGCTGAACAGAAAATAAGGATAGAAGCAGGAAAAGTAAGGGCTGCAGAGGAGCAGGTAAAGAAAGAAGCTGAATTGGCGGAGCTGGAAACCAAGCGGGCAGAGAAGAAGGCTGCTAAGGATGCTGCGAGAAAGATATATGAGGAGAAGAATCCTAAGCAAGTTATCGGCCAGAGGAGAATTGATTAACTGAAGATAAGTGGTGGGGAGAGGAGGGCGGAATAGGATTTTTGAGCGGCTGCTTGTGGTGTTCTAGAAGATGGCGACGATCATGTATGGCATCTGTAAAGGGTTTTGATATTGGGAAGAGATCCTGATTGTGAGGTATATTTCCTCAGAAGTGGTAGGAATGATAGAACTGTACAATCAAAATAACAATATTTCTACCACATTATCAATTATTCTAAATCCTATTCTAAATATTACGTGAAATGTGTTTGTTGAAGCTCACTTCACATGTGAGATAACATTTTCTTCAACCCCGCCAAAGCTTCCATAGCTTCAGCTTCGTTTACATCATCCACCAAACACAATTCTTCTCCAACAATCATATACCTAGATTTTCAAATGAACCGGTGACAATGGTATGTGAGCCCTAAAATACCTCCATCTTTACTCTAACAATGTAAAGTCTAAACAATACTTGACGACGCACACGATCGATAATGGTAAGTCCATCCAAATACCCCTCCAATCGCACCTCCACATCAACCATCCCTTACCACATCCCCCTCAACTCTAGCACTATCCTAACACAACCACCAGCCCACAAAACCGACATCTTCTCTCTCGCCGTCACGCCCACCTCCATCCTCTCCGCCTCGGGCACATCAACCCTCAAAATCCACAGCACGCTCACCACACCCCCCTCCCTCACTCAATCACTACCCGCGCATAAACTCGGCTGCCACCACATCTGCACCTCGCGATCTGGAACCGTCGCTGCATCCGCCGGATTCGATGGTACAGTGAGTATTTGGACCAATAGCGAGTCTAAGAGCGAAAACGCCGCGGAAGAATGGTCGCATCATGGTTATGTTCTCGATGGTAATAAACCAGGGGAGATATGGGCGCTGGCTTTAAGTGCAGATGGACAATTTCTTGCGGGCACAAATGTAGATGGGAAGATTGGGGTGTGGGATTTATTACAGGTGGGTGAAGAGGGGAAAGGAGAGAATGCGGGAAAGAAAAGTGTAGGCAAGAAAATTCGCGAGTATGAGACTAAGGGGAGTTTTGGGTTATGTGTGGATATTAGTGCGGATGGAAGGTTTACGGCTAGTGGGCATGAGAATGGGGGTGTTTATGTTTTTAATAATGATACCGGGAGGATGGTACATAGTTTACCTGGTGAGTTCTTTCAGGAGATGGAGCAGCCAGCAGAAGTAGGAGATAGGACTAACACAACCAGGTCTCGTCCAACCAATCCGCACCATTGCCTTCTCACCCCTATCTACGTATCTCGCAGCCGCTGGAGACTCCGCAACTATAGCCCTCTACTCCGTTGCCCATGGCGAACAAGTCGCTAACATGACCGGCCACACTGCATGGATTTTCAGCATAGACTGGAGTTTTACAGGTGAGTACCTGGCTAGCGGTGCATGGGATGGTAAAGTAAAGGTATGGAGTGTAGAGGGTAGAAATTGTGTAGCTACGCACAGTGAGACGGATAAAGCGCTTTGGGCCGTGAAATGGTTGCCAAAAGTACAGGGCAGGAGCGAGGCGTTTGTTACAGGGGGAGCAAATGGAAGTTTGAGTTTCTATAGGGAAGCTACTGGTGGTTGAATGATGGTATTATGATAGTAAATGTCCTGTGGATGAATGAAAGAAGCTTTGCTTCGACTGCTGATTAAAGAGCATGGGGACGGGGGACAAATCTCTAATAGTATGCATACATCATCAAGGACATGCTACTTAGTATTTAAGACATAAACAAAAGTTCTAATAGATGGCTATCTATTTGGCTACAAGTAGAGGCAGCTACATCCTACATACTAGTATTATATAGCTAGTAAAATCACAAAAATTAAAATCAAACAAAGATCCTGCAAGTTACGGATCATCTCTCTATTATTATCTAAGGATGTACACCTCCAAGGCAAAGCAAAACAATGAAATAATGACAAAATATCACCCTCAAATCATCTAAGAATGAAATGAAGAGTACCATCTACTCTTCATTCCTCACTCCTCACTCACTCCTCACTCTCCATAGGTATTCAAATATCCCTTCTACAACATTCTTCCTTTCCTGACCTACTAACCTTCCTCATAAGGCTATCTATCTATTGACTCAACCAACCGCCAGTTCAACACCATATTAATATAACTTACAGGTATTTCCTCCTACTTCCCCTTCTCAAATATAATTAATTCATCTTGAACGAATGTAGGTGTATGAAGGGTATAGATTATGATATAGTAGGTATCCTTAGACACCTATCTATCTTGAATTACAAAATATCTACTTGCTTCAGTTAGAATCTTCGCAACACTGTAGATGTACAGAAAGAATATTTGATAGTTTTGAGAAAACTTAATATGTAAAGCACGATTTAGATTAGATTAGATTTTTCGATTATGCTCATCTTAAACTTCGCTCGTCTGTCTAATAAAGTGCAGAAAAAAACTATCCTGGTATCTCTGTGATGTAATATGCACAAATTTATCTTTATCTTCATCTTCATCTGATCTAGAAATCTGCATTTCCTCCTCACTCACCTCAGTTCTCAGCTTCCGCACCCACATCTCTAAATTTCCCTTTCCATCCTCAGATCAGAAAACTACTCCTTCTAGAACAAAAAAGCACCAACTAATCCAACGACACCTAAAAATCCAGGAACAGCTAAAGCTCCAGCAGCATTTCCAGCAGCGGTGACAGTTGCAGCAGCAGCACTTCCTGTTGCACTAGCTGTCGATCCACTCGTACCAGTTGCACTTCCGCTACTAGTAGTTTTTGCTCCGCTTCCACTTGCGGTTGCGGTAGCTGAGCTGGATGCTGTTGTTTTGCCAGTAGCTGTGGCTGAGGCGGAGGAGGAGGAGGAGGAGGAAGATGATGATGATGTAATTGCTGTTGTTTAGTTAGCATTGTACTTCTTTTATTTCCTCAGTTATTTCCTATCTAATATCTCCCAAGCACCAAGTCCACAGCACGCATAATTTCTTCAACATATCCCACTACTCCTCCCTCCCTTATATCTCTCTCTAATCCCCTCCAAACCTACACCCCCAAAAAACGTCCCCCTAACCAAAAAGAAAAACTCACTAATTGTAACCCCCGCTTTCTCAAGACAAGTACTCTTATAAGAGCTCACAGCCTCCTCATAAGTTTCCTTTACACATTTCTCTGTAATATTTCCCACAACCGCATTTTCCAACGTTCCGCAAAGAGCTTTCAAATCAGAGGGTGTAGCTTGTTCATTGACGGCCGCGAGGAGACAAGCGGGTGGAGTGGCTGATACCGAGAGAGCGAGAAGGGAAAGTGTAAGGGTGATGAGAGTTGGAGTTTGCATTTTTGCGACTGCCGTGAGTGAGTAAGGTTTGTAAGATTAGGTTTTTGATATGAGTGGAATGAATGTGCTGTAAGGATTGAATCGAAGAATATGAATCGGGAATGAGGGTTAGAAAGTAGGTAATGAGAGGAAAAGAAACCGATATGGGTAAGTTAAAGAACGTCTGTATTGATTGTGTAGTAAAGAGAGGACAGCGGCAATACGCAAAAAAATGAAGAATCTGCTCTGAAAGAAGTAGAAGGTACGAAGTTACAAAAAGATTATTTGAAACACTACAATACCTTCGTGAAAGAAATGAATAAAGGTCGCCAGAGATCCTCCTGTTGTGATTGAACGTGCTAAATGGGGAATGGCGGGGCTTGGCCTGCTTGGCGGGGGATGATTCCCAGGGATTTTGGGGGAGTTGTACACGCTAATTTTAAAGTTTGGGTTTTATTACAGTTAGTGTCAGGTAGGTTAGTGTCAGGTACCGGAAAATTGGTGTTGGAATGATCATTATTCGGAGATTTGGAAGATTTACGAATATATAGAATGTCTCTATATAATGGCATTCTAGGGAGATTCTATCACTAGGTATTTAAATATATATAAATATTCGCTCTGACAATCTAACAACGACATATGTATACATTTAGATTTTAGCATTGAAATGGGACGGACCCAGAATTTAACATTTGATTTAACCTTAGAATTTAGTGAGTGGGGATATGAATAATATTTGAGACTGGAGAATGGACGTAATCTTGCGTTTTGACAATATTCACAATCTCTATTTTATCAAATAACGTTTATGGTAGGAAGAGCCATTCAGTGGAAAAACTGAGTCGATAATGCTAGTAGGAAAATATTGTATTTATTCGTTTATATATATATTGTAGGAGGTATTATAAAAGAAAACTATTAAGACATATCACAATAATTCATACACCATCTCTTATCTTTGACAACTCTGGTCCAACATACGATCCAGTCATATACATGGAAATCCCTCTTTCCCAAGCGTCACGCCTTTTATGGGTGACTGCTATCACCGTCATAACATAGGAAAGTCCCATCCCCAGATTCTAGCGTCATTCTTGGGGTATATCAGGAAGCAGTGCTCTACCATCATACACGCATTCATTTATTTCTCGAGTAAAGACATTGGCATGGAACCTACATGGCTATTAGAATTAATCAAAAAATATGATTCAAACAAAGAAGAAACAATACTGACCAGAAATTCCACCAAACATTCCTACACCCTGTACAGCAGCATCGGGAAAAGCAGCCTGTCCACATAAACAACTACAAGAGCATGTTCCATCAGCACCTGTTGTTCCAGTCCCAGAAGCTACTGTTGTCACTGCAGCAGCTGGTGATGCTGGTGATGCTACAGCACTTGAGGCTGCTTCAGCGCTAGCACCACTGGAAGGAGTTCCTCCTTGAATTGCACTCAGGGTTCCTGTACCATTTTGTGCAACAGCCATAGCTTTGAACATGGCTTGGCTTTTGTTGGCAGTAGGATTAATACTGAAAACCATCCCTAAACCGCAATGACCAGTTTGACGGCAGTAAAACCCTGTGTTCGTATTAGAATTTGTTACCAAAGAATTTACATGCGTTATACTAACATTGAGGAGTATCTGTCATGACTTGCATAGCCATCGATGGAGGAGGATTGATGGTATTGTCCACGTTAGGAACAAACCCAGTATCCATTCCATCAGCCAACTTTTCACACGGTGTTGCAAAACCCGATTGTGTGAGGGAGTGGTTTTTAGCTTCAAAATTGAAAACAACCATATCTCCAATGGCAGCGGAAACTGTGTCCGGCGTATAGACAGTACCAGCCGCACCACCAACTGTGACAGTATGTGTTGCCGCACCCGCTCCTTGAGTAACGGTTTTAGTATCCGTTAAGGTTTGAGTGGCAGCTCCACCACCATTATTCGTCCAGATGATGATGATGTCCTCGCCCTTAGCTTGCACAATTTTAATGTCCTTCTCCTTGACAACAAGCTCCGATGATTTATCGATGAACTCTGGCGTAATCACTCCGCGTCCAACCAAGTCACGCTGAAGATTGCCGGCCAAAGCTAATGGTGCTGCGCATAATGCGGCGATGACTGAAGATCTCATGACTAATATATTAGAGTATAAGGACTGAACGTCGTATATGTATAAGACGAATGTGAAAGAGTGATATGCAAACCGCGCTGCGGAGAAAATTAAACTATGAAAGCTGTCTTGGCTTGTGTAATGATCGTGAATTGACTTAAGTAGTAAAGTAGTCAGTTGGGGAGTGCCTGCTCGTGATAGTATTAATAGGAGACTAAAAGAAGGGTGAATAAAAGTCTTCACAAGTTCAAGAATGATAGAATGAGAGGAAGATTGCACTAGGTCTGGGGAACGGTCTTGATATTAATCCATTCATAAAAGATGTAATAATACGGCTCAAAGACAAAATAAAAGCACTTGCTTCGAACATCCTTAGTCGAAACGATTTGGTGAAGGGGTCGAGAAGCCTCCAGGATTTATCGTACCACTCGGAGACGTACTTGTCCGGCTCAAATTCAACTTTACTGCCATCAGAAAAAGAAAGTTACTACCGGGAGCCCTGATCAGGTTCTATGCCAAAAGTTCCAAAGTTTTAGAAACGAGGTTTGGATGAAGATGTGGTGGAAACCCTTGTCATCAATGCCAAGCCCAAACACAAGATAATTTTTAGTCTTCCATCCCTGTATTTTAACGCCAAAAGTCGCTGAATACCATGTTGACAGCCTATAGCACAGCCTATATTGAAGTCCAATCTTTGCTCCACAGGGACATTTTACCCTGATCCAGCCCTAACATTTGTTGTTTTGGGACCTCCTGTGGCGCGTACCAGATTTGTCTCAGCTGTCATATTGGGACGAAAAGTAACTGGACATGGGATAAATGTCAACGTTAAAATCTTTTTGAAGTTATTAATGTCTGCAACATTAGATTCGATGATGTAAAGAGGCTCCGGGGAGAACTTTGGTCTGATGATTGGTGGGAGACGCACGGAGGGTTGAATTGGAAGGAATCCATTCATCTGATGTTTTCCGGATGCTGGGGTCAGGATGAAAGTAATCATTTCATTGCAGCTATGCTCATAAATGTCTTCGGTAAGGTTGATATCCTATGTAGATTAGAACGGTGGTCGCTCCCCCCCGGCATTGAAGAGTAAGGCGTTCACCATCATCGGTATCGAAAGCAGGACTTCCTATCCCACATCTCATCATAAGCATTAAAGTAAACTCCCCCGGCGATGAAATCGTATGATGATAAGAGACGAGTAACTTCGGTCAATGCGCACAATGTAGGTACCCGAGGTCAATCATGATTCATGAAACCATATAATACATGTCTCTATACCTGCTGTAACATTGGAGCTTCTAAGCTACCATGAAGATCATCCTTCAAACTTTTTGACATCTGCCAGAATGGCACGGTATGGCACAGCTCGGACTTCGTACCGATCCCAGATCTTAATGCTCCCGTTGAATAAGATCAGATGGTTCAAACTATCCGTGTCACAGACACTCGTAATAGCGACGATTGTTCCTACATACGGAATTCGTTCTTATAACTTGTGCTTGTTAAGTGCCCTTATTGGTCTCTTTCTGCTGTTGGCCTTCATAAAGTCCCGTGTAGTAGCCAGCATAGTACCAGGACATAAGTAAATTCTTAAGGTTTTCATCGTGAACTGTATGAGAACTCCACGTCAGCCTGAGCCTTACATGTATCAAGGGCGATTGCACATCTCACCTTGGCCAATTAACTGTGGTGGCAGTGTTGGAGCTTTTGAAGATGGAGGTTGAGATTTGCTCTCTTTTGCTGTACCGGTAGGTTGTTCACCAACCTGAAGGATATAACATTTAGTCAAAATGTATATCAGTGATCGTTTTCAATGCTTACTTTAGGTCTGGTGTCCGTGGGAGTATGATCTTCTATTTTTTCAAACTCGCTTTGCTCAATAACATTCTCCTTCAAATGTTCTTCAACGATCTCCCCACCATCTTCATCCATCATTCCTTCCCTGAGAAAGGTCAGTGATTGACATAAAACTAAAGCGAACTGATGACTTACAATCCATTACTTTGGTTCTCAAACACCTTCAACACATCCTCAACTTTTTCCCCTCGAGCATGAATACTATGATACTTCTGTTTGGTATTAGCAATATCCACATCATCAGTCTTGAATTATTTACCTCATATTCTTCTAGAGCTTCATTCCACGAGTTCACAAGTGTGGAATCGTCCCATATCTCTGCATGAGTACTATTGTTCTGTGGGGCCATTTTGCAATGGAATGGTGATTGTGGTTGGAGAGTGAAAGAAATCGTGGAGTTGAAGGTAGCAAAACTAGCAAAGTGTACGGAAGATATGTTATGCTGCCACAACTAAAATTTATTCAAGGTAAAAATCTGGATTTTTTCAATGATAGTTCTCGCGCTCCTGGCTGATAACTCCATCTACACCACAATGCTTGAAAAGTCGATATCACGTGACTACATGTGACAAGACCAAATCAGATGGTGCTCACTCTCACAGGTGCACAAAATATAGCCATTATCCACTTCAAAACCAGTGGTGAGAAATGGTAAATTTTACATAGAGTACCCTGAGAAGGTCAGAGAGTTATCTAATAGTAAGCACCGGCAGAAGCTGGGTCAATCATATTATTTTCTTCTGTTACACAAACATGCTTCGAATTTTGAATTCATTATTTCATTCCTCAATTTACAAATAACTAAATTTTGATACTCTTATTATTACCCAAGTAATCATGTGCAAACTCCTTAACACGATACATGACATTTAGCCAATGCAAACCCGAACACAATATCCAACCTCCCATTTCCCATTTCCCATTTCCCACTTCCCATTTCCCATTTCCCACTTCCCATTTCCCATTTCCCATTTCCCATTTCCCATTTCCCATTTCCCATTTCCCATTTCCCATTTTCGATGCGCCTTTCCGAATTCTTAAATATAAGCACTAAAATCTCCCTCACTCCCTCTATAACTTTTTCCCATTCCCATCCCATTTCCCCCTCCACCTTTGCCCCTACTAGGTGGCGGACTGGCAACCCCCACACTTCCCCCAAAACTCCCGAGCATAACCACACTCTCCCCACCCTCCCCATGCCTTCGGATCTTCGCCTTCGTACTACTGATCCTCTTATTCTCCCTCGTATCCACACTAATTGGTCTCCTTCCCGCTCCCATTACCATTCGTGCATTAGGGCCTACCATTAGATTCCCTATCGTTGGACTTTCCTCTCGAGCTTCTCTATCCCTTTCGTTTTTGTCTCGCTGAATATTCTGTTTGAGGTCCGTTTCTGTGGAGCGCCGAAAAGAGTGATTTTGAAATGCGCTTTGCGTTTCGGATGCGCCCAGGTCAGGAGTAAAAGGGTTTGGAAGGAAAGGAGAGGAGGGGATGGCGAGTGTATTACTTCTTCCTCTTGCTCCAATACCACCATCAGTACCAGTTCCACTACTCCCTAAACCAAGAGCAGGGAGTTGGGGTACCTGTGGAACTGTCCCCTCGGTTCCATGCCTAATGAAATTCGGCTGCGAATCCACATCCGTGCTTTCACCAATACTTTCCCAACTACCTGCGCTGAATTCACTGGGAAAGACATCGCTTCCCGTCTCCGTTTCTATGTTTGCTTGTCTTACTCCTCTTCCCGTTCCCATTTCCCGTTCTCTTCTATCCATCTCATGAAGTTGTGCATGCCGACTTTGACTCTGCGATACATCCCCCTGACTTTTCGCGTCACCTTTCATCTGCAATTCCTGCATACTATTCGAAACACTCTCAAAACGACTATCCATACTCGCCAAACTATCGCTGCCCTTAAGTCTCGATTTACTAAACGTAGCTTGAATGTAAGAACGTAATTGCCGCGTTCCTTCTTTAGCGCTGGAATAGCCATTAGGATATGTTATTCCCAATGTATCATTATTGATTCCTGTCCCGGCGGCTTTGACTTCATTGCCTATATGTACTTCTTCAGGAACAGTGGGAGAATCCGCATAACTTCTTCTTGCTTTTCGACGGACTGAGGCCATTCCACCACCGCCGAAAAATGGAGAAACGCCGCCGCGTCGGGAGACGGGTCGAGTGTTAATGCCGTTGTAGGACATCCTACTACTTCCTCCCGTCTCCTGTTCCCAGATTGGTGCTGGTGGTCGAGGACTTTTAGGTACTGTTTTGATACTTGTCATTTCCTTGCCTGCAGTTGGTGAAACAGTTGTGTATCCAAATTTTAGGAGATCGGTTGCGGCGGTTGAGTATACACTCGTCGCACTTCGATGTTTATCAGCGTCAGTATCAATCGTGTTGACCGTTCTCCAAGTGCGAGAATTACGCACAAAACTTGGGTGTTGACCATGGCCTATACTTCCCCTATTTCCTGGGGCATTATCAAATGAGGATGATGATTCTCGAGCCCCATGACCTAGTCCACTTATTCTCTTGTCTAAACCGTCTGCCATTGCGAAGTTGAGATTTCTAGTTGTTGATTTTCGATGGGCACGTCTTCTATCGGTATTCTGACCTTGCTTGTTTTGTCGTGGTGCAAGAGGTGCCCGTGCAGCCTTACTCCAGTCTCCTGAAAGCACAGAGAAACTATCCAAGGGAGATGAGGAGAAATTGCTGTCCGATAGGTTCAATATTGTACCATCTGAAGCATTGGTGCCAAGAAGGCTTTGATTACCAAGTTGACTCGTTTCACTATCCCTCAGCCTTGAATCGTTGCTTGTAACATACTGCGATCGTCTCGTATGTCCCTTCCTTGAATAATTTGAATAATTTCGCTGAAGCATGTTACTACTATTCGTTCCCGACGAGTCAAAAGTATAACCAGTATCCTGAGTATCTCTCCACGTACTCCCATTGGGAGTCTTATTCAAAGCATTTTCCGAGTATGCCCTTGCCCGATTTCCCGAGCCTTGAGATTCGCGGACTTGGGATTTTGGGACCAAAGTCTGAGAGCGCCGGAGTGATTGCCGGTTTTCATGAACCACAAAGTTGGGCGTGGTCGACGTATAAACACTAGAACTAGCATCAATAGAAAAACCGGACGTATCGATTTGAAGTGGTGCAATCTTTTTAGCAGAGAATGTGCGTTCTATGCTAGACGTGCTTTTTAAAGGACCTGATATATCTTCTTTGGAAGGTCCTCCCGAACGTATCGAGGAATTACGCCGTTTTCGATAATAAAACAGACAGAGAATGAGTGCTATAAAGACGATTAGTATCGGGACCACAATTGCTGCTATCTCTCCTTTGCTCATGTCTTTGCTTGCAGAGTGATTGCTGCCAGAGGTTGCAGATGTACCCGACGATGATGATGGAGTGGAATCTGAGCCGGTAGGTGAGCTGCCATCTGAAGCCTGAATGGCTAAGCTGAAAGATTCAGAGTTGCTGCGCTTTGATGTTTTAGAGATTGCTGTGAGCGTAATATTGATATTGGAAGGCTTGGCAGAGATAGGCACCTTCCCGGATATCACAAAGCCATGAGCATCAAAATATATCCAATCTGTTGGTGGAGATACTTGAGCCGTCAACGTAGTATCGTAAGTGTTTTCGATGTAGGCACCAAAGCTAAAGGAGAACTTAGAACCAATGGTTGCATTCACATCTTTGATGGGACCAACGAATAATGCGGTAGCTATTTTGATGAAGACCACAGTATTGACATTATCCCCATATATATCCACTGCTTGCACAGAGACGTTGTACGAAATGGCATCGGATGGCGGTGTTCCTGTCAGGCTGAGAGTATTATTATCGAAGGTAAGCCATTCCGGTGTTTGAGCTGTAACAGAGACTATGTTTGAATCATTGGCAGGCTGTCCATCGAGCTGAAGGCTATTCTCTAAACCTGTGCAATTAACCTCCACCCCTGGTGTTGCGTTGACAACAGAGTTTACTGTGCTAAATGCCAGGAGGTGTACCCCAACCCTGATGTTGAAGGGAATAGATGCTCCAGAGTATCCAGCTACGTCCGAAGCAATAAGCTGAATACCGAAAGTTTGGGGTGGTTGTATGAGAGAAGCATACTCTGGAGTTTGACCACTGAAAGTAAGTGTACGATCATCAAACAGAACCCAGGAAGGCAGAGGTGTGTCATCGGCTGACAATGCATAGTATTTAAGATTTGTTCCGCCACTACTAGAGAATGTTGCCGGGTCGAAGCTGATCTCGAATGGTGATGAAGGGTGGTATAACAGCGTAGAAGGTGCTGAGAATGGTCCCTGTGAAGAGAGTTGTAATTGCGCTGGTATCTTAATCGACGGTGGTGAGTTCTTTGAAACAACTAGAGTAGTATTTGAGGTGATAGATCCAGACGAGTCGCTTGCGATCACTCCAAAAGTGATTTCTGTCACCGTTCCAGTCCCAACATCACTACTAGATGGTATGCCTGATAATGTTCGAGAAGTGGTGTCGATGGAGAGCCACTGAGGTGAGCCTGACAAGCTGTATCTGAGAGGGGATGTTGAAGTAAATGTTGATTGAGGGAATGTATATGAGTATGGTGATGACACACGCGCGATAGGAGGGAATTGGGCATTGACCGGGTATGCGATTGACGGTATAGCATCAGCGACTGCTCCAAAGACGGCAATAGCAGACAGAGTGGTCCTCAGTGCCATATCCAGAGAGTCTTGCAGATGTTATTCTCAATGAGTCCAGATGAAGATACTACTTGCATACAGGATGAGAAATAATACATGTCAACATAATCTTTTACATGAAAACAGCGACGGAGGGGAAATTCGACATGGGAAAAGTTAGATATCAGGGACTTGCCATCGTTAGGTATTCTAAAGGCGCAGTAGAGGGAGATTTGTCTATAGGCATTACCTTACCTGGAGTTCGACATCCATCGTGACGTAAGGGGTAAGATAGTATCATACCCCTGCCTTATCAGATAATCGAAATATTGTTTAACGGAGGTTGACATGCTGATTTGAGGCTATACATAGACTATTCAAATTCCTTGACCAGCCCCACTGAAGTGAGCAACATCTTGTGGCAAGTTTGAGAGAAAGTAAGAAATTGTCGAGAAAACATTCTCATGCCATTCTTAGATCTTTTTTCCAAAGTTCAATCCTCTCAGATAACTACCTGAGATAGTTCGCGGTGTCCCAATAGCAATAGAGGGAGGTCAAAAGGTCACAAAGTGTAGTTAGTATCCAGGATTGTTTAAATCCTCAAACGTCCCTTTAGGAGCAAATCCTGCATCATTATTCGATGGTAGCATTCCTTGCCGAGTATATCCAATTGTCCAGGCCAGGGAGATATCCTTTTGGTGCGTGAGAAAGGATTGTGACAGGGAGGATAAGATCACTGGTGGAAGAAGGGATGAGCATTTTTGGCTATCAATCTTAGGCGGTGAATTTAATCATGCGATGCAACTTACATAACCTGGCAGAATTCCTGGTGGGATGGTGGGGCAATATCAAACCCGCGACAACAATGCCCATCCACTTATAGGCTTTTTCTAAATTTTTAAAATAACCAAAATGATTTCTAGGTCTCCCTCCCCAGAGTTCTCACCACTAGCAATAGGAATTGATCTCGCCCCCCTTCCTACCTATAAAGCCGCAACAACCAGCACTGTAAACTTTTCCGGTCTTCTCGAACCCCCACTCAAGCTTCACGAAGATCTTTCCAAAGGATGTGGTGGTCAACTATGGCCTGCTGGTATGGTGCTTGGGCAGCATATGTTACGGTATCAAAGAGATTCTTTGAAAGATGCTAGAATGTATGTTTCTATCCCCATTACAAAAGTTTTCAATTTCGTGAACTAATGAGGATCCAGACTCGAACTTGGGGCTGGTGGTGGTTTGGTGGGATTAGCTGTGGCTCTTGCATGTGATCTTCAACATCCATTGATACTTTCAGATATGGAAGTCATGTTTGAACTTATGAAGAGGAACGTTTCTCTTAATGAACTCGAGTCGAAAGTTGAGCCGTTGATTTTAAATTGGTATGTTAACCAGTGTTATTCATGGTAATGTTCGTTTCTCTGATCAAAATTATAGGGGTGAACCATTACCGGAGCTAGTAGTGAAAGATAAACCAGATGTTATCCTAGCAGCTGATTGCGTCTATTTCGAACCGGCGTTTCCGTTACTTCTTCAGACCCTGGAAGAGCTTTTAGAGTTATCAAAGGATGCAGTTATCTATTTCTGTTTTAAGAAGAGAAGGAGAGCAGATATGCAGTTCATGAAAAATGCAAAGAAGAAGTTCTTAGTGGAAGAAATTGAGGATCAAGATAGAGAGACTTTTACTAGAGAGGGACTGTTCTTGTACACTTTTAAACGAAAATCATGATACCCCAAAATTTGCAAAAAGAAGTATATATACAGTAGCTAAAGCATTTGCATAATTTCTCTATCCAGTCCAACGTTTCGATCGAGGACTTCTATTTCTACACCTCGCTGGCGCCCATATTCACACCTAGCAAGAAGGCCGGCTCATCAACTTTATGATGTTCATAACTCAACACTCCCACAGCTCCAGGTTCAAGCATCATAGGTAGTGCTCTCCCCATCTCAAATCCAATCCATCTTTTCGCAAAAGCTCTCAAGATATGTCCATGAGCAATCAGCACAACATCTACACCTTTCTCCCCATGCATGTAAGGTGCCTGAATTTCACGAATCTTCGCAATCACCGAATCCAAGCGATTCGATACCTCAGCTGCCGTTTCCCCCTCTTCACAACCATCAAGCCAAATGTTCCACGGCCTCTCACTATCCAAGCCCTTCTCCTTTCTAGCGGCTCGGATCTGAGCAGTAAGAAGCCCCTCATAGGTACCGTATTCCCATTCCCGGATATCTTCAGTAATCTCTGTTTTATTTTCAAGTTCCTTCTGTGTATTTCCGTCAAAGAGAATCTCGAATGTGCGACGAGCTCGAGTTCGTGGACTTATGAATAGGTGGGCGAGTTTGGATGGATCGATAATCTTGCCTGGACCAACTAGAACGCCTGCGGAAGAGGAAACTTGCTTTTCTCCATGGGGAGTTAGGGGAATATCACTTCGGCCTGTGTAGCGACCTGAGATGGTCCATTCTGTCTCGCCTGATACATGATGGGGTTAGAAAATTGATTATGCAATTCTTTGATTTCCTTAAAAGATGTTTGCGAGTTCAAATCATCTTATCGATAGTATGAACTATAATAGTAAAACAGCCACAAGTGACTTACCACTGACACAGAGTCAGTATCCAGTATCTATTTCGATTGCATCGGAGTGAGGAAATTGAAGTATAATCATGCCTTGGCAGATTTACGGAAGGACGTTTCGATCAACTATAAGCAAACACTTACTGTCGAATGAGAAAGACTCTCGGAGTACCTGCGTCCTTGTCTGGCATGATGAGGATACCTAGTAAATTTACAGATGCTCCAATTGATAGCTTCGAATTTTATTGAAGTTATAGGAACTTGACTTGCACCCCACCAAGGAAGTTAGTGTGCCTGATAAGAAACCCCGCCCTCATTCTTATCGGATGAGCTTCACATAAAAAGAAATAAAAAAAGGCTCACCATCGATTGTGAATATTATGAGCTCACCGGAAGCATCTCTGGAATTTCGAAAAACGAATATTACGTATATATTTTCTGCGAAAAGATAATCAACGTAGCGCTATTGAGAATGTTTCCTATTTCGTCTAATCTATTGCTAGGATCTTACATATACTGCAATAAGTTACACCCGCATTTACTGGCAGATGGCACCATCTACGCCCAATTCTATGTCCAATACAACCCAAGTAACCGTAGCACTTGTACCCCTGGCGAATGCAAAAGTGGTACAAGCAATTATACACTCATCCTCATCTAGATGTATATTACATAATCCACTGCCTGTTCATGACAGTGGATCTCTGTCATTTTTAAAATTGGCGTGAGGTGGCTCTACTCCTGTAGGCAAACCCTTCGCTTGAGTCTTGCGGCGGAAAGCTTTCACACCTGGGGACATCATAAACTGTGTCACCTTCCGGACTACTAGCCTGTTGGCTGGCAATAGCCTCGGTTCTCTTTTATCTTCAGTCACTGATAGAAGTGGTTGTTGTTCAACGCACCCGCCTACCACTGACGACTCTTTCGCCTCTGGACTGTCTGCAGGCTGACCAAAATCTTCTTCGATGGCACTACTTGGTCTGTCCGATGATTGAATCAAATTCACTTCGGACTCGGCTACATCTGAAATCTGTTCGGCTCCATTGTCTGACATTCGCCCGGCTTCCTGTTCAATGATATTCTCTTCGCCGACCCGGATCATAGCATCAAATATCCAATTTGGATGGACAGGCGAGTTGACAGCATGCAAACGTCGCTTAAGTATACGGTATATATCCCCTGTTCTCGAAGTGGTAGCCTCTAAAACTTCTTCATCGATAAAATCTTCATCGGCCGGATCTACCACCTCAGACCCAGACTCCATAGCATTGGCTACATCTGCCAAGCAGGTTTCATTGCCATCGGGGGCAGATTCCAAGGCCTCACTTAAACGAGCTCTAGCTTGGAATCTGAGCCACCACCTACTTGCCATGATTTGGTCGACGATGAATCCGGATTTCTTTGTTCGGATGAGGGCATCAGCTGTCATGACTGGGTCTTGCAGTCTCATGTAGCCCATGGTCAAGGCATTCCAAGTGACTTGATTAGGTTTCAAACCCTCTTTCTCAATCATGATCTGCAGCACCTTCTCAGCTGCACGGGGTTGACGACGTTGCATGAATACATTAAGTAATGTATTCCATGTATGAAGACTTGGTGCCGGTGGCCGGAAACTGTCCTCTGGATTTGGAAACGAATCGTCTGACTCAAAATCGCCGTCGCTCTCATCTGAAGTACTGGGCAGCGTACCGATGTTGCCTTCATCTTGAATTTGATCAGTCTCGGTAGCCGGTACGGACTGTCCTGCTTTGGGAAGCGGGCTTTGCATGTCGGCAATGATTTTAAGGCAATCGTGCATTGGTGCATCTAGATTGCCCAATCCAACAAGCAAATGGTTGTAAATTTGAGCCTCCTCCAGTAAAGGGACGACGATTGGGTTCTTTGTGGATATTAAGGATTTGAAGTGATCGTAAAATCTTAATAAAACCTTGTAGTGACGGACGCTTGCAATGTATGCTTTGAGCATCACTATCAGCGTCACATGGTTGGGGTCCATCAAGACTTGCTCAATATTATAGTCATGGCTAAATACCGTAGTCTCGGAAGCAGCCAGGTCGGGACGGCGCTGACCTTCCTCAGCCTGAACTGGAGTCTGATTGGTGGTTGCAACCGATATGTCATCTACCTCCTCGACAGCCTTTGTTGACACAGGAGCTAGCAAACTATCCTCAAAAGTAGGAATCAGTTGAGCTAATGATTCAATGTTAAAATTCTTCAAATAAATCGGAATCATTTGTGAGAATGGCGTTTGAAGATTTTTCCTCTCGCTGGGGGTTCGCTTGTAGTACTCCCGTCTGTTTACGCGGAATACTGCGTCTAAGGTATCAGTGACAGTATAATTATTTCCAACACCGTCTTCATTCATCCAATGCGCCAGTTTCTCCAGCGCGATATCATCTCCACGAATCTTGGCATCATTTTGCATAATTGAATAAGTGTATGCATCCGCTTTGACTCCATTTTCAATCATCATATCATAGATTTGCCACGCCGTCACATGGTCACCAGCCTGAAGTGAATTCTGAATCAGGACGTTGTAAGTAACAATACTTGGCTTTAGACCGTGATGTAGCATGAAATCAAAAAGCTCCGTGTCGGTGACCTGTGCATGAGGACCACGATATCTTCTGGCCAGAAGTACAGTGCACATTTGTGGCCATCTCCAGCGGTTCAGATTAAAGCCTTGTTTAGTGGCCTGCTGAAGGACTTGAAAAGCCAAATCAGTCTCTCCAGACCGTGCGAATCGATAGGTAAATCGCAGTAAACTGCTGCCCGTGAGATGTTGCCTTGTCCCTGCCATCACGAGATAGAATGTTCTGAATTCTTTTTGATTCATGATTGATTGTAACAGGTACACTGAGCGTGCACTAAGCCGGAGACCACGAAGCTGAAGATATCGAATACTTTCAAATATCTGTTGAAGATCGTGGGGAGTGAAGGATTCTCGAGTGGGTTTGCGCTCTTCTGATCCGAAATAATGGGATACTACAAAATCGAGGCAATCATTCGCAGCCCAGCGAGGTGGAAGAGACGGTGCCTGATACGTCGCCAGCAGTAACTTGAGAGTAGATGCGGGATATTGGTCCATTGATGTAAGCATAAGTTCCTCCCAAACATCAGAACGAATCTCTGAAGGAACTCGGCGCCAGATGGTGGCCAAAGCAGCTACATTGTCTTGCTTGATGAATAGCAATCTTGATGCCGTAGGAAACTTTGAAACAGCGACCTTATTATACTCCAATTTAGGGTAACCCTTCAAAGCGTCTTCATGTCGCTGATTGATGATAGCGAATCGCCAAGACCACATCCGTAACTTCATGATGTTGGCTTTTGTATCTATGTCGACTTTTAAATATTTAGTCGAGAGTTGTGGGAGGCCTTGCTGCTTTGCCCAAATTTCATATTGCTCATGCAATGCCTGAAATGGCGCATGAATAGTTGCAAAACGTTGAGAGTATAGACGTTGCCGATTCAAAGAAATCTTCAGATATATGGACGATAGCCCTTTCGGCCGTCTAAAATTCTCACGGGGAAATTTATATCCGGAAGGTCGTCGAAAAAAGAAAACGGATTTTCTCGAGGGTCTGGTTTTAATGCGCGTCCCTACGATTGGCCGTCCTAATCTTCTTGAATCATATTTTGTATACCTCTGGCGGGGTCTTTTGGACGTGACTGTTTCTGCAGCTGTGGCGGGTAGATATGATGAATTGGCATCGTTACTGGCCTTTTCAGGTGGTGTGATAGTTGGAGCAGCAGGTGGTGATGCTAGGCCAGCCAGACTTTCAGCTTCGATTATGGATGGAGGTGCGGACGACGACGATTGTGGAGATGTGGGCTGTGCGCGACCTCGTAAGGAAGAAATGGTAGAACCTCTGGAGCGCTTTGTCTCTGCATTGTTTGACGGGATAGTATCGACCTTACCAAAAGGAATTCGGCGGGACTTTGATCTTAATCGCAAATGTCGCGTCTTCGGTACGGTATTCAAATGCAAATGACGAGCTCCAGGTGAAACATCCGGTAAACCATTTGTTTGTGAACTGCGTGCTGCAGAGCCCTCCGTGTCTTCTGAATATTGATGAGTCAATGTGACACTACTTGGCTGGGTCCCCATCCGCGCATTAGATCCAAATTCATGTGGTGCCTTGAACTGACCCTCTGTGGCCGAACCTTCTTCCCCATTGCTCTCAGCTACTTTCCCGAAACCAGACTTCGAAGAGAAGTGTCTTATGGGGCCACGGACAGAAAGGTTTACGTGGGTAAAAGAAGCGGGGTTCGTTGGCCATTTGCTGAATCTGATATATTTTGTGCCTGGTTGCACTGGAACATTTGTTGATGAATTTCCAAGGCGCTTTAATGTTTCTTCCCTCTTCGCAGCTTTTGCTACTATAAGTTCACGATCGTCTTGGTTTTGTCCCGTTTCCGTTCCCAGATAGACTCTGGCACTTTTGCAGGGCCATGGTTGGAAGACTCTAGGTGCAAGGAATGGAAGAATTGGCAATTCCAATGGCGACCATCGTCTTGATAGAGAGTTATAAAATGGAGGCATCAGCTGCCGGCATACATTTTCTAATCCATTGACTAGCACCTTAGTATATCGACAGCGAGGGCAGTTTCAATTCGAAAATTGGCGACCCGGAAAAAAAATTAAGGTTTATCTTAGTGGCCGGGGTGAGACGAGGCTGAGATTATAATAAGCCAATCATATTGCGCATTGGAACTTCAAGATCTCTCCCGGCTGTGGATTTCTCTAATTTGAACTTCTGAATTCTCGATAGCTGGAACATACAAAACTCCCCGTTTCAGCTACACGCCTAATTTATAATATTATAAACCCAGGCAATGTCATCTACACATGCCACTCTAGGCGCCGCAGCAGATGAGCGCAAAGCGCGACTCGCAAAACTCAAATCTCTGAAAAGAAAGCAACCAGCCGACGAAATCGTAGCACCAGAATCCACACGCTCGCCCTCGCCACCAGCCTCACCCGACGTCGCAAAACTACACCTTTCGGGACGGAACTACGATGCTGAAGCCAAAGGCCCCAAGCTTGGTTTTGAGGCCCCTCCCACATTAGCGCTCGAGAAACCTACACTTGAGCAGCAAGCTGCAGAGGTCGAGAAGGAAATTAGGAGGAAGGCGGAGGAAGAAGAACAGGATGATAAGGGGGTGGATCTATTCAAATTACAGCCTAAGAAACCTAATTGGGACTTAAAGAGGGATTTGGAAAAGAAATTGGGGGTTCTAAATGTACGGACGGAGAATGCGATCGCAAGGCTAGTGAGAGAACGAATTGAAAGCGCACAAAAGGCGGCTAGGATGAAGGATGGGAAGGGCGCAATAAATGCAACTGAGGATGGAGAGGAGATGGGGATGGAAGGTGTTGCTTTGGTGGAGGGAGTCAAGCTACGGGAAAAGGAAGAGGAAGAAGAACGAAGGGAGAAAGAGGATGAAGATCTACAATGAGATCAACCTCGAAATTTTTTAATGGATTGTACAAAAGGCGTTCTTTTCGTGACAGGCATACTATGAGGCGTATGGGCGTCTTAAAAAATTAATATAGATACAAAAGTGGCAGATAGCCAAAGGGTATTTCTCAACCACGCAACCATTCTTGGCCTTCCACCACCCTTTTCCTCACCGACCCATATTCATCGCTTGCGTAAGCGCTAGCCTCTTGCTAAAAGGGCTCATACTCCTCTCTCTCAGTGGGCGTGGAGCATGGGTTTCAGAAGACACGAAAGATTCCCTTCGCTCTTCCTTGACGCGAGGCTCATCAAACCGTCTCCTATCATGTGAAAAGTTTCTTCTGCCTCTATGAGGACTTCGGCTTTCAGTTCTTCTCCCACGCACCTCGGGGCTTCGGTCATTGAATCTCTTTCTCGTACTTCGGCTATTTGTTCTTTCTCTCGAATTTCTGATGTCTTGTTCTTCTCTAGAACTGTATGAGTCTACGGAAAAGGATGTGTCTCTTCTCCGCTTCGTTCCCGAGTTCCGTATATCTTGTCGAGATGGTGGTGGTGACGGGGAAAAGCTGGGGGTTCTACGCTTGTGTTGACTGGAGGCTGGTCGAGGTGGTGAATGTGACTGTCTAGAATCGTATGTATCGGATGCGGGCCGAGCTTGTCTTGGTGAAGGCGAACGCGACATGTTTGTAGATATTGTCGAGACTGACGCTGAAGAAATTGACCGTCTCCGCTTGGAAGCTCCCATTTCCAAATCTTCATTTTGTCTCTCCCGTTTACGGCCTCTTTCCTGCTCCACTTTCGCAAGTTGCTCATCAGCAATGCCCCTCCTGTCATAACCAGTCAGCACAACTTTCTAGCCCCATTGTAGACTAAATTTTGGCAAATGCACAATGTCGTAATGTGCCCCCAATATGCAATGCCCAATTGAGTCAACCAGCAGGAGTTGGAGCCTAAGACCATCCTTCTAGCAGTACCTGGAAACAATTGGGGGCAAAGAAGGAAGAGTGACGACGCGGGCATAGCTGAGCAGAAACACACGTACTTTTTCAAAAGATCTTGTGGTACATCACTAGTCAATTTTGGAACAAGCTTGGGATTGGAAAGTTGCTGTGTACGGGAGGGTCGGGAGACATATGGACGTTCCTGCGCATTTGCTTTGCATTCATAACTATAGTGCCGTAATGATAGTCAGCTATGAGGATCCAGACTAAATTAGAACTTGGACATATCTTTCTTTAGACATTTTTGGCACGTAGTTGAAGCAGATGCCCTTGAAGGACCCCCAATGGTAGCAGGCCTATTGATGCCATGGTAGCGATTCATGATATTGGTGTTTTGCTTGGTGATCTTGTATTGTTAAGAAGCAAGTGGATGAAGAAGAATCTTGGATATGTGGAATGAATTTATATGCTGCCAATCCTGGCGGGCTGGATTGGGGACTTTAAAAGCTTCAAGTGAGCTTCCAGCTGAGTAGTGTATTGTAATATAGAAGCTATGTGGTCGACCTGATGCGTGGGCTGTTTCTGCAACACCAAATAGAGTAATTCAGGAAAAGGAGTTCAGCAAACAATGTAGAGTTTGTCTGGGTAGATGGAAATATGTTAGGGTAAAATACCTAGATATGTTGTGGTGATACACGGAATTATATTGTTTTTATGAATATATCTTCTTATCATCAATGATTTATTATCATATCGATCAATCAAGAGCATCTTTGCCGTTTTGATCAATTATTCATTCTAATATTGAGTTTGATACTGACATCCCCACTTTAAATTCAGGATTCCCGCTAAAGAATTCTCGGGGCAGTCTTAGCCTTAAACTTCTTGTCCATCCACCGGGCCAGCACAATCAATAATCAATCAATCAATCAATCTCTTGATTTGATCTGATTTCCCTACTGAATGATGCACCTTGGAGATTTTTGAAATCTCCTATGTGAACATCACTTCTATCCCGACACAGTCACGAGATACGAGACACGGGATACCCAAATATCACATATCAAATATCCAATATCCAGCAAACTCTTACAGTATCTTGATCCGATACTGTGGGCGGAATTAGTTTGCCGGTAATAGGAGTATCGGCGTATCGATTATCTTTGAAGGAAGTGGGTTGTACCAAAAACCACATCAGGACTTCCACCAGTCAATTCGGTACTGAAAAACGATTACTCTAAAAAGAACCAAAACTTTCAATCATAATTATTATTTTACTCAAAGCTTGTCTGCAACGACAATGACTAGATGTCACTTCTTCTCATTAAACGCTTTTGTTAATCTACTCCCTTAATCTACATCACTTCGAAAGTATTTACTCTACAACCGCTCCTCCACCAATTTGCGATTTCGACATTGTCCAATCTGGACATCGACACTCATTTCCGCGATTTGATTTACTAAAAGTATACTCTTTATCATGGCTACCGCGCCAATGACGACGGACCCCTCGAGGCTGTCATTCGCAAAGGTGCGCAGATCTATCAGGTATTCCCTCAGACCACTTGGTGAATTGTCACCGGTGGACTTATGGATTCGCTATCATATCCAAGTGCTTTGCTAACAAGATTGGTCATAGGTTGCTGCCTCAGCTGGGAAGGACAATGTAGCTCTCGCTTCTTTCGCAAAAATTGCTGCCTCCTCAACTGCTGTGCGAGATACGAAACATGAGAATACAGCTCCAACCGTACATGAGAGTAAAAACACAGACAGGCCTAGTGCTACAAGCAATGATATTGGCATGACCACTCTCAAGGAAACGGTCGCGGCGACAAACGATCAAACTTCAAAGAGCGGGACGGTTGCACAGAGCAAACCTGTGGTTGCTAAAAAGGAACCTGATTTGGCGGAAACAGTCAAAGCGATGCATATTCGTGATATTACACCAAGCCTTGTTGTCAATGGTTCGGGGATAGTACCTGCTACCCACAAGCGAGACTTGGGAGAAGGTTTTCCCGATGACCCATTTCAGAGAACAGAATCCGGGTCCGATCTGGGCACGAAGCCTCCAAGCTTAGATGGAAAGAGCATAACTTCAGGTACAACATTTGCTTTGGATGAGAAGGAGTCCTTACGTCCCGATGATAGCGCAAGCGTAAAAGCAGCTGAAGATGATGATACATTTTCGGGTCGCGGTTCCATCGTTGCCGGCTCTAGGATTGGGTCGGAAGCAGCTGCAAGAGCTTATCGTGCTCAATTTTACGAAGCCCCTGACCGACGTAGTATCCAACTCATGCAGGAGCGCCAAACCCAGGGCATTGTTACTCCCCAAAGCGGATCATCTGGACAGCAAACCACAGATGATAAATCTAAGCCGCTTGTAGGTCCAGCGGGGTCAACTGAGGCATTTACGCTGTTCTATCGACAGACTCCGGATGAAAAACTTCTAGAGGCACTGGAATCACCAAAGGATCGCATATTTCTGCTTCGTCTTGAGCAAGATGTTATTGAGTTTGTGAAGGATTCTAAGTAAGGGCTTAAACCCTGGCGAACGATCGTTGTTACTAACATGCTTACAGGGAGCCCTTCATTGATCTGCCACCATGCAACTCGTTCTGCAGAATGCTAACTCACAAGCTGGCGGATTACTACCACATGACACATCAAGTTGATGCTGTAGTTGGAGCAGTTCGTATCTTTAGAACGCCATTCTGCAGAATTCCGCCATCTTTAACGAGCATCTCCAACCCACCTACTACCGGGAATACCCCTCCTCCTAACCTACCTGCCATGAAGATCATGCGTAGAGGTGGTGATGGTGATACTGGACCCAGCCCTTCAAAAGCCACCTCCGAGACGGGAAGCGAAGCCAAAGAAAAAGCACAGTCCGCTAAAGAAAAGTATGATATCTTACATCTTTATCATGATTTGAGCTGACTTTAATTGAAGGCTTTCCCGAGAAGAGCGAGAAGCCGTTTATCTTGCAGCCCGGGAACGAATCTTCGGCAAAGAAGATAAATCTGGCGACGCTACACCAGGCAAGTTTTCAAAGATCTCTGTTAAGACGAGTCTGTCGGTTTGCTAATGATGATCTAGAAACCGAAGAAGGGAATGAGATTTCGCGTTCTAGCTCTGTTTCCACAAAGGACAAAGGCAAGAGGGGTAAAATTGGAAAGCAGCGTCGCGACGACTCCGAAAGCTTTGACGTTCGATCTCAGTATACCCCATACTTTCCACAACAACAAACTCAGCCAGCTTGGATCCCAACCCAAAACTACACCGCTATGGGAGTTCAGCAATACAATGGTGCTATACCAAACAATTATCAAAGCCAAATGCAACCTCAATTTGTTCCACCTCCGCAGCCATTTAATCCTGCAATGATGAACAACGGGAATATGCAATCATACAATAATATGCCACCACCAGTAAGTTAAATCATTTTCCGCTGATATAATTTGTTAACTGACATTCGATCAGCAATTTCCTCCGCAAAACCAGCCACGTTATCAACCTCATAGTGCTCCAATAACGACATACGGTACACCTGCACAGTCTCCACAACCTCCGCAGCAATGGATTCCACAAAATCAATACCCTAGTGCCCCGTATCAATCACGAGGACCTGTTACAGGAGGACCACCCAACACTATCCCTTACGCTTTTGGACAATTGCCTAGCACAGCGAACCCAGCCGATCCTAAAAGCCAGCACCCGATACCTGGAAGTTTCATAAACAGGCACGCGTTCAATCCAAAGACTCAGTCGTTTGTCCCGGGCAATCAGGGTCTTCCGATTCCGCAGCCCATGTCTCATCATGGATCTCCTCACCACGGCTCTCCACACCATGGATCTCCACATCTAGGATCTCCACATCTATCTTACAGCAACTTCTCTCCTCCTCAACAACAGTATGGGGCTGGAATGGGATATAGCATGGCGAGACAAGGATCCAACAACTCCTTGCCTTCGTATCATGCATCTCCACACATGGCACATAGGCCAATGATGCATCAGAATATGCCGCAGGGTCATCCTCAAGGCTTACCACAAGCTATGCCTCATGGTATGCCACAAGGAATGCCACAGGGTCCAGTGCTCAATGGCCAAGTTGGAAGTCACCTCCCAAATTTTGGCAACCCGGCAACTTTACCTCCAAAGCCTCCGACTGGCGTTTAGGTGTCTTTTGAGGGATTACGGAAATTCTGTGATGAACAGACGGTGGCGTATGGTAGCATTGGTGGAGTTAGTGGGAAATATGGGCATCAAAACGAACTCATTTTAAGTACCAGGTTTATATTGGCTGATAGACCCACGATTACAAATACAATACATTTGATTATACTGTTCAATTTTAACGTCGCACTTCGTAGGGAATAACGAGTGACCAACATGAATAAGTCAAATTAACACGTTGTAATTCTAGTGTGCCCCTGAACTCAAATGCAGAGGGTCTCAATGAAACACAAACCTCGCTAACTATGCTATCCTGTCCTCAATCATCCTCATTTCCACACTCCTTGATGCTCTATGATTAGAAACTGAAATCCATTGAACTTATTCGCGTCAAGTTATCCATTATTTCGACTACAAGAGAACATTGAAGTTTTTGCACATGCACCAATTTATGGCTTATTTCCTTTCTCCTCCTATGAATGTGTGATGGTGACATGAAAACGATAATTTTGAAATTCTATAAGAATCGGCCTAGAGCCTACCTGAACGCCATACTTTTCCATCCACATGCACAGAGATTGTAAATTATGGAAAGGCTTTATTTTTATCATCGTCTACTACTCAACGGGTTCCCTGGGCTCTCTTGGCTCTCTTGGCTCCCTGGGCTCTCGTGTTTGTCCGCCTCCTCGGCCACCTCCTCTTCCTCCACGCTTGCCGCCTCTTTGTCCACGCTGCTCGGATTTCTCGCCTCCTTCTCCGCTGCCGGATGTGGCAAGAACATCTGAACCTCCCATGGTGAGAGTTGCGGTGGCCAATCTTTGGGAAAGGTCGATTTGAGTGCGGATAGTGTTGGCGAGGTAAGAAACGACCAAGACATCTTGGATGTGGTTGTTGAAGTCACGCTCAATGTCTTGAGCATCGACCTTTGGTGCCAAGGACAATGCGTTCATGAGGAATTGGCCAAGCGCATTCGATGGCTCTCTTTCTTCGTCCAAGACTGAACTAACGTATTCGGATACTCTCTCCAGAAGATCAAGGGTTTGGTCAACAGCTCGCTCCAAACCTTCAATATCAGAAACTACTGGTGCGGCACGGCTCTCGCTATCCTTAGCACCAGAAATCAATTCCAAACCACTCTTCTCGGATTCACCATATCGAATCTCATATGGTACTGGAATGAAAAGACAGCTCTCAGCCGCCCTCTCAGCATTTACACCAACCGGTGCACTGATATATGCCTTTGCCTCAATCTCCTTTCCAGCCTCGGTGCTAACAGTCAAATGAACAGCGGGGTGGGGGAAAGTTCCAGTTTCGGGACTAGCGAAGAAGTTTTGAATCAAGGCGCTGAAGCTGTTGAGTTCAAGAGAAGTCGTGTACCATCCCAAAAGCACTTCGCGAGGATTGGCCTTCAATTGTAAAGCGAGCATGTTCTTTTGATACTCGACATCAACTTCAACTTGGTCTTCGGTCTCGGTGTGGGGAATAGCGAAACAGTTGCGCACTTCACACTCCATGCCATCTTCAGCGCGGATTCCAAGGAGTGCACCGATTACACGTGGGGTTTGGGTGACGCTGGTATCGCGACGGATAGCATGATCGAGAATGGAGAATACGGCCTATTGTTATCCTTGTTAGTCTCTGGAGGACGGAGTTTGGAACAGGAAAAATATCGTACTTGGGGTTGAATTATAACATTTAAAGGTGCGGTGGTGGGCTGAACACCAATGGCAGCGGGAGCTAGTGGCCGCGCGAGATGAAGGAAGGACTGTGTACCGACTGCCATACTGGGCTAAAATTATTTCGGTATCGAGTCTGGCGGACGAGTGTGGTGTTCAGGTCTGAGATGGGAATGTCCTCGTCGTCGTCGATTGCAAACCAGTTGCGCAAGTGGGATTTTTGTGTGGGCGCAACGCAAGGATCTGATTTCGCGCTAAGATAAGCTTTCGTTAAAAGTTGTGAAGAATTTCCCCTCGATTTGTGATATATATAACTGACTACTCAGAGAATGGATTGAGATATTTGAAGGTTGGTTCTTTGGATTTGGCTATTTGCAAGCTGTAGATTTTTGCTGTTTTTTTAGTATTGTTCTTAACAATAAAATTGATTCCAAAGTCGATAATCTTTGATCCAAAACTTTTTTACTGAGCCCTGATGACGCTAAGATAAGGATTCGCCAGAACTTTTTTTTGTACCAGCCATTGAGCGTTGAGTATTTCAACTTACATTGATATTTCACAACAAAAATATGGCTTTTGGACAGAGAAATACTTCAAGAGGAGGTCGTGGTGGCGGTGGAAGCAGTTTTAGAGGCCGAGGAGGTAGTAGAGGTGGCCCACGAGGAAGGGGTGGGCTGAGAGGAGGAAGAGGGAGAGGAAGAGGAAGGCCTGTATTTGATAGTGCTAGATTAGCACAGCAAAAGGAAGAGTAAGTACATTTCATTTATTCAGATTGAATCATTTGCTCATACATATAGGGGTGAAGAAAGCAATTCGGAATCCGAAGAATCAAGCCAGGATGAAGCTATGGAGAGTGAAGAGGAATCTAGCGATGACGATGATGCGGAACCAGCACCAGCTGTAAAGTCATATGCAGCTTTAATGCAGAGTTTTACTGCTGATTCTGCACCACAAGCTAAACGGAGGAAACTTAATGTTGACAAAGAGGAAAAGCAAGACGAAGAGGCTGACCTCATGGACCAAGATGCAAACGATGCAGATCATGTTGAGGAAGCGGAAGAGGGCCCCGAAACTGCAACAGATGGCCTTCTCGAAGAAGAAGATGAGGAAGACAACTCGGATCCTTTCGAAGCTCATTTTGCCAATCCGGATGATAACATATTATCAAGGAGATTAAAACATTTGGAAAACGGACAGTGGGCCATACAAAAGTCAATACTTGCAAAGATTGGAAGAGCTATTACGAGTGTACCAGGTGATGATGAAGCAAAGCAGACGAAATCATCAATTATCAATAGTCCGGAAGAGCTTAAATTGAAGCAAAAGTTGGCAGGCGTGATGAAGAAGCAATGTCCGACATTCGATACATTGGAAAAGTCTATATCTCCCCTGATATTTGGCTATCAGGATTTACTGTTTTGTGAGCGCAACACATCTAATGCAGAGAGTCTGAGGAGGTTAACTTGTCTCCATGCTGTAAATCATGTGTTCAAGTAAGTCAGTCCCTTCTCGCTGTAAGCGTAACCTAATGATTCCAGGACTCGAGATCGTGTCATTAAAAATAATTCCCGCCTTGCCCGAGAAGATAACAGCGATGACTTAGAACTACGAGATCAGGGTTTCACGAGACCTAAGGTTCTTATGCTTTTGCCTACCCGCGAATCTTGCGTTAGAATGGTTGACATGATCACTTCATTATGTGAACCGGATCAGCAAGAGAACCGAAAACGATTCAATGATTCCTATGTCGATAAAGAGGAGAAATATTCCACTGATAAACCAGAAGATTTTCGAGAACTCTTTGCAGGCAACGATGATGATATGTTCCGTCTTGGTTTGAAATTCACAAGAAAGACTGTCAAGTATTTCTCACAGTTTTATAATTCTGACATCATCTTCGCAAGTCCTCTTGGTCTGAGAATGGCCATAGGAAATGAAGATGCGAAGAAAGTAGACCATGACTTTCTCAGTTCGATTGAGATGGTCATAGTTGATCAAGCTGATGCACTTCTTATGCAGAACTGGGAACATGTTGAATTTATCTTTGACCATCTCAATCTTCAGCCCAAAGAAGCTCATGGTTGTGATTTCAGTCGTGTAAGAAGTTGGTATTTGGATAACAATGCTAAATACTTCCGTCAAACTATCGCTTTGGCGGGATTCAATACACCAGAACTCAATACCATGTTTTATAACCAATCTAAGAACTGGGCGGGAAAAGTTAAAGTCAGCTCGAATTATCCAGGAGCTATTCAGGAATTGGGTTTGAAGGTCAAACAGACTTTCTCACGACTCGACTCTCAGTCATTCGCCTCAGACCCAGATTCACGTTTCGAATATTTTACGTCGGCAATAATACCTACTTTGACCCGTAGAAGTAAGGATAGTGCGGGAACTCTTCTATTCATCCCCTCATATCTCGATTTCGTCCGAGTGAGAAATTACTTTTCAACCTCAGCTACCACGAGAACTTTATCTTTTGGCAGTATTTCTGAATACACCACACCAAAAGAAGTTGCGAGAGCAAGATCCCATTTCTACAGTGGTCGACACACCATTCTGCTTTATACAGAAAGAGCCCATCATTTTAGAAGATATCAAATTAGAGGTGTCAAGAAAGTTATCATGTACGGATTACCCGACAACCCTATCTTCTACAAGGAAATCGTCGGAGGATATCTGAGTAGAAGTGTGAGAGAAGGCGATTTAGAACCTGGAGATGGAAGTGTACGTGTGGTATTCTCTAAATGGGATGTTATGAAATTGGAAAGAATAGCAGGGACAGAAAGGGTGGGGAAAATGATCAAGGAGAAAGGCGATACTTTTGATTTCTTATAATACCCTTTCTAGCTAGTTAATTCTTGGGTCTTGATATCCGTTGATGTAATATAGACATAGAAAAACGCCTTGTCCATGCAAATCTTACTTCGGTACATATACATTTGGTACTTTGTGAACGATATTGTTCATGACCATTTCCCTTTCTTTGGCTCCAATCAGCCACTTTAAATCTACTCCAGGACTGTGGTGATAAGTCTATCGTTGCTTGGAGACCGCTTAAAGTAGGTAATAGATGTATCGTGGCTATGGCGCATGGTCTCAGAAAAATGATTTGTACACCCCTCCACCCCAAACCATTTAGACATTGATAACCCAGCCATGCCCAATACCTGCCTACCAAGCCAAACCACCTTCCATCCATGCATGCATACATTCCCCCACCAAAACGATCTAAATAAACCCACCCCACCTCTTCTCTCTCCTCCTCTTCCCCTCCAACTCCCCCTTCTCCCCCATTCCATCAAACGGTACATCCTCCCTATTCATCTTCTTCCCTAGCCCCAACTGTCCCACCCTCGTGACAAACTTCTCAAACGCCTCTTCACCCCCCTTCCGAAACTGCGTCACCTTTTCTACATTCCTCTCCGTAATACCATTCAGCGGGATCTTTTCACTGCGGAATCGTGCGACTGTTCGCGCCGTCATCGCCCAGCGCGTATCTTTTGGTCCATCCACAAGTTCGAGAATGGCGCTAGGTGCTTGATCTGGTTTGAGTGGTTCGATGCGCAGAACGCGGGTGTAGCCTCCTGGACGTTGAGCGTAGCGTTCGCGGAGGGGGCCGAAGAGTTTGGGGAGGAGTTCGTGGGGGGTCTGGGGTGCGGGTTAGTTGGTTTTTATGTGCAATTACAATTTACGTTTAGGGAAATATAAAAATCGATATCCTATTATCTCTCCAAGCTCACCTTCCAAACAAAACCCGCTCTTTTCCCAAAAATAAAATAAAATAAGAATCAAAACTCACAAAAAATATACTCAGCGCCCTCCTCTTACTAGCCTCCGTATTTTTCTTCCCCAACGTAATCAATTGCTCCGCCAATTTCTGCGCTTCCTTCGCTTTCGGATATGTAGTCGAGATAGATTCATGTGTAAAGAGCGACGTAACAAGATTTCTAAGAAGCGCCTGTCGATGCGAAGAGGTACGACCTAGATGTCTATATTTCATGCGTCCACCCGCCATTTTGTATATGTGATGATTTACGAAATGGGAAAGGAGGTGCGGTTATATAGTATGGTGAATGAGGGGAGGAGAGGTGGTTGATGGACGAGGCGGAAAAGTTTTGGCGAGGCCGAAAGATTGGAGATTTCGGCCCGCCATTGTCAAAATTCTTGGTGGTGGGCTTTCCTTCTTTATCTACTCGTATGTATTGGGTATTTATAAACGACTCCTCTCTATCCTAGGTAATTCTATCACACAACGCTCTTTCGAGCTTTTAATTTCCCAATTGATTTTGTATCTCTCCGTACGAGCTGGGAAATAAGAGTCGTATTATCATATTGAAAAGCGCAATCGGCGCACTCAGTTCAACGCAAATATGGGTTTTACTACCGGTTTTGTATGTTTATGTTCCCCTCACAGCTTACCAGCTCATAATTTTCTACAAATGATGAATACCCAAACCAAAGAAAGAAAGAAAGACTAAATAACTAACACACCACGCACCCAGACCGGCGGCGTAACTCTAACCCTCTCCCTAGCCTACCTAACCGTCCTCGCGCACCAACGCAACCGCGCCTCCCAATCCCTCCACCTCCACCAGCAATCCTATATCCTCACCTCCATCTTAGAAAAACAGCCGATTCCGCCTCCGAAAACGCGCGCCGAGCTCGCGCGCGAAGAACGCAGTACGCTTATTGAAGCGGCGAAGGATCGCTGGAATGCAGAGATTGAAAATGGAGTGAGATGGGTTCAGAGGACGGATTGGGAGGGAGTAAGAGATGGGATTGAGGGGGCGGTTAGTAGAGCGCTTGGGTTGGGTTTGGAGAGGGGGAGAGAGGGGATTGAGAAGGGAGAGGAGGTTGCGGGGGAGAAATTGAGGGATTTTAGGGAGGAGGCGAGAGAGGAGGCTAGGAGGGCTGCTACGGGTGCGGTGGCGGGGGTTGAGAGGTCGGTTGCTGGGACAAGGGGGGCCATCGATGCTTCTTCGCAGAAATTAAAAGAGGCCGAAGCTAAAATCCCTTCGTATTCTGAAATTGAAAGGAAAGCGGGAGGAACAGTAGATACAGCACGCGAATCGGTCCGTAATGCAGTTTCTCGAGGTATCGAAGCCGGTAAGGATATTGCCCAGAAAGCCGGTGCAGCGGTAGGAATTACAGAGCAGAAGACGGCGAGTTCGGATGTAGAGAGAGCTTTGAGGGAACGTTTTGAGGGGCCCACTCACTTGGATAAGAGTGTGCAGCAGGCTCTGGAAGAGAGATATACACCTATTGATCAAAGAGATAATAGTACTCTGAGAGGTCTATGAGCCGTTTAAATGAAGAAGATGAATAGTTAAGCGAAAGGGAGATCAAGGTGTACTATCAAAAAGTGTAAATAGATGATGTTCTCTGCTATGCTATGATATGCTTGCTGAGTGTGCTATAGAAAAGTTGATTTGCTTTGCCTTTGGCTGGGCTTAGAGGGGATATTCGGGACTATGTAATACAATGCAAGTACTATTCCCTCAGTCGCCCATATGGGCTGGCTTTGTGTTGTGTATGATATGCTCTATGATATTTCAAGCAAAGATTTGGATTCGATTCCTTCACATATCGAACGAGAGTCACCAGATTTGAAATAGCATTCTATTCGTCCTATGTACATGCTCACAATCAACGATCCGGAGTCAGAAAAGTATTATCTGATGGAGGATTGAGTACACAGCGGAGAATAAGCTCGATTGTCAAGACACTCGCTATCAGATACAAAAGATGCAAAAATCCTGTTGATGAAAAAACTATGGCTTTCAGAAGCTTAGATACTCTAGTCAAACATCATTTCGCATCCTAGCATATCCTATCATACCATAACACACTACCAAATGTTCGCACCAGCCTGAGCCACACAACAAATAGATTTCTGGAACCTCATAACGCTTCATCCTCCTTAGCTTACAATCCATCGACAATTTTTCAAGGTGTCTCGAAATAATCCTTAGGCGTATTGGGGCTTGAACTCTTATCGACTTCAACCATGAGTCGCTTAGCTCCCTTTGGGATACTCTTAATAGGACCTAGTGCTGGAACGGAACCAGCTCGGTAAAGTGAACGACCTCTAGGTAATTCATCACCAGATTCTATTGCGTTAGTGTCGGTTGCACTTCTACCTCCATTGACTCCCATCTCATCGTCAGATGAAAAGTGACGAGAAGTTGAACGGGCGATAAATGCAGAGGTACGCTTCTTACGAGGAGTGGGTGGTTGGACGAAGAATTTGGGACCACGCCGGCGATGATGGGAACGACTCTCAACGTAGTCTTCATCGTCCTCGTCATCCTTTTCCTCGGAGTAATCTGGTGGGTCACCGTCGCTTAAATCGTCGGATCTGTTTGATATCAGTATGGTATTGCATAACCATAGATAAGGATATCCTACTTCTCTACAGCGTCATCCTCAACAGCAACCTCCCTCCCCTTGGACTTGGATGAGGCCTCGTAGTAGGGTGGATCGCCATCGCTCAAACCACCAGACCTGTTTGATGTCAGTAAAATAGTTCATGTCAATGGAAGGCGTAAATCTTACTCCTCTTTGACGTCATCTTCAACAGCAATCTCCTTCTCCTTCGATTTACACGATACTTCTTTGGACGCAACCTTGGCAGGGATCTTTGTATCAACCATAGGAGAGGATACCTTAGCCACCGGCGCACCTTCAACATTCCAATCTCTTCTCCTAACAACAGTATTGAACTTCCTCAACCCATCAAGACAATTACTATATTCCTCACCCAAAGCACGTTTGTGCATCCCGATCAAATGCTTCCATCTTCGGCCTTTCATCATCACACACTCGTTGGCCTGATAAGCATCCGCAAGTGCGACTTTCATAGCTTCAAGGTATTTTTCAGTTCCATAGAAAAGGATGCCGGCTGGGTTCTTGGCAGTGAACAAACGAGCGTATGGATTTGTATTATTACGGATAGCTCGCTTCTTGATATTACTGATTGCAAAATATCGATCCTTCCAGTCAGCCAAGGTGAGAAGGTGGCCGTGGAGACTCGTCCATTCAACAAATATCTGAACTTGGTAGCGACGAAAATACTCATCAAGATCGTGTACAGTAAACTCCCCTGTGATTGTTAGCAAGATTTCTATATGAGAAGGAGGGTAGATACTTGCTGCTAATATCAGAATATAATACAACAACAATTGACTCTACCGCAGTCCAAATGGTAACCAACAACTTCTCAATTTCACGTACAACCTTCATTATCTCAGTAGAGCTAGGATCCGCCTTGGCTGGGTGTTTGATCGTAGGATCAAGAGGACGAATCCATCTAGGAGGGTTAACCGACAAGCTAATCTTTGGACGGACGTGTTCATCCTTCCAAATCTGGTCGTAGACTTCCTTGGGAACGGCACTAAAGAGGTCGTATGACAGAGTAAAATATGCTCCACCCTTTGCCAACTCAAAAGCTTTCTTATCATCGACCATGCTTGACGGTGGTGATTTTGGGAAAACAGAAACCGTTAGGGCGTCAAGTACTGCCTGTTGTACCTCTTTTCCACTCATGAATCTGTCACTTTCTTCCTTGAAAGGGCCCAACTCAGTATCGCTAGGGACATCGGAGAGATCAGAGCTGAGTTGTTCGTCGAGATCCATAGCATCACCTTCAGCAGCTGCGGCGATCTCGAAGGAGGGGCCAGCCTCAGCAGATCCATCAACTTCCATCGCGTCTCCTTTGGCAGATGCTTCGACCTCCAAAGATGTGTCAGACTCGATAGATACGATCATATCATTGACTGTAGCGCCCTCAGCAGATGGTTTCGATGGTACAGGGCTTCTCTCATCATGAGCATCGTTATCTTCTAGAGATTTGCCGTGTGGAGATCTGGCATTCGATCTGTTTTGCTCTAGTGGTGTAGCTACTTCAAATTGATCTAGAGAGTCGCCGGATTGGTTCTCGGTCGGAGAACTGATCTCCTCAGATGAGTCGCACATATTTTGCGCAGGGATTCTTCCGCTTGACATGGAGTCTAAATGTTCTGGAGAGGGGGCGCGTCCATCACGATTGTGGAAATGATGGCCCTGTGCGATGAATCCGTCTCTTCCAGCAAGATTGGCGCCAGTGTCCTCATCGACAATTTGCTCAAGACAGACCGGGTGGTCATACTCTGGCGAACCGTCGAGCTTCGACATGGGCGTTGGAGACAACGTCAAATCTATTATTTGCCGCTGTTCGACCCTGCTTCCATCCAGCAAAACTCCAGCTTCAGGCTCACCCTCAGCCTCAGATCCTGGCTCTGGCTCTGGTTCTGAGTCTGAGTCTGAGGAATATGTTAAATCTCGCGCCCGCTCTGGAACTGAGCCGATCTGCGACGGGAGATGGCCCTCGCAGAAATTGGAAGATGGAATTCTAACATGAGAATTGGAGCCGCGAGCTCTGGGGATTAGCGAATTCGTATAGGTTACCATATCCGAGGTTTTTCCAATTGAGTTAATTGAGTTCCTGATCTGTTCTTTCACCTCAAGTACATCCGGCATGCCTTCGTCGGTCTGGCTTTGTGCATCGGGACTGCTTAAGGCTGGAGAAGCTCCACTATTTATCACGGGTGACTCCTCAGTCAAATCAACTATTTCCCTCATCCCCCCGTTAGCTGCAGCGTGCGTGTCGGGATTTCGAGCTCCGAGGATTGCAGAAGTCGCGTGGTTGTTGATGGTTGAGTTGTGTGCCTGGTTGCCTGTGTTTTTCATTTCTTCGTCGGCTAGAGTTGCCGTATCAACACTGTAAGCTCTAGATACTGGAGAAATGCTTTTAGTTATTGAAGTTGGAGCTGCCTTATTTACCGAAATGTGAGGAGAATCAGCGATATTAACACCGCTGTCGAAGCGGGATGGTGAACGACCATGATAAGGCTTGTAGTAATCTTTTTCTTGCACGCTACCAGCAGGAGAAGGGGTCAAGTTGTATGGCACGGCACCTGGTGTCTGGAATGATCCATATTTTCCAGGGTCGGTAACGGATGGATGGTTTGTTCGGAGCATAAGTCCATTATTTGCTTCTGCTGGTACCGGGTCAGTGGGTTGTGCTGAGAATAATCTCTTTGGCGATAAAGTCAATAGAGCAGTTCCCATTTTTGGCGCTGACAATTCCAATGCTGATCCACCAGTTGTCTTCAATTTATTAGAGGGTGGAGAACCAGTTTGAATTGAAGGTAAATATCTTTCTCTGTAGGCCTTTATGGCAGGTGGGGTACTTAAGTGGAGGACTGGAGCACCATGTTCTTGAAGCTCCTTTGGCAATGTATCAACCTTGATTGTCTCGTATTTTTGACGACGAGACCTTTCTGGCATTTGATTATTTGACTTGAAAGGTAAAGACTGTAGCTTTTGTGGTTGTCCGGAATGTGAATTGACATTCGAGGTGGGCTTTGTAATGGCTGAAGTGTCTTTTTTGACTTGGCTCGAATGAGAATACTCGATATTATTTTTTCGTGTGGTTGCTCCAGGGACTTTTTTATCTGGTGGGAAGTTAGTGTTAATACAAAGTGCACCTTTGCCAAGACGACCTTTGAGGTAATATTGAGCTTCTTTAGGACGAGGCTGAACGTTTTTGGTAAAAGTTCGGGTTTCTTGGGCAGAGAGTTGAGGCTCAGGTTCCATATTCCACTCCGAATACCTAATATTCTGGAGAGTTCTTGCTTCATCAGCTTCCTTGTCAACTACGAGACTGGATGACTTGTCTCCAGCTGGTTTATCAACAATGCTGCTTGGCTTAGGCTTCTCAACCATTCCCTCTCCATCTGATGATAGTTTTGGTGAATACATAAATGGGCTATCTTCAACGCGTTCAGTAGTAGGAAAATCAAGAACGTTGACATCCCTGAGAGCTTGTACAGGAGGAGAAGTAACAGCAGCTTGAAAAGGTGATGGGACAGAATCAAGGAAACTTGGTGTTGCGACAAGTGTATCAATAGAATTGAGGAAGCTCGGTGGAGGATTTGGTCGCGGTGTTCCTGTTGATGAAGGACCTCCACTTGAGATGCTTCGATTTCCACGTTGATGACGTTTTTTACCCATGATTAAGATTGATAAATCAAGGGGAATACTGTCTTGCTGCTGACCAGAAATCACAATATTCTCGAGGTTGGTTGTGAGCTCAGTTGTAAGTTCATTAGAAATAACTGAATTTTGTGTGGGGGAGGATGGTGCGTTACTTTGTTGATATTTGATAGAGGAGCTAGAAGTGAATCCCGTGCGTGCTGAAAGTTTATGCCACTTACCCCAAACCCATTTACCATCAACAAGTTTTCCTATATTCTTGCGTCTGTCCCGATGGACTGTTCTGAGTTCTTTCCGGATGTCTAACATCTCACCAATGATTCATTTCTCTTCTTTCCGGACCATTTTGCTTGTGTATAAAAATTTTTGTTGGAGTAGTGTCCGAGAGTTGACCGGAAGGTGAAGCATTTGAGCACTTTGCACTTTGAATTCGTTTATTTAAGATTGGTCTGTCCTGTCCAGTACATATCACGGGATCTCTGAGTTCCCTAGGTTTGACCCAATGAGATCATACTAAGCCAGCTGTCTCCCGTACTATTGATGACAATTCAACTGGATTTAATGAATCCTGATCCCCATTCCCTTTGGATGTTCTCAATTCAAATCATGGTATGGTTGAGAACTCACTATTGTCTAATATTTCATTGTTATTTCTGAATCTTTACATATCATACAAATGTGACATGAGAACATATCTAAGTTGATCCTATTCAGAACTACATCAATCGTACAAACCGTACGTGAATAATAGAAGGTCTTGATCTTCACATTGGTAATATTGAATCTATATAGAATCATAAACAACCCCAGAATATGACTATGCTTAGACTATTGAGATTTCACATGGCTTTTTGCAGTTTCTTGACTTCCGCTCTACATTGCAGTTTAGGCTACTGGAAATCCTATTAATGGGCTGATTGTTCTTCTAGTCATATTATTATTATTTTAGTTCATTCAAAGATGCATTTAAGGAACACCAGTCCTGACCTCGGTCAATATTCATAATCTTTTCTCGGTTCTAATTGGAAGATATAAATACCTAGCTATTGTCAATATATATTAAGGCCTTGAAGTCTTTCATAAGACAAAGAGATGAGTCAAAGGGATGATCCAAGCTAAAAACATGCAAAGCATTCTCCAACTTCTTAATTTAGATTTCTCTTCAAACAAAGGCTATTCTTACCATCCAAATAGCCAAACAATATTTCTCGCGCGCTCTTCTGGATACCACTCCTGTCATGGAAATTTTCAACGAATATAATTTCAAAAACATGACATACAACACATTCCAAAGTAATGATTTCCAAGGAGGTCATGACGACGACTCAAGTCTCCTAGCTGAAACTTATAGGCCATGCAAAACTCTCTATATATCGACCACTACCGATACACATACGCTCTTAAATCTCAGTCCAAGTTCTCGCATATCATTTGTCAAAGAAACATTCATAATTTCAGTGTTTGATAGAAACATCATCCCTCATCGTGATTATGAATGTGCGTTTTCTTACGCAGGTAGAGAATTAACAGGTGACGAGACGTTGGAAAGTTGTCAGATTGGGGATGAAGCAACGGTAAATGCTGTTGTGTGGACTCTGGATCTTACCCTTCACAAGGGGCTTAAGCAGGAAAATGAGGATGCATCCTCTATGATTGGGCGTGATGATGAGCAGAAAACCAAGAGATCGGAACGTGTCAAAAGTGCACTAGGTTTATCAGACCCAGATGAAGACATGGAACAATCAAATTTACTTCTTCAACTTGGCCCGGTAACTAAGAAGCGAAAGGTTAGATTTGCTGATGAAATTGATGTTGTGTCACCTCCACAAACACCTTTTCACATCCCATCAACTTCAAAATTTTCGGGACCTCAAGGTTATTCGATGTCAGGTGGATTAGGACAAGGAAGTAAAGCTATACATTTCCACGATACTTTGGTCCAAAATGCTACTAAATATGCTTTTCCTCAAACAGGTTCTCTTGGAGAACTTCCACCGCCCAAGCATTTGAAACCAACTTTAAAATATCCGCCACCTTTCGATATATATACGGGACAAGAAAAATCATTTAAGCCAGTATACGATTCTCTTGGGAATCTCATCGCACAAAAGGAGGTTTCTCAAGCGAATTGCGTGGAAATAATGATCTGTCGTCAAATTCAAGCAAAGACCCTTTACCTGCAGTACGGAACACCGTGTATATTCAACCTCCGGGAACTAGACCAATATCTAAATCCTTACCTCCAACGTCGGCTCGTGGGTCGTTAAATCCTTTTCGTGCTGCAACAACTCCACCTAGAGATTCATATCAATCATTGTTTGGTCCCCGTGCTGAGCAGACACCTTCAATTAGCTCAACCTCACTGCACACCTCTCAAACATTATTTCCTTCAACTCAGAGAACTCCTTCATTTAGCTCAGCATCAAATTTTGCGCCTTAAACCTCGCTTCCTTTAACTGAGCTTAAGTCTTTATTCAAAGATCCTCCACTGTCTCATGCGCCATCAACTTCAAAGGTACAATCGTTATCGGACTTATTGATTAAGAAACATTTCTCTTCACGACCTCCGATTGCAGCTTCTAAATCAATAGTTAAACCATCGTCTACTCTTCCACCATCAGATTCTCCCTTCTCAACACAGCACCACCATCTAGGCTCCTCCAATCATTAAATCCCTACTTTTCTCCCCCATCACCATCTCCGCCATCGTCTCGATCACCTTCTACTCTGCAATCATTAAATCCTTATTTTACAAACGCATCACCGCCTCCTCCGAAATATCCCCCTTCTCGATCAATACATACTCCCAACTACAATTCACCACAACTCACAAAACAATCTCCAATGGAGTCAGACTATTTACAAGCAGCGAGTCGAAAAGCCACACCTTCAGAATCTAAACACCACCCATTACACTCGCCTCTCCCACCTCCGCCTCCTCCTCCTCATGTTAGAATCGAGCCGCCATCCCCAGCACACTCACTAAACGCGCATCGACCTCCAGCTGATTTTTCAGATCGTTTACAAGCTGAACCTCCCTCAGACACGGAGATAAACGATAAACCGCAGTCAGCGGCACCCACGAGACAGCCACCGCCACCTCCTCCTATTTGGCGCTCTCCTCGTCTTCATAAACCTTCTCCTTCTCCTCCTCCTCCACCCTCCCTTGCTCAAAAACCATACAAACTATCCTACATTCCCCTCTTCTATAAATACGACACTCTTCCACCCTCCCAACCCCAGAACCTACACCCCCAATACCATCTTCAGAACCAACAGATCTACCACCCATAAAACCTGCAAAAGTATTCAGCAAATCCGATCCAGAACCAACATACTACTCTCCCCTCCATCCACTCCCAAAAGACCTTCGTCTCAAAGGCGCAGTTTTCATCCCCTCACTCGCGCATGAAATCCTACCTGAAGATTTCTTAGCTTGTAGAACCTTAAAATAACTGATAAAACTTCAGGGATGGGAAATGAGTGAGAGAGAATGGTTAGCTGTGTGGGAAGTATTGGAGAATTGTGACAAAGGGGAGAAAGGAGCTAGAGGGAATTTAGAGGTACTTATTAGGGGAATGGTTGACATTGAAGAGCTGTGGGAAAAAGGGGATAGTGAGTGTTAATTTTAATGGGAGAAATTATGGATTTGTGGAGGGTTTGTGGATATTTGGAAGATATGGTTTCATCGACGAAATGACTTGGGAGTGGAAGGGGAAAGTTGTTGCATGATGCTTTGATTTAATAGTACCTTCTAGCGAGATAATGAGGCGGCAAAAAGATGGATGCATAAATACATAACTGGATTTTATATATTTCAAGAAAGATATAAGGTGGATAGGTAATTAAGAAAATAAAAGGGCAGGAGAAATAGAAGGAGCCGCTAGAAGATATAAAGCATATTTACGGATTTCGGATACCAAGGATACAAATACCACAATAGATAGATATAGAACACAGAATAGATTTCATTTCATCTCATTTCGTTTTGTTCCCAACCACAACCACACACATCTCATTTCCCCCAATACTACGAATAACTAACCCTATAATACCCAATACCCAATAACCATACACACCATGCATATATAATATCACCAACTACCTACCTAACTTTACACCTAAGTACTCAAGTACTCAAGTACTCAAGATTGAATAGAAAAAATACAATATCTAAACATCAGCTCACCTTCATTAATTGCTAAGAAGTATTAGTTATGTCACTTATAAGATCTTATACCTACTAGGTACCTAATATATCAAGTTACTCACATCACTTCACATCACATCACATTCATAAACTACCTACCTAGGTAATTAATCTTACAAACGCAATATCTTATTAGGAACCATTAGGTAGGTACCAAAGCTTAAGAACATTCAAAAGCATAATACAATACGATACGATACGACACAATAACAGTTCCTTCCGTCTGCACCAACTGTTCCTTAGGTATTCACCTATTCACCTATTCGCATTAACATTCCCATTAACAACAACATTAACAATCAAAAAATGCACCATTACCCCCAGATCCTCAGATTCAGATATCTAGTAGATCCAGAGCTTCTATACCCATCCATATAAAAGGTTTGATTTTTGGGGGGTAGGGGGGGTTATAAATTTGGTTTACTTCTATTGATATCTACAGCTACCTACGTATGCAACAAATACATTAGGTGCTTTTGTTCTTCCCCCATTAGGTTTCTCCTGGTGAGAATATCTCTTGTTGGGTATTTCATATCTGCTATTTTATGTATTTTATCTATCTACCCATCTACAAATTCCTGGAATAGGAAAATTACACCATCTTTCACATCTCTTACAACTCACTTTCACGTTATTCTTCCCCTCTGAATCCTCATCCTCTACCCCGCATCTCCATCCAACCCACCACTCTAACCCTCAAACTTCAAACCTCAAACTTCAAACCCCACCATGCCACCACAACCCTCACCAAACCAACCCCCTCCCCCGGAAACCCCTAAAACCCAAGCCCCAACCTCATCCCTAGAACCGAAAAGAAAACCTCGAGAAAACAAAACAGAAGCACAGAAACTAGCACGTCATGAAGTGCGCCGTAAAATACGGAGGGAAAGAGAAAAAGAAAGGGGATTAAATAATCTTCCTAATCACGAGACTGAATCTGATACTGAGGAATGGAGAAGACGAGGTAGAGCGAGAGCGGCGGGAAAAAGGGATGGAAAGGATGAGAGAGGTGAGAAAGAAGAAAAACGAGGAATTCTGCAGAAAAGCCGGCAGAGTATTGGGAGCAAAATTATGGCGTTGGGACAGAAGGTTGCTGGTGGTGAAAGCGGAGGTGGAGTTGGAACTAGGAGCGGAGTTGTGGGGAAAGGTATTCTATATCCTAAGGGTGATGAGAAGGGGAGGGAGAAAGGAGGTAGGATTGATCGTTATGGCGGGGATGAGCCACATAGGAGGAGAAGAGTAAGACGCAGTACCGTGGGAGAGGAAACGGATGGTAAAGAACGAGATAGCATTTCCGGGGAGAAGCTAGTTCGATCTGATTATCAAGAATCTGCTCTACGGGTGCCTGAGCCTAGGAATAATCATAGGGAGAAAGAAGCTCGAGACTCTCCTCCTCGTTTAGACAATACTCCAGCAAAACCAGTACCGTTACCATCACCATCACCTTCTCCGGCAGTAAAAGAGCTAAAAGATACTGATTCAAAACGCCTCGGGAAAGAAGGAGAAGAACTCCGCCTCTGCGAAGCAAAACAACAACAAATAGCCAAACGAGCTCGGGAAGAACGCGAAAGAGCACAACAAGAGACAAATAAACAAGCTCTCCGAGTCCAAGCCCTCGAAGCCCAGGGAGTGAAAAGGGAAAAAGAGGAAAATGATCGTGCTGTAAAAGAGAAATTAGCATTGGAGAAAGAAAAAGAAAAACAACGGAAAAATAACCACCACCTAGAACTTACTCTTAAAGCCAAAGAAGAACACCCCGCTCATCTCAAGCAAGTTGAGCTAGATACCCAGCACCAAGCTATCGCTCACCGTATCAAGAGACAGAAGGAAGAAGCGCGTCTAGCACAGCAAAAGGCAGCACTTCTTCAAGCCGAAACCATTCGTCTTGAAAAAATCAAACGGGAAAAAGAACAAGAACAAGAACAGGCAAGAGAAATTTCTCGAAAGAAAGAAGAAGAAGAACGATTAGCGCGAGAAAACCAACGACGGATCGAAGCGCAACGACATTTAGAGATGCAACGTAGAGCACTCGAGTTTGAGAAAGTTAGACGAGAATTAGAGAAAGAAGCAGAGAAGCAGAGAGAGAAAGAACAAGCACGCAAAAGAGCAGAAACAGAACGTCTAGCTCTCGAAAAACAACGCGTTAAAGCCCAAGCTATCAAAGCCGAAGCAGAAAAAGCAGTCTGTTATAAAGCAGACGAAGAGAAAAAACACCAAGAGCGTCTGCGCAAACAAGCTGAAGCGGCTAAGTTAGACGCTGCTCGGATCCGCGCAAATGCACCTGCTAATTATACGCCTGCTGCTATGAAAGTAGCGGCTTTACTTGCTCAGAAACAAGTACAAATACAAATACAAAACCCAAACCCAAACCCAAGCCCACCTTCCCCTAACAACAATAACAACAACAAAGACGCCGCTCTCCTCTCCCCCCTCATCCCCGCACAACCACAAAATAAAGCAGCAGCAAAACCAGCCCCAGCAAAACCAGCAAAACTAACCCACCAAAACCTCAATCTCAATCCATCTCCTCAACCTGAACCTCACCCTCAACCCAAAAAATGCATAGGAAACATGGAACGAACGATTCTCGAAGGCTATGTACCGATGAACGCGGAAGAGATACGTGCAAAGGAGGTTGAGAGGGGTGAGAGAAGAGAAAAGAGATGTATAGGGAATATGGAGCGGACGATTTTAGAGGGTTATGTACCGATGAGTGAGGAGGAGATGAGGATGGGGAAGAGGGGGTGATATTGAGGGGGTCTGTTAGCTAGGATTGGGGAAGGAAGGGAGGGGGATATGTTGTTCTTATTGTTTTGTTTTTGTTTTTGATCTGGCCTGGATATTCGGAATTGGTAGTTTGTAGAACTACTAAGTTTCTACTTTAGTAACACAACTCTGGTAGCGTTCATGAATCCCTTTAATTGAATTTCAATTCTCAGGAGTGGTTTCTCTCTCCATTCCTTCATTTCTATAAATATGCATACCTTCCCTCGCCCAAGACGCCTAAATCCGCCTTATCCGGACCGAAATGCTTAACATTACTTAACACCTAACCTCAATACCACCCCTACTAATAGTCAAATACTTCACCCCTTTATAAGGTTTAATGCCCTCTCCCAATCCTCTACTCTTCCTCGTATCAATCGTTAGACTCTCCACTTTGATCCCACTAGCCAGCCACCCTTTAACTGAAAAGCTAACTGCTGCTGAACTAGGCATTAGGATTTTATTCTGCGCTACTTTTCTTGCATCTTTGCTTTCATTATTTGAGGTAGTCTCCACCTTCGTTTTCTCTGGAGCGCTTTGATATGTTTCTGTGTCATAATCATATTCCCCATCGAGTCTGAAACCATTCCCATCGTACTCTTCTTCGCTTGATAATGGTCCCACGACTGTACATCGTAAGGTTGCTCCACCTGCCATCGCATCTCTGGCTGGTATATGCCATTCTAGATTCTTTTCACCTGGATTATATGTTGTGTCGCCTCTACTCGCTTTAATCTCCGATAAATTCCGTACGTCAGCTGGTAATGGTACTGTAACTACTAAGTCTTCGATGATGGGTGATGTGCTATTACCACTACTGCCACCAATATTGCCACTAAGACCCCCGCTGAATTGTGACGCGGCCCGGCTCAAATGTGCTACGGCATTGCTATTTCCTCTTGAATTCGAACCCGAGGATAAAGGGGAATTACCCTGACCAGAAACCTTGACAATGAATAGTCGAACCTCGAAATCAGACCCGGTTGGACCAAGACTAGTTTTAACTTCGATATTGACAGGTAATTTTAGATGAGATGAATTTGTAGTACCAGATTTTCCACCCGTAGAAGGGAGTAAATCGACTTCATATCCAGCTAAAACAAACCGTCCATCTGGCGGTACGAAGCTTAGTTCCCCTGGCTTTTCTCTCCATCTCGCTAACCTCACACATGGATGAAATACTGGTAATTCCATAACACTGCTCACATTTTGTCTACCAGACGGCGTGGACAAATTTAGAAGGAGATCCGGTACTCCAGATATCTTTGATGTAAACGCAATAGTTCCATTTGCAAACGCAGCCAATGGTCGACCAGACGGGGCAAGAGTAACAGTGAGTGATTCAACCAAATCCACATATAATTCATTCGAAGTATGTCGTACATTTGCTCTTCTCCAAGGTAGTGCTGGTGTATTCGCTGCAAGTGTTCCTGTGGAGGATAATCCAGACATGCCCGAAGTGGAGGGAGTTGCAAAGCCGGGTTTTCTGCAGAGATCTTAGTACTCCTTCTAAACTTCCAATCGTATCTCATGAAGTCTATATACTAACCCAGGAATAGTTATACCCCCTAGAAGCTTCCCAATCCATCCTTCCACCTCCACCATATCTCTTAAAGCATTAGGTTCCGTTGAGCTAACTGTGCCCGCATCACACATCTCATTTAAAAGCTGAGCCACAACATCATAGCTACTTTCTATCTTTTGCGCCAGTAATGGCGCACCCACAAATTCTTCCAAGACATCAATGACTCGATGTAAGAACTCGAGGGCTAGGAGGGGTTCGATTTCTGAGGAGGAAGTGAGGCAAAATAGCAAGTTTGAATGGATGAGGCTGAAAAGAAGAGTGGGCTGAGATGTGTTGGGGAGGTATATCAGACTAGGTCGCGGTGCAGGATGGGCCAGGTAAAGCGGGAGGAGCTGTGTGGAGGAGAGAGGCCGCGAAGTATAGGTGTTTTGTAGAAGAGGTCGACTGCATTGGTTAGCATGGGAGCTTAGGAACCTAGGAGCCAGCAAAATGGAGAGTAAGAGAGGCAGTGCGCCAGGAAGGATTGAAGCTATAAATCAGAGGGAATTACTTACTTATGTTCATCATAAATATACAATGCCTCAATAGCACCATTCATTTTTCCGTTGAATATTATCAAGACATTTGTTTTAGAACTTATACCTTGGATAATGATTTGGATGCATGCTTGTGATGCTCCTCGTGGGGCGACCCGCAGCGGAACAATGATGCGGCCGCTTATAATTCTCAAGTGCGGAATTCCCAGCTATAAACAAGCTTCGAATAAATATACGAGTAAGACACACAACTCCCAGAATTCAGAATGGCACCAAATACTATACACTCCCTCGATCGACAGGAAAAACTCACCGACGTGCTGAAAAAAGACGAGGCGCAATGGAAAGATGATTGTTTACCATGTCGACTTACCGGTATGATTTCCTCTGCTACCCCTCCAATTCCTCAAGTTCCTTCTAATTCCCTCCTCCGCCTTTCACCTCTCTAATTCCCTGCAATTCCTCTCATATACCCTCTCTCTTGTCTCACAGCGCCCATGATTTTACGTACCTATCCCCAAAAACACACAAACAACGTTCTAAACCCCTCCAACAGGATCCACGGCATTCATCGGCCTAGGTATCTACAGTTACTTTTCCGGGCAATCCCAACTAAAAGCTCAAGAAGCGAAAATCCTCAAGAGCAAATCCATGTTTGGCATGAAGAGTCGGCAAACTGGTATTACTGGTATTGCATTGACGCTTGTTGGCATGGGACTTTGGAGATTGAAGAATTAGGTTGTCTGGGTTATGGGACGAGAATCTCGTGAATAAAGGTTGGCGTTTGGGAGCTTGGGACATTCCCTTCACTCGAGTGAGACGATACTACAGGACAGATGAAGGATGGATGAGAGGATGAAAGGTGCCTGGAAAAAATGTGTTCTATGAATGCATGATGGTATCTAACAATAACTATACAAATGTTTCTCGCTCGCTCAAGCATATTCCGCAACCGCCTGCCCCTCACTAGAAGCTTTCGTCTCCCAATGACTCTTTTCCTTTCGCAATTGCGACTTCACAAATATCATCGTGAGGCAAACCCAAACGAAACCGAAAACATATGGCAATCCCCACCCGACTCCGAACCCGATATTCTCGGGTAGCGTCATTATGATGACTGTTGAAATGATGGCAATGCATACGAGACCAATGCCCCAAAACCAGGTTAGGACCATCATCATCCGTCGGAATATCGGACTGACTTCGTATCTCCTCATTACATTGCTTCGATATACGACTCCCCCTTGACCTTCTACTCCGCCGGCATCTTCGATGATGGCTAATATTGCAGGTCGCCAAGTTGTTCCCTTCTCTGTCGACGACATGTTGAACGGTAGTGTCTTTTTTCGCATCGTTTGAATCGCAGAGTATAAAAACATGAATCCGAACCAGTAGCATATCGTAGGGGAAGGCATAGCGCATAAGCGCACCCATGGATGGTGCGGAATGGTTCCTATAATTAGTTCTATTTCTACGAAGGTAATGGCAATCATGAAGTTGATATGGAGGAATTCAAGCTGAAGGGTTTATTAGCGACAAATTCAAACCATTGATTGACTCCAAAAGCTTACCATTCCCCATTTAGTCCATCCTACTGGTCTCCATCTTGGCGCCGTTTTTGCGCGAAAGAGTTTCAGCGATCGAAAAGCGTAATGGGAGAAACTAATCATTCCATATACACTTGTTATAATAGCGAAGACTAAGTGTTATGATTAAACTGGTGAAAAGATGAGTGGAAATAACGAATAAGGGCTTACTATCTTGTAACTTTAGCCCTGTGCCAAAACTCAATGCATAGTAATATGTGATTGGAAGGCAAGCAAGGTCAAGCGTCACGAGGATAAGTCCAACCCATAATATCGTTTTCCTCCTTCGATGTGGTGTGTGTAAAGGAGGTAATGGTTCTCTTATCCCGAATGTTTGTGAAGGTGATGAATTTTCACTTGGTGTATGGAGATTGTGCGTTGATGATTCCGGCGGCTGAAGTGGCGTGTTGGTGTCCAGCACATCTTGTGCATTCTGCATTCCTTCATTCTCTAATTGTGTATTTGATCCTCCATCGTGATGTCCTAGATGGTCTAAATGGTTACGATGTTCGGCCTCTTTGATCTCTTCATCTTTGAATGCATTGAACTCCGGCATGTTTAATAGATAGAAATAGTTCATGCGCTCGCCATGGGGCAGATACCTATGTTTTTGTGACCTCTTCACGGCAATCTCGGAAAAAGCAATGAACGAATGAAAAGAATTGCAAAGTTTAAGGTTTTATAAACTTTAAATGATTGATGGTGTTGTTCTGAATTGTCTGTGATAAGAAGTGGAAAGAAAAGAATGTGCTTGATAATTACGAAAAGGTAACATTTCTCTATCGTGATCAAATCGCATCAGGTATCGGATGCTCTGAGATATGCTGGTTGATGATGTAATTGTCAATCCTCCATTAAAAAGAAGTGGTTTCCCTCTTGGAACCACTGAAAACGATAAGTCCTGATTGGAGATTTACCATTTGACCGTGCGCCAAGCCTTCTCAAATCAAGACTTTCAGCCTTGGCTTTGCGAGGCCTCGCGCTAAGAAAAATGTTTACGAGTAGATTATTGTGAAGCTTGGATCTGTTTGGAGGGTCATTTGGTTCCGCATCAATATTCACAGCCTCGTGTCAAAAAAATTGTACTTGTCTATTTACATCATGGCAATTACAATTATTGCACCGACTTCCGCCGCCATTCCTCATCATACAGAAGATGTCTCTGATCAATCTGATGATGGAGGTGTTGATTTGGAAGGGGATCTTGATATGCGACCTGCCAAACGGGCAAAGCATCAAGACATTGTTACACCTGGTGAAATAATCACGGATGACCCTCAATGGATGAGGTATAACTCCTTTAATCTACAAATTCCCTAGCAACAGTCATAGCTAACAATACTTCTAGAGGTCATGGCACATATGTAGCTCCTGGAAGTACTGAAATTATAGGAACTGTCGCAGGTACGGTTCAGAAAACGAACAAACTTCTCTCAGTACGACCATTACGCGCCCGCTATACGCCAGAAATTGGTGATCTTGTTGTCGGACGAATTATAGAAGTACAAAGCAAGAGGTGGCGTGTTGATATTGGAGCTCCTGTTCTTGCAAATTTACCACTATCTGCGATCAATCTTCCAGGAGGAATTCAAAGAAAGAGAACGGAAACTGATGAACTTCAAATACGAACATTCTTTTCCGAAGGGGATTTACTGGTTGCCGAAGTCCAACAATTATATCAGGATGGTAGTGCTAGTTTGCACACGAGAAGTTTGAAATATGGGAAACTAAGGAATGGTGTTTTCATGGCTGTTAGTGGAACTGGTGGTGGTGGAGGTGTGGTTCGCGCCAGAAGACAAGTCTGGACTATCGATACGGTACACAACGGTGGGAAGGTAGATGTCATTTTGGGAGTCAATGGATTTATCTGGATATGCAAAAATGTCGAAGTGAAGGATGGAGAAACTTCTATTACAAGGATCGAGGAGAGTGTTAGCAGCGCGGCGTATTCAAGTCAAAACGATGACATTACTCCAGAAACTAGGAGGGAAATTGCAAGAATAAAGGGGGTCATTCAATTGTTGGTGGAAGAAGGATTGAGGGTTGATGAAGAAATGGTCATGAAAGCCTATGAAGCTGCTGTCGAGGTAGATGATGAGGAAGAGGGTGAAAGTAGCGCATATGTCGGAGGAGAGGTAGGCAAACGGGTCATAAGTCTAATAAGTGGAACATGACAACAGTATTGATACTCAATGAACATCAAGTACAAAGAATGTACACAATTTTTTAAGAACAATATGGCAGCCGAGGTAAGGCGGCAACAAGTAACCAACTGTTAATGAAACAGATAGAAATGCAATAAACATCAAAGACAAAAATTGTATACAATTTCTAATAGGAGATTGATATAGCAGCCGAGGTAGAATGGCAATAAGTAGCCGGCGTGATTACTTGTTGATGGCAATAATGGAGAGAAACAATGAACACGGCCTTCAAAATTTTCTTGTTCTGGAACTCCTGAAGCTCCGGAGACACTTTGGGCTTCGGAAAGAGATTTTCGGCTATCAACCTATCATCAGTTCCCAACAGGCTAGCCTCCGTGATACCAATTGACCAAAACAGTCAAGTATCGATTATGCATGACAGACCAGCAGTTTATTGCCGAAAGTGGCTCCCAAAGATAGAAACAGTCAATGTCAAGTCCGAATCTCCAATTTATGAAAGAGGGTAAGGCTGAATAAGCATAACTTTTTAATGTTAGTAATCCTAGTACTCCGGCGTTTGAAAGATCACGTCGTCCAATCATTGACATTCCCGAAACATAATGTGCACTTTTCCATGTCTTACATAATTAAAAATGCCATAGATCTGATAACCTGTTTTGGTTCATCGGAGTTAGAGTTTCTTTTCTGAGATAAGGGTACTGGGATACTCCATCTTTCCCACCGATGTGATGCCGTTTTGAGTTCCGGCACATTCCAAACTCCTGCCGCTATCAAATTCTTTTTTCACTCGATCCGATTATCAGCGGGATTCGAGCCAGAAGTGACAAGTTTTTGGCAGCGTAGAATAAGATGGAAGGCTAAATGGCAACGGATTATTTCCATTTTAGGAAAGACCTGTCGTTTCGGAGACTACTTGGGAATTTATTCTAGATTCAGTTTTGCCCTATGGAGTGGATCGAGAACATGTCATTGATTTCGGAGTTTGCGAGAGTAGGTGAGAATATTTGCATCATGCCAGCAAATCTTCACTGGGTTCGGGGTTGATGTCAACTTGAGGATCGGTGTATATATACATCAGGTCTGGTCTCGCTTTTTATATTCTTCTTCACTATCATCAACATCATCAATACAATCATCACTTCAATCAACAATCAACTCTTCACATCTTCACATCTTCGGTACTCACTACCAACTACCAACTACTCAATACTCAATCAACAATACTACTACCTTTCAAACCGTTTACATCAAACAGCACATCTATCAAAATGGTTCAATTCACTGTCTTCAAGGGTTCCAAGGAGGGAAAGATCGTTAAGGCTACCACCACCAGAGAGGTTGGTGCCAATGAAGTCTTGGTCAAGATCACTCACTCGGTAAGAGACCCATTCTACCTTAATCCCAAGTACCACAATCCACTATTCCCAAAGTTGCTCGCATATGCAACCGAAGCATTGGGATATCCCAGCAGCTGCATCGAATATTCTCCGAACACATCATTAACATTAGATAATAGGGTCTTTGCGGTACCGATGAGCATTACAGACATGCCGATATGGCTCTAGGCCACGAGGGTGCCGGTGTCGCTGAGGTGGGTACTTTCACTCCTTATCTTCCGTTCTTTCTACTCCTGGCGCGATTGGAGAATTTGAGTGGAACTTTTGCATAATGCATTAAACATCAATCAATCTTCATTACCGTCTAGACTTGACTAGGAAACATCCTTTTCATAAAACCAATAACTAACAATTTCACAGCAAGTTGGATCTGCTGTCAAGAACATCAAGAAGGGTGATTCCGTCGGATGGGGTTACCAACACAACTCTTGCAATGACTGCAAGCAATGTCTCACTGGTCACGAGACTCTCTGCGCCGGTCGTGTCATGTATGGTGAGGCCAACTTGGACCAAGCATCCATGGGAACTCACGCAGTCTGGGATGCCGGATTCCTCTTCAAGATCCCTGACAACCTTGCCCGCGAATATGCCGCTCCCCTCATGTGTGGAGGTGCCACTGTCTACAATGCTCTCCGCTCCTTCAACGGTGGTGTCAAGCCAAGCGAACGTGTCGGTATCATCGGTATTGGAGGACTTGGTCACTTGGCGATTCAATTCGCCGCTAAGATGGGTTGCGAAGTCGTCGTTTTCTCCTCCACTGACGCTAAGAAAGAGGAGGCTCTTTCCCTTGGTGCCACTGAATTCGTCGCTACAAAGGGTGTCTCCGAACTCAAGGTCACAGCTCCAATTGATCACTTGATCGTCACCACCTCTTTCCAACCAAACTGGCATCAATTCATGGAGATCATGGCTCCTCAAGCTACCATCTACCCATTGACCGTCTCATTCGAAGATATGAGCATCCCATACATGCCAATCATCTTGAACGAGTTCAAGATCCAAGGATCTTTGGTCGCAGCTAGACAAGTCCACAGAGATATGTTGGCATTCGCTGCCCACCACGAGATCAAGCCAATCATTGAGCAATTCCCAATGAGCGAGGAAGGTATCCAAGAGGCCATGAAGAAACTCGAGGATGGCAAGATGAGATACAGAGGTGTTATCGTCGCTCCTCAATAAATTTGAGGTGTGACTTTGACTTGAACTTGATGAACATAGGCTTTGGATAACATGGATTATGATAGATTTGGATGGGTTGTGATTTAATGGGTTGGAGTTGAACATGCGGATATCTGGATGGATGATTGTAATGATAGCGTTGGGAAAAATATTTAGACTGATAGATAATCTTTTTTACAATATATCTTTTTGAAAATTACCTTTTTTGTTCCTCGCTTGGTTGGTTGGTTGGTTGCTTATTTGCTTATTCACTTGATCTCCATCTCGTCTCCCTGTAACGATACTGTACTAAAGGCAGCGGCTGCCTAAGGTTCGTCGGTTGGTAGTTATAGGTTAAGGCTTTATCACTGGTATTCACTTAAAAGTGAATTCGTTACTAGATCAAATAGAATGTAGGTAAACTAATTGATAACTAAGTTGAGCACGAAGCTCCTAGGGCTCCTTATCACGTGATTTCTGATGGTGCGTGCATACACGATCTTCAGGTGACCAAGAACACATACTAATTCGATGAAATCTGATCGTGTTTGCACAAGGCCTAAGCTCTCCTAATTAATCAGTTTGCTACCATCGTAACACCATCAATCCTAATGGTGAATCGTGACACTCCCCTTTCCAAATTCCCATCTTGAAATAAAAAGTAAGTGAGAATCCAATCTAAGACTTATCTACATACCCTCTACGTAGGAGAAAAAACAGGCCGGAACTGACCATACAAAATGGTACGTGTACCTTCACCAATGTAAAAGGTATTCTTTTTTTAATTAAATAATTATGATTATTTATAAAAATCTGAAAGAATAAAACTGACTAAAAGATAATTGAATATATATTTAATCACTTTATGAAAAAAATTTTATATAATTTTAAAGAAACAAATAAGTAAATGATTATATATCAGATTGGGATTTAAATTATTGTTGTTACAACGGCTATCTTCTATGCCGCGTCACATGACTAAACCAAGGTAACGTGATTAAAGTCACGTTATGGACCGCTGAGGAACGCTGGCTGTCCAGGACCGCGCAGCGGTCCTGACTAGCCATAGGCATGAAGGTCTATATAATCAAGATGGATTTCCTTTGTATAGAGCTTCATGCTCAAGATCAATCATTTAGTATACTCTACTATTAGTTACGAATAGCATATCATTATTGTCATTACTTTAAGTCCCTGCTTGACGCCTAGTTATAAACCTACCTCGAGAGCCTAGAGCACTCCCACGTGATCTAGACGGCTACCCTCGTAAAAATGTTCTACATTCTCAGAAGTTCGTTCTATGAGTTATGTACAAACCCATTTATCACCTAATCATAATCATAACCCTCACCCTCACCCTGTCCCTCCCCAAATCCCAATCCTCGAATCTGAACCCAAATCCTCGAAATAATAAAACACAACCTCCCTACACCTTTCAAGTTTCAAGTTTCAAGTTTCAACACAATCCAACATAATTCATCCCGAGCATTCCTACCCCATCCATCCACACCTCCAAGCTAAATACCCTCTGTATCTCTAAATAGATCTCGCTGCGTCGACTACTGCATCTTTAACTTTCTTATGGGTATTATGTCTATGCTTATGTGCATGTCTATGTTTTCTCCGTTCCTTTGCATCCATATGCATATGTTCAGTTCCAGGCCCCAACTCTGGTCCTGGCAACTGGTCGATTTCTTCATTCATCTCCGTCCAATTCCTCTCGGTATTCATATGAATATCCGCACCCTTTTGCACGAGCGTAGGACTCCGCACATGAATCTCCGGAGCCTTTTTTCCCTCTCTGACTAGTGCTCTTCTCTCCCCATCCCCAGTTCCCACCAACTCTCTCCCAATCCCTCCATTCGAATATACATTAATATTCTCCCCATATAAATCCCCCCCTCCAACACCAACTGCAACCTTACCATCACTAGTCTGTACCTCTCCTTCTCCCCGAATAAATCCACAACCCGGTCCCAAAACCCGACGACTACCCGACACCAAATTCGTCTTCTCAGCAAAAACATATCTGCGCGAGCGCGCCGTACTCGCTGATCGACCATCCATATCCATATCCACATCCATAGCCATCCGCTCTCCTAATTTTCCTCGGGGCCGGGTGGTTTCTCCAATATCCATCTCAGGTAAACATACATGTTCCCGAGGCGAATGGTAATCATGGTTAATCTCTACATAGATACTCGTACCGTCTAGTTCTCTTGCGGCCGGATACTTGATTGGAAATTTAGGGGGAGCTGGGGTGGGAAATGCGTTGCTTTTATCCCGGTTGTGAGCTGGAGGTGCTGCGTGTTTGGTGGTGTGGTGGCCGTGGAGAGCATGGGTTTGAGTGTTGGTTTGGTTGGGTGTGTGTGCTGGTTTGTGGGTGTGATGGCCATGGGGTGAGGTGGGAATTGTGAACTCGGTATTAAGAGGCCGGAAGGATTTGCAGTGGCTTTGTGGTGGGAGCTCGAGGAACGGAACGCGTGGGTTTGAGGATGGGGAGGAGAGTTTATGGGGCTGGGAAAGGAGTTGTGCGGGATGAGATTCGGGGTTGGTAGGGAAGAAGAGAGGGGAATAGGAGTGCTGGATTGTAAAGTGTTGGGATTGGTTGGTTGGTGATTCGGACGTGCGTTGAAACTTAGTGGTATTTTTTGGGGTCAAGAAGGAGGTAATTGTGTACTGGCTTGTTGATTTACCTTCCGACTCTCCTTAAGTTTCCTCCCTTTTCGTTCTCGAACAATCTCCTCCTCATTTCTTTTTTTAATCTTCGCTGCGCATGCTTCGTCGATGTAGATATCATGTGGTTTTTGATTTCCTTGTGGAATGTCCTTAAGCTTCCTTACTCTTCGTTCTTGAAGGGTTTCTTCCTCATTTCGACGATTAGTCTTTGCTCGTTCTTCTTTCTGATGAGAATTTGAGTTTTCGATTCCCTCTCCTATCGGCGCTTGTTGGTAAGATGACTTTGACACGGGTTTTCTTGTGAGAATAGCGCGGGATGGGGCGTCTGGTTTAGAATTTGTATGAATAGCAGAATCTACACGATTTCGTGCTACAGCATCTCGTACCGGATCAAAAATTGCTGGAAACGATGATGGTAGATCGTATTGTAAATGGCCTTGGTAATTTTGGTGCTGATGATTGTTACTCACACATCTACTTCCAATCACCCAAGTTTCCTTCTCAGGGGGATTATTTGCCGACGTCAGTAACTCAGCAGGAAACCTCTTAGAACCTATTAGAGTCCCCACCTGCGAAGTTCCAGATGTCTTATACGATCGTACATAATTTTCAGGAGCAGAATGTGCAAGAGGACTCTGCCGACCCCAAGGTTTTCCACTCATTCCCAACTCAACACTTGGATACTCAGAGCCATTATCCGCATATCCGATAGTTACCCGAGGAGAATCATGAGCGGGTAGTTTGTCAGAGTATGACGAATAGCCTCCGTCTCTTTGCCATATCGACCTTTGATACCCATCCGTCTTACTATAATCTATCGTTGTACCACTCCTAGAGGGACCTACCGGGATAGATGTTTTTGGAGGTGCATCATGTTTGGCCTTCTCGGGATGTCTTCGAGATTTATTCGGATAGTTATTGATGTTTTCGTCTTTACTGACACTCTCAAGTCCCATTGCTTGAGCCATCTGGTGTAATTCCATACTAAGTGAATTTTTAGCAACCATTTAGATGGATTAGGAGTAAAACAATTAGAAAGATTTATCAATGTTTGATTATCCATTTAGATCAAGGGGAAATAAGAGAAACCAATACGTACCTACTCTCAACTGAGTCCGGCTCCAGGTGAGCCATTTTCAAATTCTTAAGAGCTTTCCCTTTACCTCCTCCTAACCAACGTAATCCTGCACCAAGTGCCTCGTGTAATGGAACATCAGGCATTTTGTGCTGTATGTGATTGTGAATGCTTGGTTAATGTCTGTTGTACATTGATAGTATTAATATAATGTTGAATGAAAAGGATGTATATCAACAGAGTTGTAAGTTAACGGAATACGTATTTTGTTTTCGGAAAATGATGCGGAACATCAATAGAGCTCTGGAGGCTCTAGGATACTTGCAAAGTAATTTAGCTTGATGATTAAGATTTATGAATGTTGAAATGGGTTATGTTTAGTAGGGTCACTACAGAAGCAAAAATCACGTTAAACGAGGATTGTAGTAAATGTTCGTTATAGCCAATAGGGCTTTTAATGTAATTAATCGCGGAAGTTTTTATATCCAAGCTTTTCTTCTTAGATTATGTGAAAACAAAGTTGGAATAATCAAAAAAGAAACTAATAACAAAGCTGTGCAATAGCTCAGTATTATGCATTTAATCTGACTCCACATATGCCTCCCTCCTTCCTGAATTACATACGTATTAATGATTCAATAAGAACATCGCATTAATATTGAAATCATCGAATACGAGAGAAGAACGTTTTAAATTTTAAGTGAGAAATAATGACGACAAGAAGTGAAGACACAAAAGAAAACAAATATCACCAATCGATTGCTCCTAAAACCTCATCCATCCATACCAAGCAACCAACAACAAATCCAAAAACAACAAGAACAAATAAACACAAAACCAGCAAAATGATAACCGAAGCCATTACCCAAAGTTCTCATGCGCATGAGGTTGTGGCCAATATCCTTTTTAACGGCACCAAGCAGTAACTTAATATGACCTAGCCAGGAGGCACCTCATTCCTACTCCGCTAGACCAGTCATATTGGTTGAGGGCAGTGTGGTTATTCAGATATACATTGGTGGCGAGGAGTGAATAATCATGGAGAGTTTTCCTCTTCACGAGCGGTAATGAAGAACTGGCTGGAATTGGTTCGTTTGGGTAGATGTTTTGTTGATGTTATGGTTATTGGGGTATTAATCAATTTGTGTTAAAATAATGGATTGGATTGGCAGCTTCGGATGCTTGGTTTGTAGCTGCGTAATGCGAGGTTGTTCTTGCTTGGAGGGGAATTGAAGGTTTTGATAGTTTGAATTGCATCAGACGATGAGGATTTTGAATAAATTTCCATCGAACCTATTTGTAATACCCAGACTGATTTAGAATATCTAATCCAAGTGAGTTATTGTATATATTTCAGTTGGTAACACTACTACGTCAACTCTGCTGGTTTGGACGGCTGCCACACTGGATGATGTTTTCAACCTCTCAACTCTCGTTTGCTTCCTGGCCCATGTAAAGGGGCCATACACAAACCTAGTTGTGCAAAGAAGATATAATTCTTTTTATTCTACTACCAGGAGCCGAACTTAATAAAACATGAAAGGAAAGAAGTGTCTCTTTCATCCCAAAAGAACTTCAGGAGGGAAGCAGAATGAATATTCAGTACAAATCAAAGTAGAATTACACTACCTAGTAGGTCCCAATACAAGGGCATCGCAAAGCCAATCCCTCACCTTGCTACAACATGTCACTCTAATAAACAACAGCCAACTCCTTATCCGAAAGTCATCTCTCACCTCAAGTCCCAAGACTTATCGTCCATATCCTCAGAGCACTCTATCAGCATGCATACATCTCTCAAACGCTTTCTCAAGACTTCCTGATCAAAAGCTGATATTAACAAGATACATAGCTCAACAAAACCATTTCCTACACGCCACACATTACAGAGAACAACCATCGACATCGGGGAACGAGGCAAGACAACAAAAGAATAAATACACATCCTCAAAGGGAAAAAAAGAGGGAAGATGACAGTAATCCCACATACCTTCATCTGAAAAACATAATAGATCACCACAGTATCCTTTGTTCAAAACCCGAACCCAGCTTACAAACCACCTCCACCTCCTCACCCCTCACCAAAGCCACCGCCCATTCTCGCCCAGCCAATACTTATCGTCCGACATGCAACAAAACCTTTATTTCCCTCCCACTCACACTAGCACTAGCACTCCCGCTCCCTATCCGCCCCCACACACAACCCTTATCATTCCAACTCCAACTCCAACCCCAACTCCAAGCTCCAAGCCCCATGCTCAAAACTCAAAGCAAAGCCCAAGCTCTCCGAGTCATCCCTACTTTCCAACCAGTCCATACCCCATACAAAGACCTCCGTAAATTCCGATAGACAAGACTACGACTTACTCGGTGACACGAAAACAGAACGACAAAACATGACTCGGGCATGGACAAGTTCGCTTCAAGCCGGAAGCACATATGCAAGAGTCCGGGCCGGGTTAGATAGAATATTGCGCAAAATTAGATTTCTTGGCACGGATAGTTTCTCTGACATTATCCCGAGATTTCTTGGCACGGGCGCATGTTTCAACCTGCATTCCTTCTTCTTAGCTTCTTCCCTAGCTCCATCCTTGAATTTGGATTTTGGAATCGGCAGTGGGAATTGTCGAATTGGTTAATAATAAGGTTAACCTCATATAATAAGGTTAAAATATAAAAATAGACTTCCAGAACCTCAACATGATTTTCTCGATATTTAACATATACCAAACAAAATTAAACATTAACATTAACAATAACCATACATCTGACCCCGTGGTCGAAGACAAAAAGCCAAAAGATTAGTAAAGATAAGATAAAAATAAAATCAAAAAAAGAATGTTCAAGCCAAACAAACACGAGTCAAACAAACCCAGCACGACGCCCTGCCCAGAAACAACCACCCATCTTGGCGATAAGACCCCTTGGCACCAAGCCATGCTATCAAAAAAAGAGAAGAAAAAATCCCAGCAAAAATCACCCGCCGAGTCGACAACAAAGAAAAAGGAAACAACCCCCAAGAAATCCCGACATGCAACAAAACCTCTATCTTTTCCTCTCTGGGCTCTCTGTCCCGCTGCATTGTGCCGTTTACACGTAATACCAAGAATTCCCAAGAGATTGAGATATGCAACAAATGCAATGTGTTTCTATTGATGCTGGGTGGAGATCACATTACTTTTTTAATCTTTGGGGTGCTGGGGGTGAGTTAGTGTGATGTTTTGTATGTATGGATATATGCATGTGTATTTGCGGACTGATTAATGGCAATATGAAATTGGATTTGCTTGTAGTTGAGCATAATGATAGTACAAAAGGGTAAAAACAAAACGTAAAGGGAAACGAAAGTCTTCTAGTACTATTATTCATAGCTGGGTTCTGTATTCCCTCGGTGTATCAAAAGAAAATATCCTCAAAAATAATTAATCAAGCCTTCACCTCAAAAAGGAAGGTAACCCGCTACCAAATTTTGCATCCCAAACCCTCTTGGATCCATACGCAACGAAAGCGAGAATTGCCCACCTAAGAAGCACTCCCTTAATGCTTTCACCACCAAGGCTCGTCACAAAACCCAACCAGTAACCTAAACCTCTAACCTCATTGCCTTCCCTGTCGAAATTTGGTTTCTTCGTACTGGTTTTGCGGAACTGGACGAGTTTGGCATTGGTATATGGTGGATAGCGGACATTGAGCATTTTTTCGATCCAGCTAGGAGTTGTGGCAACGGAACGACGATGAGTGAAGGCGTGGAAGGATTGCTGGCCTCGATAACTACCAGTTCCACTGTCGCCGACGCCTCCAAAGGCAAGAGTAGGTATCGAGCCGTGGAAGAAGGCATCATTGACGGTAGCACCACCAGATGTGATGCTGTTGAGTACTAAAAGAAGTGTTAATGATGGATACATAAGGATAGCTGAAATGTGGATACGGAATCGTAACATAAATCACTTGGCACTGATCTTAAAATTGATTCCCACGAATGCGCGTCGTAAAGATGACGTATCGTCACAAACACAGAACTATCTGTATAATGTAGTAAACTACTATGACAGGCGTTCGCCAGCACTGAACGGTGACCATTTTTCATCTCACAAAATGCATTAAATGGCATCACCTGGAGGTTCTTTTCATCTACATGTACAGATAATGGAAGAAATACAATATGAAAGTTACACATACGCTTATCAGTTTCTTCCTTCGTTCCAAATGGATAGAAGCCCAATGGAGTCGCGTGAACATCGTGAGCAATATTGATGGCTTCATCAAGGTTATTAATTGGAAGGATAGGGATCAAGGGACCAAAAGATTCATCCACCAGCATTGAATCATCTTTACTATCAACCAAAACCACAGTTGGCGCGATGAAATTCTCGGCCTCGTCCAATTCTCCACCAATTAGAATGCTTCCCTTCGTATCATCAAGCATCTTTTTGATTCTTAAAAATTGTCTATTGTTGACGATACGACCATAATCAGGGCTAGCTTTGGCACCTTGAGGGTAGAATTCTTTATAGGCGATCCTGAGCTGCTCAATGAAAGCATCCAGTATTTCTCTTTCCACCATGACATAGTTTTGGCCGATGCAAACCTGCCCGGCATTAAGGGTCTTACCCCATAACAATCTTCTAGCTGCAAGAGCAGGATCCGCGTTCTTTGATACAATAGCTGGGTTTCTACCACCAAGCTCCAAAGCGACCGGGGTCAAAGTCTCAGCAGCTTTTTTCGCGATGATGGTCCCTACTGTTGCGCCTCCAGTATAGAAGATCTTATCCCATTTCTCGTTCAACAGAGCGGTCGTCTCAGGGATAGCCCCATTGACGATATTATATGCTTCTGGATCGAGACTTTCCATAATCTTCTTCAGTACCATGGCAGTTTTGGGCGCCTGCTCTGAGGGCTTCAACACAGCTGTACATCCTGCGGCCATAGCTCCAACGAAAGGACCAAGCGACAACTGAACTGGGAAATTGAATGCACCGATTATCAAAGCAGTACCCAAAGGTTCCTTTCTGATCTTAGGGCTGAAAAGAGTATTGGTGAGGGGAATATCTGGTGCCGGCTCGTCCTTCATCCATTTTTTCAAATTCTTGCAAATAAAGATGATATCATTCTTCATCCAATCTATCTCTGTAAGACAAGTTTCGAAAGCGGGTTTCTCAAGATCGCTCTTTTCTGCTTCGATAAGAGCATCGCTGTTATCGTGAATAGCCCAATAGAGTTTTCGAAGTTGCTTCAAACGATATTCGATTGGCTTGGTTCGTTGCGAACGAAAGGTTGTTCGGAGTAGTTTAGCCGTGGTGGGGATAGATTCAAGAGAGGTGTGCTCGAAAGGAGCTATCTTAACAGACGCCATTGTTCCTTTGATGGTTGAACAACTTGTGATGTATCTTTTGGTTTGGCTTTATTGAAAAGGCAGGTAGGAAAATGCTTATCAACTATTATACAAATGAACGATAATTATAAAGAGTGAGAGTTCTTTGTGCTTCCCCTCCATTAGGTATCTAAACATGTAAACCGAGGCAGCTTGTTTTTATCCGACTGAATTCCAGTAATGAAGGGTCAAAGACAAGTAGGGATGGGGATGGGGTAACCGAACCTACAACTTTTTTTTACATGTGCTACCAAGAAGCTCGCTCGGAAAAACATTTCATTCGATGCAATTCGAATTTGTATTTAATTGTTTCACTTTTTATTCTTCCGAATCGGATATACCAAGTTGTTGGACCCGATTTACGAAATGATACCCACATCCGCTTTATCATGCCGTTCGTGTCACTTGCCCGCAGCTATCACCTAACCAAATAACCCATCCGACTAACCCATCCAGTTTGGGTGGCACTTCATAACTTTGTACATACAACATTCATCCTACATATGTTGCAATTGCTTTATACCAACCTCTTAACAACAACTTTCTTGTTGGCAATTATCCTCCCTCCAGCCGCGATAGTCTCAGGTACTGGTTCCTTTGCTTTAGGATTACTCAATTTCTGCTGAATCGTTTCAATGCCATCAACCAATTGACCAATATGTTCTCGATTCGAGTCTGTTTCCACCATCTTTCGGCGATATTGTTCCAATTCTTTCTTCCTCTCTTCTGTCAATCTCCATCCCACGGGGAATTTCGGCTTCGTTTTGAATACATGATGGCGCGTATCTAAAGGAACATCTTCGAATGTATCACCAGTCTATTTGAATTAGTTCCTGGCCATAAAGAATGATATCAAGACATACCTTTGCTTCTGCCAATAATGAATCAACCAGATCACCAAGATATCGCTTATTCTGGGCTTGTGATGGGTACATCTCACAACTCATTTTGACAATATCTGTTTCCGGGTTGAGTCTTGTACCAACCAATTTTCTAAGTTTGTCCGTTTGAACTTCTGTTAGTCCTGGCATGTCGGCAGGACAAAATTCCATAACAACTTTCTTCTCTGCTGGATGCTGCTCGCCCATGTATGAAGTATACCTGAATCGTAAAGGAGTTTCCGTAGAAGGTGGCACGAATGGCTTTGCCAATTCTATACATCACTTCTTAGTGGATGCCCATGTTTCGACTTTGCCCCTTGGGAAACGTTAGGTAAACTCACTGCTCAACATTGGCATCTCCCATGCTGCCAATCTATTATAATGTCTGATTTCTCTAACTTGTTCCAACTCCATATGTGCCAAAGTCGTGATATCATCGTGGTCATCCTCTCTATCGTCCTCATCAAACGGTTCTGGGTCTCCCATGTTTAGAAATGTAGGCTTCAACTTCTTCTTCAAACCCTCGTCGAATCCATACGATGGTAGATTATTTGCATGACGAGCACCCGCATTCTCAAACAAATCGTCGATCTCTTCCATGAACTCATCCTCATCTGGTTCTGTTTCCTCGAGGTCCTTAAATTTCGGGTCGATTTTATACTGTCTTGGTGTGGTTGAAAATAACCTCCGTTGAGCAATTGCCTTGCTGGTGTATCTGGAGGTGATATTTCTGCATGAGCAGCATCGCGCTGTCATACGCAGACTTTGTAAGGCCGTGGCCATTGTGGTGATTATGGCTGATTCTTCCCTTTCTTGAATCTCCAGATGGAAATCATCCCGAAATAAACAATTTGGCGCTAGCCTATTTGATATTAGCAGTAAATTATCCCACATTATCGTCCTTCGGAAAATCTCGAACCACCGAGCGGTCAATCAGTTGACCCGAGAACCAATGTTATTGGAAAGCAAAGATACCTACTAGAAAGGGATTACTGTTAATAGTTCTGGTAGACAAACAAACACATCCCTCGACAGAGAGATCTATAACTACCACAATTGACAATTTCACATCTTACCATGCGATCGGCTCCAGAAGATGTACAATCAAAAGTTGCTTTTGTTACAGTTGGCGCGACTGCGACTTTCAAAGAGCTCATTGAAGAAGTGTTCGCATTACATACTCTACAGGCACTAGCTAAGGAAGGGTATACGAAACTCAGAGTACAAGCTGGGCTGGATGCCGACTATTGGAAAAAAAATATACCGACAGAGAAAGGACCCGGACTTGAGATCGAAGTATTCGATTTCGACCGTAATGGGCTAGGGCATGAGATGCGTCAATGTAAGCAAGGGGGATTTTATGGCACAGGAGAGAGTCTAGAAGGTGTAGTAATATCACACGCAGGTTAGTGGATATTCAAATAAGCAAATCATGTTTGAACATGTGATTAATGTTGGGACGATACAGGCTCAGGAACAATCCTTGATGCACTTCGAATTGGTGTACCACTCATTGTCGTGCCCAACACTTCACTACTCGATAATCACCAAGCTGAGTTGGCAGATGAACTGGAGAGACAAGGCTATGTCACCAAGGCATTGGGACCTCGGTAGGTGGACTTAAATGTTATGTTGTATCACACCAACAAATTAACTCGAGTCAATGTAGGGATTTGAAAGAGGCCATTTACAAAGTTGAGAGGAAGAAAGATGGCCGTTTAGCCGAAAAGGAAAACTGGCAAGAACGTAAAAACTGGAGAGGACATGGAAACCCCAGTGTGGCACCAGTTCTTGATGAAGCTGCCAATTACGAGGAGGAAATTAGGAGTTCGCTGGATTAGATGTGTGGATAAAGTTCTGGGTAATGTTTCAACGACTTTATGAAGACGGAGTTATCGGGAGAGGAGTTTCTTCATTTTGGTCATTGGGAGTTGGATTGGATTGCAAAGATACCCTCAGGTTTATGTAATAGTTCCGTGGATTTCAATTCCTTTCCACACCTACAAGTCGGATGATATCAGAAAAGGAAACTCGAAATATCAGATTTCTGGAGATCGAGAAACGCTTGGCAATCTGGATTGATCTTGCATCGAATCATCACAATCCATATTGGCGATGATATATTGTAGATTTGGTGTGGCATTCTTCATTTATGATCAAATTACCTAAAATGAGAAAATGGTCGTCATCACCATCAATCGCCTAACATCTATACGGAGTAGTTATCTTATTGTACAAAGGGGTACCTATCAGCTTTATCACATGAAGTTATCCCCCGCAGTTGTGCGTCCTGCATCGTTCATCGTGCATGCGGGCATGCATAAAATTGATGAGCACGTTAATCAGGTGGATCATTCCTTGGCAATCTATACGCGAGTTCTCAAACCTCTTCTCCGCGACCCTTACACGACCTCTTCCCAATCATGCACCTCTCGACGAATAATCTTAAATCAATGCCTTACCGCCGTCTTTGTGTTACGTGTTCTTCAAAGCAGAGACATGGATACTCGAACCCCCTCTACCCAATGTCAAGGCAGTTTTGGGATGGATGACCTGCCCGCGACATCAGATGTGCACCAAGTAGTTTGGTATTTCATAGTTTCTTTGATTCTTCCAAGAAACCCGACACAAGTATGCCAAGTCTTGTAGGCGATTATTCTCCACGTTTTCTAAGCAGTCGCTCACATAGCCTATCGCGGGGCATCCACTGCGAATTGTTTAGCTTTGTACAAAGGCATCGAGGGGTCAGAGAGTCATAACGCGTCTCGCATATATTTGTACGCTCTTCGTTTCTTCTTTAATCCGAGGTTGACGAGATATCACCGAGTGATGATCTTGATCTTTTTTTATCTGGATCTTTTTTTATCATCATGATTCCAGCGTTATAGGGTTCACCGATCCGCGCTGTGGTGCTTCGGTACTCAAAGCTTAGCATTCTTAGCTCTAGTAACCATGCAACATCGTGGGGAATAGGCGAACAAAGCTTACCTCTAGACGAACAAAGCTCACCTCTAGGGCCACCAAAACTTCCATTTAGTCGGGTGGACAGGAACTATGATCATTCGCTATCACAAAAAAAAAATAGGGGTGAGGGGGAGGGGGGGTGATAAGGCCTCGTAGAGACGGGCCGACGGTGAAGTCTCTAAGCTTTGATTTCTACCTGCTTTCGGGTTTCACATGAAAAGTTTATGGAATTCAGGTATTAGCATACTTTCCGGTACCTGCCAATGTACCCTGCGTGCAGTGATATCCACGCCTCAACGTCATTTTTCGATTAGTCAATTTTCATGTATACTCACGGTGCATTCGTATTCTTCTGCACGTTCTCTTCATCCAAATTTTCCAAATTAATTGGCGTAGAATGCTGTCCTCCTCATGCACCCTGCGTATTAGTTGCCTCCAATGCTGTGGGCAATTCAGCTATGGCTCATGTCGGCAGATTTTTCCGGAATATTTGCATGGTGAGGCCGATATCATCATAGCTTATAGATTTATATAAGTACACACAACATCTCTTCATCTCTACATCATTCTCCAAACAGAAGACAATAAACATACAGACATTCATTCACATTCATTCATTCATGATGCATTCCAAAACTTTCCTGCTCACTTCTCTTGCAGCTGGTGGACTTCTTCCAGCAGTTCTTGCAGCTCCTGCCCCTAGACCTCAGATGAATTATGCCGAGCAATCAGCAGCTATAGCTGGTGTATCTGCACCACTACCTACTGCTACAGCCGCCTCCGGGTCGCTTTATGGACATAAATCACTTTTGGGCGAATCCGGGAAGTCATCTTCTCTGTCTAAAGCGGATTCCGCCATCATGCCAGATACCCCACTTGTCATTGGTCAGGAAGCAGATTCAGACCTGGGTTTATTTCTGGATTTCAACAGTGTTGACAATCCTCAGCCTATTCGAGGGTCGACAGGTGAAACTGATCCTGGGCCACGTAAGTTTGGAATAAATGTCACCGAAGAAATTCAAATCTAACATTATCATAGAAACATATGAGTATCAGAGGTTGAATCCTGATCTCCTCGCTCCACCAGGAACAGACAGTGGAGATATGCCACAAGCCCAATGGCCAATGGGAATGTCCCACAATAGGTTGGGCGTTGGCAAGAAATCAGGATGGGCAAGACAACAAAACACTGGTCAAATGCCTATTGCGACTGAAATGGCTGGTGTAGATATGCGTCTTGCACCAGGAGCATACCGAGAGTTACACTGGCACACAGCAAATGAATGGTCATTGGTGCTAAAAGGAAGTGTACGAATCTCTGCTGTTAACGAGAAAGGTGAAAGCTTCATCGATGATATTAGCGCAGGCGATGTATGGTTCTTCCCAGCCGGTGTTCCTCACTCTATTCAAGCGCTGGATGAGGGCTGTGAGTTTTTGTTGATTTTCGACGATGGAGATTTCTCAGAAGATGGCACTTGTAAGCATTATTCCTTTTTCATTTTATACTACTCGATAATTTTATTTCCTCATATTCCTCCACACTATTTTTGACACATAACTAACTTCCAACCCTAGTCCTCGTCTCCGAGATGTTTCTCCGAAACCCTAAATCAGTCCTCTCCAAGAACTTTCAAACCCCTGTTTCCTCCTTCGACAAACTTCCATCCGATCAACTATACATCTTCAACGGCACCCCCGCACCAGCCAACATCTCCACGCAAAACCAAACCAGCGACGCAGGCCCCCTCCCTCAGAAAGATTCCTACACCTACCACTTCTCGCAACAAGAACCCTACACCGTCCCAGGTGGATCCGTCAAAATAATCGACACAACCACCTTCCCGATCGCCGCCAACTTCGCCGCCGCCCTCGTCACCATCGAGCCCGGTGCCATGCGCGAACTCCACTGGCATCTCACATCCGACGAATGGAATTACTTCCTCTCCGGCTCCGCTCGCATCACCATCTACTCCGCTCCTAGCAGCAGTCGCACTTTCGACTACACGGCCGGAGACGTAGGATACATTCCCGCCAGTAACTCGCATTACATTGAGAACACCGGTACGGAAGATGTGGTCTTTTTGGAGGTGTTGCAACAACCGGTCTTTAGTGATATTAGTGTGGCTCAATGGTTGGCGTTGACTCCTAGACAGGTCGTTAAGGATACCTTGGGCTTGCCGGATGATGTTATTGATTCGCTTCCGCATGAGAAGACTTTGATTAAGGTTGGGAATAGAAATATGACGGCCTTGGCGGCAGATGAGAAGGGAAGTGGTGCTTATGAGTAGAGTTGTGGGAATGGATATGGGTGGATTTCTGATATTTGTATGGGGGATGTTTCAGGATTGATGTATTAGTAAAGTTTCACTTCGACTTCGACTTTTGGGCCCGGTTTTTATAACTTTTTTATTTCTTTTTCAGTCGCTTAGGGTATTTACACAAATGGCTATTTTCTTTTTTAACTTATACTTTGTGTCTTGAATGAATGTGACAAATGGATTTATTGTGAGTATTGTGTATGAACTTTGAGATATTCTTTAAGATCTATACTCATCTATACTCGTCTTGAAAAGGATCTCTAGTCTACCATTTTAAGGTAACGATATCCACAGCAATTTCACCCCAAAGTCTTTCTCCTCTAATTTTCTCCTAACCTCTATCTTCTTAACCTCCAACTTCTCTTGGCCTTCATCTTTCTCTTAACCTTCACCTTCCTCTCAACCTCCATCTTCCTATCTACTCCCCTATCTCTCCACCCTCCCCACAAACCCCTTCTCTAGAATCCCGACCAACTCATCCAACCTCCTCACCACCAAATCCGTACACTCATGTTCCCACAACTGCCCATTAACACTATTCCCCAAGAGCACCGTTGCGGCCCCTGCCGCAAACCCAGCTTTCATATCATCGATCGAATCGCCCACCATAATCGTATCGGCTGGATTGACATTCCACTCCTTTGCTATGTGGAGAATTCCTGCGGGATGAGGTTTTGGAGGTCGGAATTCGCGGGTTATGATGGGCGAGAATGGGGTTTGTGGAAGGTGGGTGGTAAGGAGGTGGTGGACTGGGGGTGGGTGGTTGCGTGTTAGGATTGCGAGGGGGAGGGGAGGTGTAAGGGTTGCGAGATAGGTGAAGAGGGTTTGAAGGCCTGGGGTTTGGTTGTTTGTTAGTATAGAATGGGGAATTAGTGAAGGAGAAATGGTGAAATACCTGGTTGGGGAACTTGGGTGAGCATGGCTTCGCGTTCTATAGTGCGGATTTTCTCATGAGCTGCTTCTTGGTCGGAGACAGGGAGGGAATAGATGTGGTCCAGGATGTCGATGGATTTGTCGATTCCCAGAGCGTTTCGCATTTGCCCGAACCTATTGTGGGTTAAGGAAGGAATGACAATGGATACTGATACGAGGCGGAGTTCAAAGGAGTGTGTCGTACTATACATACATGTAGGTCTGCGGTTCACTGTTGATAAGTTAGTCATAGCGTTCGAGAGGAAGCAGTTGATCAATATGGTGATTTTAATAGAAAGTATTTGTAGCTTGTGAAAGGGTGCGACAGAATATATCAATTCTAGATGCAGATAATGGCATGAGCTTACAAAACCATGAGCGACTCCTCACTGGCAAAATCCTTCTTGCAATCACATCAAGAAACACATGATTCAAGCACCGCTATCCAAGACATTCAATCCTTTTGTGTCATGAAATGAAGTCTAACAACTTGCCAGACTCTAGCCTCCAGAACGCTGTACAAAAATAACCATGCGAAACGAAACACAAGCAAAAGCAATCATCATTCCTTATCCCTCACCTGACTTTGCTCACTTCGAAACTTCAAAAGGAGCAGAATTTTCACCTCTTCACCCCAATCCTAAATTTTTGCTCTCTTCTCCCAAAATAACCCAAATATACATTTTCAGTCCCACAATACTATAAATCAAAACCTAAACTCAAATGACCAAAAAATTCAACATAAATCTACTCACCACAAAGTCCCATCCATATCAAAGATGATTCCTTTCAATGTTCTGATACCTTCTACCTCCGCTACCTCCGCTACCCCAATATCTCCATCCTTCCTCAATGGAGCAAAACGTCTCACTCCCTTCATATCTCCTCCAGCTGCAGCTAATGATCGTGTTGTCATACTGAAGGTCCTCTTACAGCGAATACCAGTACCTATACTCAAAGAGCTTGTGAGAGGTATGTCGGTAGAACAAATTTTCCTACTAACAATTGATCTAGATGCAAACTTAAGTACTGAAGAGAAGTGATTGGGAAGGATGTTCATCGTATTTACCAAGCAGATGGTTGAAGGTTATGTAAGAAAGATTATGATCTTCCTCGATCAAATATGGAAGTGGCGGATGTGGGGTTAATATGTAACCCCCACGTTATAGATTGTGATTAGTGCGACTTACCATTATCTTTCCACAACATCCTCTCCTCTTCTTTTCGATTAATACGTCGAGAACCATATATCAGATTGGCCAGTATTATGTATGTATAGTGTATACCTCGAATGCCATTGTCAATCTTAAGATATTTATCTACATTTCTCCACCAGTGCTTTAAGGTGATCTATGATCAAAAAGAAATCATAACTTAATTGCTAGTACTGTGCATTGGGTATATTCATTTCATCTGAGGGTTTTTCTCACAAGATCTTACCATATGTACATATCTTCACATTTGGAATATATACGGGTGCAAGGCGCCGTTGAATTGACTTGGTTAGTTCTGAACTTGAGCACACAGGCAAATCCAAGCAAATGAACCCACGACAAAGAGGAAGCAATCTTTGAAAAATCCAACCATCCGCTTTATGTATTGCAGTTCCAAAGCATTTTAATTTGAGCTACATCTATGTCTAGGTCTTGTGAAATGCAACTAAAGTGCTCTTCTCCTGTAGTTAAAACTATCAAAGTGTTCTCAATTCATAAATTTAAAAACCCCCTTACAGGTAGTTTGGTGGTCTCTTCCCTAGGCTAAAAACTCTCATCGCCATCGAAAGTCCCAACTTCTTCCTCATCAATGGGCTTCGACAGCGACAGTAGTAGCCGGTAGTAGCAGGAGCGGCACGTGCTTCCAGATTACCCTTCTCCATAAACCACATCTCATTTCCATCCCCAAACTCACCTCGGTCACCTCCACTCCCATTATCTCCACGAACACTCAAAACTCTCCCCCAAATGGAACCAAAAACAGCAGCATAGACGTAGCCAGAAGGATACAAATTGCACTCAAAACAACACATGCATTTTCGTGAGAGCTTCTCAAGCCTATATAGCCAATGAACTCTACCAGAATCAGCTCTATATCCCAAATATTAGAGTAAACCCGAAAAAGCTCTCAGGAAAAAGCTACAAATAGCTCAAAAATAATCAGGGAATATATCCATACCGACAACTTCACGACTGTAGCCCATATCATACCACCCGCTTCCAACTTAAGCATATTCAAATCCGTTGGCGTCATGATTTATATCACAGCATTGATGTTTTACGCTGTACCAAGGATTCTTGCGGAATTTCTGAAGGATTTTTTTCTTGATTTAAGCAATTCTTTTCTTGTGAATAGTTTGTATTGTCTATTCTATCTATCTACCCAAGTTCTTTATCCATATACGCAACTACAAATGATGCGGATGATATTTAAGGCAAAAATAAAGTAAACATCTATCCCGCTTCTTGCTCTTCTAGCGCCAAGTTTTACCCTGTAAAGGTTGTAAGGGATATTTTTGTTGTTGGCTGTGGCTTCTGAGTCATGGCAAGCATACATGGTTCTACCCTAGGAATAGGATTTACTTTATAAACAAATTAATGAAAACACATTACAATAAACAATAAATAATGTAGATATTAACAAACATCTACTGTGCTCGCTTACAAAGCTTACATAAAGTTGCTTCTCAAGCTCAAGTGGTTTTCCGAAGCGAAGGAAAAGGAGTAGAGTCATCCTGTTACCTGTATAATTTGGAAAATAACAAAAATTACTTTTGTCCCTATCTCTTTGATATAATTAGAAGAAGGTGGAGTTGTGAATAGACTTTTGCATTTTTGAATTCACTCATTTGATGCAAGGAATTTATGAAGTAACCAGTATGAAATTTAAACTAAAACTGTGAAAAAATTAAAGTAGTCTATCTATCATGGCATCATCTAGCAATTCTCTCCATATCCATCGGCGCAATGCATTCCAAAAGCCTGAACTCTTATTCAAAATAGGTCAAATAGCTCAAGTAATTTGAGAATATAAACTCATAAAGTCATAACTATATCCAAAATTTAAAGCCACATAGAAACTTCAAATACCTCAATCAACATCGATATTATACCAAGTGATTTCCAGTTCCAAATTCGAGACATTAGTTTGATATTTAAATTCAATATCTATATAGCCAATAGAAGGAAATGTCACTATATCACGGCGATAGAATAGAAATAAGAATCGAAGCAAGATTCGAGAATATGATATATCCAACAATAGCTAGCTACCAATCCGTATTATTTTAATACTAAACATTTATATATACACACACATACACACCACTACAAACCCCCAAACTTGCCCACAAACCCCGTCAACATAATAACATAACAACATTCCAATCCCCTAATCTATAAAAACCTCATCTTAATTCTCAAGTATATATACAAATACATACAATCAACCAACTTCAACCAACTCCAATTTCAACCAACACAAGACCTAAAACCAAAAAAAGCGCAAAAAATAAGCCATCTATCACTTCATCACATCATCCATCCATTATCCTAAGTTCCTGCTCCAAAAGCCAAAAGCCAAATTCCTCCACCAAAAGCGCACCCCCAGCCTCCCCTCCTCTCCAAATAGCTAATAACAATAAAGATAAAAAACATCTAATTAATATCCACCTACTCACCTATCCATCTATCTACCTATCTATCCACAATATCCAATCTCACACAACATAAACAGATGTCCCAAAAAACTGCAGTATAGTATAGTGCGACACAATATTGAAAAAGATATTGATATTGATATTGATGTTGGGGTATAAAATAATAATATACCTAGAGGATCTAGTTGTCTTTTTGGTATAGAGCTTGGAATGTGCGGGGAGTGGAATAGAGTATAGTATAACAATATTTGTGTGTATATGTAGAGAATATCCAAGTAGATTACTAGTACATACCTATCAACTGATCCATCTACTCACAATCCATCAAGCCAACCCAACCCAACTGATCCACCTATCTATGCTCCTCAAACACACATCAGCCTCAAACACACATACAAAAATCACAAAAAAAAAAACAAGTACAAAAAACAAACAATATATTCTTCAAAGTAGTATAATAATAACGCCCTACAACACGAATCCCAAGAGTCTGTTTACTACAGTAGCTAACTATATTCCTAATCCTATATTCCTATCTTCTGTATTTTCACGCAATCATTCCTCCGCCCATCGATTCATCCATTTACCCACATCGTTCTGATCCGCGGAATACAAATCATGCTACCTACACTTTATCAACGGCCCTACTTGATACAAAGAAGACTTTCCACATTCATAGACAAGACATACAATATGGAGATTTAAGACGAAGCCAGCTAGGGTATTCGTTCTCAAATCAGATATATCTCTTGATTATAAGTTTGATGAATACGATACGCCAAATAGATGCTCTTCGCTTCACAATGATATGAGAAATATGTGTAAACATGTCAATGCATTATGTTGAGTATGAAATTTTATGCACCTTGGGCCGCATAGCCCGAACCGTATAAGCCATTGCCAAAGGTTGCTTGGCGTCGACTTTCCTTATGGCTGTTATCTTCGGATTGCTTTCTAGGTGGTGGTGGTGGTAAGGGTCCTGCTGGAGCTGGACGCATTGGAAGAGTCGTGTTGAAATTTGGTCCAGTTGAGGAACCATTGCCATCGTGTGGGTCTGGTGCATTCAACGCGGCAAGCTTTGGTATCGAATTGGTGGTGCTGCCTCTTACAGGTAGACCGGGATGAAACCTTTCACTTCCTCGACCGGAAATACTGCCGTTCTTGGTAGGAGAACGAGATCTTTGGTGGTGGTTTTCGGTGTGTTGCGGAGAAGTTATCGTCGAACGTATATCAGCATTTTTTATGGGAATATCTCCAGATGTAGGGGTTTGCGAGGCATTTGGTGAATCGTCGCCGCGTAAAACATCTCTACTAGCTGGCGATAACTGAGGTGCAAGATGTGACTTGCGGTTGTCTCTCTCTAACATACTAACAGCCCACTCCCGGAGATCTACGGGGGTTCGCTTGGCAGCTTGGACGAAAGGTTCACGCTCCTATAGAGTGCGTTAGTATATTAACTTGAACGTTATTTTGGAAAAATGTAACTTACATAAAGCTCTTGAGGTGTGGGTCTCTCTTCTGGTGTCTTGGACATGCATTTCTGGATCATATCTTCAAGAATTTGAGGGAAAGCTTCGCTTTTTGGTAGTCTTGGCGCAGGCTCATAAACGATTTGTTGGAGAAGATCAAGAATACCAGATGGTGCACCATCCCCATCAGATAAGTGCTCACTAGCATCAAAAGGAAATTTTCCAATCGCCAGCTCCATAATGGCCAGACCAAAACTCCATACATCAGATTTTACAGTGTACTTTTGTCCTTGAATTCGTTCTGGCGCCATGTATGTCGATGTTCCAACAAAGGTATCTGCCACTGAGTTGACCAACTCTCCTGAAACTCCAAAATCACATAGCTTAATCTGACCCTTTGAATTTACCAAGATATTGGATGGTTTGATATCTCGATGCATGATATGATGTTTGATGTAAAGATATGTGAGACCTCCCAGGGTAGCTTCTGCGATCTTTCCTAGAACATCGACTCGAACTGGACCGAAATGTGTAGAGATTCTATCTAAAGACCTAAGGAATAGTTAGCTCCAGCATTCTAATCATATAGAGATCTTGAAGTCATCATACCCAACATCCATATATTCCATACACATAATAACATCATTGTTATCGCTCAAAAATGCACCATAAAAGTTGACGATATATTCCGAATTGCAGTCGTACATAATTTGTAGTTCTCGAACGATTCGACGACGCATTTCCTTCTTAGCTTCGACATGAATAACCTATGTTTGCATAAGAGGCTGTTTGAAGTACAAGTGCTCGAAATTTGTGCCAGCATACCTTTCTTGCCATTACCGTGCCTGTAGCCATATGTCTAACTTTGCTGACGGTTCCTCCATTTCCATGACCGAGATCTTTCAATACTTCTAGATCCTCTCTCTTCAAATCTAACTTGTATTCGATTCCAATTTCTAACTGTGCAGTCTGCCTGCTACTTTCATTGCTATTTCCACCAGGAATCTGTAAATCGCCCTCGGATGGTGCTGCAGCCCGAGGTGGGGGTGCATTCAATGCCAGACCTTTTACATTCTTCCTCTTCAATGTGCGCACCGAACCAATACCGTCCGACATTTTGTAAGGTTAGCCTGAAAGCTAACAGCAATGAAAGATGTCGAGGTAAAACGAGTTTGAAGACTTGCGCAAAGATATGTGGTTGAATTTCCTAGTCGGCGCTTGAGGAAGGTGCTCTCTGCACGAGCGTATGAGCAAGAAGTTAAATGCAATGATAATGAGTGAATGAATGAATGAATAAATAGATAGGTATTTGGTGAATTCCTTCAACCCCTATTATATGGATGAGTCTTTAAAGTGATCGAAATAATCAGGAGTTTGAATGAAGTAGATGGGATAGTTTACTTGTCGTCGAGGATTATAGGATTTGGTGGAGGAGGGACACAGTGAAAGCGGGACATTCGTTTGAGTTTGGCGCTATGGCAAATACTACTTACTATGTACAGTAATAAGAGCGTGGAGGCGCGGTTGGAGAGAAAATCGGGAAATATTGTCTGGGAAATTGGAACAATGAAAATGTACCTAAGTTTGTTGGAGGAGAAAAAAAAATATTATTGAAATGTCTTTTACCCCTTAAATGGTTGAGATGGTATTGGCCAACGTCCTTGGGGAAGGGGAGTTGAGATTTTAGCTAATAAGCCGCCAATATATATACATACTAGTTATATAGCACCAATATTATTGCTTCTGTTATCTTTGTGTAGTTGAAGCTATTCGTTCGTGCTTGTCTCATCTATATCTTAAGCCTCTACAGAGAACTTTGCATTGGCCATTCTTTGGTAGGCGCGTTTAGTATCTGGACGAATAAGAGTCTCAAGAAAGCTTGGGGGCCAAATGATGGAGACCAGAAGACCAAAAGACTTGAAGTATGAAGCGCTCTGTGCTGGAATACCCCACTGATCGTTAATTTCCAGAGTTCTACGGTACAGATTGATTGATTCATTTGCCTGACTGATGATAAGTACGTACAGAGGTAGTAGGTAGACCAAAGTAGGTAGACCAAAGTAGGTAGTAATGACTGCTTTGAATTACCTACCTAGTAGTTCTAGTTCTGGCTCTAGTTCCAGTTCCAGTTCCAGTTCTGGTTCTAGTTCTACTCCAATTCTACTTTTAGTTCTATTGAAAATTTTGTCATCCTACTATCTGTACCTACCTAGGTACCTGAAGCCATTACTTATTATTCCTTCCTACAGACACATCGGGCAGCCCTTGGTTCCAGACATGCATCCAACACATGTACTCCGTACAAGGATATTAGATACTGATCTGATATCTGAATGGGGAGAGTAAGTTTACTACTAGGCAGGTACCTTTAGATAGTACAGCTAAGAACTGTTTGGAGAAATAATTGATTTCCTGTTATTCATAATCAAAGCTTCCCTTGACTCGACCTGACAATTGATTCCAAATGTACATTCTATTATGAACTTATCGACATTGATGGTGGCATGTAGCAGCTATTGTATTGTGGCTAGAACCTGACTAGAACGACGGAAGCTATGCCGAATCCAGGGACAAATGTGGCGCATTTGGCCTTGAATTTGTGGCAGCCAATCACCTCCAAGCCTCACTTTCGGAACTCCCAGTCGCGAGAACTAAAAGGCTGCCAAAAAGTTGTCAAAGGCCAATCTTTCAATTTACTTTCAGCTTTCAACTACAATCCTTTTCACAAAAATTTATCACAATTGCTTTGTATGCGGCAATTGTGACCTAGTAGTCTTCATTCTTTCCTTCAATAATCAATTAAAAATTTAGTAAAGGACACCGCAATCATGAGTATGCGCGATCTGATTGACGGTGACGTCGAGGTTGATGAAGAGGAACTTGATGAGGAATTTGATGAGGAGACTGGCGAAGCTCGCTCAGCGGAGCCGCGACGACAAAATGGAGGCTTGGAGGATGATTCGAGTGAAGAAGAAGATGATGATGATGAGGAGGCAGCTCGTGCGGTATTTGGCTCTACTACTGAAATCACTATTTGCGCGTCGTCACTGACACATTTCTAGATTCGGGAAGGTTTTATTGTAGATGAAGATGAAGAAGACGATGATGACGCGAGAAGTAGGCGTCGCCGCAGAGAAAAGAAACGCCGGAGAGAGCAGCGTGAAGAGGAGGGTCTGGATGACGAAGATTTGGATCTCATCGGAGAGGCAAATCCAGAATGGGAGAGGAAGACTACACAGCAGGTTGGTTATATTTGAGTCTACCTAATTACTCTGCTAATATTCATGCAGCCAAAGTTTAAGCGTCTTAAGCGTGGCCACCGAGACGATAACGACCATGATCGTGAGCGCGGCCTGGACCAAATCTTCTCTGACGATGAAGAACAAGACGCACCTCTCGAGTATGAGCGTTCCTTCGCACGCCCAGATCATCGCATTGATGAATTCGCAGACTTTATCGAGGAAGACGAGCTGGAAGATGACGAAAGGGATAGACTTGCTGAGGAAAGAGAGGTGGCTCGTCCAAGAGAGAAGGGTTACGTTGGTGGTGCAGAAACAGCAGGTCTTGATAAGGATGCTTTAGATGATATGGAAGCTATTTTTGGAAATGGTGAGGATTACGATTGGGCTCTCGCTTTGGAAGATGAAGCCGAAGCAGCGGAAGCTGGCGACCAGAATCTTGAGCTAAAGGATGTCTTCGAACCTTCCCAGCTCGCAGAGAAGCTACTTACGGACGAGGATAATTTTATTCGATACTCTGATGAACCGGAACGATTCCAGCTCGACCGCAAGCCTTACAAACATTTACAAATTAGCGACGAACAGTTCAAGGAGGAAGCTCGATGGATCACAAGTCTCATTTGGCCGAAAAAGAACTTCAGTGGAGATATGCAAGCGCCATTCACCAAGGCTATCAGCAAAGTCTTAGAGTTCTTTGTTGTGGACGAAGTTGAAGTTCCTTACGTGTTTCAACACCGAAAGGATTATCTCATCCATGCCAGGAAGAGCAAAACACGATCGGATCCTAATAATCCAGATGGCCCCGATTACGAGGTAACCGCCGACAAGCTCTTGAATCAAGACGACCTCTGGCGCATTTTGGAACTCGACTTGAAGTTTAGGGCACTAATCGACAAGCGAAATGTTCTTGAAAAGACCTACGATAACCTGAAGCTGGCCGCCAGTATTAGTGATGCAACCTTTGAGCAAATGATACCGAACGCTCAGACCATGGAAGAGCTCCAGGATATTCAGGATTACCTCTATTTCCAGTATTCATCAGAAATCAAGTCTTTGCAAGGTTCCAATGGTGAAGTCAAAGAAAAACGAGCCGGGAACAAAGCATCAAGATTCGATCGTATACGCAAGAGCGGGGCTTACCAACTTGTACGAGCATATGGAATCACGGCCGATGAGATTGCCGGAAATCTTCTACTAGAAGGCCGCAAGAAATATACAGAGGACCCTCCTTTGAACCCAATTGATCTTGCCGACACCCTGACTAGCTCAGATGATTTCACCACAGGTGAAGCCGTTTTGAACGCAGCACGAAGCTTATATGCCGAGGAACTTTTTATGAGCCCGAAGATGCGCCAGCATTTCAGGAAACATCATTACATGGGAGGACTTGTCAGCTGTGCTAGAACAGATAAAGGTCTGAAAAAGATTGATGAACAACACCCATACTATGAACTCAAATACCTCAAGAATCAAACTTTTAGCGACATCGCTAGCAAGCCTGAAATGTTCTTAAAGATGTTGAAAGCCGAGGAAGAAGGTTTGTTAGAGGTTCGAGTATCTCTTCAAAATGAGCGGGATTTCCGACGACAAATTTTTGGAGAATTTAGATCTGATAACTACAGTGAGGTCGCTGATGCTTGGAATGACGAAAGACAAAAAGTTCTCGACATGGCATTCACGAAACTCGAAAGGACTATCACTAAAGGAGTGAAGGAAAGCATGCGAACAGAATGCCAAGATTCTATCCTTAAAGTTTGTCGAGAAGAATACTCAAGAAAACTTGATCAGGCGCCATACAAGCCAAAAGGCATGGTTTTGGGCACTATTCCTCGAGTTCTTGCTTTGTCCAATGGCAACGGTGATCCCGGTCGTGATGCTGTATGCTGGGCGTATGTTGAAGAAGACGGTCGAGTTTTGGACCACGGAAAGTTTGACAATCTCTCAAGAGATCACAGAGCTAGAGAAGCATTTGTCGAATTGGTACGCAGTAAGAAACCCGATGTTCTCGGAATTAGCGGGTTCTCTGTCGAGACTCATAAGCTTGTATTAAGCCTTAAAGAATTGGTGCAGGAACACTCTCTGCGAGGAAATGAGTTTGAGGATGAAAATGGTGAGGAGCGAACTGAGCCTCTGGACATTATTGTCGTGAACGATGAAGTAGCCCGACTATATAAAGACAGCCCAAGAGCCGCTGTTGATCACCCTGCATTTGCACCACTCGCCAGGTATTGTGTTGGTTTGGCTAAATATATTCAAAATCCAATGAAGGAGTACGCAGCCCTTGGGAAGGATATTGTTTCATTATCTTTCCACCCATGTCAACAGTTGTTACCCGAGGATAAGCTTCGAAGACAACTGGAAACTGCGATGGTAGATATGGTCAACCTTTGTGGAGTCAATATCAACGAAGCGGTCAATGACGCCTATACAGCAAACCTCTTGCCTTTCATCTGTGGTCTTGGTCCTCGAAAGGCTACCGCTGTCCTAAAATCCATCAATGCCAATGGTGGTGTGGTTAACACTCGCGAGGAGCTCGTTGGTGATCCAGATAACAACAAGCTGCCCGTCGTAGGTCCCCGAGTGTGGAATAACTGTGCCAGTTTTCTTTACATGGAGTATGACAGCGCAAATCCCGCTTCTGACTACCTTGACAATACTCGTGTGCACCCAGAGGACTATGAACTTGGTAGGAAAATGGCAGCTGATGCACTCGAGCTTGACGAAGAGGATGTAAAAGCAGAAGTGGATGAGGGCGGACCAGGAGCTATCGTCCGCAAGCTCATCAAGGATGACGAGCAGGAAAAAGTGAACGACCTAATTCTTGAAGAGTACGCCGATCAATTGGAGAGGAATTACAATCAACGCAAACGCGCCACACTCGAGACCATTCGTGCGGAATTGTTACAACCATATGAAGAACTGCGACGCAACTTTGGAATACTGTTGGATGATGATATTTTCACCATGTTGACCGGAGAAACTCATGAATCGTTATGCGAAGGCATGATCGTATCTGTTAACATCAGAGTGGCAAAGGATGACTTCATTATCGCTAAGCTGGATTCTGGCATTGAAGGCCGTGTCGAGAAAGACGATGGTTCAGATAACCCCAATGCCTCTCTTCATCGTTTATTCTCTGTTGGCCAAACTGCTCAAGCTAAACTGCTCGACGTTGACCGACGAAACTTCGCTGCCAGGCTATCATTTCGCGAGTCACAAATGCGACCATACAGGAAACGCATCGATCGCGATATAGGTACCTGGGACTCACTTCAAGAGCAAAAAGATAGGGAAGAGCTGCGCGAGAAAGACAAGGCCACCGGCCGCGTTCAACGAGTTGTCAAACACCCCCTCTTTAGACCATTCAATGCGACACAAGCTGAAGAGTACCTCGGTTCGCAAGCCCCTGGCGATGCTGTCATTCGTCCTTCGTCCAAAGGAAATGATCATTTGGCAGTTACGTGGAAAGTTGCTGATGGTGTGTACCAGCATCTTGATGTCTTGGAGCTACAAAAGGAGAATGAGTTCTCAGTTGGACGACAGTTGAGAATTGGCAACAAATACAACTATAGTGATCTCGATGAATTGATCGTGGATCATGTTAAGGCCATGTCCAAGAAGGTTGAAGAGATGATGCTGCATGAGAAATTCCAAAAAGGCAGCAGGGCTGACACAGGTAAGACTTGTTCATATTAAGTCATGAAATATAAGAAATGTACTGACATCATTTTCTAGAGCGTTGGTTGACCACCTACACTGAGGCCAACCCTAAGCGATCTGTATATGCCTTTTGTCTTGATACAAGACATCCTGGGTATTTCCATCTTTGCTTTAAAGCTGGCCAACAAGCGCGCGTCAATTCATGGGCCGTACGGGTCGTTCCTAATGCTTTTGAATTATTAAAGAGTCCATACCCTGATATGAAGGCTCTGTGTAATGGATTCAAACTGCGCCACGCTGCGGAAATGAACCGGAGATGATGAGGATTAGGGGGTATTTTGGGGTATTTTGGGGGCTAATGACCTGAGGGGGATGAGGGTCAAATATGATAGACAACCTACAATGCATTCTTCTACAACGTGTAACAAAAGTTTTCAGGGGTTAACTTTAGCATTTCAAGGGGTTCAAAATGGACGGTACTATCCATTAGGCTAAAAGCTAAAGCTAAGGCAAAAATTCGAGCCAAGTTTATGCGGAGTAATTAATTCAGATCTATTTACGAGTACATACCCAGTACCTGATAGTACTTTTCATGAAAAATAGAACTTGGGCAATTTATTAAATTATTAGTCGGTACCTTGGTTCTCTATTTTGCCATCCATATGAATTCATTTTCCTGTGCAGTAACACTCCAAACATTTACATCCGATAGATGATTATAATCCTTGAGCTTGTTACTGTACTTATAAGAGAGTTTGCACCAATACCATAATATAACTCCCGAGGTATTATGATTTCGGACGGAGTAGTCGTGTTTTGTGTATAGTTAGAGTATGTATATATACTCCGTACGGAGTAGATGAATCGATAGCTGAACTTAGAAATGATACCAGATGTAGGTAGGCACCTGGTTAATGTAGTGCTTATGTTTGACTGTTTGTTCCATGCTGTGTAGGTGTGCTGGATTCTTCATGTTTTATTTGTTGGTTGGGTTTTATGATCGGCTTTTATGATCGTCGTGTACTGAATGGGATGTCGAATTGGGATGTACCTGGAGTGGTGACCTTTTATTTGTTTATATGGTTGGATGGGTTACCTGGTATGTAAGATCTTACTTCTTCTAATCGAGTGTACTAAATAGGTATTCGATATTTGGGTACTTGGTATTTTGTTTTCATATATCTGTTTTGATGTATCGGTGTATTGATAAGTCTTACATATTGTATAGATTTTGTTACTCAATTCATAATTGATTCATAATTCTTTTTAATCAATATTCATAAAGAGCATTGACTGTTGTCAGCCGCTGACGGTGAGAGCTCAGCCCAGCCTTGAAGACTGGGCCGAGTACTATTTTCAGGGTTTACCAACGTAAGAAAGTTATCAAACAAGCAAATACAGCTCACGCATAGCATAACACCATGGCATAGCACAGTAGTCCAATATACGATCGAAAGGGACAAACGCCGTACCGAATAATACGTGGTATTATCAGAGACAAAACTCGATTCTAGACATCAACATACTCCATACATCTACGAAGGGAGATCCCAACCTCACTCTTAATTTAGACCTTTCTCCACTTCATAATTCACATTCTTTATCTGCATTGATTTTCCTGGAGTATTCGATCTTCCCCGGCCTTCTTTTCCTGCCACCACAAACCCTCTCACTCTCTCTCGCTCGACTTTGAACATCTTCACGACTTGTTACGGGATTTTCGGATGAGCGATCAGAGCGAGGGCAACAAATCAGAGCACAATGGCTGGCATGGAGCAATTAGAGATTCATAGCAAGGTGTGTGTGATATACGAAGTGGATATTATGGTTGTCTAATTGGATTTATGCAGTCGTATATTGTTCGATGGGTCAAGGTTGAGGAGAAACATACCATCTCATGGAGCGTTCAACCGCACAAAAAGTCAATGTGGGATAGCTCTGTTCTCTAAATTTAGAATAATTTATTGACTATATTAGAAACTTTGGAATTGTCAAGCATCCAGGACCAGGGGGATCATCATCAAGTAATGCCTCTACCCCGCGACAAGCTAATTTCGACGATGCTGTCCATTCCATGCAATCGCTGGATCACACTTCGCAGAGACGACTATCCGCTACGACCGATTCAAGAAATGATTCCTCCACAGCGCAAGAACAACTAAAGGCAAAAGGCTTCATATTAGTTGAATGGTGTGGAAAATGCGAGGCAGACAAGGTATCCATGGGTACATTTGCAGTGCCGGTTGGTCATGGTGGAATGTACGGATTGGTATTTGACAATACGTTCTCGAAACAAATATCTAAGACTGCCACCTTCGTTCTTCTTACGTATCCTTCTAATGCCCCTCCACACTCGACACATCTACAAAAGCTGCAGGGTCTGGATGGTACGCATGCACAAGTTGGAAGGAAACCAAGTCCGAATCCCTCCGCAGCAGCTTCAGAATCCGTGGAAAGTCTACAGAGTACCGCAATGGGTCGCGGTGCCAGTAGAAGCTCGATGATGAGTAGAAATGATAGTGAGAATGCCTTTTCGAGCTACCATGTGGGCGTGTTACAGAAGAGGAGAAGGAAGAAGGGGCAAGGATACGCTCGCAGATTTTTCTCTTTGGATTTTGCGACATGCACATTGTCCTATTACTATAGTCGCAATTCATCGGCGCTACGGGGAGCAATTCCATTGAGTTTAGCTGCCATTGCGGCAGACGAGAGAAGGAGGGAAATCAACATCGATTCTGGTGCGGAAATCTGGCATTTGAAAGCAAATAATGCAAAGGATTTTGAGGATTGGACGAAAGCTTTGGAGAAAGCTAGCAATAGTGCCAGGGGTGCTGTTGGAGCTGTCGATACCGAGGCGATGCCCACACCAGATGTAGGATTGAAAATTAGGACCAGCTATCTACATGCCCCATCGAACAAGGAAGAGGAGAATGAATGGGCCCAGATTGAAGGTCTCGTCAGTAGGATTGTAGGTACTAGGGATGCTGTTCGTAGATTGTCAAAGGATACCGCCACCCCAAATAGGAGACACTCAAGTCTTCTTGGGGCTCCTTCCGGAAGTCCTTTAGTTGAGGAGGCAGGTGATTACTTTACTCCACAAACCAACCAACCCCAGCAAACAAGTGAAAAGAAGTCTTTCTGGAAACGAAAGTCGACCACACCCACAGCCACACCTGGCACACCGCCAACTGTGCAACGCAGTATGACCGCACAACTTGCAGTTCCGGCTACTAGTGGTGAGGTGGAGGCAAGTGGAACAACTCCTCAAAAGTCAAAGACCTCATATGAGGAACAAAATATCCATGACCATTGCACGTCTTTGCTCAATGATCTAGATTCAGTACTTTCGGATTTTCAAACTTTGATAGCTAGCAGCAAACGTCGTCGTGTAGCAAACACTGTCCCTTTGTCTGCTAGATCTACACACAGCATTGATTCAACTTCTACAGCGGAATTCTATGATGCAGAGGCTGGAGATCCAGATCGTTCACAGGTTATGATTATAAATCGTAAGAGTGCAGAGGAAGAAACCATAGCGTCAGAAGCTGAGGAGGAAAAAGATGATTGTGGTGCTTCTACTTCTTCTAGTGGAGGAAGTGAAGAGGTCGAACATGTCAATGGTGCAGCAGCACTATTCCCAAGCAAGCCAAAGACTTTAGACCCTCTACCAATCAAGGTAGCTCCAAAGCGACGAAAGGGCATTCCACCTGCAACAGTTCTGCCTCCAAGTTTGATAGGATTCCTACGAAAGAACGTCGGTAAAGATCTGAGTACTATTAGTATGCCAGTCTCAGCCAACGAACCACTATCTTTACTACAACGCGTGGCAGAACAACTCGAGTATTGCAATATTTTAAATGCAGCTGCCGATCAAAAAGATTCTACAAAAAGATTGTTACATGTAGCAGCATTCGCCGTGTCACAATTTAGTAATAGCCGAGCCAAAGAGCGTGCAATTCGCAAACCTTTCAACCCAATGCTAGGAGAAACCTTCGAGCTCGTCCGAAGCGAACAAGAAGTTCCTGGAGGATTCCGTCTCCTCGTTGAGAAAGTCTCGCATCGTCCCGTTCGCATGGCATGTCAAGCCGATTCCGCTAAATGGTCATTTGGCCAATCACCAGCCCCAACACAAAAGTTTTGGGGTAAAAGTGCAGAACTTATTACGGAAGGTCGTGCGCGTTTGGTTCTTCGTCTTCCAGATGGAATCGAAGAACGTTATACATGGAATGTCGCAACTGCCTTTCTACGTAACGTCGTCATGGGTGAAAAATACGTAGAACCAGTGGGAAACATGACAGTCACGAATGAAAGTACAGGTGCAAAAGCTTTGGTAGAATTTAAACAAAAAGGCATGTTTGGAGGTAGAAGTGAAGATGTAGGTGTGGAGGCCTATGATGGGGAAGGCAAACACACAAACGTCAGTCTCCAAGGAAACTGGACGAGTTCTCTCCGAATCAACGAAGGAGGACGTCCCGGAGTCGAAATCTGGAAAGTTGGAAGCTTAGTAGACAATGCGGCGAATTGTTACGGGCTCACTACATTCGCAGCTCAATTGAATGAAATCACGGAAATTGAAAAGGGAAAGATGGCACATACGGATAGTAGGTTGAGACCGGATCAGCGGGCTGCGGAAGCGGGAAAGTTGGATGAGGCCGAGGATGTTAAGGCGAAGTTGGAGGAGGCGCAGAGGAGAAGGAGGAGGAGTATGGAGGAACGGGGAGAGGAGTGGAAACCGAGGTGGTTTATTAGGGTTGAGGGGGGTTTGGAGGATGAGGGGGAGGGAGAGGAGGTTTGGGCGTTGAGGAATGGGAAGGATGGGTATTGGGAGGAGAGGGAGAGGGTTGCTAGGGGGGAAGGTGAGTGGAAGGGTGAGGGGCTTTTTGAGGCTTAGATTTTTGGTGGTGGTGCTGGTGGTGCTGGTGTCTGAGCTATATGGTTGAGGACTTGAATTTTTAGGATTTGAAAAAATTAGATTTTGGAATTGGATTTTTTTGTAGAAAGTAGGAAGTTAGAAGTGAAGAGTATCTCGAGCGAGTGAGCAAGCGAGCGGGTTATTTTAAATTTTAAATAAGTATTTCCAAGATGAAAATAAATATAAAGACAATGATAAAGATAAAATAGATGAGATGATGAGATGTATGAAATGAAATGAAACTGAATGAAATTAATATTCAAAATATCAAAAACTTAAACTTGGCTTTAATTATTTCATTTTGTGAGATTTTATTTCATCTATTATAACATAATATTACTGTAATATCATATCATCTAACTACTAACTACCTATCACTGACTACCAAGTACTAATAACTTTGCAAAAGAGAGGTGTATAGATAGGTATACCAAATACCACCCGCATTGTATTGTATTTTATTGCGTTGTATTGTATTCCATTCCATCATCTCATATCACATCGTATAATACCACAAAAAAAGGGAAAAATACCAACCAACCACCTCCCCCCGCCTTACCAAAAATCCCGAAACTTTTTTCCCTTCCTGATTTGACATCCATCCATCAGTCCATGCATAAACAAACTCCTTAAATCCTTGTTGCTGGTATCATAATACTCGTATAGAGTATAAATAAACATAATAACATAATATATGTTTGCCCGCCTCCCAATGCGTAATCGTAATTGAATGAAGTAGTAGCGTAACCAGTGACCGACCACCCAAAATGAGAATGCTGACTTGATTAGACAGACATGGAAGAAAAGATATTGTAAAATTGTTTCTGGAAGAATAAGAAAAAGAAAAGAATTGGAGTAACTCCAAGAATTTAGTATGAGGTTTGGTCAATCAATTTAGTTTCTAGTGACTAATGCACTATGTATTCTGTTAGTATATCTTTGACAAGCCCTAATTTAAGAGATGATACTTACGGTAAACTTTGTAAAACAACCTCGTTATTTTGATAATGGGTCATAAAACCACCACCTAGAACTCTTCTTAAAGCTTGTAGTCTGTGTAATTTCCACCATTTATCAATCTTCATAACCCCAGTTTTATGAATGCGAACAAACATTCTAGATCCTAATAAATGACCATCCTCATCGATAACATTGGAATATTTTGGTCCTCGAACTGGGTATTTGATTGTAGCGAGAACATCTCCAAACGTGGCATGTAATGTTTTTCGATCCTTTTTGGATATAGATTTCGATGACGCTTTTGCTAATTCTGAGAGTGTATGTTCGAGTTGATTCTTTTGACGATATGGTTCGTAGCGTTTTACTTGACTGACATCCAAAGGGAAACCATATTCGTCTACTTTTTCATTCTCGCTAGCATCTGGATCATCTGATTCTCGTGGTGTATAACTCTTTTCATAGATTATGGCGATATTTTCTCCAGCGGCAATTCGAACTGATGTCGACGAACTTTCTAATTGATCGACAAATGCTTCCATTGCTGCTTCGGATCTTTCCTCCAAATCATCCACAAATGTAGCCAAACTACCCCATTCTTCACATGCTGCTGTGACAACCTCAGCACTATCAGGAGCATCCACTGAATTACCATCTGACTCGACAATTTCTAAAAACTCGTCCAATAAATCTTCGATTTCGGTTTCAGATGCGCCACCATAGGTTGCTAATGCAGCGATTGTTCGAATAGCTGCTGCTTTGACGGTAATATGTTCTGATCTTTGGTAGGCCTGTTTTAGAGTTCGAAATATATCTTCGTAAACATCTTCGGAAGGGCATGTAATAACTGTGAGACCAACGGCTGCGGCAAAATTAGAAATTGCCCAAACAATATATGATGATGGTGGCGCATACCTCTTAAAGCTAGACAAGCTTCTTTTTCTCCAGTTTCGGGCTTGATACTTTTACACAAAGCTGGGTATAACTCTCCGATTTTACTTTCGATTTCGTCGTAACAATATCTAACCATTAAATAATGATTGTATGCCATCAAAGTACGTTCTCTGCCCTCTTCACTGCTCCGTTTTCGGTCTATGATTTCTTCCATGCGATCGTTCAATTCTTGGTCCCAGGTAGCAGATGCTTCATGTGGTTCTTGGGCGTCGAGCATATCATCAATGGAGTTAACACTGCAATTGTATTGTCAGTCGGGAGATAAGGAAGGTGGTGAGGAGGATTGTATATTTTACCTCCATGTTGTACTATCATCATCACTCAAAGTACCATCTTCCTCATCCGAGCCGTGGCGACTAACATTTCTTGATTGTGTTCGAGAATTTACAGCCGATGCATTTTTCGAACCGACTCTCGATGCTGCTTTCTTGGATACAGTCTTATGACTTTCCAGTACTCTTCTTCTTAAGTCTCTCGTCATTTTGATCTTGGTTTACGTCTCGTCTGTATGAGGTGGTTGTGCGGTTGTGTGGCTGTATGTTTGCGATTTTTCGAATCCGGGAGTACTCGACTTTTTCAAGACAATGAGGGTCTTTTTAAATATTTGATGTAAAAGTTTAGGCGCTAAATAGCTAGTAAAGTTAAACAGAGAAATAGATTCAATAGCGTTTCCTCCATGTGAGGTTTATGAGTCATTAAGTAAGGAAAATGATAAATTGTGAATCAAGAATAAATTGAAGTTGGCTATGATGAAATAATAATTATCATACGGTTGCTTAGTTTAGCGTTTGCGGTGATTGAATCAGGGTTATCGAATTAACTACTCCGTATTAGCATGTGCAACTCCACTTGAAATGGTGGATATTATGGGTCCACTAATAAGATAAGAATGATTGGTGACGGAATGCTTTACATTGTTTACGATACGAGTATTCAGTGAAGGATAATTCAATACTAGGTAGGTATTTGCCTGGATAGCGACACAGCCGTTTTTGGAAGAATGGGAAAAAGGAATAAGGAAAAGAGATCAAGTCAAATGATTACAGAGTAGTCAAATCAAGTGCGGGAGGCTGTCATTCACAAAGCAATATGAGAGGGTCACAAGCGATGATAAGTAGGGCAGGAGTAAAAAGAGATTAAAACTTTATATTTGTAGTATTGGAGTATTCGGTGTTCATTACCTAGGTATTCAGTATTCAGTATTCAGTATTCAGTCGGATCACTGGAAGGAAACCCATCCCCTCGGTGAGCCAAAATCACTCACTTGCAGCCTTAATATCGAGTTTCATCATACTCTAATTCCCTCGTCTCCGTACGGTAAAACTAATAAACCGTAAACCGCACCTACTCTCCTCGTAAACCTGGGGTTAATCGGCCAATCTATGCTGATCCTTATCGATAACCATACCTTAGTACTGCATCTCCCTTTTTACCATAGCTTTGACCCATGGTTGCCTATCTGTCTGACTACAAACCCGTAACCCCTCCTCTTCTTTCGTACTGCCACACCCACACCCACACCTCTTCAACTCATCATCAAACTCCTGATGAACTCCAAACAATTCGAGTTCTTTCAAATATAGAAACAACTTCTCCATCAACTTACTTTCATGTGCGATATTGACACACACACACACACACACACACACACACACACACACCTACTGAGACATTTGGCTGACCATTTGATCCGTGTCCATCAACCATATCAACCTCACCTTCCCGGGGGTCACTGCCAACAAATCCAGATACAGATAGCCTTGTCGTTCAGTTCCACCATCAATCCCGAATAACTTCATACAATCAAAAATACATTTATAATTGCACAAATCTCCTGGGGTCTATATTCTCTTGATTCCTTTCTACAGACTTCTAAAGTCTTGACCATCTCAAATCCACAGGATGTCTCATCAAGGTATGCAAGTAATGATTTAACCACTTTTGGTCTTTCATGTACTCGTAAGGCTACAGCTGTGACCTTTCAATTCCCCATTCTCCATTCCCTTTTCCCCATAATATCTGCAGACTTCTACATTTCCATGTCTCCTGATACCATTTCATGCATATGCCTTCACGATCACTTGCTTTCACAGATCTTGATACTAAACCTTTCTTAGTAAAAATTCACATAAATCACGACCCCATCACCGAAGATGAAATCCGTCTCTCCGACAGAGTAATCAACTTGAATCCAACACAAAGGGTTTTGCAGATAGGAAGAGCTTCGAAGAGTCCTATCAAAGGTCTCGCAGGTGCTACCAACAATGCCTGGTTTGATAGCCCTGTCATGTCTCGAAACCATGCCGAGATTATCTACAACCCATCTGACAATGTAAGATTATTCTATTCTCATAAGAATGTCTGCTCATACTTGCTTCTTTTAGGTCGTCCAAATTCGAGATGTAGGTTCGATGCATGGTACTTTTGTCAATGGAGAAAAGTTGCGTGGCGAAGCCAAAACTCTCAAGATAAATGATCGGGTTGTCTTTGGTATTGTTGTCAGGCGTGGTATGGATAGTTTCCCGCCATGTCATTTCAACATCAACTACGAAGTACTTCCTTGGAAGTAAGTATGGCTTATACTATTCGGCTTTGCACATTCTAATCTATTGTTATAGAAAACCCAATAGTTATACTGTACCCGATTCCTCCTCCGATGAAGATGAAGGTTATAATTACAGCGACGAAGATATGTCCGAAGGTGCTTCAAGTCAAGATGATACATCTATCAAAATGCTTCGCTGTAGTACCGTGCTTCAATCAATTGATGCCATTGATCTGACTGGGGACGATACACCGAACCATAATTTTGAGTCTACGGAACCTTCCTACATTTCGACGGCTAAGAAAACTGAGGAACAAGAATTCGCTCCCAAGTCACCGGTTCTAGACAGCCCTATGACAGGTGTTAACACTGTTATCGTAAACTCGAACCCAAAGTCAAACTATAGAAATGACCGCCGTCAAGAGAGATCTTTCAAATTCACTTACAGCTACAAGGGCGATGACGATGAAGATATGAACTTGGCAACTTCTGACTTGAACGGCTCGGATTTGGAGAATGTTTCTGACCATGATGAAAATGATGACGATGAAGATTCCGATTCATCTGAGGAGTTGAACGATAGCGTTTCCGCAAACAAGAAACCTGTTTCACTCGATGAGATCCCTTCTTCGTTCCCTTCCATCTACTCATCGCGTGCATCTTCTCCTGTTCACCGGCCCAGCAAATCTAGAGCTCTATCCTCGCCGGGAGTTTCCACTATTCGTCCAGCAAACGATCCTCTTGGTCTGTTCGATAATGAGAACATTCCTGAATCTCATGTTCGGACACAAATTCATACTTCTGAAGAAGTTATAGCTCTTGGTGGACATGGTAGTGATGAGGAAGATGATGGCGACGATGGAAGTGTAGGACTTTCTGAAGCTGCTAATGAAGGGATGCGCATATTAGTCAAAGATGGTTTACTTGAAGGTAAACCAGTCAATACTCACTTCCATTCAAGAGACCGTATGGTTGAAGATAATTTCTCCGATGCTCGTCTCGAATTTACTGTTCCCTGTCCCACCACTTATGTTCAACCTCCAATGTGGTCTTCTTTTGATCGAGAGGCTAGTCCTTCGGCGGTAGCTATGGTAAAGACACCCGGACCATCTAAAGCGGAAAATTCTGTTGATCAAACTCCTAAAAGCCCTTGGGATTCATCAAAGGGAAAAGCATTTGCCAAATCATTGGGAATCAAGACTGGAAAGCATGCTTTCTTTGAAGCCAGAGAAGACAATAAGATGCAGTTTCAAGCACACGTTGACAAGGAAGAGAAGCAAGGGAATGAATATTCTTCACCAATATTCACCAAACCAAATCAGGCTGTCGAATTCGGCCAACCCTTGGTACAATTCACGCCATATCATGGCAATGGTATTGATCATGGTTTTATGATGAACGATCATCCTATTTCAGGAACTGAAATTAAAGACCGGGAGCATGAACCACATACACATGCATTTGAGTCTGCTAGTGGTCCAATGCTCAATTTTAAACCTGCAGAAGAACGACGTTCGATTCATCCATATTATTTTAGCTCAGATGCCTCATCAAGAGCTCCAGAGAGTCCAGCTTTGGAAAGACATCCAGCTAGGTCTGGCCTTCGTATTGATGACATTATTGATGGTTCTTCAGCATGCAGAAAGAGGAAGGCGGATGAAATCTCTGACGATGAAGTTATCGAAAGTGAAATACGCAAAAATGAGGTTCGAGATTGGGCTTCTTCTGTTGTTGTACCTGAGAAGCCTGTAATGGCACAAGAAGCTGTATCTGAGGTAACACCAGAACAATTTACACCTCAAGCTATTCGTTCTGCTTTGGCCACTACAAATATCGAGCTTGAACTTCGACCAATCAAGAGACCCAAGATGAAGAAGTTTGCAGAAGCTGTAGGATACTTTGCTCTAGGAGGAGCCGCTGTTGGAGCTGGTTTGTTCTCAGCTCTTGTAGCAACAGCTCCAGACTTTCTTTGAGTTTGATAGTGCCCGTTACAATTTCGGTTGATTTGACAATATTTGTTACTTCAACAACATAACATGAATTTATCGATGATTCATGATAAGTCAGGATGGACAATGGAAACGGGGATACGGAGAGATAGCGAACGGAGTATTACAACATGATACCGAAGGAATGAAGCACTGGTGCATTTCTTCTGACATTATTGGCTGGTTATTGTTGCTACATATCTACCAAGGATAAATGGCGCTTTTGAAGGATTTCGTGGCTGGAGTTTGAGGGACTTACGCTCTTGCTGACAATTTATTTATGAGGATTATGGGATGGGTTGCGATGGATAAACGAATTCAATTATTGGCTTTGGGTGGGGATAGGTAGGAAAGGGGAGTTTCATATCAAGACATACAATATTTGATTGACTTAAGGCTTGTCTTCTCATTTTTGCTCTTTCAGGAACAATATCTAAATTTTTTGTGGTTTCGTTTATTCGCTTTGTTTTTTTTTTCTAATATTGCGCTGGTGCGTGAAGGATAGCTAGTCTGCTGAGGGCAGGAAGCTCGTTAGAGCAAGTAGTTGCTAGGTAGTTAGGTATTATAAATCTGATCAGCAAATATAAATATGAATATTAATTTTCATATATATAATATAAAGTTGAAGTGAAGTATGATTTCATTAGTTATATTTATTTAAAGATATATTAAAATAGTATATAAATCTAGTATTGTATTGTTACGACGGCTATCTTCTACGCCGCGTCACATGACTAAATCAAGGTAACGTGATTAAGTCACGTTATGGACCGCTGCGCGGTCCTGACTAGCTATAGGCATGAAGGTCTATATAATCAAGATGGATTTCCTTTGTATAGAGCTTCGTACTCAAGATCAATCATTTAGTATACTCTACTATTAGTTACGAATAGCATATCATTATTGTCATTACTTTAAGTCCCTACTTGACGCCTAGTTATAAACCTACCTTGACTGGGAGCCTAGAGCACTTCCACGTGATCTAGACAGCTACCCTCGTAACATGTATTTTCTAGGTATTTTGTCTTCCTTGATCATTTTTTTATATCTAAAAATTATGATTTTCATTTATTGGGTACTCTTATACCAATTATTAAAATTTAAGAAAATGTAACGATATGTTACGAGGTTTGCCGTCTAGATCATGTGGAAGTGCTCTAGGCTCTCGAGGTAGGTTTATAACTAGACGTCAAGTAGGGACTTAAAGTAATGACAATAATGATATGCTATTCGTAACTAATAGTAGAGTATACTAAATGATTGATCTTGATCTTGAGCACGAAGCTCTATACAAAGGAAATCCATCTTGATTATATAGACCTTCGTATTCCAACATTGGAGCGATGGAGCTGGGGAGCGAGATTCGAATCTCGCTCCTTCGCTCCCTCGCTTCCTCACAAGACTATTCATGTGATCCTATAACACGTGATAATAGTTATAATGTTACAACGTAACAAATAAGGATATAATTGTTTTAATTTCAAGGTATATGTAAGTTACGAAGTTCACAACATACGAATAGTGATAGATTAGATAGAAAGAAAGCCAGATAGGGTTATATGTTATATATTATTTGTTTTTTGTGATAGGTAGGTAGGTATCTGTTATTATATTCGTGATGGTATTGGATTAGTCTGTTTATTGATTGATTGATTGATTGGATTATGTGATGGTGGGATTGTAATAGCTTTGGAGAGGGTGGATATAATTGTTTTCTGCTTCGGAGTTGTTGGGGATTGCTAGGAGTTGCTCTGGTTATTATTGTGATAATTAATACTAGGGAATTCGGTAATGTTGTAAGGAGGGGAGAAGAAGGGATATCGATGATGTTGGGATTGTTAGTGTATAATTATAATATATATTGTTATTTTTTATATAAATAACTATTGTATCGAAGTATGAATGTATTGAGCTATATTCTCGCATTGACAGATAATTTGAATTGCACGGATTGAGACTACTAAGTTCGAAGATCCTTTGAGTTGATCAGTTGAATTTATAGGGATGAACGTTCATGCTAGATGAAATTGAGCTCTTTCACTACCTGAGAAATCTGTACTGGATAGATAGTATATAGAGAAGCAAAGGCGATTAATTAGCTATAGTTGATAGCGAAGTGTGCCATTCATTTGATTTAAATTGATTTGATTACTACATCAATACAAGATATAATATACAAAGTTCAATCAACATAAAAATCTTTCTTCCACCGTGCTATTTTTAAAAAGAAAAATAGGAAAATAAGGGTTTTAAGTCCATAAGCAATAAACGAAACTTGCGAGATATTATCACCCGGACAGCGACACTTGAGACACAGGTAGGAAGTCTTTATCAAGTAGAAATGGCACAGACGCGAGAAGTGATATGATATAAGAATTGAGGCCAAATCAATAGTAGCAGCAGGGAAAAAACAATAGATAGCAACGTTAACGTTAACAGTAGAAAGTTAAGTTGCAAAAAGGAGAGTAGAAACTATCTACCACTCCATGATACATATCTACATCACTTTGACCCGGTCATGGATGACTTCATGGATGACTTCATGGCCTTGAGACTCTAACCACCAAGGTTTCACTATTCACTCAACCTCCAACCTCCAGCCTCCAATCTCGAATCTCCAACCACAAACATCTCCCTTTGCCAAATCCAAATCCAAACAAAATACTCCCATACATACCCTCCTAAACAAAATCCCCCCTTACACAATAGCCTTACGATCACCATCACCATCCCCCTTCCTCTTTCTCTATTCATCGATCATTTCACTCCTACCCCCAAATATCTATTACCTACTGCCCATTCACCGCTTCATTATGCATACTCTCAATCCATCCAATCCATCCAATCCATCCATATAACTACCCACTCCCAAATTCCCAATATAACATAATCCCCCCCCCTCAATTCTCTCCCAAGCCTCCCCAAGCGCGCCCGAGCTCACCAATCCATCCAGCCGCATATCAAGAAAACTGCCATTTACATACATACAATACCCACTGCTACAATACAACTCGATCTAGTCCAATCCAGTCCATTCTAGTCCAGTCCACCAAATTCATTCATTCATTCATTCATTCAATCCAATCAAATACAATCCAATCCCCCAATAAAAACCCCAATACATCACCCACCACACATCGATATCCCTCTCAACCAATGGCTAGTCTATGTATACGAAATTAAACCCCACCCCAATCAAACCCCAGATACAGAGAAATATGCATCTCAAAATCACCATCACCAATCACCAATCACCATAAACCAGCAACCCTGGACCAAAAATACTGACATCATCCCCTCACTATCCAACCAAATCACCCAATCGCAAGAAGCTGAGTACCAATTTGAAGAAAGAGGGGAAAGTAAGCAACTAACTACAAGGAATCGACATGTTATGCATGTGATCATGACAGCGTGTGATTCTATATATTATATGCACGATGTGATGTTGACGGATAGTTGCATATATATTTATGGGATATACATTTACATACTGTATAAATGAAATATATTAGATGAAGTAAAAGATAAAACCCTGTGTGCGGAATATTTTAACCGTCCGTGGACATATATTCAATATTCAATATTGGGGGAGGGGGTTGCGATTTGTTGATTCGTGGATGGGGATTTAGGGATGAGGGATGGGGATGTGGATGTGGATTCTGGGATTGTGATTTTGAGGCTTATTTGGATATTGGGGTACGTGATGTGTTTTTATGTGTGGGGAGGATTATAATTTTGTGTAGTTTTTACATAGATAATTAGGGAAAGAGGATATGCTTGCAACTTGCAACTTGCAATGCTTGAAACAGGTATTACTATTATTATTATTGAGGTGTTCAGTCATCAACTATTTTACTCCTGCAAAATGTCATCATGATTCATCATGAACTAACTAGCATAACCTCGTATACATAAGTCAAGCACTATCTGTATATACTAACAAGAGAATGGATCTTTACAAGAACGCCACACATTTTCCAGCTTTCCAACTAAGTAAACTAAGTAAATAAACCCTTGATTTCAAATCCATTTCATCATTGAAGTTAAAAACAATAGCTAAAGCAATCAATCAATCAATCCATGCACATCAGCATGCAGAAAACTGAACGGTTACCTGCGTACACGGCGAGGGCCGAGTGAAAAAGATCACTCTTCGTGCTATGCATTCATTGACTGCCTCTAACTCATGCTGCTCAACTTAGCTTATGCCCGAGAAAAGAAGCGAAATTAGACTGATCATATCTAATCATCAAAATCAGTGATAGTGATTGGATGGGATGAAAATGAATTTAGAAGGAAGGAAGGAAGGAAGGAAGGAAGGAAGGATGAGTGGAAAGGAAACGGCTACTTGCATTAATAGAAACACTCGGACGAGGACTCCGCTCGGACGGTAAGGATGGATCGGTACACAAATAACTGGTTCCATGGAATCGGGAGGATGTACTTGGGTATAATTAACCCGAGTTGAGGGAGGATTAGTCGAGTCATTTACCAAGTGGAAAAGTTAGCTGGGTAGGATTCGGTTCGCATAGCGGGTAGGCACATATTCTGCCCGACGCCGGCGAACGAAACGGCCTTATATCATTTAATCCAACCACAAGCTCTGAGAAAAACGAAATGACAAATCATATCTTATCAGTTTTGAGATTGTTCCAAGAAAAATACCATAAATGCAGGGACCATCAAGTTTGGGGTCAAATGAATGTGCATGGAGGCGGTGACGCGTGATTTATCATATTCTTCTCGATGATGCATGCCAGTCAAATGTGCATCAGATCGATAACTATGTGAAAGTGTCTGTGGGTAAAACGTCTGTGAGTGGATTAATGCGAGAAAATTTAGAAAAATAAGGATTGCTGTTGTGATACAGAATGAAGTGATGTTGTACCAAGGAACGTAATGAAGTGAAAGTGTATGCTTTAACTCGACGACTTTTTGATCTCCTTGACGGATTTGCTGGAGCTAAGAGAAAGAAAGGTAGAACTAAGGGAAACAGAACGCCTCAACACCATGATTCACTTCCTCGTACCTCGACATCTTACACAGAAACTTCGTGGCTAGCGCTCATTCGGTAAGCCTAAAACTAAAGCACCCTTTCCTACCCCTCGAGGATTGTCATCATTATCATCACGACCCTGGCATAAACCCCACTCAGGAGAGATTCTTCTCCCTCATAGATACCCCTGAAAGACGCATAGATGTAATGGCAATAAGTCATAATAGATAACAATCTTCACATACTTATGCAGATCAGTCTATACATGACATTCGATTTGCACTTACAATCGCATGCAACTATTAATTTCTCTTTCTCAAACAGCAGTGCGAGGCACGAAAGTTACACAGCGTTGCGCACGACATGAAGTGTCGAGCGAATAGATGAATGATCAAGCCAGCCACAAGGTGATAAATCCCGACATACGGCTAACTGCATGAAACTTCGAGGTGTCTAGAACGGTGCGGTCAATGGTAAATAACAAGATTGGCTCAGTGCTCAGTGTATGGATTTCGTTCGAGCAATTTTCATAAACGGTATGAATGTTGTTTTGAGAAGTGATCATCTAGTTTTGTGGCGGGGTATTCAAAAGCGTGGAGGTGGGTCTTGGAAAGGTACACAAAACGCCACTAGGCCGTTAGGGTTAAACGGATGGTTTGGAGCTACTCCAAATGAAGAAGAAGACAGAGATGACAACATCCTGTTGATGTTTTATCCGTAGATTAATGCGTGCGAAAGATTCGTACCGTCGGTTGAATCGTTCCTTTCCTGTCACTTTCTATCTAAAGATGTCGCGTCCCTGGGCCAATTTAAAATGTATCAAGAAGGATGACGGGTACCATGAAGTACCCACGAGTTCAGATCATTTCCGAGGAGATAATCTTTGTGCTCCTTCGCACAAACTCGGAAATTTGCTCTTTCTAGCACCTCATCTCTATTTCGCGGCGCGTTTTTTTGCCCTATATGCAATACACCCACGAATTTAATGCTGGTGAAACCTCATGCAGTGTATATACTAGGTCCCAAGGCCTCGGGAAATCGAAAATGACAAAAAAAAGCCTTCCGCAGTCATCAGGAGAATGGCGTAATCGAAACTACCCCCAGACTTCTTGTCGTAAAGTGGTTGGTATATTACCAGCATACCTATCAGGATGGAAAGCAGATCAGCAGACCATTTTTGCGCTTTTGATAAATTGTTCTTGCTTTGTAAGTGGCCAATTATGGGATGAGAGGCAGAGATGTACGAGAGAGGACAAGAATTGCCTTGTTCGAGAGTCTCAAGTAAGAGCGGTGAAGCCTGTTGAGGAAAGTGGTGCCTAATACCATGTGCATGAAGCTGTCCGGGTGAATTCTCACGATATCTGATGATGTGTTTTTTAAAAACAAAAATGCTGACGGTGAGGAGGTTGCATGGGGGTGGGATTGACTGACCCTAGAAAAGCGTGGGGAATTATTCCCATGACGAAAGCTGAGAAGAGATGCAAAGGAGTATCATCTGTATAAGAAGACTGAAGATCGCCGCAACTAAGGGAAGACTTTGGAATCCTCATGACAACATAACTCCACTTTATAGTCAAAAGAAATCGTCGCCAACTTCTACAGCTGCACATATAAGCTGAATTCCTTTTCCGGCTCATCAAAAGCTTTCTATCTTTGATATCGTCGAAAAACTATCTACCAGCACATACCGCAGTAGCCTTACCACAGTAGTATTCCCAGTTGAGCCCGACCAACGTTTTTCAACGTCAATTCTACGATGTCGCATCTTTACTCCAACCAAGAAACTTATGACTGCTGTTTCAATGGCAACGTGTTGGAAACGTGTCAGTATTGCGGCGGCGCCGCCAGACTACTGTAAGCATTTTCAAATACTTATCAGACATGTTACACTTCCAAATTCCCTTCAACACATTGGACAGTATCTAACAAAGTGCCTTAGAGAAAATTGTACTGGCTGCCAGGGTTCCGGAACATCTTACAGGCCCTGTCCATATCACTCCGCTTCTCCGAGCTGCTATTCCAATAATGTGCATGCTGCATCAGCTCATAGGACTCGAGAGGTAAAACGCTCCTCCGGAAAGAGCAAGAATGGGAAAGGCGGGAGAACTGTTAAATGATTGAACTCCTCGTGTGATCGGAGCCGGAAATGGCGGATTTTGTCCTTGTCAGGTTTTGGCGTTCAGGTTTTCTGATGATATTGGTGTGAAATGAGATGGATCGGGATTTTCTTGCATTGGTGGGAACTGAGTTTCAAAATGTAGCACCTTGTGGTAAAGAGTTGTCTATGACATCAGTCTAGGGTTGAGAAGAGACCGATGTAAGGAACTCACATTTCAGGTTTTAAGGTGTGGAGGAAGGATTGGTTATACATGGAAGTCCTAGGATCACTCTGAATGGTAGACATGGAAAGATAGACGGATACACCGAAGCAAATTCGAGATTGTGTACCGTCGACAGCGATCGTTGAGAGAAATGGAGTTGATGGTTGTAGATTTCCGCAGGCTCGGAACGATGAATATGGATGGATGGTCATGCCGTCGGGATGCAACGAGTCGGTCGGGTGCACAATGGCATTTTCGTGATTTTCGGGATATCGGAATACGGCATGAATCAAATCTTCTTAACTGCAAGGATCACAGTTTGAGAAGCCAATTGAAAAGCATCTTGGAGTCATGCCATCCAAGGGAGAGACATTCTTTGTGTGGTGTTTTGGAGGTTTTATTTATATGTACTCTTTCTTTCCTTTGAGGTTGAGACTTGGTGCTACTTTACAACTTTTAAAAGTACCAACTTCGGTATTCCAGTGGAGATCAGGGAATCAGCCTATACCATTCTTCAAATGTTCCACGTGGGATGTTCTTGTATCTTTGTATCCTCTCCTCTTAGTGTTTGCTTTGTATCCGGGGTTTCTTTTTTGATCGAGAAAGTTGGACGCACAAGGGATATGGATGGCGTACAAATCCGGAGAATTGTCACGGGGACATATTTCGTGGATTTTGATGGTGGAAAATGCGTACAACATATTTTCGCAAGCATGGGTGGTGCCTTTAGGAGTTTTTGATCAAAACAGATAGGGTGAACTGTTCTTCTCATTATCCACCATATATCTAAATAAAACAATATCATTTGGTGTTCATGATTGAATTCTAGCCAATCCCTTGATTTCCACATGTTTTTCTCATTTTACGTTAGTACTAAACAGGTCAGAGGTGAGCACGACATAGTTGATGCTAGTAGCTTGAATTCATTGCGACCAAGAGTAAACTTACTTGTTGCCCATGAGTTCTTTCACAACGATAGACTTGGAAAATCTTGGGAGGATAGGTTTTTCTTGAACTCTCCCAAATTGCCTCGACTTTCCTCAACATTCATTGAAGAACATTCCATCCATTGTCAGACACTCAAATTATTGATGTCCATGGATTTCCATAGGAAAATGTTCGTACAGCATATTCTCATGCACCAATAAGATGTACCCTATTTTTTGATTGGTGCCAGCATTTTCACACCTTCGTTTTATGGAATCGGTTGTCAACATGTCGTTTTCTAATCATACCCATCTAATGAGCCCTATGTGAAAAGTACATTTTTGATAGAGCAACCCAATTGGCAAACTAATTGTGGAGGAGCTACTCTGAAAATTGACCGGAAAACGATATCCCGATATAAAGAGAGAAAATTTCAGCAGTGTAATATGAAATTGGCTGCTCTAAACTGTAACGCAACTTTTTGTTATAGAGCAGGCCATGTGACTGGCGTTGATTCCAAACAAAAGTGTAACTATTGAAATAGGAGACAGATGCCATGCGAAGTAGTTGGGCAGGTTGTCTCGTGCCCTAGCTTTTGTGTACTGAAGGAAAGTCAGGCTTGCGACATCATATCTTGTTGCCATTTCCTTCGGGGAAATATACATGGTTTCCTCCGTACGTCGTGATGTATTATGCACACACTCTACATATGCCTGGTGTTGTTGCTTCATCTCATCGATGTGAAAAGCGAATAAACTCCGATGGCCTATCACGGGAGTCGTGCTATGTGACAAAAATATTTGAAGCACTCAAACAATCAGGTACATCGTCAGCCTCATTTTTTGACTCGGTAGTTTTCGGCCCTCAAAATTTTCCGTAAAAATAAAAAATAACGATGGTCAGGTAGGTAAAGTAAGCATGGGACGGGCCGCTGAGCTGACAGTGTGGTATCACAGTCACGCGTTTTCCACTAATTTTGTTGCACCACATCCAAGAAAATGTAATTGCAGGGTTTCGATGAAGGCTATAACTGGATTGATTGATTAAAAGAATATGGTTCGACTGAGGGAGAGAATCTGCATGTGAATGTCAGCATACGTAGATATGGATGGATTTCTCTAGTGGTAGAGCAATTGCCTGCTTCCAAAAAATGACCTGACAGTTGGCACCAGTGTTCAAGGCGGTATATGTTTCGTGTATCTTTGGGTAACTGCCTTTTGCAAAGCCCTTAGTTAACTACCTGCGGCTCTATCTGATCTTCGGTTTCAATTTTTCGGCTCAAGCACTTTTAGTATCATGCATCTTGGCAATAGGGTATGACTTTGGACAAGTCCTCGTACCTCGACATATCAAAGCAACGACACTCTTCTGCATTTCTCGTTGGTGCTCAACGCATGTACACGAGATTGACGAAAAGAGCGTCTGCAATTCCAACGCCCATGGTAATATATTCTGCATCATGCAAGGCTGAACACTGCCGGTAGGGTTTTATTCAAATGAGCTTTGTGATAACTGCGACCATTCCATCATACAGCTTGTATTATGAAAATGATGTATCATGCGGTTTGTGGAATAGAATGTTTCTCATCCTTTGAAATTTTGGCGGGGTTTGTGACAATTGGATGACGATAGTATCATTTACATCAGTCTTTTGCTGCATGAGCGGCATTATGAAGGTAAGTTATCATTTGAATTCCAAAGTTCGTGATGGAAATTGAAATTGGAGGTTTTGTCAAAGCTTGAAGTTGAGAAGTTCTGATCATTTACGAAGGTCGCCACTTAGCATTGGGGTACTTTCCCGAAACACCATAATGGAAAGATTGGCCCTTCCTTTAATGCCGATATCCTCCAAGAAACACACCTCAAATTTGAGGCGGATGATAGTAAATAACCGGAAAGGCAATACTTCAAATGGATTTTCTTTGAAATTGTCACATCAGACATAGAGGGCGCAATTGATGTATATTTGCCAACTGTATTGAAATCCAATCATGTCGGAACCTGGCAGCCTGGCAATGAGCTTCACGAAAACAGATTTTAGCGCACGCGTCTGTTTTCGCTACTGATCGATTACACTGGAGCTCAAACGGCTGGAATGAAGGATAAAACTGCTGTTTCAAAAACTTCAAACGTGGTAGAAGTCATCATTTACCTTTGGTACACATTCTACCCCATTTCACTGCTCGCCGACCAGGCCAAGGAGTCAAATTGATTCGAGTGGAACGTGCCAATGAAGCATGAAATGTCGCCTGAGGTCTTTCAAACTTTCGGGAATTCTTTATTGATAATTTGAGAGGTCATATGAGCTGCCAATGTCTGCCATGGAATGTCTTCGGTTTCATGGGAAAATCAGATCTGAGCGGTCAAAGTGGAATGAACGCTCAACGTACGCAATTGCCTCGCTCTTAATCTCCTACTCATTTCATTCATTGGCATTCCGGAATTGAGAGGCTAAGTTCACGATGAAGTCTCTTTTTAGATGGCATGCAGGAATGATTGGCAGATGACTATTGATTGAGAAGCAATAGTCTCGACCATCACTTGCTCCATCTTGGTTTCACCTCCTGATCGTTGTCAATGTTGTCAAAGTTGTCTAATGCACATTTGTGGATCGAATGAAAATTTCTTCCATGGGCCTTCAAATTTTGCGGGGGAGACAAGGGGAACGGCAATGAAACTTATGAAAGTGTTTGCTTTCAGCCCTGCTGGATTTACTTCGGTAAGGGGTTGGTTGACTTGTGGGGAACAAATCAAAATTTTCAATATGTTGACATCACTAACAAATTTCTTTTCCACTCTGTTCTAAGACAAAACTTTGAGCTTTCCCAGGTCCATCTGCAAATAGGGGGATGTACATTCTAAAAGGGAAAAAAGGAAATGTCTCATCAACTCTGTTCTCATTGGTTCGCTCTCATTGCATTAGCATTAGGGCACGAAATTGATGACACTTTTTAGCCATTGTGCCATCGGACATCTCTATTACCCCCTTGGTAGCACAAAAACTTTAGGTTCACACGGTACCTGAAAATCTAAGGGAGCGGAGAATTTTGATTTGTACTCCGTACAGCTACTCGACTCTCGACTAATTGACAGTATGCCGAGGTTTGCCATCCCCCCTCCCTCATACGTGATTATAACTCATTTACAGTTGTTGGATGGAACGATTGACGAGATATTGAAAGACTATGGCGATGTCGTGTTGCTGGCAATCCATTAGTCAATGTCCTTCACCACCTGAAGCACGTTTTGTCACTTACTCATCGCACTCATACCAAAATTTGATGTGTTATTATTATTAGACTTGATCAGCAAGCACAAATGCATAAAAGAACAAATCTTCTCTCATGGTGCCACTTTCTAGAACCAACATTTTTCGAGAAAATGTCCCTCACCGTACCACACACACCACATGGCCACCTACTAGTAACTTAGCAAATGTATATACTCCGTACTCCGTACGAGCGTAAGTTTTCTTTCATCGACTTGGCGTGCATAACAGATCTGATGTGAAATTGCTGACGAAATTGACGAAATTCTCACGATGTTGCAAGATTGACTGGATATCCGAATTTCAATTACCCCCAGGTTTGCTAAAAGGACAAGGACAAGGAAGATCTAAAATGATCATTGCCATGGATTTGCGTGTAAGCGAATGGAAATAGAAGAATCTAGCTTCTAATGATTTCGTAATAGTAACCACAAAATTCATCACGAGTGCTAGACTTGTTGGTATGTGCGAGAAATGACTTAAAATTAGACCCATGTAATATCAGTTAATGGTAAAGCGGTTACCTCTAACTGCAAAGTGCCAAACATCGTGAGAAATTTGAAAGAACAAAAGACCTTGGAAGAGAAAAAAAGACTTGTTTTTGTTAGGTGACTCGTATTTGAGAGGAGTCACCTGTCGCATATGGTAACAAGCTGAGGATTAATGAAAGTATTAAACAAAAAAGGATATAAGAAACCTTGGCCCACATTCCTCAGTTGTTATTCACTTACTCAAGAACATCAGATCAATCAATATTATACTATTCAAATACTATTCAGGTACTATTCAGATACCACTCATACAATCACGCAATTAGAGAGCTACTATTGTCTCATTATTGGTTCACTTCCAAAACTAAACGTCTACTACTGCTTTTACAAACAAAGCTAAATACCATACTAAAAACCTACTACTTCATCAACCACTTGCCACTTCATCAACTTACTACTTCATCAACAACACCTCAACCTACTTATATCTTGAAAAACCTTAAACCCTACAAATAAACATCAAACCAACACCCTCAACAAAACACCAAACATAATCAATCATGACAACCCGATACCAAGTCACCGAACCTCACCCCCACGTCGCTACATCCTCATTCATCCATTCCGGACGAGGAGGAGCAGGAAACACATTCAAAGCACCCAAGACCACTGAAGGCAGCACGGCCCACGGACCCGCCTCACTCTTCTCCCGCGGTCTTCCCCAAACCTCATCTAAATTCAGCAGCGGCCGCGGCGGCGCAGGAAACATCCTCCCTTCATCAAAGAAAGCACCATTTTCCTTCGACGAAGAACTCGAACGACAAAGCACTCGCGAGAAGAAGATGAGCGAAGGAGGCATGTGGCACGTCGGTCGAGGCGGTGCAGGAAACTATGCTAGTGGAAGGCCAGCTAGTGAACGTAAGAGTTCGACAAGCTCGGAGGATAGCGATGGGAGTATTAGGACTGTGAGGAGTGGGGGATTTTTAGAACGTTGGACTTCGAGATCTTCTTCTGTGAGATCATAAGAGTTGGGAACTTCTTTGGACTCTTGCGCTTTTATGATGTCCATGATTTCACTCTTACTCTTTACGTTTACTTGCTCTTTATACCTTTACGAAGCATTACTTGGCGTTTCAACATCACTACTTCTTACTTCACTCATAATACACAATTCCATTCATCGCATATCGCATCATCGCATATCGCATTATCGCATCATCGCATCATTATATTCAACAAACGGCGCAACAAACGGATGGACATGGCAAACGGACGGGCAGCCAAGGGGCAAACGGGGAACAAAAAAAGCTATTGATTGAGATTTGGGAAGAATTACAACATTACCAACTAGCACATTAAATTTTTAAAGTAATCATGTCCTGGAGATTCTTATGTTTTTTTCTTCTCTCAACTCGATGAGGGATTTGCTTTATGATACCCTGGATTTTCTATGTATGAGGAAGAGGGGAGGATAAGGGGAGGGGAGGGTATGTAGCTACATAGTTGCTAGGTACTCTTCTCTATGAAGCTATTACCTTGATAAAAAACGACGAATTAAACTATTTACAATACTTGTATCTCACATCATGAGTTCTGAATCTTCTTGATTTTAACATATATATTATACTATAGAGTAGACTATAACTCCCAAATCCAACTCCCAAATCATCACCAACAATCCCATCAATGTTACACATAGACACATCCGTACACACACCCCTTACCAAATACCGAATTACCAAAAACTCAAAAGCACACTCTCTTGGCACACCGCACCCCAAGAACAAAACACCCCTCCCCACAGAAAGAAAAATAACTACTGCGTACTACGTAGGTAGGTAACTCTACCTAAACCATATTCGACGGGAGCGGGGAAGCTGGTTTGGGTTAAGTTGGGCTAAGTTGAGTTGTATTAAGTTGTATTAATTACCTAATTATATTAGTGTATTATGCAGAGGTAGGTATAGATGGTATTATATAGATGGGAGGTATAGTTGTATTAGTTGTATTATCTAGTAGTTGTATTAGTTTTATTAGTTGTATGTAATAAAAATTACCTCATTTCTCTTCTTTTAGAAAAGAGGAAAAAAACCAATGAGATTCCCAAAAAAAATATAAAGTAAAAAATAAAAAGAGTTTAAATGCTCACCGCTGGAGAAGTGAAGAAATGCGATGTTGGATGTTGAGAGCTTGGGTAGGATCAACTTGTTTTGTGGGGTTCCCCGCATTTTGTTGGTGTTGGTGTTTTAGGGATGGGTTTTGAAGAGAAGGGACGAAGGAAGGGGGCGAAGGAATGGGTGTTGTGAGGATGATGGGATGATAATCTAGGTACCTAACTCTTACAATAATCAAAAATGGATGGGTGGATGGATGGATGGATGAACGGATGGATGGGATGAATGTGGATTAAGAAAGTGTGTATGGGTAACGCAATGAAACATATAAATTTCGTTTTCAAACTGAGTTGTTTGGAAGTAGTAGTATTATTAGATGTAGGTTAAACTAAGGATCTAAGTTACAGTAATGGTAGAATTGAAGATATTCCCAATTATGGTCCGTGCACCATAATGGTCATATGACCTCAATTCTAGGCCCATAATGACCTTAATTTCAACATTTCGTAATAATAAGTACCTAAGAAATATTAATCTAAGGGCGTGAAGTTTAAGTTCACATTTTTAATCACCTGGATGGATCGGATCATCTATGATTTTTGTACTCGTAACCTTACACCTGAAGAAAATGTATCTCCACTCTACATCCGGAGTACCTACCTGGGTATCGGTAGTCGATCTATTCGAGTATTTCATCCAATCATAAATCTGTAATTCGATACGTGGCTACTGGACTGCAGCAATAAGTACCTAGCTACCGAACTATACCTGCCATACCTCATCACCCATTCCATCCCATCCCTTTTCAATCCATCTCCTCCCCGCTATAAAATCTCATCATAAAAGAAATCCCTCAAGGTGTATGTAGGTAGCTAAAGTTACTCGAGTAACCAACCAAGATGAATAGACTCCTACTCTGTAAATTATAATAGTACTGCGCGCTAGATTCCTCTACCGTTAAGCTTCTTATAGAAGAAAAAACTAATCAATCATATATACTGAGCTACTTATACAAGTTATTAGACTACAAGTACTACGTATAGACTTAAGATTACTTGATAAAAACCATTAATCAAAAACCAAAAACCTAAGTGGTTATATAGTATAATGATGTAATTTAATAATATAAATCTTCTTTATAACACAAAAATATTTATAATATATACAGATCACTCATTTTAAAATTAATAAAAAAAACTCACGATTTTAATTTTATTATTATCTTTAACACTGGCATACATTAAGATCTTATTTTTATATATATATATGTTACGACGGGCTACATAACTACCATTACATGACCAAGGCACGTGATTACAAGTGATCAGTAGTGATCATTAAGGATTACTAAGGATCACGGTATAGGTAATCACTGTGTTACGAGGTTTGCCGTCTAGATCACGTGGAAGTGCTCTAGGCTCTCGAGGTAGGTTTATAACTAGGCGTCAAGCAGGGACTTAAAGTAATGACAATAATGCAATTCGTAACTAATAGTAGAGCATACTAAATGATTGATCTTGAGCACAAAGCTCTATACAAAGGAAATCCATCTTGATTATATAGACCTTCGTGCCTCCTTAAAAAACCGATGGCTATGAGCCCGACAAATCGATCACCGCAAAGCCGATCTCGATTTGTCGGTTTCTTGATCATGTGATCAAGAACGTGACCTATGTTACTGTCCGACGTAACACACTGGTGATCATGAAGGATCACCAGTGATCATAGAAGCATGAAGGTCTATATAATCAAGATGGATTTCCTTTGTATAGAGCTTCGTACTCAAGATCAATCATTTAGTATGCTCTACTATTAGTTACGAATTGCATTATTGTCATTACTTTAAGTCCCTGCTTGACGCCTAGTTATAAACCACCTCGAGAGCCTAGAGCACTTCCACGTGATCTAGACGGCAAACCTCGTAACAATATAATATTATTTAATATAAAGATTCTGAAATCAATTTAATTCATTTTTAAACATATTACATTATAAAATATATTAATTAATATCAAAATAAGAAAAAGTGAAACAGTGTTGACCTCCTGGGATCTTGGCAGCATATGCATATATATTGCATGATGCATATAAGGAGCAAACAAAACTCAACTTTTAATTCATTCTTTCCTTTTTGGTATGCTGTTTGTTTGCTTTCAATATTTTGATTTCAAAGCACTTTAATTCCGAAGGCTGAAGACCTAACCTTATTCCTTCATTTTTTGAATATATACTCGCAGCTTAACTGCTTAGCTAGAGAATCAATCAATTCAATCTGATGCTCTTTCTGGTCTCAAGAAACCCAATAAACAGTCATTACAAGAATATGTTCTTAGACTACAGTAGTATAAAAATAGAGGAAGTTAAGTTAGGATAGTTATATTTTTAAAATAAAAAAGAGTGCTAGATGGTATATGATCGAAAGGTTTTGGTACAGAATACATACACTCTCGAATACTACAAGAAGAGATCCGAAGTTATGATCAGATGCATATAGCAGTAGGATTATAAACTCATCAAAAGTGTTGGGTTTAACTGAGTGTCCTGTCGGATGTAGGTGAGGGGGAATGTGAGAACTTTGAAGAACTTTTGAAGTCTGAGAATAGTATTAATACCTTGGCAGTGATGGATGTTTTCTTTATAGAGCAAGAGAATAGAGGTCTAGAAATCCTATTGGTTATCGGTGATGAAAAATATAAGAGGCTTAGACGATATTACCAGATAGATTTGAAATTTCCTTGTCTAGAGTAATACTGTAGAACACAGTCGACACATATCTAGCATGGAAACACTAAAGCTCATTTGAAGATGCAATCCATAATTTGGGAACAGTTCTCCTGTATTTTTTGCAGATTGTGCACAAATTTTACTTCACCTTTGTCCAGTGGAGCTCTTGTCAATGTCGTCACATGTTGGATGTGACGAATTCTCAGCTTGATTGATTGATTGATTGATTGATTTTATTAACGTCCATCTTCAGTCCAAGACTATATAGGACGGCTAGGCCCTAAGGGCCTAACGGGTAACTTTTTAATTTACAATATTGGATGTGATCTAATTGGGGAAGTGAAAACAAATGCTGGGGAACAGTGCCCGCTCATTATACGCATTGCATATAATAAAAAGATTTTGAAAATCAAGAAATTGTGAGGAGGTCAAACCCCTCTCTTATTTCCTCAACTGCTTCTTCTTCATTCTCTTCTCCTCTCTCCTCTTCCACTACTACTTCCTCTATTACTTCTTGTTCAAGAGTCCTTGCTAGATGCCATGCCCTTGTAGCGATTTTAGTGATATTGATAAATTTGATAGCTAATTCGATACCTATTTTTGTATGCAATAGGAATTGTATAGTGTTTTTGGATAATGGTATCTTCTTAAAGATCTCTTTTCTTTTTGTTTTATATATAGGACAGCTAATAAGGAGGTGTTGTGGTGCCTCAATATTACTGCATATACATTTGTTATTGGTGAGTTTGAAACGATGTAAGTAGGATTTGATATATCCGTGACCTAATTTGAGTTGAAAGAATGCGCTAGCAGTATTTCGAGTAGTTCCGCTTGGTAGCTTGATTTTGGAACCTATTTTCCATGGAAATAGCTTCGAGTAAGTTGATGGGGATTGGTTTGATCTGAGTTCGTATTGTTTGAGAGTATCAAGCCATTGATCTGAGGCATATTCTTTGACAGTCATACCTAGTAGTCCAAAGCTTGTTTCGTTCGAGGTAGGTTGTATTGTGGTTGCTTCCTTGGCTAGCTTATCTGCTAGCTCATTTCCTTCAACTGAGGTATGACCAGGAACCCAATTTAAGGAGATTTCGGCTCCTTTTGCTCTGATAACTTCTGCTGCTTTGATCGCTCTTATCTGATTGGCTTGTCCTGGGTGATCTGAAGGAGTTTTTAAGCGGTATAAACCAGCTTGATTATCCGAGTAGATTTTGAACTTTTGACCAGTATAAGCGATTGAGCTAGCGTATTCAATAGCTCTTGTAACTCCAAAAAGCTCTCCATTATATACCAATTGATTAGTACCAATATTGCTTCGCTCTTGATATAGAATTCGATTATTTGATTGTATAGCTACTATGCCTACTCCAATACCTATTCCCTTTTCGGTGGAGGAGGCATCAGTGTAAATATAGGTGGTATCTTTATCCCTATGTTTGAAAACAATATTATGAAGAATGGCAGCATCTTCTTTTGACGAATTGCTAATGTTAACTCGGAAGGGGGTTTCTCTTTTCCATGGGGGGAAGTTAAAATGAATGATCTTTTCGAGTGAGGAAGGGTTGAAGTCCTGGTTTATCGATTCTTTGATTTTATCCAGTTGAGTAGGTTTATATCGTTTTCTTCGAGGGGTAGAGATCGCATCCAAATTGGCTTGATATTGGATTAGTGATGCTTTTTCGATATTGATTGGATGATTTGGTGAAAGTTTAGCTAAACGGAATGCGTATTGCCTAATATTCGAGTCTAATCGAATTTTTGAGGGTTTTAAGCCTGCTTCTACTTCCATTGGAGGAATTGGAGCAGTTTTGAATACTCCTAATATCTTTCGAAGAGCTAGATTTTGAAGTGATTGCATCATATCCTTGAAATGGGCTTGGCCTCTCCACCAAATCACTGATGCGTAATCGGCTATACTGGTCACACATGCTATATATAACTGTCTAAGAGCTTTCGGACTGAGGCCCTTTTCGATATTAGCTAATCGGGCCATTCGATGGAAGGCTCCTTTTGCTTGTGTGATTCGAATATTAACATGTTGATTGAATTTGAGGCTCGGGTCGAACCATATTCCCAACCATCTAATTAGAGATTGAGGTATAATTATTTCCGAATTGGGTAGTTTGATTGGGTAGAATTCTCAGCTTTAAAGTCCTACGAGCGTTCATATGGCACTTTCCTATGCAAGCGCGTGTTGATGTAGAGATGAATTGATGAGCTCACGATGGTTTTTCTGGGCAAGTTGAAGCCATCGAGGCTCAAAGTATCGATGACCATGTTGCGGGCGAGGTACTTACTGCTGGAGATAAAGCCACTTAACTTTAATTACTGCCAAACAGTGCTGAGCAAAAGCTCGAGTTGTCTCTAGATAAAGTTGAGTCCCATACATTACATGAAAAGGCTGTGGACTTCCTCTTAGCAGAATTAGTCTACGACCTAGTTACAACAGGCTTCATTGGGAAGGAAGCTAAATATGGTGCTAGTGCGTTCTCGCCTCTTCAATCTAAACTTCTCAACCTCAACACCCACGAAACCATTCTTCTTCTGACCTTTCACTACTTTATAAATTTAAAACATATAATTGAGATAAACATGCCTTTTTTGGCATAGCGAAGATAATTATACCCGAGACATGCAACTAGCCACCTCAATTTTTTACGATGTAACCCTGCGGATAATCATGCAGGGTTGCACAGACTCGCTCGGGAACGCTTACCATGATGCATATATCACGACCACAATCCGCTAACTTGATCCTCCATGGCTTTCGAGGATTTCGAATCATTATAACTTCTTGCGACAAATATCCCCCCATCTTGGTGCGTCTTGAGACATTGAAAATACCCAATTCCTCCTCCGCTTCTTGTTGAATCATGTCTCCAACTCCTAAGTGTCCTCCTCCACTTTATCAATGAGTGTGCCGCGGACGTGTTCGAGGCAAGCTGGTATCAATTGACTAGAGAATTTGGTCGACTACAAAATCCTGAAGTTAATTCATCCAGGAAAGCTTTAAAGGCTCGTCAAATGTCGATGATGGAATTCGATCTTGACTTTGAGCTACCATGCGGACCTACACAGCAGCACAAACCATACTTTATTATCAAGAACGCTGCGGAGATGGACTAAACAATTCTTTTCAATGGATAAAATAGTACTCTTTTGTCTCTCACTTCACCGGCACTGGCTTCCTTTCCTTGAAAAGGTTCGAAATTGGGATAAGGGATATATTTATTGCCTTCCTTGTATTTACAAATACTTACGAAGCGTCTTGACTAGAAGCTGCGGCGATAGCCTGATCTATCCTGAGTCAAACTGGACATGGGGCTTAACACCAACCACTTCGCCTGAGGAACCGAAACCCGCACAACTCGAGAACGAGGTTGGTATGAACAGACTAAAGATGCTGAAATCTGGAAAGCGTCACCAATTACGATATCATTAGAGTCCTCTGTCATTTCTAGTCTCATCTAAAGTTTAAATAGGCAGTTAGAACAAATTAGGAAAGCACCGATCCGCAATTCCACGTGGCAGATGCCGAAGATCTAGCCATTTTTTTGATCCAGAAGTCCAGGGCACTTGCTTTTGATTTCTTCTTGTAGTTGAACAAAATCCATTACATTGAAATGACTTTGACAAGCAGGACTTCGGATATTGCGGTGTTATTAAGTCATTCTCATATGTCTCTGGAAAACGAGCGTTTCGATTTGCTGCAGGGAAAATCAATGACTTGGGATTATAGTCACACAACAATGTATCATTTATGAATACATGCAAATTATTCATCAAGCGGAGCGGCAGAATATACATCAATTGTATCTGATATTGCGATAGACTTTAGGTCAAGAAAAGCCATCGATAGAGTCAAAGGACGACTCGATCAAGCGAGCAGTGATGAACTCTCAAAAAGCCGCCTTTCTCCTCCTATGTTCATGCTGACAGAACCAAATAGACTCGTGCTGCAGGACCAGACTAAACGTGTCTTTCCTTACTAGGTTTGACAGATTCTATGGTCGAGTTTAAGAACTTATCGGACCTACAGTAAAGCGCCGCCCCAATTGCAAACCTCTCTGGGAAATTGGCTTCAAGCCATGTGCGCAGGTGTACATTAATTGTCTTGCAGCATACTCGGTGCGGCTTTGGAGCTAGATGGTAGCACTGAATGCGGTAAAGAATCAGCTAAAATCGATACCACGAAGTCATAAAATTTTAACTTCTGTCAATCATCATGGCGCGTAAATTAATCGAAAGCTTCTCCCTTAAGGCGCCATCCATCTGTCGCTATGTGCGCCTCATCACAATATCAGACTTCACATTTGAAGAAAACTTGCTTCTAAGCATACGGACTTAGATATCAACGTAATGTCCGGAAAAAGGTGTATGTATGCACCAATGAAAGCCACCCACCGAACATAGCAACGGAATGTTCTAGGAGGTAAGATGAATACAGATCCAAGTGGTTCTAAATCAATGGCTTTCATTGTTTCATTCACTATCCAAGTCATTGTACTCCATAAGATACAGCCAGAACACGATCTTATAAAGTTAAAGTGCCATTGTGGTATTGGATCCAGCTTGGCCCGGAATGATACGGTTATAGGAGATACAAAATGGAAGACATGTAACAGGAACCTATGCCCTTATACTTTAATGCCGAGTGGCTCGTTTGAATGTGCCATTCCATCCAAAATATCCCGAAATTATATATTCTTTCTCCTACAATGAATTGAGATGTATATGTGAGCATATTCTCCAGCCTCACTTTCACACTATCATTTTGTTTCTAGTGCAAAAAAACATGGTCTTGGCGGTGAAATGATGAAAATATTAGCCTCCTTGATTTCAACTCCGTTGTCCGCAAAGTATCGGTTCAATACTCTCAATAGGTAGCAAATGATTGCCAAGAGTGAAGGAGAGCGATTATCTTTCCCTGAGCCTGGAGCTTCGGGTTGGATATTCACTGTGTACATATAGATTAGCGAATGCGGTATTAAAACTATGAGTGAAGATTCGAAATTTCTACTTCTCATGGTGGTGACTGCATGATTAGACGAGTCTTAGGCCTATGTGGAGGTTACAGCTCACAATTGGGATGCCGACCCCGAAGCAATGTTTTGACACAAATCTTAGACCATATGAAGTATGCATGTGTTCGTCCTCATATATCTCTCTCTTGATGGAGTGGAGACGCTAATAATCTGCCAAAAAGTATAACAATAAAAAAAAATGTTTGCCAAGACATTGTTCAAACTCACTTGACCGAGTAGTTTTTAAAATGGCCAATATTCAATACCTCTGGAGAATATTGAACATGAACGGAATTCGTCCCACAAAACCACGTTTTAGACATGCATTCATAGATAATCTATGAATTTCGACCATACCAACGTACGGTATCATTGTCCAGAAATAGACCTGTAACCTCTAGATTGGTCATGATCTGGAACATATAATTCGCAAAGAAGCCGGTAGAGAAGACCTCGGCCCCCCTCACGCCACAACTACTCTAATTCACTGGAAAGCATTGATGCTGAATTTGTGGCAGTACCAGACGACATATGCGAAGCCATATCTCAGTCAATCTTAAAAATGTTTACACCTCCACTTCTTTTTGGGCTTGGCTGCTTCTTTCCTTGACCTGACAACCTTCAGCAGATGAGATAAATCAGTACTTCAACACGCTACTTTCCTTTTTTTTGTAAGCTTTCTTTCTCCTTCTGTCATAGATAGATCTGCTTAATAGCAAAGTACCCTTACTTCTTTCTTCTTATTGTAACCCCTTTATCGCCTTTGGATTGCTGTCGCTTCATCATCAATCCTCAACTTCTTCAAAATCAAATTTCAACCACACGAAACAAACAAGATATCCCCGCACACTTTGCGATTCAAACGTTAGATTCGTTGATTTACTGGTTTATATCAACAGTTTCATAATTCATCGCATTACTTGTACGTATATCAGCACCTCTCACCTGCTTGATTTTTTAAATCTGCAATGGCATAACGTTCCGCTCTTTGTTGATATCATCAACAAACATCAAACTTGAGGAAGCTTGGATCGTTCTCTTTTACAAGTAATTGACCAAAGCACTGTGTGTTTGCTCTAAAGTACCAGTTAACGTTTCCGGCAACTTTCATTCTTGCCAAAGTGTTCTTGATCAGTAACTAACGACTGTAGAGGCATTCAAGTTATATCTCAAAATTCTTTGGAGTGAGTTATCTACTTTTCTCATCGTTGTCCCTGCAGCTTGGCCCTGTTTTTGACATTGTGGCCTGTGGCTTACCGCAAACAACTGCATGTTTCCGCGGGCTTCCAACTTTACTTGGAAGAGCAAACGGCAAAGACTCATGAGAAGATTTCCTCAAAGCTCTAGAAGAATCCTTATTAGAAGTCTGTTACAGTCATCATTCTTCATCCTTGGTATTCTTAAGAGTGTTGGCTAATGTGATAAATCATTGATCAGGATTCTAAAAAATCTAATTTCATCACATTACAACTATACACCGTTCGTACCTTTAGTTTTCACATCTCTCTCTTCGCACTCTAATATTTCCTTCCCTATCAAATCTCCATCATGTCCACTCAAGTCAAGATTTGCTCTAATATAAAACTTTCCGATTCTCCTGAGTCTTCTCATGCTCTTGATAACATCGATACCGAAATGTCGTCACCGCTAACATCGATCGATAACGATAGTGACCGTAGCTTTACTCCCGAAAAGATGGATGCTTTTCATTTAGCTCGCGAACGTGAGGAGCGTATCCGTAGGAACGGTCAAACACCTAGCCACACACCTACTCCACCTATGGTTATGAACAATAACGGCAGCGCCTGGCGTCGCCAGTCTCTTTGCGACCCTGCCTATGCGAGTCCAGAGGGTTTCACTCCGCTGACTGTGGTTCGCCCTGGCCCCGTTTATCCTTTGCCTGAGCAAATTAATTCCGCGTTTGCTTATGGTATTCGTCGAGCTGACGGCTCTTATACAAGACTTCTCCCGGCTGATGAGCTTCCGGCCATCAACGGTATTCCTCGTCGCCAAGGTCCAGAGGGACTGATCATTGTTCCGGAGCTTCAGCACGGCTCCCCAAAACCAGAGCATGCTACTCCCATGATCCCAAATAAGGTATGTCTTGGGGTTTTTGAATTTAGATGATATGCTGACATTAGCTGTTTACAGGTCGTTGCAAAGCTGCCACCACTCGCTCCACCAATGTTCGGACTCAACCAGCAAAGCGATTTCCGCCGACCAGGTGATCAAACACAGGTAAGAGGATAGCTCTATTCTAAATGTATCACCAATCAAAATTAATATACTAACTTCATTCTCAAGTTAGCCATCGACTCAATCGTTGCCTCCGCCGTGGCCCCACCCATGAGCGTACCTCCAGCAAAAAATGCGATGGTTCCTATGGGAGGTCGAACTGGTGTGAAGATTTACTGTGATAAGTGGGTTCACGAAGGCACCTGTGCTTTTACTCAAGTAGGATGTAAATTCAAGCACGAGATGCCTATGGATAAAGCCACTCAACTCTTAGTTGGTTTAAACCATGGACTGCCTAATTGGTACCGTAACCAACAAAACGCTTCTGCCTCTTCAGGAAGTGGCACTGCTCAAATTGAGGCATCTGGTACAACGCCCACAAACGGGACATCTCGTACGTCTCAATCTTGGCGCCGTAAGGAAGCCACGTCTTTCTCTCTTCCGACCTCAGCTCAAGGTGGCACAAATGGTCGTGGTATGTTTCTTTAGCAGCTTCTATCTATGATTTAGCAACAACTGACTTGATCACTGCAGATCGTCGTAGCTCATTTGGTCCAATTGGTCCTCCCCATGCACGTCGTCTCACAAATTCTTCCTCCGGCGACTCAATCAATCGAACTCATCTCTCTGTTCCAGAAAACGGCGAAGAAAACGATAACGACGTCAAGATGCAGTGGAATGGTCGAGCTCGCGGCTATACAAACGGCCAGGAACAAGATCGTCGTCAACAATAATTCGCCTTGCCAGATACGGCGCTCCAACGATATAGATATTTATCTCACTATCTTCTGCTCAAAGCTTCTACCTCTATATCTCAACTCCTCTGACATTAGTTCTGCGGGCTATGCCTCTTTCTCACTCAGTACGATTTGGTTGATCTCGATCACCGTTTTTAAGTTTAGGTTCAATAACTTCACCATTTAGATGAAGTGGCGATGGGGATGTATGGCACTCGGAACATAGGACAGATGGGATAAAAATATTACTTGCTACTATATCTGGGGTTACAATGTCTGATTTTTTCTTTTTCTTTTTCTTTTTCTTTTTCTTTTTCTTTTTCTTTTTCTTTTTCTTTTTCTTTTTCTTTTTCTTTTTCTTTTTTCTGGTTCTTTTTTCTGGTTCTTTTTCTGGTTCTGGTTCTGGGCTAGGTAGAGAGACAGAGCAGAGCAGAGCAGAGCTTCTTCCATCCATCAAAATAAAAGCACGGCTAGCGTATTTGTTTCAATCTTCTGCTATTGCTATTGCTATTGCTATTGCTATTGCTATTGCTATTGCTATTGCTATTGCTATTGCTATTGCTATTGCTATTGCTATTGCTATTGCTATTGCTATTGCTATTGCTATTGCTATTGCTATTGCTATTGCTATTGCTATTGCTATTGCTATTGCTATTGCTATTGCTATTGCTTTTGCTTTTGCTTTTGCTTTTGCTTTTGCTTTTGCTTTTGCTTTTGCTTTTGCTTTTGCTTTTGCTTTTGCTTTTGCTTTTGCTTTTAGTTTTGGTTTTGGTTTTGGCATAAACGACGACGAAAATTTTATATTGCCCAGGTGGTGTGTAATCGAGTTTTAAATGATGGAATGGATTGTAGGGATGGATGGATGATGGATAGGCCAGATGAATGAATGAATGAATGATTGGGAGGAAAAACTTCACGAGAGATTATTAAAGGTCTTTATAAAAGCGTTTATAAATCTAGGGAATGGGTGAATGAATGATGGATAAAATGGATGGATGATTTGGATGGCTAATTCCTTTTTGGACACACATGCAGCTAGCTTACTCTGCGTGGGATTCCTACTGGATAGTAATCATATATTTTTCTTTGGAAATTGTGAATTTTGAATGATTTTGAGACTGGTGGTAATGGGTGCGTGGGTATGGTGATATGTGGTGATATTTTGCTTGACTTGGCTTGCGTGAGATTTTTTTATTAGTGGTGTTGCTGGTGTGATATGCTATGATATAATGGGTTGTGGTGGTGTGATGGATTTGTTGTTGTAGGTACTTTGGAATCGATGAGGTAGTTTGTGGTGTGAGAGTAGGGATGGAGGAAAGGAGGGTTTGGTGTACTAGGTTTTGGGTAATGTATATGCATAGGTATTTATACCTAGGTATAGTTCCTGGTTAATTACTTCCTGATTTTGGAGGAGCTTGTTAACTATTTTTGCCTATTTTTTAATCTACTGAAAACAAGAAAAAAAATGTTAATGAGTAGCCTGTGCTGGTTCTCTATCGATATCTTATTCACTTCAGTGTATAATTATACTTCACGTTGATGTAAGATATCGATCTTATCACGTATAGAAGTCGAGTTGGCTAGATCAATTTCAGCCAAACCTGGAGATATACAACACCAGTAGACCAAATACAATAGTTAGACTGAATTGCTGCTCTTAGCTTTTCCTTTTCCTTTTTCCTTTCCCTTTTTTTTTTTTTTTTTTTGAATCGCTCCTTAGGTATAGATATAGGTATCTCCATCGATATCCCAGCCCCGTCTTTAAATATATATCTATATATTCATGTAAATTATTTTCTAACCTGTATATAATTAATCTTACAATACAAGAGTATCTAGAGTCTAAAGACTACATATTCACTTCATATCTTTGCTAGTCTCGGTTCTCCGATCTTGAGATAAATGCGGTTTTGTATTTTTGTGTTTTGTATTTAATTTTTAATTTTTAGTCTTTAATATTAGTATATAATTGTCATATGATGTGATTTGAGTTTGTGATTGGATAATAATTATATTAGTATAGTAGATAGATTGTTGTGAATAATTTTCGGTTTTAGTTTATACAGATATGATATATGATTTATTTTGTTAGTTTTATCTCGAGTATCAATTATCTACTTGAGGGTGACTTTAAGATTGAACAAAAATAAGGGTTAAGTAATAATTTCACATTGAATAATCTTCACTATTAATCTAAAGTTATATATAAAAACCTTAATATTATTTCAATGTAATAGATTGAGGGCGGGAATGATGTAGTATCTTATTGTAAAAAAGATTGATATTGGGCTTTTTGATGGATTTTTATTTATTTTAGATTTGGATTGATATTCTTGAAGTAAGAGGAAGGGGAAGATTGATGAAATGGGTGAGGCAAGCGAGGATATATACATATTTTTAGGGTAGGTTAAGCGAGGGAGGTGGTTTTTGTGCAGGACGAGAAATTGAAACGTCAGGGAATAAATAGATTAGTGATTTTTTTTGGGATATCTTTATTAATGATGAGATGTAATTATAATGGCTTTTTTGAACATAGTTATGATGGCAATCGGAATTCTGCTATTCTGTAGTACTTTCAGGATCGTTTGATGGTCGGTTGGAGAGCCATTGGAATTTCTTTGGTGATCAGGTCAAAACAGAGGACGAGTGAAGTGTAAAATGTATGGATTTTTATTATTTTGCATATAATTCATAACCTATAGAGGCAGTACTATTAAAACAGAGTACACAAGAAAAAGGCAGACATCAAGCTCGCTTCACACAAACCAACAACAGTAACCCCCAAACTACACCATAAACTTTACCACCCTTCCATCTTACATCCTTCCCAATCTTTTAGCCCACGGTCCCCTATTCGTCCACTCTTCTTCCTCCTCTGCCACGTCCCCAGCCATTCCATGCCTATTGTTCCCCTCCTCATCCCTTCCAAAGATAACGGTTGCAGTATCAGGATTCTGACATAAACCCAATAATGAAAGACATTTATTTTCAGAGCAGCAAGTTCTCATACAGGCAGAACCGGAGCCACAGTCGGAATCAGTGGCGCAAGAAGAGAGAGCAGAGCAGGGTGTATCAGCCATGCAGTAGCCTGTGCCGCTTAAAGATGGTTCTGTGAAGTGTGTTAGTGAATTTTGGTCAAGAAGATGGGGATAGGAGAAGAGTGGGTGGGATGAGGGGAGAGGTAAGATGGAGAACATACGACATAAGCACGTTTTGTCTGAGGAGCAATGTTGATTCTGGCGGCAAACGGCTGTGGTGTTACATGTGGTGACGAGAGGAGAGACGGGAAATCTGGGGCTGGATGATGAGGAAGAGACGGGGAGGGAAGTAGAGGTTGAGGAGAAGTTCGAGAGCGGCTGAGATGTGATGGTAGAGGATGTGTATGGAAGAGATGATGATGTGGGTGTTAGGAGAGTGAGAATCGTTTCTGATGCTGAATTGGAAGAGGTTACCAACGATCCCGTTTCGGTTGATGATAAAAGTGTGGTATAAGACGCATTCAAGCTCGAAACGGAAAAAATTGAAGGTGAAATAGTCGAAGCCTCTGAATTCGAGATTAGAGAAGAAAAAAAGAGCTTTCTGTGCTGGAAGTAGGAAAGTTTGAGGATGTCGCACTCAATACATCAAATGAAGTAGATGTTGATACAAAAGCAGTTAAGCTGGAGTTAAACGAAAGAGTCGAGGATGATTGCATCAAAAGTATTTCAGATGCTGAGCTGCTGGATGAAAGAGATAAAAAGGTGACTGAAGCCATTAGCAAGAGAAATTAGCAAGTGAATTTAGCAGGAGACTAGAATATATACCATTTGCGGATGTTGGCTCTACTACCACACTTGACTTAGAGCTAGAGCCCGAATTTGGTTCTCCAACAACAGTGGCAGTTACAGTGATAGTTTCCACTCTATTGGGGTTTAGCGCGGGAATTGGGTCACTGGACGGGCTGCCAGGCGAAACTCCTGATAAATTCACGGTTGCATAGTCTGTCACATATGAAGTAGGGGCTGTGACCGTGATAGTGTTTACCACTACATTCAGGTGACTCCGGCATGCCTCAACATATGCACTGTGATCTGGACAAGCGCTCGTCGCATATGGTGGGATCGTTTCCGTGGTTGTGAGTGTAATGGCATCTCCTGTGACTGTAACTATAACAGTGTCCCTTGGTTTTAGGGCTCTGGCTGTCACATACACTATATTTGTGCTGGCTTCTGTATAGGTAATTTCAGTCAGTATGACGGTAGTAATTGTGACAATGCTGATTGACAAGCCATTAGCGCTTCGTATACCAGAGTTATTAAAGGAATGGAAGTACCCAGAAGTTATGTAGGACGGAGTGACAGTAGTTCTCATGTAACTAGAGCAATCCAACTCTCGTATTTCTCTTGCAACATGATTGTGGGAGCCACCAACAACATACCCGCAGGCATCGGAGCCCTGCCACCAATGTGCATCTGATAAACCGAGGAGGAATAGGGTAATCAAAAACTTCATGGTAGGTACTCAGGTGGAAGTAATTCTGGGCAATTTATGTAAAAGGTGCTTCTTAAGTGGTAGAACAATCTAGTTACGCTCAACAAAGATCAAACGAAAAGGGTGAGATTGACGGGCTATTTATTCACGAGCTCAAGTTTAGTCGCGTTTCCTCAGAATTCTCTACATAGCATGATATGCGTGTTGAGAGATTAACTCACTATCATGTACATGAAGATCACTGCAAAATAATTTGAACGAAAATACGTGAAGAATGCTGTTTTGAGCGCAAAGTTCACTAGAATATTGAATGTCTAAACAATATTGAATATTTGGGGCACTTATGCAACATTAAAGAATCGCTAAAAAAAAACGTTTGGAATTCTCAAATATGCCACTACTAAATAAGGTTGTAATTTTTATTGATAAATTCTCGACACTACTTGAGATGTTGCCAATGTTCCTTCCTCCCAGTATCACATCTCGAATACGGAGAAGGGTCCAAAAGCCCGGAAGTCCGGAAGTACAAATTAAATAAACTCAAAAATTAACGATGGGTATTTAACTTGATGACTATGAATGATATGCAGTCTATACACAGAGACTACCGGTATGCCTTGCCCCCATGGACAGATAAATTCGCTGTCTAATTGACGCCTTCCAATGCACGGTCTTCTGTTCCGCTACTCCATTATCCCATGTAAATGCTTCTTAGGAACAAATTTCCCGAAATTGTGTAGGCATGTTGTCGCGAAGGTCGTTACAAATCGCCCATAATCCACCAAATGTTGTAAAGATATGGTTCAATACCTGCCATATGAGGTATAATACATCGATATGTACAAATAATGCGCAGGAAAAGCGATAGACGTTCAAACGAATCTTCCTCTCTTTCCACCGCCACCAAGAGAATCATCTCCATGCCCTAGATTTCCTAGATCAAAGAAATCTCCAAAGTTTATTTTCCGCTTTTGACCAGCGCCCCGGCTTATGGAAGTCGAAGATCTAGCATTTAATCGAGAAGAATGATTGTTGTGTCTTGCGTTGGTTCGTGAAGGTCGAGTGAGGGAAATACCCGCTGGCTGATTACTGAAACAATCGTGGGTTTGAGAACGGCTCTTATCCGATAAATCCAAATCTGACAATAGAATATCAGGATCTTGTGGATATTGTTGCGAGGATCGAAAGGTAAATGTGCTCTGTGGAAGCTCCGTGATCGTTGGGGGTTCTGGTTCTGGGTCGGGTAATACAACGGTCGGAGGCGGAGGCGCTGTCTCTGTTCTCATTGGTGAAGTAGCTCTTGTTGATTTGACAGTTGATGTTGGAATATGAGTTGCGCTTTGCGATCTCTGAATTACTGGTGAGGACCCACGATCTGTTTTCTCTGGAACATCGTCGTCGCTGTCGTTGTGTGATGTTGAGTCTCGACCATCTAATCTCTCGGTCGCCCACCTTCGAATCCTCCAACCCTCGCCATCACTCAATCCAATATCTTCTTTGTCAAGGAAACTTAAGAGCTCATCCAGTGCATCCTGATAACCTTCAGCCCTAGCTCTTCCTTGATCTGCCGCGGCGGTCTTGTAGAGATTGGTGACGGATAAAGCGGCCGCCTTGAATTGTGCGATGAGAAGCTGTTGTGGGGTGTCGCAGTTCTGTTGTTTTGAAGGAGATTTACCTCCGGGAAGAGAGGTATTCAAAGATCTCATAGAATCCATGACTTGTTGTTGAGAATGGGTTTGTGCTGAGTTGCTGCAACAAAGATGGGAATTAGTCAGATGATGGTCCGTCCGGGTAGACACAGGATTAAATATGTAATGACCCTTAATTCTAGCGACGTACCTTGTCTTAGCGATGAAGTCGCAGAAATTCAAGTGAATGAATCTCCTACAACTCTTGGTCTGAGGCCTAATAAAGAGCGAGATCTTACAACTATGACTCTTAAAATAGAGATTCGAAAGATTTCTGTGCTGGTGGAGGTTTTGGTTGTTTTTTCGATTTGGATACAAAGAGCCATGACTTCTCCTAGGCCCGTGCCCCTGTGCTACGGTATTTAGTTATTCCGGCCGTAATCGTACCGCGTTCATTCACGCCTTGTACTGGAGATTCTGTTCTATAAACGCGAAATTCTACATCAGACCAATTTCTTGATTTCTCGGTTTCAATCAACAGAACAGCGCAGGTTTTTGACATTAGGGACTTATTCATCACTAAGACGTCTATTTCCATTCCAGATAGCACGACTACTCTTTCTCGGCGCATAAGAGATACCCTTCTTACCGTTGTTACCCTAGAAAGGGCGAAATCATGAAGACGGCACCAAAACGTTCTACACGCTATAATGGCCTCGATCCAGATACATCTATGGTGGACGTATCTGAAGTCAAACAACTACCTGTTGATCCTATGGTATGTTACGTTTTGGCATACTGCATATCTTTTTCCAAAACCTGCAGGCGTTCAGTGTACATATGTTAGACATGAATAAACGATGTACTAACTTGCGCCATAGGATGTCGACGAAACCCCGGATTTTACAGAAGATTCTGATACCAATCCTAACACAACAGAAAGCAGTGTTCACGGTGACGCAATGACAGGAGATGGACGGAAACGGAGATCAGAGGCCACTCAGTTACGTCGGAGCGTTTTTGGCAAAAAGCATGATCGACTTGGTGAATCCAAGGTAATTTCAATGGTTTTCGATAATTTTTTTGGGATTCGCAGCTGATTGACCGTCTCCTCGTAGGAAGATGATTCCATTCGACGTTTCCGATATCTTCTTGGCTTGACAGATTTATTTAGACATTTCATCGAAACAAACCCGAATCCACGCATTCAGGAGATTATGCACGAAATCGATCGCCAAAATGAAGAGGCTGAAAAGAAAAAGAAAGGTGCGGACAGAAAGGGTGGCGCAGCCAACGAAAGACGCCGCAGAACAGAAGCAGAAGAGGATGCAGAGCTCTTAAAAGACGAAAAGGCTGGAGGATCTGCAGAGACAGTATTTCGTGAATCGCCGGGCTTCATTCAGGGACAGATGAGAGATTATCAAGTTGCTGGATTGAATTGGCTAGTTTCTCTCCACGAGAACGGTATCTCGGGAATCCTTGCAGATGAGATGGGTCTTGGAAAGACTTTGCAAACGATCTCATTCTTAGGCTATCTCAGGCATATTATGGATATCACTGGTCCTCATCTCATTGTTGTCCCAAAATCTACGCTGGACAATTGGAAGAGGGAGTTTGCAAGATGGACACCGGAGGTCAATGTTTTGGTACTCCAAGGAGCTAAGGATGAGCGTAATACTTTGATCAACGAGCGACTTATTGATGAAAAGTTTGACGTCTGTATCACGAGTTACGAAATGATTCTTCGAGAGAAATCCCACTTGAAAAAATTTGCATGGGAGTACATCATTATTGACGAGGTAGGCTTATTTTGTTTCCTGAAGCTAATCTCTTGCTAACTGAATTAGGCGCATCGTATCAAAAACGAAGAGTCTTCTCTTGCTCAAGTCATTCGTTTATTTAATTCACGAAACAGGCTATTGATCACTGGTACTCCACTGCAAAACAACCTGCATGAGTTATGGGCACTTCTCAACTTTCTGCTTCCAGATGTATTTGGTGATGCAGAGGCATTTGATCAATGGTTTTCTGGCCAACAAGAAGATCAAGATACTGTTGTACAACAATTACATCGAGTATTGCGTCCCTTTTTACTCCGTCGTGTCAAGGCCGATGTCGAAAAGAGTTTACTGCCCAAGAAGGAGATCAACTTGTACATTGGTATGTCCGACATGCAAGTTAAATGGTACAAGAAGATCCTTGAGAAGGATATCGACGCAGTCAATGGAGCTGGTGGAAAACGTGAATCAAAAACACGACTTTTGAACATTGTCATGCAACTGCGAAAATGTTGCAATCATCCATATCTTTTCGAAGGTGCCGAACCTGGTCCACCTTACACTACCGATGAACATTTGATTTTCAATGCTGGAAAAATGGTCATGTTAGACAAGCTTCTTACTCGCATGAAGAAGGCTGGAAGTCGAGTTCTGATCTTCTCTCAGATGAGCAGACTTTTAGATATCCTTGAGGATTACTGTGTTTTCCGTGAATTCAAGTATTGCCGGATTGATGGTGGTACAGCACATGAGGACCGTATCCAGGCTATCGATGATTACAACAAGCCAGGTAGTGAAAAATTTGTCTTCCTTTTAACTACCAGAGCTGGTGGTCTTGGTATTAATTTGACCAGTGCCGATATTGTTGTACTATACGACAGTGATTGGAATCCGCAAGCAGATTTGCAGGCTATGGATCGAGCACATCGTATTGGACAAACAAAACAAGTTGTTGTATATCGATTCGTCACTGAGAACGCTATTGAGGAAAAAGTTCTGGAGCGTGCTGCTCAGAAATTACGTTTGGATCAACTCGTTATTCAACAAGGTCGTGCCCAGATTGCTGCTAAGGCGGCTGCTAATAAGGATGACCTTTTGAATATGATTCAGCACGGAGCTGAAAAGGTATTTGCAACCAATGGACCAACAGGTACCCTCGCAGAAAAGGGTGCAGATCTCGATGATGACGACATTGATGAGATTTTGAAGCATGGCGAAAAGCGTACTGCAGAGCTTAACGCTCGCTACGAAAAACTGGGTATTGATGACCTTCAAAACTTCACATCTGAATCCGCCTACCAGTGGGATGGTAAAGATTTTAGTCATCAAAAGAAAGATATTGGTATGACCTGGATTAATCCCGCTAAGCGTGAACGCAAGGAGCAATCTTATTCCATGGACAAATATTATAAACAAGCTTTGTCTACTGGCGGTCGTGTTGCAGATCCAAAACCTAAAGCACCCAAGGCCCCAAAACAAGTCACAGTCCATGACTATCAATTCTTTCCACCAGCCCTCCGAGATTTGCAAGACCGTGAAACTGCATATCATCGTAAAGAAATTGGTTACAAGGTTCCTTTGGCAGATGGTAACGAGGAAGATCTCTCAGATCGTGAGGCTGAACGTAACCTAGAGCAACTAGAGATTGACAATGCTACTCCTCTTACTGAAGAAGAGCAAGAAGAGAAGCAACGTCTCTCTCAACAAGGTTTCGCCGACTGGAATCGCCGGGATTTCCAACAATTCATTAATGGTTCTGCAAAGTATGGTCGTAAGGATTTCAGCATGATCGCCGAAGAAGTAGACAGTAAAGGACCGGAAGATATTAAAGCTTACGCCAAGATTTTCTGGCAACGATACACCGAAATCGCAGATTATGCCAAATACATCGGTTTGATCGAAGCTGGTGAAGAGAAAACCAGAAAGATGGATCATCAACGAAAGATGTTGCGAAAGAAAATGCAACAATATCGAGTACCATTGCAACAACTCAAGATCAACTATTCGGTATCAACTACCAACAAAAAGGTCTATACGGAGGAAGAAGATCGGTTCTTACTTGTTCTTCTAGATAAGTATGGTGTTGACAGTGATGGTATCTATGAACGAATTCGTGATGACATTCGTGAAAGTCCACTTTTTAGATTTGATTGGTTCTTCTTGAGCAGAACACCTATTGAAATTAGTAGGAGATGTACAACACTTTTGACAACGGTTGCTAGAGAATTTGATGAGCCAGCTGCAGCTAAAACTGTGAATGGTGTCGCAAATGGCAAAGTCAAGAGAGAACCTGAAGAGGATGAGAATGACGAGGATAGTGTATTAGGCATGGCCCCTGCCAAAAAGAAGTCGAAGAATGGTGTTAAGGCATGAATATCTATATCGACATATTTTATACATATATACTAATTGTTGCTTTAGAACAAAGCACTCGATAATGTCAAGTCTACTGCTGGAAGCAAAGCAACTTCAGCAACTCCATCGCCAAGAGCCTCTAGTGTTGTTTCGAACGCATCAAGTCCAGCACCAGTTTCGGCTTCTAAGAGCAAGTCTAAGGGTAGAAAGAGATGAGCATGATGAAGGGAACCAAAACTTAAGACGGTTCGTGTTACTATTATGGAAATGATTTCTTGTTAAGTGTATTCAAATCAGATGGCATGGCTTTGGGTAGGGCGTTAAAAGGGATTAATTGATGTGTGCTCCATGATCACATGGGCAAAAGAATGCGTAGTTTTAGATGGAACGTTTACGTTATGATATGAAACAGGTTGTGAGATGATAAGTCGTTCCCAGATGATTACCAAAAATATATTATTTTAAAGTAATGCAAATATTTCGTTGTGATTTTCCAGGGAGTCTTTGATGCAAATACTATTCCTCAATCATCTGGTTACTTTCCATCCCTGGGATATGTCGATTAAGATCCAGGTCCAAATTCCTAATAACAATCTCTTTCACGTAGCCACAGACTCCTAATACGAATGAAACTGGTTCATATTGATACACAATTATTACAGAGAGCTAGAAAAAGCCTGCGAAGAATAGCACAAACTCTAATAACCAACCTGCCTATCGCCTAGCACGTGACACAAAATTTTAAACCACCCCACCATCCATCCCACCAACGACGACGAACGATCTCTTTCTCGAGACTTTACTCAAATATTGAGGGATATCTAAATACAATCAATACCCTCATTCGTCAATTATATTCTGAAGTCTCTGGTTTTGGATTTTTATACGTGAGTATTTGGAGTGTTTGGAGTATTCGGCCTTCCTATTATGTATGTATAACTAACACACAGTATATATAGCACAAATCAAAACTTTCAAAATTGGAAATTTGGGAAATTTCTGATAATCATCCATACCTTTTGTACATCTATCTGTTTTTCATTTCTTTCCATCATAGAAAGTTTAAGCAGACAAAAGAAAGAAAGGAAAAATGTCAATCCAATCTAAATTCGACGGGTTAGAAATCCCTGCTGCGGCTGATTTTCATGTTCATCTTAGAGATGGGAAGATGATGGAGACGGTTGTTCCGACTATTAGGTTGGGCGGTGTGGATACTGTAGGTGATTTTTTTTTTTTTGGTTTATTTTTTTTTAATATTGCCTCTTTCTCATGTTTTTACTTTCGAGGGAGGAGGGGGAGCTGGGTTGCGGGGAGGAAGATGAGGGAGGCGGGATGTGTAGTAGAGTGTGGTAAAGTGGTTGGGTGTCCGATAGGAAATTCTTGAGATATTTGAATTGTTCCTGGAGGATTTGGTTCTTTCAGGGACTTGGTTTTCTCCAGAGACTCACCTGCTAGTGCATTTGAAGATTTGAATTCATGTATATCAGAAATCTGTCTAAACAGAAGTCCACTCGGATAGACTGCCATAGAAAAAGTTTGGAAAGAGGGAATATTCATCCAACGATGGGGTGTTGAACCTGCTTGAATCGAGGATTCATTGGGAGCCAAAAGTCTTCTCGAATCACTCAGATCCATTTAGACACTGCAAGCTCTCATCTAGAAGCCCCTATCATTGAACCGTTTCGCTTTTTTATATCTTGCTAATCTATGAACAAAAATTAGGTCTACGTAATGCCTAACCTCGTCCCACCCATCACCACAGTATCAGCAGCTCTAGCCTACAAAGACCGTCTCCTTGCCATCGAACCTAAAGTCAATTATCTCATGACTCTTTACCTACACGAAAGCATCACACCCGAAACAGTTCGAGAAGCTAAAAAGGCTGGAATCGTTGGAATTAAAAGTTACCCCGCTGGTATGTGACTTTTCTTTTACCCATTCACGTGCAAATGACTCAAAAGGAGAGAGAGAGCGAAGAAAGAAAAGACTAACTCAACACAGGCGTAACAACCAACTCCTCCTCCGGCGTCCTCTCCTATGAACCCTTTTATCCCGTCTTCGCCGCCATGCAAGAAGAAGGAATAATCCTCAATCTCCACGGCGAATGTCCCTCCGACCACAAAAAAGACATCACGATCCTCAACGCCGAAGCCTCCTTCCTCCCCACCCTCAAATCACTACACTCTAAATTCCCCACCTTAAAAATCGTCCTCGAACACTGCACCACAGCCGCCGCCATCCAAGCCGTCAAAGACTGCGGCCCCAACGTCGTCGGAACAATAACCGCGCATCATCTCTTCCTAACCATCGACCAATGGGCCGACGACGCATTTCATTTCTGCAAACCCGTCGCGAAATTACCAAGTGATCGATCGGCGCTGCTACTCGCTGCGACTTCGCTTTCTGATAAGTTTTTCCTGGGCACGGATAGTGCTCCCCATGATATAGGTGCGAAGAAGGGGGGGAGTGGGAAGACGGCTGCGGGGGTGTTTACCCAGGCGCATGCGGTGGGTCATGTGCTTACGGCTTGGGAGATGGGCGTTGAGATGGGCGTTTTGAGGTGTGAGGATATTACGGTGGAAGTTTTAGAGGGGTTTTTGGGGAAGAGGGGGAGGAGGTTTTATGGGATTGGGGAGGAGGCGAAGGAGGGAAATGGTGAGGGTGAGGGTGAGAAGATTATTTTGAGGAAGGGGGAGGAGATTGTAAGGGCGAGTTTTAAGGGGGAGGGGGTCGAGATTGTACCGTTTTGGAGGGGTCAGAAGATTTGGAGTGTCCAGTGGAAGTAAGTAGGTAGATGTTCATTTGAGAGTGAGTGAGAGAGAGAGAGAGAGGAGTTGTGAAATTATCTAACTAAGTGTTGAGATGATAGAGAAAAGGGAGGCCATTTTGGAATATCAATACTCTTGAGAATATCTCCAATCATCCTCGCTTAACCTTCCACCACTCTCTCATCTGTAATTGTGGCATCAATAACCTTATACAAATTCCTAGTAATTATATATTATATCACTATGAGTTTTCTTTTCTTTATTCAAAGATATATATACTATATACAGAGATTTAATCATCTCTAAATCCCTATCAATGCTATGCTATGCCATACTCTGCTAGACTGAGCTATACTAAACCGCACTCCGCTTACGCAATCCTCTACTCTACTCTATCCTATTCTATCCTATCCCATCCGTCCCTAAAACTCCCATATACCCAAGATACCCAAGATATCCAAATCCAACCACCGAAAATCTAAAACGCCAATTTCCTATTTATCCTAGTATCATAACTATATACCTGATATACCTGAGATACCCGTATTCGAGATACCTGTACCTCAGATATCTTTAACTCTGAATCATCTATCCATCCATCCATCTATTCATTTTCTGCTTTCTCGATATAAAACGAGTATCAAGCTAGAATTGAAATGAAACGAAACGAACAAGTCCCCCAAAAAAGTCATGCTTTTACCCAACACAAACTAAACACACAAACCATAAACTAAACAACCTCACCCGGAGTCTTCGACCTCTTAAACGCAGGTAAATGTCTCTTTTTCGTTGCGGAATTCTTCTCTTCCATAAGCGCCCCACTAGAATAAGCCTTCTTACTACCCATTCTCCTCCCATTCTTTACATCTCTCCTGGACGCACCACAACAACACATACCCATATGAATAAGCCAATTAACAATCGAACAAGCGGCACCTATCCACATAAACGCAAACATTTGTTCACCGATACTAGCACCGATATTGAGACCCGCTTGCGACGTGATGACATTGCGGAAGATGATGAACATGACTGTGGCGATGATGGCTGCGACCGTGGTAAGTAGTGCGGATATAAATGCCCAGATGGCGTAGATACCCGATATCCAGCGTGAGTAGATGGTGAAGAAGCAGAGGAAGATATTGCAGAAATTCATGGCTACTCCTGTGATGAAAAATCCAAACATGATGTGACTTGCAATGCGGATTAAACTGAGGATATTGTTAATCTGTGCGGGTAAAGCGATGGTAGCACCGGAGAGTAATTCGTTGAGGAGAATATTGACTGGGTTGAACCAGTAGAGTTTCTGCGGCTCTGAACATGATGTGATGCCTTCATCGTTGTATCCTTCGCAGAAATTCCACAATCCGACTTGGTAGAAATCGTGGAGACCGAGGGATCGAGCCAGGGAATTGGTGAGTGTTATACTTCCGCCGACGGATTCGGGGATGATGTTTGTGAGGTCGAGACGGAAAAACCAGGTATTACGAATGACTGGACGATCATTGATATTACCAATAATAGTCTAGAAGGAAATGTATTAGACATTGAAAAGTATGAAGTAAGAAGGATGAAACATGAGGGGAAGAACGAGGGGGGGAGATCAATCCCGAAGCTCAGAGGTGGGAGGGCACTTACGAGAATTAAAAATACAATGGAGACTACGTATAAGAAACTGGATATGTATATTGCCGTTTTACGTGCTTTTGTGGCTCTCTTGATATCAACACCGGTTGCGGAGATGTAATTGGGATTTTCGTGACCGGATGTTAATGTTCGATCGGAACTTTTGTCGGTGGTTCTGCCCTGGGGGGATATTACTCCTGCTTGTTGAGCTGGTATTGCTTGTTGACGCTTTCGATTGGGGAAGAGACCCATATTGGAGGGAGGGTGTGAGGAAAGCTGATGATGAGGTGACGTTGTTGGAATTGAGTAGATGCAGTGAGAGTCGAAGATATTAGATTAGTTTGTTGTTTTTCTTACTTCACAAATCCTATGTATGGATGGATGGCGATGGAGATAGGATGTGAGTGGGCGAGCGAGCGATGACTTGGATTCAATCGACGACGACAATTGAATATGGATATCTCAATCAACAACATCAATTGATCAATCAATGATGATGCGATGCATCAACAATAAAAGTTGGAGAATATCAAGTAATCAAATGTCCCTCAACCCTACCTCACTTCTACTCCGTAATCCTTTCACAAAAAGCTTGATTGCTATACACCAGGATAAATTCAAACTTTATTGAAATATGATCCGTATAGACGGTAGATACTTCTCTGTACAAGTGCAGTATAATACAATAGTAAAAAACAAAGATTTGAATTAGAATTTGGACCTCTTAGCTAAAGAAAGACCCATTCTTATCGACATCATATCATTGATAAAACCATGGAACAAACAGGGGGCTTTTTTTTTTTTTCACTTATTAGGCTTGGGCTTGGGCTTGGGCTTCATGCATGGATCAACATTTCGAAGAGGGTAATATTGCGCGTCCGAAGTGAAGCTTGCGTCTGCGTCCACCAGTTGTACCTGACTGAGTATGGAGTATGTGTCTATGCTATGCTATGATTTTGAATGGTTGGTTGAAACTTGTAACGAGTATAGAGTGGTCTTGTCTTGTACACCTGTCAGCACAAATTACTGGGGATTCGATCGTTCTGGGTAGTACTCACTCTGTACTCATCATCAACTTACTACTACCTACTTCGTAACGTACTATCTCTTACTATCATGAAGAGAAAACGCCACTGATGTATTCATACATAAAGTGTATTTATCTACTTTGTAAATTCTAACAAACTCCATACAATACCTACCTAGTAATTATGTTCAAAGCGTCAACCCAAAAAACCCAAACTACCTACAGAGTATAGGATTTCTAGACCCATCATATAAAAATAATGAATCTGGAGCTTCATAGATTCCAAGATTATTCATTTATTCATTATATTTAGGATTGTCATCGGTGGACACATCATATTTCTAGAACGGTATTGGAAATAACCCCTGAACGTCATCCCACGGTACAGAGTACAGCACGCACCTTGACTCTTGAGTGATGGTTCGCTAACTAGGCTTGAAAACGTGTCGCTTACCGCTATTGGAGGTGCATCGAGGCGCAGTTTGTTTTGTTTCTCTTCCATAATATATTTTATAGGCTTGGAATTAAGAGGGAAAGACTGGAATACGAGGTTTCTGGATACGGTTCGTTTTTTTACTAGATTGAGCTGCTGTGTTTGTTTACCTGGTAGTTAATGAACGGTAGGTACTATAGTATCTAGTAGCTGATATGATTTCTTCAAAGAAAACTTCCAAAAAAAAATATATATATATATATCTGAATGTAAGAATTTTCTCTTCAATTCCACTTGTACCTATCTATATTTTAAGCAGTGGATCTATCTAGACCCTTAATCAAATAGATTTTTCCCAAAAGCTGCACTCATCAGTCACTACGAAAGAATCAAATCGTTAGCAGTCAGTAATCCTAGACTCGGATCTATGCAGTAATGTGGTTCATAATATTTATAATCCCTGAATCGCCAACCATCTTGGCCTGGAGGAGAGGAAAAGGAGGGGCGGAAGGAGGCTTGGACCCATAGATGAAAGTTTAGAGTGTGGTTGGCATGTGGAACTTTTGGGAGAAAGATGTGAAAGAGGTGAAAGAGTATCTATTTTGATACATTCTTGAGACATTTGACAAATGTGTGGTGATGGATGGGATTATTGGGACTGGATGGTTGAATGTTTGGTATTATTGGGGTTTTTGATAGATAGATTGATGGGTATAGAACTTAGGAAAGAGTTCTCCTTAGCTAGCTATCCGGAGTAGGCACTTCCCGTGGGCTTATGGATGGATGATCCGTTCGCTTGGTACTTACAGAGCGTACTATTTTCCCGCCGGCTTACGATTCAGGAACCAAACTTGATTACATACTAGGTATCTTAGATCTACAAAACAAAATGAAAAGTTCAACATCTACTTTACCAATAACTCATCAATTCCAAGGATTAGTCAAAAGTATCGAAATTTCTTAGGGCTAAGCATTTCGAATTAGACTCAGCATATTGGCATACACGAAATCTCACCATCTCACCATCTAGCCATCTAAAATTCAAAAATTGGCGTAGAATATCCTTGGAATGTATCTTATGATTTGTCAATTTAATATCTTCAGGGCTACAAAGCTGCCGGTTCTCCTTGGTGTGTATCAAAACACGTTACTGGCCGAGCCCCCGAAGCTAAAAATGATTTGCGTATGTATCCACTGTGTTGAAACTTTCTTGAAGTGTGATAGAGACTACTCCGTAGTTTTGCAAGCAAGCCTCTCAAAACCTGAGGTATTCGAGTAGAAATGAAGCAGAAGAAGAGAGAAATAAAACGTTCAATAACGTCATCGCCTTGACTTTGAAGTGCTTCTTTTTCTTCTCCAACCGTGCCAAATACTTTATCTAGTAGGATATTACAATACGACTGAACTACTCCTATTCTGGAAAACTATTCGATTTCTCGTAATCATTCCAAATTCGGTACTATTTGCTTTCTACATACATGCAGCAACAGTAACGCTGGCTCTTAGTTTCTTTTCTGACGTCGATTCGTCAATTCAGGTTCCACCTCCACCTCCTCCACCACCCCAAATCCTAACCTGAGCCCTTCCCTTCAGACCTCGAATACGAAATATACCTACTTTGCCCAAAAAACCTCACTCGTTTGAATACCCTTCCCTTCACTCTTGAGTATATGCACAATTCCATCTATTAATCTGCGAAAGTGATTAGGTGTAGAGAAAATCACTGCAGAATTATAGTAGGAAACAATGTTGTTCTCACGCCTATTCTCAGTTGGGATACTGGCTGTTGGAGTGCATACTCAAGCCACTTCAGATACCACTTCAGAGAGCACCTCAAGTTCGAGTTCAAGATCGACTTCGAGATCTAACACGGATTCTTCCTCATCCCGAACAGATATCACTGTGATCACAGGATCGGAACAGAGAACACCTACAGGATCTTATCTTTCTTTGTCCACTACAATTACAGTTTCTACTTCTTCATCGGCTGTATCAACCGAAGCTGTCGTTTCTACTTCAACTGGTAAAACCACTACACTTACAACTACTCTTGGATCAACTACAATTTATGCAATTGGCACCGAAACCCTGACAGGAAATGCAACGGAATCAACCAGTACCGCTACACAAATTATTTTGACAGGTGGTGGAGGACATTCCACAACAACCAGTTCTATTAATGGAACATCCAATTCAACAGCAACAGCAACATCAACCTCCAGCTCTGCAAAAGCAACCAACACAACTCCCTGCAACAATTTCGTTGAATTCTGCGATCGTAGCTACGGAAACATCACCGAAGTATCCGCGCACAATTCGCCTTTCGTTCGAAAGGGCAGTGTAGCTGCAAATCAAGAATTAGACGTCACAACCCAACTCAACGATGGAATTAGATTATTACAGGCTCAGATTCAATGGAATGGAAGTATTCCCCATTTCTGCCATACCTCCTGCGACATATTAGACGCAGGACCGATCACAGATTTTCTCGGCAAAGTCTACAACTGGGTATCCGAACATCCATTCGACGTCGTAACGATTCTCCTCGGAAATGGCAATTACTCCCAAATCGACGCATATATCCCTTTCCTCGAAGAAACCGGTTTACAAAACTACGCCTATGTGCCCCCCAAAATCCCCATGGCCATCGACGACTGGCCCACACTAGCCAGCATGATCCTAAGCGGCAAACGCGTCGTCATATTCATGGACTACAACGCCAACCAAACGGCCTACCCATGGGTCCTAGACGAATTCACAAACATGTGGGAAACGCCCTTCGATCCCACCAATCGCTCATTCCCCTGCATACCAGAACGCCCCCCCAATCTCAACGACGCAGATGCTAAATCCCACTTCTACATGACCAATCACAATCTCAATTACGATATAAATCTGCTCGGAATCTCGCTATTGGTGCCCTATCAAAATCTCCTAAATGTTACGAATAATGTTACCGGGTATGGTTCTTTGGGTACGAATGCCGAACAATGTGTACAGGATTGGGGATTTCCTCCGAAGTTTCTTAATGTGGATTTTTATAATGTGGGGCAGGGAAGTGTGTTTGAGGTCGCTGCGAAGTGGAATAATGTTACTTATGATCGGGAGTGTTGTGGTGCGGAGGCGGAGAGTGGGACGGGGAGGTTGGTGGGTGCGGGGTGGAGTATGGTTTGGCTGGTTTTGGGGGTGGTTGGGTTTTTGGGGATGGGTTTGTGAGGAGGGGAGAAGAGGAAAGGGGAGGAGAAGGGGGGTGGTTTATATCATATGTGAAGAGGAGGAATGGGATTGTGATTGATATTGGACATTTGATATTAGGATGCACTGAGCGAATTAACTGCTATTTTAGCATGGGATGGCGTTTGGTGTAGTAGGGTATATATATACATGCACGTATGTATACATATGTATGTATGTATGTATGTATGTATGTATGTATGTATGTATGCATACGATTAAGAATTATGAGACAGATAGATTGCTTGGTTGATTGCTTGGTTGATTGCTTGGTATATTTGGTTGGTTGGGTATATATGGCGTATCCTCTATACTCTATATGATATATCGATATATCTATCCATAATAAAAGAATAAACTTAAAATATTAAACAATAATATCATTCCTTTTCGTTATTTATTATCTACCATCTACTACCCATCAAGATCCTATAATCATAATCTTTACCCCAATATCCTTTCTATTCATCCCCTCTATACTATATATATCAATCATCCTTTCTTTATCTAAGTAAGCTTATCTTATTATATCCTGATCTATATTCTTATTTTATACTAACTGATCAGTATTATCTATCCTGCCTCTTTCACTTTTTACTTTTACTCTTGTAATTTGAGTTTTGTAATTTGAGAATGAGAGTATGAGAGTGTAGGGGTATAAGAGAATGAAAATAGAAGTGAGAGCTGGGATATAGTATAGAATATAATTATAGTTTTAGATTGGATATTGGATATTGGATATTGGATATTGGATATTGGATATTGGATATTGGATATTGGATATTGGATATAGAGATATTGGATATAGAGATATTGGATATAGAGATATAGAGATATAGAGACATTAAACACGGAGATATTTTGACACTCGACACGAAATATTCAATATCGAGATATTAATATAAAATCCTTTCATGTATAAGATCAAGACTAATAGATGAGATGGGATGAGCAGGTTTTTGAAGCGGTAGGTATATACCCAGGTAATTATATGTGTAATATGGAGGAAAATAGATGGTTTGGGTAGGATAGATGGGGAGATTGATGTACGGGTTATTGATTTCATTTTGAATTGAATTGTATATTGCGGGTATTGTGAAGATACTAGGGACAATATCCAGTCCGCATGGTTGAGCCCAGCTCCACTCGGAAGTAATATTTAAGATATCAACTTAGGTAGTAAAAGACGTATAAGAGATATTAACTATCAACCATATTAAAAACCTTAATAAACATGATTGATTGATTCCGAAAATGAACTCCTGTATGGGTATCATCCTATCAAATCCTATCCACGCAGCGCCCAACACAGAATAACCCCAAGTAGCCCCAATCCCAAAGTAACCTCAATCCCAACCCCAAACATCCTCCATCACATCCCGATCCATCACCTCCCACCCTTAACATTATTAATCACATCAGCATCATCATCCTCCTCCCCCAACGTCTCGACCTTCCCCCCACTCGACTTCGTCAACCTATCATCCGTCGCATCAAACGTCTTCTTCGCCTCATCGATAAAACTCTTCTTTTCAAAAACCTCTGTAATCTTTCCTAAAAAGGCTGGATTCTTCCGACAAGCAAATTTAATATCGTCCAGTTTGACTTTTTGTCGGCCGGCTATTTGCGCTGCGCGTGATGCTTCGAAACAGAGCTCGATGATGAAATCGGTGACGATTTCGTCGAGAGTTTTGGTCGTGCTTTCTAATGCGTGTTGTACGTCGCCGTGGGCGTGGAGGAAGTGTTTTACTGGGTTTGAGGTTAGCTTAGGGTTTGATGGGAACTGGAACGAAACGTACGTTCTGCTTCGGTGAAGTTTTGTTGGCCGCGATTTTTGGCGGCGCGAGCTCTTGGTTCGGACATAGTGCTGGTTGATTGGGATATAGATTTCTAGCTGAGTCGAAGGATGGTAAGATTAAAGCTGTCGTTGTCGCGGAATCTGATATCAATTGGTATTGTGAAGTTTTATCTTGGCGGCTTGGACGAATATGTAAGTTCTACAATGTTTGCAGTTGATAATTTAGTACGTCAAGTTGCGAGGAGAAATATCGAGTGCTGTTAAAAGGACCTCTTGTTACTGATGATGCAACTGATGTAAAGTGACATCCGGATATAAAGTTGAGAAGTTGAAAGCTCAGTAGATTATCCGAAAAGCGGCGGTAAAGATAATCCGAAGACCGATTATCCAATACATGGGAATGGAAATCTGTTTGATAGATAGATGTACCAGTGGTGTACTTACAGATTCATGAATTCTCAGCCAGAACAATTTGATCACTCAACATTTCCCCATAGTCTCATATATTATCATATACCAAAATGGTTTGTCACTCTTTCTAAATCAAACTATAGACTCCACTCGTGTGATTTTCTCACTGCGAGAATGCTAATAGTTATCTAGTCAGCTCTATTCAATTTCCAATCAGCGCTACTAGTGCTACTCCTCCTCATATGTACGAGCGCATACGCACATCAATTGTTTCCCAATATCATGGATAGGAATAAGGAAGGGTAGGGTCCTATTTGTTTGAACAAGCAGGGAAATGGGATACTGACGAGATGTAGGACTTTTACTGGCTTATTCTGGAAGTGCGCGAGGATAGGAGAACGATTGAGTCCTTACATAAGTGTTTGCTGTGTTGTTATGGCTGTGAGTTTTGGTATGGATGGTTTTGGTCCAGGATTACTAATGATAATAGGTTTCTCTTTTCATCGGTAACTAAGCGCTTGGGGGAAAGGATTTATGGCGTTTGGGAGGATGAATTTATATCAGGCTGAGGTCTAGACCTTAAAGACATTTGGCATAGGAGATGGTGCTGGGAAAGTTATGAGAGTGGCATTTGAGCCGACATGATAAAACATTATACGATTAATCGAACAAGATTCCAAGTTCTTATATCCCATTTCGCACCCTAAGTTTCTTGCAGAAGCTCTTCCTTTGCGCCAGTCTCCACGAACCATGAAGCAAAACGCCTTTGCTAACACACTCGAATGCATATATACATATAGTGTACAAACCAATTCAAATGCCATGGACACATGGACAAGTTCATTTCCCAAACCTTCAGAATCGAGAATGGAGCTCCCACGTCATGGTTCAGGGTACTGAGCTTTGAAAACTCGCTGTATCCATAGTTTCATTATCACCCCAAATATCTCGACTCTCTTGTTCCACGGATCTCATTGCACTAGCAACTTCCTCCAACTTTGCTACTACATCAAGCACACCCTCATTCACCCTTTGAAAATACCTATCATTAGCCTCCCTTCTCTTTCTCGCCAATACAATATCTGCCTTTGTATCCTCCTCCAATTTACTACCCATCCTCTCCGCACCTCCACTATGAGCTCCACTAGTAACTGTACTTCTCCCTCCATCCGTTCCAGATGTTACGGTCATTCCTGGTCCATCCAATGCACTTTTTCCTTCACTCCCCAATGCCCCACCCCCAATATCACCTTTACGTCCCTCATCAACTACATCATCAGCCTCACTTCTTGCCCACGCTTGCGCCAAAGCTATTTGTGTTTTACGTAATTCCTCTAATGCTCTGCTATGTTCGGGTCCAAATACATGTGTCGCATTTACAGCACTGAGCTCAACTTCCTCTAATGTGCTTTGCATTTCCGCCCATAGCGCATCGGTTCTCGCAGCTTGTTTTTGTCCCTCGGAAGGAGCTCTTCCTACACGAGAAATTGAACTTAAGGGAGCCGTGTCTGTAGGGCCATCGAAATGAGTTCGCAGAGGTAGTCTTTGGGACCGTTGATGGACGAGGGTATTTCTAGAGGTGGTGGCATATAAGGCAGATGATTGATTAGATGGTACAAGTGCTAGACCACCTTCTATCGATACATGAGATGCATTTTGAGAAGGAGTAGTAAAGAGTGCAGGAGGTGGTTCACGGTTAGGCCGTTGTGATTTTGATTTTGGTGATTGTTCCATATTGAAATGTGAATGGTAATGTGTATGTAATTTGCAGGAGTATATCTAAAGCTATGCGGAGTATCATAAGATAGAAGTTATCGCGTTCTTATCGGTAATTGTTATCGCCGATAATCTGAACTACTTTGTGGGTGCCTTAAACAAATTCAAATTCTGACCATTCCCAGGCCACAACTATTTTTGCCCAGAAATTCATTTGTTCGCTTAGTGCATTTTAGCTTCACGCACTCATTAGGAATTTTGAAATTCTTCTCTCCAGCTTCGCAACGACAATATCGACAACTAACCAAACCCATCAATTCCCGTTATCGCCATAATCCGGTACATACTCAATCTCTCTACGATTTACCCTCTGAATCAATCTCAATCAGCAGCTAATTCGAAATTCTTAAATAGCAATCATGGGTAAAGGAAAGCCAAGAGGTCTCAACGCCGCTCGCAAACTTCAAAACCATCGTCGCGAGCAAAGATGGGCTGATTTGTCCTACAAGAAGCGTGCTTTGGGTACCGCTTTCAAATCCTCGCCATTCGGAGGTTCTTCCCACGCTAAGGGTATCGTTCTCGAGAAGGTCGGAGTCGAGGCCAAGCAACCTAACTCCGCTATCCGAAAGTGTGTCAGAGTTCAGTTGATCAAGAACGGAAAGAAGGTCACTGCTTTCGGTATGTGGAATATTTTATGATTTGGGATTTCTGGAAGGGAATGGAGGATGGATTGTAGATCTGCGGGAGGATGGCAGATGAATAGAGGCATTCTGCGGAGGAGGAGAGTGATGAAGAAATGCTAACGAGAATTTCCACAGTTCCTAACGATGGTTGTCTTAACTTCGTTGATGAGAACGACGAGGTCCTCCTCGCTGGTTTCGGTCGTAAGGGAAAGGCCAAGGGAGATATTCCTGGTGTTCGTTTCAAGGTCGTCAAGGTCTCTGGTGTTGGATTGTCTGCTTTGTGGAAGGAGAAGAAGGAGAAGCCAAGATCATAAACGAATATGTTAACGATTTTGCTTCTTGGGGGAAATGGGATATGGTGTTTTGCTGTCGCGACGATCGATGGCTAGGCTCAGAATCTACATATAGAGCATAGTACTTTCATACCTGCAGCATTTGGGAATGAGATACCTCCATTGATCATGATCACCATCAATTTGTCTTTCGAGAAGGATTTTTTTGTGCAAACGATTGTGTGATGAGTATTCATGGGATAGAAATGGGTTAGAGATTCTGGCTGGCTGTTCGTCTCGAGCTGATACTCGACGTTTTTATGGGTGGCGAAGTTGCTGCATGACTTCTGAGTCTACCCATTTTGTGTTCTCCAAATGCACCAGCTAGCATCCTACTATTTCTCCCATGACGACATGTCATTTGATATTTTGCAGCCATAACGTTGAGAATCATTCAACACAAAAATGCACTCATTTCTCATGAATCTTTTAGCGCAGCAAGACTACTCGAGCACAATACATCTACAATGCAAAAATCTCTTCATCTATGTGTTTAATCTCAACGTCACCTAGCTAAAATCCTACCTATCAAATGTTCGCCTCGATATTTTGGGCTCTTCGTGGCCTCGCTGCATACCTCAGATGTATATTCATGACTCCTGGTCGAACTTCCCATCTCATCAGAGTCTTCAAAATCATCAAATATCATGATGGACGCACATTCATCATTTTAAATTTGGAACCAAGTTATCTTTTCGTCTGCATATTTCTACTTCAACTATCTATAATCGCCCCACAGAACAAAACGATATACAGTCTATTAAACATTTAACATTAAACTATATACTGTCTCATGATACACAATATCTAACTTCTCCCTACTCCACTCTACAATACTCCTTCCTATTCCTCCTCCCTCCTCAAAAACACATCTAATCCACACCACCCAAACCTCCCTCACTACCCACTACTCCTTCCCCTCTGCCTCTCCCTCTCTCTCCCATTCCCCCCAAACATTAACTCCCATAGCCAAAGCTGCAACATCACAACTCCTAATATAATCCACCTCGATCAAATTCGGTTTTCCCTCTCCCGCTCTTCCTCTTCCTCTTTCTCCCCCTTCTCCCCCCTCCCTTTCTCTCATTTTCCTCCCCCCAGAAACCAACGCTTCGAAATTAGAATATAATTCCCTATGCGCCGATACCGCATAGCCAAGTATAGAATTTCGCCATGTGCGCCTGTCGGCTTGGACGGCGAGTGGTTGCGTGAGGATCCAGGAGAGTTTGTGGATGGGGCTGGGGTTGGGGGTTGGGGATGGGTCGATGTTGGGACTAGGATTGGTGTTGGGGAATGATAGTTTGTGTTGGGAGAGTTTTTCGAGTTGCGTGGTTACGAGGGTTTTGGGGGAGGAGGTGTGCGAGAAGGTGCCGGTTATAGGGAGTCGGAAGGCGGGGATGGGGGTGAAGTTTAGGGTTGCTGGGGAGCTGGGGGTTAGGGAGGTGCTTTGGTGGTCTGTTTGGTGGTGATGGTGGGTTAGTTTAGATTATTTTTGTTGTTGTTGTTTTTGAGGGGTGGTTTGAGGAGGGTGTGGGTGGTTTGTAGGGAAGGAGAGGAAGGCAAGGGGAGAGTATGTATGCTAGATGATGAATATGGGGATATTGCAATAGCGTATCAGGAAAAAGGGATGATTTGTAAAACGAATCGCGGGATAAAATATTACGATAGACTTGGATACTAGGGATTGCGATATGGAAAGAAAAATGACACTTACGAGTATTTTCAGGAGAATTAGAAACATCCCGTTTATAAAAGGAGCGAGATGACTTCTGCGAGTATGAATAATTTGTAGTGTTAAGAGAAGCAAGATCGATATCCTGGACAACAGGATCGCAGCCAGATGAAAATGCCGAGAGAGCGGTATCTACATCTCTCGTTTCCAGCACAGAAGACCAAGCCGGAGCACCACAAGGAACCCTCACCAACACCGTACTCTTGCCACCCTCCTTCACAAACGTCCCAAAAGGCACACTCGACAAATCCCACTGCGAACCCTGCGGTTCAACCCAAAGATCAAAAATCCCACTCAATATTCCATAAAACTTCATCCAATCATCCTCGCTAAATCCCTTCCATCTACGCCTCGCAATCGCATCGTGCGAAATATCAAGCACGATTAATTCTCCGGGATATTTCCGCGTGAAATAATTTATATCTTCGATCATGCTCTCGATACTCTGTCCCGTGGCTCCCCACATGCTACCTGCGGCATACGTACCATGGTACGTCATCCATTTTTTCCAGTAGAGCGCAGGGCGGATATCCAGCCAGCGGGCTCCGTGCACAAGTTGCCAGTATATGGAATCTGATTGCGTTTGCGTGTTGTGGAGTGTACCTGGTCCGTTGAGAGGGTGGGTGACGACATTTGCGCCGGCGTCGTGGGACATGGGCATGGTGATTTCGCGGAGGGTTTTGAGGGAGAGCGTAGAGAGCGTGCTTTGCATCCAGGCGACTGGGGGTTTGGTGCTAATGTAGGGAGTTTGAGTGCCGTTTCCTGCGAGGATGAAGGGGTGGGCATGGCGGTCCATAAATCCTAGGTTGATGGTTGAATATTGGGGATTATTGAGAGAAGTGAGATTTTCATGGTAGTGAACTTGCAGTTGCGTTGGGTCTTGAATGGCACTTATGGTGAAAGATTCAGAGGATGTGGGATTATCGATACGATAGGTTGCTTCTGCAGATGCGTCTGGTTGGTTGAGAATCCATGAGATACAGGATTCGGAGCTGGTGCCTGTGATGTTTGTTAGATTTGATTGTAGGATATTGGGCGATATATTGTGTGTGGGATACCAGATGGGATAATGGTCTGGGGGGACCATTTCATGCGATGCTTTGCATGAGATATCAAGTGCCAATCATATGGTGTTCCATTGATCAATTCCACGTATGCCTTTGATTTTGCGAGTACCATAGGCAGAAGAAGCAGCAGGACAGCAAAGACATATTGAGTAGATTTGGACATTGTGAATAGCATCAAGTAGAGACGATAATTGATTGTGTGTGCAGATGCGTCCAGACTTGGTAATTTACAGTATTTAAGTATACATCTCTTGGATATCGTGAAGGTTTACAGGACAATGTCATGAAGTGGACAGATTGCACAAGCTACCAGTTGGTAGGAACTAGCAATTGAGCAGGCTACAATTGATAGACTCGCCGTTGGCAAAGTATGAATCGCTAGAGCTCGCCGTTACCAAGCTACGAATTGGTAGGACTTGTCGTTGACAAACTACGAATTAGAGCTCGCAATTTACAAGCTACAAGTTGGTAGGACTCGCCGTTGACAAGCTATGCGTTGGCAGAAACTAGCCATCAAGCAAGCTACAATTGATAGAGCTCGCTGTTACCAAGTTACGAACTGGTAGAGCTCGTTGTTGGCAAAGTACGGATTGCTAGAGCTTGCTAATAACAAGCTACAAGTTGTCAGAACTCGCCGTTGACGGACTACGAATTGATAGAGCTGGCCATTGGCAACCTAAGAATTGTAGAAACTTGCTGCTGGCAAAGTACGAATTGCCAGAGCTCGTTATTAACAAGGTACAACTTGTTCATTAACAAACTAAGAATTGAAGAAACTTGCTGTTGGCAAAGTACAATTCGGTAGAAATCCGCCATTGACAAGTCCGCTTGAAGGTAGTGATAACTTTCCAAGTCGGTGAACTTTAGTCTACCAAAGACCTCAAAATACACCAGCCAAGCGAAAATAGTACAAGGTTACTGGAATGATTGTAATGATTTCATTTCCGCAAAAAAACAATATTCGACGTCATTTGTATCGACATTGTTACATTGCTTGGTACAGCAACAGCCGAATTAAAGTTTGGAAGGATTGACGAGGGTATGCTGAGTAGCAAATCAATATTGTACGGCATAGAAATATCAAAACAGTCTGAGACTCTGAGGATGTCTGTCGATCGGCGTTAAATGATGGTCCAATGCCCTATAATAAACACAAGAGCTTACCTACGTCATGGATCGTCATACACTAATGACTGCAGGTGTGCGAACATCGGGATAAGTAGAAGAGACTTGCACCCAAACCTAGAAGTGATTTAACTTTGCGTCGTGAAGAGATGGTGAAAAGTGTAAAAGAGGAAAGGAAAAGATAAAAAAAGGTAAGGGGATTTCCTATTAGTATCGTTCATCTGTATCATCATCGTCATCGTCGTCATCGCCGTCATCTCTTGTCTCGCTTTGGGTTCTTGATGACGTTGGGAGAGGGATTATCTGAAGAAATAGAGTTTGTCTAAGCAGACACGATTCACACAAAGTATTGAATGAGGTACTTGTTCATTCCTTCTTCGAGAATACCCTCATGTCGGAGGTGGAATATGGAATCTGCCAATTCACGTGCCTTGCATATGATCAGAGCTGCTAGCTCGATTGGGATCCCTCTGCAGCTTCAGCAGAAGATCTCTAATAAAGCAAAACTACTTCTGAAACAATGTCATTTCACTGTCTTGCCGTTGCGACGTATCACCTAAAATCATTACTCATGAAAGGATGACTTGTTAATATATCTATTGATGCCGTCGCATCATCTGTCAAAGTCTCTCCTTCGGTATATAAAAAAAAAAGGTCAGTGGGTTACCAAGACTTTTTTCATACGATTCATGAGCACATATCAGGAGCATACCTCCGTACGCTGCAGATTTAGTGTCCTAGAGCAGCAGTGGGAAAGTAAGAAATGTGCCTAGCACCAACACTTAGGGTGACACCATGCGTTCTGCTCACGCCTGACCGGCTGAACCTTGAGACTTGAGACGTGAGTACGTACCTAGTAAAGAAAAAAAAAACAAGCCATTAGTGGAACTAAAGCAAAGCAGTCGTGCGGCCAGAAAGCATAAAACCTCCGAAAAGCCAAGTCGGTGTTAAAAAAAGAAAAAAGGGAAACCTTGAAAATGGGGCAGTTGGATCAATAACAATTGTTCTCTAGCCGTTCGGGGGTTTATACTTTCTGGCCGCACAACTACTCGAGTATTCCGTATGCTTTTTACGCTTTTTCGAGGCCACCTCAAACTAGCGGCCCATGGCCCGTTTTCCAAAGGGGAGTAGGCTGACCGGATAAGCTTTTTGACACTCTGGAAAGAGAGCGCCTGTGGCACAGTTTTAACTTTTTCGGTGGACCTGCCTCAACTACATGTGTTAAGACCAGCTCTTTCAGCTGTATGACATCTGGCGACGTGACTAAGCATGGGGGAGAAACGACCTACGTACGTAGTAGACTTTAAAACCACGAAAATGGAGCCGCACATCACGATCCCTTCATGAACTACTGACCTCTCGGAAGAGGGAGAGGGAAGTTCTGGTCTCCTTTGTGTCTCATCCCAAAAAAAATCCCTTTACATTTCCCCGAAATGACACGAATTTTCATCTCCGCAATAACCGGTTAACCGACGTCGTCGAGCTCAACTCATCGTCATTGTACTTTACAATACATTATACTCTGGATCCTGAAATTTTGAGTTTTTTGTAGAGGTCCACTGCTCTCCCACCACGAAGATCAGTGATGACACAACGTTTGGCAAGCGTGTGCCTATAGCCGGGGAGTTAAGCATGCAATTGGTTAAATTACGTGACTCAGAGAATCAAAGCAAAGTTTAATAAATTAGCATCGACCGAAAGAAAAAACACAGTTTTTTTCGGTAGATGGTTTTGACTCTTGGGTGAGTGGGAAGGGAAAAAAATATTAGAAACAGATTAATTATCTCATTTGTAAAATTATATCATTTGATGCCGTGGTTCTGAAAAATCCAAAATTCCCCAGTAAAAAGCTTGGATCATATCGAATTTTGAATTTCAATTATCAATTTCAACTTCGGCTTTGCCCAATTAAGTTTAAAGATATTTCATATAATCTATGAGGGAAGACTGAATTCCCAGCACTCCGTATATTGCAATCAATCAATTAATCAATCAATTCCCAGCATATTATTACAATCAATTGTAAATTGTAATACATGAGGGATTGCTAGATTCGATCCGAAAGTGGTATAGATTGTCCAAGATCTAATCCGTACATACCCCAAATCAATATAGCATTAAGTCGAGAAGCGAATATAACCGAATTCGTAACTCGAAAATTTCAAAAAGAGATGCTCAGTCCTCAGGACCTCTTTTTTCTCCAAATGCTAATAAACTCACATATGGGACGGAAGTGGATTCTGTGAGCGCCGCATGAATGCTGGGTATTTGTGTGTTGCCTAATAGTTCACTTATCATCTCTATTTTCATGCTGTCCGATGAAAACCCGTTCCACTAAACCGAGGTCGAGCCTTCCCCCCCCTTCTTCTAAGACTATACTATACCTACCTACCTTAAGATGACATCGCAAGTTTCGAAAAAAAAAAAAAAAAAAGACCCGACAAAAGGGAATTTTGGGAAACTAGGTGGACGCCAAAAAGCTAAATAGCATACCATCGAGCTATTGCCGTATACTCGTGTTAATGTAGTGGGGGTGCATCCTTGTTGTCGTTTTGGAAAAGTCTTCGATCGGTGCAAAGTAGTGCCGCAGGACACTGTCCTGTCAAGGTGACACTGGAGGTTACAAGTGAAGAGGAACAAGGTCAATCACAGAAGCTCGTTTTACACGTGCCGGCCAACGGGCGAGCGAGTCAGGGGCAGCAGGCTTTAAGTTTTTTTGCACTTTGTTGCAGCGCTCGCTTATAGACAGACATCCTCGCTCAGAATATTGACATTCTGACACTAGAAAAATCGGAAGCGGGTTCCGAGAAGCTTAAAAGATTACCTTGAGGCTTGGGATTTTCTATTGCTGTAGTTCTGTAACGAAAATGATTTGCATTGCATGTTGAGTGTTACTGTGTGTAGCATCATAGGCCGCCCCAAGATTGACTACCCGCCTACCTTACCTAGGGACCTAGGGGACGGAGTGAGCTCCGTGTATGTGGCGCAGCAGACAATTAACAATATGGGAGGAGTGCGTGCATCAAACGGCTGGGTTCTTATCAGTTGAAACTTAGGACGGATATAACAAGTGCCGGGGATAATCATTCATAAGAGGGTAGATTGCTCCTAGATTTGTTCAGAACATCAAGCATCTAAGATAGATTGAGGCACGCCAGGGACGGAGAAATGTCAAAAAGGAGTAAGAGGGGGGTCCGCAGTACATCTCCCAGAAAAGTGCGGGGCGCGGGAGGGGCCATCTTTTGAATGATGCTCCTGTGCTGCGGAAGATCTCCACCAATCGCCCGATCGTTGTACCCAGAAAAAGTCTGGGTTCCCTGTGGCTTGCTCTAATGCCGAGTTTCCTAGGAATCTCCGAGGTATTGTGGCTTTCGGTGTGGCAACTGTACATCCCATCCATCAACCGTAGGTGCCGTTACTTGTTACATTTTAATTCCCATGACCTCTCTGGTCGATCGGAGGGATATGAGCCACCTGCCGGGCAATTCGATCATCTTATCGTGTGGAAATCCTATCTTGACAAGTATCTTATATAGGAAGGATGGCAGGAAGAGCCAAGAGAGCCAAGATGATAAAGTATCTGGGCAGGGAGAAATGTATGTCACTGAACGTCTCTGAATGGGCGGTTATTACGGATCGAGCGGGATTACCCGGATTCTGGGTGGCAGGAAATAACTGTATGTCATTGAACGTCTCTGAATGGGCGGAAATTAGAGATCAAGCGGGAATAAAACAGTTCCTGTAAATGGGGAACCGTCTGAATTGGCATGACCTTCCAAAAAACATCCACTCAGCCTAAACTAATTCAGGTAGCAACTCGGCTTTCCCTTCTCTTTTCCCTCTCTTACCTGCATTATTATGCACATGCAGGCAGATAACTGGAATTTGTTCGACTTTGGACCTTCCACTTTCTCAATTACATAAGCAACTTTACCGAGTAGCAGGGAGTTGGGCTTATATAAGCACGGCTAAACAATTCTCGATTGGAGGCACAAAGAAACTCGTCGGGTACAAGAGTGATGGATTTTCCATCAATCATATTCACTATCGATTCTTCCTCCAGCTTTGACGTGAGTCCTATACGATCCCATGCTTCTGATAGGTCGACATGATATATCAATCCATTTATCACATTTAGTAGTTGATGCGATCGCAGCCCGAAAGACCAAAGAACCAAACGACCCTATAATTCGACGGTCGACAGGTCTAAAACGAGCCAGGCAGAGTCTGAAATGGAAAAAGAAGAAAAGTTTCCACGTCCTCGATTTAGATAGGGAGGGTATGATTGGTATCAGAATCGGGTGGTGACTGAGAGGAGAAATGGTCCTGTGCTGTACGACAGTACCATTTCAGACGCTCTCATCCCCCTTGACTCGGGAAGGGAGATTGTTGTTTGATTAGTGTTCTGGAATCTCGGAGGAAGGCTACCCAATGCAGTTCGGAGCACGAAGAATCCGGAAAGGAATTGCGAATGTAAGAGTTGACAAAGACGGAGATGGAGATCATCATGTGGATCAATCCTTGGTACAATGCAAGCGATCGTTCAAAAATTCCAAAGATGTTTTGATCGGCTCCGGTTCTTAAACCGGATCCGAGGCTGTGATATTTATTATTTATTCATTTTTTTCACAGAGTTTTTGGGTTTTTGTGAAGTGTATTTATTAATTGACTTGGGCCCAATGCTTTGTTGTCGGTCGCTTGAACGATACTTTCCTCCAAATTTGGATGCGAATGGATACGAATGGATGCGATGGATGCGAAAAATGTATGCGAAGAACCAACAAGAGTAGGTATCCATCAAGTAAAGTTCATGTGTATATCGAAAAAAGTTAATAGAGCGAAGTTTAATCATTTAGCCGATGGAAAAAGCTGAGTAAGCACGAGACATTAGGATTGGCATTGTTTGGTGCCCTTGTGGTGTTTGCTTAACTTGCATTGGTTGCATTGGCTGCATTGGAGCGGGCGGGATGGAATGGGATGCTTTTTTCATTCCCAAGCAGATGGAACCATATATCATGACCCCAGTTCGGTTCAGCCAGCATTTCCATTTCAAGATACCGTAGTCTTGTGTATATGCAAGGGAAAACGGAATAATCCACCACTATTAACTATTAACCATTAACTACTGTCTGTGAGCACCCCTAATCTTAAAACAGCTTACGAATATATTGTTATAGCTTTGAACAAATGTCTTCACTGATGGATGGGGGATGGGGGATGGGGGAGGGCATGGATCCTGCTAATTCATTGATTTCATTAATTCATGGATTCATGGATGGAAAAACTCTCTTTCCATTCTAAGAAAGTAAGAAGATTTAGGAAAGAGAGGCCGTGGGACGGGGCGTGGAGACAGGAAGAGGTTGATATGCGAGATGGTTTGATGTGAAATGGCAGGCAGGGGGGTGGAAGGGAGGTGCGATTATACATACTTCATTTGTTTTCCCTTCGTTTAGCGGCAAACTATGGCTGAACTGGCAGCTGCTCCGTGCTTCTGAGGAAGACTAACAATTAATGCTAAAATTATACGGAGGTACTTTGTGTTTCCAAAATTCCAACATGTCGTTATTTCGGTAAATAGAGTTCTACGCTCCGTGCTGGTCTAGGGAATCCCATGTTGTTGCTTTTTTGGCCACTACACTACTGTACGGAGTGCTTCGTTTAGCACAAACGTCTCGCCGGGCTGAACCCTCCGAAGGTGGTCAATATCATGTCAATATCATATCATCTCCAAATTTATATTGGGAACGCCTCAATCGCCCCGTGAAATTCATCTAAAGGGAGGTCCATCCAGTGTGGTGCAAGTACGTACATCGAGGATCGAGGTCTAGTTTTTTGATCGCTTCCAGCTAGGAGTTGCGCTCCGGCTCGGGTCTAGACTGGTAAATTAGGGGTCTTTGCACGTCTTTTTCCATCAAAGCCCTATTGTATCTAGCAAAACCTTACTTCGCGGGAGAACCTAAATGCTATAACGTTGGAGAGTCAGTCATAGGTTCATGGGCATGACTGGTCACCAGGCCAGGAATCACGATAGCCGGGTAAAAGTACTAGGAGTCTTGGAATTTCAAATGGGTTTCCCCAAAAATCGGCGTGTTAGAGTTCACGGTACATTCGAAAAAGAGATAACTTCGAATCTACCAAAGTTAGCAACATCGTTTAGCTTCAAGTTAAAACTCCATATTTACTGACTCGACCAATCGACCTTTCTGGTAAATTTTGGTCCGAAAAGATGATGATGTACTCCCCAGAAGCTTGGATATTCGGCTCCACAAGCATTTACAAGCATTTTTCTGTGACAAAGTGCGGAAATATTCCAATATAATTGGATCTTATACTTTTCTATAATGCCAGGGGTCAATATCTGTAATAAGATTTCGAAGACCTATCAGGCGTGAGCCATGAACTTATACTTTTTGAGTATTACTATATAGGACACAACCTCTTCAAGCCAGTCCCTCTACTTTTTCCTTCACATCTTCTCGAATAGAACTTCCGTCTCCATTGCACTACACATCGAACTCATTATCAAAATCCAAAGTAAACATACACCGCGTCGAACACTTCGAATTCGTCTGCAATCACCTTCGGAAGAGTCGTTTGGGTTAGACAAGCTGAGCTGCAGTGTTCCTCAATAAGGCAAAAGTCCGACTCGCATCGCGATTATTCAAGTATCCAAGTACTTAATCATATGACATTTGATGCAACTCGATACAACTCATACTACTTGTACATATTTCTCCGTCACCATGCCTTTCATTCAGGACTCGCACCTTCCTCTTTCGTCGTTTGTTAAGACGCATATCGACATCCCGGATTATCTCGACCCGTCCTTATCTCCCTATACCATAATGGATGGCGGGTCCCCAACCCACGGAGACGTGTATAGACAAGCCTCCGTCGGCACTTTCTCAACTTCTGAAGCTTTAGAACTTGCTCGAGAAAGTGAGGAAGCTGCTGAAGATCCAATCATCGTCGGTATTTTGGAGGTCGCCATCAACAACATCTGGATTAAGATTCAACAGCAACCTACATCGTATGTCATGACCAGTGAGGAATTCGCTGTCTTTAATTATTTTCAAAATCGATTTCGCGGACAAGAACTCGCCACGGAAGCACGAAAGAGATATTGGGATTCCCAACATAGTTGAGAGGTGCCACAGTGGCTCAACTCTTTATCACTTATCTTAACCCCCCACCCATCTGTGCAATCCTTGTTCCCCGGAGGATCAGTGCCAAGTTAAGAAAGGAAGGAAGTTGCAATGTCAGCAGGAACCGATGATCTGTTTGACTCGAGAGATGTTCATGTCGATGCTGATTTCCGACTGCTTGGGACCAATTATGAGCCTGACAGGAATATTCGAACAACCACCAAAAACTTCAAAATATATCTTCTCGTTTTTTTGACCTGTGGTCTGTCATTGATATGGCTTTTACCATCATGTCTTTCAAACGAGAAGGTCGATACATTACCGAAACCTCATCTGGTCAAATATTCTTCTACTCCCGCACCATCTGCCACGCCTTCTTCCGCCGTGCTTGAAGTATTTCAAGTGTATCAACCAGTTCTCATCCCTCCTGGTGTTACCGATGAGACGGCATCATACAATGGAGTGGAGGATACGGCGATAATTGCGTCGACGAATGATGCTACTAGCTGCAAGGTTGTTTTGATGGAACACACCTTTGGCTACAGCTATGGCATCCCCTTTGTTGGTATGGAACCTACATTTTTTAATTGTGTAATACCAACCAACTAACCATCGCGCAGGCAATTACACACCACCTGGCTGCAAGTTCAACAGAGTGGTTATGAATTTCACCGTCACTTCAAGTGGTCGTCAATTCGATCGGCTCGCAATAATGTACTTTGGCGACTCCGAGGTTTGGAGAACATCTACCGCAGAACCAACTACTGCTGGAATCAGATGGGAATATCTTAAGGATATGACCGAATATCTTTATTTTTGGAACTCTCCTCAAACTCTCATTTTCGATCTTGGAAACTTGATCGATAGCACCTACACTGGATACTACTACACCACTCTTACAGCTACTTTCTTCACGAGTCAAGAAACTGTCGAACCGGCTGATTTGATTCTTCCCATTTCCGCAAGACATGGTGCAGACGATTCTGTGAGCGTCTTCACGTTACCAGGCGACAATGCTACCAACACGATTGCATTTCCACGAAATGCCAATCGTGCTGTTTTTTCCATTTCAGCATGTGGTCAGTCAACCGAGGAATTTTGGTGGGGCAATGTGCTTCAGTCGGATATCGAAGCATTTGAGGACTACGACGGAACACTTTATGGATATTCACCATTCCGTGAAGTCCAAGTGTTGATCGATGGTCAACTAGCTGGAGTGCAATGGCCGTTTCCCGTCGTCTTTACTGGTGGTATTGTACCAGGGCTTTGGAGACCAATTGTAGGGCTTGATGCTTTTGATCTTCGAGAACACGAGATTGATATCACTCCTTGGTTACCGATTCTCTGCGATGGATCTGAGCATACATTCGAAATCCGAGTCGCGGGTGTTATAGATGATGAGGAAGGAAGTGGTACACTCATTGATACAGTCGGTAGCTACTGGCTTGTCACAGGGAAAATCTTCATTTGGCTTGACTCCAATGACTCTGTCACCACCGGTACAGCACCCAAAATTTTTCTTCCAGCTCCCATCATCACCACCTCGCACGTTCTTACTCAAAATGCATCTGGGGCAAATGAGACACTCACTTACATAACTAATGTCCAACGTTCGCTCTCTATTTCATCCACTATTATCACGGAAAATGGCACTACCACCTCTACATGGACACAAGAACTAAGCGCCCTAAACTATGGCCAGTACACCGCTTTCGGCGCCATCCAAATAAACAATGCAACAACCTACGGTATCGATACCTCGAAACTAGGAAGTTCCACAAAATACAAATCCGAATACACATACCCTGTCTGGGTAAACACAACATACCTAGTCCTCTCCTCCACAAACTACACCCTCGAGGCCACCATAACTCGTGGTCTCGACCTCGTCATCTCCGGTGACTCCGTCTTCCCATCCGGTCTCCAACCCTTTACCTACCTCCCCTCCTCCGCGCCTCTCATCGCCGGTTTCTCAGGAACTCATCTTTCAACCACTCAAGACGGATCCGCCACCTATCTAGGTACATCTGCCGGCAGTTCTGGCTTCGGAAGTACCAATCAGATTTTCCAATTCAGTGGACTAGATATCAATAATGATGCTTCGGATACGGAATTATATTATCGCAATGTTCAAGCAGTTAATTCAACTATTGTGTATGATGAGGAAAGATTAGTCGGCACCGAAATTGGAAAATACAGTAATCCGAGACCCGGAGGTGCCTATTTGAGTCAGAGTGTTATGAGCCCTAAGGAAGCTATTGGGAGGGGAAAGGGAAATCCTAAACAGTTGCTTGTAGGTGGAGGTGCATAGTTGGGGACTTGTTAGAGAGGGAGGTAGATGAATGAGAGGATGGTGGGTAGTGAGTGAGTGAGTGAGTGTTGGATATTTAGTCTGAAGCGCGGAATCAGGCGAATCGATTTTTATGATTTAAATATCCGTTCTCAGGCGTTTACTTTCTTGTCTCTCGTTTTATTATTGCTTAGATACCCATTGATTTGTTTTGTTTTCATGTACTTTACCTCCTTGAGCATGAGCATATTCTTTTTGAAACGTGGTCTTTGGTTCGGGCATGGTTTTGTTGTTGTCGTTGTTGTTGCTGTTGTTGTATATATTTCTTGGATAGCTTAGCTTAACTTAGCGTTGTTTAACTTAACTTGGCTAGTATATATTATCATTATCATTATCTTACACTTGAATCACTTGTATCATGTACATTCTCATTTCAAGTGCTTGGAAGTTTCTAATTAGGTGTTTATGTATGTGATATATTTCTCGATCTAGAATTGGGTTTGATGTTTGCGTTTGAATGTTGGGTTTGGTTGAGTTGGTTGAGTTGAGTTTGAGTTAATCTCAATTATACACCCTTAATAATTACCCTTATCTTAGTTATATATGTGAGATTATTCGGGTGCTTGGGTACTTGGGTACTTGGGTATATGTATATATTATCCTGACATATAAGATTTACTCGAATGGATTAAGACGTTGAATTTTCATAGGATGGTTGATGTATACATGGATGAATATATGTATGTATAAATGAATAGATAATAAATGTTTATTCGTATATTCCCTATATGGCAGCAGCAGCAGCAGCAGCGAACCAGTAGTTGCAAATTATCACAAGGAAAGAAGGGAGGAAGGAGACAGAAAAAAGTATTTATTCCACTTCCATACATCCCGATCAACAAGTTACCTCTCATAATTTTACTCTCAGAACTTCTTCAATATATTCTCATTGCATTTTTAATAATACAATACAAGCGCAAATTCTAAATTTCCTGACCGAAATTCATATTCCCGTATTACTTTTCCTCTTCATAAATACACACTTAAATATTTCTTCAGACCTACCATCTCAGCCACAGTCATGGGTATCCCTCTTGAAGAGCACTCACCCTGGTGCGAATGCAAGCGTCCTAAATGTCAACGTCTTGATATTGTTCCAGCGAATCATGAGCATCCTGCATTTTGTATACGTCATACAATATCTAGGATAGATCCTCCACCCACCCTGGCTATAGATAGCCCTGTTCAATCACACCCAGATTCCTGTACATGCCAGCGCCCTGCATGCCAGCTTCGTCTTATGACTTCGTCAAGTCGTCGTCCCTCTGCACGTCCTGTATCTCATACACCATCTAGGATGAATCCTCCTCCCGCCTCATCTATCGACCATCCTCTTCGATCACATCCAGTTCTCTCTTCCGCTACTCCACCCCCAACGCTCAGTATACCAACTGGCAGCCTATTAGAGCAACAAAATCCACATGTTCAATCCGGCAATAACAATGCCAATGCGGAGGGTCATTTGGAAAGAATGGTGGGTACCCATGGAAATAGTAGTAGGCCCACAGATTCCGCGGAACTAGATCGAATGGATAACACTATAAGACTCATAAGACACTTAAGAAGTCTACGATCTCGCCTACAATATAATGTTGATCGTCCTATAAGAGCATCAGAGGAGGAGTGGATGGAGCGATTGGAGCAACTGATGCAAGAAGCAGAAAATGCACTACTAACTGCCGAACTACATATGTGGCAGCAAGAGCGACGAAGTCTATCGGTGCGGCAAGAGCAGTCAGAAGATAGTGGACCTAGGGATATTTTGAACGAACCTCGCACTTCAATTCGAGCCTCTACTACCTCATCTCTACTTGAACATTCAAACATGCCCGTTTCTCCCGTTCGGCGCCAACAAGCCAGTCAGCAGATGAGAGACCTCAGTTATAGTTTTGGTAGATTTGATGAACCGCTCGATGAAGGAGGATTTCATAGCCAGGAAAATTCCACGAATAACCATCCACGTAGAAGGCGGCAAGAAGTACCGCAAAGACCATTAGCTGAGCAAGGGCAGCTACTTTACGACTCACTTCTTCGTCCTCACCCCCCTCACCCCCCTCGCCCTAGTCCGGAATTGACAAGCAATTTTCACGCTGCAGATCAGAATTCTATTAGCCCACTGCAACTTCCATCTCGCGCCGGGATTGAACAATCCAATGCCCAGCAACATGCCACGAATAACGGATCGCGTACAGTACAGGCACGGCCGCGTGAGCGAGCGCGAATGCAGGCCGCTCCATCCCCCGAAAATAAAAATACGGATTGAGAGGCTAACGCATTTACAAATAACAATACGGGCTTATAAGTAATGCATCTGCATATGACTATTCGCCTGGTTTGAGTTTTGACTTGTGAGTTCAGATGAGGATTTTTCAAACACAAGCTTTGGTTGAATAGAGACTGGAATGGCTCCGCGTTCTGCGAGACGATAGAGAAAATAGGGGTATCGCATACTGGAAAAGCGTGTTGAAAGTTTGGGCTATGAGTTGATTAATGTTTGAACATCTTGCAAGCGCTGACGATTGGTTCTGATGTATGGGTATGATTTGATGGTGTTGATCAAGCTTAAAGCGGCTGGAAGTATAGGAAGTGGAGGATTGTAAGGGTCGTTTTTAGAAATTTGATGGAAATTTCCACAGTATTAGGAAACCAGCGTAGGAATATTGTTTGCACTAGCAACACATTTTGATATGGGAGGAATTTCTGGAACTTCGGGATATCAGCGTAATGATATTGTATGCACTTGCAATGCAGTTGTTCGTGTACAGCCAATTATAATTTGCGTCAGCCAAATCTCCAATTGAGAGTTGAGTTCAGTATGTGAACGACTCATTGCCCCGGTGTAGAGTCAAGAACTACCTTTCCATGTATTTATCTTATGGTAGTTCTGATATTCAGCCCTATTCATTGAATGCCATGTACTCAAGGTGTGTACAAAGAATAAAACGTCGTTATTATCCATATGTTGATTCAAATGTGCTGAGTGAAAATAATTGGCAACATACGGAGTAGCTTCAGCCGAATATCTCGGCCGGATTAACTCAAACCCGAACAGACTAGCCTATGCTCTTAGGTTATCGGTAGCCAAACCAATCGTATTTATCATCAAATTTATTTCGCCGATGACATCTTATCGCAAGACAGAACATTACCCCTCCATCCAAAAAATTTCCCCTCAATGAGCAACATGCCATCCTCACTCCCAACAATGATACTCAAACATCTGGCAGATTTCAAGCCTCAAGCAGCGACTCGAGCATGGGCCTCCATACCTAATCCCAATAATCTACCTCTGATTGCGACTGCGACATCGGATAAATCGGTACGAGTTTATTCTCTGAGTAATTTCACTTTACATTCAAAGTTGGAGGGTGGTCATGAGAGGAGTGTGAGATCTGCGGCGTGGAAACCTGGTGTTAGGAAGGATGGAGCTTTAACTCTTGCTACGGGGGGTTTTGATACGATGATGACTATTGCTACAGGGAGTTTTGATGCGACGATGGGGGTTTGGAGAAGAAAGGAGGAGCAGAAAAATACAATTGAGGATGGACCTTTAGAGTTGGAGATTGGCGCTGATGGGAGGCCGAATAAAGGTCCGTCGTTGAGAAGAGGTGGTGATGATGGTAGCGATGAGGATGAGGGTGATGATTGGGAGTTTTCAATCGTGTTGGAAGGTCATGATTCGGAAATTAAGCATGTAGCTTATTCTCCTAGTGGACAATGGTTGGCTTCTTGTTCTAGAGATAAGACGATTTGGATTTGGGAAGAGATAGGTGATGAGGGTGAAGATGAATTTGAGACAGTAGCTGTCTTGCAGGATCATACGGCAGATGTTAAATGTGTTTGTTGGAGAAAAGATGATGGTAATGGAGAAGTTCTTGCCAGTGGTAGTTATGATGATACGATTTTATTATCCAAAGAAGATGGTGAGGGAGACTGGGAGACGATCGCAAAGTTAGAGGGTCATGATGGTACTGTGTGGAGTTTGGATTGGGAGCCTGATGTTTCGATAAAGTCAGATTCAAGCGAAGAATCATCAGTACCACCTACTCCACGACTTCTCTCCTCCTCTGCAGATATGACAGTTCGAATCTGGTCAAAAATGCCTACGCCACCTCCACAAAATAAACCATCTTACTTCAACGCAGGAATTCCCAGCACAATGCGACCTGGACCTGTGAACGAGACTTGGGAATGTACCGCAACACTTCCAAAAGTACACGATCTCCCAGTCTACAGCATTAATTGGAGTAAATATTCTGGTCGAATAGTATCTACAGGTGGTGATGGCAGGGTAGCAATCTACGAAGAACGTACCAAAGGAAGAAATACTGTTGGTGGCACCATCGAAAAGGAATGGGTAGTTCTCACCGTTTTAGAGGGTGCTCATGGACCTTATGAGGTCAATCATGTTACTTGGTGTATGAGATACGATAACGGCAAGAAGAAGCCAGACGAAGAAATGATTATCACCACGGGTGATGATGGACTTACAAAGGCTTGGTTTATCGAGGAGGACATTGAGGAAAGCAAAGTAGAAGCATAATGATACGAATAACGGGTTAGTTTCACGAGAGATATTGGGTTTATACAAAGTCGTCGGGTCGGGTTATAAGTATAATTACAAGCATAGCGTCGGCGTTGTGTAGGGTTAGAATTACTGGGAATTTATGTACTTACACAAAGAGTAGATGGCAATTATACGAGATGATTATTTGCATGGAGGGATCAATCTCACATTCTTACATCTTCAAGCTTATTGTTATCCTTTTTTCTAGGTACTAGGTAGCTAATAACATTAAAAACAATACAAAAGAGAATGGAATAAAATTGTCAAAATGAATGATTGCATCATAGAGAATGGATATCTATCTAAGATCTTACCTTAACAGTTGAACTTTTTTGAAATAGCCAAATCTCCTAAAATTAACCACACTGGACTGAACTGAACTAAATATATGTAAATTAAAACTAATAGAGATAAGTAATCTAACAAAAGAAACAAAATGATATCCTAACATCAATTTCGTGCTGTAGTAAAAGAAAATAAGAATTCGAGTGAGTGAGTGGGTGCTAAACAAGACAAGTAAGTAAGATTTTAGAAAGGAGAAAAGCACGAGTACAAATAACTTCAGAGGGTGATGGAGACTCTTTAGTGAAAAGTAATGGAATTTATTGCGTTTGTGTTCTGTAGTGGGAAAGTAGGGGAAATGAGGAAAATAATAGGTAAGCAGGTAAACAAGCAAATAAACGGGGATAGTCCAACCTATTCCTCTATTTTTTTATGCATGTATTCATCATCTGAACTATTCCTTCATGATCCTCACAATCCACTCCAACCCAACCCAATCACCTCCCCTCCCTCCCTCTCCCCTCCTCTCCCCCAACTACCCCCCCATCAAATTCCCATGCGGCCTCCCACCCCCAACCCTCCACCAAAAAAAATTCTCCACAACCTTCCTAACCAACCCCCCCGCCTTCCTAACCGCCATCCCCCTCTGCAACGTCTTAAAACACTCTGGTAACAATTTTCCATCCGGATCTCTCGCTCCCGGTATCTCCCACCATCTAGGGGGCGCGGAGCAATGTTTGAGGATTTGGGAGAGTGTGTTTGGGGTGAAGTGTGTGTGGGATGGGAAGTGGATTGGTGGAGAGGTGGGGAGGGAAGATGGGGAAGGGAGAACACTAGCTGGCCACCAGGAACTATTCGAATCGTATAGAAATCTCTCGTCGAGTGGTTGTAGTAGAAATGCTATATGATCCATACTAAGTCCATGACCGTGTAAATACAGAATAAGTGACTGAGCAGGCGGAACAGCATAAGCAGAACCCGAACGCGTGAGATCGACATAAGAGGTATTTGAATTGCTCGAGGAGGTGGAGCTAGGTGGTGAAGGAATTCTAGATTTTTTGGTGGCTTTGGATATACTGTTGAATTTTCCTTTGGTGGATCCTTTGGTTTTACTGCTGGTTTTACTTTTGGCTTGGCTTTGAGTAGAAGTCTTGAATTGGTCTTTGGTTTTACTGTTGAGTTTGGCGATGTTGGCGGTTGAGAGTGATGCTTTGCGGATGGAGACGGTACTCCTATCAGTTTTTGGAAAAGGATCAAAATAATCTACCTCAGGTGTAGGTGGAAGAGATTTGTTCCTATTAAAAGATCTGGGGATTGATCTGAGACTTGGAACGAAGGATCTAGTAGTTCTAGTAGACTTAGTAGGTGAAGGAACCGGTGTTAATGAACCTGTTGAAGATCTCGATCTCGATTTCGCATCGGATGAATATCTTGACTTTACGGACTTGGAAATAGGTTCAAGGTAACTCATTAATACCATTTCTGCGGTAGGATCTCGAGGTTTGAGACCTTCTTGCACGGAATACCCGAGTATATCTTCCATGAAATCTGCATCCCAAGATTTTGATCGTGTATTTTCTATGTCGTCGGGGCTTATACCAATGGTTGTACAATCATTGGCTGCGTCGTATGGTGGATATAGTTGGAATGCGTGAGGTGTAAATGTCGATGTACCGATAGCATAGTCTTCTTGACATTCTGTACCATGGTATGAGGAATTTTCGAAAGAGTAATCATGAGAGATTCCATCATCACTTTCGTATTCCTCATCATAATCCGAATCGTAGGTTTCTTCGCTAATCACACTACCAGCATTGGAGGATGTAAACATGTTTTGATCGAATTTGCCGGTGAAAGTGTATCCGCGTGCCATGCGAGCTCGAAAACTATCGTCGATTCGTCCATTGATATTGAGAGCAGTGCGATGATCATCGGTAGTTCCATATCCTTCAACGACGGAACCTGCATAATCCCCTACTTCGGATCCCTCGCTAGAATTGTTGCTCTCAGATACTTGTCCTTCATTCGAAGGACGTCTATAAAATCTTTCTGCCTCAGAAGCTGGGGATGCTGTTTGTCCGAAATACCCTGTTCTCTCTCCACGTTCATCATCGTACAAGAAACCATCGCTGTCATACTCAGCAGAACATTCATTCTCAATATTCCTATCAGAATGTCTACGTTGATATCTCTCATATCCATCGTCATCCTCATCATCAGATTCCTCCAATCTATACTTCAATTCCAACTTCTCTAAACCAGGAATATCCAATTCCCGTACCTCTCTCCTATTAACACCATCAAGACCCATGTCATTCGGCTCAAAGAATGGTACACCATAGTAATCCGAATAATTACTCTCAACATCAAACACTGGTCCCATTCTCCAGTCCCCTGCAGCAACAATATGAAAATGTCTCTGCATCTTTGTCATTTCTTCCCACTCATGAGCCCAGCCCGGCATACCAAGAAGATAAATAAGATTTTTATGCTTGACATCCGATTCCTTCTCGTCATCCAATTCCTCTGCCTTAATCGCAGCATCATCATCCTCATCATCACCGATGACACTTCCATTCTTTGAATTGGGTGGATTGACATATCCCTCAGGGATAAAATCAAAAGGAATTGGAACCTCTTCTCCATATAATCTCTTCAGTTCCCTGGTAGTCAACGCAACGACATGATCCGGATCAGATTCCTCCGTACTATCCGCCCACTCGCTAACTTCTTGATATCGATCATATGCTAGATATGGATTATCAGTTTCAGGATTATAACCCAGAATCTCTTCACCATAAGCAGAAGGATTTTCGTAGAAGCGACGAGCATGTTTGTGGTATACAGTATCAGAAGAGATGTTGTCCCAATTGAGAGAGAAAGGACCACAAGAGCTGTAATGGTGAGACGGGACTGATGGTGATCTTGATCTTGAGCGCGATCTATTCTCAAGCTCTAGAGTTGAAGCATTAGACTCTGATACCAATCTCCTCCTAAATCCATACGACGCCACAGGAGTAGTCTGAATAAATTGACTCGGATCAAAAGCCGGAAAGTCATGAATCTCAGGATTTCGACGTGGTCCAATAAAACTTCTCGTCCCATTCCCATCTCCATGTTCCACAATATCCTCATCACCTTGAAAACTAGTATGCAGACTTTCTCCCTCCTGAAAAGAAAAATTTTGGTCTCCTATATCCACACTCTCATCCATTTGTGCTTCAAGCGTGGTATTCTCTTCCTTTGTCGCTTGTTGTGTTTGTAATGAATTGCCTGAGTTATTACTGCGTCTGCTTAGACTTCGCGCAAAGTTCAATACCCTGCTTGCCCTAGAACTCCCGCTATCTTCACTTCCTTTACCTTCACCTCTACGTCTGCCAATTGATAAACTTCTCTTGGATAGATGTCTCTTCGCTGCAACCAAACCCTTTCTTGGCAAGCATTTCTTGTTTTTAGTTTGTGGGTCGCAATTTGTGTGTAAATCCCAAGTTGTATGTAAGTCCTCCCTCGTGCTTCGTCCTCTTTCACGCGACAGATCATCCCCAGAATCAGGCGGTGGCGAAGGTGCATGTGAATAAGCGATTTTAATTCCAGATGTGTTTCCACTTTCTTCAAAACTATCCATCTCTATTTCGTCTCTCTCAACTTCGTACTGTTGCTCATGTTCAGGTAGAGCACTATGAACTTCCAATTCATCTCCATGAAAATTCGGGATGGTCGAGATGGCGGATGTGCTACTTTTCACTTCCTTTCCTTTTCCCAACTTATGACACTTCGAAGTAAAAGGCTTTGAGATCCTGACTTCTGACATCTCACCTCTTCCCAAGAAATTAATTCCACCATCATGATCATCATGTCGAAGATCATAAGCAAAAACATGTCCTCCACCCTTCTCATCACTTTCATCCCTAAAATCTTCATCCTCACTTTCATCTCTTTCTCCATCAAATTTATCAGCACTTTCATCCCTCTCAAAAACCTCTCCATTTCCACCTCTAATAACCGTCCTCTTTCCCATCTTTAACCTCTCCACATTCCTACAAATGACACAAACACAATCCTCTGAATGTCTGTCCTCGATCTCCGTTCCGAAATCCACATTTACAGTAATATCTTCTTCGAAAATAATGCGACTGCCATCTTCTGTAATTGTCGCCTGAGCTTCTACGAAGCTATAGTGCTCATCTTCCGTCATTGAAAGCGGACCTGGGTAAATGGGTACGGCGCGAGGCATCATGTTGTGGTTTGTGTGTAGGTGAGGTCGAATTTTGTCAGAGATTAGTGTGTTCGAGGAGATTGCCCTGTTCCAGAAGACTGGTCTGTCCAAGATGTCCGGTCTGTTCAGGAGATCAAATCTGCCCAGAAATCAATCCAAGACCCAAGACCCAAGACCAATTATTAAAATTTCTCCTCCTCTTTTCTCTTATCCCCTCAAAACACAAACCCAAATTCCCCCAATCTCGTATCTCAATCCGACCTCCAGGATCGAATATCTATCTCCAATCGAAAAATCCAAGGAATCTTCCTAGAACCACTCCTTCCCACCAAATTATCAGTATATACCCATATCCACATAGAACAAGAGAACTTACCAGTAGCACCCCAAAGCACACTCACACTCCTCACTCTCAAACCCACAATCTCTCGAATATTTCAATTTCCACCAGAAACAAAAACAAAAACCTTCTCTTTAACCTCTAACCTTTATCCTTATATTCTTCCTTCACCAACCAAAAAGAACAAGATAAAAAGAAGTAAAAAGGTAAAAAGTAGCGAAGAAATCCAAAGTAAAATAGATCAATTGACACAATAGCAAAATAAATCAAAGTAGTAAATTTCAGCCTTAACCTCGTCTATCCGTCCATCCATCCAAAACAAAGTGCAGAAAAGTAAACAAATAGATGATTGAATGATTAATTATGTGTATGTATGTGTGTGTGTGTGTATGTAGTATGAATGAGGCTGTCGCATCCGATGAAATTGCAATATCTATCTAGATATTCATCCTATCCCAAAGGGAAACCGAGACTGAGGAATTGAGATATTGAGATGTTGGAAAGTTGGGAAATTGAGCTGTGTAATTACCACCAATTAAGTTACCAGCAAGGTAAAAATCGAAAGGTTAAAAGGTAAAAAATCGAAAGGTTAATAAAAGTCAAGACTTGAAGACATCAAGATTCGAAGACGTGAAAATCACACAAGGTTAAAGTTGCTATCATGTAATTTTAAATATGATACCATGAACCAATGATATTGTAAAAAAACAAGGTGAAAAAAGGTGAGTAGAAAATTGTATGGTGAGATTACTTAGACTAGGTACCTAGGTATTCATCTCGATATTATTATCTCAAGACTCCATGGGATATTGTAGTGGAAATTATCAATCATGAATAATGAATAATAGAATAATGAAGTGGTAAGATCTAACTAAGCCGAGGAACCTCTAGATACTTATTACCTAAGTAGCTACTTGGATATATAATATGGCATGATCGAGGAAAGTGAATAGGATGGAATCATTAAAATTTTTGAAATTTTTGAAACGGACAAGTTTTATAGGTTCATGAATGTAAGATCTTAGATATGAGATGATAGACAATGAATGGTAAATTGATTTGAAGGAGAACTGGCAGACAGATCATTATGCATCTAAGACTCCAAGTTAATGACTGCACTTGAGTCTCAACAATTTTCTATTTCAACTCCATTTCATGAAGAATCGTCCATGGCATATCCATAGTCCTCCATACAACTCCCACCACAAGCTCTTTTTCCCATTATCCCCCATTATCTTCTTCGTCATATTCTCCATCAAAGTTATATTGCACACACCTGTGCTTAGGTATATTAACACCCATTTCCAACCTATAAACCTAACCCTAACTCAAAAACAACCAATATCCTCCATTAAAGGCCACCTCTCCTCTCTCCTTTCCCTTCCTGACTTCTACAACAATACCCGAATCTAGTAATCTCCTATCTCTTACCACTCACCTCCCACCTCCCCCCCTTCGAAATCCGCATCAACCATCATCCACTCCATCCGAGCCTCACCACCCACTCTGCAACCCCGAAAAAACTAATACCATCTACCTAGGTATCTACACCAGCTCCTAAATCCAACCAATGTATTCTCCAATTTAAACCCCCATACACAACCTCAAAACACAAAATCACCATAAACCTTAGATAAGCCACCATCATCAAATATCCCATTCTCCCTAATCCCCCAAGCCCTCATCCCCTCTAAGTCGCTAGATTCTTCCTAGTCCCCAAAGCGCATGAAGACCGAGAAGTCCACATAAAT